GGACTCCGAGCATGCAAGCTGCTCGAGATGTCCAGGACTTCGGTGACTTCTTTGGGGCTATGAATCGGGCATGGAATGCTTCTCTCTCTACTGCGTTCCCGTCTGAGACTCTCGATCTACCTTCGGTCATCGGTAGCCTCCACACCAATCCCGCGGGACCGAGTAGATCGAAGGAGAAAGGAAAAGGAAAAGGTAAGGGTAAGAGTAAGGACAAGTGAGCGGTACGTAGCTGTAATCCTATGTTGTATGCAGTACGTTCTATCTCCTAGCCCTTCGCAGTCGCCCTTCCTTCGGCTTAGTAGGGTGAAGTTCGTGGAACTTCGCCAATATGTCATCAGCTCCATCGACGTTCTCCACTGGTTCCCATGATACTGAATCGTCTGTTCCTTCGTAACCTAACCACTCCACCAAGTACTCTAACTTTCCTGACCTCTTATTTACTCTAGAGTCCACAATATCCTTTACCTCCCAAGACTCTCCCACATTGTCTACTTCTACTGGGCCAGGTGGCTCAGCTTGCTGACCAGGAAATATTGGAGGGTGATAAGGACGGAGCAAGGAGACATGGAATACATCATGGATACCTGCCATCGTTCCTGGTAATTCCAATTTACAAGCATGAGAACCTACCTGCCGTACTACCTTGTACGGCCCACTTTGCTTAACATCTAACTTCTTCATTGGTCTCTTCGTCTTAATATTCTCTAACGACAGCATCACTAGGTCTCCTTCCGCGAAGTTCGGCGTAGTCCGGTGTTTCCTATTGTATCCTTCGGCGTACTTCTCATTAGCTTTCTCAATTCCTTCGATACAATCCTTGTGTATTTCAGTCAAGTCTTTTACCACCACCGTAGCAGCGGGCACTTCGACTTCACTGGCCTTAATTTCTTCAGCCCATCGAGGGTGGTACCCATAGTTCGCATAAAATGGTGTCTTATTTATCGCAGAATGATGGGTGTTGTTGTAGGCGAAGCTAGCTCGAGCAAGCAGCTTCGACCAATCGTTCTGCTGATAAGAAGTGAAGATTCGAAGGTAGAGCTCTAAGGATTGGTTGGTTCGTTCAGTCTGTCCATCAGTCTGCGGATGATATGCAGTAGAGAGATGTAGTCTTATCCCGAGACTATCGGTCAAGTTCTTCCAAAATTTCGAGGTAAACTTCGATCCCCTGTCAGACACTATGTTCTCTGGTAGCCCATGCTGAGCTACCACATAGTCCATTATCAACTCGGATAGGCCAGCTGCGGTTAACTTCGTCGTAGTCGGGATAAAAATGGCCCATTTGGTCAACCGGTCCACCACTACTAAGATGGAATTGTATCCATGGGAATTCGGGAGCTCTTCAATGAAATCCATCGAAATGCTGGACCATGGCTTCGTAGCCACTTCCAGTGGTTTAAGCTCTCCATGGGGTCTCTGCCTGTTAGTCTTTGCTCTCTGACACACCGCACATCCAGCGATGTAATCTTCAACATCCTTCCTTACTCCAACCCAAACGTAGTCCCGTAGGACTAGCTCGAGAGTCTTCGCTGAGCCTGGGTGACCCGCTAGGACCGAGTCATGCCGCGTCTTCATTATCTTTAGTCGAGCATCGGCGTAGTTCGGCACATAAGTTCGACCATCGAACGTGAGGAACCCTCTTGAATTCCATCCCCCACGCAGTATTAAGGGGGACCGCGAGGTACGGCGTAGTTCGGTGACCGACCCTGGTTCCTGCACGTTATCATGACATGTTGGATGAGAGCACTTAGCACAGGTTACCCCCAATAATTCTTCTCTAACCTCCTCCACCTCTCCGTCTTCCTGTATTCCGACTATCAAATCCATAGGATCAATAAGGTCGTTCTCTCGCACTTCCTTTGTTCCTTGTAAGGCCCGAAGCAGGTGTTGTAACCCAGAGCTAGTGTCGTCAAGTTCGTCGAACTTCGGCAGACCTTGGATAAGGTTGCTCTCCTGTACCATAGTACTTCCTTTTCCTGAGTGGTAGTCTGCTCTTCTCGACAGTCTGTCCGGCAGTGTAGCTTGTTTTCCCGGTCGATACACCATTTTAAACCTGAAGTTAGAGAGCTCTTCGACCCACCTACCCTGCCTGGGGCTAAGCTGTTTAGGTTCCATCCAGTAAGTTAAATTTAAATGATCTGTGAGAACTGTAGTCTCTACCTGTAGTAGTAAGTGTCTCCTTCTCCTGAAAGCTTCAACAATAGCGAGTAGCTCCTTTTCCCCTACCGTATAGTTTAACTGCGCCGCCTGGAACGCTCCGGATTCGATGGCCACCGGATGCTCTTGTCCTAACTCGTTCACCTGCGAAATTATGAAACCCCAGCCGAAGAACGACGCATCTGTTTGTAGTAGTGTCTTCAACGAAGGGTCAAAGTGAGCCAATACTGGCGCCCTACACATCCTATCCTTCAATTCTTTAAAGGCTCTTTCCTGCTCTACTCCCCAAACAAACGGCACATCTTTCCTGGTGAGGTCATTGATCGGTTTAGCAATCTTGGAGAAGTTGGGGACAAAACGCCGATAATAACTGACAACTCCCATAAATCCCCTACTCTCTCGCAAGTTCTTAGGACGGGGAAAAGATACGACAGCATCGATGTAATCCGGGTTACTGGAAATTCCCCTCTGTGAAACCACGAACCCCAGGAAGACTACCGAATCTCTCTCAAACTCGCACTTACTGGCTTTAACAAACAAATTCGACCTCCGAAGCACTTCAAACACCTTCGCCGTAGTTCCCCTCAGTTCTTCCAACGTTTGACCGTAGATGAGTATATCATCTATGTAGACTACTACTCCCTTTCCCAGCAGCTCTCGAAAACTTTCATTCAAGAAGTGCTGAAACACAGCGGGAGCATTCCGTAGGCCATCTCGGACAACAAGAGACTCGAACATACCGTACTGCGTCCTGAACGCTGTCAGGTGTTCATGACCTTCCTTTACTCGTAGGAGTTGATAAGCCCCAATTAGGTCTAACTTGCTGAAGTACCTCGCTCTTCCCAGCTCTTCGGTTATCTGGCCGATCAGAGGCAGAGGATAGGCGTCGGGTATCGTTGCCTCGTTTAACTTTCGGTAGTCAATGACCATTCGCCATTGACCTTTCGCCTTCTTCGGTACCAAGAACATCGGTGATCCGTAGGGCGAATTACTGGGTCGAATTCTTCCGGCCGACATTTCGCGATCTAGGATGTCTCTCAGCGCACTTCTCTGATCTTCTCCAAGCGAGTAGAGTGGAGCAACCTTCAGGTTCGCCCCCTCCTTAAGATCAAACTCCAAATCATAGCTCCTCGAGGGAGGTAATTCCTCACCTCCCTTCCTTGGGTTAAAGACATCAATGAACGAGTGGTATTGTTCAGGAACCACCTGATACAATTCCTCCTGTTCCTCCGGACTCAGTTCATCCTGATCATCTTTGTCTCGGAGATCTATCGCGTCCGTCGGAGTTGGCAGACCTATGGCCGCTAACTTCGCCGCACTTGGTGGGGTTGGGATGGGAAATTTCACCGAGTTGTCTCTTCCATCAAGGACAACCCCTTCCTTCCTCATCCAATCCCACCCTATCACAACATCTGCGTCGCAGAGCGTTGTTACATCGAGACGAACAGATCGCACTTCGGCGTCCTTCGTCAAACTAAATCCGACTTCGACAAACTCGGTGATAGGTCCCGCGACACTCACCGAGCCGTCGAACATGTGGACGGGTACGCTCACCTGATATTGTCTCCTTTCTGCGCCTATCTTCGTCGCCGCTCTAGGACTTATATATGAACAAGTAGCCCCGGTGTCCCAGAGCGTAGTTAGCTTCATTCCATTAATTAAAATGTCCGATTTAGGTTGATCTCTGGAAACGGAAGGGATGAGGAGATGATTATCGACATTGCATGAACAAGGGGTACTGAGTGGTGTATTTTTGTATTCACAATCCTCTGGCTCCATCAGTTGCGTCTCTTTTATAGGTTTGGGAATGGTGGCCGAGAGAATATGGCGGACCCGCCGAGCCTCGCCTACTGCGACAGGTCCTCTTCTTTTCCCTGGTTCTCTTCCAAATCTACTTCTCCTCCAACCACATTCAAGTTCCTCCTCTGTCCAAGAGGTACTGCATTCCCTCCCGATCCTCCACCACGTTCTCCGAACTTCTCTCCCCATGGAGGCAACAGTCCAACCTTAACCTTAGCCTCCCTTACAGGACATTCCTTCAGCCAATGTCCTATTTCACTGTCACGAACTACGTCGTGACACCTCGATTACTCCACCAACAATGACCCTCCTTTGGCCATCAAAACCCCATCACGCCTTAACCTCTTTACTCTACACGTAACTCAGGACTTTTGACACCAAGTACGGCGAAGTTAGACGGAGTTAGGCTAAGTAGGGACAATGGGAGCAGAAGTACGGCGAAGTTAGACGGGGTTAGGCTAAGTAGGGACAATGGGAGCAGAAGTGCGGCGATGTTAGGCGGAGTTAGGCTAAGTAGGGACAATGGGAGCAGAAGTGCGGCGATGTTAGGCGGAGTTAGGCTAAGTAGGGACAATGGGAGCAGAAGTGCGGCGATGTTAGGCGGAGTTAGTCGAAGGAGGAAGAGGATGGCCGAGGGCTCGGGGAAGTTGGACGAAGTGCGTTGAAGTACGTCAAAGCGCGAGAGGGTTGGATGAACGTCTAGGAGGAGTAGATAATATTAGCTGAGAAGATCGCTGAAGTTCTTCAGCGATCCTTGATTGTTGTCAGTAGTGAAAGACAGATAGAGATAGCTATAAATCAAGATACATCGCCATCAGTAGAACAAAACCCTAGTTAGAGTAACTACGCCGAAGTACGCCGTAGTTACACCCCTGTCGACGTCTGCGCCCTCCTGGTTGGGTGAGACATCGACTCAGAGCGTGAAGTTAGCCGAGGTTCGTCGACCGTCGGTCTATTAAGAAATAGTTGTTCGACGGCCGTGACATTCACCACACTCCGTACACTTCCCCTCTTTCCTCCTTGTCTCCCTCAGATCGGAGCTTGGCCTAGGCCATTTTCGGCGAACTTCGTCGATGTTCGGCGGCGCACTCCTTACCACCGTGGACGTCATGGCCGCTTGGACACCAACCTGCGCCGAAGGTTGTCCCTTTTCCCATTTCTTCTCTTCTTTCTTCTCCGTCCTCTGACTTTCCACCACCATAGTCGTCTTTGCCCCCCCTTCCCTCTTCCTCTCTGCCTCCTTCTCCACTTGCCTCCTCCACAGGCGGTTGTCCAAGGGAATCACAAACTCCAATAGCTCCTTCACCGTCCCAAACGATCTACCATGTCTTGCAATTTCATCCAGAAGGTGTGATTTTAGACCTTTCTTAGCTTGATCGACTAAATTTCCATCATCAGACCACTTGAGTATCGCCACATGTCGTTGAAAGGCAGAGAAGTAGTCCGAAGCAGAGCCGGTTTGTTTAAGGTCGTTGAGTTGTCGGGCTGCAGTTCCTTCTTCATCTGGGTCGCCGAAGTTAGTCTTGAGATACTTGACGAACTGGTTGTGCGCCGTGAGGTATTCTGGGAGAGGCCGTTTAGATAGATCGGGTTGAACGGCGAGGAGGGGAGTTTCGCGTAAGTGAGAGATCATGAAAAAGACTTTCTTAGTGTCGTCGGGGAAAAGATGAGAGTTTAATTCGAAGTGTACGTCGCACTCGGACAGAAAGGCCGTCAACTTATTCCGCTCTCCTCTCCAGAAGTCTGGATTAGGCAACTTGATACCCTTCCGTTGTTCCCCAACTACGCTTGGAGTCGCCGAAGTTTGCCGTCCCATGGCGTACCTCACCCCTTCAGATATCCCTTCTGCAATTCCCCCTACTGTCTCCCTTTCCCTCCTCTGCTCCCACTCCTCCCTACGCCTACGTTCTTCCATCATATCCTTGTTCATGTTTGCCACCATCTGCATCAAGGCTAGCATCACCCCTTGTGTCCCTCCTTCTCCGAAGTTCGTCCCACTTCCAGCGTTTTCTGGCCGCGGAGTTTGATCCGATCCAACTGGGGATCCAATAGGCGGGGGAGCATCGCCCGCAGGGGTAGGAGGATTAGAAGGTATTGGTGGAAAGGACTCATCTCCTTGAACTGACCCCCCTACACTATCTTCCATCCCAAGATCCTGTCCCATTGCTCTTCTAAGCTCCTCCAACGCTCTCCTCTCATTTTCCTCCATCCTGTCGTCACTCCTACTCATGCCTCGTGTGACTCTCCTTTCTGGTTCCATATTATCTTTGTACTTCTCCGAGGTTCGCACGGGTCGTCGGTAAGAGCGATCCTTGATACTGTCACGGCCGTCGAGCAACTACTTTCTAATAGACCGACGGTCGACGAACCTCGGCTAACTTCACGCTCTGAGTCGATGTCTCACCCAACCAGGAGGGCGCAAACGTCGAAAGGAGTGTAACTACGGCGTACTTCGGCGTAGTTACTCTAACTAGGGTGTTGTTCTACTGATGGCGATGTATCTCGATTTATAGCTATCTCTATCTGTCTTTTACTACTGACAACAATCAAGGATCGCTGAAGAACTTCAGCGATCTTCTCAGCTAATATGACCTATCCCTCCTAGACGTTCATCCAACCCTCCCGCGCTTTGACGTACTTCAACGCACTTCGTCCAACTTCCCGAACCCCGGCCATCCTCCTCCTCCTTCGACTAAGTCCGCCTAATATCGCCGCACTTCTGCTCCCATTGTCCCTATCTACCCTAACTTCATCTAACTTCGCCGTACTTGGTCTCAGAGGTCCTGAGTTACGTGTAGAGTAAAAAGGTTTGAGTCGTGATGGGGTTTTGATGGTCAAAGGAGGGTCGTTGTTGGTGGAATAATCGAGGTGTCACGACGTAGTTCGTGACAATTCTACAAGTGATTCTGGCTTCAGCTTCTCAAGATCCTCCAAATCAAGATCTGATATCCATCAAAATATGGACAGAGCTAAGTCCTCATCTGCCTTCGCTTCAAGAACTGCTAGACAGGTTGTGAAGTACACCTGCAGGTTGCTTCTCCTCACATCTTTGTCTTGAGAGGAAGTGTGATTTTTTTGCTCTTGAGAATCGAGAGGTTCAACCTTGAGATGGGGAGAGTCTTGTCCTTCTCCTTCCTCCTCAATATTGGGAGACTCAGAAGATACGCTTGACATATCTACAAACACCACCTCACCTTCTTCGTCAAGTTTCGCAACTACCTTTGGTAGACCGGCCACATCTCTCATCCTTGAAAGCTCACCAGCCACACCCTTGTTGATGGACATCAGCGATACGTACTTATCTGTAACGTTTTGGAGTGCGCTTCGGGTTTCCTCCAGCTCTTCTCCTAGCACCTTAGTTTCCTTCTCATACATCTCACGGATATCATCTCTTTCCTTGACCAGCTGATTCTTGTCCTCAATAGCCTGCTGCACCACCCCAGCTGCCTCCAACAGATTCGCATTGGTATTCTCAAGTTTGGACTCTAATATCCTGGATTTCTCATCTTTCTCAGTCACTTCCTTGACCATATCCTCCTTGTCTTTGACAGCTGCAGACCAGCGATCACTGAGCACACTGACCTGACCACTTAAAGAGCTGATCTGTACATTCTGCGAAGCAATCTGATCACCCAGGTCCTTCTTGATATCTTCAATAGCTTTCTCGCGATTTTCATTGATTTTGACTTGAGAAGTATATAGCTCTTCCATGGAGATGAGATGCTGTTTAACTCTTGCAAGCTCAGATCTTAGACCATCTTCTGAAGCAATCGCAGCATCGTATCGATCTTGTAAGGCTAGAACACCTTGAGTTGCTGTGGTCACCCCCTGAGTCAGACGTCTACGATGAATACTTGTGGATTGTTGGAAGTATTGAAACATTCGCAAGATATCGGACATGGCTGTCTGTGCGAAGGCATTTTCATGAACAGCCTCAGTCTCATGGAAGTGATTCACTAAGTCGAAGCAAGTAGCTACTTCCTCGAGATTTGCTGGTGGACGAAGAATGAATGGAGTTTCGCGTTGAGGAGTAGTCAGCGAGGGAGCGAATGGTTTCTCGAAAAGCGGACCGAGAGAGTCTGAGGAAGATGCAGTTGGCTTGGGGGGGAGATTCACAGTGGTGGCAGGTTGAGAGAAGGAGGAACCAGGTTGAGAGGACAAAGCACCAGGTTGTTCTGATTGTGGCAGCTTGTTCTCAGGAACAACTACACTTGAGGCCAGAGGAGCAGTATCAACGGTTGGTCTTGCGTCAGATGTCGAAGATTTGCCTTTGTTCATGATGATTTTCTTCAACCAAGCTTCAGGGTCAACCCTTGAGGTTTTCTGAGAGGGACCAATAGCATGTGAAGAGGGACCAGGCTGAGAGGAAGGACCTGCAAGCGAAACCGATCCTTGAGCCACTTGTTGAGGGTTTTTGCGAACCACAGGAGCTGTAGACACTTCCTGGGACTGCTTGGCAGCAGATTGCATGCCTTTGATACCCCAGTTTCCAGCTTCCAAACGTGGTACCTTGACTGGAGACTGCTCAGGCTCGTTGGCTTTACGTTTGAGTCCAGCAGAAACAGTGGAAGGTGACTGGTCTGCATTGTCTGAAGCAATTTGAGCTGTAGAATGGACCAATGAAAGGATTTGTTGTTGGCGAACAGAAGGAAAACTCATACTGGTTCGCGAAGGGGTAGGAGTGACCATGGGAGATGAATGTGTTGCTTGCGAAGGAGTGGATGACGGCACAGGAGGTTGAGTTGTAGTTGATTGTGGCGCCGGGAGAGCTGGGTTGTGTTGCAAAAAGGCAGCTGGAGGAAAAGAAGATGGTTGGATCGGTGCAGGCAAGGTTTGAGGAGGAGGAGGAACAGCATGAGAGAGTGAAAGAAGGGTGCTGGCTACTTCTTGAGACTTTCCTTGCGAAGACTCTTGCGAATTGCCTTGAGAATTGCCTTCATTATTCCCTTGCAGATTCGCTTGCCTATCCTCTTGCGAATGGCTTTGAAATTTGGAGGGACTCATTGTTATCGAGGGGAAAGAGGCAAATAATGGCTGGGAAGAGTTTTCAGAGGAAAGGGATTCATGTTGAGCTTGGCCTTGGCCAGTATTCGCAGCTTGCTCTTGACTTTCATCGGTGGTCTCCTCGATGGTTTCTTCATCTTCAGCATCTGTCAGCTCGGGTTCCCCTTCAATGAAGAAACCCTCACTATCTCTTGGAGGCAATGGAGTATCCCCCCGAGGTGTTCTCCTCTTCTCAACTTCTTGTTGGGTCTTCCATGTTGGAGTCGATCTCGGAGGCTTTGATCCACCAGCTTCGTTTGACGATCGAGTGAGACGAGCTGGAGTTTTGACTGTTTTAGTGGTTGAATAATGGTCTTTTGCAACCTCCTTGCCTTTCCTTCGCTTCTCCTGAGGTAATGGAGTCAGGTCCGACGTATTCCCACTCTCCATCGCATCATTCACGTTTATCTCCTCGGTTTCCCTCTCTCCCTCGTTCCCCAACTCACTCTCTTGACCAGGTACCGGCTTTCCTCTGACTGTGCAGTTTGTGAGATGTGTACTTGCATAGCACACAGAGCAGCTGAGAAACTTTCCATCTTCCCAGCGGTCAACAATGGTGGTGATAAGCCCATCCCCTACATTCTTGCAACGGATTTCAGGATGTCTGTAATCAGCTAGGGATCCTCTCAATTGAGAACTGGGATTTCTAGAGAGGCAAATTGCGAAAGGGGAATTTCAAGAGAGAATGCTGCGAATGGGAACCTTCAAAAGCAGAAGTGAAAGAACAGCCTGCGAAACTAGCACTCACTTGTAGTAGAAGGCTGCCAAAACCTTATCTTTGTGACACCCGTGCTTCTTTTCGTCTTTAAAGCATAATGGGCCTCTACTCCCCATAGCCCTGACACCTTCTGCTCGCAACTGTTCCCCATATATCTCCACAAAGCCAAATTTCCCAGCTTCATTGGGCAAAGCAGAAGACTGAGCATGCCACCATGGTTGTAAAGGACCACCCATTGTCTTTTCGTGTTCGCGAAGAGTTTCTTCCGACTTCCACACAGGATGGTTAGGGAGAATATGCTCATAAAAGAATGTATGAGCAGGCGTAAGTTTGACATTATCTGGAGGATGAACAGCTGCTGTTTGAAAAGACCAATCGTCTTCGGTGCTGGGCCCAGCAGTGTTTTCAGCAGCTTTTGCATGAGTGGCTACCTTTGGTTTCGCCTTTGCTTTGGTCTTGGTGGCCTTGGGAGGCATTTTTGGGAGATCTAATACGCGAATCTTGAAAGGAATGAGGGAATGGTAGCTGACAAGGTGATGTGATAAGTAGGAAGTGATTCAAGAAGTAGTTGGGAGGATTTTGGAAGAGGTTTGGGCGTAAAATTGACTGGTTTGTTGGTGTAATGTGGAAGTGAATTGACTTGCGAAAGATGTTGTTACTGAGTGTGAACGCTTTAGATCAGAGCTGAGGAGAGGATGTGTGTGTGTATGTGAAGTAGAAATAGAGAAGTAACTGGACAATGAAGAAGACAAGTGAAAAAAGGCGTTGTTGACAACACAAAGGTAGAAGTTCATTCAACTTCTCTCCTCTCTGTTACCCTGTCACGCTCCCTTCGCAAGCTGTAAATTGATGCATGCACATCAAGATGAAGAGCTTAACTTATCAGAGGTTACTAAACAGTACATTCAGATGCTGGGGATAAGTTATCACATAGCAGACGGACAGTCAGAATGAGTATCACTCACTTTCGCAGGTAGGTACTGTGGATTTGCGAATTGATGACTTTTGGTGCTTTCGCATGCGAATTCTAACGCGAATTTGCCAGGACAATGTCTAGTAGGTACTATGGGACATGCATGATTGAAAAGAAGCACAGAAAAGAGCATATTGAAAGAGTGCATGCTTTAGTATGTGGAGTGAGGTGAATAACTGGTTGGGTGAGGGGTTTTTTGGATGAATTGCAAAAATGGGGGGGAAATAATTCGAGGGGTGGGGGGATTATCCCCTTTTGCTTGCCGATTGCCGGAACGGGAAACCTGAGTCACGAGTGGCACTCCCAGTCTTGTGGCACATTGATCATCCACTCCCAGCTTGAGTTTCTTCTCCTCACCTGTGGGCAATGTATGATGTGCTCAAGGAGCTCTTTCCTCATCAAATCCCAATAGACTTGAAATAGTGATGACATACCCCCGCGGGTCTTCCACCTCGTCTTCTCTCATTGCTCTTACGATTGCTCATGAACCAAAAACTAATCCGTGCGTTCTGACCATGCAGGTGAGAGCCGTTCAGTCTCATTCGAAGTATCTGTGTCTGCATGGTCGTCCTATCCAAAGCCTTATAGCTTTATACGTTTTTTTTGCTCCAGATAAGGTCCTATTCTACTCCTCTTCCCCCCCTCTCACCATACATGGTAGATCATCCTATCCGCACCATCCTATTGATCCATCATCCACGAGAAACCCACTCATTGTACCCCGAAGAATCAGGGAACAGATGGGCAGCGGTCTCCTCTTCCTCCCTATCAAAAGAATCAACATCTGGATAGTGGTGAGAATCATAAAATTTCTCTATCTTAGTTTCCAGCTCATCCCCGGAATCCAAACCCCACCTTTTCTTCAAAGATTGTCTTACTTCACGACGTAGCCGAACCCAAGGTTTTCCTCGGAGACTTGGTTGACTAGCAGTTGAAACCTCATGCAAGTACTCAGAGCTGGCCTCCACTGTATACGCAGGAGGTCGAGAGCCAGTTGACCCGGGCTGTTGGGATCTCCCCGGGTTAACAGATGAATTCGACCTTGCAGGGGCTGTTGGCCAGTTTGCTAAACTTGTGGTGGTGGAAACACGGTGTTGATTGATCCCTGGAACAGAGAGGAATTGAGGCTGATGAGACCTTCTCATACTTGTCCTTGCTTGTGGGCCCGTTGGGGAGTACGGTCTGTCCTCATGAGGGGAATCTTCGGGGGAGATGATATAAGAGAAACCTGTATACTCTTCACCGAAACGAGTGTTATCAGTATTTATACTCCTGCCTCGCGTCCTTCGAGCTGTCATTATTAGTAGATATACTGAAAGCTTGTTCCAAGACACTCACATTCTCTCTGAGGCCTAATGGGAATGTCTTGCAAGGATGCTGACTTCATTTGACCGACTGAATAGTCTTCAGAGACATCACGATCATCTGACATTAAGCATTGTCAAGTCTTCACAAACGGATCCTTGGATATCAGTGAATAGCACACGACTTACCTCTAGATTTGGATCTATGATCCGAGTTTGAACCTCTTGAACTTCTACGACTCCTATCCCGACTTCTGCTTCTGGAATGTCCTGACACGGAGCTAACAACTTTGACTAGTGCCTCACCGAAAAAGTCCAATGTAGTATCAACAACGTCTAACCCTGATTGGGCCGCTCGGCCAACTTTCCTGACTTTGTGATGAGCACTTTCAAGCAAATCATCTCTGATGTCACTAAAAGACCCTCCTCGACTATCTCTAGACATATTTTTTTCTGGTGAATTGATAAATGTAAAATGGGGAATTAATGTATCTGTGCAAGATTTTTATGGCTTATATCTCTTGATCGCCAGCAGAAGATGGATTCTGTGACAAATCGAACTCGCGTTCTGACACTTCTCTCTTAAGTCGGGGTAGGGCTTCGTTTGACTCCTTTACAGGGAGTCTTGTGACAGAATAAGAGAATGAAAGGGACCCTCATTTCACACATGTCGATCACACTCCAAACGACCTCACAAATGAAAATAAGTCAATGGCCTTCTTGGTGATACTTGGAGCTCCTCCGGGCTGGTGAAACACAAATCTGCTCATCTGTATGAACAGCAAAAGGGATCAGTTGTCCCATCACCGGCTAAAGTGTTGATATCTTCAAATAGAGAATGGAAGATGATATTTTCTCTCTATTTGAGACGGCCAATAGTTGTTAGGACATGATTCCAGCTTCATTCATTAAGCAGTGAGCATTCCCTTCTCTCTTAGTTTTCACTCACGTTCTTCTTCGAGCTTTTTACTCCACATCACTCTTCTCACGGTGATAACACCTATCAAAGCGCGTGATTGAATGGCCTAATCTGCTCACTCATTCTGATGCCCCATTTATAAGTTTGACCATCATTCTGCATCATCATTCATTCTACTAACTCTTCAAAATTTCATGATCTGCCATATGGGGAGCATCCTACAGAGGGACAAATATCATCCATATGGGTTGACTGTTCACTTCTCATTCTCATCCTTCCACTTATCACCCACCATACCCATGTTGTCCATACTCATCATACCCTCCATAAGTCTCACCTGTCTGTTCAGTGTTTGAGCTTTGCCCACTTGACTTAGCGTAAAAGTCCCTGAGTCTTTGCTCAAACTCCTCTCTTGTCTCACGTGGTGTGCCATCTACAGAAGGGTCATATCCTGGGGTCGTTCTCACGAATGATTCAGTAGAGTCTTGACGTCCTAAGTATGCATCACTTGATAATGAAGCATACTGAGGTCTGTCAGATTCTAGTGTTGTATCATACATTCCAAACCTTCCTCTGGAGTTCCAGTCATCTGGCCGTTCATCCTCCATTGAAGGGCCTGGTCCTGAAGCTTGGTAAGTCAACCCGTGAGTTCCGGATGATGCTTGAAGTCGAGGTCCATTGGTATTGCGGTATCTGGAGGAGATCTGCTTGTGCAATTGTGATATTGACAGATACCGACTGTCATTACGAGAATGTGTTCTCTGATGGTGATATGGAGCAGGTTCAGGGGATGGTATAGCCTCATATTCCTCATCATCATAGTCATCCTCTTCATCTCCACCGGTGTAACCGGGTGAAGGTGAATTAGAGTAAACTGTTGAGTGCTTTTCATACCTTGACCTTGGGGCGGAAGGTGGCTCTAGATAAGTGGTTTGTCTATTTCTACCTCGTCGTTCACTAGGCCGACGGACAGCTGCTATCAGCTTTCAATGATATAACTTGATTCAACTCACTACTTGTTTCCTTTCCAGTTTGATCTGTCTCCCGGTGAACTGAATCTCTCTTAGAGGTGAAGTAATCTTCAGAGTTGCCTAAATGTCAGTATATATCTCACTTTCAATCAAGGATATCAGAAGTTGATTTGAGAACGCTCACGTCTGGAGTTCCTTCCGCTTCTCTCATCACTCGAGTTAGCCGAGTGTTTTGGACTTCGTCTTGGACTTCTACTTCCAGGTGAAGAAATGGCGCTGAACACCCTTGTCAACGCCCCATCAACGTAATCCACCAAACTCTCCGTAACTTCTAAAACTGTCCCTGTCCTATCAGTCACAATGTTCCCAGTGTCACAAACAAAGTCAATGACACCATCTGTGAGCTCCCCGGCTTCTTTCTTCAAAGCTTTTGTAAAGCTGTGTCGGCTCATTGGAGCGAATGGTATTGGATTCTATGCACGTATGTTGTAGTGATGAGAGAGTCGTATTTACCGAATTGGAAGATCGGCGGGTATTTGTAGAGATCAGCTCTTGTCGCACGCAACATGTTACGAATGTACATCCTTTGAACTATGAACCCTGTCGGGGCGCGCTGCCTGAATGGCTAATGTCCTAGAAAGGATATCAAATGAAGTCGGTTTCCTCCTTTCTATCATGAAAATGGCAGGTCGATTATCAAGTGTGTCGTTTGACGTTGGGAAGGCATCTGAGTTGTAATAGTGGGTGTTGTCGTTTGTTACTCTGAAACTCGGTCCATGTTGAAGATAACTCTTCCCACGTGAAGTAACATTCATCAGGATCAATATATGGATTGTGTAAAAGAAATGAGAGTGTGCATTGCAGACATGGAATCCTGTTTTAAGCAGATTGATTCATTTAAACAATAATAATACTACCTTGTAGCATTCCCATGGTCTTGAATTTATCATGATTTTGTTTGACACATATCTACTGACCACATCAAGTACATACTACAATCTCACTAATTCGATATTCTTTTTCTCGGTCACTATATTATCATTCCATCATTCATGTATAACTCGTCCGTGGCACAAGATTCGATAAATGCCCGCATACTCAACACACATAGTCTCAACTGCTCCTTCACGTCTTCTCGCTTCTGTTCCAAATGTGTCAAAGATTTTTGAGCAGACTTCCAAACTTGATAAACCTCTCTCAACTTCAAACTTCCACCCTCATCCCAAATGATCGTATATTGCATCAAACTACCAATTGCCTCACTCAAAGTTTGTCTGTGCACACCGGGCATCATCTCCTTCACTGTTTCACATAATTCCCTACGTTGATACCTATACGTCTTGAGACAATCAGTCATCTCGTCGGAGGGATCATTGTCGTATGTCTCCAATTTAGCCATGTGAGCGCTTGTCACAGGTAACCAGAGGTTCATATCTTCCTGAATACTAATTAGTTGAGTTATCAACGTCAAAGCTTGTTGGAGATTATTTATTGAAGTCTGATTAAATAGACTCCTCACTATACTTCCAGGATTGTCGCAGGTTTGTTTCTGACTTCTATCTATCTCACTCGGACGAGGAGGTAGTCGCATCTCTACGGAAGTCCGGTGTGACTTCTCTTCTGGACTTGAATCCACTGAAGGAGTGGAAGGAGTGGGAGGAGGTGATGGAAGTGATGATACAAATCTCACATTCTTTGTTTTTTTGCCAGACAAAGTCGTTTTTGCAGAATGGAAGGAGCCGGTTGTGTCATCCGACTCTGAGCTTCCAGATCCTTCAGATCTGACCAACACATCAGATTCAGCTGGGGAGGAATCAAGTAAACAGATTTCTTCACCATATAAAAACCGTCTGATCTCATTCAATGTCGTTTGATATTTGCACAAGGGATCTTGTAACTGTTGTAAGAGAGTAGGAAGCACAAGTTCGGTTGCGTAAGCGTGAGCTGACTGAGGTACGTTAACTGACTATCAGTTAACTTAAATGAACAAGAGTGTACTGACAGTGATCATCTTCATTGGACAACAGGGGTTGATCTCTTGGGTCCGGATAGAATGTTTCGGAAGTTTCTGTAGACCAGGATGGATCAACAACATATACTTGAGAGAAGTTCCTCATTTTGGGTATTGATGAAACTACCTGCCAACAACTTTGCTATTTCCCCTTCTCAGATGGACGGGCGAGTATAGTATGGAAATAGGAAATGGTCAACGGGTGATGGGGGTGAATGTGGTGTTGGAAGAGTAGGTTGGTTGATGGATTGAATGTCTTAAGAAAGAACAAGCGGTCGACAGGCTAAGTGAAATCTATTGAGGAGAGTCCTTGAATTGTCATGGGAAAGAACAAGTGGATGTTAGAAGGAGATTAGTATAACACGGTGACAAGTGATGGATGAAGTAATTGACCGGATGAAAGAAATCGGATAATCGAATGATACGTTTGACAGGTTGTGTGATATTAATCACGATGTGATATCGTGGACTCCAGGGGTGGAGAAGAGACAGAGAAGGAGAGTTGAAGAGTATAATTTGATTGAAAGAATTTCTGTGGGAAGGAAATTCATAGATCCTTTCTTCTGACCTTGAAGTCTGAGAAGATTTCTCATGTCCTTTCTTACCATAAACTTACTCTTTACCATTATTATTGGATGATCATTTGTGGGGTTTATAATATTTCTCTGATCATTCATGCAGGTATAAAAGATATTTGCCTTTCATTTTTGTACATTTCCGGAATGACATCTCATATGTACTTTCCGTTCACTGTACTCAAACAATTGTTCAGTGACCAGTGATTACAATGAGAAAGATTATGAATAATGGGTATTCTCTCCTACTTCTTCGTATCACACACCGTAAAAGCATTTAAAGACCATCATTCACTCATTCATTCCACTCTTCTAATCATGTAGTGATATTTTGACTCTGGTAACTTAACGACTTATCATCAAGACCTTCTTTCTCTACGTTCCGACCAACGAGAGTTTCTACTCGTATGACCTCTTTCTTCTCTATCACTATGACTTCTGCGAGTACTTGGTCTATCATTAGACCCAACTCTAACAACCGTCTCCGAAACGTATCTCTCCCTTTCCCTCATCCTGGGTCTAGCAGAAGAACTTCCTTCATCGTAATAATCTTCATTTGTTCGACTTTGTTGACTATATTCTTGAATTTCTCTCAATCGTTCACTTTTATCTTGTCTACAATTCCTAAGGAACTCATCAATACCATCTTTTGCGTTTCTAGCTTCTGTATCAATCATATTGAAACTTTGAGTGATCTTTTCAACGGTCAATAAAGAATTTTGAACTTCTTTCCATACTTCAACAACTTCTTCATGAACCAACCCTCCACTACTAGTCAAATATCTTTTCCATTGTTGTAACTTCACAAAACCGTCTTGGACAGTTGGTAAATCTTGTCTTAAAGAACCTACATGGTTTTCAACTCGAGTCAAAGCTTTAAGACTTGATACGAACGAGTGGGATGTTGGAGGTGAATAAACATCACCGTATCTTCTAAGTTCTGTCAAATGTGAGTGTAAACCCTGAACTTGAGTTGAACATTTATCAACAATTTCAGTCAAGTAATTAATTGGATTAGTGGAGAATGTATATGGGATTAAAATACTATTAACCCTTGCTCCTGCTAGACGGAAATCTTCTCGGGTCGAGAGTCGTTCAGGTATGGGTCGACCTGCAGGATCAATCATATGAAGAGAAGAAGTCAAAACGGTTATATCTCCTTTTGCTCTATACGCCCAATCGTAATTGTTGAAGATCTCGAAATCTGGAAGAGCAGTGTAGAAGCCGTAATCTATGGCTTCTTGAAATTCATCCCTTTCAGGTTCTGTGAGTCAGCTTGTGAACACTATTTATACTTGTAGTATTGAGAATTTACCAGGTGGTGGTGGTGGGGGAGTGACTCGTTCGTATGTGTATCGATCTTCAAGTTCACTGTTGTAACTATGGTAACTCTGACTTGATCGTCTGGAATTCGGGTCCCAGTATCGGTCACTCATCTTTTTCTAAATTTTCAGAGGATGTTTTGTAGTCTTCAGATGTCTTCAAAATATGGTTAGATGTAAATTGGTAGGGGCAACGTGTTGATTCTTTGACACCTTATAACTTCATTTCGAGAGTCTGAGACTTACACAAAATCCTCTGTCCTTGGCGGTCACTCAATCGTTGCTCACTGATGTCACGCTACTTCAAGCTCCGTATAAGATGGCTCCTTTATCTTCACCGGTAGCACGTGATTGCGGGGGTCGAGTCGAAAGACTTTTTCGCCCTGGACCGTCAGCTGTCATGGGGGCCGCTGTACTTTGAAAGCTGAATAGCTCCGCCAGAGCCAAGACTCAGACACGAGATTGATTCATTTATCAGTCCATCGTACCAGGAGTTCACGTCCAAAGGATGGTCTCTTTCGCCGCCGGCGTTTCGTGTTTGAGCTTGCGATAAGGATGTTGCGAAGAATGCCGTGCTCTAACAACCCTTCAGCTCGATCAATCTCAGGTGTGCTCCGACGTCGACAACGCAGTATCGCACGGGATCAGTGGACTGGACCATATCGCTCGTCATACTGACGATAGGGTGAGGTCCGACTTCCGAAGACTGCATACGCTTTACATTATTTTCGATGATCTGTCATTTGCCTGCTTCTTCTTTTGTATTTACTCATCTGCTTTGTTAGCGCCACAGCATAAGATGATACGGAGAACACACCCTTCAGATCATATGAAGAGTCAATAGGACCCATCAGAAGTTTGACGATCCATGTCTGGGGATCCAGTTCGATGCCCGTCTTGCGCATCATTTCATTCTGCTCGATTTCGTACGAACTGGTGCTGCTAGTCAGACCGAAATCAACGACGAAGAAAACACTGAGTCTGGATCAAAGTCCCATCGAAGGTCAAAGGGAGTGGATTCGGTACGAGAAGGCTGGACCTCAGTGAACTCACCAGTCAATCAAGTTACCAATTTGAGGGTCGTTATCCAGTTCAGCTAAGAACTGGGTTGCTTTCATGTCGTTTCCGACCTGGGCGAACTCTATTCATCAGTACATCCCTGAGAATAAATTAAACACTCGTTGTGAAGGTAAAAAGAGTATGAGTGAGATGCGGAAGCTGACAGAGAAAAGCTCTGGACTGACGGTAAGAAATAGCATCCGGTCCATACCGACTCCTCCTCAGCTCCGCGTCGGTTTGCATGATGACCTTGTTTATTTCGTTCCTGTTCTCTCCGGCAGGGGATCCATCGGTAATTGCTGACCATATCAGCCTGTGCTCGAACGAGTTCGAAGATGACTCACTGATAACAAGCACTGGTTTCTGAAGCTGACCGCCTCTGGCGGGCTGGACAACCAAGGGCTGTAAGATCTTATGCCACATCGAAGTGCCGAGAGGAGTCAAACCGGAGAACTTGACTTGTTGCAACAACTGCATAGCAGCAGCTTCAGAGGAGACGTTGTTCCCGTCGACTCGGGAGTTCATGAAGCGCACTTGAATACCGTCCTGGTCGAACAAGGAACAGGCGAAAGCTACACGACTCATGACCCTATCGATCAGCCCCAACCCTGTATAACGGCAGTACGACACTTGGGTGTGAAGCACGAGGACGCAGATTGAGAGGAACCGAGAGTATGTGTGTGCGTGTGGAGGGGTGAGGGGACTGAAGAGGGGAGAAAGAGAAGACTCACAACTTGAGATCATCAATACGCTCTCCATTTTCTTCAAACGCCATCGACCCAGAATCATCAATGTATAGGATGACATCAAACAAAGCAATCTTCACAAGATCACAAGCTATCTCTTTGGGAATTCTCCATTCCATAGCGATTTTATCAAGCGCGCCGGACGAAGCGACTTTGGCTGCGATCATGTCGATACTGCCAGGTGGGTAGAAAGCTTGCAACTTTTGCTGTTCATGAGTATACGCCCCCGTTCTATGATTGTAGAAAGGCATGATGACATGACAAAGCCAGACTTACATCAGTCACGCATTGCTGAAGAATGGTACGAAGGAAACCAGAATCTTGTGTGTTTCCACCACCCATTCCTTGTCCCGCTCCAGGGGCTCCGTACTGTCCCGGAGGTGCTCCATATTGACCAGCAGGGGGCGCGCCGTATTGACCAGCAGGCGGAGCCCCGTACTGTCCACCTGGTTGAGCACCATATTGACCAGGAGGAGGAGGAAGAGCTCCATATTGACCACCTGGAGGACCTTGACCTGGAGGTGGAGGACCGGTGGGAGGTCTAAACTGTCCTTGAGCTCCGCCATACTGAGGCTGTTGGGCGTAAGGGTTTTGTTGAGCGTACGGCGGTTGTTGGTTATACTGTCCGGGCTGTTGTTGTTGACCATATTGACCTTGCTGACCGGCAGGTTGTTGCTGACCAAACTGACCTTGCTGACCAGGTGGTGGGGCGTACGGCGGTGGAGCTCCATAAGGAGGTTGTTGAGGAGCTCCGTAGGATGGTTGTTGTCCGTAAGGAGCTGCAGGTCTGGGTTATCAGCAGCTGATCAAGTCTTGAATGGGATGGAATAAGACGAAGAAGTCAAGAAGTGGCGAGAACATACCTTCCTCCGGGTACGGTAGGAGCTGCACCGGCTCCTGCCTGGGCAGCTTGGAGCTTTGCTGCGAGACCCATGTTGAGATCAGTCAATGTATCAAAGTTGTCTTTGAGTGGCGATGGAGAGTAAAGGAATGTCAAGGGGATATGAGCTCAAGGTGATTTATAAGCCGAAGTAAGTCTATAAGGAATAGCACGGCAAGGAAGACTGGAGAAGAAGACTGTGAGAAAGAGAACACCGCTTCCTTCCTCCACCCCCACACACGCTCGACGCTCGGACCTCTCCACCGGGGGTTATGACGTGTATGTGGCCACGTGGCATATTCCAAACCGCCACTTTTATGATGCCGCCATATCGCCCTACCGCTGGAAGGGGAAAAAGAGGGTCCGTGCCCATCCGACGGGATATACTATCTCTTTTGCCGCTGCTTTCCCCCTTGTCCCCGCCCGCCACACTCGTCCACACTCGACAGTCGACAGATCGCCTTCGCGTCCCATCTCACCCACTTTTCACTCAATCTCACCTGTTCTTCCCCCTCCAAGTCTGCTTGTCTTGCTATTGCTTGAAACCATCTGGCTCGGTACGAAAACATAATCCGCCTTAATAATTTGAACGACACGATAAAGAAACAACATCAGCAGTGTGATCAACGATTTCATTTCAGCCGGCGGTAAAGTGGCAGCAAAGGGGGAAAAGTGAAAGAGAGAAAAAGACGATCTTTCAATCTTTCCGCACCGAACCGCGGAAGATTTAAACTTGGATTATATCACTCGAGTGACGAGTCAACAAAGAGAGGGAAAGCATCAATACGACACTCCGTTGCTATTGAAGTCACATTGACAATCGAATCGAATCATCCGTCTTTTGTTTAAAAAAAAAACAGACTTGTGCCTTGAGAGATCTTTTGACCGTCGGACCGATCTTTGTTTTGTTTACGAGCCAACGATCTGAGGGAAAAATTTCACGAAGAAGAGATCAAAAATGAACCCACTTCCTCATCCATCATCACCCCCTTTACCCAACATGCACGCTCTTTCCATTTCTCCTTACCCTCGACAACCGACAGATTATCCTTATCATGGTGTTTTCGGTCCACCTGCTCCTTCTCAACCTACACAAGGATGGGGTAGTCCTAACAAACGCGGTTCTAGACAGGGTATACCTTCTGTGAGTGTCATCAGCTTTCTTGTTGATACCTTCCTACCAGCCCACACCACTGATCCGGATCACTCAATTTCATCTGTGTCATGTTGACCCCCGTCTGCTAGATCTTGAAGATAGTGGTTGTTATTCAAGGATGAATGAACTGACCCTCAGTCATGGTTCGATACCTCCTCCCGTGAATCCCCTGTCCAATTCGATCCCATGCGACGCGACTCTCCTGCATTATCCCCTCAATCATCTAACTCTGGTGCTGCCTCAAGTCTTCATTATCCTTATCCTGATCCTACATACCTCCCCCTCGGTGTCACCCCCTCTCCACCACCACCACCTCATCAATTCATCCCTCCAAATTCTGTTCCCAATCTCGCCGCTTTCACCCACATGCCAACTTATGGTTCTCAATCCGTACCAGCCATGAGAGACTGGAGATCTTTCCCGGCCAACATGCCAATACCAGAAGACGACACGATTCCCACTGCTATAGTCATAAAGAACATACCTTTTGCAGTCACCAAAGAAACTCTTGAACAGGTCATCAAATCCCTCGGTGCTCCACTACCTTACGCTTTCAATTATCATCTCGACAATGGTGTCTTTCGAGGATTAGCTTTTGCCAATTTTCGCGCTTATGAAGAAGCGGCCGCTGTGGTTGCTGCACTCAATGGATATGATGTTCATGGACGAAAATTACGTGTTGAATATAAAAAAGTACTTCAACCAGGAGAAAAGGATAAGATAGAAAGGGAGAAAGCATTGAAAAGAATGAGAAGTATACATTTCGAAAAAGAACTTCCCCCTCCTATTTCTGTCAGTCGTGCCAATGGTTTCAGTAACGGTTTATTATCTACCGATTCTCCTCCTCAATCAGCATCTTCAGCAACATCCGATTCTCTTCCTGTTACTTTAGACTTTAACGATCCTATCACACTCGATATCCATACACGTATAGCCGTTTTCAAGGAAGATCGTATGCGTGACGAATTAGCTTTCTCTCGTAATTTATCCCCGACCGAAAGACGCATCGTCCATCTTGTCGCTCAGAAATTAGGAGTCACAACAATTACAAAAGCTGATGGTGATATAAAATACGTTGTCGTTACACGTGAACAACCTCGGCCATCTTTTACGACATCGACTTCTGCTACTGTTTCAACAGCATACCTATCACCATATGGTGCAATCCCCGATCAACTCTCCCCTTCATTGAGGATGAAAAAATCCATGCCTGATCTTAGAGGTTTCAACGGACCAGTGGTGGCTCGTGATCCGGCCAGATCATTGACACCACAACGTTCATCCGGTAATCTTCGTGATGGTTCAAGGGAATACGTTTCCATGGGTGCCGCTCACGGTCGTAGAGCGAATGGTACAAGTGGAGGCAGTGGATCTTTCAACAGTCTATTTGGAAATAGTCTCGATATTCCTCCTGTACCTCCTTTGCCTTCCGGTCTGGGTTTACAAAGAAACAGCATGCCATCGATGCACGGGGCTATGTACGCTTCTTCCGTTTCGACAAATGGGACTGGAGAAAGTGAAGTGACCAATGCTCCTTTGAGAAATCCTAGAGGACCAGCGGGAGATGCCAGGGGATTTCAAACATTACGTCCTTCGGCAAGTGGGATACTTCGTGGTGGATTGAGTGGAAGGGTGAGCGAGGAAGAAGAGGAGATTGAGAGGGCGAGAACTAGGGAAAGTTTGGATATTTGAGTGATTTGAATAAACCCAGTTCATAATCATTTCATACAGTATCCTTCAACGCGTTTACCATTCTTCCTTCATTCATTCTCAAACAACCTCCCTCCCTCCATTTATACTTCATTCCGACCGAACTTTCAAATCGACCCTTCAAAAGCGATAAATCCAATATATCACACTCGAGGAATACTGTATGATCCCACACTTCGACCTCTTGTGGATATCCACACAACAGTCATTTGTCTTTCATCTTCACAACGACTACCTCTTTTCCACTATTGCCTAAACAATTTACTCTTGTTCAACGCCTCTAGACATCCGTTCTCATCCTTCATGTCACCCCCCGTTTGATCTCTATACTGCTCTTGACGACCCGCAATGGCATACCACATACCACATACCACTCTTTGATGCCTGTACGAGTTTTTCTCACGAGCTTCTACGACCTCATGGTCCATTTCCGAGTAATTTTCTTTTATCGCACAATATCCTGGACATGCATGATGTACCATTCTGATTTTGCCCCTCTTTCTCCCTCTTCTTCTTCCCATTCCACTTGCTCTTTCTCTCACACCGCCACTTCATCGTCCTCTTCATCTTCATCCTCATTACCTGCCTCAGCGTCCTCCCCAGGTAAGTGATCGTCGTAAATCTGCTCCACGCATCCACTCCAGTCACTCAACTACGTCATTGTTCAAGGTCCGGATGATCTGTGCGGTGCGGGTAGCTTTTCGGGATTCGGCCATCACTGTGCCTTTTCCCCTTTGTCCCGATCGCAAAAGTTGACCATATCCTACTCTCTCCCCCGCTCTCTTCTCCATCTCCTACCACTTTGATCATCCCCTCCATCCCTCTGTCTGCAAATACAACTGACATTACTGACTTTTTCCACCTGACGTATCCCTGCTAGTTACAATACGCAAATATCATGTCAACGTATCATAAGTCTCCGATACGGACCAAGCGAGATCGACTAATCGTCTAAACGTCGATGCAAGGATGTCATGGATGATGGACCTGTCGATCTTTTCCCGGTGTTTGAATCATCTACAGTCATTTCATCATCTCATCTCTTGTTATCTCACATCCATGTCACCTCAGCTCACCCTTCGCTTCAGCAACATGCAAGTAGTTGGGCGTCGTGTTTGGGCAAAGAGAAACATTGATCTGCTCCTTTCCCTTGATCTGTGAAATTCGTGGATCAGTGGATATGGTTGGATCCTTCACTATCCTTGGACCCGATCTATCAAACACGGTGACGCAGCAGTTTGATCTTGACATCGTGACTGCCCTTCCTTCCCTTCCTCTCTCCCTCACTTCCTTCTATTCCTTCCTCCCCTCCTTCTGTTCCTCTTCTATCGCTCTAGCCACTGACCACATTGTGACCTTCAACGATCATCGTTATCCTAAACCTTCCATCCTATCTAGCGTCAAATTCGACTTTTTCGAGGCCCTTTTCCATCCCTTCAACCCGCATCATAGTCTTAGACTTTAGAGTACCTTCTCGTCGCTCGCTTTTAATACTACCTTTCGTTTCCCGGAACAAGTGATAGCTCAGGCACAGAGTTCGAACAAGAGAGCAGAGGTAAGTCACTCAGTACTTGGAACTCGGACGACTCTCGTACAGTCCTGAAGTACATAATACATACGCCCGGTTTGGGTCTGGTACGGCTGAAAGTGAAAGTGAATCGAACTTGGGTCCGGAGTCCGGTTTGGGATCAAAATTGGGATCAGAAGAAGAGAGAAGAGAGAAGGGATGGAGTCAGAGTTGGGAGAGAATGAGAAAACGGGATTGGTTTTGGCTTTTGGGTCAAGAGGACTGGTTGGAACTGTTTGGAATACAAAAGGTGTATGTTCTAGACAAAGGGTGGAGTTTGTGATGAAAGATGTGAGTTGTCATGAAACAACCTTGTCACCATCCATTTTCTTCCTTTTACCCCACCCCATACATTATCTCGACATTCGGCTCCGCGCTCGCCTTCATTCTCATCGTCATCTCACACACCGAGCCCATACACATCATGACCCTGCTGTTCTCCCCTAATCCATCCCTTCTGTCCCCATCCCGAGGAATTCAATTCTCGGCGAGTGGTCAATTCCATTTCCGGGAGCGAAGAAATCGTTGTGTTCAAAGCTAACAACTAGGGCGAAACACCAGGACTCAACGCGTGGTTCAATGCTTTAGGTGACAAATTTCACCTTTTACTCACGCCCATCACTGCTGATGACAAGAAACCCTCTTTGATCGATTATCCTCTATCCAACCTCTCGCTTCTATCGATTTTGTATCGGGGACAACACCTTCCTACCCTCTTCATTTGCCTGCTACATATGCCGACACTTTAACTCAACTACATCCTTCTCAACCTCTCTCAGTGTATGCCTCACGGTTCAGTCTCAATCCTACGATCTTAACCCAAGGGGCAGATCGAGAAGTCGGGGATGAATTCCGTGTTGGACAAATTGATTGTGGGGAAATCACACCAGATATTCCGGATCAAAGAGCTAATCACCCCTCGGAGGAAGTTCGACAAGATCCAACGTGCGAGTCAGGTGGGAAGAAGGTCACACCGGGATGGTTCATGTGTGGTTTGTTTACCCAAACTTCTGGAAAGGCCATGGATAGGGATTTGATCTTGTCGGGATTGGAAGGTGGTGGAGATGATGAAGACAGAGGATCACCGGGGGATGTGGTAGGACGCAGTGGGAGATATTGGCGGGAAAGATGGGGATTGGATTGTGATGTTTTAATTTGTGAGATTCGTTTTTGTATCCATCTATCGCATTGCAATCCGCTTCCCTTTCAGCACTGTTTTCGCTCTTTGTCACTTTAGCTTCGCCCTCACTCATCACTCATTTCGTGGTAAAAGCGTCACTCACCAGCCCAAGCCTCCAGGCAGTTTAGTTACATATCGACGCATCAGTGACATCGACGGTACGCACCGACAGAGTGATAATGTGAACGGAGTTGATGCGCAGTCACACCGGAAATTCTTGCTTCTCATCTGTCTTCCCAAGCCGGACCAGAGGACGCTTTCATCTACTTTTCTCAAAAGGATTACCTCATCTTCCGATTGGATCCTCATATGACTTCGAAGGTTTCAAAAACGAAAACGATCATAGTCCCTTCGCTCGAATCTGGAGGAGATGACTTGGTGGTTTTTCCTTATGCCAACGGGGACAAAATGAGAAGGTCGATGAAGGACAGATATTGTAATTCCAAGTAAGTCAGTTTAAGCCTTTCAAAACCCCTTCCTCTTCTCAAAGCCTTCCCTCACAAGTCGCCCAATTTTCGGGCAGATGCGTGTTTCAAATTTGATTATCCAACATCTGCCCAGACTCGGGCTTATGCTGAGAAGGGGAATCAGAGAAGGGCCCAGGTTAGAGGTAAACGTGTGGAAGTCCAGAGAAGGATAAGCTAATGACAGATGGAAACAATTTGATCAACTTGTGAATGTCGTCTTACCTGGTGGTAGCTTAGGATTTGACAATAAAGTCTTCACTTTCCCGTGAGTCCTATTGATGTCCATCCTACATCCTCCTCTGAGCTCCACACTTTCCTCAGAGAACTCCCATACCCCATTTCGTGTGCTTTTCGTGCATCTCCCATACCTCTCTCTCGTCCCCGCCATCAAAGTATCTGGCACATGCGGGTATCAACCTCTGAGATTTCACATGGAGGGAACGCTGACGTTCTTTGCAGGATCGACGAAGGACTGGTGCGACTCGAAAATTCTCTCCCAGTCACGGAATACACAGACTTACGTGCTAATGCTCGTTGTGTGCTTGAGTCGGAATTTATAACTTTCAAAAGGTTTCTCGAGAGTTGTCAAATCAATTTGTCAAGGGTTATCATTTCTGGTAAACCTGCAGAAAGGTGAGTCTGACTTTTCATGATATCCTGAATCATCACCTTCTATGTGACTTGCTTCCAATTTGTTGTTCCACATTTTTTGTGGACATGCATAAGCTTGGCACCCTGTTAAGGTCTACACGGATCATATGGATGACATCGAGAATTCTGCTGATAGTCAGTATTGCCCTACCTTGCGTTCTCTCCGATATCCTTAACTTACCCGTTTACCACTCCCTTTCCGCGGATCCAACACTAGGTACGATCCTCACTACCAACTCAACGGTCGATCTTTCTTCTCTTCTCCAAAATTTTATCCCACTCGACAAATCTTCATCTGTACATAACACGACAAACACTTCACTTTCAACGTCAACCTCATCTTCTCAATCCAACCCTTCACTCATTCTTGCAACTCCTACCAGCCCTACCAACCCCAGGAAAACGGTGCGTCATGGAAAGAGAGAATCACCCAGATCTCAAAATCATTCAAGGAGTGGAAGTATAACATTAAGTGTGTTGAAAGAAGAAGAAGAAGAAGCTACACCGAGAGTAAGAATGGGAGAAATCGATTTAGAAACTCCTCCTTCTTCCCCTGAGACTATTTCGGGTGGTATGAGTTCATATATCCCATCAACTCTTTTCAATCAAAATACTTCTCAATTCTCTCCTGAGCCATCGTCAAAACGAAAGAAGGAAAATATGCTTTCATCACAATTTGTCAATCCTAAGACTCCTGAGATTCGCAAGAGGGATAAACGTGAGGGTAATCAAACCTCGACTGAGAATCGGTCGATGGAGAGGGAAGAAGAGAATAAAAATGCTCTCGCCCAGATGGACAAGCAGGAAGGAGTTGAAGTGGATGAAGAAAGATGGAAGTTGAGACATATAGCTAATCCATCTTGGGGAAGTTTGATCTATGATGGGATGTTATTGGAATTTTGTCGTCTTCAGTGAGTTTGGCCCTTAACATATATAGATTGTTCTAAACCCCCTACGTTTCGTTACACACAATATGCTGCCACTCCTCCCTTTTCACCTCATTCACTCTTTCTTTGGCTCAATTTTCCAAGGATACCCCAGAGTGACGCAAATCATATCTCTAAACCAAAGTTTGAAGTGGGATAAGATATATAGAATAAATTGTTGATAGCAGGGATCAAATCCAAAGAAGATTAATAAACTTTCATCCTTCTTCACCCAACCATTTGACCCAACAAATGAATCCCAATTGGAAGCTTAGGTCTATCCCATTCCCGACGTCTGATCCAAATTCGATTCCTTGTCCCAATACCGGATTTCGGCTTGATCATCCTCATACAAACTTTGATCCTCGTCTTCATCCCATTCCTCATCTCGGTCCAGTTCCAATATCTGTTCATGATCACCGTTCAGAGTTTGAACTTGGTATCGGTTCAGACCTTAATCCTGATCATGGACATAGTTCTGGTCATGAACAGGGTATTGATCATGGACATAGTTTTGGTCATGGACATACTTTTGGTCATGGTTCATATACTCATCCTGATTCTAGTCAAAGAATAAACTATGGACCAGAAATTAACTATGGATATGAAATCACATACGATTCTGAAAGAAGAGAGTATCGACCTGAAAACACATCATCATCATTTAGAAGTGGAGGATATCAACATGTTTTCGGATCTAATAGAGGTGGTGAGAATGGTAGAAATAGGAGAAATAGAGGAAGAGGTTATATATCTTTTGATCAAATAAGAGGAAGGTAAAATCCATTAGATGAGGTGGGTGGAGTATCCACCTTTTCCTCTCGAAGTTTTTAAGGTCATAAGATAGAACATTGATATTTCAGAGAATATGGAGTTTGATAAGGGAGTAATTTGGGAGGTAGGTAATTATTACAGTATATCATTCAAGAAATGTAATTCTTTGCATATTTTTGCGATTTTTTCTTACTTCCTTATCCTCTCATACACTCGTACTCACTCGTAGAGGGTGGTGTTTCTACGGTCTCAGTAGAATAAATCTTACCACGTTTTTCCTACAAACTCAAATTCTTTTCAAGTTGATTAATGAGATAACGGAGTATTGGACTTTCAGTAAAAAGAGTCATTCTTCTCTCCCTAAATCAAGTTAGAATGAGAGTGAACTGATTGTATGGTGAGCGTGTATAAAGAGTGACATTTCGTGTATAACAATCAACATTTCGTGTATATTAATCTCACCAAGACCCAAAAACAACAACAGAAGTTACCCAAGACGACCCCCTTTCTGAACCCGAACACGAATGAGGAGAAAAGACAAGCCAACAAAGAAAAATGTCCCACGTCCTACACTTTTATCCAACTCCATCAAATACCTTTTCGCATCGTAGATGACACGACCTTTCCTGATTCCCTCCCCACCGTCCACCGTCCACCGTCTAAATGTCCAATAACCCGACTCTCAACATTCCTTCCTGCCTTTTCCACCCGACTCCACCAAACGTCCGACATATTTCCTCTCCTTCACCTAGATGAACAGTACGCGTAATGGATAATCAAGCTTTCTCAGTTTCATCACTTGGTATACTCTCCAAAGGCGGTCTAACTTTGACCCAAGGATCTATAAATCTCACTCTTTCTTCATGACAATTTCGTCTTCCGACATCCTCTTCTATTCCCCGTTGATTATCCCCTTTCTTCACACTATCTTCTCCAACCAGATCGCGCATTGAGTTATTTTCGATCAAGGTTCCTTCATCTTCTTCCGGTACACTACCTTCGGTTGAAGAGAATGAACGGGGTGTTGATTCGTATGATCGGGATACAGAAGGTGATGGAAGACTAGATCTAGGGGAATGGATCTGACCTGATGGCAATGACGTCAGACTAGTTCGAGGAGAGAGTGTGGTTTGACCCGATAAACTAGAACGCGGAGATGAAATGGTTTGAGGACGTGTAGATAACGTGGTACGGAGTTTGCCGGTGGAAATTAGACCTGTCTGAGGTTCGAGGTTGGAGTGAGGAGATGATTGGTTTGATCGTGAAAAGTTAGCGGGAGTTGACGTGGAAACGGGAAAATGTATAGATTGAGAAGATGAATGGATGGGACGAAGATGCGAAGAGATGGGTGAACTTTGATGAGCTGATGATTGTCTAGGTCGGATGGTATATCTCTGCTGCGAATTCGGAAGGGGAGAAGAAGTTACGATTGATGAGTTTTGAGGTATATCCAAAGACGGTAACGATGGTCTTCTACCATTCGAATTGATCGGAGCTGGTCTATGAGGTCTCATCGAATGTCTTCTTCCTAATCCTTCTACCATCCCGACACCTGTTCCGACTTCCCCATTCGAGCCAAACTGAACCTCATCAATCTTCGCCCCCATCACTTCACTCTCTTTACGCTTATACAAAGCCACACTGCTCGTCGTAAACCCTCTCTGTGAAGCCTCAAAATTCAATTGTTGCACCGGTAAGCTTCCCCTACGATTCAACAAGCTCGGAGGAATCGGAGTGACTTGTAATTTTTGCGGAAAGAGTATAGAAGATCTTCTGGGTTGATTTTGATTCGGATTCCCTCTTAATCCATTCACTCCCCTTCCAGGCCAAGTACCTGAGAACGAGCCATTGATCGAACTACCGTGTTGTTGAGGGGAGAGTTCGGCTGGTAAGATGACTGGAGAAGGAGGTACAGTAGCAGAATGAAGTATACTTGGACGTCTACCAGTTATGGGGATAGTAGAAATAGTTGAACAAGTACTACTCCTTCTAGTACCTGGTGGTGTGGGTATACTACCTCTTCTTCCATCTCCTACTACATATGTAGAATGTAATCCTTGAACTCTCTCGGCTAAACTACCTCGACGATGTAAACTTGGAACAAAAGTTGGAGGTTCAGGATTAGGTCGGAAAGGATATTCGAAGAATATACCATCTTGAGCTGTTGGTGTGCCTGGAAGTTGTGGGGTGGAGCAACAATCACCAAAAGTAAAGTCTTTTTTGATACCTTCCTCTTGAACGTCGGAAGTGTCAGAAGTATCAGAGGTGGTATGAGACGAAGGTGTCAAGGGGAAGTTGTGCGAAAGAGTCGAAGTGGGTTGAACTGCATTATGTTTTAAGATGTGTTGGTTAGGATGTTTGGAAGGGGTGTCGAGGTCTTCGTAAATGTTTGAATGGGAAGGTGATGCGGTGGTCGAGAGGGGAAACTCGGATAAAGACATCATTGAGATTTCTAAAGAAGGTGTAAGGGGTGGTAATGATTGAGCAGAGGAAGTAGATGATCTAGGTGAAGGAAAAGATGGTAAAGATAGAACGTTGGGATCTGAAGGAATTTCTAGGATGGTTTCATTTGACATGATGATTTTACAGATGGGCGGTTCGGACGAGATAAGGCAGGGCAGGGAGCTGTAGGCGTGATATACTGGTCGAAGTCGATATAATAGGTTGAGTTTTGATAAGACGAAATAAGGAAAAGATGTAAGATAGATGTCGCACTTTGAGCCCAAATGAAAGAGACTGTCGTCACCACGGAACGTTTTTTTTCTTCTTCGATGTTCAGAATCAATGGTGGAGGACACGTTCCGAGGGTGAAGTCGGCGTCGGAGGAAAGAATGACGATTTATTCGCTCAATACAAGTTCCGGACCGGCGGACAAAGCAGGCAGAGTGCACACCAAGGAGAGAGGAAAAGGTCGTAATGTTCACCTGCTTCCAAGATCGAAGGACGCACAGCGTCAGAGTGTACGACGCAAGGACCGTCCAAACGGGTGATATCAAACCCACCGATTTGTAGGGCCAGGCGAAGGGGAGGGAGGGAGGAGCTGTGACGGCAGCAGCCCAATCTGAGGACTTGTCCCAGTGAAAGATCCGGTCCGATGAGTGCAATGTATTTACAGTAAGTAGGTGAAAAGGAAAGAAGGATGTCGAGGTCAAAAATGGCAAGTGGCGAGAGGAAAAGCAAGCAAGGGCGCGATCGGTTATTTCTCTCTCATTTTCAGGGTAATTTTCAATCAGGGACGAGTAAGATTCCAGACCACGTTTCTGGTTTTCCGAGGGAAGAAAGCGGACATGTCCGTCATGTAGGCTCGATGAATGACGGAAGCAAAATGATAATTGCGGGGTCTCCATAGGACATGTGGTTGACTGGACTTTTGTCAAAGCCGATTTCTTTTGAGGTTTGCTTCTTCTCCTCTCTCGTCACCCCCCGTAACCCCGTACCGTCGTAGTCACCTCCGACTTGCGTCATTCCTCTCTCACAGCTGCTACCACAGAGCCCGACACCGCACACACCGTACACATCCACCGGCCACGGGCTCGATCATGCCTCCGCTCCTTGCTGCCGCCGATTCGTCAGTACTTCTTCTCTTCCCCCTCCTAGTCAACCCACTGTGTGTCGTGATGGATGGATCTTGATGCTACAGATTCAACTCCTCCAGCTCTACCATAGTCCCGGACAGAAAAGATGGTCAAAGACAAGCCAGCAATGCATTCGGTTCTTCCACTGCCTCTGGACGAGGTTTGATGCCGAATGATTCTTTGGGGAGAATAATGAATGAACTTTTGTCCTCTGATGGTATATCTGATCTATCTCCTCAACATCCTCCTGGTCAAAACTTGGCTCATGTTCAAGGAGGTTTCGTGAGTCATTCATTCTCCAGGACTATCGATGGTCGACTGTCGTGATGATGGTACTTGTAGATCATGGCTGACGTATGTAGGATCCTCACCAATTATCCACTCTTCCCGAGACAGATCCACTCGGTATGAGCTCTCTCTTGGATTCTATCCCTCAAGGCAACATGTTTGATCCTACCCCTCAACCATACATGCCGATGAACGAGACCGCATTCCGACCTTCGTCAGCCCACTCCAATCACTCGCATCATTCCGCAAGGAGTGTGTCCGGATCCGAATACAGCTACACGACCACAGAGATGGACGAAGATGATATCCGAGAGTTTCTTCCTGAAGTTGATAATAACGTTCAATGGGGCTTCAACCATCAAACCACCGGTCAAACGTCGTATCAAGGTACAGTGGCACCTGCTAGCGTCAGCCCTCCACCGATTGGCATGAGCCCTGCCGTGACAGGCCTCTCGAACGATCACGATAGTAGGATAGGTCCGAGAAGAAACGCTAGGAGGGAGGGGGGATCATTGACAAGAGATGAAGCTGAAAGGTTGGAGAGTGAGTGTTACGTGAATCCCCTCCCTATTCGTTCTAGTTGGAGTGGCCAAATCTTGTAGCTCACTCATAGAACGTCGCTTAATCAATCGCAAGTCAGCTGAGAAACACCGTCGGATCAGGAAAGAAGAGGTGGTGAACCTCAAACATAAGATTAGTGAAAAGGATGCTCTCATCGCGGAGCTGCAAAAACAGTTGGCGGTGGAGAAGGCAAAAGTGGATCAGCTTCAACAAATTCACACGATAGGTCGGTCGAGGGGTTGAGAAGGTGAGTGGATGTCTTTGATCTCGCGTGCCAAGCTGTGATCCCCATCGCAGTTTCGTTCGATGTTCCCTCAAACTTCGTCGTCGAGTGACTCACCGTAAAAGAGGAGACGTCCATGCTGATGTCAGATAAACGAAGATTCAAAAAACAACAACATTGTGTATGACGACCTGCCGTCGACAGAGCGAGCACGCATCTATACGGTCCCACGATCAGTAAGAACATTCGGACATTACTCACCAACGCCAACATTCCTAGCGGTGTATCCACACCAAGTCTTCCAGCCGACTCACACCCGATTTTCGTCTCGGTATGTGGAATAATTCGAAATAACTCCGAATCACGCTCCTTGTCCTTGCTTATGTTCATTCACTATCATACCAATCTGTTTGAATGTTTCCTTCGGGGTAGAATCGTGTGAGTACACCTGTAGATTGAGTGTGGAGTGGAAATTCCTTTTGGCCATCTCACGACGAAACGATATTACAATGAGGACCGGGGGATTTCGTCATCGGGACATGGGTTATATGTCCTCGCCTAAGATGAATGATACTATTTTGGAGAATGAAAATCAACGGTATTCTTTCGTCCTCGCCATTCGGGAAGATGTCATCACTCATCATCACTTGTATTTGTATCGTTCTTTTGCAAGATCCGAGACTTGAAACTAAGGGATTGATGAGTCAGCTATCAGTATTTGACCTCCACCTTGAAGGGACTTTCGACTAATATGTGAAACACCTCAAATGATCGATCCGTCATCTCACGAAACAACAAAGCCGGTCTAACCGGCGTAGACTCCTCTTCTTGAAGCACAGGCGATACGGGTAGAGGGACTGAGTGGAAAGGGCAGTACGGAAGGAAGAGAGATGGGACATAACCGACAGATGGGTCAGAGAGAAGAGAGATACTGACAAGTGGCCATTGACATAAAAGGAGGTGTGATATATCTGAAACGTATTCATGTCCAAATCTATCCCCAGTCCAGCTCCGATCAACAGCTGATACATTATATATCATCTTTGATAGTATCTTCCTCCTTCTCGCTAATATATACTTATCTTTTAGTCATTATCCTACTAATCAAATTTCTCTACTTGCAACTTACATATCTTCCTTCAGTTGTATTCTGTGGAATATCATTTTCATCTACACCTACATATATACTTATACTCTTACTTATCCACCATGCCTTCAGATAGAGATCTCCAAGATTCTTACCTACCACGCAGTTATACAGCACCTCCAACTTCCTCCCATCATCGTCGTCGTTCTGATCCTCAGGACCACCATTCCCACCATTCCCATCATTCTCGTCATTCTCGTCATTCGCGCGAAATTCAAAGATCATCAAGGCCAAACACAACTTCCGACCCTATCGAATCAATTCACAAATTCGTAGATGATACACTCCCATTGATGGTAGGTACAGTAGTGGATGAAACGAAAACCACTGTTTCTCACCTCGCAAACGACTTGGCGGAAGTAGGAGATGAGGTGGTGGATTTGGTCAAAGATGTTAAAGATGGAGTTATAGATTTAGCTGCGGATATGTTGGACGGTTTGTTCGGATCTAAACCTAGAACGAATAATAGACAAATAGAAGGATCTAGAAGGAGGAAGTTTGGAAGGGAAAGTAGGGAAATCAAATGGGAGACTGAGAGAAGTATTGAAGATGGTGAAAGGAGGAGGAAATCGGAAGAGAGATCAAGTAAGAATAGAAGAAGGTATAGAAGAAGAGATTCGGATGGTAATCCAGTTGGGGAATGGTTATATGGTAAGTATTAAATTCTTACTTAACAATCTTTCTTTCCTTTCCTTTTCCTTTTTCCTTTCTTTCTTTTTCATTTTTCTTTCTTTCTTTCTTTCTTTCTTTCTTTCTTTCTTTCTTTCTTTCTTTCTTTCTTTCTTTCTTTCTTTCTTTCTTTCTTTCTTTCTTTCTTTCTTTCTTTCTTTCTTTCTTTCTTTCTTTCTTTCTTTCTTTCTTTCTTTCTTTCTTTCGTTCTTTTTTGCTCTTGTTTTGACTCAACGTTTAAGATAAATATTGATTTAAATTAGATGATTCAGATTCATCAGATTCTTCAACACATCCTTTACTCTCCTTACCTGCTTCAAGATCTACTGGACAATTATCATTAACTTGGTCAAACCCTCCTAGGTCGAGTCAAAGATCTATCACTTATCCACCGAGAGAACCTGAAAGATCCAGTCAAAGATATATCACTTATCCTCCACGAGAATCAGATTCAACAGGTAAAGAAATGATACGATACGAACCTCCTTTTCGAACTCCTCCCTCAACTGGATCTTCTGGTCAACAACGGGATAATAATCAGAATTATGTTCAACCTACTCAACCATTCCCTTCGACTATACAACCTACTCAACCCACACGATTAAGTACGGCAGCTTTGCGTTATACACCTAATCCCACGAACGCGACGATGAGCGCTAGGGAAGATGATCAAAAGTTGAGTTCAGCAGCGAAGAAGTATACACCTGATCCCATTACTTTAGAAAAGAGGACGGAGGATGGTGGTGGGACTGTGGAGAAATTGAGTTCAGCTGGAAAGAAGTATAAACCTTGAGACCATAAGGGTGAGGAAGATCAAGAGTTTGGGTATATTGGACAGATGCATTTTTGGTGTGAAGTTACATACTTACAACATTTGATTATGAAGATGAAAGTGATTTATTCGTTACTTGTATAGCCGATGGGAACCCTGATGGAGATATTTTGACGAAAGGGTGTGAGTTTCTACGCTGGTGGTTCAGCGTAGTAATGGAGTGATGGGAAGGATGGGACGACGGGTCAACGTGGTCTATGAGCTGATAGTCAGCAATGAGTCTTACATGATGAGATGAAAGTTCGATTGTGTTAAAAGCAGTAGGGACGACTGAGAGAGTGGGTAATTCATCAAACAAATGAAGAAGAGACAGGTGATAAGTGGCGGGGATGGGCAAGTTTACAGTGGGTGAAAAGAAGTCAGAAAATAATTTTCACCATCTTCATTCATCAAAGTTTCCTCTTCTACACATTCCGTCACCCAAGACGGTAACACTATATGTTTTCGTTTCGGTCTACTCATTAGCATTTTGACAACTCATACTCTGGATTTACACCTGGCTTTTTGACATTATGACATTGTGACCAAAGCATCAAGCACTCATGACTGGTTGACTTTTGTGGGACATTGCGTTGCGAAAAGACAGACAAGTTATCCGTGACAGTCTTACGCTTAAAAACATTGCACAACATTCCACTCAAATATTGAAGGACAAGAGAATATAAAATGAAAGCAGAATAAAAGACGGGAATCGTGAGACGAAGAGGAAATGTGAAATGAACAAGGGAACAGAACTCACTTAGAAGTCTTCCAACTCAATTCTCCATACCTACTTGAATCATCATCGTCCATGATGATATGAGTCAATTTCGGTTCATTTATATTATCCACCACTTTCCCTCCATTCTCAATCAACAACTTCCTCGCATTATCCAATCTTCAATACTCAGCTCTCACTACTGATCTGAAGATTCTTTTTCACTCACCTTTCGATGACCTCCGATGAAGGGGGAGAACCGGCCAAACCGTTCTTTTTGGTATTTTCAGTAGTGTCAATATAAAATACCAAATGATTGAAGATCTTCTCATCAGTTATCGTCGTCACTTAGCTAATGATGAACATACCTTATCCTCGTCATAGTCGTTAGTCTCTGCATCACCCATTCCTTCTCCCTGTTCATCAGCTATGTCTAGAAGAGAGATATAAACAGACTGTTGAACCACTTCGGATGGGGAACAAAGGCTCGTCGATCTCTTCATCACTCGCATGACTCTCAGCGGATGCCTTAGATCAGTCTATTGGTCTATAATCTGAGGATCACTGACTTCTTCATCGTTGTCTTCAGCCCGAGAGGGAACGTCATTGGTGACAGTAGTACTCGGTGCAATCTTGTCAAGATCCCATTCATTTTCCATTGCTTGCTGCTTAGATGATTTTACGGGTCTTCCGCCTTTTTCAGCAGACATCATCCCATTTCGTGCGTCTTGAGAGCTATGTCGACTGCCAGATGAAGCCTCATGCGCGTCGGCTCCTGATGAACCATCCCGAGTGGCCATTTCGTCGAGTTCGTCTAAAGTCTTGTGATACAAAGGTCCCGCTTGGTCATCTTCTGAAGCGAAGACGAGAAGTCTGAAGGATGAGCATGCTTAACATTGTATCCTTGCGGTCTGCAGAAGTACCGTTCGAAAGAGGATGATATGGGCGGCATGATATTTGACTCACCCCTCAATCATCGGTAATGGCTTTTTCCTTTTGATAGACTCGTAAATCCAGCTAGGTTTGACAATACTGACTCCCTTCTTTTTCTGAGCTCTGAGCAATGGACCTACTTGATCAGCTCTACCACCTAATTGATCCGAACGTACTTTTATCATCAGGCGCAATGACGATTGCCGAAAGATCAGATAATTGAGCTTGCGTAAAATCTCCTCCGTGTTCATGAATCAACGCTTCAAGTTCTGCCTTGGAATTCTTGTTATCACCCTTCACAACGTCTTTCCATCAGCCTCACCTCGGGTACACGAATGGGTATACTCACAAAATTTCATATTGTCAAATATCCCACTTTCGACTTCTTCCTGGGACAAAAGTTGACCTTTGACAGAGGAAATCAATTGAACTTTAGTCCTAGTCACTGGTTTTCGTTTCCTTCTCTTCCTTCATTATCAACGTTAGTTTCTAGACGAGAAAGATGGACATACGATCCTTGTTCATCATCTTCATATTTGCGTTTCGGTTTATTGAGTAGCTCCGTAAATTCTTCCACGCTCAACTAATCAGTCAGTACATGAAGTATGGAAAGAAGGAAAGGGAAAGAACGGACACAATTCCACATGTCTCGTTCCATTTCAGGATCCTCCACTGGATGATCTCGACTAGCGGTATCGTAAAAGATGAATTTACATCGTGGGAATCGGAGGGTGTAACCTATACCAAAGTTTCCTGTGGCAGGGACAATCTCGGATGCTTTGACCTGCATGACGAATGAGCTGCAATAAGCACATGTCTTCGATAGCAAAGAATATATAGCTTACTGTTCAGGTTCAATGTACACGTCCGCTTTTTGTCAGTCCAAAATCACACTGGTGGTAAAGAGACTGACGAGAGTCGTCCAAACCTATCTCGCCCATTTTCATCCATGAGGGGGGATTGGAGCGTTTGAAAGTTTTCCAATGCTCTCGATGTTTGTTCCTACTCTCAGTTTGATGATATAATGTAGGTAGGATCGAACGCACAGTATCCACTCGTAGTCTGAATAACTCATTCCAGAGCCTACACGACAAAAAGTGGCGAATTGTGGAATACCTCCGTCACCTTCATCGTCCCTCTGCACCCTCAGACCACAGAGCATACTGGATAGTTTACCAGTACGTCCTCCCTTGCCCCACCAGCCCCCTGCAGGAGTCAGCTTCTAACATTTGTGCAGTGCTTGATACAAGCTTACCAAGGACCATAACGTCAAGTGTCTGGACGATGTCAGCTTATTCATTTTTCCGATGAAAGCTCACCTCTCCCATTTGGTCGGCATATCTGATATATCAGCTGAATCCTTGTCAGTCGAACGAGGCTCACTCAGGTTTGACTTTGACCCAGTCTTGCCCTCGGGAATTTGTCTGATACGTGCTGTCCAATTTCTTCACTACCAGACCTTCACCTCTTATTTGATCAGCCATACCAATTATGTATTAAATGGCCCACCTTGACTCCAAGATCTTTTCCAACATTGCACGGATATCTTTCCCTGATTTCCCTCTTTCCTCAGCAGCGAATTCCAACCTGCCCTTGTACTGATCGATATCTTTGAATACCCTATTGGAATGCAGTAATCGTTTACGTTCCGACAGTCGTTTGCCAGTGAGACACTTGTCGTTGAGATAGAGTATATCGAAGACCTTAACTTACCATGAGACGAAGTCCGTGTGGTGGAAGGAATTCCAACTCACAGCAGGGTCTGGGCGCCGTATCGTCGATTATCTTGTCCTGAGCAAATGTCTTCAGTACACCGAAGGCGAGATATTTCTCGAGCTGAGGATCCCATACTAACATCTCGCCATCGAGGATGATGTTACGTACGTCATCATGAAAGGCGCCCGCGATATGTTGTGTCAAACTGCCTTCTCCGATATGGGCCCCGTAAAGGTATGCTTCATGTCAGCATGGCGAGCGATCAAGCCTAGGTTTACTACCTCTGGTTTGCTGGGCTTTCTCCGGAGGCATGCGAATGGCAGGTACTCACTGTAATCCTTTGCTTTCCTAGAGCAGTAAAACCACTGCGCTCCATTACCTCGCATGTGCAGTTGCATTCTTTCTCCATCCAATTTCTCTTCCATGACGAACTCTTGATTAGGAGCTCCCACCAATCTCGCGATCGCATCGTGGGCTGAAGAGGGGGAGCGATAGCACAGCTGGGGTAAGAAAGATCTGAATAATTCTATATTCGTTTGCTGTCTCGTGAGCCTCCGAGATGCTGTCTATGAATGTGCTCACATTCTTCTCCAAACGAACGTCTGGCTTGTACAATGTCCAGCATACACGCTTGAGATCCGAACAAACGTTGAAAAGATCAGCTGCGTCGGGATGAAAACATGAAAACACCCCTTTCTCCCGGATAGAAATACGAAGGTCTTTAAGGATGATTCGTATGATCCATTCTTGTTCAACAGGTGTACATTGTCGGTTTATGCTTCGGAGTATCGGGACATATTCAGCTCTACGTCACTCAGCCATTCATTTCCACCCGAAGTTGTGCTGAAGACTCACTGCTTCATCCTTCCACCGGCAAGCTGATCCAATAAAGCGTTGACAGCTTCAAGGGTCAATGTTCCTTCTTCCACCGTAGACCTAGCGGCTATCTCGTGATAGCAGACCCTAGCAAAATCTCCCGAGATGCCGTCCGTCTGTGAGTGAGCTTCGTTGATTAAGACGGATATGCAGCTTACCTCCCCATCAACAGGTTGCTTCCACTTGACCAGTTTTTGAGCTGCTGCACTGTGCTTGTCCAGCCCCAGAACCTCAATGTAGCATTTAGCAAGCATAGCTTCTTTGAGATTATACACAGGTCTTTCCCTATCCCTCTGGAGTTCGAGTAAGCTGAGCCACTTATGCCAGAAATTAGGAACTCACCTCGGGCAAGAGTAATCGAATGAGAGGATAGAGGTCGTTACCCACTTTAATCCGCCAGAGGTTGAAGAATCTCGTCAACGTATCCTTACGTTTGCTCATTTCTTCGCTCCTCAAACGATCCATAACGGTGCATAACAGGGAGAAAGCAGGTGTGGGGTTTTTATTGACGCAATCCTTGGGACGTTCCAGAGTTGAAGGACCGGGGGGGAGTACACCAGAATCTGCTGATTTCGCTTCTTCACCATCTTGAGCAGTGGAAGGAGATATACGCCTGTCTCTTCTCCACACAGTAGGGGGCATGGTGGGTGAGGAAGGTGAGAATGAACTGATGTGGGGGATGCTGTCCTTGATCTTGAGGTCAGTTCATCTTTCGGTTGCGTCAACCGGGACGGGGATGTAAGGGGCCCCACATGTTCCACGTGGCGACATCGGCACTCGGCCCAAGCCACGACTTGGTGCGCATGTCATGCCACTCAAGCCACTCTTCTTCCCATGGCGATACAGTATGTTGTTTAGCTCGTCTTCACTCATCAGTGATCAGTGAGATCCCAACATGACGTATCGTTCAAGGAAAAAGAAGAAAAGGCTTGACAATAATGTGACAATCATGCCGACGCTTTTCTCCTCGCTGCTATGGGCCGCTTGGATCAAAACGCTCAAATGCTCAAAAGCTCACCCCCTTACGAGTCGTTTGGTCGTCAAGTTTGAGATCCGGATGACGGAGAAAGAACAACAACGCTCACCTCGGTCCCTCGGACTCTTGAAAGGTTACCACATGCGCCCTGGGTAACCTGACAACGTTTCCAGCGTATTCAACAATGGAGTTACAAAGTGACAATATGCACCTTCTTCAACTGCACAGGCCGATCATTATCCTAATCCACACCGGAGTACAATTGTCAGCTGACCACAGACGCCTCTCATCAATAGAGGAAACACACAACACACACACATTCTACCAGTAGGACAAGGAAAGATCATCATCAAATTTTAATCAAAAAAGATAAAATTCGGTCATTCGGCCCTGAGAGGAGGACAAGACCCTCGAGCCTCAATTGTCCCCTAAATCATGGACAGGTCAGCACCGTCTTTGTATATTTCTTCCCCTTCCCTCAACCCACCTCGACCTCTCTCTTTACGAAGTCCACACACTCGTCTCAGACGGTCTCAACCTCCTCCTCTTCAACTTGAACCTCATTCTCAACATTTGGCTCCTGGAGAGCCATCACGTCCCCCTCGATCACCGCTCAGACCTCGTCCTCGACGAGCGAACAGTTTCGACCAATCTCAACGAAATCGGGCCGACTCAACTATCAGTCTAGAAGGTTTGCAACAACTTCGTAACGCTCTGCAAATTTTCCGAAACAGCTTGAGGACTCAAAACGAAGAGACTACAGAGAGGGAAGCGATCGGGGATAGAGAGAGGGAGGGACAGGTTGTAAATTTACCAATTTATTGGCCAGGTCAACCGTCTCCACAAAGATCGCCATCACCTGCAGCATCCGACATGTCTCTCGCTGATCAACGTTCAGCACGTAGACTGCTCGACTCTTTGCTCCAAGAACTACGCCCTCATGACGAATACGTAATCTCACCAAGAGTCAAGTCGGTGAGGAGGGATGGACATCAGAGGGCGCATAGTTTGCCATCGTCGGTCACTTCCAGTGGCTATGCGGGGGAAAGTGAAGGGTCTAAAAATCATTCAACCCTGGTTTCTAGTTTGTCACCGGATAGAAGGAGAACGATGAGTTATACGACATCAGAACCGATGGTGGACGATCAACCTAGGCCTAGTGTATCGAGGGAGTTAGGATGGTTGGCGGGCAAAATCACACGGTCTGCTTCCGGGCCTATGAGAGATCATAGTGACGAGTTGGATCAAGAGGAGGAAGTGTCCCCCATTGCAGAAGCACCACCGATTGTCACACCTACGATACAAGTTGTGGAACCACGATTGTCAAGCTTACCACCGCCTCCTCTTGAATCACCTCCGACAAGTCCTCCAGGGACCTCGCCAACAAGTCCGTCATCGAGTTCACCTACGACTTTCCCTTCACAGCCCCCAGAAGTCCGTGTGACCCGACCATCTCTTTCACTGTCGGAATCCTCCTCTTACCCCACGGACGGATCTTCCAAACATGCTCGTCCTTCCCTGTCGCAAATTCAAACCTCACCGGTTCCAGTGATCCAAGTCACACCTTCGCGGACCTCGGGTATGCACCCGTTCGCAGCTGTAGTAGCTATGATGGAAAACGGTGATTCCCCAACTCGTCGGAGGGCTTCGGCGGGCAAGATCTCTCCAAAGGGCTCATTGACAAGTTTGAAAGAAGGGACGAAAAAGCTGGAAAAACCCCCACCGAGTCCGAAATTGGACAAGGGTAAGGGGAGAGATCCAGGAGAAACGCCTGGGAGAAAACAGACACCGCGACGAGCTTACATAGGTCCAGGTGGGGTAGTTGGTAAGTAATTCATCTTATAAAAGATGTGCTATTTCTCCTGCTTACCACTCAGACCGCATAAGATCAAAAGGCTCTTTACCTAAAATACATACCTCGCACGATTCGACCTTCAAGCTGAATCCACCTCCCACGCCACCAATGACCTCGACACCTATCACAGCTACATCTGCCACTTTTCTTAGACCTGCCCCTGCTACTCCTCTCCCTATGAAATTTGTTGGTCAGAGATACGCTCTCTCCTCTTTGAATACGACACCTACCTCGTCTACGGCTCATTCGCCACTACCGATGTTCGCTCCGACTGAAGGAAGTCGGTTTTCCAATGGACCAGTCGGGGAGGGTATGGTGGAGATTCCGAGGTTTAAGTTGAAGGATCTGAATTTGGGGATTGTTAGAAGATACGGGAGAGGTTCGAGAGTTGCGTGGATCGGTTTATGGGGATTGTGCATATTCAATGGACTGATAGGATTGGTGAGCTTCTTTCAAATGTCCTGACGTGCCCAAAAGCTCATGTGTAGCTCTTTGATGTTAATGTCATTTACATGCTAATTCAGTGAGTGTCTCAGAGATATGCTCTCGGTATCATTGTGTCACTTGGATGAAACAGTCGGATGTCATTTGATGAAGTTGCTGATGATCAGATGTGCTATACATCCATCCCTTGATTCCCACTCTGCGAGTTGGTCTTTTGCCGTTGCGGCATATGCTGTGTGTTGGGCGATTTCTTTGGCGGTGTGGCTTTGTTGGGAATTAGGTTATGAATTTTATCGTCGTTGGCGTCTTCGTATGTTCTGTTCTCTCTTCCTCTTCCTTCCTTCCTTTTTTCCTCTACTGACCATCAATCCCTTTTGATAAGGAAGGTTCTTCAGTTGACAAACAGCCCGACCTGCCATCGAACCGATCTTCTTCTCCTACCCTGCATCTTTATACCTCTCCCTTGTCTCCTATCCCCATTTCACATTCCTATCTCACATACGTCTTTCCTCTCTCGGAACCATCACCTCCCGGGATATCATTCCTGAGACTTTTCATTTCCTTATCCAAATCGGACCTTCCCTCTTACCTCTTCTCCCCCGTGCGGCACTGTCCATAGTCCTTCTCCTCTTCTACTCCTCCTCATCACCCCCTTCCACACCTTTAGATTCTTCAAAAGACTCTCATTTCTTCACTTCAACCGGTCAACTCACTTCTTATGCTCGAGGTGTTCTCCTGACGTTTGACGCCTGGGTTGCAATCCGACTTGTTATCGTCCTATCTTCCATCATAGGTCTATGGTTATCTTCTTCCAAACCATTAGGTGGTATCTTCCGAAATAAGAGTTTCTCCAAGAAAGAACCAACGACACCACGTAGAAAAGCAAAATCTTCACTCCCTCCACCAAGAGATCCTAGCGGTACGAAATCCCCCCAGAAATCATGGTACGAAGCTGAAAACGAATTTCATTTCGTTTGGCGAGACAGGACCAGATCAAGGATTCAAGATGCTTTTGAATTATGTTTAATCAGACCTGGTAGAAATGGAAGTACAACAGGTATCGGTATAGCAGGTGATTTCGCTTGGGCAGCTAGAAGATCACCTACTCCCGGTACACCAAATACACATTTTACATCAAATACCCAAAATAACCAAAATGTACATTTGGCTCAAAACTCACACAACACACATAATATTCATTCTTCAAATAATCAACCAACATCTTCCTCTTTACTCAATTTACCCACTTCGAATCATCACGTAACAAGAAATTATACTCAAGGTCGTTCACCATCCGCCGCACCACTTTTAGGAGAAGATAATGGAGATGGATTAGAAGAATTGATAGCTGCTGATTTAAATCTTCAAAAGAATGATAAGAATGATATCAAGTTTTCCCCTTTAGATCGACCAAGACCGGAAAGTATGTTATTACCACGTAATACACCACCTAGGTCTGAAAACGTTACAGCATCAGCAGGAAGTAGTAAAACGGATTTATTTTATACACCTATTGCTACACCTATCCGTACGACACCTCATAGCGAAGATACGAATAATCCTATCGATCAACATCCTTCCTCAATACCCGCTTCAAGTACAAGCGATATAATAACGAACGAAAACCAAGCTCCTCCATCTGCTTTCCGACCACTACATCATTCTAATCATCCGATCTTATATCCTATCACCCCACCACACAATGAACACAACAATGAAACGAAGATCGTCGATAAACTTTCGGACGAAGGTGTGGATAAGAGACGTTATGATGATGACAAAAAGATACGATCAAGATCCGACTCTACATATTCAAAAATATCTGACGAAATGACAGATTCACCTAATACATCAAAAAGAAGATCATCCGTTTCTTCTCCAGGACACGTATTGAACAGAGCTAGATCAACTAGTATTGGTCTACTTCGAAAGACAGCTCACGAAGGTGGAGGTTTGATAAGACGTGTAAGGAGCGGGACGGTGGGTAGTGGATATTCTCAAGTTGATGATGATGAGCATGATGAATCTCCTGGATTAAGGGGTGAGTCATAGACATAGACATTTATTCTTTTCTTCATACTTCTGTTCACATTGATTAATCTTCTGTTCGAAACTTGTAATTTGTTGATCATTTACCGTTTCCTCCATATCTCCGTCCTACTTTCACGGGGTATCCCCTTCAAGCTCTGAATTTTGAAGTGAGAGCTTGATATTTTGTTTGGTCCGCTTGATTCGATACTTTGAATATGAGAGAAATACCACTAATCCGCAGTGAGAACATTGGGTAAAAGAAGGAGTAATCTTGGACTTGGGATACCAGGAGGTGGAGTGATAGATGAGATGAGAGCGAGCACTTCGTAGTGTTTTTCTCTTCGACGGTTCAAAAGAGGATCAGTCAAAGCTGTCATGTGATGGAGGGGAGTGATGAAAAACGAGTCTTAATCTTAAACGATCTTGACGTGGAACGAAGATCATCTTGGGGAACACGATGGAGGTAAAAATACGACAGGTGTTAATGACAAATACGAGATTAATGAGTTTTGAATGAGATGCATGATTTACGCTACAGATATCTTCCTTCCTACACCCCTCGGAGCATACTTCATGCTGTGATTGATATGACAAGATGAGTTACCACTAAAAACTTTGATTCACTTCCTGATATCCTGAATCCGTCTACTCGATATTCTCCATGACCGCACTCAATCTTCTCCCACCAATTCTCCAATCTTCAACTTCAGACATTGGCGAAATACCCAATCTGCTACGCATAGTGGGTGATGGCGGTGGTCGAGAGAAAGTAGGTAAATGTTGATGATTCCTAGGCGAACGTTTCCGGATTCTAGGACTTTTCAATCCACCTGATCCTATTCCAATATTCTTAGGTAATACCAATCCGGCCGGACGAAGGTTTGCTAATCTATTGGAAACTTTCATTGGTGTAGAATTGAACGACAGACTTTTTCCTGGACCTATTGTAGGAGAGTCATTATTGAGATTCAAAGATTGTGTTCTATCTGTTAAAGTTCTGATACCAGGAGGAGTCGTACCATACGTAAAAGTAGATTTTACGATGTTATGCGGACTGGATCCATGTAAAGGGGTTGTAGGTGTACCTGGACCAAGAGGACTCGAAGAGTATGTAGGAGTAGATGGTATATTTAAACCTAAAGGATTTGGACCTGGTGAAGAATCACTCGCGAAACTATTGATTGAAGAGAAAGAAGAACGTCGAACAAAATCAATAGCTGGTGAAAGTAATGGTTCGGAATCATGGAATGATGAACCAGTTGATAATGTTGATATCGGTCTGTAAAGTTCTTGCATGTTTTCAACCAGGAAAGGGTTCATTAGGAAATTGATTTCTTTTTCCGATTGGTCGATAAGATATTGAGATTTATTTTCAGTGATAGTATTGAAAGAATCAAATTCTGTAGGTGAATCCGAAGGAAAGAAAATGAGAGGAGTAGGAAAGGTTTCGTCTGTATTACGTGGAGTGAAGAGATAAGGGGAAGAAATGGAAGATGAAGAGCTTCCACTTGAGCTTGATGTTCCTCGTGAGAGAGGTAAAGATGAAGGAGTTTCAAAGGAGAACCGAACCAAGGAAGGTTTATGGTCGATGGGAGGTGAAGAATCGAGTGAATCGGATAATTCACATGGACCAAAGATAGGACTTTGTGAAAGACTAGAAGAAGGTGAGGTTGATTGTCGTATACTTGAAGTAGATTCACATGAAACAAAATTACAAGGATCGTAGATCACTAAATATGTTAGCTTCGACCTCACCGAGAAGGATTTCGTGGGAAAATTGTGATGCAATATGGAAGATGGATAGGTGGTATCGAAGAGTGATACAAAATAACTTACCTTCGAATTCTCGAGGAGGGGTGATAGGTCTTGAGTGACATAATTTAGGGTTGATCACCGATCTTAATTGTGTCGGTCCGACGGTCGCTTGAAGTGGTTTAGCTGACCGTTTTGGACAATTAGGTACAGGGAGGGGAGAAGTTATCTGTGCTGAAAGTCAGTACCAACTTATACAACGCACTGTGAAATGCAGACAAGGAGAAGAGGATGTGGATGTGGATGTGACAGGTATGTACGTACATTTACATTCCGTCGAAGATGGGCTCTTCCGAGAAAACACTTGTCTTATTCTTGAAGGCATTTTAATATCTTTCTTCAATCACTTCAATTAATCAAGAAAGTGAATTAAAGTATCAGAACAATCAACGTGAGAGATGAAGCAAAGAGATGAAAGACTTTAAAACTTTCTTCATATCCTCAGTAACACATGAATCGTTCTGATCAATGGTAGTGAGTAGTCATCCCAATGCGTGCACACGACCATCGGAATCCATTCCCGAGAAAAGTTTCTTGCTCAGCCTCATACCTCATACACTCACAGCTTACAGAAGCGTAAGCGTAAGCCACCAAAACAGGGGTACAGGGAGTAGAGAATACAGTGATGAAATGGGCAGTCACCGAAACACGGGGGAACTGTTGTTCAAAATACATGAAAACGTCGGTGAACTTACAAGTCCGTTTGTGACAATTGTCCGTTTTACCGGAACCCCAACCACTTGTCACCTGCTCTACCTCCGGCTGTACCCTGGCCAGGCGGAGGGTCAACCGTAACTGATAAAAGATGACGCGTCCTTTTCCATTCCTTTTGACGGACGAGACAAAGACGGTAAAAACAGCGTCGACTTCGGTAGATAGTCCCGAAAGTAGGCACTTCCGATTTCGGCTTACTGTAGGAGAGGAAAGCAAAGTTGAACGACGGAGGATTGGCCGTTCCCGAGACAATTTATTGCTCGATGAGTTGGAGCAAGGGACGCAGGTGTTGTTTACATACCTTACTCTCCGAACCTACTGCACACGATTGAACAAAGGAAAAGGGCAAACCCAAGTGAAAGGTTTTTGCAGAGAAATGTGAGACATTCGGATTCTCCGAAAATCCTAAAAGTCTCCGCGGATCCCGCGGAGCCGCGGACAGCATAAAGGTGTTTTACGTAAACGTGGCGCGTGGCGGCTGTGGTCATGCGTTTGTGGCGGTGTGGCACTTTTGACAATGTGGCAGCGACACTCTACCGGTTTCTGCATGATGAAAGCAGTCAGCAGTTGAGCATGTTGAATGTCATGTACTCCCGGAGTCAACTTGGTCTCTACACATATAATTCATTTGTGTAATGATTCCAAATATTTCAATTTTGTAGATTTGGTGAAATCGTTGGAGATAGGTAGTACGCTCACCTGTCTCTCTCTCACTTGGGTATGTCCGGGCGTAACACGGACGATAATCATAGAGTCTCAGGATGAATCTGTTGCTCCCCATCACTCTCAAGGTAGTGCTGAGCGAGCAACAGGTAGTGAATATCCGCCGAAATCAACAATCAGTGTGGACGAGTTCCGGACGCAACATTGGATTCATCTCGTGCTCTCAATCAATGTCATAATATCTATCACTCTTGTTCATCCCAATCAAAACCTTCCTCCTCTTTATCCTCAAACATGAAGCTATCATCCTGTTTGCTTCCACTGGCATGATGAGTATTCATTGCGTAGTTTTCCTGTATTCGCCGTCTCTCCATATCTGCTTCACTCTCCTTCAAAGCCTGTTGTAAGTCTTCCTCCTTTTGTAGTTGACGTTCATATTCCCGCACATCATTAGTATTCCCATAGAGATACTTCCCTGTCCTCAGTGACTCATTATTAAGGTATCTCAGTTGTCTCTGTCTTTCCTCCTCTTCATATTGTCTATCTAACTCCCCCCTGTCCTCACCCAACTTACTGGCTAAGAAATCAGGGGGTAGGCCTGAAGAACTCTGACCAGCATCTGAGTTTTGAATAGCAGATTGATAGTCCACTTCCGGAACTGCACCAGCGTATCCTAGACCTGTTACATAGCTATCATGTTGTTGCAATGAAATCTGTGTCATGGCTTGTTGTTGTTGAGCAGTCGGCTGTCGAAGGCGGCGGCGATTCCTGAGATGACCGTGAGTGCCTCTGGTATCCCTACCTGTTGTTTGAGTAGGGAAAGGGGTATCAAAAATTGAGTTCCCGTCGCCCATGTAAGTTGAGGCAACCGTGGAGGCATTATCATCTCCATAGTTGATAGTGGGAGCTATACTCGCCGAGTATCCACTTTGTACGGAACCATGGTTGATCGTGTCATTCGAGACGATTGTTGGTGCTACAGAAGCGGTATCAGTATCACTTGTGTCTTCATATTGGTGAGCAGACATCGGGTCCCAATCAGCATCGGAAGACGGATGTCCCGGATTGTTGTAAGGGTAGTTGTCAGGGTTCATGTTGTTTGTAATCGTGTATTGAGATCAAAGGCAAAGGACTTAGGTATTGTTGATTTGAGTATGTGAAGTGTATTGTCTTCTCAATGTTCTTATATTGTGTGAAAGAGTGAATGGTTGCTGAGTTTTTTGACAATATTTGAAAAGATATCACGAGATTATGACATATGGTGAGAGTTGTGAATGATGAGAATGAAAGGAGTAGGTGTGAAACATGTTTCACTCTAAATTTGTTTTACACCCTTCACCCTTATTTAGAAGTCCGTTCGATCAACGTGACCAAGACGTCATCATGAGAAATTGACTCACCTTTGTCCTGCCATCTTCAGCGAGAGTCAATCAGCTATGAGCCGCCATGAGAAGAAGCTCAAGGGGCCTCACGGGTCAGAAGGCCACCATTGCTATTGGTGAGAGGATCTCTACGAGATATGTTTTTGACTCAAAGTGACCTGATCAGACCTAGTATCCCCATGCATCTAGCTCATCGTCGACTATTGAAGAACATGTAAATTGCTCTCTCATTCAAAATCATCTTCATCAAACTCATTGTCCTCATCATCATCCCAAAAATCGTCCTCCTTGTTCTCACCTCCTTGCTTGCTGTGTTGTAAGTCCCTCTCATATTGTTGTCTTATATACCCCGCCTCAATTTCAGCTTTTTTCCTATCTTCTTCCTCTTGATCGTGAACTTGTTGAAGCTGTTCCGCCAGGGTTTGACGTTCATACTCCTCCGGATCATTAGTCCAACCATATCTATACCATCCTGGCTCATTTTGAGATCTCCAATTATCACTTGCAAGATGTCTTCTCTTTTCTTGTTCCCTAAGTATCTCATCCTGTTCTTCAGCTGATAAACCTGTAGCTGTTTTCTTATTGAGAAAATCCAAAGGAAGTTGCATAAAGCTTGGATTAGTGTCTTGTAGAGAAGTCGATTGATTCTGACGACTTGGTCCTGCTGACATGAAGTTCGATTCAAGAGATTGTATTTGATCTGCGAGATCATCTCTATGTCGTCTTTGTGGTTCAAGATCTTGATAACCTAGTGAGTTACCTGAGACTGGAACAAATTGCCGTTGAGTATCATAAGTGATCGGACGTCTAGACGTGTCACCCAAGAAACGTTGAAGAGGCATATTTGGTGGTTCACGAGTCCTATAAATCGGTCGTGTATCAAAAATTGATTCACCACCTGTAGTGTCAGACATTATAGATGGAGCTGAAGGTGGAAAAGGTGGAAAACCAGCATTCGCTTGTCCCCATGATGAAGGTGCATAACCCCTAGATCGGTCGTCTTGGGAAATCAAAGAAGATTCATATATTGTCGAAGGAGCTCGGGTTGTTTGAGTATTGACGGTATCGGCTTCACTTTCAAGTTCCCATGTAGTGGAATCATCAGCGTCATTGAGTTGATCACCTGTTTGAATAAAGTTGTGATTAGAAGCCATGTTGTTAGTTCACTTGTCCTTGGTGAAGATTGGAATGTAAACTCGTTAGGTGTGTATGATCTTGAGAAAATGTCGTTAAGAGGGAAATGGGAAATATGTTGATAGATCTTATACCATAAATATGGGGAAACGGAGTTTGGTATGTTTACAAAGCCGACCCATATGTCAGGATACATCTTACACGTTTGGGGCGTGATAAGAAGAAAGGAACTTAATCCGATAGATATGTCACGGAATATCACGTCACTCACTCTCCCTTGATTCTTATTCTCTTCTCCGATCACGCCAAGTGCTATCGACTCAACTTCGACCTCTGTTCCATTCAATATTGTAATATCACATCAGCACATCATGTGACATCATTGGATGTTGACACTGAGGACGAATGACGATTGAACAAGATGAACAGGTCCTGCCTGGAGACCAGGGTGATAGCTATGCTCATACTCTCAATGGATAAAAACATCGTAAGTTTCTCAAGAGACATATTGATCAATAAGACAGTCAGAATAGATCAGCTGCATTCCTTCTCTCAGTATAAATCAGCAAATGTATCAAATACGTCACTTAGTTATCTGGTTCATCTGAATCTTCCCAATCAGAGGATTCCTCCTTCCAAAAATCATCCTCCTCATCGCCTTCTGCGCGCTTGCCTTCAGTTTTCGTCTTCTCAGCGGTGATCTGGCCGAAATAAGTGACAATCTCCTTCTGCTGTCTGTCCGCCTCTTCCACCTTACTCTTCTGTTTGGCGTCACGCATTTCCCAATCATCTCCTTCATCATTATCATCTTCATCCACTGGCTCATCGTCGTTCTGCATGCTTATCTCCATGGCCAATCTCATATCCCTCTCCTCCTGTTCTTTCCGTTCGATTTGAATTCGGGTCCATTCATCCATCTCTTGATCTTTTTGGGTGTACCACTCGGTCTTCTGATCTGCCGATGTACCCTCGTAGAGATTTGTTGCGGTCGTGGAAGGCTTAGTCTCCGACAGGGGTTTTATTGGACGTTGAGTAGGCTCGTCCTCGGTGGTACCGGCTTGAGGAGGAATGGGATTCTGAGTGTTGGACCCCATATGATTTTGGTCATCATGTGTTACATCCCAATGAGAGCTGTTCTGACTATTCTTGTGAGTATCAGAACCAAAAGGGTCAAAAACGGAACCGCTCTGGTTGGTCATGTTAATGAGTATGTCAAGAGTTGTATGTATTTCCTTATGAGATTATATCGAACAGGAGAAGGGAGGCCTTTGGACTATATGGTGGGCGCTACATCAATCTGAGACGGGACGAAGGGGTCAGCTGTCAGACGTACATGGCTCCGGCCGTGTGTCCTTTGAGGTCCTGAGAAGGGAGGCGTATCTCAGAAAAATCTCCGTTACAAGTTTTCTGCAGGCCAAAGAGGGTATTGACCGCCGACATCTCAAAACAACCGATCATGTGATGATATTAGGCGATATTATGTGACCTACAACATTCACGCAGCCTTCTTAGCCTCATGCCACTCCTCCGTTCCATCTTCCGTATGATGGTCAACAATCACAGTGGATTCTCCCAAGGGTGTATGTTCCTCCAGGACCTCCCACCCTTCCTCACTCGAATGGCGGGAAGATGATCCCCTCCTGGGCCTCACATCTTCCCGCCCTCTTGAAAACCCTGTTTCTCTTCGCTATCGACGACTACAGAAGTACCCTTCTCGTTAGGTTTGGATGATTGTTCTTCTTCAAAAGCGGCGTTCATCTCTTCGGCAGTAGAGTTCATCTTGTCTAACCAACGCTGCAGAAGACTGGCATTGTCCGCTTGGAGGGCGACATTCCGTTGGGTTATACCAGATATTTCGATGTTGAGGGAGATGATTTCGTCGTTTAATATCTTGTGGATCAGCTGGATTCCGTACCTAACACTGATCATCGCCAATCCAGGCCGGATGTTCCGTCCCACGTGGGACGCTTAGCGGCGGGAGGGACCAAGCCATCTCGGTCGGATCGTTCGCGGGCCCGAGGGGGAGGGGATATAGAGAGACATATGAGGAATGGTACACACCTCCAAATCCTTTGTGCGCAACTTCCACCTCTCATCCCACTCTTTTTCTCTCCTGGTACCGGCTTCCTTAGCTTCCCTGAGATCGCGGACTTCTTCTCTCAAGCCCCGTACTTCCTCGTCCCTATCTCGTAAAGCATCCGCCATGCTCAACTGTTTGTTCTGAGACGCAGCCTGAGTACGGTATACCTGTGACAACTCAGCACGAAGCTGAGTGAGCTGATTGTCGAGATGGGCCAACAGCGGTGATGGGGTTGATCTGCCGTTAGCCCGTGATCACCAGTGATCTCCTTATTGGACAAGACGTGGAGAGGGGGTAAGAGGACATACCCTTCCGCACCTGTAGCCACCGCTCCACCACGGAGTAATGCTTTGTTTCTCACTTTCAGCTCCCTTGCTGTTCTAGCCAGTCGACGATCTCAAAGGTCAGTCAGGCAAAAGGATAAAAGGAATGACGGACATTGCTCTACCACATCTCTGTAAGCTTCCGACTCGACCTGACGAGTCATGAGCTGAGATCGTATGGAATTCTGCCATTCTGGCGGACCTGTAGGACGTTGTACAGCCGACATAGCTGATAGTCAAACGACAAGAAAGAGAGAGAGAGAGGCGAGGAAGAGGTGGTGCGCGCTTAGACCTTGACTTGTGGGGGAAGCATGACGTGGCATCATACCTTGTTAGCTTATCACTTCCCTCCCCCTATCGGCTCAGTGGCCAACGGTTGTTCCGTCTCACACTCACTCTCCTATCTCTACTACTTTACCAATAACTGGCACGTTCCTGGCTCACTCCTCCCTCCGCATCTTATCATCTCTCAGAGAACATCCCTCCATACGCCATGGCATCTAGAAAGAAGGTCCTTCTTAAGGTAAGTCACCGCGATATCGTTCTTCTTCCCAGCCTCCCCCCGAGTGACTGACTGGATTTGAAGGCTGACATATTTCAGGTCATCATCCTAGGGGATTCCGGGTACGCTTTGATCTCTTGTCACTCCTGGTGTCTTTTCATCCATTATCAATGCCAGATCTCTTCATGAGTCTCTAGTGCTGCTCTCATGACGCTTGGGCATCCTTTGTGTAGACCCCCACCAACCCCGTGTCACTCATCCAATTACTGACCATTCAAGCTTTAGCTAACGTCCAGTGTCGGTAAGACATCGTTAATGAATCAATATGTCAACAAGCGTTTTTCAACCCAGTACAAAGCTACCATCGGTTAGATTTTCCTCTACAGGTCATGTGATATGCTCATGTCTCAGGCGCCGATTTCCTCACCCGTGAGCTTGTCGTGGACGATCGTGTCGTCACCATGCAGGTAAGCTTGTTCTGTCATATCCCTTGCATGAGGAACTCACCCAATAGCTCTGGGATACCGCCGGTCAAGAAAGATTTCAGTCCCTGGGTGTGGCTTTTTACCGTGGAGCCGATTGTTGCGTTCTGGTGTACGACGTGAACAGTTCGAAAAGTTTTGAAGCTTTGGATGGATGGAGAGATGAATTCCTGGTTCAAGCATCACCACATGATCCCGAGAACTTCCCGTTCGTTGTGCTAGGAAACAAAATCGACATGGAGGAGTCTAAACGGATGGTCAGTCCTTTAGTGTTCTGTCTATCCTGTCTTCATTCCAACTCCCAATCGGCATTCATTGGCAAGCAAAAGTTGACTCCTAGGTATCGCAAAAACGAGCAATGACATGGTGTCAAGCCAAGGGCAACATTCCTTACTTTGAGACTTCAGCAAAGGAGGCGATCAACGTCGAGCAGGCATTCCAGACCATCGCTAAGAATGCTTTAGCTCAGGAGGCAGAGACGGAGCTGTGAGCATCATGCTGTCGTATGGGAGGAAGACATAGCTGACGATGTAGGTATGCCGATTATCCTGATCCTATCAGGATTGACTCGGAGAGCTCTCAGAATTACGGATGCAGTTGTTAGATATGTTGGAGTTAGGATTAGCTAATGATATGTACTTTTTTCCCTCGTCTTCTGAGCTATCTATTTGTAACACGATGTGACGCGTCCTATTGGTACATAAGACCGGTCTATCAGTCGTTTGATATGGTCAAGCCCATCGCCGGTGTGCTGTACGGTGTACGGTGAGAGATTGGTGGTATATCACCGACTTCGAGGTGGAGGCAGATCTCATTCGAGGTCCGAAATGTTCTGAGATTTCACTCTCTTACACACACTCTTTAACTACTATTAGAGTCCTCATGACATGTCTCTTGGGGATATTGTAGTCACAGCTTCCCCTCTTGAAGATGATTCAGACCCTACTTATACCCACTTTGCTCATCGGGATGAGTTCATCAATCTCCTCACCAGGCTCGTCTCCGTCGACGTCACACATTCCCCTTCCGAGGTGGAAGAGCAAGCGGAGGTAGCAATCGTCAAATCTTTGGGGTCCATCGTAAGCCTCGTCCTCAGACTGTCTCTCTCCGATCTGTACACTACGGGGTTCTCGAATTGATATACCCAGCTGGACTTTTATCTCCCCCTTCCCGGACTCCTCGACCCTTCATTAGGCGAAATCCTCTCCCCTCTTCTGGACAAGCTCTCATCCGCCCTCGACCTCCTTGTCAACGAATCTGAGCTCATAGTAAACGCTGCTAGACTACATCGTCTGGGTCAAGTAATCAACTGGCTAGTCAAAGTGAGAGGTTGGAAAGCTATCGGTGAGTCTTTCTGCTGCTCTGTTTCTCGTGGAAGATTGACCATCTGACATCTCAGTTCCCCACTTTCCTTCAGATATTAAATACATCAACCTTCTCGTTTCCTTGCTCTCTCCATCTTCAAACCGTCCTAGCTCATCTACGACACCACCACTCGTCCACCATCCCCTTCTTTGCAGCCAAGATGCATGGGAATTACGTGCTGTCTTATTACTCTGGCTGGCCATGCTGCTCACTGTTCCATTCAACCTCTCTGTCTTCTCGATCGATCAATGGACTTCTTCATCACTCGACCTCGTCTCCAAAAATATTCTATTCTCTGTTCCTACGGCTATTCTGGCAAGACAGGTCATCGTGCTCTCTATACCCCTCCTGGACAGACCGGGTAAAGAGGGTGTTTATGCTGCTCTGGTGTTAGCTCGACTTTACTCAAGAGAAGACGTAGTGAATTCACTCCCGGGATTCCTGGATTTTGCAAGACAGAGTATACAGGAAGGTGACAGAGAGGCAGAAGCCAATCTGGTTGCTTGCTTATTTTCCTTTCTGGCGTTTTTGCCAGCTATGATGAGATCCGAAAGATTGGAGATGATGGTGGAGTTTGAAGACTGGTTACTAGATTATTTGAGTGGGACAAGAACAGCAGCTTCAAGTGGACTTATTAGAAAACTTGCAGTGAAGACAAAGGGGAGATGGTGGCTAGCTCGTCTGAGTAGCACAACGTATAAATCAGGTAAGCTGATATTCTTTTTGCTCTCACAGCTGATAGATAAGGGGAGGTCGATATGCCTGAAGGTTTAGAAGCCATTATTGATAGTCTTATGTCTGGTCTAAGTGACAAGGTACGCACATCCTCTACATAAGACAGGTGGATAGAGTTAATGAAAGTAGGATACCATAGTTCGATATTCCTCCGCCAAATATCTAGCTCGACTGGCAGCTTTACTCCCTCCGGAGCTCGCTCATCAAATTGTCGTGGCCACCCTTGAACTCTACAATGGTACAGAAGATATTCCAGTCATTTTGTCATATTTTGGGACTATCATTGATCCCGGTGGTTCTCCAAGTACGAAAGGAACCATGGGACTCGGTGGGTATGAAATGTCACGAGGCGAAGCGAGATGGCATGGAGTTTGTCTGGCTTCAGCTGAATTAGCAAGGAGAGGATTATTGAAAAATGATGCTATATCCGGAGCCATTACCTGGGGTTTGAGGGTATGTATATTAGATGTCAACCTTTGATTATGCTGACATATAGGCATTGTCATTTGATCTTCGGAGAAGTAGTCATTCAATCGGTGCCAACGTTCGTGATGCTGCTGCATATTTGTTATGGTCCATATCACGCGCATGTACGGCGGAAGAGATAGCTCCTTACGCTGAGAAAATGGCAACGTCGATGGTTTGTGTCGCTTGCTTTGATCGAGAAGTTGGAGTGCGTCGAGCGGCCAGCGCGGCATTTCAAGAAGGAGTAGGAAGACTTGTAAGTCATATCATGAATTTTGATGTTGAGAGATTTGTGTAGCTGAGAAAAAGGGATTGTATCCCGAGGGAATCGACGTGTTGGGTCATACGGATTTCTTCTCGGTCAGCGTCAGACGGGCAGCTTTCACTGAGGCCGCACCTGCCGTTGCCAAGTAAGCTCAAAATCATCGTAGTCCTCATCTGGAAATAGCTGACAGAACACAGACATGAAGTGTATAGACGACAAATGCGAGAACACTTACATCGTATCACTCTGCGTCATTGGGATACTTCAATGAGGACTCTCGCTGGTGGCGCTTTGAGGTGTATATCGGAATTGGGAGATGTGTCTGATCTTCAAGATTCCTTAGAACGCGAGGTGAGACTCACTTTTTGTCCATTGGACTTGAGTGACGAGTAGATCAACAACCTAATTTCTGTGGATCCTACCAGTGTACATGGTGCCCTAGTAGCTTTATTAGGTATCTCGACACTCGATAAGTCGTCACAATCACAGCGCCTGATAGTGAGTTCATCATCATACACACGCCTGCAAAGCTAATTAGCAGATATCAAAGGCATTATCGACAATCCGATCAGGAGTATTCCTCAGTCCAGTGGGAGGAGATATACTCAAAGCGACTTGTGAACTCTTCACGACTTGTCTAAGTCAAGAAGCTCTCAATTTACCCGAGGTAACAAAAGTGTTGGACCTTGTCATCCTTTCTTCTATGCGTAGACGGGAGGCAGAATGTCATGAGGCGGTGGCGGACGTCTATACTCGATTGAGCGAACTTACAGACCCAACAGGTTTGATGACCAAGTGAGCATACCTCTAAATTTTCGTCTTGAGACATCTTACCTTTCCGACTTCTCTGAGCAGACGCGGTATAGTATGCTGAGTTATAGACTCATCAACGACCTCAAATCTATACGTCCACCACAAAGACAATCTGCCGCTCTTTCACTAGGTCATATTCGGTATCTTACCCATTCCCAACTTGTGCAAAAAGCTATCGAAGCTTTACTCCGTCAACTTGACTCTTCAACCAAGGTGAGCAGACCCTTTTCGAATGGAGCGCAAACAAAACTGATCTGATAGGCAGACGTGGAGACTCGTAGAAATACCATAAGATCCCTGACTGATATTTGTCTACAAACCTCTTCCTCCCAACTTATCGGTAAGACCACTTTCCCTCCCTTCATTTTCATCGCTGATACGTGACAGTGGACACATCGACATTCAAAACCATCTTCAATACTGTAATCAAAGGTCTTGATGATTATTCCACTGATCAAAGGGGCGATGTAGGTTCTTGGATCCGTATAGTTTCTCTACGATCTCTAGGACGAATCATCCCTGCCGCTGTTGTCGATGAGAGAGTGTTGGAATTGGTATCTCAAGTTGAGTTTGATGAGATGATAGGAGGAATGATCAAGCAGAGTTTGGAAAGGTTGGGACCTGTACGAGCTGCTGCTGCTTGTGCTTCAGCAAGAGTACGTTCTTGTGCTGTTGGGTTTTGGGATTGGGAGGGCATTGATTGTCTGAGGTATGATGGTGATGAGTGAGCTTGTCTCTTCCCTCCTTTCCTCGCTCTCTATCTCCGACTCCACACATTCTTCTTTCAGTGAATCTTTTTCCATCGGTATGATCATCACGACCTTGAACATCAAAATCAACTGGTCTATCCTGTGACATGCTTTGTGATTTTTGAAAACTTCTCAGTTGCTCCCATCCTACTTGTAAGAGTACCTAACCAAAAGTGATTCTTTCCGATACGTCAATCTAAGACACTGGTTCACCAGCTCATTACCTCTTCTTCGTACCAAATATCGCCTTTACGTGTTATCAGGTTTAACGCAAAGTATCGGTACATCTCTTTCTTCCGTAAGTCCTCTTCACCATCTGTCACTGATTATGCAATCCACTAATAAACAAGGACAATGTGGCATTTGAATCATTATCCATTTATATGGGACAACACTCAGAGGTAGTTCATGATGTAATGAGAGATTTGAGCGGTTTGTTGATGGAAAATATCAATACGAATCGAATCTTCTTACCTGTCATGGGGACGTTGACGAGGTTGTTAAATATTGGTTTCATTCCTGATCTATCTGTGTGAGTCAATCACGATTCAATCGGTCGTATGTACATCATCTCCCTCCTCAACAATGATGAAATAGCGAAATTATCAACGTGCTTTTCTTAAGTTGAAGGAAACGTCAGATGCGGTGATGTGTGGTTGAAGGGAAAATGGAAATAAAGGAGACAACTCGTAAAAAGACTGGTCGAGCTGATTGATAGTACGAAAAGAGTATTGTTAGTGGGTTGTAAAGGTTTAGACAAGATGAAATCTATCGAGAGAATCACGACGACTATGCGATTAGTTTTATCTCTTTTAAATCTTTTTCTTACTTTTCCCCTCTCCGAACAAACATCTTCCTCTCTTACCGAACCAAGTACAATCAACAAAGAAACATTTTCCTATCAAATGACATCGTCTGTTCCAGGAAAAACAAAATCTTTCACTGGGGAGGATATCACCTCCATGTTCAATCAAATCACCCAGAAAATCGGTTTATTCTTAAATCATCGATTCCCCCGTGTGAGTATCTTTCACCCGTTTTACATTCCTCCCACAGCTTCCCCCACCCCAATACGTTTTTGGTGTTCAATCTCCTCAAAGAGGGAATGTAAGGAGAGGTCGCTGATAGATTAGATCAGAGCGATGTGCGCTGAAGAACTTTATCTTATCTTATCGGATTCAGGAAATGACGTGTTGGAAGATTTGTTGTTGAAAACTGTATGGACGGAAGAGGTTGGAGATGTTCCTGATAAAGTTGTTGCAATGCTTGACTCTTTATCATTGAATCGTGGGGATGAGATACATATGAGATAAAGATAAGATATGAGATATGATAAGATTAGATACGATGATGCAAGGTACGACTAACAATGCATCATGAATATAAAAAAAGTGAAAATATACTGAGCTACAATTGTTTGTAAACTTCATGACCATGATACTACTCAAGGTAGAAATTAAACCTATTGATTAATGTTCCAGCTTGCCCATGACAAACTACGTCTTTCCATCTGGGAAACTTTCATCGAACTCACGACGGATTTCACTTCACTGCAAATATGGGTAAATTCGAGGTTTTGATCCATAAAATCCCCCTCACCTACCCCTCATCCAAGGTGCCCTAGTCGATCCTAAACCACCTTCTTCCAAAAGGTTCACATGTCCTTCTCTGGTAGTGTCAGGAAATTCTTCACCCCAACACCATCCACCCATCAACAAACCTTGCACTACGACCCTCTTACCAGCTACTTCATTCAAAAAGAATTTCCGTAATCCTTGAAAAGCTTTTTCCCAATTGGGTAATCTAGAGACGGCATAGAGAGTTGGAGAATGTTCTGAAAAGGGAGCACCTGTTTTGGATTGTATGACGTGGACGAGTGCGTAAGTGTACATATCGAATGGTCCGGTCGTGGAAGGGTCTGAGACTATGGATTGAGCGTTTTCAAGGGATTGAGCGGGGGTTATTGATGTGCCTGAAAGATTAGATTCAAAGTGCTCTCTCGAAAACTTGACGACGAAGTGAACTCCAGGTCGAAGTTGTGAATCTAGAATGTCGAAGTGAGATTTTTGAGAATGAAGACGAGTGTTTATGCGGCATTGGACAGAGAGGGAGTGGGGTGAAAGGTTCAAGCTTTGAAACCGAGGGAAATGGAATCAGGAAGGTCACGAGGTAAGATTTGTAAGAGGTAAAAGATACGATGGGGACTTACCCATGAGTTGAGCTGCTCCGAACAAGTAGCTGAAAGGTCAGTTTGAAGTGACATGAGTTGCGGGAGAAACTAACGGGAAAAAGCAATAATCATCTAAACCCCACACCCCGTGAGATCCAGCAGGCTCAAGACGGTACTTTCGTTGAAGCAGATTTACCAGGTGCATATATCTTCTTGTCAGTACATCGTCCAGCTATGACGGTTTCTTTTGGTGAAATTCTGAAGGAGCTCGACTATCATATGGGATAGGGCTTGGTTGGAACGGGTGGTCATGTGGGAAGGGATCACCCACCTCGGAAACACCCGAAGGATCAAGTCATCTTGATCATCCTCATCTTTTATCCATTTAGAAGCGACACAGTTCCACAATACCAACACGAAAGCCAATTCATGACCTGTGCCATAATCCAGTCGAGTCGGATGACCAAAGGCGTGTGAGTCAACGAGTAATGGGATAATCTGCGGAGGCAGTTCGAAGGGGATTCCATGACAGCGAACGATATGATGAGCGAGTTCCTACAGTTTCAGTTGTCCAACCATGAAATCAAATAGCAGTATTGTGAATGGACGATGATCATGAGAAAAGGCTTACTCGTTCCATACGCTGATTATATTGACGAAAAGCCAGATTACCAAACCGCATATTATTTTGAGGTAATGGAGGGATTTCCGATACCCAATCTTCCATATGATCTAGAATATCCAGAAGAGACCCTATAGCCTGTATGATCAGTCAAGAGATCATGGTCAATGGAAGAACCAACGGAACAAGACCCTTGATATTCTTCATTCCTCATTGGTTTTCCTCGAATACGTCGACATCGCTGAGACAACCAACCCCAAAATGCCTGAAAGCCAGGTGTTGAGGGCCATTTCGCAACGTTGGTGTCGTTGATCAGTAAAGGAGCAGGATAAAAGGGTTTTTTGGGTAAATCGATGCGTTTCTCTCCTGTGACGGGGGAGGGTCTTCGAGTAGGAGAGTTCGTGGCTGAGGTAGAGGGGGGTGTTGCTGGGATGAGAAAGGGTTTCTGCTGAGCGGAGGTTCTTTTAAGGGATCGAGGTGATGCTGAAGGTTGGGAAGGAGACTGTAGCGACGAGACCGAGACTAAGACAGGAGATTGAGACGGATCCGAAGCTTGAGTGACAGCCTCTAGACGAGCAGAAGAGGAAGAGCCAGCCTCAGGGACGCGTGCAGGCGAAGGTGACTTTCGCGAGCGATGGCTAGGTCTTGAAGCTGGAGAAGCCACGGATGAAGTTGGTGTACCATCTAGTAAGGCTGATGGAGGACTGACCAGATGTTGTGCGTCAGTGTCATAATATCCTCTTGGCGGAAAGATGACAACAGAGTCGAAGGTAGGTCGGGAAGAAGTGGTGGCCGAGCGACCGGTGGGATCAGATGAGGGAGGAGATAAGTCAGCAGAAGGAGACAGAGGACCTGACGGAGATGGGCGAAGGACACTTGAAGAAGACGGTGAGTCCATCCTGTTCAATGGCAAGTCAGAGTACAAAAGTTGAAGTTGATCTGAGGTGGAATATAGATTGGATAGAGGAGAGTGAGTCGGTGGCAATCTTCCCACGGTCGTCTCAAAAGCCACTCACCTCTGACTTTTGAGCCAATTTTGCGATTATGAACATGCCCATCTACCTTTTACGAGTATCCCTAGACCATCTCTCCTTTCGTCTACCATCTCTCATCTCAATCGGTGATCTATATGGATTCTCTATCAACTTTCTCTCCGAAGACACATCTAGAGCTGGTCTCGTCATCGAGCTCGAGCACGAGTCTCATCTTCAGCATATCCTCGATCGAGGTGTTCTTGTGATGTATGTGCTGCTTTCTCATCTGCAACGATATGACATATCATTCTGACTACATAGTTCTGCAATAGAATTACTAGCTAAAGGAACGTCATATGATATCCTGCATGATCAGCTTCGTGCCAAAATTACAGATGTCGCTCATGGCGAGGGCAAGTCATGGCGTTTCACGTTTGAGAGTGTCAACCATCACGTTCCACATAAAAGGCAATTGGAGGTGATCAAATCTTTCCCCTATCTCGACTTTAAAGGTCCAATACAAGTCAAAGATCCGGATGTGGAATATGTTATACTGGAAGATTGTGAGCTTGTCGCTCTAAGTTACAGAGTGGGGGCCAGAGCTGATTGGTTGAGACGACTGGCCATACGAAAATAGTCATCAAGTGCTTAGTAACGAAGAGAGGGACGGTAAATTCCGATATGTCTTCTTCGGTCGTCGGGTACGTCTGTCATATAGTCTAAGCTTCACTCGTAGCTGAATGACAAGGCTGGTCACTCTCGCGCCAGACCTCTCATAGTTTCACAAAGCATAAAAACTCGCAAGTACTACGGTACCACTACTATGGAAGCTGAAATGGGACTTCTTATGGCCGGTCAAACCCTGGTTAGCTCTTTCTCTCATGATGAGTGGTCTGACTGAGATGGTGAAGCCTGCCCCAGGTAAGATCATCTACGATCCGTTTGTCGGAACCGGATCGGCATTATACGGGTGTGCTCATTGGGGAGCGTATGTCATGGGGTCTGATATCGACGGAAGACAGATGAGAGGTCGAAGTGAGTTTTCGTCAGATCAGTCTCTCAAAACGTTAGCTCACGAGAAGGAAAAGGGAAAGGCGTCACATCTGGGATACTCGAAAACGCCGACCAATACGGTTTATCAGATCAAATTCTCGACCTCTTGACGTTCGACGTCACACGGGCACCTTTGCGAAGAGGAGGATGGGTAGACGCAATCATCACTGATCCACCATGTGAGTTTCTTGCTTTTCCACCACCGATGTCGCTGACGGGTAGACGGGGTGAGAGCAGGTGCTAAACGACAAGGCAAACGAAATCCGGAGAAACGACCTGTTGCAGAACAGCCTGTATTGTTAGAGGATGGCAGCTATTCACATAAGTCAGTGGTGCCCATCCCTGACGAAGCACGTTTCAACATGATGCTGATCAGATTAGAAAAGATACATATGTACCACCTTTCAGACCATACGAACTTACAGATCTTACCGTCGATTTGGTACTGCTCGCTCGATATCTTCTCGTACCAAAGGGAAGACTAGTATTCTTCTTACCCACAGTCACGGAAGATTATGATGAAGTCGACATACCGTTGGTGCAAGGTATGAGGGAAATCAAGATTGGTCATGGAAGTGTACAATCCTTCGGCAAATGGGGACGTCGAGTGAGTCTGTATTCCTCGGCGTCATGAAAGCTGAACGAAAGTTGATCACTATGGAAAAGATCGCGGAGGTTGATGGTCCTCCCCCGACTTTTGAGAACCACGAGGTATCAAATGATAATGTGCCGGGTCATCATCAGTTCAATCGGAGAGTGAGTCAATTGTGTCAGTCTCACTAGGGTTAGTGCAAACTCATATGTACAGTACTTCCAAGGGTTTGTGCCAAGGAATAGAGTAGGCTTACAAGACATGAGAGGCACCGATGATTTCTAGCTTCTTGACAGACAGGCCAGTAATAGGAGGTGGATCAATATGCATATACTCAGAATCAATCATGTTGATGTAGACAGGTCTTGAGGCTACCCGAACTCCTTCAATCCCACTGACTCAATATCAAAAGGATCTGTGGGGTGGATCTGAGGCAGCTGGGGACGGTAGATCTTCGTCTGCTGTCTTATACTCACCCTCAGGAGAGGAGCGACATCCTGGACCCGCCGTGCGATATGTGTTATATCTTCTTGAGGGAGATACTGGCGCAGTCGGTCCCTGTGATAGCATATGGTGGTGAGAAGTCCCAGGTGGGCTTGATGACGAGGTACTATGTCTTGATCTGTGCCCACGGTGGGAATTTATGGGCTTGTGTGACTTTCTCGGAGGCCCAGTGGAGAGGGAATCTTGCGGAGACGGGTCTCCATTGATGTTAGGCGTAGCAAGACCTGAATCTACTGCACTCCGGGGGAATGTTCCTTCATTAGAACGACTGCTAATCCTCGAACGGGGCGTTTGGGAGTGGGAAGACGAGGTATTACTCGTACTGGGTCTTGAAGAGCGGCTGCCAGTGCGGCGAGCTGACACTGCTTGTAGAGTCTCACTATGAGTAGGAGTATTAGTGAATTTCGGGCGGTGAGTATGTTGACTGATTGACCGGGCTCTTGCCCGTGGAGCCTCGTGGGTGTATACTGCTCTAGAGCCATCGTCAAGGTCTACCACCATACTTACACTTGCTGCGGCCGACAAGTTCGCTGCTTGCCGGACTATGGCCATGAAGTCGGTTTCCTGGGGCTGTCTGGTATGACTTGATTTATTACCGCTCGAGTTAGTTCTGCTTGTTCTTTGTCCTCCTGATCTTGTTGACTCCTTTGGAACCCCCAGATGCTCGGCAGTAGGCTCCCTGGACATCTACTTGTCAGCAGTACTCAGCACATTGGTAACTCCTATACATACCATAGGCGGGGAGTAAGCTGGCGGCAGAAACCCGGGCCCCAGCCCCGGCGCAGGTGTCAGTGGCAGTAGGGAATTATCAGGTTCATGAAAGAACCTTGATTGATCCTCATGTGCCCTGTAGATCAATGCATCTTGCACCATGATTGGTGGCTGGGTGTCACAAGACCAACTAACCAGCATTGGGACAATATAACAGTGCCCTTCAGAGACAGTGGTCTAAACCATTGCGCTAAAAGGCCTATTAACCGGCGGTTACTGCAAACCGTCGGTCGCTGGTTAAATACCCAATCCATCCAACTCTAACCAAACTGTCTTGTCACTTCGTGACATTATGCCTTCCCTTTCAGCCCCCTCTTGGGGCCCCAACAGGGATGGGCATGATAGGCCGAAAACTTTCTCCGGGAGGGAGGTTTTTGTCACGGCCGTCGAGCAACCTCTTCCTAATAGACCGACGGTCGACGAACCTCGGCTAACGTGACGCTTCTGAGTCGATGTCTCACCCAACCAGGAGGGCGCAGACGTCGAAAGGAGTGTAACTACGGCGTACTTCGGCGTAGTTATTCTAACTAAGGTTTTGTTCAACTGATGGCGATGTATCTCGATTTATAGCTATCTCTATCTGTCTTTTACTACTGACAACAATCAAGGATCACTGAAGAACTTCAGCGATCTTCTCAGCTAATATTATCTATCCCTCCTAGACGTTCACCCAACCCTCTCGCGCTTTGACGTACTTCAACGCACTTCGTCCAACTTCCCCGAACCCCGGCCATCCTCTTCCTCCTTTGACTAACTCCGCAGAACATCGCCGCACTTCTGCTCCCATTGTCCCTACCTAGCCTAACTCCGTCTAACTTCGCCGCACTTCCGCTCCCATTGTCCCTACCTAGCCTAACTCCGTCTAACTTCGCCATACTTCTGATTCCATTGTCCCTACCTAGCCTAACTTCGCCGTACTTGGTCTCAGGTGTCCTGAGTTACGTGTAGAGTAAAGAGGTTAAGTCGTGATGGGGGTTTTGACGGTCAAAGGAGGGTCGTTGTTGGTGGAATAGTCGAGGTGTCACAACGTAGTTCGTGACAGTTTTCCAAGTAGGGACTGAGCACGACCCAGCCCACCCTGGGAGTCGAACCCAGGATCCTACCCGTAACCGCCGGTTAATCTGTCACGAGACCAACTAACCAGCATTGGGACGATATAACAGTGCCCTTCAGAGACAGTGGTCTAAACCATTGCGCTAAAAGGCCTATTAACCGGCGGTTACTGCAAACCGTCGGTCACTGGTTAAATACCCAATCTGTCACGCGGCGCCGCGTGACATCATCCTTTTCCCATCAAACAAAGTTCCTCTGGACATCAGTTCGCCATCAACGACCCAGTTCTCATGAACTTCATCACCCACGAGGGTATTAGGAGGCTAACTGTCACGAACTACGTCGTGACACCTCAGATTCCACCAGCAATGACCCTCCTTTGACCATCAAAACCCCTATCACGTCATAACCTCGTCACCCCACACGTAACCTAGGACATCTGAGACCAAGTACGGCGAAGTTAGGCGGAGCTAGGTGAACTAGGGACAATGGGAGCAGAAGTACGGCGAAGTTAGGCGGAGTTAGGTGAACCAGGGACAATGTCACGGCCGTCGAACAACTATTTCTTAATAGACCGACGGTCGACGAACCTCGGCTAACTTCACGCTCTGAGTCGATGTCTCACCCAACCAGGAGGGCGCAGACGTCGAAAGGGGTGTAACTACGGCGTACTTCGGCGTAGTTACTCTAACTAGGGTTTTGTTCTACTGATGGCGATGTATCTTGATTTATAGCTATCTCTATCTGTCTTTCACTACTGACAACAATCAAGGATCGCTGAAGAACTTCAGCGATCTTCTCAGCTAATATTATCTACTCCTCCTAGACGTTCATCCAACCCTCTCGCGCTTTGACGTACTTCAACGCACTTCGTCCAACTTCCCCGAGCCCTCGGCCATCCTCTTCCTCCTTCGACTAACTCCGCCTAACATCGCCGCACTTCTGCTCCCATTGTCCCTACTTAGCCTAACTCCGCCTAACATCGCCGCACTTCTGCTCCCATTGTCCCTACTTAGCCTAACATCGCCGCACTTCTGCTCCCATTGTCCCTACTTAGCCTAACCCCGTCTAACTTCGCCGTACTTCTGCTCCCATTGTTCCTACTTAGCCTAACTCCGTCTAACTTCGCCGTACTTGGTGTCAGAAGTCCTGAGTTACGTGTAGAGTAAAGAGGTTAAGGCGTGATGGGGTTTTGATGGCCAAAGGAGGGTCATTGTTGGTGGAGTAATCGAGGTGTCACGACGTAGTTCGTGACAGACAATGGGAGCAGAAGTGCGGCGATGTTAGGCGGAGGTAGTTGAAGGACGGGTAAGGACGGCCGGGACTCGGGGAAGTTGGACGAAGTGCGTTGAAGTACGTCTAAGCGTGAGAGGGTTGGGTGAAGATCTAGGAGGAGTAAATGATATTAGCTGAGAAGATCGCTGAAGTTCTTCAGCGATCCTTGATTGTTGTCAGTAGTGAAAGACATAGAGATAGCTATATACAATCGAGATACATCGCCATCAGTAGAACAAAACCTCAGTTAGAGTAACTACGCCGAAGTACGCCGTAGTTACACTCCTTTCGACGTCTGCGCCCTCCTGATTGGGTGAGACATCGACTTAGAAGCGTCAAGTTAGCCGAGGTTTGTCGACCGTCGGTCTACTAGAAGATAGTTGTTCGACAGCCGTGACAGTATCAAGGATCGCTCTTACCGACGACCCGTGCGAACCTCGGAGAAGTACGAAGATATTATGGAACCAGAAAGGAGAGTTACGCGAGGCATGAGTAGGGATGGAGACAGGATGGAAGAGAACGAGAGGAGAGCATTGGAGGAGCTTAGCAGAGCAATGGGGCAGGACCTCGGAGGGGAAGATAGTGTGGGGGGGTCAGTTCAAGGAGATGAGTTCGTTCCGCCAGTACCTTCTAATCCTCCGACCCCTGCGGCTAATGCTCTTCCACCTGTAGGATCCCCAGTCGGATCAGATCAAACCCCACGCCCACGAGAAAACACTGGTGGTGGAACGAACTTCGGAGAAGGAGGGACGCAAGGGGTGATGTTGGCCTTGGTGCAGATGGTGGCGAATATGAACAAAGATATGATGGAGGAGAGAAGGCGTCGGGAGGAATGGGAGCAGAGAAGAGAAAGAGAGACAGTGGGTGGAATCGCAGAAGGGATATCAGAAGGGGTGAGGTACGCCATGGGACGGCAAGCTTCGGCGACCCCAAGCGTAGCTGGGGAACAACGGAAGGGAATAAAGTTGCCTAACCCAGACCTCTGGAGAGGAGACCGGAATAAGTTAACCGCCTTTCTGTCTGAATGTGACGTACACTTCGAATTAAACTCTCACCTCTTCCCCGATGACACTAAGAAAGTCTTTTTCATGATCTCTCATTTGCGCGAAACACCTCTTCTTGCTGTTCAACCCGACCTATCTAAAAGGCCTCTCCCGGAATACCTCACGACACACAACCAATTCGTTAAGTATCTCAAGACAAACTTCGGTGACCCCGATGAGGAAGGGACTGCTGCACGACAGCTCAATGATCTTAAACAAACCGGTTCTGCTTCGGACTACTTCTCCGCCTTCCAGCGACATGTTGCCATCCTCAAGTGGTCTGACGACGGAAACCTAGTTGATCGGGCCAAGAAAGGTCTGAAATCACACCTCCTAGATGAAATCGCAAGACACGGTAGATCGTTTGGGACTGTGAAAGAGCTATTGGAGTTTGTGATTCCCTTGGACAACCGTCTGTGGAGGAGACAAGTGGAGAAGGAGGCAGAGAGAAAGAGGGAAGGAGGGACAAGAACAATGACGGTGGTGGAAAGTCAGAGGACGGAGAAGAAGAAGAGGAAGAAGAGGAAGAGAGGGAACGAGGACGTTTCTGGCCCACGATTTGGGCGGGGGGGGGAATGGGAACGGCTACGGGTTAGCGATGATTTGGAAAAGCTAAAGAACAGATAAACAAGGCCAAGTTCGGCGAAGGTGTGAGAGAAGGAGTGAAGGACTCACGCGCAGGACCATCCATCTCGTCGTCATCTACATCAACCACCTCTCTCACATCATCATCATCCGAGGACTCTTCTAGCTCACTCTCATCCTCACCTACAACCCTAGCCTCCTCACCTTTCTCATCGTCACCATCATGACCAGCATCGTCCTCATCATCATCATCATCATCATCATCATCATCATCATCATCATCGTCACCCTCTTCTGAGTCAGACCCATCACCCCCACTGAGTGGCTCCTGGTCAGAGGACACCGGGGACTCACCAGGACGGAAGGCGGGCGTCCTGCGGCGAGGGACGGCGGGAGAAGCGGAACGAGGAGGAGAAGCAGTGCCGGATGGCTCCCTCAGAGAAAGAGTACCGAGACCGAGGGAGGAGACTTGGCGAGATCTGTCGCCGAGGGAAACTGGACGTCAGCCGAGTTCGGCGACGTAAGTAGACTATTGCTGAGAAACTCACGGGCAGATGACGCCAAACCACCAAAGTTCCTCATAGCGGCGAACGCGTTGGGGGTGGGAGTAGGAGGGGCCATGACGTTAAGATACTTAAAGAAGTAAAACTAAGAATGATAGATCGAGGTAATAAATCTGTTTTCTAGGTAAGAGAGATAGAAAGTTTTGAGAACAGATGGGGAAAAGAGAAATGCTCGACGAACTGCTCAGTACTTAGTATAATCAGGCCTACCCCCTCGTCGTCAACATGAGGCAAACATCGCGTTTCATCAACAAAAGGCAGCACAGGGACGATCAAAATTCCCACGCTATAGTGTCTCATTCCAATATAAACGAGGGTTACCTCAACGAACAACGGCGTTGTTCGGCAACCATTCGGGAAGCGTGTCTCACCTACAAAAGATACAGGGCTCGTTACGGCGAACCTCGACGAAGTTAGGGGACTCTCATTGTCGGGATTCTGGGTGAAAGGAGGCCTAACTATGAGGTGCGGCGAAGACAGCATAAGTGCGAAGGACGAATGGAGGGGAGGAGAGTGAATGGGGAGTACGGCGCTGCTGAGTTCTTCTTGCCATGATAGAAGTGTAATCGCTCACGAGGACGTTCGCGGCCAAGGAGGGGGCGACTGTCACGAACTACGTCGTGACACCTCAGATTCCACCAGCAATGACCCTCCTTTGACCATCAAAACCCCTATCACGTCATAACCTCGTCACCCCACACGTAACCTAGGACATCTGAGACCAAGTACAGCGAAGTTAGGCGGAGCTAGGTGAACTAGGGACAATGGGAGCAGAAGTACGGCGAAGTTAGGCGGAGTTAGGTGAACCAGGGACAATGGGAGCAGAAGTGCGGCGATGTTAGGCGGAGGTAGTTGAAGGACGGGTAAGGACGGCCGGGACTCGGGGAAGTTGGACGAAGTGCGTTGAAGTACGTCTAAGCGTGAGAGGGTTGGGTGAAGATCTAGGAGGAGTAAATGATATTAGCTGAGAAGATCGCTGAAGTTCTTCAGCGATCCTTGATTGTTGTCAGTAGTGAAAGACATAGAGATAGCTATATACAATCGAGATACATCGCCATCAGTAGAACAAAACCTCAGTTAGAGTAACTACGCCGAAGTACGCCGTAGTTACACTCCTTTCGACGTCTGCGCCCTCCTGATTGGGTGAGACATCGACTTAGAAGCGTCAAGTTAGCCGAGGTTCGTCGACCGTCGGTCTACTAGAAGATAGTTGTTCGACAGCCGTGACACTAACTTCGTCGAGGGCGAAGTTAGTCATGTAGGAAGTTAGGGAGTTACAAAGTTAGGAAGATACGAAGTTAGGGAGATACGAAGTTAGGAAGATACGAAGTTAGGGAGGCACGAACTTCTTCGGGTTGAACGAAGTTCTGCGTTGACGAAGTTAGGGAAGGACGAAGTACTTAAGGGCCGAAGTTCCCAGAGATCTTTGACAATCTCTGGTTGTTGTCTTAGTGATAGAAGTTAGTAAAGTACGAAGTTATTACACCCAGAAGTTATTGTCACCTATTTCATATCTCGAACAACGAAGTTGGTAAAGGTCGAAGCCCACGAAGTTATTGGCCGTCGGTCGTAAGAAGTTAACAAAGAAGCAACCTTGTGACACAATCCATCCAACTCTAACCAAACTGTCTTGTCACATCGTGACACTGGGGAAGAAGTGGTCCTACCCAATCTGAATGGGATGGGTGTGAGGAAGAATGAGAGGTCCATGTGCTGGGCTGAGTGTCATCTCTTCCCAATAAATTTGCAAGTTGACCATGTGAACGTCTTATTGTAGATGCATCTAGAGATCCCATTGCAGGCCCTTCAAGAAGGGAGTGAGCTGAATATGTTGGAGTCACTGACGATTCAGAGGACGGAGAGGACTGAGAGAACTCAGAGCCAGAGTTTGACTTATGGGGGGAATTTCTCACTACTACTCCGTTGATGGATGAAGGGCTCGGCGGGGGGGAAGTCAACATTTACAATTATATTTTCAGGGTCAAGTTTGGACTGAAAGTGGGTAGGAGACTGCATGGACCATATTCTTTATAGGTTTCAAAGTGAGGGAGTTGAGGGTCTTGATTTAACCCAAGCGGAAATTCTACCACGGATCAAAGGTGAAGGTGTGATGCTTGTTAGGTTGATTTCGAACTCCCCTTCGTTCCTTTTGATCGAGAACCAGCTCCGTCCGGGCAGAGGCGGTGCGAGATCGATCCATTGACGATCCTGTTTTTTGGGGGAGGATCCAGGGGGAGAACCAGAGGTTCTAATCCAAGAATAATCCTTGGAGGATACGCCTGGGTTGATAGAGGATCGTTCTTGCTTTGTTCCGTCTAAAACGTTTTCCTCCAAGTGGGCGGGAGAACCAAGAGGGTAGAAAAACATCGCTTTTTCGTCCTTCACCGCCCCGAGAGTTCGCCTTCGATACGGACGATATGTCCGCTTGGTCGGAGAGTCGATGAGTAAGACAGGCGAATAGTCAGAGGCGAGCATGGTGGTGCATATCAAGATGGTAAAAATCGCGATAGTAGTAAAACCCTCATCTCGTCTTCAATCGAAAGGAAATGTATTCCATGAGATGTTCGAGAGTTTATTAGGATATTCCCAGTGATACGCTAAAGACTTTCCATCTCTCCCATCCTGACGGAAACTTTGGTCTCGAGGCACAGAGTAATCTTCGTTTGATGACACAAGAAAGTTGTCGGCATCGTATGAGATGAAAGACGATGAAACGTCTCATATTCTACTGTCGAGTGAGGATGGCGATAAAGTTCTCAAAGCGACGACGAAGGACATGAAGGCAGCTACAACAAGCCCCGACGGTAGACGTTGAATCCCTTCTTCGCCTGCAGTCACTTTTTCTGGAGGAGCCTGTACCGGAACAGTATCGTTGTCAGCACGCACCGTATTCGGTTGTGTGGGGCTGGATTGATGTCTAGAGGTGGATTGATGGTCATTGTCCTCGACTGACAAGTTGAAGGAGAAAGTTTGTGGCTGGAAATGACCGCTAAATTTGATGATTGTCCCCTTTGCACTAAAACCCTCCCGTCCTACTTGCAGTGAACCATCCGTCGGACCATGGGAGCCCAGTGTCTTCGTGTGCCCAGTGGTCTCAGCGCTAGACGAGACCGACCTGACTTCTCTATGTCTGCGGCTTGTCGATTGACGTTCATCGTCATGCCGCTGGTTCGTATCTGCGTTTGGTGCGCGATAAGAGGTTGAACGTCTCGTATCTGCGTTTGGTACGCGATGAGAGGTTGAACGTCTGTCTGAAACCTGCCGGGGGGCAGGTTGAATGATTGAGTCCACATCAATTTCAGCCTGACCTTCTTCCGAAAGAGGTACCTGGAAAACCGGAACGTAGGGCATGAGTACGGTTTGAGAAGGAGCGGGATTTGGTGGATAAGGATGGGAAGATACATTCGTCCCAGAGACATGAGTCGGGAAAGGAATGGGCTGTCTATTGGGATCTTGGGATGGTACCACCCTTGACGAATCAGCTTCTATGCTAGCGAGAAAGGAAGAACATACCACACTGGCGGCCAGCCATGATTAGATGGAGGATATCCAGGCGGCGGGGGGTAAGGAGCTGCTGACTGAGATGGATGAGACATATCACCATCAAGGTATGGTACACTTTCTGGTGGCGGTGGTGGTGGAAGCGATCCTGACGGAGGGCCACTTGACGTATGAGATTGGTTGGTAAGATGTAATCCGTCCAGACCGTGAGGATGAGGAAGTCCATTGACATGTATTGTCTCACGAGTGACAGGTGTTGAGGACACGGCCGGAGACGTGCACCTCCGGAGCTGCATGGTTCAAAACCCCCCTCTTGGACCCGGCCAGAGAACCATGCAGCTCCAGAGGTGTCCAGACACGGCCAGAGCAATTTTGCTCTTATGATCCTCAAGCTCTCCACATACATAAATCACAGTACAGATATCCTGTGGTCCATCTTCTGGACTCTTGGAGTCATGGTGGTCTGGCCCCACAACTTGAAGTCTATAACACTGCAACAATTACCTATGATACATCACCATTGGAATTTCCCCTGGTTCAAGATATTGACTGACCTTCTAGTCAAATACAGCATGTGATGATGAACAGCACTTTGATGGTTACCTCTTACACTTGCCTTAGTAGAGCATCTGCACTTTGGAGTTACCAACACTGTCTTGTACAGCGTGGAGGATCTGTTATTGATGTTTCTCTGAATGGGAATGGCTAAAGGGAGTGTTCAGCTCCGGAGTGGTACATCTCTGGCTGGGAATGATCAGGTCCGTGCAGCTCTGGAGGTGCACGTCTCCGGCCGTGTCCCTAACAACAGGTACGGAAGCTGCACGCCGTGGCCCATTTTGAGTCTGAATCTGCTGTAGGGAGTTGGCCAAACTCCGTATGACTGAGTCAGCCGGTGGAGGAGCATCAGAGAATTGGGTATGTGGAGGGTTCGACATATCAAAACCTGTTATTGGAGTGCTCAGAGCCGCAGTAGTCACGCCGGTATTGTTCGCTGGTGTATCTTCTCGCTCGACAATGGGAGATCCTTGAGTGGGTGAGTGAATGTGCGGTGATGCGGGCAATGATGGATTAGTAGGAGCAGGGGCGTAGACTCCCCATGGACTACTCACTGTCCCAACAGGTCCATAACCATCAGTAGGCGGAATTCCTTCTGAACTTTGGGAGCCTGAGGGCGAGGGATGACCTTCTGTTGGAAACCCATTTGATCGAACATTCGATGATGGAGTACTTGAGTCGAGGCCAGACATCTAGGACGGTTGTTCGATACGAGTGTACTTCAATATTTATAGAATAGAACCTATAAATCAGTCTCTTGTCTTCTTCTCAACTTATAAATATATTCCTCAAACTTCGACCAAACCGACTCACCTCGTCATCGTATGACCCAATCAACGGAAGTTGGAAGAAAGGATGACACATCATGCCTTCTTTGATACAACTTTCATCTATATTTTCATCGCATTATGATGATGTTGATAGTAGTGTAAGATCCGAGAATGAGGTATATGACGTATGAATCTTCTGTTGAACCAATGAATCGAACTCAGGAGGTGAAAAGCGGAATGACATAGTGGGTCCTATGGGCGGTGTACTTTCCAGGAGTAAGAAGATGATGGAATGGTGCGTTTTGACCGGGGCTGTGTATATGTGACGTCTTTATCTTGCTTATCGACTTTGATATGTTCGTAACTGCTGGTATCTGAAGTAAGTATATCAAATATAGTCAGTATCGAAAACACCAAGAGTCATGTTGCGATACGATCAGTGAGGTCAGGTACAGTTGTCAAGGTTTCGGAGATGTCTCTTTCAGGAAACACTTTTGACGAAAGGAGGTCTCTATTTCTGATCGGATCTTTCTTCTTCGTACCTGGTCGTGAATACTTTCAACGGCCGAATCCAATTCCTTCTTGACAACCAGATGATTAGTGAGAGCCACTTCGGGCACACTCCTTTTCTGATAAGTACCGAGTAGTTGAGATCAATATCGTTGAGACATTGCAGGCATTATACATCTCTTAATCTCATGATCAATGCTTTAGATGCACTTTTACACTATTGTTTAATAGTACAAAATAGGAATGAAATATGAATGAAAATCATGAACACAAATTCCTTTTTCTCTCCCTTTAATTAATCCTGTTATCGCCTTTTTGCAATCCAAACACACAATAAGTGTATCAAAAACATTCCCACATTATCCCAGACATTTCCAGAACGCCCAAAAAGTAGTCCCCAAAACCCTCTATGCCCGTTAGAAATCCGGTTGTATCCAAACATATCTCGACAGATTCCCCTTCATCAAGTGATCACCAACAGGGACAAACTTCATCTCCGGATCGATTCGACCGTTAATGAAGATGTCATCACGCCCAAGTTTCATCCTCGTACCAACCCGTAAAGATGCTTCCATTATATGACCGAGTCCTTGGACTGACATTGATGATCACCTCTTTCCTCCCTTCCTTATCCGGTATGAGAGGTTTAAATTCCCCCACCGTTTTCAAACTCGCAGGATCGATCGATTTATCTTGTGTCAAGCTTCCCACTATACCGTTCCGTAACGCAGATGCACTGGCGACTGTCCTCACGCTTTCCGGACTGGTTTCTCCCCCAGCTTCGTCGGGTTGATCAGTGATTAGTAGATCGGGAGTTGGCAGATCTTCGTCGAGATGAGCAGAATCAAGATATTCGGCGAAAAGAGCGTCATCGTTGAGCATGAATCCGCTAGGTGCACCGACGACTCCGAGACCGAGAGGAGGTAGTTGAGGAGGTGGTTTGGCTGTAGCAGCTTCGGCTCGAGCTTTCGCAGCTGCTTCTTTGGCTTGTTCGTATGACTCCAAAGCTTCTACGAAAGCTTGCATGACGTCACCTTCCGCTGTCCCTTCCTCTAATCGTCGAAGCTCGGCGAGGAATTCAAGATTCTCTTCATGTTTTGGATCTCGGGCAGGAGGTTCAGGTTCGGGTTCTGGTGCAGGTTCGGGTTTAGCAGCAAAGTCGATGTGGAGTGCGTTCTTCGGTACAGCAGGAGTAGGAGCAGTAGGAGTGGGAGCAGTTTCAGTGGCCTTACGCTTCTTGTCCGTCTTATCTCCAGTTTTATTCTCCTTGCTGGTCCGCTTGCCAGTTTCTGACTTCTCCTCGTCGCGCTTGCGTTTGCCTTTGACGCCAGTACTCGGGGACGGTTTGTCTTCGTGTGGTGTCTTTGCGGGAGCAGGTGCGGGTACAGGAGTAGGTGCGGATGCTAACTTGGGAGTAGGAGTGGAAGTAGCAGCAGTCTTCTTCTGTCGCCGCGCAGGAGGAGGTTTCAAATCTTCCACTCGTAGTCCTTGAGGAAGTCGAGAGGCGTTTGCATCCATTTGCGGCGTTGGCGGTTTGGCAGATTGAGGTTGATGGGCAGACTGTACCGGAATGGTAGATGGAGGACGCATAGGTACAGGGGCAGGGGGAGGAGCGCTGGTTACAGGAGGAGCCGGCGCAGGTGCAGGGACTGGAGCTGGTGCCGTCGGTAAGGTCTGAGAGGCCGGAGGAGGAACGGAAGGCGGAGCAATTATGGGGGTCGAGATGTTGGCATTGTCAATGGCTGTAAACAGCCGTCGGAGATTGACAGAACCTTCGTTCGATTGATTCAAAGCTTGTTGTATCAAATCACTAATTTTGTTCTGCCCGTTTGACAACGTTTTGCCGAGTCGTACAACTTCATCTATTGTAAACATATATCGTCCAGCTTCAATGCCCTCGAGCGCCATGAAAGCGAGAAGATACTGAGCGTCAGTCCTCATGTCATTGCATTTCAACGGGAGTGCTTGGAAATACTAGAGCATAGGTAGAATGATTCAAACAAGTATCAGGCTAAGATGAGATTACTCACCCAGGTGATCATTTGACCAGCGTGAGACACATCATCGATCGATAAGCGCTCCGCAGCAGCCAAAATGTATTTGACTATCCTACTCCTCATATCCTGAGCTGTGGGCTGGAGAGCCCGTACCTCGGCGTCGTATCGTCTGCGATCCTCATCCGAAAAGGTCTGTACTTTGTTTGCGACATTTTCTGAGCTCAGTGAATCGAATCAGTAGAAATTTGTGGGAACACTCACGAAACCTAGCTCTGATGGAATCCTCCTTACTTCTGACGAACTGCATCACATGCCCGGGGTTACTCTTAAACGCCTGTAAAGCGATCAGATTCTGAGTCTGCTGTTGAGTGGGTTGAGTATGTGTTGAGGGTCCCGTCGCACCCATGGGAAGTTGAGGCAGTCCCTGAATCTGTGGTACAGATGTCGGATTTGACAGAGATGTCTGAGGTATTGGCGGCCTGGGCTGTGACATTTGAGTCTGTTGGGGTACCTGTTGCTGGATGTTCTGTCCCAGCGGAGGCGCTTGGAATTGCCCTTGTTGTTGACCGAAAGACAATCTCCGAGCTTCCTCAAGGATCTTTCGCTGTTGATCGTTCATCGCCATTTGGGGTCCTTTCGCTACTGCATCCAGGAATTGACTCGATATCGCTTGAGTAGACATGGAAGAGGGACCTTGAGGTCCTCGAGGCATATGAGGTAGTTGTGACGGCTTTTGAGGAGGAGGTTGCATGATCTGAGAAGGTGGAAGAGATGAAGGAGCAGGCTGGGCGAATTGAGATGACGATGACTGTTGTGTCATGGGTTGGGCTTGAGGAGGGGGTGGAGGCGCTTGTTGAGGAGGTTGCTGGTTACGAGGTGGTATTTGTCCATTCACCAACTTCGTTTGATACACCTTGTCGTAGATGAATGACTCTGTTTTCGCCAGCAAGCCACGATAGCAAGACATGATCTGCACGGCGATCTGGGGAGTTGATTTGGCAACACCATGCTCCGCAAATCCAAGCATCGCTCCAAAGGTCTGCCAAGAAGCGAGATTACCGGCGAGCTGCATATCATCAGCGATATTCTCAGGGCTCGTAAAATAGGGCGACATCAGGTGTTCAAGGGGGACCAATTCGTTCTGTACCGGATTCACCAACAGGAAGATAGAGTCGCGATCTAACGACTACATGAAGATAGAATCTGATTTGACTGAAGCTGATGAAGAGAGATACACGGAATACAAGAGGCGACTCACATGTGCACTACCACCGTTTCGATGGACTAGATTGAACAACTGATGCAAGTCCAGCGGCTTTCCGTCGATTGTCGGGAAGACAAGCTGTGGATTCCCGTTCATACTCCTGACCAGCTGCATAAACTTATCCGGAGGTAAATTGATCGGTTCCTGGGAGAAATTCATCCCATGCCAGGGTTTCGGGGCATCAGGCGCACTCGTGTTCGGTATTTGACTACCAGCCGGAAGCTGTGGTTGAGATTGCTGAAACGGTAGTTGGGGCGGCATGGACGGAGGTTGCGACTGTTGGACCGGTCGTTGAGCATCATTTCCGAAACTCGTTGCGCGATGATGTTGCTGCTGCTGCGGTGGTGGTGGTTGTAGCTTTTGCTGCTGATGGGCCTGTTGTTGCTGCTGCTGATGGGCCTGTTGTTGCTGCTGGATCTGTTGTTGTATCTGCTGTTGGTGATTGAGATGTTGCTGCTGCTGCTGCTGCTGCTGCTGTTGTTGTTGTTGACTGAGTTGCTGCTGCTGTTGTTGATTGAGATGCTGTTGCTGCTGTTGATGTTGCTGCTGCTGACGTTGCTGCATCGCCACGTGACTCATTTGCTGGACTTGCTGAAGCGGAGTGGAACCAGGTCCAGCCGTATTGGACTGGAACATTTGCTGAGGAGTTTGCATGGAGACAGCAGGAGTAGAAATATCGATAGGGTTGGTTTGACTTCCGGTCTGAGAAGGTCCAGGCTGAGAAGATGTCATCGCGTTCTGATGTTGCGGTTGTTGCTGCTGTTGTTGTGGTTGGGGAGGAGGACGTGAGTTTTGCTGAGCGAATTGTTGTTGTCGATGAGCGATCTGTCCCAATTGATCCCAACGCATTTGTAACAGTTCAGAATTCCCGAACCTGCCTCTGTCAGCAAATTAGATTTTCGTTCATGCTAGATGACTTACAGTTGACTGAAAGCTTCTTGGGTGGGACCGGAGATGGCCACATTGCGTTTCTTGCACTCCGCGATGGTGTGTAGGATGTACGCCTTGATCATATCCGTGTTCGTGTTCTGATCTCATAAGCCAAGAGGAAGGAAAAAAGCAGGTGAAACTTACGTTCGGAAGAGCTAATCGAAGACGCGCTATCATTGAATCGAGAGCTCTGTGCAAAGCGTCATTGGGCATATTTTGAACAGCGTGAACGAATCCAGCTCGGGTGGGATTGTCCCCGGAAACGTTTTGTTGTAACGGCGGTCGTGGCTGTGATTGCTGCTGCTGCTGTTGCAGCGGTTGCATCTGCTGGATTTGAGGCGGTTGGGGTTGATGCATGGGAGCATGAGTTTGTGGCGGGGGAGGGGGAGGAGGTCGAGGTTGACTCTGAGACAGAGTGCGCATATGTTGAGGTTGTTGAGCGATCGATTGAGCTGTCATTGGTTGCGGAGATGCTTGAGGTAGGGCTTGTGCCTGAGCTATTTGAGGGGTGACAAGTCCCTGACGTTGTTGTCGTTCTTTCATAGCTTGCAACTGGCGGATTAGCCGGAGTGTATAGGAAATGCGATGGACTTACCGCCAAGATTTGCTTCTGAGCGTCATTGTGCATTCCCGCAAATTGCCCTTGAAGAGTATTTTGCAGACTCTGATAATCGATCTCTTGCGGAGGCCGGGGAGGCAGCTGACTCATTTGTTGAGGTGGTCGGACATTCTGCATCTGGGGCGTGGGATAAGTCGGTCCCGATGGAGCAGGAGCAAGTCCACCATTGACGCCAACGATGTGAGGGGTACGTTGTTGTGGTGCTAAAGTCGTGGGAGCTTGTGGAGGTTGCTGTTGATGATACTGTTGTTGTTGTGATTGCTGCTGCTGTATAATTTGACCTTGCTGCTGTTGCTGCAGTTGAGATTGTTGTTGCGGTTGAAGTGAACCGAGTTGCAGCCGATTTAACATATGAGCGGGAACGACACGTGAAAGGTCGAGAAGCATCGCCATACGATCACCGCCGTGACGTGACAGATACTCGGCTTCGATGTTGGGTTGCGAGCGAAGCCAGGCATCGAGCATAAATATCGTCTCCTGAGGGGCGTGTGGCATGGGCTGTTGAGGAAGCTGCTGGGGTTGCGTCTGAGGCATATTTTGTGTCATATTGGGATTGCTTAACATTCTGAGTACAGTCAGCACTGTTCAAATTGGCCACCATACTGACCACCGTACTGTCTCGTCTCTACATGATACGGAAGTCAGTGGACGAGAGAAGACACTCACGACTGTAATGCAGCCTGTCTTCGGCCTTGTTCGTTTTCTCCTCCTTGACCAGGTCCCAATCCTTGCTGATGAGTGTGCATATTGTATGGATTTGTCGCAGGATTGGCCATGGCTTGAATCCCTTGAGGTCTGACGAACTGCTGGTGTGGCGTGCCAGCGGGAGGCATGCCGGGAACCTGGTTGACGGGCATGCCGTTAGGCATATTCATTCGGCCGTTGTTCCCCTGCAGCATTTGCATCGTTTGCGGGTTCATCTGTCCCATCATGGCGAGGTTACCAGTCATCACTCCCTGACTTTGGTTTCCACCGTTCATATTCCCACCCATGTGTCCTGGATGACCTTGATTCATTTGCTGCTGTTGGGGCATTTGATAGGTGTTCATGTCGGATTGAGACGGTGGCGGAGGGTCCGGAGAAGTATCGGTGTGGGAAGGATGACCTTGCTCTTGCCTTTCGAGGTCAAGTTTGGCTGATTCTTGAGATTGTATACGTTGGTAGACTTGAAGGAAACTGGAGATGGGGATCTGAGGATTTGATGGGTTGTAACCCTGGGGCGGTTGAGGGAAGGAATAGTTTGCAGGATCGAAATTCCGACCTTGAGCTTGGGCTTGGGCTCGGAAGGCATGCATGAGGGAAGCTTCTAATAGGTTGGGGGGAAGAGGGTCGGGCATGGTCACGGTGGTTCACACGTACTAGAAATATAAGCGACTCATCTCAAGCACTCAATCACATTTGCGATGACGGTGGACAGGGGACCGAGCCATATCGGGACATGAGGAGAAGTGAGAGTGAGACAAACGAGTCGAAGTGAATGAAGGATGACGTTACTGTCTGAGATTCCCCAAAGCAGAACAAATCGAATGTGGCATCTGATCAAATGTGACGGAAGCACAGCTTGGGTCAAAATAGACATCAATAGACCTCAGGATAGGAAGGAAAGGTAGACAAAATTGAACACGGAACAAGGGGATGATTTATGCAAGTGTCCTTTGGACAGTTTCGGAAGAGGGAAGGAAGATAAGAGACCGAGAAGCACGGTGGCCATGGAGCGGGAAAGTTAAAGTGATAAGGATGTGTGGAATTAGAAGGGTAGTTGGATCGAAGGCGAGAAGGTGGCTGCAAGTCGGGGTGATTGTAGGTTAGGTGGAATGGTCAAGGGAGGACAATGCAAGTATGTCTTACAGACCAACGGACGTGACATGGATGATGAATGTGGGACAAGTGATAGTTGATCCCTGACCACGCCGCCTTGAACCAAGCACGGTTGAATGAGAGAAGCATAAAGTGACTCACACCTGATCCCCTCACACGGAAATTCCCAGTTTTCTGACTAATCCTCTCTTTCACCTCCTCCAAAAGTTGACTTGAGTTCGCCTTGAAGGGCGTGTTGAGCGTCGTGGCGCGCTCAGATATGAATAAGTTGAGTTGAGATGAGAGTTTGATGGGGATGAATCATGAGACAAGGCAATGGATCGATCGTTGATATATATTTGAACAGTAGCCGGATTGAGACAGAGAGACACGATAGATGAACGTGACAGAGAGTGAGAGCAAGACAGAGAGTATCAGAGCAAGAGATTGAGAGCAGGGACGTATCGCCACTACGAAGGAGAAGATGTTGTCGAGATGGAGGCGATGTGTGAGGATGGATGATTGGATGGTGGGAAAAGCGCGGAGGCGGGCGGGCGGCCAATGTGGATTAGGCGTAGAGAGGATTAGGATTGGAAAGGGCGGAAGGAGAGAGGAGGGGAGCAAGCCTGTTGAACAGCTCTACAGGCGAGAGAGGCCTGATCGTCGTCCGGCCTTGTCGGCGTCGGATAAGCAGGGAAGTTTCTTGAGGCTGAGGTTGAATCGTAAATGGAAGGAAAGATTTGACAATGTTCTTAGGATGATGGACGTTGGAACGTGGGTATGAGTTTCCTTGCGAGTGGAGTGATGAGTGAGTGAGATGCAATGAGGCTAAGCTAGGGATGGAATTGGAAGGCAATGGTGTGTTTTGATGTGATGGCGTCGGTCGCGTGGCACAAGCATTAGATGGTACCCACCCACGGTCAGGGCGTCGTTTAGAGGTAGAAGGTGAATAAGGGGGTCCTTTCCTCGGTCTCGTAAGGGCTTCAAAGACGATTCGGGTATCAAGTCAAGTAGGTCGCCACCTGCTTAGTCTTGAACAGGTGAATGGTAGGTTGTCCACAGCTGACCTAGTAAACCTCCAGAGACGTCTGAGCGATACCACGATGTATGGGAATAGTAGGGATTTGAGACCCGGTTGGGGGAAGATCGATTTTGATGATGGTGGCTGATGGAGATGAAAAAAGCGATCAAAGCTACCGGTGGGTCTGAGTGGCAGTGGGGTAAGGGAGGGTCGTGCGCTCCGTCCTAATCTCGGACCCGAATTCCACTTTGGGTCTTTTTTCACTCGGTTCGCGCTACGTCGTACTAACCAGGATTGACACAATAGCCAAAGCACTGGACGCCCAGTAAGCCAGTAGGTCAATAGGTTGAACAAGACAATACGACAATGGCGAGATAGACAAGTAGCAAGTGGGAAGAAAACATGCATAAAGTGGGCTTCTTCTTTCGAGCTGAGCGGCAACACCCTTTCTTATTCCCCTGGCTTACTGGGCTCACTACTGACCCGAACCGGCGGTGGGAGGGGAGGGCAAAAGGTCGGGAGCAAGTTGACGGGGAATTTTTTCCGATCTCGTGACCCTAACCTGACGCCATACAACGCGTTCCTACCCCACATTCCCCAGATCCGGGTCTGGTGCATGCTGCATAGATTGACTCTTGTAAATCCACTCTACATGGATGCTGCATGCTGCACTCTATGGTTCATGCTTCGCACTTCACCGTCACCGCTTTCCTCGAGGATTCAGTCACGGACACATGTACAAAAGACCGTGCACGAGGGGAGAACGACAATGATCCGCGGGATTAGTGATGCAGTGGGACTAAAGAGTCCGAGCGTGGCGCCGAAGAAACGGGTTGGATACCGGTAAAGAGACCCGGTCGGGTGGGGTAGGATAGGGGTACCTTTACGTATCGTAAGCCCCAAGCCATGGATTGGCAGATATCCTACGTTGATCTGATCTTCCGTAGGCCACAGGAATGTTCAACCTCAAGTATACAGGTAGATGGGTGGGGGAAGATCAGGTGGGTCATCATTCCATCTTGGGAAGGGAGGGAAACACCTCGGTGACATTTTGATCATGCCACTTGGCCCATGGTCTATCACACTGATGATTTGGTATGAGTGATCATCCTTGCTAATGGGCAGGCGCCTAGCAATACCCTCTCAAGTATCATCCTTGACAATCTTCGAGACAGATCGCACCTACCCTCCAACTTTCGTCGTCAACATATACACTTCCACAGCTCTTTGTCCAATGACACTTTACTCCGCCTCGTGCACCCATGTATTTCACCTACCATTCCAAAATGATCACCCTCCCCCCATACTCTCCCCGTCTCTTTTCTCCCTGACCTTTCGACCACGCTTCGTCCACCTCCTCCCCCAAGAGTAACTCCACAATCTTGCGTGAACTTCATCATGCCTACTCAAACTTCCTATCTCAACCCATCCTGTCGGACTGTTCAGTTTTCAAAGTTAATTCAAGCGAGGTCTTGGGGAGGCCGCGCAATCGTCTGGCGAAGATAGTAGCCAGAAGAAGGTACTGATTCGTCGTTGTCTCAGAGTGAACCTCGAAGGAGCAGGCCTTGTGGAAGCTCTTGAGACGATAAGATGATTTGTCTGGGAATTTGCTCCTTTCACAGAGGCGGACACCGACATCCCCGCCGGTCTGTTCGAGTTCACCAGGATTGTAGGGTAGGAGAGAGGTGCGGATGTACCAGTGGATCTAGGGTAACATACGCCATTCGAGAAGATCAGTAGGAAAACAGGGTGACCGCAGAGCCAAAGCAAGGCGAGGAGAAGGGGCGGTACCCAGTTGCGTGGAAAATCAAGTAGAGGAAGAGATACCTCAGGGGGGATGAAGAGAATGTCTGGCAAAAAACCTGTCCAAATTGAAGGCGGGAGGGAAAGCGATGCTTAAGGGAGTCGAGAGGTGATGGAAGAACGGCAACCTCAAGCCGGTGGACAAGTCAGAAGACCGAGTTGTGCACCGTTCATATGAAGGATGAGAAAGGAGAGTTAGGACGGCTACGGAAAGATGACGTAACACCGACGTACCAAACCGCGGCAAAAGTCGGGCGTGGAAGACATGACCCAGCGGAAGAGTGGGAGGGAAAAGCGATACGAGCACAGCGTTTGTCAGGAGATTAGATGTCTTCTCTCTCTGTGGATATGGATAGGATTTTGACGTGATACACCTCCCCGTTGTCGCAGAATTATAAGGAGAAACGATAGATCGACCGACCATACCACCGAGAAGGCCCCATGTACCACGTTGGCGAAAGAGTGAGAAGGAAAGGAGGATCATTGAGTATGGTACTTGGGGATCTGGGACAGAAAAGTGTGAAGAGGAAGAGTTGATGACCTCATCGTTATCATTTGGAGGAATCCAGGGATGGAAAACGATAAGGTTCACAAGCGGACTAAATATCAACATACCTTTACTCCAAAGGGCAAGTGCGGAAAAGCAGTACATACGACGTACTCCATCGGGCTGAGGGATAAGAAGGAGACGATCCAAAGTCTCTTGAGATAAGGGAGTGGAAGGGATAATGACGTAGAAACATATCTCAAACGGGAAAAGGCGATACATTTCCATTCGACCGATACCGCGGCTTGGAACTAAGCGAGTGGAATACAGGTTGGAAAGGAAAGTCGTCGGTCATCGAGGCGGTGAAGAAGACGTGTTGATGCCGGAGTGGGAAGAGTGGAGGATGTTAGAGATTATAAATAGGGGAATGTGGAATATGGATTTGTGAGATATTTTTCTTTTTTTATCAATCAACTCAGAACTTACCATAAATCCGTACAAATGCCAAATTCGCAGGACTCGCAAGGTACTGGACCGCCGAGTTTGACTATTCCAGGCTACATTTATGGTACATCCCCTTCCGGTCCCCCCTCCTTTCCAGCACTCGTCAATTTGTTTTCGAAGAATTCAGGTCCAGCCACCCCTGATAGCGATGCAAATACAAGTTCTTTGGGGGGGAAATTACTTTCGCTCCTTCCGAAGTCGTTTCGCGGCAAGTCGACTCAGTTGGCAGAGAAGTCTGGTATCCATTCTGAAACTTCCACTCCAGACGGACAAGCCGAAGAGACTGCCGAATTCGTTCACTCGGACGCCACAAAGTTAACTTCTCCAGCGCCATCCGGAGTAACGGAAGAACAACCTATTGTCACTAGGATCTCAGATGAAAATGACCCTCGTCCATCCACAAATCTCGGAGACGGGACGCCAGGGGCGGATAACGGTAGTAAACACTTCTGATCCTCATACTCTTGCCAGGGATCTCCTCTCTACCCCTTGATAGATGATGATAAGAATGCAACGTATACGTCAGTCCATATTGACCTTTTTTGATCCTCAAACCGCAGATATCCCCGATCGTTAGAGACGTTTCTCGTTCATCTCTCACCCGTGGAGCGTACACCGCTTTTTGGAACGAAAGAGAAAGGAACGACAATTTGAGATTTGGTAAGCTTTCTCATCCAATTTCCAACTCTGCGGAGTGAATCAGTTGGAGGAATTCGTATAATAACCCGACTGACAAGGAAAACGTTCAATCCGAACGACATTTTACCCTCAACTTGAGTCTTGTTCCATATTTACATTCATCGCTCAAATGACCACCGCAGAATCGAACGGTACCATCGACCGTACTGGTGATTATACACCCGGTAATGACACAGCGACGTCTCCCTCACAGAGGGAGGAAGTGGACATCTCTGATTCGAGTGTTGACAAGCAGGATGAGAAACACCGAGTTGATAAGTTTGTGATTAACAAAACTGATCTTGACCAGGCATTGGAAACCACTTTAGCCTCTGAGGGGTTCACAAATAAGATCCTTCTCCAGAACCAAGATCATCAACGAGTGCTTGCCCTTCTGCAGCCTCTTTCTTGTTTGAAAGAGGGAATCCGCCGCCTCAAAACACTACCACTATAGCAATCAAGAAGACTTCCCCCTCATCTGGCGACAACTTATACTCACAAGCCCACTCAGTCGCAAATTGACATGTTTGATCCAAACCGGCATTGGACACTCCCAATCTTTTACCCTAAGAGAGGACCAGGTAGGATGATGATAGTCAGTATGAATACACTTACGCGTGATCGTCCTTCTATACAGTATGTACATACTATACGTGCAGTACAGACACTTCATTAGCTTCCTGCTCGACGTCGTTTTGTCCAGCTGCTAGCTGAGTTTGATCAGTTGCAGACTGGGATCAAAATGAGAAGGGAAAAGAATTGATTATCCGGCTTCACATAGGTACATGATTGTTCCAATACCGCATATACATATATTGATATAGACATACTGATAGAGTATCAAACCACACTACTTGATGTGGAACTAATTCGCTTACCTATCACTGCCCTACATGATGAACACAATTTGAACTCTCATGAAGGAGAGCAGGTCAAGACGTTGAAGTTTCGAAATGCCGATTTCGGCCTACCAATATCGTTCATGTTTGAGAGTGCGCTTTTGATACGAATCATCAAGAAGGAGAAACAATCAAGTTGTCTACCAAGCAAATTGAATTAGAAGATCACTTATCGCCTTCTCAAGCAGGAGATGACGCGTCCACGGATTGATTCATGTTATTTCATATCTTGAAATTTGGAGATCCATTCACCTTGTCTCTACTTAAAACTGCTAGCCTTCTCAGGATTGAAAGTCAGATATGAAGAGGAATAGTATAAACTTAGTGATTACAGTCAAAGATCTCCCCAGTATTCTTCATCGACTTTCGATCTGTCGGTAACACCTGTAAGTTCCATCATGAATGCTAAGAGGATAGAAGGTTCATCAGGCCACTGGTCGCTAAGGACACACATTGCAAGTTTGCTTACCTTACTCACAAATGCCAGGGACACAAGTCCCAACACTCTTGAATCCTGTGAAAAAAATTTGAGTTGTGAGAAGGAGGGGAACGGAAAGACACCCCAATACCTTCTGACTCATAAGGGAGACAAAGACATCGTCGAGGTGACTCAGGGCGCACACAGCTTCAATTGCAACTTTTGCAAATGGGCACTTGAAGGTCCATTTTCTATTCAAGGTCCCATGAAGAGTCAGGATGGTCCGCCAGATTGGACAGGGAATTATGCAGACATTGCAGGAAGCTTACAAGCTGATGTCCATAGCTTGGATGAAAGTGAAGAGGAAGATTATGGAGGCTCCTGGAAAAGTTGGTTTGCTTCACCGTCACCCAAGACATTTGGACACTCGGAAAAAGATAAGATCAGTCCAGACTCCAAAGAGAACTCTTCTGCCACTCTTGATGTTCCTCTCAATCATTAGATTTGCCAGATGACACAATGCAGATGAACACCACAATGATGCATGTCACTTTCTCCCTTGACCGACACATATTTGTATACTTCATTCATCGTGACACACGCTGCCTTCATTCCATGCAGCCATGACCTTCACTTAGTGGGTCGGGACAGAGGTTCTAGCCAGAGGTACCGGTACGTTTGATGGGTCTTGTGGCCATGATTCGAACTCTTATCGTTTCAAGCCGTTCTGTCCGGGTGGACATGATATCCTTTCCGATCAAATCGGACTCGGCGTGCGATGACGAGATACCAGTATTTCTCGGATCTTGATGAATCTATTCGGAAGGACCTGGAGGTTGCAGGCCTGGATTTTGCCTTCAATATGGACATGAGAAGGCTAATATAATTGTGACAATGGAGGTTCTTGGACTGCAGAAAAATCATGATGCTTGTGGGCCATGGGCCAGGCTGATGACTGGTGTATATCTGGTCGGGTTTTTCGCGCACGGACCACATCTCTACATTCGAACACTCAAGTGGTATTGACCTATCGCTCAAGATCATGCCATGTTCAACATCAATAGGAACAATGATCTCTTGTTGCCTATGTATGGGTAGTGATTGGGAAGATGGGAAGAGAAGTGACATCAGCAGGAATGATGGTTTTCGGAACGTTTTACCCTCTACAGTCATATCATCTGTTTCGTCTTCAGGTGGCTCCATATCGCCGATAACTGGCCAGATAACCCCTGGAAACCTGGGCCTGCAGATGCCAAGAGGACCTTGGACAGCGTCCACAGCATCGGGGGCTACCTCCACCCTTGAAGTGAGTGCTTCTCGGTCCTCCTTGCAAAGTGAACCCTGGAGCTGCCTGTCTCATACTACTATAGCATCAACAGCCCATGATGAGAATGAGGAAGAAGGAAGAAGAGCAAGGACCCCGGACAGACCGTCACCCGGTGATGACTCCTCGCTTCTCCCCACCTATTCGCCAAATAGACCACCGTCAAGTCTTTTGAGCTTGTCCTCCACTTCAACATTTAGTTCTTCCACACCCGTTTCATCCACTCTTTCATCCACCGGTAGGTAGGCTCATTTTGTGTCATCATGATCACAGGCGTTATTGAGTCATGAACTGACATAAGTCATCTCCCTGAGGGAAAAGCTTCTACCCTTGCAGAGATAGATACAGTTTAGGGAGGATCTTGAGTATGTGACACATGTCTCTCTGACTGAATGAGGAACTCAAACAGATGCTACTCATCAATACTTCGTTGCGGAGACTAACTTGATGTCAGGATCAGTTCATTCTCTAATCCTCTGCTCCTGCTTTTAGATAGTTTGGTAGGTTACCTGCCTGACAATCCACCAAAATGATTGATTTCTATTAGAAGTTGAGTATTGCTTCGTAATGATACCTCTGTACCATCGAAACTTTCACTTCAGTAACCTCTTTAAATGCATCGCATCGTCATTTCCAACTAATTTCACGGTGTCATGATCGAGTAGCGAGTCCACGATCATAAATTGTCCGAAAGTCTCAATATCAACCCGGCTAAGAGGAATTGTTCACGCTATAAGTACTGGTCTTGCCACAGGGAGTCGTCGAGGCCCGGGGTAACCGGGTAGAAGGGATGAGGGCGCTCGCTATGTCCCTGGGATCTCATGGGTAAGATACTAGTTCCAGGAGATTCTAGAATGTTGAAATTTCCTCCTTTTCGGTCGGAGATTGAGAGTGGAGTGGGAACGTTGAGAAAAGGTGAAAAATCATCCCATACCTCCATTGAAAGAACTATTCCCATACACCCCATACTCCTGATTCCCACAGAGTCTACAAGTTACAATTCAGTATGGCCAGCTCAATCATTTGGATTCTTCATACTATATAAGACTATCATCTGACAAGGTCTCCACTCACACATTCATCTCGTTAGGAAATCCAACGATCAACATGGTGAATAGACCTTGGCCGGTTCTAAAACTAGCAGCAGGTCGTTTGAGGTCCAATGGAAGCACTGGAAAGGGGACATCGAGTGAATCAAATCCGTCTGAACCTGGATCTCCCCCACTGTCACCAACAACAAGCAAGACAAGACGAGCTAGTGCCCTCTGGAGGCTTCTCATACCCCCAATCAAACTGGGCATCTCTGCCCAGTTTAAAAGTGAGAACTCATTTGGTTCACCTCAGGCCGGCAGTGACGCTGGGTTTCGGAACATGTCAGAACCTGATTCTACTGCTCCATTAGATACACTTGTCGACACCAGTCATCATATCCAAGACATACCATTCAAGGCAAGTATGCTGAACACAGATAGAGACAAATCTCTGCCCAGACTACCATGTGAGGAGCCCTTACTCCAAGTAAACATGTCGCCCTCTACTTGCAAGCTGAGTTTGCGGGAGCGACTTCAAATAAGGGTACGGACACATCAGGTTGACAGAGACATGGCGAGAATGGAAGAAGTGATGAGGGCTGTGCCGTTGAGACTATCTCAAAGCAGGTTAGCCTCATTTCCAAGCACGCCGCTTGAGACGTATCCTAATACTCCCAATGCTGACAGTGAACAAGTAGATTTGCTCTCCCATTTCCTGAGGCCAGTCAGACGAGGTGAATTCCCCTCCACACCAAACGTTACACCTACAAGCCGGGAGGGAGATGACCAACACACAATCACATTGGTACCTGTTCAGTCTGGTTGCGAAATTATCTACGAGTTTCAACTTTTACAAGCCCCAGACAAACCAAATCACAATTCTCAGCTAGCCACAACAGATTCAAGTATCATTGGTCAATACACCAATTCTGATGCTGCTGAAGAACAGCTATCGGCTGATATCAAGGATAGTCTCGCTCAAAGCCACATACCCCACCCTCCTCCCCTATTCTTCACCTCCTCTCAGTTTTGTTCACAGAGTCCAGATGGTGTACCGCTTGACCAGGACCCCTGTTCAAACAGTCTCCCCAGCTTTGAAGACTTCCATTCCAGCAGTATTAACATGGCTCCATTGGAGAGTGACAGCATCATAGATATGTTCAGGTGATCAGGGTAACTTGCCAACCCTAGATGCTACACCACATAGCCATTTCTAGGATGATTCATTGAGTTTGTCATCTGGTTTGTTTGCTGATCACTAGATGACAAAGCAGCGGGAAAAAGGACATGCATTGATTCTATGTGTCTTCATGCTCACCATACCCTGCACTTGCATAGGAAGCCCAAGTCTATTGAATAAAGTTCAGAGGGCAATAAGGGAAATGGATCAAGTGGACTGAAGGGAGAATTCTGTTTGGTGGTTGCGGGCCGGTTCTATCGGCTAACATGATTCACCAGAGAGGAGAGAATGCATGACAGTGTCTGATATCACCACAGAGACTACTAAGCTTCTCTTGAATAGCCGCCTCGGTTGTGGCTGGATGGGCTTCTCCAGGCGTTTGACTAGGGAATGAGCTGTCCGCTCCCCTACGTAACAACCGCCCGAAGACCGGTTGTTGCAGCGGCGATTGACAAACTCCTCCGTCTCACGGCCTATCTTCTCATGACATCACTGTGGTCGGCTCGGCAGGGAGACGCCGAAGACTCTCTCATCCTAAAGTCAGTCCAGACTGATAGCTGCATTCGAATCTCATGGCTGAAACTCAGCGGATCTTCTATGTACTCCCGTTTCCAAAGGAGAGACGAGAGAATTTGTGTTTCACGAAGTTTGATGACGACATTCCTTACTCCGCCATCTCCGGTACGCCGTCGCCTTCTCAAAACAGGGTCTTGTACGTCGACTCCGACTTCTTTCGGAGTACTAATAGTAGCTCCGATACTCCGAAGGGGAGGCGATCATTGACTCTGTGACCATTGAAATGGAGAGTATTTCTCCCATTGGTCCACAACCGTGCGTTCAGGGACGGATGATCGAGTGGCTCCCTTGCTCCAAAATACACCTTCAAAACGTGATTATGCTCGAAAAATGATGGGTTGTACATACATAATCACCGAGAACCACTGCCTTGAGGGAGCTGGCTGTACGAGTACGGGTCATAGATCGTATGAAACACTGTCCTCACTGAGTTTCCTTATGGTTTCATTTCAGTCCCCGGAAGGCGCCTTGCTTTCTCCGTGCAGAGCGGGGCGGATCGGGCTATCCGGCCTTTCGGACATCGATTACGTCATTTGTATCCGTCCTTACAGTACAACACCTTCATGTAGAAGAGGTTAGATTGTTTCGAGTCCTTCCTTTCGGCGTCGGCGTCGGCGTCGGCGGGTTCTCGGGCTCGGAGTCAAGGACTGCTCAAATCCGTGGAAACAACCTCATCCTCCATTGACGAGCGGAGCAAATTCTTACCTCATCGGTGAGGCAGTGTGAATTTCCTCTAGGGATTGAGGCTCCATATATGAGGAAACATTCTGATTTGGGCTAACCAGTCTTATCAACTTCAATAACCCCTCACTACTTTCAACATGAGTATTAAACCTGACGATCATATCGGCGAGTTTCCCCGATTACCCGCCAAGCAAGAAACCTCCCCTCCGCCCCCATCTCCAAGTCCCAGATTCATGTCAAAGGCCCTCAAATTTCTTCCTCGCTCGGGGAGAAATACACCACGTGGATCAGATGCTGGTTTGGACGGCCTAGGTGTTGCCATCCCCTCTCAGGGCAACAGAGGGGGAGCTACAAGAAAAGACAGTGGTAGTTCTTTTCTTCCACCTTTTCTCAAGGGTCTTGCTTCACCCCGTGGCTCCATCACTTCAATCTTGGACCCAAAGGAGGAGGGGACTACTGGTGGCTCTTCTATGAAGATTGATGCTGCAACCCTCACTGCAAACGAATCTTCTGTACAAAGTCAAAGCCTACGCACCCAAGACACTGAGCAAGTGCTAGACATAAGTCAAACAAACAGTCAGAATTCTCCCATAATCCTTGGGAGTGATGAAGAAGGCTCTCCGCATGTTAATTTCCACCCACACGAGAGCTTCGATACTTTTCAATTTCCGTCTGGAGAACATACCACTACCCTTGGCGCTGGGAATGAACACAGTATGAGTGTCACAAAAGAGGACACGAAGAACCGTGACGAACTCGTCGACCCCACTGAAGGAACATTCCGCTCGGGTTCTGATGGACACGGAAAAGTTCGCAATAGTGTTCTCACTCGCCTGCAAGATGCAACAAGACAATCGTTGCGAGGACCCATAATGTCTCGCGGTGACCGTAACAGTATCGCAACCGTCGGAACTGGAACAAGTGGTGGAACAAGTGGTGAAGCAGTCTGAGTAAGCTGTCATACAATGACACCTGATGAAGACCTGTACAGTACTCATGAGTTTTCATGCAAACAGTATGTACACAGTGTCCTCCTCCTCCCAATGTATACAAACATCCCGCAATGAATGTGTGCTAGCATCTTGATCCTGTTGCACCGCACTGTGATACTGACTTGTGAACACGAATGAACTGCTTATTTCTACAGGAAGGGATGCGCCTGTAATTGCAACCTGACACCTTCTGCTGCACTCTTGACCTCCTCATTGATGTCTTACTGCACCCAGCCAGAACACAAGAATGATTTCGACGGTATCCTGTAATCTGCATGTCACTGAGACCTATGACTCCTCTGATCTTGCTACCTCGTCAATCCCATCCCCATCAACCAAAAACCCTTCCATAACCTTCCTTGCTCCTCTTCCCATAAACCCATCTCTTCCAGTCAAACCATCAACCAAACCTCCTTCCCTATCCCCCCCTTCGTCTCCCTCCTGCCATTGAGACTCAATTCCACCATTCCCATCTCCAACACTCATCCATTCTTCTTGCCATATATCTTTCACCCAACTTCTCTTCCCGGGATCTCTTACTAATAACCTCTCGATGACTCTCTTCGAACCTACGCTAACATTCCGGGGTAAGGTATATTCAGCTTTTGCGATCCTCATCATACGTCTCTTACGTTCTTCTCTTTCACCCCAACGACCTTCTTGGCCTGACGAAGGAGGAGGATCGAATGGTAATTCTCCCGTCATCAGCGCGAAGAGGATAACACCTAGAGCCCAAGCATCAGTAAGACGACCGTCGTACGGTCTTCCCATGATGATTTCTGGTGCTGCGAAAGATTCGGATCCGCAACGTGTTTCGAGGAGAGGAGAGGTGGGATCGATGAATCGCGCGAGACCGAAATCGGTGATTTTGATAAGTGGACGAGGGAGGAGATGGAGAGGGATGGAGTTGGTAATTGTTGGAGGAAGAAGAAGAGGGTTGACAGTGAGGAGAATGTCTGGGTGTAAGTATTTGATCAATTAATGTAAACGTATGCACGACTAAGATGAAGCAAAAAAGCGTTTCTGTCACGAACCAGCAATCGTGTTTCCTCGACGATATCATATTGGACCAGGATTGAGACGAGGGCCGCCCCAGATGAGCCAGAAGATGATGATGAGACGAGAGGGAGAACAGACAGGTCCAGAGAAAATGTGTAAATGACTCACTCTCCAACTTCAGATCCCGGTGTACAACCCCGACCTCATGCAACCACCCCACACCTTTACAAATTTCCCCAAACACTCTTTTCAGAAACCCATCCCCATCATCACCCTCTTCTCCATTATCACCCTTAGGACCAGGTAACATCATCCTCATCCTCTTTGTCTCATCACTGACCAGATCAAACAGCTCCCCTCCACCCATTCTTTCAAGCACCAGACAATGATGGGTTTTGGTAGAGAATGAATCCAGATATCCGACAATATTAGGATGAGAGATGTGACGCAGTACTTCCACCTCGCGAAGGAAAGCAATACGTGTTCGAGCGTTAGAAAGACAGAGTCGTTTGTCCATCATTTTAATAGCTACCGTTCCAATTTTGTGCTCGTCCGTAGGAAGACGGGTCGCCGACCAGACGGTGGAGAAGGCTCCTTGTCCAAGGGGAGATTCTAATCTCCAAATTCCTTGAGTCTGATTTGTCAAGCTCTTCAATGTGACATCGAAATATGGAGGAGAAGACAAGGAAGATGTGTCGTGATGATTGGACGGAGAGGTAGGGGAGGTGAAAGATGGAGTGAGGATTTGACCAGAGGATAGGGTGACATCAAGCTCCGCTTCGGCATGTTCTCTTTCGAAATGTGAACCACGTCTAGTGTGGGTTTGTAAAGGTGTATGACGGGCTGAAGGGGAGACACTAGGTTCAGAAGGAAGGGTGGCAAGTCTCTCAGATGGGATGGACGTTCCTGTGAACCTTCTCGAGTGGAAATACGGGGGCTCAAGTGGAGTTGAGACGTGTCGAGAAATTGGTTGTAACGAAGAGTTATTAGCTGCGATCGAATTAACATCATTAGGGATGGAAGTCGAGCCGGGGAAAGGAACAGGAGGATGAAGTTGCACCGGAGCTGGTGAACTAACAGCACGATGTCGTTCTTGTACCTGACCGGGCAAGCCCTTGCCTAATACAATAGAAGCGAGTGGTTTTGGAGGTTCGGGCAAGGGTTCGACCTTCGCTTTGGAAAAGAATGAGTCCGTTTTGCTGTTGGTACTGAGAGAAGGTGAGACCGCTCCGTCTGCCCAAACACCAGCGTCTCTTGGATCCTCTTCAGCCAGTGAACTTTCGGGAATGGGCGGGGGGACGGCGAGCATTCCCTCGGATGGGCCAGAGTAGGAGATCCCAGGCGATGGTAGAGGAGAGCAGGAACGATCCCATGGTCGTTGATGAAACGAGGTGAGAGGAGATGGAGAGGCCGTTGTGGGAGACAAGGAGTCGAGGGATGATTGTCGAGAAGTGGGCGAAGGTAAGCCGATGGCTCGGCGTGCAGGACTGGGATCAGGGAGGTGAAGACGAGGAGGTGGGGGATGTCCCGAGTTCGGTAAACGTATATGAACGGAGGGTGGCGAAGAAATGGAGATAACACCATTGAACACGGGGATTTCTGGGGTCATTGTAAAAGTCAAGGGTGTCAACAGAGTCGGATTCCCGAACATGCAACTGCCTGTTAGTGATGTTCCCCCAAAAGAAGAATGATGACACACTCAAGATTACCGCTCCCTACATATGCTTTGATCAGTTCCCACTCTTTTGACGTCCGCTGCGGCCCTCCGAGTGAGGACAAGGATTCCAAAGTCAATGTACCTCCTTGTTGCTGCGCAAGGCTGTCCAGCGCTTCTTCGGAGAAAGTCGCTGGCAAGGGGACTCGGGATCGGTCAAAGTTTCTGCAAACCAAGAAAGCCTCTGCGTAGTCAGCAGGTGTGATTTTGAGAGCTCACGAAACGTACCTCCTGAACCTTTTCTGCTGCTCCGAGGTTTGCGGACCCAAACTCCACCTCGACGGCCTAGAAGGTCAAAGCCTGCCTTTGGAGAGGACGGTTCGCCAGGCTTGTCGTCGATAGTTTGTGATGCGACGTTCTCCATAGGAATCAGGTCTTCTGCTACGGTGGATTGGTCATCGAACTCGTCGTAGAATTGATCGGTGGGAGAACCGGGGAAAAAGGGCTGGAGTTGAGAACGCAGCATGGCTCCTTGTGGATCGAGTGGGGAAAGAAAGATCTTGAAGATGAGGGTAGAATGAGGTGCCAGAAGAGTAAGGGAAAGTGTCAATGCCTAGTGTGTCATTCGTTGACCCCGGAACTGAGACGATCAACTCACAGCTAAGAGAAGCTGACTATGAAGGTAAGCATCAAGATCGTGAACACCTGTGACTAATGATCAGCCATGTTTCACAACGTGTCAGTGACGTACCGTCTGGCGCGCCATCACAAACAACAAGATCTGCTTGACGTCCCCCCAGAGCGCGTATAACTAAGGGGATGGTTGAGGGAAGAGTGATGTCTGTTTGAAGAAGGGTTATATTTGGCAATGGAGCCTGACGATCAGTCTATCGTCAAGTTCGAAGAAGATATCACTCACCATAGGTTGTAAATCTATACAGACGACCTTCTTTCCCGACTCAGTACCCGGTCTGGTGGTTATCTTTGCTATTTGAAGACACATCTGGAAGAGTTTGTCGAGATCACGAAAAGTAATAGAGTTGGGAGAAGAGGAAGAAGGTGATTCAATGTTACGGACCTGAGCTTTTGACCTAGGACTTGACTCCAGGATCCTGGAGCAGCACATAGATCTACAGCAGTGTTCACTCCCCGAAAGAGGTCAAACTCTTCGTCCAAGTGTAACAACTTCCACGCCGACCTAGCGCGATAACCTAGTGATTTGCCTTTGCGGTAATAAACGTCGCGCTTGTCGATTGATGTTTTAGACGATGGCATGGTGGAGTGACCTACTGAGTCTTCTGTAGACTGTTATTGACCCAATTATACTATGCTATCTAGTCATTTGATAACGAGATATGTAGGAGTAGAGCCGAAATGGATCCTGTCAAGCCAGTGTTGGACGGAGCAAAGGGGAGTGGGGTCCTGGAAAGGGGTCAAGCGCGGGAGATGGGACAGTCAACACTATCAAGCCAGAACGACTACCGCCCTTGTGATATGCGTATAGCTGTGGGCGTGAATTTGATTGACGAACGTGTTAGGTTGAAAGTGGATAAGACGAGGATCAATGTAGGGAGATAACACCAATTGAACCATGAGCGATGCACCAACAAGACCTCATCTTTCAGGTCCCGTAATGTCCCGGTTCACCCGGCGCTTTCACCGGCACTTCGTGGCGAGTGGATCTGTCGCATAGGGGGAAAAGTGTGCGAAAAGCCCAGATCACTTTTCCCCAGGGGGAAAAGTGAGGGAAAATTTGTAGGCAGGTGCCACTTTGACGCGTTGGTCGCGTGTCACAGCCGCCACAGCATTACACGTGATACAATACACCTTTGTAGCCAAAGTAGTCCTTGCTTTATACATCATTGTTAACTCTATACTATACATCCATCATTGCTTCACTAACAATATGCCGGCCGCCCAGAGAGCTTGCAGATGTTCAGAGTGTCGACGCGCACCACGGGGATTCACAATCCAAGACAGTAGGACTATCAAGAATCACCAAGAAGAAGACCTGCATCGACTCCAAACAACCCTCCCTCCTCAACCAGTCGGCTACAACCGTGCAGATGATGTGCCAGGAAATCAGGAGCAACTGGATCCGATGGGGCCGGAGGAGCCAGGGATGGGTATTGAGGGGTATGACATCGATCAGGACGAAGACGATCCAATGTTCAACTGGGAGGATTTGGGTGACGAGGTGAATGACGATACAAGCGAAGGACGATCAACCAGCGGCAATGAGTCAGAAGTTACGGATACCGACATGGTCTCTATGACAGAGTCGGAAGGGAGACATCCGTCTGATGCTGGGGCAGATATCACGGGCGGGGAAGTCAATGACTTATCGGACGACCCACATTATCTCGAAGATATCGAACCCTCCAATCACTTATTTGACACCATTCCTCACCACATCCGCCCTTCTCCTAGAGCCCTGGCTATCCTTCCCAATTTACCCCCCTTTGTTCATCGCTTTGTGCATCACGACCACTCAACCCCAGAACGGATAGCGTGGACTCAAGCGGCCGTAGCTTCTGTTGGAGGTGCCACCGTTGACCAGGTGAGCATCGGTTTGGCATCTTCCAATTTCATGATGGCAAGTATGGCTCCGGCACATGAATTGGCTCAGCCCCCTACAGCAGACCCAAAAGAAGCTCTCTCTCGTATTGGCGTTTCTCCCGACAGCCTTTTACACAGATATGCAGTCTGCGAAAACGAAAAATGCTGTGTGCTGTTTGGTAATGCGGAGCTTTCAACATATGATCACGACGAAGGTCATGCCATTGACATCCTACGCCCTGATGAACGGTGTACCAGCCGTATATACTTTACCAAAGGAAGAAAACGTTACCCGCTTAAATCAATGTTTTTTTCTCCACCATCGGCTGTACTACAGACTTTCTTTCGAGACCCCAATTTTGTTCGAGACATCCAGCTGTGGCGTATGGACAATCACGAAGATGACATTGGGATTAACGCACCAATACCAACATCAGTTCCTGTAGACCGTTATCGAGTACTCACCAATATCATGGATGGGGCAGCGTGGCGCTCGCGTGATTGCAATGTTGTCCGTGAATACTTTGACACAGACAACGGTCCGGTGATGGAGGATTTTCGTCACGGCCCGCCGCAAAGACTAGTGTCCATGGAGTTTGGTCTGTTGGCATCGATAAATGTTGACTGGTGAGTTCTCAACTGCGTTCATGATGCTGAAATCAGGTTTGGTGTGCATGACATTAAGAATTGTTCTATTGGTGCGATATACGTGTCTATCTTGAACCTGCCCAGACACATTTTTCTTCGTAAGAGATGGACAATTCTTGCGATGGTAATCCCTGGACCGAAGATACCTACACAAACCGGCTTCAACAATCTGATCGCTCCTCTGATCAGGGACTTCAAGACTCTTGAGACTGGCATCCTGGCCTTTATAGCTGGTCGATCTCACCCCGCTCCTGTTTACCTCCAAGTGATGTTCAATGTCAGCGACATGCCAGCCTCAAGGAAGTTAGCAGGGGTCAAGAGTCACAACTCTCATTGGCCGTGTTGTCATTGTCGAATTCGAAACAGGGATCTACAAGATCCGTTGGCCTACGAATGGAGGAGTGAGTCTTCCTCTTCATTAGGTTTGTGCTCATAAGACAGATCTGCCGCATATGAACGCAGACACTCTTGTCGGCGCTGCATCGGCTCATCGGACTGCAACAGTTGCACAACAGAAAGTCCTGGAGAAAGATCATGGTGTGAAGTGGTCTGAGGCGGTCAAATTGTCTGGGTTTAAACACTCTGATTTCTCCCCGCCTGATACTATGCACGGAGCGGCACTGGGTGAGTCTCCCTATTTGTCAGATGGACTCCCTTAATGACAGGCATGACACATGCCTTGGTGCTATGGATTTTACGATCCGGGGTTTTAGACGAAGGTGACGACGGGCCCGATCGATATCAACTTTTTGAGAAGGCTCTTACCGGAATCACCTGGCCTTCACATGTAGGTCGATTGGTCAATGGGGTTGTCTCCATGGTCACGTCAGGAAGAGATGCGAACAACGTCAAAGCCGATGAATGGTCTCGAGTTCGAGCGGCCCTGCCTTGTGCCTTGTGGTTGGCTCTCCGGTCCGACACAAATGATCAGATCGCGCCGTCCTCTACACACAATCGGCTCGAGATCTACAGGGCTGTTGTGGACTTCTCGGCGTCATTACGAGTCCTTCTAGCAAAGAGCATCACCATTGATGCGGCTGAGGAAGCTCAAGATCTGTTGTCATCGGTGTGCAAACGCTTTCTACTACACGGAATGAATATGACAATAAACTGGCACATTGCCATGCATTATTCACAATTCATTCGAATGTACGGTCCTGTGGGGAGCTATGCAACCTGGTCGTACGAGAGGAACAACGGTGCGCTGGCCAAGATTCATTATTTCCGGGGAGATCACATCCAAATGGTTGGAACCGCGGCTCGTTTCTGGACAAAGTCTCAGCTTTTGTGGGGTGTGCTCGAGAACCCAGCTCCAGATATATCCGAAACCGAAGCCAGTTACATTGAAGATCTCAAATGCCGACTGCAACGTACCCGAATTCAGGGTACTGTATTATTGAACGAAATGGATGAAGTTGGGCAAGGAATTGAACTGCCATTGGGAAATCGGTCCACAATCAACATACGAACACACCCTTTGCAGCTTTATCCTGGTATCTTGTCGTATCTTCGCTTAGCCCTTCCTGGTCAGCGGATAAGATCATATGCAGCAATTTACGAGGAGGGCTCAGTGTTGGTCCAAGCTGGTCACAAAGAGTATCCTTATGTTCGCTTCAATGGTTTCAGGTGAGAATCTTGTCATTCATAGTGGAGCTGAAAGGTCAGGTTTGTCTCTAAGTCATACACACGGTCAAATCGAGATAGATGGGCCTTAGCGGTACATCCTACCGACAGGGCATTGGGAATGGCTGCATGTAGGGTGGAGATGATCCTGCAACTCTGTCTCCCTGATACATTTGGCTCGCTGGCTGACACAGTGATAACGGTTGCGGCAGTACGGTTTTTACAACCAGCAGACGAAGAAATCCTACCTTGGTCATTTAGGTGAGTATCTCAGTTATTGATTCAGATGCTGATTGTCACACAGATCTGTCATGCTTGCACAACAACTTACCCATCTCCCCGATGAAGCCATCCCTCCTACAGTCATCTCAGTCTCTTCTCTGTTGGCACCGGTAGCTGTAAAGGAAGTTGGGACCATACATGGATCAAGGCTTGTCATCATGAGCTACAATAGGGTAAGTGATTGGATCGAATTTCGCTGAAACTCAGGAGCATGTGGAAGATAGTATGGGTTTGGATCAGTTCGATGAAGGTATGTGTGCCGCCCCATACCTCAGGTGAATCGTAGATTTCGCTAACGTTCAGATGAATGACATGACATGACCCTATGAAATACTTGTAAAATGACTGTCTAATGCTCTACAACGATGAGTTTATCTCCTATTATCATATTCCAACAACATATTCTCACAATCTTACATGAATGTCCCAGTTCTCATTCTTCATGCAGTGTTGGCAGGGGTGTTACTCGTTTTGAGGGAGAACGAGATCTCCCTTGTGGCCGACCAGGACCATTGTCCAACCCATCCACTTCATGCTCAACATCCTCATCATCTTCGGTCTGCTCTCGGGTTCGCTTCACTCCCACACTTGAGTTTGACTGAGAGGGAAATCCCAGTCTGTCACATTTTGGATGGGACACATACCATGGTAGACTTCTGACTTCGGCAAAAGACATAGGTCGATCTGTTGGTACGATATCTAATTGCCGACTGTGTTTGACCAAAGAGTAGAATGGATCACTAAGCTGCCATCTCTGAATGTATCTGTCTGGACTTTTTGTTGACGGCCAGCCTGGCTTCTCGTTCTTTGAAGTCGCCGAGGTAGACTGACCAACACGAGCTGAGGTATGTAACGAAGGGGGCATAACTGTAACGGTACTGGAAACACGACGACTAGGTCGCAGGTTGGGTCGAACTCGATGGAGGTCTCGTGGAAATCTAGGGGCTCTGGTGCTAATGGATCGTGTCTCCTCTGCAATCGATGTAGCCAAAGAATGATATTGAAGAATCAGCAAAGTTGGTACTTTGCTGATTGTACTATATACTGTCTACAGGTATCCGTCTCCTCTTCTCAGTCCTACTGCAAGCGTCCATGTACATACTCGGACAGGTGAAAAACCGCTTTGAGCAAACCCAGTGGGGAAAATCTCGAAAGGGGAAAACCCGTCCCTACCTACTGCAGCACTGCCTCCAACTCCCGCTTTCCTCTGTCCTAATCCGTCGAACTCGATAGAGTCCTCTCGATTCGTTGTTACCCCGTAACAAGTTTCCCCCCCTGTCTCAAGGATCCTCGCCGAGGATCCTGAACCCTGTAACCAGGTGATGCACATGGATTGTTCTTAGACACCTTTGGTGCGCCCTGACATCATACCCACGCTAGTGTGACGGTTGCCATGAAAACGCGTCACCCGCACGGACCTCCAATGTGATCGAGAAATTACTGACCAAGTTACCTCCCCGTCTTCTTTCTCTTCTTTCCTCTTCATTCTCTCTTTACCTCTTGTTCGTCGTTCTTTTTACTTATCTATCATCATCCATCCATATCTTACTCATATCTTAGAGATCCTTCCAACTCTGACCTGTCTGTGAGCATGTCTAAGCGTACTGTAAGCAATTCCCTTCGAATTCGATGTATATCCTCCTATCTCTCACTGGCTGACGAGATTAGTTGTCTCCTTCCACCTCCTCCCGTCAAACTCGAGCTTCCACCCAGGCAATCCTACCTGACGTCGACCCCGAACTTCTCATGCGTCAAACGAAAAGAATGAGAATTACGTCTGAAGCCGCTTCCTCTCAACCCCCATTGGTTGATGCGTCTCGACGAGCTCTCGACACCATTAAGGAGAAGTATCAATCCGGTCCTTCTCGCGAAGCACAATCGCTCCTTGATGACCATGTCATCGAGCAATATTTCGACTTCGAAGGGGGTGCTGGGCCATCTGCCACTGGTGAGAACCTATCTCCCGCCAAATCCGTCGACTCCGAACACCCTACCGTCGTCGAAAATGAAAATTCTCCCGGTAAGCAACCCACTGGTCCTCCTTCTGAGGCTTCCGACGAACTTGTGGAGGTTCCCGAAGAACTTGGTGACATCTTTCACGCCCCTCGCAAGGTTACCGTCAACCAGGAACTGGTTAAGTTGCTCGAGGATCGAAAAGACTCCGAAATCGGTGAGAATTCCACCGAGTTCTGTTCGCTTCTGACTTGTTAGCTACCCTTTGGGCCAGCATGACCTTCCCCTCTGTTCGTCTCGCGTTGAAGAACGAAGCTCTGGACCGTTTCCGCGAAACCAACGCCATCAAGCCCACTGTAAAGTGGTTTAAGAACGCTGTAAGTCTCGAATTCTTTCAAGTTTTATCGATTCTAATCATTAGCTCGATCGTTTGGCCCAAGGTTGGCGCCTCCGCAACAAAAATGGTGCTGTTGTTCGGCTAGAGGGTGAGCTCTGTACCGATTGTCAACGTCGTCTCGATGGTGGTGAAGACTTTCGTGTTGGTTGTATTGGCCCTCGTAAGTTCTTGCTGCGACTCGTTCAATGTTGATGCAATTCAGTCGGTGGTGTGTGTGGTGAATGCTCTGCTAAGGGTACTTCAAAATGTTCGGTGAAGACCAACAACCCTGAGTCCAAATTCCGTGAGGTACCTGTCTATTTCCTTCGAACTTGGTCGATGTTGATGTATAGGGTATTGTTGTGGGAGCAAGAACGGTCACTTCCAAGGTTACTTTTGTCCTGGAGCACGAGCTTTGTGCGGCTTCGGTCCGCTATCGATCCCTTCCTGCCCATGATCAACCCGCCTGTCTGACCCAACTTTCGGGTTACATCCATCTCTTTACCTCCCTTCTCCTTCCTCTCCCCTCTCAACATCTGGATCTTTACAAATCCCTTCATCTTATTTCCGCCAACTATGCTCCTCCTTCCGCCGATGAAACTCTGGATCATCTTACTTCTACTGGTGATCCTACAGGATTGAGTTCCTCTCAGCCAATCGCTGGTCCCTCCTCTTCTCCCCATACTCCTCTCCCTCGCAATGTCATTCGTATTCCCGCTTCGGCCCGTCGTCCCCGAGCCAATTCTACCACCTCCAACTTTTAGTGTGTTTATATCTCTCTATTTGTAGCTATATTTCCTGTGTATGCATTTATTTCTGACCCAGTTTTGTTGATCTTGATCGAATTCTCACTTTCTTCTGGGGTCCCTCTTCCTCTTTTCCAAAAATTCACCAAAAACGGCCAACTCTTCCACATTTTCTCGTGGTTCCCAGTCATAGGCCGCATTTCCTGTGTATCCTAACCATTTTACCTTGAATTCTTCCTTTCCTCGTCGAATTCTGCTGTCCACGATTGCTTCCACATGGAATTCATCCTGGCCGTTAATTACTACAGGCGGTGGGGGTGGTATCTGTCGACCTGGTATCATATCCTTGGGATATGGTTCCAACAGCGTGACATTGAAGACATTGTGCACCTTCATTGCTGGAGGTAGATCTAATTCGAAAGCATTTTTTCCAACTTTCCTTATGATCTTGAATGGGCCAATGTATTTTGCTTCTAGTTTTCGACTGGGTCGTTCCGTCGTAAGATACTTTGTACTTAGTAGTACCTGTTCTCCCTTTCTGAATTCTTCTGGTATGCTCTTGTGTCTCCTGTTGTAGTACTCTGCACTAATTTCATTTGCCATCCTGACCTGTTCTTGAACAGTCGCATGCAACTCTCCCATATCTCTCCATTTCTTCTCCAACTTGTTTGACTTTGATCGAATATCGTGCGAATGGATGTCGTAGTGTGGCACATAGCCGTAACAAGCTTCAAAAGGACACAGACCGTGGCTACTATGTGGCGAACAGTTATAAGCGAACTCAGCAATTGGTAGAAGTTGATCCCAATTGTCCATGTTGTAGTTTACATACATTCCAAGCAGGATTTCCATCTGTTGATTTACTCGCTCAGTCTGTCCATCTGTTTGAGGGTGATACGCAGTCGAATATAAGTTCTTTATTCCCAAGAACTGACATATTTCCTTCCAAATTTCCGCTGTAAACTGAGTTCCCCTATCTGATACAATTGTTCGAGGTACTCCATGTTTTGAAAAGATCTCCTTGATGTAGATGTCGGCCACTTTGTTCGCTGTTAGTCCAGTTGTACATGGAATGAATCTAGCCATCTTGGTTAGTCGATCGACTATCACTAGTATCGCGTCGAACTCGGTCGATTTTGGTAGGGGTCCCACCATATCCATAGAGATATCTGTCCAGGGGAGTGTGGGTACTGGTAAAGAGACTAGATGTCCATACGGCTGATGTCGATGAGTCTTATGTCGGTTACAGATCTCGCATCCTTTTACGTATTTGGCAATATATTCGTCCAAATGTGGCCAGTAATAGTCCTCTTTGACCATGGTGATAGTTTTGTCTCTTCCTGGATGACCTACTAGTATCGAATCGTGTCTTGCTTTCATTACTTCTAACCTTGCTTGTCCCTCTGGTATGACTACTCTATTCTTGTACAAGAGCAATCCGCTTTGAGTCCATGATACCACCGGTGCCTCGTTGCTAATCTGTGTCTTCTGTGTGTCCTGTGTGCTATGTGTCTGTGTCAATTGCAGTCCTAGTCGTCGTATGTTTGCTATGTCTTCTGAGTCTTTGAGTCCGTTTTTGATGAGTCCAAATAATGAGTCTTCTCGGATTGCTCCTCTTACTATGTGTCGGGTTTCTGAGTCTATCGAATTCGATCCATGTTTCTCGTATGTGGGTAGTAATTGTAGCCAGTTTCCTTTGTTTAGATCTGGGTCCTTACTACTTCCTTTTCCCGGGTGATAATCCCCTCGTCTTGTTAAAGCATCTGCTCCCCCATTTTTGCTACCTGGTCGATAAGTGATCTCTATGTTGAAGTCTCCTAAGATTTCCAGCCACCTCATTTGTCTTCGATTCAGTTGTCGCTTACTTTGGAAGTACTCCAGGTTCTTGTGATCCGTAATGACTTTTATGACATCACTACTGTTCGCTAAGTAAGGTCTCCATGCTACCAAGCAGTCCACAATGGCTAGTAGTTCCTTCTCTCCCACTGTGTAGTTTAATTCGCAGGGTGTCATTGCTCGAGACCAATACGCAACCGGATGAAGTTCCGTGGTCCCTTTTATCGATGGATGAGGGAACCTTTGGGACGCTATTGCACCTATCGCACAGTCAGATCCATCGGTTTCGATCCAGGTTGGTCGGGTTCTATCGAAATGTCGAAGTACCGGTGCTGTCGTGAAAGTTTTCTTCAAATTTTCAAAAGCTTTTTGACATTCCTCTGTCCAATTCCAAGCCTGATCCTTCCTGGTCAGACGGGTAAGAGGACCCACAATATGTGAGAATCCTTTGATGAACCGTCGATAGAAATTGGCAAATCCTAGAAAAACCTGAGTATCTCGGACTGTCATTGGTTCTCCCCATTCTAGAATGGCTTTCACCTTGTCTTGATCCATTTCGATCCGTTCGTGTCCGATTACATACCCCAGAAACTTCACTTCGTCGCAACTCCATTCACACTTCCTCGGGCTAACAACCAAGTCGTTTTCAAGTAATCGGTCCAATACCTTTTGGACAATTATCTGATGGTTTTCGATCGTGTCTGAGTATACCGTGATGTCGTCTATGTAAACTACCACTCCTTCATCTAACAGGTCGTGGAACATATCCTGCAGGAAGTTTTGAAAGGTGGCTGGTGCGTTGCATAATCCATCCCGTAGAACAGTGCTTTCAAAACTACCGTATCGTGTTCGTAGAGCAGCTTTATGTTCATCTCCTTCTTTTATTCGAACTAACTGATAGGCCCCTTTCAGGTCGAGTTTGGTAAACACCTTTCCCAATTGAAGTCGATCGAGTAAGGTCGAGATAAGTGGCATTGGGTACGAATCCTTGATGGTTACCTTGTTAAGTGCCCGGTAATCTGTAACTACTCGATAGGGAATGACTCCTTTCTTGGGGACCAGGAATACTGGGGACCCATAGGGCGATTTACTTCTTCGCAGATGTCCACTAGTCAGTCCATCATTGATCCACTGCTTCAGGAAAGCATCCCCATGCTCGTCCAGTTGGTAGATTGGTCCTGGTTTCAGTTCAGCCCCTGATACTAATTCGATTTCGTGGTCACATTCTCTTCTTGGTGGTAGTCTTCTTGCTCTTTCTACCTTGAATAATTCGAGGTACTGGTGCCATTGTGTCGGTATGATTTGTCGTAGTTCCTCCTCACTCATTTCGTCTTCCCCTTTCTCCAGTGTTGCTCCTCTTATTAATCCTTCTTCTAATCTTGGGTATTTCCAACCAGTATCTCGTTCAATTCCGTCGAATTCGATCAGTCCCTTTCCACAATCGATCCTTGCCCTAAACTGTCTCAAGAAATCTAGTCCTACTAGTACTTCTGGTCCTTCGTATGCCATAACATCCAGTCGAGTTGCAATCCTGAGTCCTTTTCCTAGATCTAATTCTGCTTCTACATATTCGGTCACTAAGGTCGCGGTAGTTCCATCCAGGAACCTAATTTTTCGTGGTACCTGATATTGTTTCTTTGGGAATAGATGGTATAATGGACAGGCCGGCTGCACATACCTTCCTGTAGCCCCGGTATCGATTAACATTCCAATCTGTAGGGTATCTTTCTTTGTTTGTATTTTTATATATATTATGGCCGAGTCATTACTGAGATCTATTGGTATTTGAATTCTCTGCGATCCGGGCAGATCCTGGCCGCAAGTGGTCGCATCACTTAGGCCAGGTAGTCGTTTCCCTCTTCTTCAAAGGTCACCGCCATTCCTCGAACTAATGGCCCTTTGGATCCAGTTGGGATCGAGTTCGATCCACTAGGAATCGGTGAGCTATGCGGGTTTGGGGATCCCCTAATGTTGTTTCTCGTATTTCCTCCATTTGGACAGTTGTTGGCGTAATGTTCTGGACTTCTACATTTGAGACAACGTCGGTTCTCCCTCCTCCAAGTCATTTCGTTCTCGCTGAGACGTCCTCCGTCCTCTGTCCAAGTGACCGGAGGGTCATTTGGTAGACCATAATTCATCATCCCTGGTTTTCCACCGGGCAAGGGTCCTCTACCAGTCGATTGTGAGTGGCGCTCTACCGGGTTGGGCAAACTAGTATCCAATCGCATCGAATTCGATCGAGGGGGAAGCCAGGTCGTCTCATGTTTGCGTCTAGCAGCCCATCGATTCGCTGCAATCATCGTTTCAGCCATCCGTTGGTTCTCCTCAGTCCCTATCACATGCTGTTTGAAATAGATCCAGTCCGATTTGGTTCGAGGGTCGGTGTTATTTACCACTACCACCTTCAGTAGCTCTTCCTTCAGGCCCTGTATGGCTGAGGCGATTTTCATTGCATCTGGTACCTTTCCAAGGTGTGTGGACCAAAGTTCAAAGTTGGCAAAATACTCGGCGGCCGTATCCGTCTGTCTTAACTCCTGCAATTTCCTCATAGCCGTACCTGCCATGTTACTGTCTCCAAATTGAGTTCGTAAATGCTGGATGAATTTGTCGTAGCTCTCTAGCCATTCGGTCGAATTCCATATACTTGGATTGGTTATGGCCGGGGTTATAAGCATTTGAGGGGTGCCTCGAAGATACCCGTACATGAACAGGATCTTTCTGCGATCGGTGGCGTACTCTGCCCCTTTGAATTCGAAGTTCATGTGACATGCTGCAAGGAAGTTGTCCAATTCTCCTCGTTCTCCACTGAAGGTAGGTGGATCCGCACACCTGGTTCTTCCTGTTCGTTCGTTGTTGGTAAGTTTTGGCTCCAAACACGGCTTGTTTTCTTCGACTTCGATCAAACTTGCCCCTTTCGATGTGAGTATCTGTTGGTTCTGTCGGTCAGCTTTCATCGTAGCCAGTTCTTCCCTTAATGCATTTTGTTCTTTTTGTTGCATCGTCATAATGGCTAACAATTGTGACAACTGCTGCGATAATTCATTTAGCGGATCTGGGGTAGTGGTAGTAGAAGTGAGATCATGTGAAATGGTACTTCTCGAAGAACTTGTTGGTATTTCTTCCTCTGGGACCAGCCCTTGTTCCAACTCCTCTTTTTCTGGTATCATTTTCCGCGCTTTCCCTCTGGTGAGCATACAGTACTCTCCGATTCGACCCAAGGTGCGTAAGGCTGATTCTTCAACTTGTAACGGTACTGGAAACACGACGACTAGGTCGCAGGTTGGGTCGAACTCGATGGAGGTCTCGTGGAAATCTAGGGGCTCTGGTGCTAATGGATCGTGTCTCCTCTGCAATCGATGTAGCCAAAGAATGATATTGAAGAATCAGCAAAGTTGGTACTTTGCTGATTGTACTATATACTGTCTACCGGTATCCGTCTCCTCTTCTCAGTCCTACTGCAAGCGTCCATGTACATACTCGGACAGGTGAAAAACCGCTTTGAGCAAACCCAGTGGGGAAAATCTCGAAAGGGGAAAACCCGTCCCTACCTACTGCAGCACTGCCTCCAACTCCCGCTTTCCTCTGTCCTAATCCGTCGAACTCGATAGAGTCCTCTCGATTCGTTGTTACCCCGTAACAATAACACTAGGAGCGATGGGATGGGTGAGAATTGAAATCAAAGCATTCTTTGCCTGGGCCTGTGAGCCAAACGACTCATGGAAAATCAGGTGACGTACCATATCAGACATCCACACTTCTTGAACAAATACTCTAGCCAGACCGGCACCTTCTTCCGCCATCTGTGAATGGATCTCATCCAATATCTCCCACCTGGCACCAGAATATTGGGAAGAATGAGGCCTCCGATTCTTGATGACGGAAGCAAGCTAATCTCAGCTTAGCCGTAATGACACGGAATAACCTACAGTAACTCTACGAGCTCTCCACGCCTTAGACTTATGAGCAGCCTGTGTGGATACTTGACTTGGTGACTGGGAACAGGATGGGGTAGTGAGTGAGGTTGCAGATGAAGTGGTAGTAGCTGATCGATCTCCAATACTGGTTTCTCGACTCGGCTGTTGATCCATATTGGACAAATGAAATCCCATGTCAACACCCCCTTCGAACCCATCAAACTGACTGTCAGGATCTCCCCACCCTTGAGTCTCTAGATGTGCCAGCAATGCCAGTGAGTTACTGTCAGCATCCAGTCCCCATTCCTGTCCATTATTCTCTTGCCCATCATCACTACCCTCAAATTTGTCCAGTTTCTCCTCTTCTACTCCAACACCACTTCCTTCCGTCTTGGGCCTGGCACGCTTCAGATTCTTGAAGTAATTCCGAGCTGCGTCTCGGAAGGCTTCTGCAGGTGGAGATCCTGCTGTATCGGCTTCTTGGGCAGTCACAGGCCACGCCCCCCTATCCGCCATCAGAAAAGTCACAACTCCCTCTATCCCTCTGACATTTCGAGGATGGGTGATGTGTTCATTCCAATCAAAACGAAGACACTGTGCCCCTGAGGACCCGTCTTCATTGGTGAAACAGGGCCAGTTGCCGGGATTGGATGGATAATCGGGGAGAATTGTCTTATGATCAGAATCGAAAAGGAAGTGGATTGATTTTCTGACCACAGCCTGGACATAAGCATAACCAAACGATGGATGCCAATAAGGGTTCATACCAACGAACACTCACCATAATGGCTCGCCATCGAGACTTTCCATATACCTCAGCAGGGGACTTCGCCGATATATCCCTCTCTTTGTCTGCCTTGCTTTCAACTATATCTTCTAGTTCCCGTAAGTCGTTTGTGAGCATTTCCACCACTTGTTCGGTACTTAATCTTGATGATCGGAGGTCAACTCTGAGATCTGACAGAGAGGTAGACGTGGATTCATTCTCATCTTCCAGATTTGATACCCTCTTCTCTAGACCTTGGATCATTCCCACCATTTCGTCTCTCAAAGCCGAAATCTGAGCCTGAATTGCTTGAAGTGGATTTCGTTCTGACCCTAATCAGCTAACATACCTGAAGTGGGACTTGATATGAGATACTTACTTCCAGTGTTGTCTAAGCTGATGGGTGTTCCAAGGGTGCTGGTAGGAGGGCGGAAGGGTGCAGACGGTCCCAGATTGCCTGAAGTTCCTGATGTCCCTGCTGGCGATGGGCTGAATTGGGAGACAGCTAATGATACATTCAGCTAACTGTGGACCCAAGAATGTTGAGCTCACGGGTGTAGTTGAATTGAAAAGAAGATGATCCGGATGATCCGGACACTGCGGGTGTATGGGGAGTGCGACGGGGTGGGTTTGAAGATGATGCTCTTGCACTGTGGCGGGAATTATGTGATGGGGTATCATAAGATGGTGGAGACATATTATAACAGTGAGTAGATACAGATTTATAAAGTGCTATAGATACAGACCGAACAAAGAAGGTGTGAAATAATGGAATGCATCCCAATGTACCGGATCCGAAATCATGCTTCGGTGATAAGAATGATACCGTGACTAAAATGACGTGGCACACTTTTCACACATGTGGAAAAGTGTGTGAAAAGGTACATGTCACACACTTTTCACACATGTGTGAAAATTTTCATCACATAGGGGGAAAAGTGTGTGAAAAGTGAGCTGTCGCACACTTTTCCCCCTATGCGACAGATCCACTTGCAACGAGGTGTCACCGGTATACCTCTCACCCTTTTCCAGCAATTACATAACACCGACAGAAGTATCTCGTGCAGGATGTCATACAACATACTCTACAATTAGAGTAGCAGTCGGGTCACAAGTGATACATAATATCGTGCACTGTGCTTCTGGAAGTGCGAGTACGACTGCAACCCACCTACGCCCATCAACGACAAAGACGGATCCGTTGACGGGCTAGTGCACAATGGAGAAAGGAGGGTACAAGTGAATGGATAGATGCATCCAACAATCACAACCCCAAAGGACATGCCCTCAACGTGACTTCTTCTCTAGAGGTATGGGAGGGTGGGGTGAGTGAGCTTCTTCACGGAAGGCTACAATAACATATCCCACCAGGACCATATTGGCGGCTACGATGGCAGCGATGGCAGAGGGTGTGGTCGCACCTGAGGATCAGCCAGTGCCCGGAGAGTATGAAGCGTGTGGAAGTGGTTAGGTTTGACAAATATCACTGGAATGAAGAAGGATGACCCACCACCGAAAACAAAGCGTAGTGAGGAGAAATATGTCCCGATGGGCACAACGGCCATGAGAATGGCAAAGAGTATCAGCTTCCAACGAACGGCTCTGTGGGTCAACGATCAACGTTCATCTATGCACATACTGGCATGATCTCTGTTCATATCATGGAAAGACAGACGATTGGATTCCGTTTGGAGGGGCCAGCTTGCCAGAGGAAACCGTGTTGACCATGATCGTTCGATTTTAACCTATCAACACTAAGTTAAACTCCTGACGTCGTACATCAAGGCAGAGATCCTCATGATGTACTCTCACCAAAACGCTCAAACCCAGAAGACGTACAGTACGAGTACTCACATAAAATCTTATGGCGTACAGTATGTAGAAGTTCTCAACATTTTGGTGGTGCCTGGATTCGATTCCGGGGCACCTCATCCATCAACTCTACTGTACCCTACTCTACTCTCCTCCTCTTCCAACCCCCTCTAGCCTGCACTCCGCATCTCACCCAGAGCCTCCAGAGGGCTATCTATCATCATGGTGGAGACTCGTCGGATAGCCCTAACAGATCCTTTTCCATCCACACCAGCTCGCTTCGTCGTCGGAGGGCAAGTCGCTCCCTCTTCGTCTGGCGATGTGTCCATGTATCAATGGCGTCCAAATGTCATTCCTCTCTTCTTCATAGCTTCAATACTGACTTTCAGACGGGTAAAATGACCCTCATCGCACTGCAACCAGATGTTGGTCAGGTTCGAGTAAGTTTCTTTCTTACGCTTCCAACCTCTGATATCTAGCTGATTTTAAGGCAATGGGTTGGGCACCTTTTCCACATCAACGCACTCTCATAGCTTGCGGTCTCACCACCGGTCGTACACTCCTACTCAACCTCACTCCTTCGACATTATCCCAACCCATGAACCCTTCGTCTTCTCTTCCTTCTGCCGTGGGAACCCTCCCGGCCCATTATTCCCGATCCGTCACAGCTTTAGCATTCTCCAAGATCGACCCCAACTATCTCGCAGTGGGATATGAAAGACATCGATCAGATGATTCCCTTCATATATGGGACATCTCAACTTCTATCTCTTCCCTCCCCTCGGAGACATCATGGACACGTCCTGCTGATCGTTTAGAAGGACAACATCCCACTCCTCGTGAAGGAACGTCCAAAGAACCAAGATCAGTCCTACAGTTTTGTAAGAATGAACTTATAATCTCTGTAGCTTTCCAACCAGATACCATCAATCATCTTCTCACCAGTACCAATAGTAGGATACGTCTACATGACCTTCGTTCTCCTTCAACCCAGAATCAAGGATCGGGAAGTCCTACTTGGTTGACTAGAACCGTTTATGGACTCTGTCCAGATCCCCATTCACCAAGGATTTTCGCCAGTTTCGAAAATCTTCAAGGAAGTAGTCTGGTAAGGTTGTGGGATAGTAGAAAAGCAGGTGTGGAAATGATGAGTCTCGAGGTGGGACAGAATGTTCAGGCTTTGGAATGGACCAGCAGGGGTTTGGCGGTAGGAACGAGACAAGGTGGGGTGAGTCTGTGGGACGTTGTTAGTGGAAAGACTGAGAATGGACGTGGGACGAAGGAATGGGTAACTCTGGGCAGTACGAGGCAAAGTGAGTCTCGTTTCTTTCCCTCTGTCTGTCGGTCTTTGGGAGGAAATGCATTAACTGATGGATCAGTCATACCTCCTAAAGGAAATCTGAATTCTTTCGCATTTACATATGAAGATACAACGCCTACAGACGTACTCTACGTATTGAAGGAAGGTACTCTTGGTATCGGACCTGTCGGAGGGACACCCATAGTGAGTCCATAATCCCCACACCCTACATAACACATTCCGCAAGTCCATGTCCTCAATACTTATGAGACAGATATCATCAAGTGCTCAAGGAGCTTTGGGTCTTACCACCCGAAAGACATTAAGAGTGGTCGATCCACATTCCAACCCTGACCAACCTGAAGAAGAACCAGAAACCTCTCCAGCGAGAAGAGATTCAGAGGAATCAGCAGACTTCGAAGACTACAAACGTTCAAACCGATTTCAGTTGGCGCCAGAGGGAGTGGCTCGTCTTCTGGCCGAAGCGGCTGACCGATCCGCTTCGAGGGCTTCTAGTCCAGGTCGGTCGAGTTTGCTAAGATCCACTCAGCCTGCTAGTCCTCGGGAGCTTACATTTGGAGGTGGGAGTGTAGGCGGGGAGGTCGTGGGAAGACATGAGGAAATTCTGGGAGGGTATGATGGCTTGAGGAAAGTGCTAAAAGGGGATGTGATGTGGACTATGAGAAGACGAGCGGCACAGGGGTACGGGCTTCAAGATGTGAGTTCGTTGTTCTTTTACTTAGTAATACTACACGAGCATCAAAGGACGTACGCAGTCGATTCAGTGCATTTATAGACATTCTGTCACTTCCTGAAACGATCCAGTTGGAAGCCACAGGACAGGAATGGAACAGCTGACCACGAGCTTCTCTTAAATGGCGCCATTGCCATACAACATCCTGGTAAAGACCGATTATCGGGCATCTGGGAATTTGTAAATCGTCAGTCCTCTCCCTCTATTTTCTTTCACTCGCTGAGCTGAATACCAGACTTACTCCAAATCATGCCACCCTCCACCTCAACACATAGAGCTTACAATCTGACATACCACGGTATTTCCTCCATTTGGTCCGGTCCTGAACAATCTCCTTCCTCACCGTCATCGATCAGAACGCAAGCTACGCTACAGAACGAACCTCGACCACATCGACAGACCTCAGCAGCTTGGTCTAGTCTTGCCAACCACCAAGGCGTACGACAAACTTCCGTCCCGACACATACGACGGAACGGATTCCCAGAGAGAGGGTGGCGAGCGAGGTATCGGCGGATTATACCGCTGCGGTGGTCAGCGTACTGGCGCAAAGACAGCAGAATGGTCTGGGTGGGTTAGGGGGAAAGGGAAGATGGACGGGACTTGGAGGTGGGGTGAATACTGAGAGAGGACCACAGAGGAGGTTGATGATGATGGTTTGTGGGGAGGATAGGAATAGTGCTATGGCGGAGGTGAACAGGTGAGTGCCTCGCCCTTCCTATCACAATATGGGAGACGAATTGGGGATTCAATTCTTTTCGGGACCATGACGATCTCTCACCATCATCGACTCCATGTTCCATCTTAGTAGTGATGAGTCAGAAGATGAAAGGCATCTGGGAGGTGGTGAAGGCGGAAATCTGTGCTCTGGAAATTTGTGATGATAGTAACCGCGGCGAGGGGAGTACTGATAATCAGGCTGGTAGAGGATTCTCAAAGGACCAAAGCTGCTTGTTGGGCGTACTTTGCAGGAGAAGAAAGTAAAGCAATGAGTATCTTGCTGAATTCGCCAAGTGAGTCTCCAAAGTCCTGATCTCATCTGTCTGGACCACTCTCATGCCCACTCTGAACTACACACGAAATCCCCCTCTGTTCACCTCTCATGAGACCAGCCTTCACATCCTCAGAAACGATTACCTCAGGGTTCCGCCTCAGTGCTTTCATGGTTAACTTGGCTTCATGAGGTACAACGCTCACGACCAGACGAGAAACACCGACTGATGGGATCCACGATGGCAGGTTTCATCTCTCAATCTCGTGCTGAAAGAGGGTCCGAATTTTGGCAAGAACATTGGCAGACCATGGTTACAAAAACGGATGATCCATATGTCCGAGTCATACTATCTCGAATTGGAGGAGATGGGTGGGATAGTGTATTGAAAGAAGAGGCTATTCCGTTGTTGGATAGGGTGTCTATCGCTATTAACAATCTATCCGATCGAGAAGTGAGCTGTCTTCCCCCTTTATACAAGATCATCATCTTTCAGGTCATAACAAATATCTGACAAACCTCTTTCGGTGATTCTCATGTAGACTTTCCAGAACCCTTTCGTTCTTGTCACCTTAGGGCACTTTTCATTGGTTAAGCCTCACCGACATATCTCTGGTATCGTCTTGATTGGTATGGTGAAGAGAATACAAGCGGGAAAACACTAATGAACAGCTCTCCGCATTCTTCAAAGATCGTTATTCCCGTTGTTTACTCCACTGTTCCCTTCATGGTCTAGTTTTGACCGGTTTCACACCACCCGCAATACCTCTCTTACAAGCTTACCTCGATCGTACAGGGGATTTACAAACCGTTTCCATCCTCTCTGCTTTCTTCCCCCCTTCTCGACTCAGTCGAGGGGAGAGGAAAGCGTTGGAAAGATGGCAAGAGGCTTATAGAGACTTATTAGATAGATGGAAAATGTACGATAAGAGATGTGGGTTTGATGTGGGTAGGCAGATTGAAATGGGGAGACTTGGGGAAGAGATCAAATTTGATAAGAGGGTTTGCCCAATGTGAGTTTTGTTTTTTCGGCTTTGTTCTGGATTTCTTGTTTCTTTCCTTGTGCTACTCATTCCCTAGTTTCGTCTCTCTTCTTTAGTGATCCCCACAGTGTATGATAGTTGCTGTCGAATGTCATATTTGCCAAATTGCCATCTGTCTCGAACGCTGGACAGCGCCTTCTCATCTTTTTTTACCACCCAATATATCCCCTGTGTGAAGTACAAATGTCTCCCTACGTTCCTCACTCCGCGCGCGTTTATGGGAGAGTTCAGCTTTTGGGCTCGAAAGCGAGTTACCAACCTGTCTCTCTTTGTTTATCATATGGATTACCTGACCAGACAGATGTAATAATTTCTTATCGAGACAAGCAGAAGAACAAGTGAAGAAAAAAACTTCTTTGAATAATCCTATCATATGGCCTAATCAACGTGTCAGTTCAGTAACCTTTTTCCTCCTCTTTTACTCAAAATCCCTTTTGTCTCCAAGCTTCTTAACGAAAGTATTGTCCCTTCCTGTTATACCTCAATTGCTACTCATATATACATTCTTGTCACTTATTACCTGATACAGAATCTTGACAGATGTTGACTTGACAGACGACAGTATGTCAATTATGTAACTCTCCACTTCCAAGATGTTGCATATGTGAGTTGATCCTTGCCATTTATCCAGTTCTGTCCATTCTCTGTCGTGTACCATGTATACTTTATGGTCCCCATCTTCTTCATTGCTCTTCCTTCAATAATCACCATGAAACCCGTCATGTCACTTGCTCACCCACATTGATTTTGTAGGACCGTCCGGATCAGTGATTCGAGGTTGACTTGGTATGAAATAAAGAAAAAAGCTCATGGGTAGGTCTCAAACATGTCGAACCTCATATGGAAGATGAAGATGGACCTCCGGACACTTTGGAGGATGCTTATGTGTGTTGTCAAACTTGTCGACATGGTGGTGAGTTTCTTGAATTCGATTTACTGCTTTCCCACTTCACTCTTCACTCTTTTCCTCTCTTCTTCATTACATCACTCTCCTACTTTCTTCGTCCCCCCTCTCTCTTACTTTTCTCCCCCTGCTATAAGTGGAGGTTCAACCAGACAAGATTAACTTTCGCTGCAACATGCTATCATTGGAAGGAGACCATCATGCCTAGGACTCGAGTGACACTGAGATAACATAAGTACTATGAATCTTAAGCTGAGTTGCAGGTCACGCGGGACATATAATCCCTTGGTTCGAAGGTGATTTAGATGGAGAACCACCACATTCTACATGTCCCGTCGCGGGGTGTGAATGTCCCTGTGCCTCACTATAATCTTTTTGCTCATCTACCAATGAGAGCTCATCTATCCATGCAGATAAGTGACGTCAAGTATAGTTGTAGAGACCGGTATCTATGATGCAGAATGCTATGCATGATGGTTGCCATGTTGTACTCGTACAGTGAGACATCCTCTTTCAACTCCTGACATCAACCACTTGATCACCCCATGATAGATTACCACACACCAATATATGTACCATTCTCTATTACTTTTCATTAAAGATTTGACGTCTTCTTAAGGTTGCCCAGAAGACATTATTGATGGAGAAAGATTGATTGGAATATTCTTTGAATCAATGGTCGACACTTCTTCCCGTGCGATCTTTCTTCTATCTGACACTTCATTTTCTATCACTTTGAAAAAAGCCTCGACCCATCTTTCGCAGGATCGGGGACGAGTTCGACCGCGGAAATGAATGGCGAGTGCCAGAGCTGGGATACGGCGGAGAAAACGACCTGATAGACCATGAGACTGTTGAGTAAGCATTGATGACTCATTTTTAACACCCCCACCAAAGACTCATCAAATACATCATGTAGACGCACTTTACTTTCGCGGCATTCCCGGGGTTCAGTACCGTGATGAGATAAGAAGGCATTGGACTGGAGTTCTCAAGACTGGTGAAAAGGTTGCGAGGAGGGAGTATAAACTCACATGACACTCCTGAGCCACTCTGGCTAAATCAATCCCTACTTTCTGTCCCTCCTTCGCCTCCCCCTTCTGAGCTCTGACCTTCGACATAGCTATCAAATTCCAAAGTGGCAGATCCAACTGCTGAACCAATCCACGGTTCATGAGCTCTACCAAGGTCGTCCGTAAAATCCAGTAAATGGCTTCTGGGATAGGAGGAGGAACGTATTCTTTTATATCGGCACGATCTATGAATGCCTTATCTGAAACTCAGCTCTCATCGTCAGTTACAAAGGGGATTTACCGATGGTATGTGATAAATTTGACGTGGTCAGAACCAAAACATTCGTCTTGGACCGGAGCTTGTCCAGCTGGGTTAACAGCGCATTTACAACCTATTGTGTAAGTTGAGGTACGTGTAATCTGAACAATGAAGACCTCACTCTTAGAGCATCGCCAGGTTCACTGGCGCCAGAAAATGAATCTCGTGCGATTGTGAGTGATTCCACTTCATCTGCATGTCAATCCATGTGCTCACTATTGAGAAAGATTGGAAATCACTCACCTATGAGCACAACGACGAAACAATCTTCCCTCTCGACCATCTCCATAACACTTGAGAATAGTTTCTGAACCAATTTACCGGATTCGGAGAACCATTTGGAGAATAAAGAATGAGAATTTATCTCCACTAACTTGCCATGTGCGTATCTGACAAATCAGCTGGTCAACGCGGTTCGGAAGCGTATGGAGCTAGAAGAAGAGGAGAATTGACAACTTACGTATCTGACAACCGAATGGACAGCTTTTGAGCCAATGCTCGACATAACGACGTTTTACCCGTCCCGGGTGGACCGTGTAAGAGAACTAAACTGAATATCAGCCCATGAATATCGGCTCATGACATTGCATACCGGTTTAAAGCGACAATGTTGGGATTCACACCGAGATCCCCTAGAACCATAGATGTTCGAACCATATTGAGCAGCGTCGATTTGAGTGGAGGGGGATAGATCAAACTTTTACTCAGCTGACCAATTTACGAAATACATCTAAACTTACTTTTCCCATAAACCTTCAAGAGACTGAGCAGGAAGATCTATGATCGTAGCTGCGGAGACTGATTCTTGATCGCTATCATCTGCATAATCAACAATGAGAAGAGACCAGACATGAAGTCACTCGCCATCCAATTCTGCAGCGAGATTCTCACTGATGTTCACAGGTCTATAGAGATGTATGTTCACATGTGCATTTCGCAGAAGTACGTTCGGCACTGGAGGATCTAACCAAATGAGCTTTGCTAGAAACATGTCACATAGATATGAAGAACTCACCAAATTCCGCCACTATGATTTGTTCCACGTTCCTCTGCAGGATGGAGATATGTTCCCATTCAGTCAACGGCCCTAAGAGAAGTGCATTGTCTCCACTTTCTATCAACGCTCGGACGGCAGTGGGGATGAGTTCCGGTCGGACGGATGCGTAAGGTAGAAGACGAACTTCGACTGGTGGTGAGCAACCTCTTTTGGGTATAGTCTATCTGGGAGGATAAATGTCATTTCTCAGAGGAATTTGATAAAAGGGTGGCGAGAGAGCTGGAAAGAGGTGGGCAAATTGCAATCTGTCCTGAAATGGATAAGAAGGCGAGAAAAGACGAAGAAGACTCACCAAACACCTCGACCTCGTCTTCATCGTCAGATGATACACTCATGCTCTCACTCATCTCAAAAGTCGCCGAGAGAGATGCGCGTCGCCCATGAATTGAGGAACCTGTCTGAGATGAACCCGCAAGTCCGTCTCCCGAGTATGAACTCCCATTGACCGGAGAAGAAATCGACCCTCCGCCATTCCGATGATGATGAGAGCCAAATGCGGAAGGTATAGGGGGTGCAGGAGCTTGGAATGTGGGCATAATGCAGGTGAGCAGGTGAGTGTTAGAAAAGAAAAAAAGAAAAGCACGCGCGGAGGGGGAGCAGTGATCGACGCAAAAAAGGAACGCAGGTCGGATTCGAATGGCCTCGTCGTACCTGATTCTACGTGTGCCCCAGTTCCCTGTTTTCTATTCCTGGGTTCGAATACCTGCAAATCCGTATGAGTCCTCTCTCTTTGGGCTTCCCTGCTGCATGCTGCTTTCCGCTGTGTATCTTTCATTCCAGTGCTTATTCGGGCGGCTTACTAGGATTTGCGACCTTCAAGTGGAGAGCATTGGTACATGCGACCCGAATTGCCCTGTCCAAAAGATACACCATCGGGGACTCGAACCCCGCGCGGGAGCAATCATCCAACTGACGTTGGCCACTTACGTAATGGGAAGCTCCCATGTTAACCCCTACACCAATGGTGTTATGGTCCGTGCGCGGAGCGTTCTACAGAAACTCATCTCGGAGGATATTCGATGAACCTCAACATTCATCATCAAGTACATACAAACGACTTTAATTAGCAATTCCTACCATGAGACTCAGCTCAGTAGGGCTTCAAGAAGTCGTTGCCCTAATTCCCTCAAGGAATCTGCCTCGCTGACCAGCGCCTGACTGATCCTCTCACCAACCTGCTCCGATTTGGATCGTTGCACGTCTAGACTGTGACTGATTCTCCCCCTCAACTCATTCAAGATCGGAGCATGCACATGCAGTGCCCGAATCAATTTAGCCTGTACTTCTTCCATTGAAATTGTTGCGCCGTTTGGAGTCTGTCCGAGTCTTCGACTGAACTCCTCTCGTACTGTCTCTCGTTCGAACATTGACTTTGACAGATGGTTATATACGGCTTCCAGAACCATTTGTTCTCTTCCGAGTGTTTCTATGAGAGCTTCTTTTGATTTACGGAGAAAGTCGACTTCTATTTTTTGAGTGTCGTGTTCTTCCGATCTCTTTTCTGTCGCTGGCTGCTTGTCCACATCTTCGTTGCCTACTACGAGCTCTCTCTGCACCCTGACTGCTTCCCTTGATTTATGGAGAAAGTCGACTTCAATCTTTCGAGCCTCGTATTCTTCCAGCACCGTTTCCGTCGATACCTGCCTGTCCATGTCTTTGTCAACTACTTCTAACTCATCTTTTAGCTCAATCGCGCCCCTCGCACTCCCAGCCGTCTGTGCATAAGATGTGTCTTCTATACCGTGTGACGAAATCGAAACCTGAAGTTCTTTCTGTTTCGGATGTGGAACCTCTTCGAGACAAAGATTTCCGGACGTTTCCTTTGTAGACTTGTCTTTTTTTGATGTTGCCTTGAGACTCAAGTCATGGTACTCTTTCCAGAGTTGAGAGAGCTGTTCCGAAGTTGGTGCACCCTCTATCTCGCCTAAAGCTTTCCCTGGTCCGTCTGCTCTCCAAACAGCATGAATGGGTTCACCAATTTCACAAGCACTGCATCGACATCCAGGAATCGTGACGAGTTCTAAACAATCCTTCATATTAAAGGCGCCCCTTGTGTCAGGGTGGGTCAAAGCTCTCGACTCTATCGCCAGAGAGGGTGACTCGGGAGATGAATGTGAACTGAGTGTCGGTAGAAGTTCCACGTTTTCCAGACCAGCTTCAGCGACTCCTTTTGCTGATAGTCCCAAGTCCGTCCACGAATGAAGGTCCAGCAGAGCCACGGAAACTCCTTCCGCCTGCTCCCGCTCTAGATTCGACAAAAGCTCCTTCATCTCTTCCTCATCCAGGGCTTGCGGGACGGTACGTCTCGCTGCATAATTTTCATCAATGTCTTCCAAATTATCGGCCAATTTTGGTGTTTTTCCAGGCGTCATAGCTATACCCAGCCCAACATGACCAGGATCAGATTGGGTAGAGTGATAGAGAGAATCCAATGAGTCCACCGTGTCCATTGCTGTACTTTCGAGAGAGTTGTTGACAGGATAAGTGACGTCTTGGTAAGGAAGGGTCGATAAAGAGCCGTAGTCGAAGGTGGTATCCGTCGTGTCAATTGACTCTAGATAGTCTCTGCTTCTTTTCGCAAGTATCAATGTCGATTCAATGACTTGCTTGGATGCCGTATTCAGAGCCTCCACCAGTTCCTGCTGCCTGACCCGCTGTCCACCTCCCGTCTTTCTCATGAAGTCTTCGGGGGTGAACGATCCGCAGCAGGAAGACTCTGCCGGCCCACAGGGATCGCTAAGGGATAAACGAGCGTGTGCTAGACTAGATGATCGGAAGTTGGCTTGATAGGAGGCTAGGACTTCTGCGGTAATATCCGGCTTTTGTGATCCTCTATGGTACAAATCAGCCAGGCCTGATAGTCAGACAACTCTCGATAGACCTAGACATGCTTCCCAACGAATTGGCAAAGCGTACTAGGTGCAGAATGGGAATGGCTGAATGAGTGACTCACCTTTTAAGAAGACCTGTGCCTGGGCTCGATTGACCATTGGATTTTTGGCACCACAAAGAGAGGCCTGTATTGAACTCCACAGCAAGTTCAGATGCTCAGATTGCTGGGCAATACCTTGAAGGATCTCAAAATACCTGTCAGATTAGCAAACTACACGAGGAAAGTATGACAGATGAGACTCACACGGCGGTATAACCACTTTCACGAACATCTTTCGGTCGAAAAACCCATTCCAGAGGACACCACGGACTCATTTCTGCTAATCCCATAACTCCTTCCCAAAGAGAGGCACTACAAGCTCCCAAGTCGGCTAATCTGAATAAATCAGTTCTGACCTATCTGATGCTTCAGATACTCACTGTGTAGCTTTGTGATTACGGATTCTTAGTTTTTCTAGCATAACCTCAAAAGTGTCCATTTCCCCCGCCGCCTTTCGCTGCGCTATAATGGCGTAAGGCCCAGGTTCGGGTGCATTTCCATTCTTTGGACTAGCCGCTTTCTCAAACAGGAAAAGAGTACCAACAAGTCGAGCGACAAGACCTTGTTGTGTAATGTAAAACCATTCTGCGGTATTGAGGTCGAACGCCGTTCCGGCATTATCCCACGAAATTTCGTCGACAAGATACCCGTATAAGCTATGAATTCTCCCTTCAAGACTGATACATCAGTTTGACGACCTTTGTGATGGAGAGGAAGGAGTTTGCTCGGTGCAAGGTGAGCAATAAGGGGCATCACTCACAATTCCAAGCGTGCTTGACGGTCCACGATTGTCTCTTTGAAAAATCGGAGGATCATATGATTTGATTGACTTTGTGGAATATCCCACAACTGCCACATGATCTTGGCGGCCGATTTGTGGTTCCAAGGGAGAAGCGAAGGGCCGGGTCTGACTTTTGTTCCTGTTTCGTCCAATACGCTAGGTACAATGAAGCTTCGAAAGTCATCACTACGAGAATCAAAACACATGCGGATGTGGTCTGAGAGGTGAAGGATTACTCGAGAATTGATATTTGAATAACCCCACTGAAACTCCGGCTCAATTAGCTCGTTGTTGATTGTTAAGAGATCAGGGAACCGTAGAGAAGACCACGCGGCCATGATCGGATTTGTTGGTGGAGAAGCAAAGGGAGACAGGTATGCAACAATAAGCAAGATACAGGCAGGAGTGTCTGAGGACTGAGGTAGGTGAGGGGTAGAGTGGGGTCGTATGCTCAAGGAAAATGGAGAAGAAAGGGAATGCAAGGAGAGGGTAGTGGGGTATGAGAGAGAAGTGGATGTCGGTCTCGGTCCTGTTCTCCTTCGATCGCCTCATCATCCGCATTCTGTAACGTCATCACGGTAGATGACCTCCGTCATAGTAATAGCGTTGAAGGATCCCCTTTGGGGAAGTCATGAGCTTCTCATTGATCATTGACCGTGTGTGCACTGATCCATCGTTCGGCATGTAGTATGTATCAAGTGCAATACCGTCTTTCACTGCGCGCTTATGCATTTGTCGCCGGGAAAGTGTGGCTCACCGTGAAGGTGTAGAATCCATAAAGTGCCACATTCTACAACCGCCACAAACATCCTCCTGTCACATCCAGTTTCGAAAAGTCGTCTGTCTCAACTCTTCTCTCCACTCTCTCCTATAACACTTACCACATCCTCTCACCCGCCCAGTGCACGTCTTTCAAACCTGAGGAGGTTCAATTGACAGCGCCCAAGATGCCGTTCCAAGATGCTCATGATATGCCTGAGTTCAAGGAATGGCTCATCACCACCCTCGAGCCGATGTGCGTCTTTCACAATCCTTACCCCGCTCTTCGCAGTGGTGGATATGTCGACTACTGGAACTGATCGATCTAGGTGTGATGCCGACCCAGCGGTGATGAGCGACTATATCATTGCTCTTTTAAAACACGAAGCTACTATGTCGGAACAGGATTGGAAGTTGGTAAGTCACCTGCCTCCTTTGTCAATGCTCTTCGCTGATAGATTAGTTCATCTCCAGAGAGTTGGCTGATTTTCTCGATGAAAGTATGCCCCCGCGCTTGTTTATCTCTCTTAGCTAATAGGCAGAGTCCACACCTTTTGTCAACACCCTGTTCGATGTGCTTCACAAGAAGGCATTCCTTCCTTCCGCTTCAGCACCGGTAGATGTTCCCGCCAATTCAGCTGTCAACCCGGCGATGGTGTCATCTTACCGTCCCATACCGACCGAACCTTCATCATCCACAGTTAAGAGAATATCTTCTCCCGTACAGTATCCAGAGGCTGAATCTGGACCGTCAACTATCCGCCCGGCCAACGGCTCGGTAGATGTCAGCATGTCCGACGCTCAAGTTGAAGAGGGAGGCGAGGTGGTTCCTGTCAAGGAGAAGTGTTTTGATTATCACGGTATGTCTTTTGTCGGGGATGATACCCTGTTATTACAAAAAGCTCATAAGTAGAACGCGGTTTTTGCCTTCGTGGTGTCAATTGCCCTTATGACCATTCCGATGATGCTATCATTCCCGATCCTGAACAGATGTTTCGCACATTTTCCACTTTTCAGCAGGCCTTCATGCCCCGCGGCGGAAGAGGCGGACGAGGTGGTCGTGGCCGAGGACATCATCCAGGATTCCCAACACCATTCGGCTTTCCCTTCCCCGTGCCACCCCCTTTCGCTGGGCGACCTCCACGAGATAAAGAAGCTTCTGCAGAGTTCTCGGGATCAAACAGACCTCCACAAGACCGTTCTTCTACCACATTACTTGTCTCGGATATCCCTCGGAATAATCTGAGCATACCAGTCATACGAGACTATTTCCGCCAATTCGGGGAAATCACCAACGTCGCCTTGGAGGGAAAAAGCAGCAGAGCGTTGGTAAGCTTCTCAAGCAACGCCGAGGCGTACAAGGCGTGGAGGAGCGATGAAGCTGTCTTCGGAAGTCGACATGTCAGAGTGTTGTGGCATAGGCCAAGACCGGGACACGGACAAGCTGGTCAACAAGCTCTGGAAGCGTCTGCTGGAATCATTGCGAACTTACGAGCTATGGAGGATGGACAATCACCCCAACAAGGGAAATCTGCAACACTTCTTGGTCCAGAATCAAGGTTACGAGCTACTCTGACGGAACTCGAGGCAAAGGAGAGGGACCAGAAAAAGGAAAGATTGATGGCGGAACAAAAGGTGTTATTGAAGAAGACGGAAAATGCCGTGAAAGAGGAGAAATTAGAAATTCTGAAACGGTTAAAAGAGTTACAGAAAGAGATGGAGGCTTTAGATAAACCACCAGAAGATGTGTCAATGGAGTTGGGAGATAAGGAGAAGTTGGACATGGAGTTGGCGAAGCATGGAATGGAGACGGCTCAGGGGAAGGACGAACAGGAGTTACTCAGATTAAATGCTCAGCTTTCAGCTTTGAGGGATAAAGTGAGTCATCTTGCCGTCTTTATCTATTTATCAATTCATCACCCACAATCTACATATATCTTACACATCTGAAGGACTACATGCAAATAATCGAACGTAAATTGAGTGAATTAAACACACTGACGATCAGGCCAATACACTAGGTATCAACTCTTCAGCCCGTTATTCTCCCTATTCTCGTCCTCGTGGACGTGGTCGAGGATTTCCCTCTAGTAGAGGAGGTAGAGGAAGGGGTGGCTTCCCCCAACGTATGTCTTTGGACAATCGTTCCAGAATACTAAAGATTGTGGCTGAGGACCAAACGATCGAAGGGTCAGAAAAGCTCAAGGAATGGTATGAAAGTACCGGAGGAGTGGTGATGTCTAAAGAAGGAGGTATGGTTGTTCGGTATCCAAATCGAGAGATGGCCGAGAGGGTGAGTGTGTTTTCGTGTCCTCCCTGTCCCTTTGTTCATTTGGCCATCTGATCGTCCGTTTCCAGGGACAACTCCGAAGGGATATGAAACAAGGCAACAGTTGACGATCAGGCTCTGGCTATGGGTACTAAAGAAGTTGGAATTCCCGTTCAAGCTAGTTGGCTTGCTGAACCTTCTTCGACATATACCAACGGGAATGGACATCAAGAAAAGAGTGATGAAGTGGAAATGATGGACGAATCAGGAAGAAGAGAACATGATGAAGAGGAGTAAATCTACATCTATCATGCGAAGCGGAAAAGGTGATTTATGCATGATACTTGCTCTTTTTTTCCAATTCTTTGAGCGCTCGAACTGTACATTGCCCTTCATCTCTTCTAGTCGAATTTGAGAAAGGAGTAAGTTGGTTCATTCTTATGCGCAATTCCCAAAAGAAAAACGAGGCAAGATACGTGATATACATATGTATGCAATTACGGTATGCAAAAATAAGTCGATAGTGGGAAAATGACCGAAATTACCGACCTAACATTCCAAACCCACTTTGAGAAACTTGATTGGCGAAATGGTTTTCTGCTCCTTGCCAAACTGTCTTGAGAACGTAAGCTTCAGATAAGAGCAATTGAACGTCATGGTCGGTCCATGATTGCGTAGGAAGGTTTTGAAGGAAGATGATCATTTCCTATTTCTTCAGTACCGTCCCCGCAAATACATTCACCCCCGATTACCGATCCACCCATCACCTACCACTTCCATAGCCCAATGATCTTCCGCGTTGCTATGAAGCTTGTGGGATATGTGAGGCGAGATGATGAGAAGTGAGAGAGGAGGGAATATGGAAAAGAGATCAGGTGAGAAGAATTGAGGAAACGGAAGAAATGAAATGAAAACTCACTTGAAAATCCATATCTCTCAATCGTTCGGAATACTTGACCAATAATGCCGAACAAACATAAAGATGAAACTGCGAAAAAGCATCTGTCCCTTCTGCCTTTCACTGTCAGCTTTCCAGGTTTCATGAGAAAGAAGTGACAAACAAGATAAGTATCCCACATCCTGATCGTACATTTGATACTCATCTCTCGCATGAGGAGACAGTTCATCCATCTGAATGAGAACTGCATGAATTCCACACCCTGATCTTCAAAGTGAGCCGCGAGGGGTGCTGATGGTCAGTAAGAATATTTTGATGTGGCATATCTAGACATGTGTACGTAGTGTGTGCAAGACCTCGTACGAATTTCGGGACGAGGTGAGAGAAAGAGCAAGGCTAAAGACTGCCTAACATGTCTAAGTTCAATACTGAAAAGAGGAATCCCAAATGAAGCTTCGACGAAGAAAACCGAAGAATAAGATGAGAGATGAAATTCTCACCATCTATTCGCTTTACCAATTCAGACATACGACGGACTAGTCTTTGTATTCCTGGCTGCTGAGAGATATAGTTATCCTGTATCCCATCCAATAATTTGGACAGACACCAAAAAGTATCTGCCTCTACGGCGGATAGAACGGTGGGGTCTAAAAGGGTAAGGTCGAATATTTCCGGGTCGGTATCTGACTGTCAACCTTGCTCGCATATTGATCATTCAGGGAGGGATATCACGAAAAGAGGGGAAATGTGTTCGGACAGAAATGGTAAGAGGGGCGAGAAACTCGCCTATATAAGCAGAGAGGAAGACCTGGAAAAACGGAGTTGCGAGATCATTTATTCCTTGAACATAACCAGAGGCTGGATGTCTGATCGCCCAAACGTATAACAGTCGCTCTAAAGCCTAAAACATGAGCCACATGTGTTGGATGAGGATTATAAACTCGCCCTCTGTGCTGTTGTGCAGGACCATAATGGAACGTTTGGTCGTGTTCTGGGTACATCAATCTCAATCTGATGCCATATCTAACATCAGCAAGTTCCAACGTAGGATAACTGAGATCATGACTCACTTGTTGATCAAGAGATGATAATCCACGACCAAAGTATTGATCCACTAGCTGAGAGTATTCTTTACGTTTCCGGCTCAGTGTTGTTAGACGAGGTTGTGAAGGTAAAGGGAGGTAATTCTGCGAGTTAGGCCACATTCTAGTCCGACACGAGCTCACAAGGAGAAGTTGCCAAACTATCGGTCTGACCTCCTCTGGTACACCAGACCAAGCCAGACGTCGGAGCTCAGCTGAGTCGTCAGCTTCCTTATGCAGGTGTTTACCCAACTGACCTAAGTCTACACCTCCACCGTCCTCAACATTACCCCTCAGAACTTTAGCGAACTTCTCCCTTCTCCTCTCTGTTCTCATGCTCCTTCGCCGACTGAGATCTTTTCCTGGGGTGCGTAGTCCGCCTTCAGGAGTAAGAAATCCTGGAAGTTGTGAACCTGAAGAAGATGGTGTTGCTGGACCTGGAGATAAAAAAGGGAATTGGGAGTTTGGTTGAGGTCCACTACTTGGCGTGGCAGGTTCTGAATGAGATACATGCAATGATGCCAAGAGCTCAAGTGGATCTACGACATCAGTGACTCTTCCTGAAGATAGGACATGGTCCGAACATACCATTCATTATATCCACCATATTCTCTCGGAGGGCTTCTTTACCGACTTTTGGAGGAGGTATTGAGGCTTGAACAGCTTCCACGTCATTCCGTTCGACGATCTCCCAAGCTCCCCCAGGAGGCAGCTTTGATGTCTTGCCAGTAGAGCTTCGTTGGCTGCCGTTCCCATTCAGGATAGTACCTGGCTCTGGGAGAGGCACCCCTTCGGTGATGGTCTTACTGGTTTGGAAGTTCGGACGTTGAGGAGAGGAAGATGAAGGTTTCGAAACGTGGTGATATGATGTACTCGCCCAAGACGCTGCGACGTGGGTTGAACCTTCAGAGTTTTTCCTTCTTGAAATCGTCACAGCCTTGGACGGAGATGATTCTTTGTCAGAGGAAGAGTCCCAAGCGTCTTCTTCCCAATCTGGATCGGTTTGGCGGTAGAGGGAAGTCATGCTGGCGGCGAGACGATTAGGGAAGACGTGGTGGGGATTGGCCGTATGTGGCCTTGTCGGTGGTTGAACGGGCATGATACGGAAGCCTCTTGGTCTCAGATGACGAGCATGACTTTGAGGGTTCTACCAGGCTATTAGACGTAGACAAGAACAACAAGATATGATAATCGTGTGGGTTGGAAGAGAAGGGGAGAAATGTCAAGGTTAAGCGAGAAGGAAGTACTTAAGGGAAGAAAGAAAGAAAGAAATCTTGTTCAATCTCCGACTTAACCAAGTTGTATCCCTTTCTTCCTCTTGTTTTCCTTCTTACTTCTGCCTTCCTCTAACAACATTGTACATCTCATTGAGACGTCCTGAGACGGTAGAGGATTTACTTGACTGTTACCACTGTCGCTTCAAGCCGGACCAGTCGCTCGAACTAGCTCTTCACCGCACTCCCCCCCCCCACGACTCCAGAGACGGGGGAAGCGAGGTATCCTTCCTCCCCTACATTCCACCCGACCTCATACTCATCATGTCCAATGAGAAACCTCCAAAAACTCCAGGAAGTCATTCTAGTGATCATAATGCGCAAGCCACACCCACACCTCCCACATCACTCGACATCATCAATACCAAGATATCCCTTCCTTTCTCCTCAAGCACCCCTTCACCCACCATACGATTCCCATCCACTACTAATGCCTTCGGTCTTTCCCATTCTCCCGGGTCAGGTTCCTCCTCTTCCAGCAAGGATATGGTGTTCAATGGGCCTCCCTCACTTCTGGACAAATCTCCCCTCGCGGTAGGAGTGTTGGCCGCAAAGAAGCTCAGACGTCCCAGTATGCTATCTCTGGCGCAGACGGCTAGCTTCACATCGGATGAACCAAGTTCGGAAGATCCAGTGACCTCCCAACGACCAAGTTTCGATGAAAGTGGAAGAGTCAACAAGCAGGCTGGTCTCAGCTCATCAATTGACAATCCATTTGCCCCTCGTCCTGTGAAACCGCCTGCATGGTCAAATACATTCGCTGGACCCTCAAGCTTCCCAATCGTTAAGAGGACTTCGTCAGCCCCACCCATGGGTTTTGAGGGGCTTTCTACAACCACTCCTCCCATTCCGCAAGCCTCACATATGGAGGCGGAAGGAAGCAGAAGTCAGAGTCCGATGGACCTCGAAGGCTTGAATGATTTGGAACCCAAACCTCCCCTCCTGTGGATGCCGAATCATTTGAAACACCCTCTCACCAGAAGAAAAGGCAAAGGTCGACCGGACGATATTGAACCTTTATCTCGACCTTCACCTCTTCAGCCTCTACATGCTCCGCCTCTTTCCGGTCGTCCCCTCCCAGCTTCACTTCTCGCCACCCTCGTCTCCGAAGCTTCCCCTCTCGAACATGAAATGCGTTCCGAAGCCAGACTACAGCGATTACTGTCGTCCCATCCATCTGCACTCCCTCTGACTCCACGTGCTCCAAGAAGCTCAAGAGGTCGATTTCCAGAGATGGTCGGTGGAGATGATGACGACGACGATGAAATGTCCCTTCGCCGACCTTCCTGGGCTCATCAATCTTGGGGCCGAACCACTTCTAGTGACTCCGATTCTGATGAAATGCCAGACGATCCTCCGAACGAGCCAGTTAATGCAGCTTTCGCGGCGGGTATGGATATGGAACGGCCCAGCTCGAGTGGTTCAAGTGTTGTAATGGGTGGACCGACTTTGGAGTCGGGTATTATTACTCCTGGTCCAGTGGCAGGTCATCCCACTCCTCCTCAAGTCAGCGGGCAGTGGCCGATGAGAGTGGTGAACAAGAGGATGAGCTTCTCTTCTGTGAACGCAGGAATGGTGCCAAGTCCAGGAGGAGGCATGGGACTGCCGAATGCTTTTGGTGGGCTGGGTATGGGGGGCACTGGGACCCCAGGCGCCAGTCCCACAATTGAGAGACTGGAGGTGAGACTTCATCTGATTCAAAGGCCTCTGCTGATCTCTCAGCTTGTAGGATCTCCTGGAGCCATGTCGACGGCGAGTCCGATACACATGCAATATCGTGATTCTCCTCGCGAGTTTTCGTCAATGAGGCCGAATAAACGTAAAGGTGAGTGTTGTGTGAAAAGTGTAATACATTCTTCCCTCACAAATACCATCCGTCGCAAGAGACTTTTACTGACTCGCAGCTCAAAACGACGATCGTTTCGACCCGTATAAGCGTCCACGCGGCTCGTCCCCTTCTATCCTCGGTGCTTCGCCCGGTTTTCCAATGTCTCCCTCTCGAACCCCAAATTCCATCGCTATACCACCCTCTCCTGGTATGGGTCCGCTATACTCGTCCAGAGGGAAAGCCGGTCTTCCTTATTCCCGTCCCATGTCCAGCCGCAGTCGAGCCGCTTCACCCGCACTAAGCATTGGTTCCACCTCAGGCGTACTCAGCACCTCTTTGGGAAGAGAAGGACTCGTTTCTGGACAAGGCAAAGCTCTTCTTCCGGCGGGATTCACAGGACCCGGTGTGAGTGCGGCAGAACGAGCGGCCAACGCACAAGGTGCTGCACCTCAGGGCTTGGGGAGTTTAGGACTTTTGACTTTGACATCTGGGAATGAGAGGGAAGATACCGTGGAGATGATCATGGAGGATGTGGAAGAAGGAATGGAGGAAGATTAAACCATTACATTGCAAGTGAACATGTTGATTGTATAGCTAAATATGTAGGGTAAGCTTCCTTGCGCACATGTATCAAACAGGCCCTACTCTCACAGTATCGTTTGACAAACTAAACCTGCGTAACTCATACAATGATAATCAAACCGGAGGACTGACAGACTTAATCGTCACGAGAGACTCCTCTTCAACAAAACCAGTGACTGAAGGTGTGGCTTGCGAGATGCTGATTACATACCGTTTCTGACTGCAGGAATGATGACGGAAACTTCGTTAAACTTTACAAGTCAAGCACCGGTTCCTCCCTCTCTTCGCTTAGAACCGCCTTCTCTTCGATTTCGACCTCAGATTCATGAGTCGACGTCATACATGGCCCAAATCAGCCGGGGTCCCACAATCCGTTCTCACGCCACCCAGATTCTACACTGCCTTTCGAGACCCTCGAAGGCCGGCGTGGGAAAGGTTTCTTGGTCAATCTCTACCCTTTGTTCTCCAAAAACATTGACAGAGAGTCATATAATACCTTCTCTCTGTCCCCTCTGTTTCTTAACTTAACTCCACACCCAGATCAACATATCAAACTGGCCTCAGATGGATACTGACAGAACTGACACACAATCGATACCGGCTTCTGCAGGCGATCGTCATCATGGGCCGTCCGATGTCAGGTCTGGCTCTACCAGTCCTCAAGCTGGCCACCCTGAAGCATCTGGAGACAACGATGTTCTCGACTCACAAGGCCGCACAACCTCCGTGTTATCAACACAATCTGACCTTGTCAAGGCCATCCGCCAGATAAGGAAAATGAGAGAATCTATATATTCTGTTGACAAAACATTGCAGGACTGGTACAGTGGCAAGACAGGGGAACACGATACAATAGGTGGACAATTATCCGAAGCTGACTTGAAGGAGCTATCCGGTCTGTATAGGGGCCTGAAGGATCTAGATCTTCGTGTCAGCGCGATCTCCCGTGGCTTGATACATATCATACAAGAATACCCACAAGTGGCCCCCGCCATCAAAGAGCAGCAAACACACCATAGTCAAGCTGGATCTAGCAATGGAACGAGGGGTGTAAATGCCAAGACTATTTCAAAAACAACAAAGACGTCCAGACCTCCTCATGCCGACTCTTTCAATCCCGGCAGCTCATTTCTACTGGGTGCCGTGATGGCGTGGACATTGCGATCACTCCTCCAGGAGTACAAGGGTGGTTGGAGGTCGACCTCACGTGCCAAGAGCAACAAGACGTTAACCCCTTCAAAAGGCAGAGCTTCATCCCTCATCCCAGGAGCATCAGCTTCAATGGGGGAACCGCCTACGGATTTGGTAGGAAGGATGTCAGGGGAGCTCAAGGACTTACTGTATGGTGAAGCTCTCAACATCCTGTCGGCATCCATTATGTCAGCGTGTAAGCAACTATTCAATGATGGAACATTATTACGGAGTGTCACCAAAAGGGTGATGAAGGATTTGGTGAGGACTGTGAATCAGGCAGCTGCTGTGGCACAATCTTTCCCCAGTATCACCCCTAGTGTTGCAAGCCCTGAAGAGACATACAATAATCTTGTTAATATGTTTGCTCAAGGGGCACTATCCAACCAATGATGGATATGAGGACAATGATGCATCCATTTACTCCAGTTTTGCTTTATGAAACCCAGTTTTCTACACCTCTGTCACATGACTACTCAGTCTGCCCAGCCTGTGCTTGATGTAATTCCACCAGTAACCAAGAGTTAGTGTCACGACCAGTACTTATAGCGAGATCAACTCTCACTAGCAGAGTTGATATTGAGCCTTTTAGGACGGTTTATGATCGCGGGCTCGCTACCCGGTCATGACAGAATATCAACTCTAACGGGTCACCCGTTCGAATTCGCGGCTCTCACTCTATGTGAGGTGCTGGCTGCAGGTGTCAGCACCGTTTGTCCTCAGGTTTCGCCCTGAGGGGTTGGTTTGGGGGTTGCCAACCATCCGAGGGTCCTATGTGACCATCCCATGGTCGAATCTTCCGATTCGACGTTCCTAGTTCCTAGTTCCGAGAGCGCGAATACCTGCCGAACGCATGTGACTTGGAAACCCACAGGCCTCGCGCCTGCCACGGTTTCAGGTTCAGAAGTACTGCTGTCGAGACGCCAGCTTCCCTGAAGGGGGGGAATATGTCACGACCAGTACTTATAGCGAGATCAACTCTCACTAGCAGAGTTGATATTGAGCCTTTTAGGACGGTTTATGATCGCGGGCTCGCTACCCGGTCATGACAGTTAGGTTATAACTGAACAAGTTCTCTATTGAGCAAGAAATAGTATGACCCTGGTGTGGATACATACAGGTATCATGCATATCTTGGTCTCTACTCTCAGCAGTGATCATAACAATCAAAACAGTGTGACCCACGAGTTTTGCTTTACAATTGCCAAAAGATCTGGTTTTGCATCCGTTATGTTCCACACGGATCAACCCGTCTGACTTGAAAGATATTAACCCAGGCGCTTCCTTGACTTCTGTCAAGAGTCAAGTCGAGAGTGAATGATCAAGTGGAACGGGTTTGACTCTGTTTCATTTTTGACGCTATCAAAGCAATACGTTCCCCCGTCAGATATCCGGCGGAATGAGGATCAAGAGACGATGAGTGTGAGGGGGGTGAATGGGGCAAGGAGTCTTCATCAGGATTGAATGTGAAAGTGGGCAATTGCCGTGGCTAAGTTGAGGAGTTGAGTTCAGTTTGACTTGCAGTAAAGGTTGATTGGTTTGTGTTTGAGAAGAATTGACTTTCATTGACTGTGGGAGTCGAGGAACCTGTTGGCACACAATGTTTGTTATACCTGTGAGATGAAGATGAGGAGGTGCTAGTGGTAGGATGATAGTGTCGACCTGCGCTCAGCTCCAGAGTGGATGGAAAGTGAACTGATGCTCTTCTTCTGAGTTCAGACTTCTCAAAATTCCGATAAGGGGTGTCGTCCGAGTCCGAGTCCATAATTCTTCTCTTTCCACCTGAATAACGTCGATGTCTACGGGGTGTCTCACCCTCATAGATTTCTTCACTTTCGGCGGGGTTGGTATTGTCATCCTTCTTTCTGAGCCATGGCCAGTTGGTATAGCGTGCGTTATCAATTTTCTCATCGGAATCGGTATCATAGTCTCTTGACGATCGTCTAACAGAGCTTCGACGACGAGTAGAAGATGGATTGGGAGTCGAAAAATCGGAGTATAGGTCGTCACTTGTCCCCACGTTCTCAGTAATCGGATCAGGTCCAGTGTTGGTAGTTGGCCATGGCCAAACATCCGGTCTTGTGGAAGTAGAGTAGTTTTCGTCAAAGTGCGATGTTGGACCTTGATAATTGTTTGGACTCCATCCCCTTGAGGCCACGGATCGACTAGTAGACGGATTGAACAGAATCTCATCTGATGGGTTACTGTCTTCCGAAAGACTGATGGGAGAGGAAGGAACAATTGTGAAATTCAAAGAGCGTCTCGAGGTTTGCTGAGGAGGAGAAGTATATAGTTGCAAAGTCAGCGGTTCTGTTGACTTTTGTGATGCTGCAGGGATGTAAAACACCTCTGGCCAGTATTTTGGATCAATCAACCATTTGTGTATATTATCGGGAGGTAGACTCATTGCCCAGAACTTGGGGTGTGAGAACGGATGGGTGTGATCACAACAAGTCAGAAAAGAGAAGTCAGCTGTTATCTCATGCTGTGTCAGACTGACAAAGGATGCTTGACAGGAGATGTTTCAGAGAAACGGAGGCGGGGAACACATCACGGACAGCTCATCCAATGCATTCCGTCATCATCATTCAAGTGAACCTCTCTTGGTGTATTACCCCTCAAACATGCTCCAACATCCAGCACAGTCCGATGTCTTGCCATCCCTGTGCAACAGCTATTTTGAACTGATATCACAGTAGTTGTGTGTGGTGACTACCTTCTTGTTTCTCTACGTGAGCGTGGTCCCCCTTGCACACTCCCTCTAGGGCCACCTAGACTCAAGCGTTCCATATTGCTTGTGGGTGTGTATACAGGTGATCCCATGGTTGAAGGGCTTATTGGTGTACCAGTCCACCCACTGCCAGAGCTGAAAATCTTGTCTGCTTCTACATCTGTCTGGTGGGCTTGATTCAACTCTTGTAACGGGTCATATGTGTTGGTTTGTGATGGGACACTGAGGTCAAATGAAATGTCCTCACCGGATGGTCGTCTACATTGTAGTACTGCCACTGTCTGTGCTCACGTAGAGCTCGTGTGCCCTGTATATAGTCATTGGACATCCTGCTTGCTACTGTGAAATCGTCATCTGATTGAATGGTATTATGACTGCTTTGAAGCTTGTCCAACTCCTCCCCTAAATGTTCCACATACTGGTTTCGTACTGCTGTTTCAATTCGACTTTGGAGCGCAATCACTTCTTCACCGTCGGCCATTGTGAAAGAACCAAATCTCTGTGACCATACAATAGGATGACCAGCTGGTAGATCTTCACTGTGAATGTGGAAGTAGTTGGTCATGATAGTAAAGTCACTATTAGTGAACGCGTGGGTGACTTCACAGAACCCGTCAGTTCCTTGTATGCTAGCCTCGAGGATGGTATGAATTTGATCTTGGAACTCTGCATCCTCCTGAATCAGATTGCTGATCCTAGCAATAGGCCTCACAGTATTTTCTGTGGTCTGTTGCCATGACGAGAACATTATGATAGCTGCTTAAAAGAGTGCTAAAAAGTAGTTGGTGGTGTAAGAAAGATAACGAGGACAGAATGGGATTTCGTTTTATATACTGCTCGATATCTACTGCCTAGTGTGCGTTGTAAGCGACTCTGTCCACTTCGAAATGGAGGGAGTCGTCTCAGAACCGAAACTACCCGGGTATCATGACTCCGATGATATCGCTTTCGTCAAACCGAAGCGAGGGTGAGGCGAGATTTAAGCGAAGACAGCCTCGACTCTCACTTTATGCGTCTCATGTCTGTATGGATTGGCAAGCAACTTATCGGCCCAGACCAGCGCATACTCATTTCAGGCTCTTCTACCTGATAGCTCGCTAGATATCAGACATTTGACATATGCAAAGTGTAAGCATCAAGAAATGTCAGCTGATAGAATCGGCCCGGGACGGCCGAGTGGATGATGCTATATCCTCTTCCGTGACTATTCTTCTTTGTCTTAGTGCCCTCTGAGCTTTTTAACAGGTTTGGGTTAGCTGTGTATGATTGAGATGTGATAATTATAGAGACATGTGGATTTGATACATGCTCTTTTCTTCTCTCTCTTATCATCTATTCATTAGCAAACCAGAACATCATTGCGGAAAGTTGGTGGTGACCCGTGCGCATCTCTCCTTACAGTATGAGTGATCAGTTCAACAAAATTCCATGAGAGAAGATGAGATTACTTGAACCTGCTCAAGAACTGTTGCCTGTTACCTACTCAGCATAATTAATAGTGATGTGTACTACAGAACGTACCAGTTGCCAGCACCAACTGAGAGTGGCCGGTAGTGTTTACTGATAATTAGATGATAATACAGAGGGGGAAAGGAGCATGCATCAATTCTACATGTCTCTATACTTATCACATTCCACTCACATGCAGTAAGCCAGAGACGATCGAATAGAGTTCAGAGGATAAGTTGAACGGAGAAATATTCGACGGACGGGGTAAAGGCGGTCGCGCCGTCCTGGCCCGATTCTATCGGCTAACAGGTAGGGGACAGGGTGAGCGGACTGCCTACGGATCGTCAGGGTCAATACGAATTCTGGGCATACAGTATTATACTGACTCCATCAAAGTGCATCTCCATCAACGGCAATGAGCCCACTTGATATGAGGCTCTGCACAATCCTCAAGTCTGGCATATATGTGAATCCTATCTCCCCAACGCCAGTGTGTACGTCCAATAATAATATCATTGGGTATAGACTGTACTTGTCGGACACTCTCTCCAATTTGTCCTTTCCTTTTCCAATTCCCCTTCCTTACGCTCTCCCAAGAACAGAGTGATACAGACATGGTTCTCAGTCCCTAAGTGCCAGCTAGACCAGACCGGGACTTCAACTTGACTCTTCATCTACTTCATCTTCTGAAACATATTCAGGAAGGCTGAGGTCAAACATCACCACATTGGTGTATCCTTGCAAGCTGTAATCCAAGTGCTTCTGGTGGGTTGACAGTGCCTGTGCTATGTCTTGAGTCTGTTTGGAAAGTTTTTGCATTGCTTGGAACTCATGTAAGGTGAAATCATGTGTGAGGTGCTCCGTTGTTTGAGCTTGTCCTTGTGTTGTACTGGCTCGAGCTGCAGCACGGGAGAGTATTGCTTTGGCTTGGCTGTCTAAGGCCGTGCAATATGAGTCTAGAAGGCTTCTCTCCATTCTGCACTGAAGATCGATCATATCGTTTCCCTGAGATGGTGAGAACTCTACAAAAGATTGATCCCACGTTATAGGGCGACCACTGAGTAGGCCATGTGGTGTGATCTGAAATCTGTTTTGGATGAGAATGCGGTCATCCCCAATAAAAGTAGAGAGTTGGAAGATAGTATTAGTATTCTCAAGCGTTAATCTGACCGCAAGGGACATGGACTGAGTGTCAGGACCAGACGTTGAAAATAGTCTGCGTCTATGAGCTTTGGCTATAGGGCCTCGTAGGGAACAAACCTAGTGATGTAGTTTATAGTCTAGTGATGTAGTGGATCGAAGAGACTATAAGTCGATGAGATCAAGTGGCAAAAGATTTGCTAAGTGACGAGAAAATACATTCGACAAGACATCTACGAAAAAGGGGTGTTCCTATATACTAAAAAGGGAGCGGAGTGATACCGAATCTATGGAGTAGATGTGGAAAGCGATATGGGGTGTAAGAGCGAAGGAAGACGGACATAGATGAGGGACACGGAGATGAAGGAAAAGTATAGCATGGTAAAGAAGTAACGATTAGGTAGGACAGGAGAACGGAGGACGCCGTAACGGGATCAGTGAGACGGGGACGGGAACGGGTAGACGGAGTACGGGAACGGGTAGGTGGAGTACGACTTCTGGGTACGACTCTTGAGGAACCCGTCTATAGGTACCCGTGATCCTGACACTGAGCCACTTCTTCTGGCGTTGACTCCATATAGAGGGTAATAGGATAGAGAGGCCTGGTAGAGCGGGTAGGGGTAGTGCGCGGCATGATGTCTGGTCTTTTGTGGAAAGTGAGGAGATGTTGGTTGTTGAGGAGAAAGAGAAGCTGTGAGAGACATTTAAGCACTTCACGCTTGTCTCCTCATCCGTGCGTGATCAATCGGGGACTCATTGGAATGTAGGCCCGACTGATCTGTCCCTTGGCAAAGGCGTGAGCTGATTGCCCTTGAGGCTCTCTTCCACCCACGGCCTTCGACTTCAAAAAGGAAGTAAGCACGAATAACGACATTTGTGACTATGTTCACATGTGACGTGATAGGTTTATGAATGGTACCCCCATGAATTGGAGAGTTTCATTGATGACGTTCTTGTTAGCCGATAGAATCGGGCCATGTCACAGTCGTCGTTTCTTCTTCTCTACTGACCGACGGTCGACAAACCTCGGCTAACTACGTCGTAGTGGGGCGTCGTTGTCTCACTAAGACAGGGTACTCGTCGAGGAACTACGGCTAACTTCGCCGTAGTGATACGTCGAGTGGTGAAATGATAAGATGATCGTCGATGGACTACGGCTAACTTCGCCGTAGTACGTTGAACTGCTCGGTGGTAGCTCTCCTTAACTCGAAGGTTGTAGCTACTGAATATATCTCTCGCTACTGACAACAATCAAGGATCGCTGAAGAAGTTCAGCGATCTGTAAACTATCTATACTACTCCTCTCCTCTCATAGAACGTCTCTCAACTCCTGCACTGCCTCACGCTCAGTCCCCTTCGTTCAACTTCGCCATACCTCGCCATATCCCCGATATCCTACTCCACTCACTTCGACTAACTTCGCCTAACTTCCCCTGTCCTGCTCTCCCTCGGCTGCCTTCCACTAACTTCGCCGTAGTTCTCCGCTAGGCGGGGTTATCGTGACAAATCCCCCTTTGGTTCTCGTAACTTCGTCGTAGTTGGTCTCAGTGGTTCGAATGGAGGTTGGTGGTGGTGAAAGGAAGGTCGGTGATGGTGAAAGGAGGGTCGGTGATGGTGGTTGTCAGGGATGTTACGATGTAGTTCGTGACAGGCCAGGACGGCCGAACCGCCGTTAGATAATTACCCCTTCCGTCGAATATTTCTCCGTTCAACTTATCCTCTGAACTTTATTCGATCGTCTCTGGTATTATGCGTGTGAGTGGAATGTGATAAGTATAGAGACATGTAGAATTGATGCATGCTCTTTTTCCCCTCTGTATTATCATCTAATTATAAGCGTTAACAGTTCTCACATTGATACCCCGCTTTACGCCCAGAGGTTACAGGCAGAATCTCCTTGCAGCAAAGGTGTGATCGACCCCGAATACTCATTGTCCGGTCATGTCGGATAGTCACTATCACACTCCTGATCATCTTTCAAGTCGCACGGATCACATGTCTTGGGTTGCTACCGCTGGGCACAATCATCTGTAAGTGGAGTACTCAACGATGTGAATTGTGCATGATCTTTCCTTCTTGTAATGTCTGAAACTCACACCTCAAGGTGATCACCATGCATCCATTCCAATGAGACATCTCAATACTTGAGTCAACAACTTCCCTCCGGATTAAGTCTTTGCACACAGCTACTCTTGCTTTACTGTTCCATCAATGTATGTGTTAGGGACACCGCCGGAGACGGACAGCTCCGGAGCTGCACGGACCCCATCGTTCCCAGCCAGAGACGGTCCACTCCGGAGTGGTCTGAGTCCTTTGACATGCCCAGCTGGAGAATCATCATCATATGAGATGAGGAAGAGCATGTCATACATAGCGTATGGGAAACATATGATCTAAACTCCCTTACATGTGAGCAGTAGTTCTGCATGAATTTCTCTTCCACTTTGACCAAAATAATTTGTTCCTCAACACCAATAGTTCTTGCCTCTTGGGCCAATATCTTGAGATGATTGTGCTTAATTTGAAGCCACTGTTGAAGCAGTTATATACCCACACAACTTCCAGAGCTTACTAACATAGACTATCAATAACAAGAGGTGTCATCTAGGTTTACTAAAAAAAGGTATTATATTTCTGCATGACTAGGATCAGAATCTCCGGCTGGGTCCGGACACCTCTGGAGGTGCATGGTTCTCTGGCTGGGTCCAAAGGGGGTGTTTTGAACCGTACAGCTCTGGAGGTGCACGTCTCCGGCGGTGTCCCTAACATATGCATACGTTCAAACTGCAAATTATGATGCACTAAATCAAAAATAAACAAGATTTCTGCTGCCTTCCACTCGATAAGCAGGTATGCCAATATGGGGATTCAGGAGTCTATTCACTTCAACCTCTTGTACTTTAAGAATTGTGGTGATCATCAGCTCGTTGGAGGTAGGAACGGCAGGCAGTCCTATAGATCGCTCACGTGACCGAAACTTTCTTTCAGCGAGGTTCTTAAGACCCATCATGTTATCCTGTTTCCTTCTCATCACTCTTAAGAAAGTGCTGAGCAGGAAACAGGTATGTCTATGCATCACTCTTAAGAAAGTGCTGAGCAGGAAACAGGTGACCGGATAGTCAAATCCGTTGTGGTAACGTCTCTCCTTGTTTGAGTCAAATTCCAACCAAACCGGAAAACTCTCCTCTACCAACCTCTTGACTCAACAACTTTACCTGCACCTGCTCCAATCGAGTGATCCCATAATGTCCTCCAACATGACAGTGAAGGACGACCGGAAGCTGAATGGACGTGACAACTATGCCTTATGGGACCGGGCCCTACGAGTTGTGCTTGGGAATGCAGGATATATCGTCCATATTATCAAAGACCCTTCCACTTTGACCACAGAGGTTGAAAATCGATATCCCCTCTCAAGCACACCTACTCCAACCGAGCGGTCTAAACGGCTTGTGGCGTTGTATGATCTGGAGAAGGAGCGGTCCGCTGCTTTTGCCATTGTCTATGGGAGTCTTACCAAAACTGTTCAAAACAAACTTCCTGACTCCATTGCCGATTTCACCGACCCCAAACCAATCGACTTATTCAAACACCTCCAAGAGAAATATGGTGCCAGTAATGGGACTCGTCAGGCCGAGTTGTGGTCTTCGATCTTTGGTGAACCCATTCCTGAGAATGACGATCCAGAACCCTTCCTCACTACCATTCGATCACAACTTGCTGAACTCACCGCAGCAGCTGCAAGTGTGACAGTCCAGCAATTTGCTGACAATATTGGTGCCTATGCGGCAATTCAACGTCTTCCTTCATCTTACGGTATGCTTGCTTCCACTTTCTATACCGGCACCTCTTCCAACACCATAACTCTTGACCAAGTCATCGACCGAGTCTCAGAAGAACATCGTCGTCGAGAAACAAAGGGAGAGACCGTGAATGAGCATGGACTTCTCACAGTTGGACAAAAGGGAGGACGAATTAGAATGAAAGCAGCAGAAAAACATTGTGACAACCACCCCAATGCTACTTCCCACACAACCGAACAATGTTGGGGATTGAAGGGCAAGTCACACCAGAAAAATCGTCTATTACCACAGGGGGAAAGAACAGACAAAGCGATGATAGCGGATGAGGAGTTTGCCCCAAACACGGATAGAGACGACCTCCGTCACGCACTGCAAGCCATTGATCATGCTCTTCGCTCAACCAATTTCCCAGACAACGCCATTGTCATTGACAGTGGTGCAACAAATTGTTTCATCAAGGATAATCACCTTCTGACCAACCTTCAACCTCTTCCGACCCCTCGCCAGATCTGTGTCGCAGATGGCAAGATCCTTCACGCTACACACACCGGTAAACTCACTTTCAATCGTGTTCACTACAATCAGTGTCTTTATGTCCCAGAAATCAGCTGTAATTTACTCTCAACCCAACGTCTAGGATCAGTTGAGAAGGGATATGAATGGCGTTTCTCAGACCGGAACGGAGCTAGATTGGTAGACTCTGTGGGAGAGGTGCTTCTCCAAGGAAGTAAAAGTCATGGTGTGTGGCTTCTTGATGAAGTTCCGGTGCGCCATTGTAACGGTACTGGAAACACGACGACTAGGTCGCAGGTTGGGTCGAACTCGATGGAGGTCTCGTGGAAGTCTAGGGGCTCTGGTGCTAATGGATCGTGTCTCCTCTGCAATCGATGTAGCCAAAGAATGATATTGAAGAATCAGCAAAGTTGGTACTTTGCTGATTGTACTATATACTGTCTACAGGTATCCGTCTCCTCTTCTCAGTCCTACTGCAAGCGTCCATGTACATACTCGGACAGGTGAAAAACCGCTTTGAGCAAACCCAGTGGGGAAAATCTCGAAAGGGGAAAACCCGTCCCTACCTACTGCAGCACTGCCTCCAACTCCCGCTTTCCTCTGTCCTAATCCGTCGAACTCGATAGAGTTCCCTCGATTCGTTGTTACCCCGTAACAAGTTTCCCCCCCTGTCTCAAGGATCCTCGCCGAGGATCCTGAACCCTGTAACCAGGTGATGCACATGGATTGTTCTTAGACACCTTTGGTGCGCCCTGACATCATACCCACGCCAGTGTGATGGTTGCCATGAAAACGCGTCACCCGCACGGACCTCCAATGTGATCGAGAAATTACTGACCAAGTTACCTCCCCGTCTTTTTTCTCTTCTTTCCTCCTCATTCTCTCTTTACCTCTTGTTTGTCATTCTTTTTACTTATCTATCATTATCCATCCATATCTTACTCATATCTTAGAGCATCCTTCCAACTCTGACCTGTCTGTGAGCATGTCTAAGCGTACTGTAAGCAATTCTCTTCGAATTCGATGCACTTCCTCCTGTTTATCACTGGCTGACGAGATTAGTTGTCCTCGTCTATCTCTTCTCGTCAAACTCGGGCCTCTACTGTGGCCATTCTCCCCGACGTCGATCCCGAACTTCTCATGCGTCAAACGAAAAGAATGAGAATTACTTCCCAAGCGCCAGTTCCCTCTCAACCTCCATTGGTTGACGCTTCTCGAAGGGCTCTCGACACCATTAAGGATCGATATCAATCCGGCCCTTCTCGCGACCAACAATCGTCTCTTCTCGATGACGAGGTCATCGAGCAATATATCGACTTCGAAGCGGGGGCAGGGCCATCTACCACTGGTGAGAACCCATCTCCTGCGAAATCTGTCGAGTCCGAACACGGTACCATCGTTGAAAATCAAAATTCTCCTGGTAATAAGTCCCCTGTGCCACCTTCTGATTCCGAAGGGCTTGTCGAGGTTCCCCATGAACTCGAAACCATTTTTCACGCCCCTCGCAAGGTTCCGGTCAATGATGAACTTGCTAAGGCTCTGGATGCTCGAAAAGACTCGGAAATTGGTGAGATTTCTACAGAATTCTGTGCGTTTCTGACTCGTCAGCTACCCTCTGGGCCCGCCTTTCTTTCTCCTCTGTTCGTCACGCTCTGAAGGATGAAGCCCTCGATCGCTTTCGCGAGACTGGGGCCATCAAGCCCACTGTCAAGTGGTTTGGTAACGCCGTGAGCTTTCCTCCTTCGTATTCCACCGAATTCTAACTGTTAGCTTGATCGCTTGGCCCAAGGTTGGCGACTTCGTAACAAGAATGGCGCTGTTGTCCGTCTCGAGGGTGAGCTTTGCTCCGATTGCCAGCGTCGTCTCGATGGTGGAGAAGATTTTCGTGTCGGTTGTATCGGTCCTCGTGAGCCTTCCTACTCTTCCTGTTCGATATTGATGCAACTTAGTTGGTGGTGTTTGTGGAGAGTGCTCCGCGAAGGGAACTTCAAAGTGTTCGGTGAAAACCAACAATCCCGAGTCCAAATTTCGCGAGGTATCTATCTTCTTCCTTCGAACTTGGTCGATGTTGATGTAAAGGGTATTACTGTCGGAGCCCAGACTGTTACTTCCAAGGTTACCTTCGTCCTGGAGCACGAACTCTGTGCTGTCTCGGCCCGATATCGATCCCTTTCCTCCCAGGATCAATCCTCTTCTCTCACCCAACTCTCCGCTTACATCCACCTCTTTTCCTCTCTCCTTCTTCCTCTTCCCCCAGTACATCTGGGCCTCTACAAATCTCTTCATCTCATTCCTTCCAACTACGCCCCTCCCTCTCCTTCTGAAACCTTGGATCATCTCACCTCTGCTGCTGATCCAACCGGATTGACTTCTTCTCAACCAGTCGCCGGTCCCTCCTCTTCTCCCCATACTCCTCTCCCCCGCAATGTCATTCGTATTCCCGCCTCGGTCCGTCGTCCCCGAGCCAATTCTACCACCTCCAACTTCTAGTGTATTTTATATCTCTCTATACGTAGCAATATCTCCTGTGTATGTATTTATTTCCCAATAAATTCAGTTGATTTTGATCGAATTCTCACTTTCTTCTGGGATCTTTTTTCCTCTTTTCCAGAAATTCACCAAAAACGGCCAACTCTTCTACATTTTCTCGTGGTTCCCAGTCATAGGCCGCATTCCCTGTGTATCCTAACCATTTTACCTTGAATTCCTCCTTTCCTCGTCGAATTCTACTGTCCACAATTGCTTCCACATGGAATTCCTCCTGGCCGTTTATTACTACAGGTGGTGGGGGTTGTATCTGTCGACCTGGTATCATGTCTCTAGGATATGGTTCCAACAACGTGACATTGAAGACATTGTGCACTCTCATTGATGGAGGTAGATCTAATTCGAAAGCATTTTTCCCCACTCTCCTTATGATCTTGAAGGGGCCAACGTATTTTGCTTCTAATTTTCGACTGGGTCTTTCCGTCGTAAGATACTTCGTACTCAGTAGTACCTGTTCTCCCTCTCTGAATTCTTCTGGTACACTCCTGTGTCTCCTGTTGTAGTATTCGGCACTAATCTCATTAGCCATCCTGACCTGTTCTTGAACAGCCGCATGTAACTCTCCCATATCCCTCCATTTCCTCTCCAACTTGTTTGACTTAGATCGAATATCGTGCGAATGGATGTCGTAGTGTGGCACATAGCCGTAACAGGCTTCAAAGGGACACAGACCGTGGCTACTATGTGGCGAACAGTTATAAGCGAACTCAGCAATTGGTAGAAGTTGATCCCAATTGTCCATGTTGTAGTTTACATACATTCCGAGCAGGATTTCCATCTGTTGATTTACTCGCTCAGTTTGTCCATCTGTTTGAGGGTGATACGCAGTCGAGTATAAGTTCTTTATTCCCAAGAACTGACATATTTCCTTCCAAATTTCCGCCGTAAACTGAGTTCCCCTATCTGACACAATTGTTCGAGGTACTCCATGTTTTGAAAAGATCTCCTTGATGTAGATGTCGGCCACTTTGTTCGCTGTTAGTCCAGTTGTACATGGAATAAATCTAGCCATCTTGGTTAGTCGATCGACTATCACCAGTATCGCGTCGAACTCGGTCGATTTTGGTAGGGGTCCCACCATATCCATAGAGATATCTGTCCAGGGCAGTGTGGGTACTGGTAACGAGACCAGATGTCCATACGGCTGATGTCGATGAGTCTTATGTCGGTTACAGATCTCGCATCCTTTTACGTATTTTGCAATATACTCGTCCAAATGTGGCCAGTAATAGTCCTCTTTGACCATGGTGATAGTTTTGTCTCTTCCTGGATGACCCACTAGCATCGAATCGTGTCTTGCTTTCATTACTTCTAATCTTGCCTGTCCCTCTGGTATGACTACTCTGTTTTTGTATAAGAGTAATCCGCTCTGTGTCCATGATACTATTGGTGTCTCGCTGCTAGCCTGTGTCTTCTGTGTGTCCTGTGTGTTCTGGGTGCTCTGTGTGCTCTGTGTGCTATGTGTCTGTGTCATCTGTAGTCCTAGTTGTCGTATGTTTGCTATGTCTTCTGAGTCTTTCAGTCCGTTCTTGATGAGTCCGAATAATGAGTCTTCCCGGATTGCTCCTCTTACTATGTGTCTTGGTCCTTTGTGTTCTGAGTCCATTGAATTCGATCCAATTTGTTCGTGTGTCGGTAGCAATTGTAGCCAGTTGCCTTTGTTAAGATTCGGGTCCTTGCTACTCCCTCTTCCCGGATGATAATCTCCTCGTCTCGTCAGAGCATCTGCTCCCCCATTTTTGCTCCCTGGTCGATAAGTGATCTCTATGTTGAAGTCTCCCAATATTTCCAACCATCTCATCTGCCTTCGATTTAGTTGTCGTTTGCTTTGGAAGTATTCTAGGTTCTTGTGATCGGTAATGACCTTTATAACATCACTACTGTTAGCCAAGTAGGGTCTCCAGGCGACCAAGCAATCTACGATGGCTAATAATTCTTTCTCTCCCACCGTGTAGTTTAGCTCACAGGGCGTCATTGCTCGAGACCAGTACGCTACTGGGTGAAGTTCGGTGGTTCCTTTTATTGATGGGTGAGGAAATCTCTGAGACGCTATCGCACCTATCGCGCAATCGGATCCATCGGTTTCAATCCAAGTCGGTCGGGTTCTATCAAAATGTCGAAGTACTGGTGCTGTGGTGAATGTTTTCTTTAGATCGTCAAAAGCCTTTTGGCATTCTTGTGTCCAGTTCCAAGCTTGATCCTTCCTAGTCAATCGTGTGAGAGGTCCCACAATATGCGAAAACCCCTTGATAAACCTCCGATAGAAATTCGCAAAACCCAAGAACACTTGAGTATCCCGGACTGTCATGGGTTCTCCCCATTCTAGAATAGCTTTCACCTTTTCTTGATCCATTTCGATCCGTTCGTGTCCTATTACGTACCCCAGGAACTTCACTTCATTTGAACTCCATTCGCATTTCCTCGGACTGACGACCAAATCGTTTTCAAGTAGTCGATCTAACACCTTTTGGACAATGATCTGATGGTTTTCGATCGTGTCGGAGTATACCGTGATGTCGTCGATATAAACTACTACCCCTTCGTCAAGTAGATCGTGAAACATGTCTTGTAGAAAGTTCTGAAAGGTGGCTGGTGCATTACACAACCCATCCCTTAGGACTGTGCTCTCGAAACTGCCGTATCTTGTTCGTAAGGCAGCTTTATGTTCATCTCCTTCCTTTATTCTGACTAACTGGTAAGCCCCTTTCAAATCGAGTTTAGTGAAGATCCTTCCTAATTGAAGTCGATCGAGTAGTGTCGAGATGAGTGGCATTGGGTATGAATCCTTGATGGTTACCTTGTTAAGTGCCCGGTAATCTGTAACTACTCGATAGGGAATGACTCCTTTCTTGGGGACCAGGAATACTGGGGACCCATAGGGCGATTTACTTCTTCGCAGATGTCCACTAGTCAGTCCATCATTGATCCACTGCTTCAGGAAAGCATCCCCATGCTCGTCCAGTTGGTAAATTGGTCCTGGTTTTAGTTCAGCCCCTGCTACTAATTCGATTTCGTGGTCACATTCTCTTCTTGGTGGTAGTCTTCTTGCTCTTTCTACCTTGAATAATTCGAGGTATTGGTGCCATTGTGTCGGTATGATTTGTCGCAGTTCCTCCTCACTCGTTTCGTCCTCCCCTTTCTCCAGTGTTGCTCCTCTTATTAATCCTTCTTCTAATCTTGGGTATTTCCAACCAGTATCTCGTCCAATTCCGTCGAATTCGATCAGTCCCTTTCCACAATCGATCCTTGCCCTAAACTGTCTCAAGAAATCTAGTCCTACTAGTACTTCTGGTCCTTCGTATGCCATAACATCCAGTCGAGTTGCAATCCTGAGTCCTTTTCCTAGATCTAATTCTGCTTCTACATATTCGGTCACTAAGGTCGCGGTAGTTCCATCCAGGAACCTAATTTTTCGTGGTACCTGATATTGTTTCTTTGGGAATAGATGGTATAATGGACAGGCCGGCTGCACATACCTTCCTGTAGCCCCGGTATCGATTAACATTCCAATCTGTAGGGTATCTTTCTTTGTTTGTATTTTTATATATATTATGGCCGAGTCATTACTGAGATCTATTGGTATTTGAATTCTCTGCGATCCGGGCAGATCCTGGCCGCAAGTGGTCGCATCACTTAGGCCAGGTAGTCGTTTCCCTCTTCTTCAAAGGTCACCGCCATTCCTCGAACTAATGGCCCTTTGGACCCAGTTGGGATCGAGTTCGATCCACTAGGAATCGGTGAGCTATGCGGGTTTGGGGATCCCCTAATGTTGTTTCTCGTATTTCCTCCATTTGGACAGTTGTTGGCGTAATGTTCTGGACTTCTACATTTGAGACAACGTCGGTTCTCCCTCCTCCAAGTCATTTCGTTCTCGCTGAGACGTCCTCCGTCCTCTGTCCAAGTGACCGGAGGGTCATTTGGTAGACCATAATTCATCATCCCTGGTTTTCCACCGGGCAAGGGTCCTCTACCAGTCGATTGTGAGTAGCGTTCTACCGGGTTGGGCAAACTAGTATCCAATCGCATCGAATTCGATCGAGGGGGAAGCCAGGTCGTCTCGTGTTTGCGTCTAGCAGCCCATCGATTCGCTGCAATCATCGTTTCAGCCATCCGTTGGTTCTCCTCAGTCCCTATCACATGCTGTTTGAAATAGATCCAGTCCGATTTGGTTCGAGGGTCGGTGTTATTTACCACTACCACCTTCAGTAGCTCTTCCTTCAGGCCCTGTATGGCTGAGGCGATTTTCATTGCATCTGGTACCTTTCCAAGGTGTGTGGACCAAAGTTCGAAGTTGGCAAAATACTCGGCGGCCGTATCAGTCTGTCTTAACTCTTGCAATTTCCTCATAGCCGTACCTGCCATGTTACTATCTCCAAATTGAGTTCGTAAATGCTGAATGAATTTGTCGTAGCTCTCTAGCCATTCGGTCGAATTCCATATACTTGGATTGGTTATGGCCGGGGTTATAAGCATTTGAGGGGTGCCTCGAAGATACCCGTACATGAACAGGATCTTTCTGCGATCGGTGGCGTACTCTGCCCCTTTGAATTCGAAGTTCATGTGACATGCTGCAAGGAAGTTGTCCAATTCTCCTCGTTCTCCACTGAAGGTAGGTGGATCCGCACACCTGGTTCTTCCTGTTCGTTCGTTGTTGGTAAGTTTTGGCTCCAAACACGGCTTGTTTTCTTCGACTTCGATCAAACTTGCCCCTTTCGATGTGAGTATCTGTTGGTTCTGTCGGTCAGCTTTCATCGTAGCCAGTTCTTCCCTTAATGTATTTTGTTCCTTTTGTTGCATCGTCATAATGGCTAACAATTGTGACAACTGCTGCGATAATTCATTTAGCGGATCTGGGGTAGTGGTAGTAGAAGTGAGATCATGTGAAATGGTACTTCTCGAAGAACTTGTTGGTATTTCTTCCTCTGGGACCAGCCCTTGTTCCAACTCCTCTTTTTCTGGTATCATTTTCCGCGCTTTCCCTCTGGTGAGCATACAGTACTCTCCGATTCGACCCAAGGTGCGTAAGGCTGATTCTTCAACTTGTAACGGTACTGGAAACACGACGACTAGGTCGCAGGTTGGGTCGAACTCGATGGAGGTCTCGTGGAAGTCTAGGGGCTCTGGTGCTAATGGATCGTGTCTCCTCTGCAATCGATGTAGCCAAAGAATGATATTGAAGAATCAGCAAAGTTGGTACTTTGCTGATTGTACTATATACTGTCTACAGGTATCCGTCTCCTCTTCTCAGTCCTACTGCAAGCGTCCATGTACATACTCGGACAGGTGAAAAACCGCTTTGAGCAAACCCAGTGGGGAAAATCTCGAAAGGGGAAAACCCGTCCCTACCTACTGCAGCACTGCCTCCAACTCCCGCTTTCCTCTGTCCTAATCCGTCGAACTCGATAGAGTTCCCTCGATTCGTTGTTACCCCGTAACAGCCATTCATCACCTTCCCATCTCGCACTTCAAGCCAAGGACGACGCTGATGTCCAAGATCAACTCCTAATGTGGCATCGAAAACTAGGCCACTCTCATGAGACAGGTCTGGAAACTTGGCACAGAAGGAAAGCTAGATGGGACAATGTGGAAGACAGTATTTAGACGAATCGAATGCACCAGTTGTCACCAAGGGAAAGCACCACGTTTAGCTTCAAAACCCAACAGTGGACGTGCAGGGAAACCCCTTGTCCATGTCTCGATGGATCTATGGGGACCAGCGGCTGAAGAATCTCGATTGGGATATCGATATTTCCTTGCGTGCTATGACGATCATTCCAAATATACCTACGTTGAACCTTTGAAGCAGAAATCAGAAACATTCAAGGCTATCAAGAATTACTCAAGCTTGGTAGAAAATCAACTTGATCGAACTATCAAGACTCTCCGATGTGACAGAGGAGGAGAGTTCGTCAGCTTGGAGCTACAACAATGGTGCAAGATGAAGGGTATAGGGCAAGCCTTCACTCCCCCGGATGCTCACAATCAGAATAGTCGAGTAGAGCGTATCCATCTCACCCTTCTGAATGATATTCGAACATTCCTTGTGGATTCTCAGCTTGGCCAGAGATTCTGGGTCGATGCACTGCTCCATGCAACATACACACAAAATCGTCTTCCTGATTCCACAGGTGGTGTCCCCCTCCATCGATTCAAACCTGATGCACAACATCAAGCCGATTACCACCGTTTTCAGCCCTTTGGACAATCCTGTTACTATCGAGTTGTGAAACCTCAATCGAAGTTGGCAGCAAGAGGTCAGCCAGGCCGGATCATTGGGTACGGTACAGGGACAACAGCATATACCATTCTCACCAAAGATCAAAAGGTGATTGTCTCTCGAGATGTAACAGTAGTTGATGAGTCTACAATCAGGAGAGATTATCCTTCCTTGGCTATCAGCAAGATAACCAACACCAATATTCAGGGAGACAGTGCTCTTGACCCTCCATATAAAGTTCCATCTAAGGACTCCCAAGAAGACAATGAAGATGTGACGGAAAGCGAGAGGAGTCAGGAAGATGTTGGATCTAGCGAACCACTTGGACCAGCAATGGAAGGTCGATGGTGGAGATATGAACCAGATCGTGAAGGAGCACCTAGTCCTGAATCCAATGTCAACAACACACCTATCACGCCAATGTCTGGCTCAAGCACCAATACTTTACGAAGGTCAAGCCGTCTTGCTGGACTGAATCCTGCTGAACAGCCTCCACATCCACTCGACAATAATTCAACTCACCTTGCTCTGGAATACGCAATGTCTGCACAGATTTTAAATAATCCTTCATCATATCAGTCTGCTCGAGAATCTGCAGATTGGCCTCAGTGGGAAGCAGCCATGACAGAAGAGATGGACAAAATGGATCGATACAATGTGTGTGAAATGGTCCCAAAGAACGGGCAACGTACACTCTCTGGTAAATGGGTCTACACCCGTAAATTAGATGGGGAGACAGGACAGCCAAATGAGTACAAGGCTCGATTTGTGGTCAGGGGATTCCAGCAGCTATCTGGGAGGGACTACGATGAGCTATTTGCTTCAGTGACCCATAAAGCATCCCTTCGACTCTTCCTCTCAATCGTCAATTATCTTGACTGGGAATGCGATCAGATGGATGTGATAGGGGCCTTTCTAAAGAGTCCAATCGATAAAGACATATATATTCAACCTCCAGAAGGAAGTAATGTGCCTGCGGGACATGTGCTTCATCTCCACAAATCCCTATACGGTCTCAAGCAATCACCCCATCTATTCAACAAGAAAGTTGATCAGTTCTTTCGAGATCTTGGGTTCCACCCATGCAAGGCCGATCCATGTATTTATTCCTACAATCAGCAAGGTATCCGGTTCATGATCTCGCTCCATGTCGATGACATGCTGGTCGCTGGAAACAATCGAACTGAACTTGATAAACTCAAAGAAAAGATCAACACGGAGCTGGAATGTAAAGATCAAGGCCCAGTGTCATACTTTCTGGGTATCAATATCAATCGAGACCGAGCAAATCGAAAACTATACCTATCACAAGAACACTACATTGACGCAATGCTAAGTCGATTTGGCGAAGTTGGCAAGCCCTGTAAAACAATCTTACCAGTGGACCTCAAGTTAGTCGAGCCTACACCGGACCAGATGAAGGAAGCACACAATAAACCATATCCGGCCCTTGCAGGGTCTATCCTGTACCTGGCTACAATTACTCGACCAGATATAGCATATGCCGCATCAGTGCTATGTAGATTCATCAGCAAGTGGTCACTCGATCACTGGAAAGCGGCAAAGCATCTTCTTCGTTATCTACGTGGTACCTCAGATCTTGCCCTTACCTTCGATGCAACGGCAGGCAAGAGGACAATACTTGGATGGGCAGATGCAGACTGGGGAGGTTGTCTTGATACTCGTCGATCAACAACAGGATATGTATTCTCCACCTATGGGGGAGTGGTCTCGTGGAAAAGTCAAAGACAACCAACTGTTGCCCTATCAACAACCCAAGCTGAACTATTGGCGTCTACTGAGGCAGGGAAAGAGGCCATCTGGCTGAGACAGCTACTGGCAGACCTTGAATTAGGTCCAGGGGATGGAGAACCAGTCGATATCCTGAATGATAACAATGGAGCGATCCAGCTTGCCAAGCATCAGCATGGGTTCAAGTTGAATAAAGCATTTGATATGCGTGCTCAGTGGATCCGTGAACAGCAAGATGCGCAACTAGTCAGGCTGAAATACACACCCACGGCTTCCAATTGGGCGGACCTTCTTACCAAAATGTTACCAGCACATCGGACAGATTGGCTTCGGAGACTGTTGGGTATCAGGAACCCAATGGTGAATAGGAAGGAGGAGAGCATTGTGCGCACGGAATAAGGGGAGAAAGTCAAGTACGCTCGCGAGGGGAGGCGTTGGAGGTAGGAACGGCAGGCAGTCCTATAGATTGCTCACGTGACCGAAACTTTCTTTCAGCGAGGTTCTTAAGACCCATCATGTTATCCTGTTTCCTTCTCATCACTCTTAAGAAAGTGCTGAGCAGGAAACAGGTATGTCTATGCATCACTCTTAAGAAAGTGCTGAGCAGGAAACAGGTGACCGGATAGTCAAATCCGTCGCAGCTCTTCTGCTGTGTAAATATTTGAAGTGGACACTTGGGAGACACCAGGTAGATCAGGGCGGGTGAATGATCGATTTTCTACCGTGGACGGGAAGTCTCAGGTTGAATTCTTCCGCGTCCGGCCCGAACTTCAACTTCTTTCTTCTTCGCTATTCACCTCCCATAGTCTTCATGCACTATATATCTACTATGAAGGACTGCATGATTCTCACGACATAGGTATGATCAGAGTACCTGAGGTCTTGTAGAAGCTTCTGCTCTCACTTCAGGGCTTCCTCCTCATCATTGGAAATGGAAATTGGCAGGGAAGATGTCTGTTTTGACCAATGGCTATTGCTATCATACCTTGACCATGCATGACATTTGAGAGAAGACGTACATCAGGATCAACTCATCTAACCAGACTGTCAAACATACGTGGTTAGATCATTGAGATAGGTGGAGAATAAGAAGAGTAAGTATGATCCATGGAGGAAATTCATCTTGTAGGACATGATCAAAAACTTCTCCAATCTAGACAGGCAAACGAGGGGTAAGAGGATGCATAATCACAGTAATGTAGCCTAATCAATAGACAGGGAACATTCTAGAAGAGGGAGAGTACTAGAATGTGATAGCAAGAAGCAGACGGAACTAGAAGCAACTATTCACACATCATGTCAGACATGATCAAAATTGGAACGTCTCCAATGTAGAGAGTCAAACAAGGAATGAGAGGATCGATAATGACAGTAGAACAACCTATTTGACTTGGTCTCATATCTAGATAGACAGGAGTACTCCCTATCACATACTTGTACGAGAAAAGTACTAGATATGATAGAAAGTTCAGGAGAAGGGTGGAAGGAACCACACGGAACTAGAAGCGACTACACATCTTAAGGATCACTCACTTCTCGACCAAGGGTTATCAAAACGACTTGATTGCTCCCCTCCCCCTTCATTGAAGCACTCAGATGGTAATTGGAATCAGCTACCTGGTATCATCAGCATGAGATCTTGTCATGAAGACATGCATACCACATGTGGGACATAGGGATGATACCACGGCAACAACAAGCAACACAGCTCCAACGGATGTTTTAACATCTGTTGCCCTGTGTCACCAGACCGGCTATACCAGGTTGTGGAAAGGTAATGCGGATGACTTACACCTTACATGACCTATTCAATTTCGTGAGACACAAAGTTTTTGATGAAAGACATCTTCCAAAGTTGAGGTTGAGAATGACTCAGGTGGACCATGGACCATCCTATTGATTAAGCTGCCGGACTCAGAGCTATGAGCGACCAGTAGTTGAATCTGATTCCCGTGTATCTTGCAGCAAAGTAGCTAGCTTATTGTCAGCTTATAACTATGTTCTGATGCATAATGGCAACCGGGCAGGGGATAACGCTTACTTACATGTTCTTATTCCCTGACACACCTCAACTGCCAGGAGAGATGCAGTTCGCAGCGATCGCAGGTCTACAGAGTGGCTAAACCACAGCTTGCACTTCCATGCTTGAAAACTTGGCCTTGCAGACATTTTTCCAAAGTAGCTGTCATTCATAGATCACCCCACATGGTCAAATAAGCATGAAGAAGAGGTTTGATCAAAACCGATGCGCAGGTTGAGAATTGAAAAGTTAACCTGAGACTTCCCGGCCACCGTATTTTCTGCATTCCTCTGCATTGTCTCAAAGTAACCCTTGAAGGTCTGAGAATAGGCCTCAAGAAGGGCTTCATCCATTTGCATCAATACCCACATGAGATTCTCTTTGTTCTCTGATGTGAAGCTTGGAAAACGTTTGCTCCATATGATGGGTTGTGCAGTTAGCAGGCTAGAAATCATGCTAGGAAAATCCACTCTGAACTTGTTTTGTGTGATGTACCCATCACTTCCAGTAATATGTGCCCTGTAACTCGTGTTGCTGTTGTAGATGGTTGAGGTGAAGACGTCTGCCATGGCGGTCTTGTAATCATCTGCTGTTGATTCTGGTCTGAAACTGATGTCTATGGTAGAGAAAGTGTTTGTATCTTGTGCTGAGACAGACATGTCAGCGGGCTGTTGGTTCATTGAAGATGTGAAGTTAAGATGAGTAAAACAATGATAGAGAAGAAGGCAAGGGTATCTATCCACTTGAACAGTATTCAAATGTTTTCCCTTCCTCATCTGTGCGTCATGATCTAACGGCCTGAGAAAGGAGTAACCCAAAATGACTACCTCCTCAACATGCCCAACTCCTGCATCATCACACATACGGTGGAAAGCGAGAGAGAAGTGGTCTCTAAGGAGACAAGGGATCTCGATTGCCAGTGATGACGAATGGATCACGTCATGACACACGGAGCTTAGACGGAGGCCATCAGCACAAACACAACTTTTCTCTCCTTGAGGGTGAAGGAATGGAAGGAGAGTCTTAGCAAATAGAGAGACTGTGTGTCACAGGACAACTGTTTCATCAATGGAAAAAAGGAAGCAGTATTCAACGGACTTGAGACATCTTGACAAATGACAAGCCGTCAAAATGTGTGGGTTGTGGAAGAAGTTCTTGACCCGACCTCATTCATGTTGCAGGATCTCCGTTCTCCTCATATGTGCCTGGCCATTTCTCAGATAGTCCAGGTTATGAATGAATCGCTGCCCAGCATTGTTAGCAGATAGAATTGTCGAGGGACGGCCGAGCCGTTAATGATGATACATCCTCTTCCGTCACTTTTCTTCTTTGTCTTATCATCCTCTGAGCTTTATAATAGGTTTGGGTTTGCTGTGTATGACTGGGACATGATTAGTAGAGACATGTCAATTTGATAGATGCTCTTTGCCCCTCTGAATCATTATTTAATTATCAGTAGACAATGATGCAACGTGTACGTGATTTCTTGGAGCAGACACCTCAAGACAATCATCATGCATTCCTTCTGATCACACCGCCTAATACCCATCTTGACATCTATCATACTCCATCTCCAGATTTAGTACTTGGACTCAATCGCCACTCTTCCTCTGCTGTTCCATCATCATATATTTCATAAGTCAGTTCTGATTCAGTCAACTGGAAAGGGAGAAAACCGTACTTGTAGTCCTTCACCTGATAATCTTCATTGAACAAATGTCTCTCCAAGACTGAATCTACTTCCTCTCTTACCTGTAACATCATTGCGAAAGCATGGTTTACTACTGTGTGAGAAGTTGGAGCTGATAATTGAGAGTCACCTGGTGTATCTTGTGGGGGAAGAGACTGATTGTTTCTGTTCTCCATCATTGTTTTAAAGTTAGCCGTGAGGCATTGAGAATAGGCTTTGAGAAGGCTCTTTTCCATCTGATATTGATGCTCAGTGATCTCCCTGTAGCTGGTTTGTGACAAGGTTGGGAACCTTTCAGTCCATACTATGGGTCGTCCAGTCGAAATGTTACGTATATCCACTTGAAATGCATTATTTATGTGAAGCCCATCACGTCCCGTAAAAGATGTCACGCAGACCGTGTTAGGGTCGGCAATGGTTGAGTTGATGATGGTCACCATATTTTTATTACATTCCTTTTTGCTCCACTTGGAATTGATAGCGAGGGTAAATGTTGGGAAAATAGTCAAATTTTGAGCTTGAAGAGACATGTTTGAAAGTTGTTGATTCAATCAGGAAGTGAAGCTGATCTGTATGATGGAAGCGGTGAGAACTCAAGAGAGCTATTTAAGCACTTTTGCCTCCTCATCCGTGCGTCGAATAGGTGCGGGGTGTGAAAGAAATTGAATCACCCTTTCATGCTTGAAATGCATTCTACTCAGATGACACATGTTTGATGAGCATGAAAGTGACCTCAACGCCAACCTGCGAAAGGAGTTCGATCACGAGTTATTGCGAACAAATATGAGCTGTGCATGGCGTAATGGTCGGACAGTTGAAGGAGGATAATCAGGTTGCCTTTGTGCGTCATATCCTCTCATCCCCTACACAGAGAAAGGAGGGTGATAAGTACTGTATCAATCAGTGAGATCCTTTATCACGGAAGATGGTGATATATTAATGTAGACAAATGAAACAGTGCCACACATGCTCACAATGTGTGACCGAGTTGTCAAGTCTTCACTCATCAAACGTCCTAGAAGGCTCAACATCGACTCCACTTGGAGTGGTTGATCTTGCTGCAAGTACTGGTGGTGACACCAGGTGAGAAGGCCCCTGAGGCCTGGGGTATGATAGGAAACAGTCATTGTCACAAGCTCATTCATCCGCTATCTACTTCAAGGATTCCATTCTTGTTGTATGTGTTTGAATCATCTACATATATCAAAAATTGTAGGAGGGAATACTAATGACTTCCCTAAGCCTCTGAATGACCCGGGTCTTGAATACTGAGATTACCAAAGCCCTCGGTACCATCATCATCTCCCGGAGTTGCACCTTGAGAAATTGGAGTATCAATGTCTGATGGACCAGGAGTGTATACTTGTGTTCCTTCTTCCTCCGTGTCCGTATCCTCCTCCTCCTCCTCCTCCTCTCCTTCTTCTTCCTCATTATCATCCTCACGTTCCACCTTGAAAGACATCACTGTGTTTCCCGCCATGTAGTACTGCTCACAAATATCATCCAAACTCAAGATCATCTCAGTGTTGGTTATGTCTTGGGCTAACTTGTTGTATTGGTCTGTCAACTGGTTAATATAGTCTGGGGGCACTGAACCTGTAGATGATGCAATCATCATTCTATTCCTATCTTCCAATGTACTACTCATACTACCATGTAAGTGATCTAGGTATCTCGTCCGAAGTACCGTTTCCAGTTCATCGAGCTGATCCGTGAGTTGAATGAAGTTATCATGAGATTTCAATGGCATGAACTCATCATTCCATACGATTGGATGACCTGCTGAGAGGTATTCTGAATGAACGTGGAAAGTATTGACTATACTCTGAAGAGGATTAGTCAATTCAGATATGAAATGATGATCCGTAGGCGGTTGAGTATTGAGACCATTGAAGATTATATTCACATCATTTTGATAGTCTGCAAGGGTTGAATTAGCATTGATGATCACTCTGGGAGCCGTTGTGGTGGATGACATGATCTGATTCTGTTAAGAAGAAGTCGACAAGTAAGTATTGAGATTGATGAATGTATGGGTGCATGTGGACGGATTGATCACTATTTATCCAATTCAGAGCTGTCGGTCGTTGGGTCGTTCGCTAACGAGCCGTCTTCTCTACAATGGAATCGTTTGTGAAGACACGGTCATTTCCATATAAACGAGCTTGTCATTACTAGCTGTCACGACGGATGATACAACTGGTCATCATTGCTCAAAGGAGATGTCTCATCCATGGACAAACTCCTGTATGAAAATATCCTACGTCCACCCGATAGTGGGGGAAAGTCATGAAATTTGTCTTCGCCAAGACCTCGGTTGAAATCGTGCCTTCTAATGACTTGATGTGTCACGATGAACGTCCCGTCTCATCTCGAGTCTGTAATTTTACCCCTACAACCACTCCGCTCCGCTTGCTCGTGTCAGATATCTCCTCCGTTGTGATCTCTCTTCCGTGTCCAAAGATCCCATTATGAAACGGTGCTTTATGTTCAACCATCTTTTCATCCATCATCTATTTGTAATTGCAGAAAATTCACATTTACACCATTATCAGATATGCACCTGTCATCTACATCTGCTATACGCAAGCAATTCACTACACAGGGATCAAAATAATTGAAGAGTGTGACAAGATTTCTTTCCATTCCTTCCTTGTATTCCTTTTCCTCGATTTCTCATGTGTCCGTCTCACACCTGTCAAACCAATCTGAACACAAATGATCACATTATTACATTGCTTCACTTTCAAGGTCCGATACGCACAAATAGTCCGAGATTTCACAGATCCTTCTCCTTTTCTACACGTTTCCCACCAGTGCTTCTCATCTCTCATTTCACACCCTTCTCACCACATGCTACACAAGTCGTTCACAAACAGACATCATCGCTGACCGTGCATCATGTTGAGCAGGCCTGCCGATCCGGGGGGTTGTCGTGGGGCGGGATGGAATATCGTAGCTGGTCCTTTAGGTGGAGGATTGTTCTGAGCGGGTTGCGGATTTTGAGATGGTTGTATTTGAGGTACTTGTTGACCTTGCGGTCCGTATACGCTTGGTTGGGAACCTTGCGTGAGTTGTGAACCTGGTTGATTCTGAGACAATGGTGGTCCTTGTGAGCCATAGCCGATAGGTTGAGGTCCTGGAGGTCCATAACCCACGTTCGGCATGTTGGGATGATAATTTCCTGGAGGTTGAGGTTGATAGTTTGAGGGAGGACCAGCAAAATGAGGAGCTGGGGCATATCCCATAGGCCCGCCGGACAAGTTGGATCCCATACCCGGAACACTCTGTGGTCTTACACCAGGATATGAATGGAGATTTGAGGGTTGATTTGGGTTCATATTTCCAACAGGTGGGAATTGGTTCGGCGGATAAGGTCCAGGTGGACCGGGAGGACCGTGGGGATAATTGGGTCCAGAGTACGAACCGTGCATCAGCATCTGATGAGCAGGTGGCATCATGTGCGGGTGTTGATGTGGGGGAAGCATGGAAGGACGGGGTTGATGTTGTTGAAAGCTCGATGGAGGGAATGACATGTGTGGCATTGGAGGAGCGGCCATGTTGGGAGGACGAGGAGGACCTCCAATAGGACCTCCAAGGTTCAGCTGTCGATCATTGGGTTGAACTCGATGGTTCATCGGAGGTATTCCTTGTCCTTGACCCGGACCGAGACCGGGAGCAGACATGGGTCCTGTTCCGGGAGGAGGATGGAACACATGTTCTTCATACGGTGGGGGATGTTGACCCGGTGGGGAGGGCAAAGACGAGCGAGGTTGTGGTTGGTTATTCTGTGGCTGAAGAGAGTGTGGACGGAAAGGCTGAGGTTGAGTAGATGGTCTGGATTGAGTTTGATAAGACGAAGGAGGTGGACCTGTGGAATTGGGACTGATGCGTCTAGCAGATGTTACTTGAGATCCAATGATCTGGGCAGATTGGATATGAGGACTTGACTTCATGGATGGAATGTGGTGAGGTATAGGGCGAGGCATGTCTACTCCGATTCCAGCAATGGTCATTTCCAACAAGGCCTTCTGTCTCTTTCTTCGCTCTTCCTCGGTACCACCATCTTCTTCTACGCTTGGAGGTCGGGGTGAAGTTGGTAAAGATACGGGTTTCGACGACGACATAGAGGGGACAGTAGGGGTAGTGTCTACAGCGCCGGTAGGACGGGAGAGCACTTGGAGTAAACTAGCCTGATGTTGATTAGGTGGTGCTCTTCTCATCATTGGAGGTGATTCAGGAACTAATGGTTTGGAAGGACTGTTGATGACCGAAAGCAATTTGGTAGCTCTTTCATTCAGAGGAGAACGAGCACGTTCAGCAGCAGAAGGAAAGATCGAGGCGGAACCAAGGAGTTGAGTCAAAGCGTCGTCTTCTTGTTTCTCGGTGACCTCTTCCGGGTTCGGAGCTCCGGTGGAGGAACCGAAGTGACTGAAGAGTCTTTGCATTCCTTCTTTGTTATCCCCTCCATCAATAGTGGATGGATCCTTGAGACCTTCTTTCTGAACACTGACAAACCTGGTAAAGAGCTGGTCGAGAGCCGAATGTTGTCTCGCAAGAACTGGGATGGTGGGTGAGTGCGGAGGAGTGGGGGTGTCGAAGTGGAATGGTTGTAAGTCACGTTCGAGATGAGGCGATCCTGAGATATTCCGTCTTCCACTCTTCTTTTGACTGGGATTAGGATTAATCCCATGATCCGCAAGCCATCTCTTGAGTGGACTGTAAGTCAACAAAAGAGATCAGCACGGAATTATCAGAGAACTTACCCGACAAAAGGAGTGACGTTGTAAAACTTCTTCTGTCCTTTCCTATCTGTCGTTTTTGGACCCCTTCTCCCCGTCCAAGTGGGAAGGTCGACCAGTTTGACCCATTCAATAGCCTAATGATCAGCTTCTGGCCGATGATTGAGAGAGCCTGACATACACCAATCTCCATCCTGGTTTGAGCCTCAAAAACTGTGGACTCGTCAATGTCTTTGACGATGAACATTGTCACACTCTGCGCATTGACTTGAGTTGTAACTTTGTCCGTTGATACAATTCGGCCGCTTAGATTGAAGCCAGTCTCTTCTTCGACCTTCCATGTCAGCTGGACAACAGACATGTTGATCAAGTTGAACCCACTTCACGTATGGCACATGCCTCTTCGGCTTCTCCCGAGTTAATTTTTCCTCTAGGAAAACTCCAGCCTGCATTAGTCTTATACCCTCTGACCATGACACACTGGTGGTCAGCTTGACTACCGGCAAAAGTCTATACCCGTGAAGTAGCATGAAGAAACATGACATGGGTTTAAGGTACTTTGTAAACTGAGTGGCCAAATGAGATACTCACCTTGTCTCCAGCTTTATTGATGAGAATCCCACCACATACAGGTACCATTTTCTTGTAACTGCAATATTCTGCCCAAACTTCGTCGTGATTATATCCACCTCTATCATTCAATTCCGCCGCCAGTGGTGAAGAAGCCAAGATGAGTTCAGTGAAATACTTCTGACTCAGAGATGGGAGTTGAGGATTAAGAGGTCGTAGGTAATCCTCGTAGAACCAATGCCTTTTTTTCTAATCAGCTCGTTTATCGGCGTTTATGACCGAAAGGGCAGACTTACGCCTGTTCAGCTTGCCAATATGCCCGTACAGGAGTCATCTCCTCCTGTGGTAGATTGATGAGAAAACGAGCGTTAAGTTCCTCGAGGATTTCATCAAATGTCATGTCCCTGAATAGGTTATCTTCGCCACCTTCATCCTCCTCGTCAAAAGGAGTGATCGGGCGAGAAGAGGGCATCTGAGCGACTCCTGCTGTTGAAGATTCCGCAGGGTCGATCTCGGTGTCGGTCTCGGCGTCGACGGGCGCCGGAGGATAGTAAGAAGAAGAATGAGGAGAGTTTAAAGACATATCGATGGTATTGGATATGTAATTGATATGTACAGCAATATGCGTGTTGGTCAAACCCGGACTTGGTCTGGTCGGGTCAAGCGGGAAAGAAAAGAGAAGAAGAGTGACCAGCGGGAGAAGCTAGTGCAAAGAGAGGGAGTGGAAGAGGCGAGGAACGAGGTGAGGCGTAATGAGGTTGGCGAGCACCACACCCACCGAGGATCCGGGTAGAGTAGGGGGGGGGGATGTGAGGGATGGCGTTATGACCACGCCTTGTATGCCTTGCGACTATGTGTGCGAGGAGCAAGGAAGAGATCGCAGGTGAGGAATGAACGAGGCGTGTTGTTCATCATCATCAGCAGGTGAACTTATGACGTCGCGTGGCACACACGTGGACGACAGAAGTAAAATGCCACATCATCCATTGATCCGGGGAGACGGAGTTTCAGAGCTGCAGAGTTGCAGACAACAGCATGCACAACCACATCCAGAAGAACAACAAACCCCCTATCTATTCAATTACCCCTCCCTGCCATCTTTCCACCTTGCATTCTCTCCCCCTCAGCTTGTCTGATAAGTCAGTGGGCATAATAGCATCACAACAACACTCGACTTACACGCTGATGCCTACCATTGCATCTCCCAGATCAGTCGACACCTCGGCGAGTACGGCTGGGTTGTTGTAGTGCGTCACGGCCTGGACGATGGCTCGCGCCCGCTTGGCCGGGTCACCAGATAGGACTGATCGTCAGCATGAGCACGCCATCAGCCGCCGTCGTCGGTCATCGGGTGAGGTAGGGATCACACGGTCTCGACTCACAAATTCCAGATCCGACGAAGACACCATCACACCCAAGTTGCATCATGAGGGCTGCGTCCGCTGGTGTAGCAATACCGCCAGCGGCGAATCTATCTGGTCAGCTAGTCGCCCGATCCACAAAACATCAAGCATACGTATCCCGCAACACTACCTTAGACTGTTTTGACCTTGTGGGAACGTGGTCTCCCCGACGACGATAGGAGCAGACGACTTACGACACAACTGGCAAACGCTTGAGCCGTGCAGTCTCCTTGAGAAGGTGATAAGGTGCCTGAATGTCTTTTGCGAATGCGTATAGCTCATCGTCGGACATGGCGGAAGCTCGGCGAATATCGGACATGACAGCTCGCTGGTGACGAACAGCCTCTACGACATCACCAGTGCCAGCTTCACCTTTGGTCCGGATCATGCTATTACATCAGCACGGCCGCCGTGAAATCAAATCAGGCGCATGTGATGTGGTCATTGGTTTATTCGGACTTGGTTATTGGTGACTGTTCGGAATGAAATGAGAATGAGGTGACGAAAACAGGGAAAATTAGAAGCAAACTCACGCTGCACCCTCGGAAATACGCCGGAGAGCTTCTCCAAGGTTCTTGCAACCGCACACGAATGGCACCTTGAAGGCGTGTTTGCCAATGTGGTGCTGGTCGTCGGCCGGGGTGAGGACTTCGCTTTCCTGCAGGTCAGCTTTAATAATTCCGCCGAGTGTGTCCGATCACTAGCTTCGATTGAGCGGACCCCGAAGGCTGCCTGGACTCCTTGTTTCTTAAGTAATGTATGAAGATGCCAACTGGCGTGACGAGCACAGCATGGCGAGGCATTACAACAAAGTCAAGGCCGGTTCCGAAATGCAGTGAGAGAGGTGCTAGAGGAGATCACGCACATCGATGTAGTCCACACCGACCGACTGTAAAATCTGAGCTTCGACAGTATGCCCGATCCTGACTTTCGCCATGACGGGTATGGAGACGGCGTCCATGATCTGTTTGATCATTCCGGGGTCGGACTGTGTGTTAGTAGTCTTCCATACTCCCGTGCACCTTTTAAATCCACACCATATGTGATAAATCAGGCGGACTCTTCTCTCAACGATGATGTCCTTTATGACAACTTCCCTCGATTGAGATTCCGGCCGGGTGCCCCGGATAGAGTGTTAAGGCGCCAGGATGAGGTGTATTACTACGAGAACAGGACATAGGGCAAAGCGGGCAAGCGTAGAGGTAAAATGCAGGGAAGAAGGGATGAGGAAGGGAGTAGAGAATGAAGACAGAGATTGAGCGAAGAGAAGAATGAAACGACTCACCATCCTAGCAACCCCACCATCTCTCCTAATGTTCGCAGGAATCCTCTCAAGTGCCATGACAGCACTAGCTCCCGCTTCTTCGGCAATTTTGGCCTGCTCGACATTCATGACGTCCATAATAACACTGCGAGTCAGTATTGAATGGACCTATACATCTCTTCAGTCGACGACCGGCCTTCGTCTGTCTCACCGCACGTATACGTCCTGGGTACCTTCTCGATATCCTCATCATCATCCTTGAAAACGATAGAGTCGATACTACGCCCAAACGATATGGATATACAGAATGAGGGAAACAAGTTCGATTCCGCCTTTCCATGTCTGAACGAAGTCCTTAGACGCAGAATAACTTTGCTATCAATGATCAAAGGATTGTCTTAAGATCTCTGATATCTGATAAGTGCTTGAAGATGAGAGGAGTACGACTTCGATGACCTCTGTGGCATAATGAAAATCATATCACACATGAAATAATGATCAAGTCGGATGGTCATTCAAGATCGATCTCCCACTCCATCAAAATAATTCTAATTGATATTATCCCAGATCAAGCTGTCAAGATCGATGAGATCGTGGACAGATATACACTAAACCAGACGTATTCAATGATGAACGACGAAGAGGAGAATAATGAGCACACAGATGAAATTGACTCACCCTCCCTTGAGCATCTGAGCTAAACCAGTTTTCACTCCAAATGTACCTGCACCGGCCGTTGGCCCGGCGGCGCGAGTGGGCATAGGGGTGGAAGTACCGTTGGTCGTCACTGGTAATGCGTTGGAAGATGGGACTATGGTAGGTTCTGACATTATGCAGTTATACAAATCGGATCAGAGGTGTAGAGACAAAGTGGAATGGATAAAGACAGACAGAGAGGTAGGAAGGGAGAAGATCGTAGAGAGGTTTATCGAGTACTTTTTTTTTGGATTTTTGTAAAAACGGGGAAACTCTATTACAAAGCGGACATCGCCGATATGTATGGAACGCGGAAAGGGCCATTCGATTTTTTTATTTTTTTTCATCTGCACGCTTTTTTTTCTTCAGGAAGAGCATGCATGATGATCTTCTTCTCCCTCTATCTCAGTCAATATTGCAGGTATTGAGGAGATCTCTTTTGAACATAGCTCAGTGCACCTAGATGTATCTTTTGGTGCTATCTAGATGCATGCAAACAGCCTACATCAGACGCTTCAAATTATAGGTTCTCTATAAGGAGGAAAACAGCCTTTCTCCATCTCCTGTTCCACAGGAGGTAGCTGAATGCATCAAATTCCTACTGTAAGAGAAGGAAACCTATCCAGAGCCTTCTCAGGCGTCTGCAGGCCTCAAAGAAGACCATGGAGATGGTAAGTGCTGACAGAATGATATTTTAGTGATATTTGGGGGTGGTGAGAAGGAAGTGCCACATTGGGTCGATCCCCCCTTGGAGCCCCACATCAAAATATCGAATCAAGTGATCTACTCTCTTGGGTCACTTGAGAGCTTCATATTATAACAGATGATGCATCAAGGTGTCAGGAGTACACCCTTCAATTTTCAAGGCTGTAGCTGCATGCATTGTGGAGTTGTAGGGAGGAGAAGTTTTGGATTATACCATCTGAAAAAAAAATCCGGGTGAGGAAAAAAAAAATCGAATGGCCCTTCGCGCGCGCCATAGATATGGTATTGATACCGCTTTCAATCCTCAATCGGGCAACGACGGGCAAAGGGGTTTTGGGGAATTCTGCACTTCACTCAATGACCAATGACTTGTTGAGCTTACTTGTGTTGTACATACCAGTACTCCGTGCTCTGAAGTTTGGACTTGGAAAGACATACATTGGAATGGAATCAAGGAAAGATCAAATACATATCCATTCATCATCATCATTCAGCACCATGATCAATATACTCTGGAGTCTCACACGCTCTATACTCATCCGCCAGCTCAGCTACCACCCGCCTATCTCATCAGCTCACCAATATACTGACAAGGCAAATAAAGATATCCATACTCACCTCGAATCGTCAAACTCGTCCAAACCATCCGAAAACATGGGTTCTTTCTTGTATTGTTCCAAAAAGGCATTACGTCTCCGTAGCATGTCATAGGAGTTTAACATTGCCCGGAATAGCTTTTAGTGAGCGGTGTTCTTACTACACAGAACGATGAACAGCGACATGACAACCTAACCACATGGCATCTCCCATCGGACAGAGAGGACGTGATTGTCGCTGGTCAGTGTTGAGGAAGAGAGTCCAAGAGAGACATAATGCGAGCTTGAAGAACTGGATCAGAGATGAAAATGTCGTCACTCACAGATGCCATACTTGTATGATTCGCCATCATCACTCCACTGACCCTATTACTTCCCATCATCTTTCTCTTTGTCAAAGCTACCTGTATACTCGCCGGACCCCAGGGGATAAAGTTTGCCAGTTGTCGTTCTCTTATTCTCAATAATGACTTGTGAACGTCGGTCGGATCCACGTCGCCGGAGATGATATTGAGACAAGAGATGTAACAGGAGGATTTGGTCGATGTTGTGGAGACCATTCTGTTTTTGGGTTGAAGGAGACGACGCATGACGTCGAGTGTTGTTGTTTTACGTGTTGATTTCGCCTAAAGGTTAGCTATCCGTTACAAGATGGCCAGATTTAAGAATGGAGTCTAGATGAGGATGTGGACGAGGGTGCAGATAAAAGCATTACTCATCACTTACCTTATCAATTTCATCACTTGTGAAAGGTGTATACGATGTCATAAGGAAATGACATCTTGGAGTGGGGATGAGACTAGCTATGATCCCCACTAGATCGTTATTCATGTAACTTGGATATCGTAGGGTTTGTGTACTGGCAGCCATTACGGTTGAAACCTAGACGTCAGCTCAAGCAATTTACCACTCCCCCTTGCCCAAGTCATCCAGTTTGGACAAAAGAGACGATATGTAAGATGTACGTCAGACACCCGTCATATGAAGGGAGAAAGATGTACGACCGAAAAAGTCAAATTTGTAATCAATCAGGAGAGAAACAGACGAAGTCGTAGGACTTAACTTACCAATTGATTAGTCTGCATGAAAGAAGGTTCTTGCATTTGTAATCTATCCGCTGCAATCCTAGACAGAGCGACATTGTCCAAGACAACCACCGAATCAGCATTATTGACCAAACGCTTCATAGCCAATAACGAATTGTATGGTTGTACGACGACGTCTGATCTTTCCGGAAAGACGGAATATGTTTGGATGAGTTTTTTGGGGAAACGGTCGTTTAGACGTTCGAGGAGGAAAGAACCGAGACCGGAACCTGTCCCGCCTGCTATAGAGTGAAGTAACATGAAGCCCTGTTCGTCTATCAGCTACGTCTCTTCAACTTCTTGGACAAGTGAAATTGTTTCGTGCCAGAACCCCCCCTGGACGTGTGAGGAATTCGGGTAAGAAGTTGACTCTGAGTAAAGTGAGATGGTTTATATGGGTAAATCGCAGAGGAAGATCAAACCTACCTCAAGAGAATCGGAACCATCCGCTTCCCTATCTACCATCTCCATCAACTCCTCATATACCTTTTCGCCCGCACTATAACCTTGTGCCCAGTTGTTCCCCGCTCCACCTCCGTCTTTCGAGAGAAATATGTTTTCTGGATTGTATAATCCCTTGAAAGGTGATGATATGATGTTGTTGATTACCTATAATTTATCAGTGCTTTGTCCATCATGTGCTACCTTCAAACCTTCCCATCATCCGATTATCTTTCAGAGTTGAGAAATGGAAATGATAGATGAGAAGTAGACTCACCCTTGGTTCCAAATCGATGAGTATAGCACGAGGAATGTAATGCTCATCATCCGCTTGATAAAAGAAAACATCTTTTCTATCCCCTTGAGAGCCCTCAGAAGCCCAATCTTCTAGTAAACCAGTAGGAGATATCCCATGTTCGGCGCATAGCTTCTGCCAGAACTACACGTCAGCTGAGGTCCTCAGCGAGTATCCATCTGAGAGTGCGGGATCTGAGAGGAGGAGAGGAAGTACCTGATGTCCGACTGAATCGTCAGCATTACAAAACTTTGAATTCGGTATCGTTAGGTTACTCACTCTGATTACCCGCCTGACCTGCCTGGAAAGTATCAGCGTTGAAAGCAAGAGTGGTTGGGACGACTCACTTGAAGAGAGATGATCTCCCGACCCATGATGGAAAAAGAACCGGGAGGGGTACGGATTGCTTACTCGCTAGTGACTGAATCCTTCTTCGGCAGTAGTTGTGAGGTGTGCGAAAGACACTGGAGTGACGCTTCCCTATCTCATGGGCGATTGTGTCCTTCGAGGTACTGGCCTCTGTGTCTCGCGTAGGGTAACAGTAGTAGTATTGCGGCTGATGATGGTCTTCTACTCGTACTCTAAGCTTACAGCTCTATCATAGACAAGACGCGTGTGGAACGCGTGGAGGAGTGATAACGTGATCTCATAAAGCCACGTGTGTTCGGATCTCCAATTCTCTTGGCGCCCTTTCAAGACGCCCACCCGGAGATCCCGCATTTGACCTTGACCTTATACTTGTATGTACCATAAGTGTTGCAATACTCCGTTCAACACCGACGATGTGGCACAGGTCGAGGCGCACCAAAACCTCACCTACGGCAGTCGTGCCACATCCACCGGCGTTGGTCGGAGTATGCATCACTTTCGTTACATACAAGTAGATTTATCGATGTATGGTTGACTATCAAGCAACCCAGGGGCCAGGGGTCAGGGGGTGCATTCTGGATATTCTAGATTATTCGCATGCATATGTCCATGCTCCAAATGAAATTCGACGAGATGGAACGAAGCTGTGTACGGTAGTTGTATGTGGCGCTAGGCTTTTCTCACCAAAGTCATTCACCCTTTTCTCCTTTTCATCGCGCACCTCTCAAGTATATCTCTACTCCTTCCTTGGCCTTCTGTAGCCAGGACGAAACACTCTTTCTTCCCAATCAACTTCTAAGTCTCAAGCGAGCAGAAGGGACATCGAAGATATCAACGGTCCTTCAACAATGTACATAGGGCGTATCAGTCGGTCAAGCAGATGATTGGGTGATGGTAACCTATGACCCCCATCCGTTTCATATCATACATCTTTCTCGGACATGTCCTTGGGTAATCGTACATCATTATCAAAGAGGGTTCCTTTTTTCTCTTCCTTATTCCGATTCGGTCGTTCAGATTCCGACAAAAGACATAGGTCTAAACTCTCTTCCACCACTCGATCTAGGCATCTCTTATCACGCCCTCCGACTATGGGTCAAGGAAACTTTCTAGCAATCTTTCCTAGAAGATTCCTCAGACGTCTTCTCATTTGTCTTTTCATCTTCACATTGATCCTCACCTCTATCCCATTCGCTGCATATCAATACTACCCTGAACCTCCAAAACATCATAAACATAATTTCTTCGAAGCTCTCCCATGGCCTTTTCGATTATACAAAGAAAATTATTATCCTTCACCTATCAAGCCTGAACCTCCAGAAGCTTTGACGGATCTTTTAGCGGCCCCATGGGCCGGGAGTTGGAAACTTCCTCCACTCGGCAGTATCAACAATCAAAGATATACTCAAGATGGTCAAGAAGGAGTTTTGCTAAAACTTCATGTTTTCTCTACACCTCATATCTCTGCTAGTAAAAGACGGAGATTGATTAGGGAGTATTCTCCTATGCACTATATACCGAGGGAATATCGACATTTGATCGAATTCAACTTCGTCTTAGGTCGTTTACCATTGATCGAAAATGTGATGGATCCTGTGGAATTGAAGAAGGAACAGGAGGAGTATGGAGATATGATTTTCCTTGATGGTTTGAAAGGAGGAGAGAATATGAATGATGGGAAGACATTAGATTGGGTGAAGGCTGTTGGTAGGGGTAAAGCAGGCAAAGAAGCGTGGTGGGTTGTGTGAGTTGAGACTTTCTCCATTTGTATCACCACCGTGTCGATCCTGTTCCGCTCTTGTTCCTATATTGTCGTCTTCTGTGTCCCGCCGTCTCTCCTCTTTCTGTTTGACCTGTGTCCTTTTTCTGTTTCTCTACACTTTGAATGGACGCTGATGGAAAGAAAGTGTGATGACGACGTGAGTCTTGCTTCCCTCCCTACTCTCACGGAAAGTTGCTCTGGCCCTTACTCGATCGTATAAAGCTTCTACTTGGCTCTCATCTGTTCATCCGGGCCTACTTCTAGAGTCCGACGAATCAGCTCATTACAGACTTTCCCCTTGTTACCAAATCTGCTGGATTTCCTACTTTCTCAAGACCCACATACTCCGACGTGGTTCGGCACGGCCTTGGGAAGGTGGGTGGGATATTACTACTATTATCAGGGCATGATGTATGGTTTCTCGTGGGGTGTTGTGAGTCATCATTCCTTGTTTCCCCTCCTTCTTACATTTCTTCTATTGGTTCATCTCTTCCCCACTTCTCTCGCTATTTTCGCCTGTACTGTTACTTAATCTATGTCTCACCCCTTAAGTCTTATCTCGACATCGGATGCATTGAATTCATCTCGGTCTGAGGTCTCATCTTGAGTATGGCGGTGACAAGGAGTGGAATATGTGCTGATCACAGGCGAAAACCATTGCTTCGGCAGATCTGCCACGAAAATTCGTTGAGACCAACTATGACGAAGACGCTAAAATGGGAATAGTTATGGTGAGTTTCGGCGCTCCCCCCTTATCTCTCGCCGATCTTCTCTCTTCCCTCGCTCATTTCTCCTCCCTTTTTTCTCCTTCTTCTCTTTCTCTCTCCTCTATTCAACTTCACACTTGACTTGTCTCATTAATACTCAAATACCTCTGATCTCCTTTCTTGATACTCTCCCACATGACCCCCGATCACCCCTACTCCAATCCAAAATATGAGACGAACTCAAAACCTACACTTTCAGCTTCATTAGGGACGAACAGACCGACCATATTACCTGAACTCCTATAGAAACTAACTCTCAGATGTCCCTCCCACCCACACCGAAGATCTTCAATCGTCTCTCTCATCTACAACCTACCAACCTCACCGACCCACTTCAGACCGATCCTATCCTTCGACTCAGTGAACTCGCCGCTAAAGCTCGGGGAGAACGAAAGAAAAAAGATTATTCAAGTCCTTATCCAAATCCTGATCCTCGGACGGGATTAAAGAAGATAGACGTTGGAAGAAGGATGGCGAGTCTGTTCGATTGGTATGTCGCTGGGACAAATAAAGCTTTATGTTGGCATGGATTGAAACTTGATGAGGTTAGTATTATTTCGTTCTTTCATCTCCATCCCTCTTTCTTCTGATTCTCCTTTCCCTTTCAATACCTTGCTCAGAAGTTGTCTAAAACCACCTTTTATCTTTTCCGCGACTCACTTCCTCTTCCTTCTTTCTCATCCACCATAACTGGATGTTTGTGTCCCTTTTCTCAAAATCTCTAGCTTCGATCTTGGAAGTCACTCGATGTTAAGGGTCACAAACGACTACATGTTAATCTCGTGGGATTATGAGCAAATATCTAAGATTTGTAGGAAAGTTGAAACTGACAAAAAAAGGATTATCTACAAGGTTATCATCAAGCTGCTAAAAGAGGGAAATGGTCACCTCCCAGTTGGTTGAAGAAATATCAAAGATGATCTTTTTCTCCCCTTCCTCCTTCCTCCTTCCTTTTCACTCATTCTCACTGTATCATTCTCATGTGAAGAGTTCAGCTCTCACTGTATATACACAGGTCAACGATGTCCATATTTGATATCCGAAATGAAACCCCCTCCCCCCGTCTCAAAGTTTTGTCGGTGGGTTATGGAAGGTCATCAACATTGTACATCTTACATTTCCAACCAATCGTGTCAGCCATGTTCGATATTCGATATTCGTGCACTCGACCATTGCGCCAATGATCCCAATGAGCGATTCGAAATATTCGTTATGACCCCTGTCTCCGTAAAACGCTGCCGTCACTGTTGAAATACGACACGCCGGCAAATATGATGGACGATGTTGTGATGACGATCATCATACCACCTCGACTCATCGATATTACGATACTTCCCGTTTTAAAGAAACACATATCTCGATGAGCCTCTAATTCCAAAAAGTATATACATTGGTGAGAGACCAATAGCGAACAAGTACCGTGAGGGAAAGATGTGTACGTCTTGTAGCCCCCTTGCTTTTTCATGCATTCATAAACACGAGACTTGTTCATACTACTTTATCTTGAGCAGGATGACTCAGAGTTTTGAGAAGACACGACTGTTCAGTCAAGATAAGCGAATGGTAAGAGGAATAAGACGCAAGTAACGAAGATTCATATACACATGAAATCAAAAAGTCCTTGACTAAATCTCAAAAACCAAATTCATCAATTTATTTCATCATTGATTCCAGATCATCATCACCTAACATTTCAAACCTCCAAGTAACAGATAAATAAAACCTCTTAAACCTTCTCCTTTCCCTTCACTCTCCACTCGATTGCAGATCGTGTATCGTCGACGTCATCTGTGCACATCCGACGTGAACCCCTGGTTCTAAAGTATTCTCTGGGTCGGAAAGATACATGCGGGATGTGTCGTTAAAGTTGGTTTGGAGATCCAAAAAGAACTCATGACTTGGTCCTACTCGGTGTTCTCCCGGTCACATGAGATTTCGTAGACGATCTCCGTGTATCTTTCCCAATTGACGAAGTTGAACCGGAACGTTTACCCTTGAACTCTTTCTCGCGCATTTTAGCAGCTAATAATTCTGCCCAAAGAGGGTTTGAGGGAATTTTACCAATCAATCCTTCTAATGTGGTCATCCTAGTCGTCAGCGGTTTCCTCACAATCTACTCTCCGCTCTCAGATGTATGATGCTGGTTACTGTAGCAGCAAACGTGATGTTTCATGTATGGCCAAAGAGAAAGAGAGAGTATCAATAGGTGTGAAACAGAAGGAACACATGGAAAGTGAACAAGTTGAAAGAGGACAAAAGAAAACCCACCATGCCACTTTATCAGCATCCGTATCAGCCGAAAAGATGATAGTCTCTCCATCCTTAAACTCCATTTCGAAACTCCTCGGTCGACTAGATATTCCTTCGTCACTTCCTCTCCTCATGGTCATACGAGATTTTGGCGAGCCTCCAGAAACGTTTAGATCTATAACTCCTATCGCTTGTCTCAAGTCGATAGAGGCAACATGTTTCTTTGTGACTTCGTTCATCGCCACGAGGTTACCTCCGATGAGTCTGAACATACGTCGACGTGGGACCTGAGAGTTAGTGCTGACCGACATTCAATTTCCTTTGCGTTCGCCTCGTGGCCACAGTTTGTACTTTCAGTCCGGGAGGTGGCTCAGCCAGCTAAGAAGCCTGAGAAAGAAGCTAGTTGCTAGCCAAGGTTCACGCTGAGAAGATGATGTCGGCGGGATGGAGGAGGGCAAAGAGGGCGAAAAGAGATTGGTGAGAAAAGCAAATTCGACTCACGGTGCAATCTCCTCCATCTTGTGTCAAAAGTCCTTCATGATACTCATGTTCATGCCATGCATGATGTCTTATTCCCCTTAGACAATCATCGATACATTGTGGTAATTCCTCTGGTCTCAACCCAGGAATAGGTGGTAATCTGAAAATCTGAAGAGTAATCTTTGCCAATTGTTTCCTTGGGGCATTTTGAGCTTGTTGTTGTCCTGGTCCAATATGTCGATCAGGTTCACCACGGAACATGGCAAACATAGGATACCGAATCTCCAATATCTTCGCCTCGCAATTCTTGGCAATGGGTTTGAACGCCACGTGAGTTTTAGCGATCGTTGCTGATGTTGGAGTGGGTAAATATTTCGCTATGTTGTCTACTGGTGGTTGGGGTGTAGGAGCAGGGAGGACAGGTAGAGGTGTGGTTGATCGAGACTCTGATTTGGCAGGTTTGGCTTTACGAGGAGAAGAAAAGATGTTTCGTAATGCTGAATGTTTTGCAGGAGATGCAGGAATGGGAGTTGATGAAGGAGGTTTCGTGTGTAATGCTTGGAGGATATGAGGATCCCGTCGGACATCGAGAGAAAGGGTGAATTCAAAGTTAGGATGTTCGACGCTGTCATTGAGCTTTGTTCATAAACGAGAAGATGGTCTGGCTCACAGTGAGAATTCTTGATTGACTCGTGCACCTTCGGACAGTAAAGAATAAGGTGTACGAATGTAATCTATCCCATTATCAAGCGTGACGCAGAAATAAGTCGGTTGATCTGGAATAGGAACAACCAATCCTTCAATGCCCAATACTGTATTGTCAGCTCACCCTCCCTGCATCTGCATTCACTGAGATCCGGACCGAGTAACGATCACCGAACGCTGAGGACGGTCAAAGTGCTTTTTTTCGGCGACGGTGAAGTCAACTGACCTTTGACAAAGATGGTTCCACTGGCTTTCCCAACACTCGCTTCCTTCTCCCTCATCTGCCGGATCTCAGCCGCATGTTCATTCTACGTATCAGCTGCGTCACAAGTGACATACAAAGAGAACTGACAAGATCAGACGGCCGGCGTAATTGTCTCCAAGCTCGACCAGAATCAAGGTCACCAGCTCTGGTGTGACTGAACGTCTCTGTATATGTCGCACGGACCATTGGTTTCTCTTTGATCTTGTATTTGCGCTAAAATTGTCAGCTCTGGCTTGATTCCGATAACCGACTAACCGTGCTATCTATATCCCGTGTTTCTTCCTCGAACGCATCGAGCATGGACCGTCGATCACTACGAATACCAAGAGTCAGACGTGGTCTGAGGATAGAACCTCGCGGGGTGACGATCTGTCGCGGTCAGCTCATTCACCATATCCATCTGTCTAGAGCACAGACGGTCGGTAATCGACGGACTACATGCAACGCATAGCTCACACATAGAAGAAATATGGTCAAAAGCGGTGAGGAACTGGGATGGAATCAAAAGAGAGAGAAGCAGGCGTGTTGCCGGGGTCACAATAACGAAGGGAGGTGAAAGTTATTGAGGTCCAATGTTGACTCACCTCATCCGACTCCTCCGTCACATCACTAACACTCCTACTCCTTCTCCTCGACACTTTCGACGGCCCAGCCCTATCTCCCGTCTCCATCTTCTCTGGCCTCTTCACCGTTTCTGCCGTACTCGCAATCAAAGGTATCTCCGAAACCTCCTCCCTCGGCGGATGTACCTTCACAGCCGTGTCTTTCGGCTTTTGAAGTATACTGACGGGGAATGTACTCTGAATCTTGGATGGACCGAGAATAATCTTTTCATCGCCTACCACCCCACTAGCCAGTTTGTCCAAAGCGCTTTGAGGAGCGTGTATCACACCGTCTTTGGAATTTTGTTCCAGTATCCTCTGAGCGGATTGAGTTTGACTTCTCGGTCGAAGAGACGGTCGCTCCGGTTTTGGAGTTTTCTCCTCAGCATCGATCTCTATCAGAGGCGGAGGTGGAGGTAAAGCTTTGTCTCTAGACGCCTGGGAAGGGTTAGTCTTGCCCAGCTTGGATTGAGTTTCGAGTACATGACTTTCCTCCGTTGGCAGAGTATGTCTTTTCGAGAGACTACCCTCAGCAAGTCGCTGTTGTACGGTCTCTTTGATCATATCTCGAGAAATTCTCTGTCGAATTCTTCCGGCAGAGCCTGTGCCCATTCCATTCCCGTCTGACGATGATCCAAAGTCAATTCCAGAGCGAGAGCCAGTGGAAGGAATCGAAGGAAGGGTACTGAGAGATAGTGATTCCGGCATTTTGCGTTCGTCAGACGCAGAACGTTGAGTCGGTACGGAAGAAGCCGTTTTGGGGGGAGGTAATGAGACGGGTCGGAGAGAGGATTTAGGTTTGGGGTCAATAGTATCGAGAGAGATATCTTCGAAATCGAATGAGGGAATCCGGTGGGGTGATTCTACCTTAGGGCCGTCGGGGTTAAGAGGTCTTGGAGGGGTGAGAGGTCTGACTATTTCGTCGACTGGAGTTTCACTTGGTTCCACCGGGGGAGGCTCGGGAGTTTCGGTGAACGTCGAGGTGAAGCCGCCGAAAAGAGGACTGGTCGCGCCAATCAAAGGTAGGGAGAAGGGAGCAGATAAGCCATATGTGCTGGTCTGATAGTCAGCAGTGAGTCGTCGGCGAAAGACACAAGAATCGTCGATGGGATCGTGGTTCACTAAGGGAGATGATAGAGGAAGTCAGCTCGGACATGAACTTACCCGCTTCTTCACTACCGGTTCGTCCTCAGATCTAGTGACAGGGCTGGGAAGTTTGATGGGTTCAGGCTTCGGGGGTCTCGGTAAATCTCTGTCCTTGTGTGCTTCTTCCTTCCTCTCTACCTTGTCCAGTAACACCGACATCCTCTTGGGACCCTTCATCTCCGGTACCTCGCTGATCTTCCTCTCCTGTGTTGACGGACTGTCCTGCGGCTTGTCCTCAAGCAAGTCGCCCTTCCGCATTTCAAAGCTAGCGTCAAACAGTGCTTCTGCAAATCCAGTAGGTGTACTTGGTTCCATCACATGCGGTTTGGTCACCTCCAGCGCTTGAGGAACAGCAGGACTTCGAGGCATACCTGGCATTCCCAACCCAAGAGACTGAGTAGCGAGCGCGCGAGCGGCTTGCATCCGCTCCAAATGACTTGTTCGACCCAGAGGCACTCCGTCTTCCTCTCGCTCATTGTTTGCCGGAGAGAGCACTTTGGTGGCAGTGCTGATGGTAATGAACGGGTCGGGTAATAGGCCAGCTTGATGAGCATGGGGTCCCCCTACTTCAGGGTGAGATAGGACAGGAAGCGAGGGATTGACAGCGTTGGCATTCATAAGCATCTGATGATCCTCAGCATGGGGAATAGCGGGTTGCACAAGGGGTGATACACTCTGGATAGGAGGTAAGGAGTGTGCTATGGCGGCACGTTGGGCATGATGAGTTCGTCCATACGGGATACCGGAGTGATCCTTCTCGGTGAATTTGAAAGTGCTTTCCATTGGAGGAGAGAATTCCGAGTCTCCCAATAACGGTGTGGGATGAAGAGATCCACCGAGGGAGGGTGTAGATAGAAAAGTGTCTGGATGGTCTTCATCCGACGATTCGGATGGCACTTCTGGTACGGTCGGTATGACTGGAGTCGGAAGTTCAGGTGGCGAAAAGAGACCTTCTTCCACCAGAGCATCCATGAAATCGGCTGTGGTAGATGCGTCCGCATCATCAATTTGATCTCCTTCTTCCTGCGCGACACCGGTGGGAAGATTGAACGAACGAGACGGAGGATGAGGTTTGTGAGTTGTCATGGACAACACAGGTGGAGAGTTCAGAATGACCTCGAAACTATTGTCCCTTCCATCATCCACCCATTCATCGTTCTCATCCGAATCAAGTTGTTCGAAACTCCCATTGATACTTCCCTCGACACTCATCCGTTCGAACTCCTTGACGTCGGGGACAGATTGAAAGGTCACCGTTTTGCTTCCCCTGGTAGGAGAATCTGGTCCTTCGACTAAACCACGAGGTCCTCGCAATCGTCGAGACGGTGTCATGGAAGATTTCATTGGAGTAGGCGTGGGAGTGACGTCGTCTGCCAGTAACATCACTGCAGTTGGTGGTTGTGATAACGGTGAAGGGGCCGGTGGGGCCGTTGTGAGTAGAGATGGCGGCTGATAGGAGGTTCTTGGGGGAGAAGGCGTCGGGGATCCATTTCCTCCGCCACCGGGATGTAGAGAGCCCGGGGAGACCCGACGACGATCATGGGAGACTCGACGGACGGTGGGAGACGGAGAGGTGAATATGTCGTCTTTGTGAACTGGTATTGAGTGCGGGCTGGAGACTGGGCTTTCGGCCACTTTCTTGCTGGCAACGAGCTCTCCACCGGAGGTAACTCTCTTGAAAGGCGATTTCGAGACGTATTCTCTATTCGCCAAACTTTTTAGGTTCATACTGTTCCTCGGAACCCGTTTACCAGCTCGCACATCTGGACTTTCATTCTCCTTGCTGGAAGAAATCTTCCTCTCGACTCCACCAGGCGATCTACGCTCCACGCCCACGGGAGATGGGAATGTGACTTTAGCCCTCTCATTCGACACCTTCCTCGTCCCACTCACAGCGGCTCCGTGACTTACACTACCGCCACTGGACGTTCTGCTGGTGCCCCTTGGGGTGGCGGAGATTCCCAATCCAATTATGGCTTTGGGGGTCGCAGCCACTCCCGCGGCACTGGGAGGTACTTGTCCCATTGCCCGCGCAGTTTTGCGCTCATGTATCACATTCTCCCTTTCCAACTCCCTGCCAGCTGCCTGAGCTCCTTGTGCCGTCCCCAGGTCTTTGAAGGGAGAGCTGGACACTAGAGAGTTTTTCGTCACATGTTTGAAGCTTGAGCTGGTACGTCGAGGCGAAGCAGCGGATGGAGAATGAGCCGTGAGCTCGGGGGAAGGTTTGAGAGGTGAGAGGGAGACTGAATCTCGCTTGTTGATGTGAAGGGGTGACCAGCCTTTGGCGGATGAAGAAATGATGGAGTTTCGAGCTGCGGCAGACGCTGATAAAGGAGCCATGGGTAGTTTGTTACGAGGGGGAGGAGAGGTGGACATGATCTGTACTTGAAAACGTTGAGATGGAGGGAGAAACATAGCGTCAGCGGGATAGAGAATTGAAGAGGAAGAGACCAAACTCACTCGTCGTCAGGGTATACGGGATGGATGGATACAAACACTAGAAATTCATTCAACGTTGGCGTCCTTTTGCCCGGTCGTTCGGATCCTTGTTCTTGGACTTGATGTTGTTGAGTGAGTAGCGTTTTCGATGTCGGGGGGCGGTGTTTGGTGACGAGAATGAGAAGAGAGAGTATGAGGGGGTATAGAGGGTAAGGAGATACGAGAGCGGAAAGAAAGAGGTAGGGTGAGTTGGAGGGGATATGACCCGTGTGACGTGTTTACCTGCACTTTGTCTCACTCGTACCAAAAAAGCAGCCGCGTGAGGGAAGACCGCATCGGCGATTGCTTTTCTATGACGGCGTTTTGCAGTGTGGCGCTTGTCGGGGCCTGTCTTCCTGGCTGTGCTCCTTCACCGCCCTAAATTGGACCTCTGCTTTGGCCAAGCTGGTATGATGTGTGTCATGTATCTACAATCACAACCGTCGTCCAAACCCATGCATCCCACTTTCGACTTGAACCACATATCTCATCCCTCCCACTGGCCACTGGCCACCGCTCTGCCATCTGGAATCCGCGAGCTTGAACTTTCTCCGGTGATCGGACAGAACGCCGATTCCCGATACAACTCTGCTCGCTTCTCGTCCATCACTCGGATGGCCAGAAAGCTCAGCGCCGTCAAAATACAATCCCCAAGACAGTTAGATCGCACCCTTCCCCTTGTTCACAGTCAGCTGACTTTTGATCTCTGATATGATATCTTCCTTTCCCCTCTGTGTCAACTCGCACCGATAGCTGCTAGCTGCTCAGTGCAACATTCTCAAGGCCACTTGGACACAATGACCGATGAGGAGCTTCCACCTAGTAAGCTGGGTACGAAAGATTATTGGGATGCACAGTATGAGTGAGTCTTGTGCCCTCTTTCACACGCATGAAATGACAGTCAGACGAGAGGTGACTGTCTTCGAGGTGAGCTCACTCCCTTCCTCTCATGGAAGAGGGGCTGATAACAGGATATCGGGGATGAAGGAGAAGTTTGGTGAGTCTCATTGATATTCAAGTATTGAGGATTGACAATGGACAGGTTTGGAGAATCGAGTGTCAAGAAAATGCGTAAATGGGCACACGACCATCTACCTCCTTCCTCTTCTCCCATCAGAATCCTCGAATGTGGAAGTGGCAACGGTACCCTTCTTCTCTCTTTCCTAACCTCACCCATAGGCTCCATTCCACAGAAATATCATCTGACAGGTATCGACTACTCTCCCACTGCTATCCTCCTCTCACAGAAAGTCGAACATGCTCGGAGGGAGATGGAGATCGATGAGGATGAAGAAATTTCGAATATCTGTGAGGTGGAATGGAGAGTCGGGGATCTTCTCAGGGATAATATGAAAGAACAATGGGATTTAGTACTTGATAAAGGCACTTTTGATGCCTTATGTCTTTCTTCTGATCCTGTGGAAGAAGATAAGTTAAAAAGATTACCAAGTCAGGTATATCCTGAGAGAATCGCCAGGTTGGTCAAAGAAGGAGGGTTTTTTCTCATCACGAGTTGTAATTTCACAGAAGAAGAGATCAGGCGGAAATACGAAAGACCTGAACTAGGTAGGTGTGTCTCTTCTACTCTTTACGCATAGCTGACATGAAGGTTTGAAATATCAGTAAGTCGATGCATTCGAAGGAGTCAGAAGCTGACCGAAGAAGTTCAAGCGTTCCTCATAAATCATTCACCTTTGGTGGGAAATCCGGTACTATCGTGTGCACCGTCGCGTTTCAAAAGGTCTCCTCAACCCGTACTCTCATAATGAATGGCGAGACAGTCATGGTAAACGGTCATTCTCACCTGTCAAATGGTCACGTTGGGTTAAATGAAGGAGAAGATTTATTTCTCTGCGTCGATGTATGTCTTCCTCTGTTGAACATTTGGATGAGTGATGAGCTGACGGGTGGTGCGGAGGAACGACAACAGATGTTGCTATAGCTAGCACATCCGGAGGTATAGTTTCCCGTGCCGTAGGAGGTACGGGGAATATGGCAGAGGTCAGTCATCATTACTTCTCCCAAATCTGATTTATTGACCATTAGGTTGGCCTGCAAATCTCTAGCGACATGTCCGTTCGATCTCTCAACATTTAACCGTGGCTGAAGTTTAGGGTCATCTCTACTGTTCTCGACGCTGTAGCTCAACTTCCTTCTCTTTATCACTCAAACAAGTCAGAAAAGGCACTCGTCAATGGAAATTCGCACGGAGTCGTTTGTCCCGTCAAATTTAAAGAGATATGGGTTGGAGTGAATCTTTCTTCCTTCTATACACGAGACGATCTCTCAACTAGGGTCTATTGCTAATGATCAGATGTCAGGATGTGACACTTCATTAGATCAAAAACGTCTTTCTGAAGTACTTCGACCATTCTTGTTCGTCTCATTCTATCACTATTTGTCCTCCCTCATTTCCTACAGTTGTTCCGCTACCGAGGTAGACTGGGGTTGATGTATCAGCGTCTCATCTCAATTATCCGTCGTCAATGACGCTCACCTACTGGGAGGTGCTCTATTGAAACATCACTGTTCTTGGGGTATCGCCATCGTAGCCGGTACGGGGTCAGTAGTTGTGGCTTTGGAGGTAGATCCTGATGGAATTGTCAGACAAGTGGGGAGGAGAGGAGGACATGGGTATGTTTTAGGTGATGATGGATCTGGTGAGTTTTTCTGTTGAATCATATCCCTATCCCCTTCCCTCCCCCAGAGAACCAGAAAATACCTCATATACCGCCTGTCAGTACTATATCATTCACAGATCACTCACCAACATCCTCCCTGGTTACGATCCCTTGGGTTATCTGGCTTGTATCTCTGTCCGAGGGCATTGATGACTCCCGGGACGGAATGTCACAGGTCATGTGGTGAGATTGACCACCAGCATTCGACGTGGGACGATCTGCCATCAGAGCCGTAGTAGACGATTTCGATGAAGGGTTGGAAGTATCAGGTGGTTTGGCAGATCTGGTCAAACGTCATTTCGGTGTGAAAGAAACAGGTGAAGTATTGGCCAAAGTGGTGAGTGATCCCCATACTCTATATCCCACGTCTCCCTCTCATCCCTCTCTCCCCCTATTGCTATCATACTCTTTCCAACATATCAACCTTTTCTTTCTCCCATGATGTCTCACTATGTCCTGTTGATTGCATCACTGTACCAAAACCTTTACTGCTCCAAGACAGAATCCTCGGCAAAGAAAACGAAAGGTGTGATCCTGAACCACAGCATCACTTAAACGACACTCTCTCCCCTATAGATTCCACAAATCTTCGTAAACTTTCCGTTTCTTCCCTCGCCCGATCAGTTCTCGACTTATTCTCTCAAACCCCCCCTGATCCACTAGCACAAAGAGCGTTGAAAGAAGCTACCTCACCTCTGATCCGTTCGGTCATCTCTCTCGTCAAACAGATGGAAACCAATGGACGTTGTACGAGAGAAGCGGCGGTGATAATGGCTGGTGGAGTCGCAAGACAAGCATGTTATAATAAAGTCATACTTGAGACACTTGAACGAGAAGGGATTAAATTCGGAAGTGAAGATGTAGTTTTGGATGTGGCTGGTGAAGCTGTTTTAGGGTTGGTTAAACGCAGAAGGAGGTTTCAGGGTTGGTTAAACGCAGAAGAAGGGAAAGGTGATGAGTGAGAAGAGATGAGAGGTATAGCCTACCAATTCAAGGATGGAATGAATACAGAATGGTGAGGTTTACGAATACGGAATACATGTTATCTGTGATTTGTAATGATGCATTCTTTTGTCACTTGGTAGCATCAATTATGGTCATGGAAAATTAGTATAGTGATCTACAGTAGTGGATCAAGCATAAGATCAACAAAGCAGATTAATAGAAAACAAGGAAGGAGAAAGAAGGAAAGTTCGTGAAGTTTAAATATTCAATGCCATCACTACCAAATTGATTCTACACCATAACCTATTTTCCCTGAACTTTTCACTTCTCACTCCACTATTATACCGTCATTCTCTTCATTCACCGTTCTCGGTGCTTTTTTTCAGTCATCTACCTCTTTTTATATCATCATCTACTTCATCTTTCTCAAATGACATCAACAAATCAATTGGCATGTTCATTATGGAGCCAATTTTGTTTCATATAACCTTTCCATTCTCCACATTGATCGATTCTGCTCGTACTTCTTTTTTGTATTTTCAAATTTTGAAGGTCCAGTATCGGGAGATGTGTGGGTGATGAAAAGTCTTTTTTAATACAGAAATGTGGATGAAATTATTGATGGAGTACTTATCTGACTCGTTGGTAGAATAACAGATAAGCACATTTCTCTCTTCCTCCAATCAAGCCCGCTCTACCTGACACAGCCTCCGATTCGCTCACTACAACAGCTTCGGTCGGAACGGCCGAATGAGTCTCGTCATCAAAATGGATCCAACCTGATCCATCTTGTCGTGCAGCGGCCAATGTGTAATGGCCTCCTTGGGATGAAGCACCATGATGATAATCGACTTAAAAATATTAGCTCTTGCAGGTATGAGGATAAGGAGAGAGCTTACCTCCAAACAGTCTGTATTTCACTGGATGACCACGTTTGGTAGGGGATACGACTTCTGTTGCGTCAACTTCAATGCACACTAGACTGATTGGCCTGTGCACTGGAACTTGAAAGTGTTAAACGGGCAAAAATCAATCACAGTAGATAATACGACGGGCGAAAGACCAGGTAGGCTGGCTGGAAAGCAGAACGTGAATGGTAACGGGGAACAAAGTTGGCGGGACCAAATATGGCAAACAGCTCACCTGATGGTATAATAAGCTCAGTACCATAAGCCACAGGTTTATCCCTTTTGAACACCCGTTGTTCCACTTGATCATACTCGAATCTCTTCAAATGTAATACCAAAACAGGTGGGAAAGTCTCAATCGTCACTTGTTTACTAGCGTCTACTTTTTCTTTCCTTGACGGACTATATACCCCGGGAACAATCTCCGGTTCAGCTATATGTCTCAAGGCATCTTCAATGGTGGTGACGTCGGATCGAATGTCCAAAGCAAGAGTTTTGAAAGGTTCTAAAGTCACACTATCTTTATTCCCTGGTACACGAAGAACAGAGCGGAGTGTACCGCCGAATAAACGTGAAATCGCCGATTCATGACTTTCCACAGACCGAACTTGATGAACTCTTTGTTTCTTACCAACTTCTAGCCAACCGGAGGAATCTTCCGCACCGGGGGACACGGGTCGACGGATGTGTTTGTCTGTATCACCATTAGGCAGTTGACCACTGCTGATTTTACGATTTGAAGAACGTGAGACGAGCTTGAGGATTTCTTCATGCAGAGTATCGTTAAGGAATCCGAAAAATTCTTCAGCGTCTTCTTGATGTCCCTTCTGATACTTGTCAGTGATAAACATCTATGATGGCAAGGGGTGACGCACCTGAACAAAGTCGAATCGTTTGTTCGCTTTCATAGCTTCGTACACATGCTCCGGAATGAAAGCAGTGCTTCTGTGATCCTTGTCTCTGCGTGAGTGCTTGGAACCATTGATAAGAGCGTTTCTCTGTTGGCTTGGGGCGGCTCCAGGAACGGGGTCAGGCAAATTGAACTCTCGCAGGAAAACAATCATAGCTTCGAGAAGTGGGGTTTGTCGGCCAAGATCGGCCTTCAGTCGTTTTCCAAGTTCTTCCAATAGTTGAGTGAAGGGCAGGCAAAATACCAGAACCTGGAGAATCTGCACCGTTAGTGACATTCAGGTATCTCACGGGCAAAGAAGCACACTTACAGTGTTGGCAAAGCACATATTGCCAGTATTTATCAACCCCCGAGGCAGAGTCATTGGACCTTTCTCTGGAATCTTGCCTTTCACACCTTCAGTCAACAATTTGACCAACTCTTCCTGAGGTGTGGCTGCGGCGGATGCAGCCGCAGCAGCATAGTTGATAGGGGCAGGGCGGGAGGCAGGGATGGGTGCGGGAGGTGAAGCAATTCCGATGGAGGTGACTGTGGAAGAAGGAGACGGTTGGTCGACACTGGGAGCCACGCTGGGGTCTGGCAGGAGAGATGTGATGGACTGAGTAGGAGATGTAGCTTTGGAGGCGACATCGGATCGAATGGACACTCCAGAAATGCTACCACCACCAGGCTTGTCAGGAGCAGGCTGCCTGAGCAATGCCGCCCAACTGACCGGCTTGACAGGTTTCACCAATGGGGTCCGAACATCTCCGGGCACTTCAAGCGGCTCCACAAGGTTTATACGCTCTTCGACATCTGCACCACCTTTCCTCCCCTGTTCTGCTTCACCGTTGATCTCCAAAGTTCCAAAGATGATGGGGAGCGCAGCACGTCTAGGTATGGAGCTGGCCATCGTTACGTCTTCCTCGAGTTTGACTGTGGACTCTTTCCGATGTGTCTTGCGAGCACCAAATCGCTCTTGACCGTGAGGATCAACCTGTGGAAAGGTAGAGACTCTCGTGGAGACTTGCCCCCGAGCCCAACCCAATATGTGTTGCCCTGACTGGTTTCGCTCGGGCGACTCAAACGTAGTTGAAGAATAGTGTCATCACGCCGATTCTTTGACGAAGGCGCCGATGCAAGATTCGTCGAGGTTGACGTCGGCGAAGGGGAAAGAGGGGTGGAATCAGTGTTGAGGAAGGTGAGTGGCGAAACACGAGGCGTCTGGTCGGCGGGTGGTGATGGAATGCGTGGCAGAATGGGTCCGCCAAAGGTGATTTCTGCTTTAGGTCCCTCGACAGTTGCTTTGGACTGGGCGTTTGGGGTGTCGATGAATATTGGTACAGTCGGGGTTTGTACAATGGGAGACGTGGGTTGATCGCTGGACGATAGAGATAGAGCGGGGGTGTCGTCTGTTTCCGAGAGTTTTGCATCCGGTTGAGCCTCGGGGGTGGATTTGATGTTATTGACAGGGGATGTCGACGTCCCTGGGTCTTCCTTAAGTGTGCCATTCACAGTTGTGGGAGGATGTGGAAGTTCAGCACGATCTGACGCTGACTTTTGATCGGTGGGTGGAGGGACTGGACGATCCATTTGTGTCAGACCCAAAACGCGCGATTCTGTCGAAATATCGGCAGGCCGAGGGGGGTTCAATGACTTTGACCGTTCGCCATCGGGAATGTTCGGCGGCACCCAGGATCTCGGAGGGCCCACCTGGCTGGCTCGGTTGTTCATGACAGGTCGAATAGAGGGATATCCAGGCTGGTTGTCGTAGTTGACTGTTCCGTTGACTCGCGTCTGACGTCTCCGACCATTATAATTGAAACCTTGTGCGGCCGGATTGAAACCTTTGAATCCGGGATCAGGCGGTCCGGGAGGAGGGCGCATGTGGGACATGAAGCCGGGATGATAGTTGGTATTAGGATACAGCATTGGAACGTTGGGGTAAGGGATGTAACCTACTCCCGCTCCGTTGGCGTAGGGATGATTTGGTGGATACGAAAGTGGGTAAGGTTGGGATGGATGTCCGGTATGAATGGTTTGGAAGGCCCCGGGTTGAGGTATTTGAGGGGTGAAAGTAGGTGGAGAGCGTGACACCATGACATTGTCAATAGATCGTGACTGTTCTAAAGGGCTGACGGGACCGTGGTTTCGAGGATCAAAATTGCCAGTTTGAGTGTCGGTTGGAGAAACATGCGGGGGAGAAGATGGATGTGATTGAGAATCAGATGCTTGAGGATAGAAAGTGATCGGTCCCGGTTCTAAAGGCGGACCAGGATATGGCATAAAACCATTTTGCATCGTACTTGGACCTGGATCACCCATTTGAGTGTAAGGAGGAAAGGGATATGGCTGATACATTTGAGCCCCCATAGGAGGTGGATAAGGGGGTGGATACGGATACCCAGAATTAGGATCATACCCAGCATTGTTTTGGGGAGGACGAGGAGCGTATTGTTGATGATAAGGGTAGTTTGAGTACCATTCTTGTGTCGGACCGGGGGGAGGATAGTGATTGGGTGGAAGGGGGAAATTAGCGGAAGGATTGTACAGGGTGGGGTATTGAGGTTGCTGTGGTGGAGGCATGTTTTGAGTGGAATTGGAAGAGGTTGGATTGGGACCAGTGGGATCGAAGGGAGGTATAGGTGGTTGTGGTTGTATATGATCAGGGTTTGTGAATGTTGCTGACATGGGAGAAGGTCCAACAAAAATCGAATCCATCTGAGTAATCAGCAATTGTCATTATTTATATGTGATTCGTCGGAGTAGAGCGATTGTCAAGGAAATACGTTGAGACTCACTTTGTTGATCACAATTCTTCAGAATATGCTGGTTTGATTCTATTGTGGATGTCTACAATACTACTGAAAGTGGAAAAAAGAATGTACAATAAGGACAAGGGCAGGAGCACGGATGACGAGAGATTCTCAAGTGGTTTAAATGGGGTAGTTTGTCAGAGAGGGGGGGAAAGAATGAAAGGCCGAGGCGATCTGATGTCACCGCATGAGAAGAATTGGAATAATGTAAGGCAACGAGGATAGGAGACTGTCGAAGGAGAAGATAGAGGCCGAGATGTAGGCGTGGCCCCCGTATGGGTGAGGGGATGAGTTGAATTGCGTAGACGAAAGGGAAGGTATTTTAAGTAGGGCAATTTGGTTTGAAGCCAAGGAAGGGTAAAGCTCACATTTGATAACGTTTCCTACACCCCAAATGACACGTCATTTCAAAACTTGCTCTTCAACTTTCTTCCCAGTTTTCCCTCACAAAATCTTCAAGTCGACTTGCTCTGTACAAGCAATCAAATACTTTATCACGCTTGAACTCTAAGCACCAGCACCAGCACTTACAACATGGCATTTGGTGAGCTTGAATGTCTTCGTAAATCGCTATAAACTTATGAGCCAGGCGATCGAGGTGGTGACAGAGGTGGTAGAGGGGGTAGAGGAGGTAGGGGAGGTTCCCGTGGTGGATTCGGTGGACGTGGTGGTGGTCGAGGTGGTGGACCGGGTGATAGAGGAGGTTTCGGTGGTAGAGGTGGTGGTCGTGGTGCACCTAGAGGTGGTAAGTTATCACATAGCTCTTTTACATTAAAAGAGTTTTTTCTAATTATTAGGTGGTCGTGGCGCCCCTCGTGGACGTGGTGGTCCAGCTGGAAGAGGTGGTAGACCAGGTTTAGGTCGTAAAGGTCCAGGAGCAGTTACAATCGAACCTCATAAACATTCCGGTGTTTATATCGCTAAAGGAAAAGAACATTTATTAGTCACTAGGAATATGACACCTGGTGAAAGTGTTTACGGAGAGAAAAGGATCAGTGTAGCTGTGACCAATTCAGAGGGAGAGGAAGAAAAAGTGGAATACAGGGTATGGAATCCTTTCAGAAGTAAATTGGCAGCTGGTATTTTAGGTGGTTTGGATGACATCCACGTGAGTGACTTTTAAGAAACATCTTTTGAAAAAGGTGTTTGAAAATTGATGAGGATTAGATCAAACCTGGTGCTAAAGTTTTATACCTTGGTGCTGCTTCTGGTTCTTCAGTTTCACACGTATCGGATATCGTAGGACCTGAAGGTGTTGTGTATGCTGTTGAATTTTCTCATCGATCTGGACGTGATCTTATTGGTATGGCAAAGAAACGTACCAATGTTATTCGTGAGTCATTACCTCGCCCTCAACACCAAATTTTCCAACCTCAAATCACTCCTAGAAATCTCCTATCCGATGCCTGGCCTATCAATTAGACGAACGAATCATACACAAATAAAGAGTATGTACTGACTCATAGCCATCGTTGAAGACGCTCGTCATCCTCAAAAATACCGCATGCTGGTACAAATGGTAGATGTCATCTTCGCCGATGTCGCTCAACCCGATCAAGCTAGGATCATAGCTCTCAACGCTCATCATTTCCTCAAGAACGGAGGTGCTATAGTCATTTCCATCAAGGCGAACTGTATCGATTCTACAGCCCCTGCCGCTCAAGTGTTTGCGAATGAAGTTAATATCATGCGTAAGGAAGGTATAAGGCCTAAAGGTGGGTAACTCCTCTGCTCGTTGGATTCATATCAACTATCTCATCTCATCTCATTGTATTGTACTTTTTTTGGCTACTTTTTCGCTTTGAAAAAGTGTTGCCGCCTGCTTGTTTCGTATCGAGCCGCCTGCTTGTTCTGAAATGGAATCGTCATGGCACAATGAAAGACACCGAGAATATTGGGCAGGACAGGTGGAATATCAAGTGGGGGAGCGGGATCTGCAAACGGGACTGATCATTCAGAACAATTGACCCTCGAACCGTACGAAAGAGATCACGCCATCGTGGTCGGAAGGTACGAACGACACGCCGTCAATTAAGTTTATTAATCTTGAGTGTAGATCTGATCATGTATTTGATACCCTCTGCTTCTATTCTCATCTCACGGTAACTTACTGAAATTATCTCCCACGTTTTTTACCTCACAGGTAACAGTCGGTTCAATCGTAGAGTACGAGTAGAGAACCATTCGAGGAGAAGAGAATTCAAGTACGCTACAACACAAACAACTACAATATTTTCTTATGACATCTGTACTTGCCCTTATGCACCAGTATATTTCTTATTTGCCGCAGGTCGACGTTTGTCAGAAATGATAAACTACTCATTAGCCATTCTCCTGTAAATTTAGGATGAGTGGGACATACGATCTCAGCTATGACCCTGGATTTTATCAGTTTTTATTTCTTTATCTCGTTCCCACGATATCTCTATCTCCTCCATTTCATCATCCTCTGTCTCTTGAAAGAACTTGGGAAAGTCATGGACCACGAGATGAATGGGTGAAAAGATAAATGAATCTTCTTACAAGAAAGTTGTGAGTGGGTGTGAGAAGAAGAAGAAAGACTTACGTGATGGGTATACTACCCAAGAGAATCATAACTGCGTACAAACAGAACAATGGAGTATCAATTTCCGGTGCACCAACAGTTTCTAAACCGATATAAGATTGGGAACCTGTAACTACCACGATGAATAATTTCAAGAATGCGTTTGCCTGGGATCAGTATAAATACTCCATATTTCTATCGCTTGTGATTCTTCCCTGACTTGTCATACCAATGCAGTTCGTTCGTCAGTACGTCTGTTAGAAAAGATTTCAGAGATGATATCGAATGTTTCCAATGATATGTCGATCATCAGGGTATGATTGTTAGGTGAACCGGGGGAAAAGTGGAGCATATAAAGTATGACAGAGAGGACGCACAATCAAAACTGTACATCAGCACATGATCAATCATGGTACTCAATTTGGCGTTCTATCATTGACATGAGATCGATATGATCTCGGATGAAACACTATCGATAAAGGTGGATAGGGATGAATTGGAGGAGTCGGTGGGAGAGAAGGAAAGAAAGACTAACAAAAGAATTCAATTTTGAGAAGATCAGTTTCCGTCGTATATAATCCATCGGTGAAGAATGCGCTTAAGAATTTCACAGCGACTTCCGTTTTGATACTATTTGTCAGTCTTGATACGAGTCATAATCAAGATGTTGCTTCTCTTTCCCTTATGATATCTCATCAGACTTTGACTTGGCACGTCCAATCTTGGTCACAGAGTGTATGAGGGAAAAGTAATTATCAACTTTTCTTTAAAAAGGTTGAAGGGATGTTGGTAACACTCACAAGACGTCAGCGGCAAGGGCGATCAAGATGAAGATCATCATTGCTATAGCTAGTACAGCTGCAAAGACTACTCCACCTAGATGTTTGGGTATGTTCGTGTTGTCTGTCATATTAGCTTATTCCCTTCGTCCCATGACCCCTGTGATATGTCACCTGCACTGGAGCTTATCACATATATATGCGTAGAAGCACATATTTGAATGAAGTCCATTGATAATCGTACCAATCCTTGAGACTTGCTTTCGGTTGAATACTTAAAGACTAATCAAATATGTTGGAGCAGAACACCAAAGACTAGACAATCGAAGAGGTGTCAATAGGTGAAATTGCAAAATAGGACCCACCGACGTAGCCTGACTCGGGTGAACCACCATACAAAGCTTTGTCATTCCCCAAATACGTTCCTAGTTCATCTTGGAAAATCCTGGTATTTTTGATGATAATCATCAGCCATACCACAAAGTTCATGACTAATGCGCCGACGGCCACGATTAGCCATAAGTTGCAAAGCAACATCCATATTCTGGGAAAAAAAGATTTGCCGTACCATGATTTTGCGTCTGGCATGTTGAGTTGTGTTTAGTTGAAACGCTAGAGTTCAGAACAAATGTCAAAAATTTGTGAAGATCAAGGTGGGACAAGGCTATGCTTGGGATGGTGTGTGATAAGTGTCAAGAGTAGTTCAGTGAGTTGAGTTGAATGTTAGTAGTAATGAACGTCGCTGAGTCAGTTGTTCGTGATGAGTGGGTGTGAGTCGTGATTTTGGTGGTTAGTTTGTCGTGTGGTGAGTTGTATGGTTTGTCAGTATGTAGGACGTTGTGACGTTTGGTGGGTGGTGAGTGTGGTGGTGAATGAAGGTGAAAATGGGAAGATGAGTTGGGAATGTGATACGGAGGGAGTAAAGAGTTCAGGTTTTACCAAACCCACCCACAGACCCCACCCCACCCCATCCGGCGTTTCACCCCCAATCATCCTTTGACCATCCAACCGTCGCAGACCAACCTCTGACCGACCCCTTACCGGCAAGCTGGAAAGGAAGGCAAAAGGGGGATGAGTCGACTGAATGTCACCAACCCTATATGGGGTCTCAAATCTCCAATGTCAACGTGTGAGTGAAGTCTCGTGCCGTTCTCATTATCGAGATGCAACCCGCCAAGGATAAAGACCAGATGTGACATTTAATTCCTCATATGACACCTTGGATCACTTGATCTGCACACTTGCCCACCGTGATTCACGCACTGGCCTTAGTCTTCTCCGGGTTAGGAGTGAAACGAAGGTAAGGCTGGGCCGATGAGTAGTGATCTTACTGACATGACGACGGTTACTCACATAGATAATCTCGACGTTGTCTCCGAAGAGTTTCTTGACATTTTCCCCTTGCACACTGGGGTGCACAATGACACGCTCTTCCTTTTTGCCGTTCACCTCGATGTTCCAATTGGCAGGAGTGGTGATCTGGTGTCTCAACAGGCTGACCAGACTGAAGCTACAAGACGTACCTTGTATTTGTCTCCGAGCTGAAGTGAATCTATCACACGAAGGATCTCAGGAAACGATCGTCCTGACCATTAATAATGAGCCGCAGAGGAGACAGAAGGTGCTTACCGGTCGAGGCGGGGTAGGCGAGGAACAAACGGATTTTCTTGCTGGGATCGACTTGAGATGTCAGCTCAAGTCTCCTCTACGCTGATGCTCGGAAGCTTTTCCCCGGAGGCGGAGGTGCACACAAATCCATGCGGTCTGAAAGGCACCGGATTCAATAATGAGAACTCACTGATGAACACCGTCCTCACTGTGAAGGGTAAACCCTTTGCATCCACGTTGGTAGCATCGAGATGATCGAGCATGCCATAAAGCTCCGACACCTTACGATCCTTGTCGGCGATGATTGGGAATTCCACAGAAGGGCCGTCAGGGACGAGGTGTTCAATGTCTTTCTTCCAGCCTTCGTGGGAGTTGACATCGTTGACGGAGAGACCGATGAGCTGGTATGGTCAGCACGACTGACCTCTCCCATTATTGACGGAACTGTCTTTGTCATGACTGGTAGCGGCCTCGGGGGGCAGGGCGAGAGTGTGAGTTCATTCTGGTAATGGGAGGAGCCGTAAGTCAGAACTTACCTTCACTCCCCTGGATTGGAAGTCGGCGTAAGAAAGAGCGACAGCCGAGAGCTCGGTAGTGCACACGGGAGTCTAGTTGTGAGTAACGCTGTGATTAATTTTTTTCCAAAAGGTACTTACATAGTCGTCCGGGTGAGAGAAAAGAATAGCCCAAGAGTCGCCGAGCCAGTCATGGAACTGAGTCAGTCAGTTGTTGTGCCCCTTAACATGCTCCCACACCTGAACTGGCGAATATCAAAGAAGAAAGATCGCCGTCTCGGTACTCACCTTGATCTTACCGGCCGTCGTTTCTGCCTTAAGGGTCAGAGAACATTCCAGAAAGTCAAGCAGAGGAGACTCACCTCGAAGTCGGGAGCAACATCACCAAGTCTGAGACTCATTTTGTGAAGTATTTCTATTGTTTTGTGTGGGAAAGTGTATGAGTGTATGAAATAGAGAGTGAAGAGGAGATAGTTGGAAGATGCTGGAGTAAAGTGAAAGTAAAGTATCGTTAGAGATGACGGGGAGGTTGCTAAGCAAGGCGTGACCATACCCCCACATGGCTGGTGATCGAGACATTGCACCGGCGATGGCGACATCTCGGGTTCATTTCAAAACCCTTGCGGGGTCCCAAAATCCGGCGGACCGGCGAGGCACCATGTTCCAATAGGCTCGCCAGAAGTGGTCGCACGCCTACAACACATATACAAGCTCTCGAAAGTCCGGAGAGCAAGTGACAATGGTGTGTTTGCCTCGTGACAAAGGATGATATGATCAGACTTGTTTCGCCTGCCCCAGTGATCCCTATGGTGCGGGCGTGGCTATGGTACTACGCCATGAGGCTGAGGATCAATCTTATTGACCTACAAGGTTCCGACGCCGACGAGTCCTCGAGAAGCTCAACACATCACTGCCTGACTGACTGACTTCTCACCGGACTGACCTTGCGTTTCAGAGGAAGACAATCATGGGAAATTCATCTAGCTCACCAAAGGCTGAGGTGAGTGGAGGTAGTAACAAGATGCTGGCTGATATGAACAGCCCACGAACATTCACTTGAAATTGTTGGTCGATGGAGATAGCTTAGTGGTGCGTTCGCTGTCTCTCATCCCTTCCTCTTTCCTCGAGTCTTCCTCCATGCGACTCTGGAGAGTAGGACGTCTTCACTGATAGACAGTTCCAAGGCCAGTTCATTCGACAAGGTGCCAAGGGAGGGCAGAAAGCAATCAACGAACTCCATCTAGCCTTGCAAAACATATTCACTTTACTTCGTCACGAGATGGGTGGGGCGCATATCTTGGTGCAGAGAGGCAAGATCAAAGTGCAATATCCCGATGGGGCAACCACGACGCAACATCTTACCAGACTTGTAGCGGATACGAGAGTGCTGTTGAATGTGGATTATGGTCTGGATCTACATGGCATCGTTGATAGAGAACGAGTGAGTCATTCCAGTTCCTTCTCATCGTACCCCATCTGAAGCGTTGGACCGTTAGGCTGACGAGTGGAAAAATGTGGCGCGATTCATCGAGGGGCTCAAGGCGAACAAGGCGGTTAGTCTACAAGGTGAATTGATCCTCCCCTCGTATTCTGCATAACAGCTTATATGCAGAAACCTATGGCGCAGGTCAAGGCCCAATACGTCAGTTCACCTCGTGACTATCTACAAGGAAGATATGCTGACGATAAGTGATCGCGAAATTACCTGAAAGAGATACCTATGGAACCAAGGTCATAGGGACTGAAGATGTGGAACATTGTCTTTCTGCATGTCAAGAGTCAGTTCTCTCTCTTTCTGGATTCACGCCTTACTTTCTTGCCTAGTTGCCCGGTTTCTTAACAAGTTGGTCATTCTGATCCAAGCTGAACCTCAGCCTTCTTGCGCAGGGCCGATCGGGCATCATCCTGAAGGGTACGACAGCTCCTGTTCCCGAAGCGAAACGTATGGGCATCACAGTTATCTGCCTGCCTGACCTGTTCGTGTCAGACCCGGCGGTGTCACATTTGAGAAGTATGAAGAGTGCCCCTTCTTCACCCACGAAAAAGAAACACGTCAGGCGTTGAGCCTTCTTTTCGTTGCGGTATGGAAGATGCTGGTTTCTGTACCTCTTTGGAGGAAAGCTTTGTAGTCTTTCGTACCTGCAGATTAATCGCGACTCATCTCCGTACTTCATCTGCATGTATTTTGTTACATAACATTTAGCATCGAAGACTGAACCCCTTCATGTCACCCACCCAATGTGGGGCTCCGAGACTGGCCGCCGTCTGCAAGTTGAGACCCTCCCACTCGAGGCCACTCCTCATCCATACTTGTACCACGCTCAACAATGAACGCTGACGTTGCACACTTACCTTGCGTGTACAACATGCACTTCCCTCTCATCGCCCTACAAGTTCCAACACAGGGATCTATCATTCACAACCTCTCATGTCTTTCTCGCGACCTACTCTCTCATAGCGACTCTCAATATGGGTAACACCTTCGGCGGACCTACTTTCCAAGTATGTCACAACTTCCTACATCTTCTGGTAGCTTCAGATTCCACAGCTGACGGTTAGTTACCCCTTGAACACCTGTTTATAGGGTTTGACGGTTCTAGCATCGAGGTGAGTCATTCTTTTATTCCTCCAACTGAAGATCACTACATACTGCTCTTCCCGCCACCCGCCGAGGGATAATTTTGGGGAAATTCGAACTGTTGAAGAGGAGGATCATAGTTCGAGGGAGAGAGAGTGAAGATGGTGTGACACTTACGTACAGTTCCACGAACGTCTCTTGGAAGACAGCACGACAGGTGGCGACAACGCCATGAGGTTCTTACAAGAAACTTTAACAGCCATCTTCCCCACTCTCACCGCTAATGCCGATAGCGGGATACATATCATCATAGCGGGAGGTATGATAGAGATACATACACCTGGAGGAGGAGGGGAAGGGACGGCTTTACCGAAGTTAGGTAGAGGGGATGCTGTTCCTGAAACCCATGCGATCTTCGTTCTTCCCGTCAGTCATACTGATTCCTCCTCTCTCTCTCTGCTTTTGCCCCTTGATGCCTTAATTCATCTTGCCTTCGACTAGCTTTTTCCTGTATACCAACTGCATATTTCTCTGTTATTTCTCTCATGATATCGGTTTGGATTGATCGTGTGAGGAAAAGTTGCTGATGGATTAGCATTCGTGTTGGCCGCCTGACTTCGTGACTGGTCTGAAAAATCGGACAGGAAGCGTTTCGAGTGAGCTCTTTTTTCTTTCAAATCATACCCTTCTCCACGGTAGACATTGCCGATTCGCGCATTGAGGTGAGTGTTGGAATGAAGCTGAGTGAACAGTCGAGGCTCGAGTGGACAGACCTTCTATAGAAACTCTAATAGATGTTTGTGAGTGACTTCGTTTCTCCCCTCCTCCTTACCCATCAATCTGGGAGCTTCTTGGCCGAGAAAAAATAATCTTCGTGTAGTTCACCAAGGCGCGAATGAAGACGTCTACAAACACGAGGCTCGGAAAGCTGACTACTCAGGCTCGAAACAATGGGCCGGTCCGAAATCGAAGACGACTTTGACAGTGTTGGTGACTGAAAACTTGAAGGGACTCTTACCTCGATTACCAAAGTATGTTTCATTCATCTTATTCACCACTTTATTCTTGATTCTTCCGTCGTAATTGAAGTCATTACGTTGATGTACACAGAGCTCGCCGTAAGCTGTGAGTTGGAAACATCCACGAACGCAGGGAGGGTCTCAGAGTTTTCATAAATAGCAGTCTAGAGGGGAGAGTGACTCGATATGAGGATGGTCTGTCAGGACAATGTGTCAAAGTATAGAGGACGAAACTTATGGCTAGGAGTGGGGAGACGATGGAGAGTAGATAATGGGATCGGACACCGAAAAATGCTGACCATCAGGATAAAACGTAAAGGTAGTCTCCTCATTTTGAAAGGTACAACAGACCACGATCCCGCCGCTAAACAACTTGGGGTCACAGTCATCAGCATGCCCGAGATCTTCCAATGATTCTTGAGATTTTCGACATATACCATTTACATTACACATGTTTCTGCATGGTTTTGGCAGCTAGACAAAGAGGTCTGGAATTGTTACACTCTCTTATTGTCCCCCACGTCTTATTTTGTCTCTTCAGGCTAATGTATCCCTTCGCTTTTGTGTGGAACTTACTCCCTGAGGATTAGCTGATAGACTGAACGCCCTCGTAGATCCTTCTTAACCATGCGTGCCCTCGTGTCAGTGATGCGATAGCTTGCGTGGCCTGTGACGATTTGGTACTCGAGGTACTGAAGTCTTTTGTCATATCACAGCCATCTCTTCCAGCGTCACCCTTCCTCTCACTTTGAACTACTTCATGGGACTTATCAACATGCGATCTCCTCTCAAGCATCTATCCCGGGTATTCGCTGGAATAAAGAAATACGAGCTTGAGGTAAGTATTACGTTTCTACTCCGGCTGCCTGCTCACTGTTCGGTAGCTCCCAGTCAAGCACATCTACCTCGCTTTTGATGGTTCCAGTCTAGGTGTGAGTACTTCCGTGTCCATTCGTACTCTCCACATGGCATAGTACCCCAGGATTGACTGAAATTTATGGGGTAGGGTCAAAACGCTGAATCTGTAGTTGGTTAACGAATACGTGCGGGCGGGCTCGAATGGGGGCAAGGCCGCCATGGACACAATCCGAAGCGTGTTGACGGCGATTTCTGGCTCATTACGTAGACTAGACTCCGGGGCTCATATTGTTATCTATGAAGATTGGGCTTCACCGCCGGCACAGGGACGGCTGAGGATTCGTAAGGATGATCTTCCCGAAGCTGTTCCGGGACAAGCACCCGCTCAGGTTGAGGGTGTATTATTGCTGAAAGTAGGTTATCTTTCTCAAATATTAAATCTGTATTCCATTCAGCAGTGATTTTGCGTACGGATGCTAACATTAAGAACGACGACCATTCTTCCTTCATGTCAGCTTTTATAAACGAAGCCAAAACGTCACTGGGTATGTCTTGGGTCGCTATCCCCACTACTTGACGGTCTCAGCTCACAAAACAGTCCAACGTCAAGCTGACCCTGCCTCTCTTGAGAATCTGATTGATGTCTGTATGTACCACCTCTGGTCTCCTATACATTAGTTACTGAGCTCGATCCAGGCTGGCTCTTATGGGCTGCTCCGAGACCCAAGTCTTCTTTGACGGTACTGGTCACCAACAATTTAGAAGGCATCACCCCAAAAGTCAAAAAGTAAGTATATTTCTTCTCCTCCATTGCTCATCCTGCGTTCTGACCAATATCGTCTCACGCTTACATGTCTCAGATTGAAGCAGATGGGAAAGAACATTGTTATTCTCACTGGTCGACGCCCAGACAAATTGAGTAAAGTTCTTGGTATCACCGTCATCTCGATTGAGGGCTTGTTCAAGTGACATTCCATCCTCTTCCCTTCATACCTGTTTCCCCGTACACTCATCCACGACGAAGAAATTTAATCCGCAATAACATGGAATGCACGACATGGTATCTCACTTCTCCTCTGATCTTCACTGATCCCACGCCTCGACACCACTGTTTCACTGATGTAGACCTCACGGGCAGAGTCGCACTTTCCACTCATCACTCGATGGTGGTTACTTTCAAACACTGTAAAAACAGGTGCACCATTCGCGAGCCACGTCCGATCCTTCGCTTTTCAGCATATTTGCCTGTCCTTCTATGCCTCGTGCCAATCGTTCTCGATTGTCTCAACACATCAACAACGACGGACGACGTACTTGGCTCATCTCTCCTCGGAGGATTGCCCCACCTTGGACACTGCCGGTCTCCGCCCTGGTCCTCCTATCCCTACCGTTCCCACCCTCTGACTCCACACGTCACCTCGCCTTCGCGGAATTGCAAACTCACCCTGACCCACCGCTCACCTCGTGTATCGTGCGTTCAAGCTTACGCGTCGAGATGCAAACGCGTGAGTTCGAGTATATATATGTGGCTGGTTGCTATTCCTTTTCCTCGTTCCGTTTTTCATTCTTTCTTTTTCTCCTCATCCGTTTTTCACTGTTTGACTTCCTTCCTTCACCCTTCTCAACTCTTGAGAAAAATCAGACATGCCCCTTTCATTTGGCGCTCTTACCAAGGTCATCGGTCTCTCGAATTATCTTTCGAAAAAGAAAGAACAAGAACCTGTATGTCAACCCTGTTTAAGAGCGATGAATTCCATGCTGATACCTGCACAGCCTCCGCTCAAGCGTATTTACCTGGCGTTCGATGGTTTCAGTGTAACTGTGAGTACCTATTCCCACACTCTCTTTCGTCGTACAGAGTCCTGCGTTGAATCGTATATGAATACTGGTGGTACGACTGAAGAGGAGTGGATGATCATTGAACATAGCTGATTCTCGACAGTTCCGAGGCGACTTGGTCAAGCAGGGCGCTTCTGGGGCAAAAACGGTACTGGAAACGATTTCAACGGTGATGACTGCTCTATTTCCCTTTTTGGAAAAACTTGGTCCTGGTTCACAGATGCTGGTTCGGGACGATTGGAAGTGGGTCACTGGTCGTTCCTCTCCATCAACAACGGTGAAACAAATCATCCAGGAGAAGATTCCGGATCTTTCACCTGGGCAGCGTCTTCCGGAAATGGATGCTGTCTTTCAGTTCTTTGTGAGTCTGTTCAATTTTGACCAATTTGACACACAGCTTCTCACTTCTGCCAGACTGGCGTTTCAATCCGAGAGATGTCATATCATGAAGTATGAATCAGGGCTGACAGTGAAGAGCGACGAAGCCGCTTTTTCGCCATTCATATCAGGTCTAGCAGAGAATCTGGAAGACTCGACCAGTATGTCTCAGTATCGTCTCACCCAATATACTCATGTCGAGTTGTGTTGATGTTAGGCTGACGCATAGTCCTGCGAAAGTTCAGGCTTTTGTATGTTGAGGGTCTGATCGATATCTGTATGTCCGTGTTCTATCTTCTCAGGACGTTGCTTATATTCTCTCAGGTAGGGCTATATGGGCTACACCGACAACACACGACTCGTTGATCGTGTTGGTAACGAATAGTCTTGAACATGTAGCTGCGAATGTGGACAAGTAAGTTTTCTATAAGTCTCATCACAATCTCCTCCAGGTGTCGAATATCATCGTTCTGGTCTGACAGTGCGAATACGCGTCTTCGCTTTCGATTACTTATAGAACTAGATTGAAGAAAATGGGCAGGAACGTAGTCATTGTCACCGGTCGCCCGAACAGTGAACTGGGCGGAGGATTGGGGATCACCGTGATTGAACTTTTAGGGTTGTTTGAAGAAGCTCGAAGAGGAGGTCCATCGTAGTGATATTCCTCTTTATCACTCCTGTATGTCGTAGGCCTACTCTCTTTTCATATGTCCAGGGTCAAAATTATGTCAAGAGAAAAAGATAGGAAGTACATAATGTAGTTGCATCATGACATGATAGAGTATCAATAATATCTTGTCAGACGTGTGTCGTCAGTATCATTAGCCTATCTTGCACCGATATGGTCAAGGGTCGTGGTCGTAGGGATCAGTATGCCATTGCCTTCCCAACGCAATTCATACTCCCAATAAGGATCTGGGAAAACTAGGATGTGAACTTGGGTCAAGTGAGTGCGTTGTGAGATAGGTAATTAGGATATGAAATAAAGACGAGCGCGATGGAAAAAGTGGAGGAAATTGAACGCGTTGGCTTGTAATTTACAACCAAACTCAACATCCATCATCCTTTCTTCTCATCATCTCTTTTCTTCACTCTCTCGCGCAGGTAACATGAATAATCCTCTACTCGCTATTCAGGTCAGTCATATGAAAGAGCTGGGCATCTGAACTGACGATCAGAGCCAATATTGGGCCGTGAGGGATTACCTCTCCCCCGTAAGTCGTCGCCACCCAAGGCACACCCCGACACAGCGCTGATCATAGGTATTGAAAGAAAGCAAATTCAAAGAGCATGGAAGGATCACTCCTGGTATATTACCTCGTTTTATTCTATTCCACTCTCTCATATATCATCAAATGTCAAAATTGACATGTATGTTGTGATGTGCCCCGGTGCTGTGCACGAGCCTCATGGATGAGCTGACGTTTCAGAGGAATTCGTCGCGGCTGGAGATTTCCTGACTTTCAAATTCCCTGTATGGCAATGGTACGTGAAGATCATGTATATGAAATTCAGCTTATGGGTCGTAGGGAGAAAGGTGATCCCTCTAGAGCTAGAGACTTCTTACCTCCCGACAAACAATATTTGATTACTCGGAATGGTATGTTGTTGTCGATCATCATATCTCCTTTCATGTGTTCAATCTCTCATCCATGATGTAAACTACATATATTCGACACAGATTGAAAGTACGATGCTGATGTTCTAGTACCTTGTTTGAGACGTGCCACAGCTATCAACTATACCGATGCCGACGAAGACGCAGAAAAGCTCATGAGTTTTATGGATGAAGCTGAGGAAGCTCCTGGACCAGATGGAAAACCTAGAAAGGCGGAGGATGAAGATTGGGTTGCTACTCATATCGGTCGAAGTAGGTCTCACCAACTTTTCTCACATTTCATATGACAGATCTGTGACGTCTTGTGACAAGGAGTATCCGAAGTGATAAGAGTGGTCAATTGATGGACAGCATCTCACACAGGAAATCCAACCAACATGACTGAAATCCCTGATATTTCCGATTCACCTCCCCTTCCACCGAAAAATATCCCTACTGAAGGATTAACCGATCTATCTCTGGATGATAAACCTTTACCACCTCAAGATGAGATACCTGATATCGACGATATACCCGATATGGATGATGAGGGTGCTGGGTTGGAAGATGATGACGATGATGCGGCAGTCAGGATCGTACATCCTTCAGCGTATGTCAAACCTCCATCCCTGATCTTGATGGCTCATGTCCAGAGCCGAGGTTCAATCTGCCGCTGGTCAGAACTTGTTACAAGTACGAACGTACGATTGTTTGATCAGTTATGATAAACATTATCAAACTCCTCGTTTCTGGCTCTTTGGGTATGACGAGGTGAATCATCCTCTACTTCCTACGACTTCCCATTATGTGTCTAGCACTCTTTACATACAATAACGCACTGGAACCCCTTAAGTCATCATGGATGTCAAGGCGGTGGATCGGGAAAGCATGATTCAGTGAAGGTAGACAGGAAATTGACGGACAGAACAAACAAACACTCACTCCTGCACAAGTATTCCAAGATGTGCCCGCAGACCATGCGTTCAAAACGATGACAATGGAAGCTTTTCCTCATTCTGGCCAACAATTAGCCTCGGTCCATCCATGCAAACATGCGAGTGTCATGAAGAAGTTTATCGATCGTATGGAGGCAGCCCAGAACCAGGGTGAGGATACGAAAACTACCGCTGCGGCAGGATCTAAGAAAAAGTGGGGATTAGGTGGAATGGTCAGAAAGGTCACAGGGTCGGAGAAACCAAAAGAGAAGGAAGCGAGTGCAGAGGACGAAGCTACGGGTTTGCAAGTGGACTTTTATCTGGTTATTGTCAGTCGTCCGTCCTGCCAAATAGACATCAGAGCTGACTTGAAAGTTCCTCAAATTCATAGCCAGTATAGTGCCGACCATCGAGGTGAGTTGTGAGGGTCGGGAAGGGTAAATAGCTGACAGCTCAGGTGGACAGTACTACCGCTACCTCACTCTGATATTGATTGAAAGAGAGCTTTTGCTTGTTTGACGAATAACGACTATACATCACAAAAATGCCATTATGTATACAACTGTTCATCCCTTATTATCGAGGAAAACTGATGCTCAAACTATTGGCACGGCGTGATCGACTCCCACTTCTTTTTGACATACGATAATATGCGGCCCCAGGCAGATCATTGAAAGGTGACATCGACGATATAGCGTCTCAATCATGCGCGTTTGGTACAGCTCGAAATCGACAACGCCTATCAAAAAGGGTTAGACGGCTCAATTTGAGTAAGATATACTCACCCTCTAAGCTTGCACCGTTTGCCTAACGGACACGTATGGCTTGGACATGATCAGCTTGAGACGAAACCGTGAATGAGCTCACCTGAAGATACACTTCGCCTCATCTGAACATTTACCATGTTTGTAACTCAAACACGGAAGGTTCTTTGCCAGTTTTCGTACATTCTGTAATTCCTTATCACTGAGTTCTGCTCATTAATGAACCACATTCATCTTATATGAGAGGTTATATGGCCTACGTACCACGATCATGAAAGCATTCACTTTCATGTTCCTCTTCACCCATTTTGATACACTTTCCCTCTTTTGAAATTAGTATGACAGTAATGGGGTAAGTTGTGACTGACTGAGATAGTACCTGTATGACATGAGCGATCTTCAAGGACAAGTTAGGATAATGAACGTACCAAATACAAGGCTTAACCTCTTGGGTACTTCTTGAGTAGGTTTTGGGAATGACTTGTTTAGGTTTCGAATTTGTCACCGTACCAACAGACTGTTGGAGAGATATGTTTGACACTTCGCTAGCTTTCTTAGGGAGAGATTTTGCCGGGTCCACCAGGGAAGAACGTATTTTGAGTGGTGATGTTGAGTTTGGAGCCGCAGAATCGGTATCAACAGCCGAAGCGACTACGTGTTCGACAGGATCCGGCAATTTAGCTCCCACATGATCACTGAACACTTGGGGAAGAACAAGCGTTTTCATACCAAGCGCATGAATACTGTAAGCGGACCTGCTCAGCCCTCGCAACAGGAGAAGTTTACCGAATGTTGGTTTTGATTGTAAACTGAGTTGATCAGTGACGGTCATGAGCATATGGAAGTTCTCATGATTATATGTGATAGGATGACGACTCACTCGGTGATAGTGGAAGTGAATCCTCCATCATGACAGATACCAGCAAATATGGTTTTGCAATTCGGAATCTCGATGTAATGTTTCAAGTAAGCTAACGATCAACCTTGTCACTGTATGAGAAAGAGGTGAGAGTGCGTTGGTCAAACAAGATGTCTGAATTTACCTTTGATCTTTTCATCGGCAGCCTCCTTTACACCGCCAACATCGATCACTATGATTAGAGAATCATACCAAAGCATGTCAATCACATGATGTAAAAGTCATCATACCTGTGAATAGCCGCTTAGACCGAGAAAAGCCTTCACAGAAATCATCAAAGACTCTGTCCGAGATACCCACAATCTGTCACAAGTCAACATGGAAGACATTATCGGGACAACATACATTATTAAGAGCCTTTCGAAGTCCCTTCTTGTTCATGAAAATATGAACGATGATATCGAGCTCTTGATCAAATATATATTTCGGCCGAGCGATCCTACGGACTTGTCTTCCTTGTGGGTGAATGATCTCTGTCAAATTGACTTGTACATCGCCTTTTGTCACATTGAGCGTCTCAGATACCTGCAGGAAATCAATCACAGCGGTTTCCAGCTGGCGTCCAGCTTCCAAACCACCTTTGATACCTCCCTTGATGAGGTCGTACTTGAACTACTGTATCAGAGAGATGAAAGCGTTTAAGGGAGTTGCTCACGAGGAGATTGTCACCGTCGATAAGAGCTACGGCAAATTCTTTCCTATTCTGACATGCGTCCAGTCTGGAGCTCTGGATGGTGGAAGAGGTGCCATCGAGTGGTCGTTCTGCAGTGAGCGAGTGATTGACCGAAGTAGACGCCAGTTTTGAGATGGGAGTTTGAGAATGCGGTTGGTTGACGATGGGAGTTGAGGAAGAATGATTCTCTGAGGGTTCAGTATCGGTGTCAAGACGTATGTGACCCCTTCCGTCTCCCCAGCTACATGTATTACCCATGGTCGCACGCTCGCAGGATATCCCCTTTCAGCATACGAAAACTCGCAGAGAAGAGGGAGGAGAGATAGAATCAGAGTCAGGTAGCTGTCAGCACCTAATCAAACCATCGATGAGTCATCCTCATGGTAAGGGCTAGCCTCGTGCTGGATCCAGTAGAGTATCTGCTTTGTGTTCTTGGTGATCAGAGTGTACATAGATAGCGAGAGTAAGCGACAGAAGTTTGGGACCCTCAGGTCAAACCGGGGAGAGACGAATGTGGCATGTGGCACTTTGCTGAGTGTGGCACTTTCCAAAGCTGACACTGATCGCGCGCGCGGCACAGTAAGCTCGGAAAATCACTCGTGCGGCTGCGTCTTTTCAATTGGACTGTCTCTGACGAACCGACAACGGACAATACTCAGACTGTGTCAAACTGGAGTGGCGGAGTGGGTATGGTGTCAAGATAAGCGAATACAAGATAAAGGACCGTCTCACAATCCTGAAGGCACCGGGTCGGCTTTGAACAAACGGCTCGGGATCCGATCTAAACACGTTTGCGGTTTTTGTTCACATTTCATCAACCATCCAAGATATCAAGATTTACCCCATTGAGTCTCTTCAATGGACTAAGACCTTCAGGGTAAATCCGAATGATCTACTATATATCCCAAATTGCGGACGAGTGCTTCCGACGTGGGCCTCATAGTGAGACATCTCAGTCAATGTGTAAAGAGGTTGAGCGGTGGCCGTGGATGACGAGTAGACACGAATGTCACTGAATTATATCGAATCTCAATGATGATCCCTCCAAAATAAAGTTAAAACACCCATGCCTCTTTTCAAGCCCCCTCGTCGTCATGTTGACTAATGAGAACAAGGAGGCCGCTATCTATCGACGTATCGAGGGCCCGATTCGGAGCATTGAATAATAGTTCGGAATTAAAGACTTAAGGATGGGGATCAGAAACAGGCACAGTTCACTGCCTAATAGACGTCGTACGCCGAGGAGGGCGATCATTTCCTCTTTCTGTCCTTGGATCCGTGGGAGATCTTTGGGGAACCCATTTGGGCTAGTCAAAGGAGGGAGATGGGATTGCCATTGACGTCAGAGCTCATGTCCCTTGACTACTGTAATTGTCAGCCCCCCCACGCGCGGACGTGGTCAAGGAGGAACGTCGTTCACACTCTGTGTGAATTCATGAAAATCTCACAAAGAGCCATCGGACCATTCGGGAAGTGTACATTGCAGATCGGGCTGGCTGTGTCGTCATCTCAACCCCCCCAGCAAGTCGAGATATGGTACCAGCTCGGTTGTTGAGATATTGCCACACATCATACAGGGTAGTTATGATAGGAACTAGGAACCAGGACAACTCACTAATTCTCGCAGATCCGCTCCAGGCCTGCCGCCAAGGCGAGAGGTCTAAGCTTGGGTCCGTCACTCTGATATCCTCCTTGCCGGCCTTCGGCACTGAACTTGAGTCATGTGGATTTTGTCAAGGGCGGATCTTAGATCTCAGAAGGGATTCCTGTAATTGATCAAAGCCAAAGTCATACTGGCTCGGACCCTTCGTCCTGGATCCAAGTGGCGACAGCTTGCAGTAAGAGGCATTAGAGCGGAGGAATGCAGAAGCAGAAGGGCGTACGTAAGACTGAATTGAAAAGGAGGGGATTTGTTGAAAAGTAATGAGCTACCCAGATGGGGTAAGTGTGTCAGGTTCCTGGTTCGGTTTCAGTGATGGACAAATGTAATTGATGGTGGCTTGCACACATTGTTAGCCGAGGAGGAGGAGCGCGGAGCGAAGGGTGATCGTCCTCTGACCCGCTGTGCTCGGGTGAGGGCCAGTTTGAGGGAAGTGTAGGGCGTCGATGGAAGATCCCAACTCTATCAGACTAACAGAGCTAAAACATCAGTCAGGACAAAATCAAAGAAAAATTGACCAAAAAACGCACGTCCCTCCACCTCTCTCGCCTTCGTCCGTCCCATGGACGTCGCCGTACCGCGTACCGTCTTGTTCCGGTAGATGGGATACCGTGCCACCATGACAACATTTTCATCCGAATCGCTTTGATTTTACTTAGCTATTTCATTTCCTTTTGTTCCATCCTTTCTTCCTATCTTACCACTCTCTGGCTTGATCGGCTTGTTCATCATCTCTTCTCGGCTGCCTACTCAACCACTCACCGACCATTACTCTTCAACGCCCCCCGACGTACCCGTGTGAGACCACTGTGAACCCAACTGAGCAGTGACCCGACACATCCTCCGCCCCTCGCTCGTCATGCAATATCACCCATCTTCATCTTCATCTTCATCGTCATCGCCATCGTCAATCGTACCATCCTTCCATTGGTCATCCCTCTTGGAAGCTCTCTAATCATCGCCCAAACTCGCAGCAGGGGAGTACGATCGTCGAATTCAAAATCTTCAACTTACAAGATTGTCATTCCACTACTCACAGATCTCTGTCCATTTAATCTGGTTTCCAAAGGTCATCATTGGGTGAGTACCATCTTCTCACTCTCAGAACTTTCATCCATCATCCCATGGTCTAGGAGCCGGGGCGTAAGAGAGGAAAAAGGTCAGCTGGTAGACGGCAGTCGCAACCCTTTCCAACCACGACTACGTCAGTCTTTTGCCATCATCACTTGATACGTCCCAGCCCCCAATGTGACCACCCTCACTAGTCTAGAGCTCGGAGCCTTTACTAGATTCAGTCTGACAAGCTTCTGGTCACAATGGTAGTAAGACAAGTTATCGTAATACGGCTGTGAAGAGTCGTTGCTGTGGGCAGTCAAAGGCGAAGGTCAATTGTACTTCCCCTCAGCGCCCTCATCCCCTAGTCAACTCGACAGTCCTTTGAGGCTTCCACCTCCCTTGATCATAAACTATCTCCCTTGACCTCGCTATTGCTGATGCGAGAAAGTGGGTGGGGGTAGTGTCGAGATTGTCCACTAATACTTTCATCATCCTTGCCGCTGATACGAGTCTTAAGCATGTGATCTCTGTCGTACCCTCATTTCGTTCGGCCCGTCGTGTCCCCTTTTTTCTCGTTCATCCTTTATTTTACTGTTTGGGCAAGTCCGAGCTGACCGGCAAGAGGCTTTAGCCAGAGGCCAATACATACAATATCCTCACGACCGGCGACCAACGGGAAATGACTCGACTAGGACCTCGATATCAACCGCAAAACAGTAATCGATGACACGCGGCATCCTCATTAAGCCGAGCAAATTAACGACGACAACGACTTCATTGATATCAAACCCCGTGGTGCCTTCCTGTCGTTGACCCCGTTGATGACCTTAAATTTTCCGCTGCTGGAATATCTGCCTCCTTTTCCCTTCTTTGTCAAAGTCCCTACCTTGGTGTTCTCAACATCCATTACTCGACACCCTACACCTGTTTCGACTCATCCTTGAAGCTCACCTTTCTCTAGACCCACCTTCATATGACGATCACCTCTCTGCTCCTTCTATATTCTCATCCGGATCTGATACTCCTGCAAAGGGTCACTCTCACTTCTATCGTCATATAGTAATTGTCCTCGGGTCCGACTCACAATCCAACCGTTCACTCCAATCCGTGCGACACAAGAGAAGCGCCGAGTTCCTCCATTGTTGGTCGATCGAGGTGTTTTAAGTGAGGTTCCGGTGAGCAGCCGTCCTACCTTTCATGCAATCCCCTCTTAACTCCGTATGCAACCCTATTCCTGCGCGCACAGGGTGATCAAGACCAATGATATGGTGGCCGAGTGTCTCATACTTGCCTTTCAAAGGAGAAGTAATCGGGTCTCGATCAGTTTCTAATCGGTCCGAAGCTCGCGTGCCCTTCAATTGTCCTACGCTGATAGCTCCGTTCCCCCTGGTTATTATGGTCGAGCTGACGATCACTTAGTCCTTCGACTCCCCACATATTCATCTCAAGTAAAACCTCGGTCTGTCGGCGTCAGATGTGAGTCCTCTGGCTTGACATACCCCATGTCCGAGTTGAAACAAGGGGAGCGAATGACTTACCTGTAGCAGTCGCATAGATCTCGACATTGGCCTTCTTATTACCTCTCTTACAAACTTCCCACCGCTGGCCGCTCTACCGAGAGGCTTCGAAGTCGTGCTGTTGTCTGCAAGTAGCTACCGCGCCTCATTTTCATCGCCCGACCCGCACCTAACTTATGTCGAATTTGCTCGACCTTTGAGATACTCCAAGTCATCGCCGAGAGGAAGAAAGGGGTGCCATTAATCGACCGCAGATTTTCACGACTTGAAGGTAAGCCGCCCTTTCCTGCCATCAGCCGCTTTTTCATTGAGTTTCTGGACCAATCATTGGGAATCTGGTACCTTGCTTCCTGTTCTATTTTCCGTCCCCTACAGAGAACACGATCAATATAGATTGGATAGAGACTAAAGTATCAGTTCATTCTCACATTTTGCCTGCAGTCTAGCTTCAACAGTCCGGCTCGACCAGCTCGGCAGTGAGGCAGGCGGTCACTCCAATCATCGTCCCAGGTGCTTCATTAAGCATTCATTTAGTACAAAGTGAGTGTCTGCATCTCCGCCCTTCTCCCCGTTACCCTGTCCTATCGCGTCTGCAGGACTCGATTGAGGGTGTACAGATCTGTCATAATTCTCCTATCAGATCCGAAAGGTGCCGGAAAGGCCCTTCATCCCAATTCTCCGATTTTCCTCACCCGCTGTTCCATAGTAGAATCGCGTCATATACATGACTGCGTATCTTCTGGGACATATCCAGGATTGACATCACTTGCTGTTCATTTCTTCCGGCTCTATTCAGTCGAAGGGGCTTATTTGCCAATTTATCTCTGCTGTCGCCTTCAACAAAGCGCATAATATGGAGCTCACAGCTGACTCAACAGCGTTGAGCGATCTGCTTGTCTCACGAGACCAGAGGTGAGTCACTGTCACATAGTCAGCCGTTGAATGATTGTCGACTGATAAAACAGAGTCGTTCTCCCCTATTACCCTATACAGGGCTCCCGACGGTACCTGCGACAGGCAGGAGTGAGATCGCTGAGGAAAACCCGCAAGCTGAATCGAGCGGTGGACTTTTGCCTGATCGAGTGAAACGGAACCCAAGGTCATTCACCGTTCATTGGCGACCCATATGGAACCTCAAGCTTCTCCATCATCGTCCAGATATCGGACTGAACCCATGCGACCCCCTCCGGCCATCATGTTCCCTCCCATACTCAGACCGCCATCCCCAGCGCGTCCTCAAACTCAGCCGCCTCGACCTGAAGAGCGACCTGACCGTACCGTAGAGCCTATCGCCTGGGAGGATGAGCGACCTGCTCCACCGATACCATATCGCAAACCTCCTCCCGGGGCTGCTTATGTTCCACCGACCGACCGACGATTTGTCGAAACGCCTCTCACATGGTATGACGCGGAAAAGGATCCTGGAGTGGCTCACTGGGAAAAGAATCGGCATCGCAATCCTCTTATTTCTCGCCCGGTACATCGTCCGGCGACATTCGTGCATCCTTATTCTCGGCGAAATGGGGAGGATGACGATCGCCAAAAGGAGAGGGAAGCTCCTCCCCTAGACGAGGATTTGGCGAGACACTCAAGATCAGGTCCATCGAGTCAACCGGCGAGATTGAGCTGGCGTCCTCCATCACCCTCTGTGGCTCAAGGTATTGTTCCTGCCCCTCGTCCGCCATTTGTGCGAACCGGGGAGTCCTCTCCTCCTCATTCCTTCAACTCTCATCAATCGATGAAACCTCCCCAGTGCCCGTACGACCTGCCACGCACGAGTGTATCCTCGTCTCACATATCTGGCGGCAGCGTACATGGCTCGACTGTCTTTGCGCGTTCTTTCGCAGGTGAATCAGGGCTTTCTCACCGACCATCACAACATGCAGGAACGTCCTCACATTCTTCCGTGACCGACGAAGGATCAAACCCTCAGAGAAAGCGGTCAAGGGCAATGATGACGAAGATGCAGCAGGGGGAGTTGAAGAAACTTTGGAAACAGGTAAGCGCACCTCATTTGTCATGCGCACGACTTCGAATACTGGTAGAAGCAGAATGCTGACAGTAGACCAAATTTCCCACGAATCAGCAAAGAGAGGATCTCCACAAGCACATTTCCCTCACCTCTCGACAAATTCAAGTCTGGTTCCAGGTACTTCCGTCTTCATACTTGTTTCATGCGCTTTGCTGACATGATAGAATCAGCGACAAAAATACCGGAAAGAGCTGGCTGAACATGGGATGCCTGATAATGCTGACCCGGCCGACTATGCGGATCTGGACAAATCACCCCGCTCCAGACGACTCTCGTTCGACGTCATGCGTGATGAGGTGCCATCTCTATGGGCTGGCACGACTGCAACGACCACCAGTCTCGCTACCAGTGCTCAACCCCCAATGTTACAGATGCCCAACGGAAGTTTGGCTCCGGCTTATCAAAGTATGTTGAATCACAAAATCCCGCATGATTTGACGCTGACTTCCAGTGCCGGATCCTAGGCGGTACATGAACGTGGGTATACACGCACCATTCTCCTCTCCACCAGAGTCGATTCAACAGACCAAATTCTGGGATACGCCAAATGTGCATCACTTCAATGCATCACACCACACCGACCATCCTGAGCATGCCGACGAGCCTCCCGATCCAGCACAACTGTATGCTCATCCCGACTTCCAATCATCCTATCCATTATCCCGTCGAGCTGCTGAGGACGCTTATGGACGTATGGACTTTGATATGGAAGAGTCGCCCACACATGCTATGCCACCTCCTCATCGATTACCACATCCCATTCCACCACTCCCTTTCTCACCTCCTCCTACGGCCGAAGGACTTCCTGCTCGGGCAACACAGAGACCTGCATCTAGTCCTCGACCATATCCAGAAAGGGAGAGAGGTCGATCTGTAGGCCACGCAGCCGACGATCTACAACTTCACGAAACACGTCGACCCCAATATCTACCTCCTACTCTTGCCGCTTTGGCACTCAGCGGTCCGGTTAAAAATCATGACGACTCTCTAGGCGGAAGACTGCCTTCACTCAATGATTCAAGAATGATGACAGCAAGTCAACCACCACGTTTACAACTGCCCGATCTGAGGAGCGGAAACGATGCTTTCGATAGAGCCTTACCGCCACCTTTACCCAGTCCGAGAGGTACGACGGGACTGAGACCCATGACGACATTGTCTGATTCTGTAGAGATGATACAGAGGAAAAGAAGCGATAGTACACATAGCGTGTTACAAGGTTTGACATCCCAAGATAGCTCTTCGATGGCTTTAGGATCTGATCGATCGAAGGAGAATGAAGGAACGACATTACCTTCACTCAGCTCCATACTTCGGTAATCCCAATATCACAAATAATATATTCAATGATCAACACAAGATCTTCCTCTTCATGTCAGACAGACGATCTCTTCTCCCTTTGGTCCGAACAATTTCCGGATCCGCGCTGATAGATTACCTATTATACTCGTCTCCGAGATCTCCGACACACCATGATAATTATTTCAATTTCATTTCGCTCAAGCCACAAAATTGTCGATCGTCTCACTTTGCATCACACCACCATCCATCTCATATGCAGATCTCTCCGTATGGAAAATCAATCTTTTCAATCATTTTCTATCAATTGTTTCACCTCTTTTTCGACTTTCCTTGTCCTCTGTATCCCAGATCCCCTCTCATCTCCACTGTGTATATCCGTCGTATCCGTCCATCTTTTACTAGCCCGAATGCGGGGGAAAATCCACATACACGTTCATAGATCATCCGTCGTATCATCAACATAGAGGGATTGTGGGTTGGATGTGCAATATTTCTGTTCTGTTCAGGTCTAGGATGATGAGAATGCAGCCTTTGTCAGAGAGTCCCAAATTGATATCAATCACTGAAAGCTGGTGGTGATCTTGGCAAATGTACGACTTGTACAGACGTTAGATAAGCTGCGTACTAATATGGTGGCGCGATCAAGTATCATGAAACACAATGCATGGTTGACTGACGATGAGGGTATACAAACAGACCAAAGTCTATGCTATAAAACTATTTTTGACTCCTTGGCATTTGTCGTATCGTTGAAACTTCCTTTTTATTCCCGTATCCGTGATCGAGCAAATGAAGCAAACAAAATGGAAATACAGAGAGAAAGAGAGAGATTCAGAGAAAGCTGACCTTTCCATCTTTCAAGGAATATCCAACAAATCTCCAACTTTAGACAACAGTTCTTCCACCTTTAAGGGACTCGATCCATTCAGAGTAAGCAATTCTTCATGTCCCTTGACGGCCTTGATAGCTGCTCGAACCCTTGTTGATGGTATCTTGGGTCTACGTTCCATCACATAATCCACCAAATCATCCTCTGTAACCTGCTTCAACCCCACATCATCGAGAAAACCGAGACAGACTCACCAGAAGGTTGAGATCGGGAAAGATGAATGTCGCTACAATTGGAATTGGCACAATGTCCTCCTGCCGCTTCCGCCGAACAGATGACAACATCAGGCGTTCGTTTAAGTCGATTGGTCAGTACGATACTATCTAACAAACCTTGATCCACCTCTTTGAGAGATTGACTACCCAAAAGGAGATTCAAAGGAGGTTTTGCAGTGGTTTCGTCGGTCATATTGACATCTTGACGAGTCGACGCGAGGTTGGAGAATGCCGAAGAGATGTCAGAGGTAAGTAAGGGATATCGTCGGATGAGGGGTTGGTAAGGTCGGAAAGGAGACTTGAAAATCTCAGCTCGGTACGACTATGGGACGTACGTCGATCGATTCCGGAGCTGAGGTAGCAACGGCGACAGCTACCGCTGACATTGGCGTGTCTTCATCAGGTGTCGTATCGATGTTAGGGTCGGAATGTGACACCACCGAAATCTATCATTAGCTCTACCATAGGTGGAATGTAGGAGTTCGAGTACCATACCTCGACCGCAGACGATTCAAGATCTACTGTGGAACATCAGTACGCCCAATATTATGTTCGAGGATACCAACCTTCGTCACTAGGCATCACAGGCGATTCTAGACCATCAGATATCCCAGGTACAATTACGAACGTGCAGACTCACCGGGGGTATCAATGAACATATCGTCCGACTCCGTCTTAGCGGGCTCTGAGACGCCATGACCTGAGTTAGTCAGTGGAGAAGGATGATGATGAGGGTATAAACACGAGATGCAACTCGCCATGTTGTAGGACATCCTCCTCCGCAGCTTGTAAAGCCGCCTGGGCGATTTCGATCGCTGCTGTATCCGCTGGGGTATCAGAACCCTCTTTCAAAGGGGTACTTCCCCCACTCGCAGCTTGTAGTCGCTTCAATTGTCGTGCTTTCATCCGCTCAGCGATCTGTTCTTTGAGCCTTCGTATGTTCTCCTCCTTTTCAGCGATGATGCGTGCTCTTTCAGCCTCAGCCTCCGGGTCCGCTTCCGGAGATCCGACCGTGGGAGTTGCATCGTCATCGTATTCACTATCCGAGTCGTCGAGCTGTATCAGCAATTTCTGTGGACGTTGCGGCACACCTCCGAAGACCCGGCGTTTGATAGTACGGGATGCGATGGACGTGGGTCGACCTTCTAGATCCTCAGCGTTGGGTCGTTTAGTGCCTCTTGTGGAGCGGAGACTTGGTAGGGATTGGGTGAAGGCAGGTGCAGGAAGACTGGAGTCAAAGAGAGACGACTGATCAAGCATGGGTGGGGTGATTTCTCCGTCTTCACGGGGGTCGACGTCCATGGGCGTTTGCTCGTCTGACTGGGCACCTAACAACTCTCGCTCGAGATCGGCCATCAAAGCATCCACTGACTTCTCTATCCCCTCTGGCGGTGATTCCTGTGGTGGACTCTGGCGATTGGTAGTAGGCGTCGGTGTGCCCGAGTCAATGTCCATACTGTTGTTGACCTCGGCCGCCGCGACCTTGGTTGCTCGTCGTGCTTTCATGCTTTCCAACAACTTACGTTTTGTCTCTGACAAGAAGTCCGCGGTGGATTTATCAAGAGCGCTCGCAGGGGGAGAGGGTTGTTTGATTGGCGCAGGCGGTGATGGCTGAGGAGGAGGAGCAGGAACGGGTGTAGACAAACGGGGCGGAGCAGGTGCAGGTGATGATGGGTTGGAAAAAACAGGAGCTGGTAATGATGCAGAGAAAGAGAGAGACGTTGACGACGGTTTAGCAGGAAGAGCAAAGACGGGCGATGACTGGGTAGAAAACCGCAAAGCGAGCGGGGCTAGCGGTGGTGCAGTGGCTGGAATGAGAGGACTGGTATGTGGGGGTGTCGGAGCGACGGGTGGAACTTTGACGCCTTCAGGCTCTGCACGAGATTGCCCTCCTCGTTTCTTTTTGCGCATCGACGCTGGTCCAGTGGGTGGTTTGATGGTCTTGTCTCCAAGCCTGGAAGCTAGGGAGACGGCAGCTGGTGACAAAGGAGCGGCCGAGCTAGCCGCAAGAGAAGATGAAAGAGTTTCTGATATGGGTGGGATGGGGGAAGCAGAACCAGATGAATGGGGTGGGGAACGATGACGCCATTTGTCCACAGGGCTAGGACCTTCTATGCAAACAGCAGGAGGTGGCCCAGCTCCCTGTTCCTTAGATACCGGTGGTGGAGCCCAAGACGAGCTGGGTCGCAACGGAGCATTCAGAGGTGGACTGAGGTGTTGAGCGGTGGCCTTTTCTACATCCATCTCTGATAGAACACTGTCCTTTCTTACGCTGACTGAGACTTGTATTTCTGGACTGAGAGACTGACGTTTTGTGCGTTGCGAAGTGGCTGTGCTTGGACCTCTGCTGCTGGATCGCTGACGTTTGGCATTAGGTTCACGAGTTTCCAACCATAATTCTCGCCGACGTTGTTGACCATTGACGATCTCTTCGCAAATCGCAATGACGTGATTGGCCCCTACGCCTCGCTTGATGAGAGCTTCTGGACTGACGCCTTGAAGGAGGATTTCCAATAAAATTTCGCGATATTGCTTGACTTCATGAGGTGTCATTTCTGAACCATTAGCGCAGATCATTCAAATTCCAGGAGGAGACACATAGGGGACAAGAGGAAGTGAGTGACTTACCATCTGGGGGTGGAGGCAAGGACATTTGTCTTGAAGAATTCGGTGATGGCATCTCTGTCTCTGTTGTCGATGTTGTAGGAGGTTCATTTACAATGGGCGTAGGTTGAGGTTTCGGGGTGGAAGATTCTCTCGTTTGAAGTATTTCCACAGGCGTATCTGGGACATTGGGTCTTGACGACCACAAAGGTGATGGAATGGGTGTCGAGTTTGAAGGGGAAGGATAACGATACGGGTTATGCATTGGTGGTGGTGGTGGGGGAGGAGAAGATTCGATAGGAGTGAGCATTTGAAAGACCTGACCATCGTCTTCTAAATCATCATCATCACTGATCTCACCTTCTTCTTTTTCCTCATCCCGTTCTTTCTTCGGATTATTAGACCTACTGACGGGGTCATTGATCATCACAACCCTTGCGACAGACGGTACGGATGAACCCATATCTGCGGACTTCATATACATAGGTTCTGAGTGTGGCAGATTGGGGATGGGTTGAGGACCACGGGAGTCAATAGGTAATGGTCGAGATGAATTGGTGATTGTCGCAGAATGTCGAGAAGAAGAAGGGAGTGAATTGGAAGGCGACATAGATCCATTGTCCGTATTTGAAAACTTGCCTTTGACGTTACTACGAAGGGCTGTAGCTCTGAGAGAAGCCATATTGGGACCTCTGTTTGGACCTGATGGACCTAGAGAAGACGGTCGTGAGGAAGAAGATGTCATAGGAGAAGGATGATGAGGAAGAGGTTGTAATGGTGGACTGGCGCTGGCGCTCATACTTGACGACGTGGAGCCCATGAACGGATGGTTGATGACAAGATATTTTCTAAACCAGGAGTTGAACGGTTCACATTTGTTGATTTGGAATACTGCAATGATCAGAAGTTTACCTATACCTTTGGAAACTATAGAATGAGGGGGAAACTAGTGGGGTCGATGGAGAGAATGAGGAGGGTGAAAGAAGTTTGAGTAAGAAAAAAAAAGATGATTGGGAAAGGGAGGAAACAAAACGGTCTGTGCACTTTGACGAAACCCAAAGTGGCAATGTGGCGTTCTGTCACTCTAGTCACTCTGTACGATGGATCGCAACCGAGTTCATATGACATGTAGCAAGCAGTAAGCAGCAAGCAGTACAGCGTACGAGTACATACTACCATGCACCACGAACAACTCGGCTTGATCAACCAGATGACATGCCCCCTAAGCTTCTCAGATCATCTTCCTCCTCATCCTCCCCCATCACATACCCATAATCATTCTCATCCGCCCCTTCCTTCTCAACATCCCCATCAACCAAAGACCCTTCTTTATCCTCATCAGCTTTTTCGATCGTATGTTGGTTCAAGCTACGTCGCATACGCTTTGTCATTCGACTTTCATCTGGACCGGTCCCATCCCAACCTAGAAATTTGGCACATTGTTTGGTTCCCCAATCGTAAATCCACCAAGCGCCTGCTTCTGGGTTTTCCGGTTCATGATCGTCAAATGGCCATACATCTGAGCGCAGATGAGATGCGACATAAGGAGCTTGATCAGCTCGGATCTCCGATTTGTTATCTTCGTAATATTGTCGTAAAGCTTTGGGCGATAGGTCATAATCCTGAGCGTCAGCTTTTGCTTCAGAAGTGATAGCCGCATTCTATCTTCAAAGAGCGCAAAGATTCAAGTGCAAGAGCAGGTCTTGGAGTCGACATCTTTCGAAATGTCCCAATGGCTCATGGGAAAGCAGTCCATTAGGCGTAAAAGATTATGTCGTCGTAAGTACAATGAATGAGGTATCGAAAGGCATGAAAACGGGATAAGACAAGGAAGAAAGAATTGAGAATGAAGAAGAATCACCACTCACCCGACCAGTTTCCCAAGTAGATAACATGATAGCCAAATGATCCAAATTCCTTCTATTATACTTTGTTCTCGCTTCCACCCACATTCCATGTACCCTATCCCTCATCCATAAACCCACATGATCCGTTCTTCCCGGACTGGCATCAGGACAAGGAATTGGTAATTGAGAATAAGCAGCTCTTAGGAAATAATCCCACATTGAGTCTAATTCTTCTTGTGAACGTTCATGTAAAGCAGGCCAACGATGTCGAGGTTTCTTAGGTTCAGGTCCATGATGTACAGAATCTGAAGATTCTCCTTCCTCCTCTGTTTTATCATCTTCATCTTCTTTCTTCTTTCTCTCTTGTGCGAGTGATTTTATTGATGGTTTAGGTTTGACTACCGTTGATGATGTGGCAGAAGTAGAGGGTGAAGGTGGGAGTTGAGTTGTAACCATCGGGTCTAAATGTTTTCTTCGACGTTTTAAGACAGATACTACTATACCAGATCGACGAATTTTCGTATTGGTAGAAGTGTAAACTACCGTGGGGATCTTTGGACCGTTTTTATTTTTCGTTGTTTTATTCGATTTCTCAATCTGAGTATTCGTACGAGTATGAGTACTCGTCTCCGTCTGTGGTCGTGATATTAGAGTCGGGTCTGTGAATTCTTCTTCCGTATCTGATTCAATCACAGGTCGTGATATTCCCAATTTACGCTTTCCTTTCTGTCTAGAAATTCGCCTTCCTTCATTGCCATTCATATCCTCTAAGATCTCTGAATCATTTCCTTCCAAATCATCCTCGCGCAATTCCGTGTCATCTTCAATCTCAATAAGCGTACCCGTTCCTCCTACTCCACCAAACGATCTTTCTTGGATTCCACGATCGGTAGTTTGTTCCTGTAATTCTATCTTTACACTAGGTTCTTGCTTCACACCCCATCCTTCCCATTGACTCAAATCCCATAAAGCCTCTTCTGCCACTCCATTAATTTGGATACATTCTTGGATCCAATATCCAGATAAAACCTTACGATGTTCGCGATGAGCGATGAAAGATGCTTGTTCGTTATTTGGTCGATGGGAGGATTGTGGGTGAGGTGGTAAGAGTGGTAATAAGACGTGAGAGGCGGAAGAGGCTTCAAAGCAAATATTACGTTCCTACTTGTCAGTGGAAAGGAAATCTCTTATGATTATCAGTCGTCATGTGAAATCATATTCCAAGGGGAAAGGAGACGTCTAAGGCAGCGAGTCCAGAGTAAAAGTATACACGTATTGAAGCGAACTCCTCATGATCGAGAAGAAGAACACAAATGGTGGGGACTGGAACAGAGACAACTTCCGGATCCACGATGCGTCTGATCAAGTTCTCATCACAAGTCTGCAAATCTCGCCCACACATATAGTGACTGACATAGTCTGAGATAGTGCGAATCAAAGATGAAGCGAGAAGGGGGAAATAAATTCCACTCACATCTATTAAAGACAAAAAATGATTTCTCATCGGAACCATCTCATGAAACCAAATCCTCAACACTTGATCATCTTTCATCAATAACAATTTAGGTGGTGAAATGTCCATTCTGATATTGATAATCGGATTCGATATGGTAGGTATCTCTCGTCCTTTTTGTTGATTTCGTGTCATCTGTCCCGTTTGGTCTGTTTGATTCGCTTCTAGCGTTGTTGGTAGGTTAGAGGTTCGAGAGAGGGGAGTAGGAGGAGCGGTCGATCTTTGTGATTTGGTACTATTGGACATGATGATCTATCGCGTGCATTTGATATGTTATGTGAGATATGAGAGAAGTACTTCTGTGTTATGGCACCTCTTGGGATCTTCAAGTCGTCAAATCGTGAGAATCCGCAAAGGAAAGTTTTGGGTGTGGAGATGAGGAAAGGAAGATGAAACTCGAGAGTCAAGTTGCCTCAAATGTAGGAGGTGTGGACGACGTGAAAGTTTAGTTTCGACTAATCCCAATCCAGTAAGGGCTTCCAAGATGTAAAGTATTGTCAAATATGAATCTAAGAGGCTACGTTATCATGGACAGGAGAAATCACAGACTGGACCCCACAACACATCGTACATCATGCATGAGCCATAAATCCGTTACATGCACATATTCTTTTACATGCTAATTTGTACACATTTGTCCGACAAGAGCCCTTGAAGTTGATTTCCTTCCTCACAGTCCCCACCTTTCTCCCTCCCCTTTCTCCTCTTGATCTTGTTTTCGTGTATATGCCGACGTTTGTACTTTATTGTGATATGAGAAGTGTATTTTGAAATGGGATCACTTGATCGATATGATATACTTACGACTTATAAGTCAAAGCGATCTAACGAGCTTTGACAGTTCTATCCCTTCCCCTGCCCCCACTCTCATCTCCTTCCTCGACAGACTTTCCTTTCCTACTTCTACCTCTAGGTTGTTCCCCCTCATCGCTCGCATCACCATCATATGATTCGTATCGTTCGTGACCACCAGAATTCTGTCTTTCCCGTGGACGAGGTGATGATGAGGTAGAGGGAATATCCTTCAGATCTTCACGAGGTGAACGGGGACGTCGACCAGACCTTGCCAACCATTCTCGGACTTCACGTTCTCTTTTTCTCTCTTCTATGTCTTGTTGCGATTGACCACCGGGAGGAAGAACGATATTCATGGGAAGACTTCGTACGATTGGTTGAGTGGGGTTGATAACGTCCAATGCATTGGGATTGAGCGACACTGGGATAGGAGGGGGTGGAGATGGATTAGCCTGAGCAGTGACCGGCGGAGTAATCGACTCAGACGAATCACGGGAAGGGATCTGAGGTTGAGAGGGAGATACTGCGCCGATGGAGAAGGGTGTTATGGAACGCAAATATGCAATAGTGTTCAACAGACTGAGCGGTCGGTAACCTTGCGGTCGGATTGATATCAATGGCTTTTGTGATGTTTTGGTAGTGAAGGTCGAAGGTTTCGCTTTTGATGAGGCAGAGAAACGTCGAGAAAATCCGCTAGAGTAGGCAGATTGATCGTCGGTGATCGTATCAAGTTGCTCAATGGGATCGGTCGAGACTGAAGGGTCGTCTATCTCTGAGAAAGACACGGTCGACAGGGTAGGAGTAGCACCACCGATGAAGTAGGCGGGCATGGCGGGTATTTCGGATGATGATGGAGTTCCCAAAGCTGCCACTCGTGACACTGCTGCCGGAGCAGGGACAGAGTGAAGGAAACTGAGAGTCGACGGGCCGGTTGCGGGGACCATGGTGGCATTCCCTACAATGCTAGTACCAGTCACGCTCGTCAGAGCCTTGACCAACGGTGCCACACTGAATCCACTAATGCTGCTCAACCCGGCAAGCGCAGAACCAATCCTCCCTTTTGGAGTAGTCCCCAGACCAGGTGTCTCCACGTCATCTGAAGTGTCGGGTGGAACGTACGACGGCATGCCTCTCCTCGTACGAGATCTACCTCGGGGTCGAGCGGTCGGATGTTCATCCTCGCTGGTGGACAAGTCGTCTGGACGAAGATTGACGGCTTTGGCCCATGAGATGATGTCTTCTCTGCTGCGGGAAGAAGCAGAGGAAGCGAGAAGGGCGGCTACTGGGCTGTAAGATATTTTGTGGGAGGACAAGTGAGTTGGGGAGATACGGGTGGAGACCGAAGACTGAACCTGAATTTCAGGTTTAAGTACGTTGTCACTCGACAGAAGAGTGGAATTGTGACCACCTGTGAGTGGTGCCGGAAGAGAGAGTGATAAAGGTGAGCCAATGTTGGGAGTTTGTTCATTGTCGCTGCTTTCGGATGTGGAACAGAAGACGGAGTCTAGAGCTGGTGGTAGATTGACGTTTTTTCTTTGAGCAAGTTTACCGAACCCACGAGAGCTCGAACTTTGTTCTCGAATACCGGTGAGGACAGGAGTGGTAGCTGTACTGAGGGCGACTGCATTACTCTTGCGAGCGAAACGAGGCATGACCATGCTTTGACGGTGATCGCGTTTACGAGGGACAGGGATGGTAGGGGTCGATTGGACAGGGAAGGAATAAGCCCTTCGATCTCTAGGAACGGGCTGGTGAGTGTCCGGAGAAAAAGAGTGCCCCATAGGCATGGGTGCTAAGGGAGTGACCGATGGACGAGAGAGCTTGAATGAAGCGCGAGGAGCAGTTGGTCTTGTTTGTAAGATGATTGGAGGGACGACGGATGTGACTTTGAGAGGGACGGTGGATGATGATGCTTGGTTAAGGTTGTTCATCTTGTCTTGCGCGCTACACGCCGATGAGCAGTAGATGGCGTTGACATCGGACTAAGTATGAGCTACAACACTCATGTGAGCAGAGAGAGACTCACTGTACGTCTAGAACATACCAAGCACCACGCAACGTCCATGTCGATGTTACTCATTTTGTGCGAAGGCGCTGGACATGAGCATCTTCCTTCTTTATACTTGACTCATGTGAGAGTAATGGGAGACGTACGTTTTTTCAAGTCAACGCCTTGGCCCTCAATCTCTCGTTGGTCCACTGGCAGTCCTTTCAGGGTTGACTAACGCCAGAGGACAGACGGACAGCCACTGTTTCCAAACGGTTGCTGAACAGTGGGTGGCGTGTGAAGGGATGCGGGGTTATGACGAGGACGGGTATGACTGTTGTGGGGAAGAACAAAGGAGCGGGAGATACCGGGGTGAAAGGTTTAGGGGTAGTATTCGGTTGGGGGGGCGGGCGGGCGGAAGGGTGTGAGATATTGTTGGTTGACAGGCGTGAGGTGAGGTCTCGAGGGTAGGACGATCGTTCACAGATCGCAGAGAAAGAGGAGGAATGGGGTGAAAGATGCCGCGTGTTGTCAACGAGGCGTTGGGAAAAGCTTTTTTTTGAGGTTGTGGGATGGAATGTGAGATTTTGAAAGATGTGAAGAAAGAAAGATCAACTAGATTTAATCAGCCTTCTTTACGACGTTTGGACGGTCACCAAATGAAAGCACGATGGAAAGAGGACCCCAGATAATTTGAGAAGCGAGATCACAAGGTGGACCATGACTGTTCATGTCCTTCCGAGGGTGAGAAGCGATCTCCGTATAACCGTGTAACTCCAAGGGGTTATTAGGACCTAAGGCCGGCCGGGACCAGAAGCAGAAAGTACATGGACCGATCCCGACGCCACCAACATCCCCGTTCCCAAGGCCCAAGGGGTCATGAATCACGAGCCACGGCGCTAAGGAAGAGGACGACGAGGGTGATAAGGTGGAGACGAAGATGAATGTGATGATGAGCTATGGGTGGGAACGAATCGGATAGTTTCACACACCAAGGGCGTAATGTCGTATATCTCAAAAGGGGTAAAAGTCCTGATCCGCATACCCGCCAAGGGCGTACAGTAGATAGTGGTCTCAAATGACGTGCTACTGTATCCCCGTAGATTGGAGGAACACGAGGGAGTCGTACAATTGATGTTGTGGAAGCAAAAAGGAAGGACTTCAAAGCATTACTGGATAGCAATGTGAAGTTGGAGTGGAGGGTTGCAAAGATGGAAACTCGAGAATTTGGGGATATGAGAGTGGGCAGGGATGGAGGGGTTTGATTATGAGAGGAAGGAAAGCTTACACACTTGCTCCTCAAGTTTTTTCTCGTCCTTTGGTAAGTAGTCGATTTGGAGAACGGTGATGGTCGCACACGTCTTAGGTGACGCAGGTGCGTAGGAATGGGCAAGTCGTCGTTCGATAGGACCGTGCAAATGAGAATCTGTAAATCCAAGATCCACGTCCTTTAAGAAATCTAAGGAACGCTTCAGGGGTTAAGAGAAACAGATGGCGATATGGACAAAAGAAAAAGAATGATCCGGTCTCAAGAGGTTTAGTTCCGTGACTTTGAGATTGTGTTCGGTGGAACGGGTAGCGGGGGTACGTGGAGTGGCGTGGGAGCGATGGTGTGACCAAAGGATTGATCGACTAGGTGGAGAGTAGAATTTGAGCCAGTCGAAAATTGGAGAATAGCAAGGTGACTTGGTCAGATGAAATTTCCCCAGCTGATATCAGTATCTGATTCAAATGATCTGCCCAAGTGTTCTTTTGATCCTTTGAGATGTAGCAAAAAGTACGATGATTTCATGATGGATGATCGGATCACGTGCTCAGTCGTCAAAGGAAGGTCGGAACAAGAGCCGATGTACCGTAACCAACGAAACAGATTGTATCTCGTCGGTACCGAACAAAGGTTAGAGGCTCCGAGACTTATTGGATCATACAATGGCCAAATCAAGAGGATGATGAGGGTGAAATGCATAGAAATGACGACAGATGGTAGGTAAGGAGAAGGTGGAATGAGACTTTGGGGAGACTAAAGTTCAAGGGTTCAAAGGGGGTAAAGGGTGTGTGATGAAGAATTGACACAAAAGAAGTCTGAACGGTGACATCAAATGACATCTTGCGTCATAAGTGTAGAGAAAGGGGTAAAAGGAGGAGGGGACGATAGAGAGTAACTGTACTAACTCGTAATGGTGAACCCCTTGTTTGAAGATGTCCGACCGACCGATGATCCTACACGTTCTTTTGATCGTCAATTACCTAAATATCTATATCCGGACTTCGCTTAAATTTGAGATCTCCTTCGGTCACAAAGATGACTTTGTATCAGGTCTCTCGGTTTTGTTTTTAGTCGGATTATGGATCGATCGTCTGTCTCGGAGATCGGGGATCGGGAAAGATGAAGCGCGTTATCCCGAAAGACCGAAAATCAGGAGAAGGATTGATAAAGGTCAAAGACCTATGTACAGTAAATTGGATGAATGGGGTAATGGGGTATGATAAATGCGTGCGTTATGAGTTGGCCAAAGGTTTATGACTGATTCGGTATGAAGTATGAGTCAGACGTGTATAGTAATGATGTATTGCGTGCTTGGGATCGTGTTGTGTGTTGTTACTAGTGTATGTTCGAGTGGGATTGGATGGCGTTACATGACGAGGATGACGGATAAAAGAACGATCAAAAAGATCGAGAGGATCATTCTTGTGATAAACGACGTATCATGATGAGGGAATAAATTGAGTTTTGACCAAGTCTGAGACAAAACGAAAAGTCGGCTTTATTTATAAAGATGATGTGGAAAGCCGGTCAAAGGTTTGAGAATCATCTGTTCAAAATATGAACGACAAAGAAATGATATTTGAGAAACCCGGCCAACGCAGGATGACCTCTAACCTCTGACGTACAAAAAATGCATGTTCGGACCGTACAAGCCACGCCGCGTCGCCATATAGGGGTCTTCTCCACTCTCCGACTTGTCACCCGGCTCCCGAACCTTCATCTCTAACCTCTGGACAATCTGAGCGATATAGGCAGAGGAAGAAAGCAGAAGGAGACAAAGAGCAAAAAGTGGATTAGGCACGTGGCGTCTCATTTCATTCTTCCGACGGGAGGGAAAGGTTGGAAGAGGTATTGGGATCGGTTGGGGAAATCATCGGTTTCGACCGACTTTCCCCTTATGCCGTAGCCCTTTCGGCGTCGGCGTACCGTGTCCCATCTTCTTCTTCTTCTGCTGTTCGGGGGCTCCGCCTGTACCCTGTCTCGTCTGGTCTTACCTAGCCCTTTCGAACGGGAGCACATTGAAATATGACAGACAGTGAACCTTTGACCGGGGACCGGTCCGTTCATACCGTTGGTCCGCTTGGCGATCCCCATAACGAGTCCCCTCGTTAATTGTCACCTTCAGGTTTACTTGTAGTTTCTGACTTCTGCAGCACTGCAGCCAGCAGCTCGCGCGAGACTGGGGAGACGCGACACCGAGCATTGAAGTGACAGTTGCTGGACACCATGCATTCGTTGACATTTACAACCGTAACTGAAATCGTATGTCACAGGAAATATCTATGACCCTAAACAATGATGGAACATAGATGTCGCAACTTCGGAGAGAAGAAAAACCTAGTACACCCATGTACCTAGACTCTCCGCCCAATTTGCCAACCCATCGGATCCCGCATCCCTCAAACCGGACCGTTTAGGTATTGTCATACCCTCCCCAGTATCCGATTTTATTCTTTCATCCGATGTGGGCGAGAGGAGGAACCCTACGCCTGACCCGCCTAGAGTAGTGAGATGTGGTTGAAAGCCAAGATTGGTGAGATCTTCCATGAGGGCTTGGAGAGAGGTTTCGGGGAAGCCTGTGAGTGAGTGGTTGATCTCGATTGCAACCAGTACTCGGATTCGAAGTTGTTATTGGTCAAGGATTCCGTTCACGAAGAGAGGAAAGAGGTGACGAAGGAAGGAAGAGAGAAACTTACCATCAGGAATGAGAGTCAATGCGCAGCCTCCACCACCTGCTCCTGTCAATTTTGTAGCTAGGTTGAATGGTTCACCATTTGTTGCAGCGACGATCATCTCCAACGAAGGGTGCGAGACACCAAGTTGGGTCAAGTAAACTTGATTCTCTCTGATGAGAGTCTGTTGATCAGCTTGAGATGATTTCACACTTCAAAGCAGATATACTTACCTCCAGTCGGAGCACGAGGGCCTGTCGACCAACGTCGGACTTTCCGGATAGAAGAGTCTTGGCTTCGTCAGAGATGGTCTGAATGGATTTCAAGATTGGGTCAACGACTTCAGGTTCGGCCAAACGCTTGGCGGAAACCCGGGCAACGAGAGACTTTGTGTCTCTAGGAACTAGCGTGTTGGTGAGGAGAAGACGAATGGATGAGAATCTGGATGTTAATCGATATTTCGCACGCAACCAATGATAGATAAATGTGAGGAGAAACACACCCATGAAGGCCCTCCAAGCCACCAGCCCGCCCTCCCATAGCACGAGTGAAAGCGACCGCTCCACCTCTGACCGATACGGCATTATCTATTCCGCTCGGATTCCCATGCAAGATCTTCTCGCACAGGAATGCCCAACTGTCCACCACATCTCTCGTAGCTGGATCAAAACCGTTCTTAGGAGGATCGATGTAAGAGTGGGCAAGGAGAAGGGATGTAGATACGCAAGTGGAATAAGCGGCCGATGATCCTAAGCCGGCACCGATGGGAAGGGTAGATGAAACGGTGAGAGTGACACCGGGCCTGGAATGTCAGCAAAGGCTAGAGTCATGAGCAGAGAGAAACATACGCATTGACGTCATTACCCGCCATGAGCATGTAAGTGTACAATAAAGTGACACTCGCGCCTTTCCCCGTCTTGTTCACATTTAAATCCTCGACCAGAGCTTCGATCGAGTGTAAAAGAGCAGAATCTAACTCTTTGTCCGCTTCTTTCTTGCCACGATCGCCACCTAGAGGAAGCAGATTCCAAGGTAAAGCCGATATATCCCATTCCAATTCGATACTAGAGTCTGACGCCTCGAGAGCGATCTTGTGATCAGACCGTGGAGTGAGTACCGCATAACAACGAAGGTCCACGCTGGACGCGATGGCGGTCTACATAAAGTCAGTCATATGTGCAGAAGGTTTGGGTGTAATTGTGAGACTTACCACTCCATGTACGACGGCATGCTCGCCAAAGAGGATAACTTTGCCTGGGGCAGATACCGTGATCTCGTTGGCCAGTTGTTTACGCGGTATACTTGAAAAACCAAGACCACGCTTGACACCGTCCACAAGCTTCTGTATAGCATTTTCCGGTAGTGATCTCTTGTATGCACGAGCTCGTTCAATAACCCAGTGTTCTCGATGTTCGCGACCTAGTTCGTACAGATTTGCCATGCGCGGGTGGGAGAGAGTAGGATGTGATAGATCAGGCACTATGGCGCCTCCTGCGAAAAGTGAATGCTCGAGATCATCGATGAGATCTCGAGGGTCTTCTATACCGACACATAAACGGATCAAATCCTCAGGCAAGCCGCGTTCGGCTCTGACAGCTGCCGATATGGAAGCATGACTGAACTGGGTCAGTACAATGTTTAAGAATGGCCAAGATGGGATGACTTACGACATGAGACACGGCATGCTAATCAAACTATTGACAGCTCCGAAGGAAACGCTGATACCCCATAATCTAGCACTGCCTACAACTTTCTCACTGAGTGACTTATCCCCGGTCGTGAAACTCAACACTGCTCCGGCGCCCGTAGCTTGTTTGTAATGTATGTCCCGCTTTGGATGGCTCTTCAAACCGGGATAATGAACGAGAAATCCGAGCTCGTGTAGATAAAGCGCCACGAGTTCGGCAGTGGCGATCTGTCGATCCATCCTGACCGACATGGTCTTGATTCCTCGCAAAAGAAGGAAACAGTCGAATGGTGCCAGACCGCAGCCGACGGCGTTGATAAGGAACGCGATACTTTTAGCGACTTCAGGCTCACCGACTGCGATGATACCTGCCATCAAGTCGTGGTGACCAGATAGGTACTTTGTACCAGAGTCGTAAACTATGTCAGCTCCGAGGTTGAGGGGACGTTGAAGGTAAGGAGACATCATCGTGTTGTCGACGACGATAAGGGCTGAAGGAGCTGCGGCTTTGACCGCGGCGCAGATGGTGGGGATATCGGCGATCTTCAATAAGGGGTTGGTTGGGGATTCCAGCAGAACCATCTTGACTCTGTGAGGAGTTAGTCATGTCCTTATGACTGCAATATAAAAGACTGACTTGTTTCCTGGGCCAAGATGAGGTTCCAATTCGTCCAACCGAGTGGTGTCAACGTGCCTGACGTCGACTCCACCATGTGTACCGATGTAAGTCAAGAGACGATTAGTACCCCCATACAGATCGTCACCTGCCAACACGGTTTCCCCTGGTTTGACCAATCTCAGGATGACATCCAGACATGTCATGCCCGTGGATAGAGCGTAGCAAGCATGTGCGCCATACAACTTGGCTAGATGCGCTTCTGGAACACAGTCAGGGACCGGGTATCTCGGATGTAAAAGTATGAGACAAACTCACCAAGAGCTCCTCTGGTGGGATTACCGGAGCGAGTGTAGTCATACGGTCCATCCATACCTTTGAAAGTCGCGGTTTGATATATAGGGACAGCGCTAGAACCATACTGATCCTTGTTATCGACCGAAGCGCAAAGGGTGGAGAATTGCCATTTCGCCGACCTGGCTAGATGAGCCTCCTCTTCCGAGACAGACTTTGCAGGAGTGGTTTCGAATATGGAGGTAGCGAGAGAAGTCTCAGAGGGAGAAGGGGGATAACGGACTGCGAATGGCATGATGGTGGATGAGGGGGGAAAGTTTGTTGTATAAACATAAGATTGTACGAGAGCAGTGGTTTCATTCCGTGAAAATGAGTCGATCACGCCATTTGATTTGGAGTGCACAGGGTGGCAAAATGGAGGGATCGGATAACAAGGGCAGTTCCGACGGAAGCAAATATTTCGATCTCCTAAATGTCATTCGAGGTGGCCAAAGTTTCTCAACCGCCAACATCTTCACTCGTCATTCACCTCCAGCACCTAGCACTATGGTAGCGACAGATTATGAACCTGACGCTGCTGGTCTACAAAGCTTTATCTTATGTGCGGACTGTGGTACACCCATTTCCTCTGCTAACGGAGCTGGTCTATGTGAGCTCCTTTCTTTGTGGTCTGTGATTGCTAATCCTACAGGTGTCGGTTGCTTGAAGAACACGGTCGACATCACCGAGGATATACCCAAAGAGGCCGCTCTGAATTTTTGCAGAGGATGTGAACGTTTCCTCTCTCCACCTCAGACGTGGATACACGCACAACCGGAATCTCGCGAGCTACTAGGTAAATTCTGCTTTCAGCTGATCACTGTCTGTATATCGAGCTGACCCTCAGCTATATGTCTGAAAAAGATAGCAAGACCATTGATGAAAGTCAGATTGGTCGATGCTTCATTCGTATGGACCGAACCACATTCTCGAAGAGTCAAAGTAAAGATCACCATACAGAAAGAAGTCTTAGCCAACACCGTGCTTCAAGATGATTTCGTATTGACCTTGGTCGTGCATTCTGGTCAATGTCCGAGTTGTACAAGATTAGCAGCGAAGAACACCTGGAGAGCGACGGTACAGGTTAGACAGAAAGTGACGCATAAACGGACGTTTTTGTGGTTGGAACAATTGATCTTGAAGCATAACGCCCATAAGTAAGTCTCACTTTCCTTTCTCTTCTCTCACACCTCATGAAATTGGCAGTGTAACTGATCCTACAGGGACACTGTAAATATTTCTGAGAAGAGAGATGGATTGGACTTCTTTTACTCTGAAAGAAACGACGCCATCAAAATGGTAGAGTTTCTGGCTGGTGTTGTACCCGTGCGGTGAGTTGGCTGCGATAGCATTATATAACCTGAAGCTGATATCGAAGGTCAAAAGGATCTGAGCAGCTCATCTCCTCCGACACACATAGCAATACTTCAAATTACAAGTTCACTTACTCTGTGGAAATAGTTCCTGTTTGCAAAGATGATCTAGTTTGTCTTCCTCGTACGCTAGCTAAAGCATGGGGCAACATCCGGTGAGTAGCTGATATCCTCACACAAATCCTCTCTAAAATCATCAGAAATATTGTAAGCTTAGTGCTGATGATCAGACCACTTACATTATGTTCCCGCGTCGGTAACACCATCCATCTTCTCGACCCTTCCACCTTACAACAAACCGACGTATCTTCTCCTGTGTATTGGCGTCAACCATTCGACTCCCTCGCCACCGTCTCCGACCTTGTAGAATTCGTCGTTCTCGATGTAGAATACACCAACATAACTCGTGGTAAATATGTTCTAGCCGATGTTCAAGTCATGCGATCTTCTACTGGTTCGACCACAAAAGCTTCCTCGGATGACGATGAAGAAATGGGTCACGATGGAATTTTCTACACCCGAACACATCTCGGTGGAATCATCCAACCTGGTGATACAGTGTTAGGTTATCATCTCACCAACGCCAATTTCAATAATGAAGCTTATGAAGCTTTGGAACAATCACGAGAGGCTTTACCAGATGTTATACTTGTGAAGAAAACATATCCTAGTAGAAGGAAAAAGTCTAAACCTCGAGGATGGAAATTACGTTCCATTGCCAAAGAAGCGGAAGATGCGGGAGATGGAGTAGTAGGTCGAGGTGCTTTGGGAAGAAGAGGTGGAGTGGATCAAAAGAATGTTGAGAGGGATTATGAGTTGTTCCTTCGTGATTTGGAGGAAGATAAAGAAATGAGAGCGGCGATAAATCTTTACAAGGCGATTCCGAAAGAGAAAGCAGAGGAAATAGGAGAAGGTGATATCGTCATGGGTACTGCCAATGGGAAATCTGGTTCAGGTTTGAAAGGAGGAAAGAGGAGACAGAAGAAAGTATCGACGCTACCACAAGAGATGGAGGTGGAGGAGGATAGGGGTGTGGAGGCGGATGAAGAAACGGTAGGGGATGATGATTTCCCTGAGATTGGGATGGAGGAGTTGTTGGATCAGTTCGAAGAGATGGATATGGATGAAGGCGAGGAAGTGGAGTAGGGAGTTGAAAGTATCTCGCATAGTTTTTGTTTATCTCAGTTCATACTGCATCTTATAACGGCCCGCCTCATCTCGGTATATGCGTCGAAAACGATTCCCAACGATTCTCATCAATCTACGTGGCCCGGTGTGGCCACAAGACCGCATTAAGGGTGAGTAAGTTAGTCGTTGAAGAGAAGAGAAAGCAGTTTTGGAAAGGAAGAGGAGGAAAGAGGGGAAACCGGAACAGATGAATCCAATGCATGAGGGAATATATCTGTATATCTGGAAGAATATATTATTGTTCATCACTCGAATAGCTTATACCGGTGGATCCATACGCACCTTCACCTTCCATCCTTCTCTGATAGGAATATTACGTTCAAACATCCAATATTCCGTAACGTGTTTTTCTTGTTTGGTTTTCCGACCATCAATGGTGGTTGTGAGAGACTAGATATGAGCCATCATCCACTCATATGTTCCCTCTATCCCACTCTCACATGATGTACCCAGATTTATTTACTTAGTCCGCACCCGATTGCGAAACTTCATACCAAAATCGACATACTTTCAATTCGTGAACACACCTAAGTAAAGAACGATGGACGGAGAAAGGTTGAAGTCATGTGGATGTATATGAAAAGGGAATTTGACCAAAAGGAAAACTCACTTGATCAGATTCTAAAAGTAAAACAACTTGAGCAATCTTTTTGATACCTTCAAGATCTAACATTCCGACTCTTGCATTAATTAATATGGGTTTATATCGTCTTGTGACTTGCCATTCCATCTTTGTACCTTTTTTCACTGCCGCGGTGACTTTTCTAGCGTCATTGAGAGCTTTCCCGGTGGATATCGATACGAGAGCTTGAGATTCTCCCCTAGACCGTCAATACAGTACATCATGCTGTGTGTCTCTTCTTCAATCATAAAGAATTTCCTTTACGGTCATTCAATATGTATCATCCTTGGCAATCTTGGGTCTGGGTGAACAGATTGAAAGATTGTAACACATATCTTGAACACGTTGGACTCTTTTAAAGGAAGATGGAAAAAGGATGATGAAGAGAATGACAAGAACTAAAGAGATCACTCACGAAGCTTGTATCTGATTATACCTACAATAAACACCCCATAATTCTTCAACAAGATATTGACTCTTAAATTGTATAGTCAGATTTTTCAAACCGGGCCATAACATCTGTTTCCAATCTTGACTTATGAACGGTCGCATCACACCCGATCTGATCATTTCGTTGAGTCTATACGTTAGTTAAAATCACGGTATGAGACAGCCTGAACCCGAGAAAGGAGAGAAGGTGAAATGGGGTGGTAACCCAGGAGGAACATTTGTGGGGGGAGGAGAGGGAGGGAGGGAGGGTAGTTGGGTACTGGAAAGTTGGATAGGGATGAGTGTGTATTTAAGCATCAAAGAACGATTCAATGACTCACCCTTGTCTTGTCAGTCTTGCCCGGTCGAATCGTTTCTTCCATTCTTTTTTACGAAGAAATCTCCAATACCCAAAGTATGGAAATTTTACTGGAGTATCTATTATCGTTTCTAAGCATTAGCACCTCAAGTATGGCTCAATTGACATCACCGGTTACTGCATCCTTTTTTCCGAGAAGCATAGACGGTGATAGCTCAGATATTAGAGATGCGATACTCTATGGGACGGTAGCCTATGATGTTTTCTGGGAAAAGTTGGAAACGTCAAAGTAAATTCATACGTAGGAGACGAAGATAGACTTACCAAAAGGATTCACTTCAAGTCTAGATAAATCTAAATGTTGTCCTCGTCTTTTCATCAAAGCATGTTCTTTCTCCCATTGTGATTTCAGTTTCTCCATTGATTGAACTGTACTTCCCGGGTTTGAGATCATCCCAGATGAAGAAGGTACACTCGCGTATCCTTTTCTCCATATTTCAACCGACTGTCTGACTCGAAGTGGTCTTGAGGAAGGAGCAGTGGATAAGGGATGAATGGGTCGGATTAGATGAATACGACAGGTTGAACTTCTTATAGGAGGGAGGAATGACATGGTAGGTGTATGTATATGAAGAGATGGAGAGAAAACAAGAGGAGATGAAGAAATTTCGACAAGAAAGATTTTCCACTTGATTTCTTTCCTTCATCCACTTTCATATCTAATCATGTCCATGTCTGCTAGACTGCTGGTTCTTATAAAACAAGGGATGCGTCTAAGTGATTGATCTAGTTTCCAAAGTATACGGAGACTCTCTCGCCGCCTGATAGCCACCGTTCGATAGATGAGCTCAACTGCAAACTGATCACCTCCCTTATGGCCTCACGTTGTCGATCTTGGCTTCTTACCCGTTCTCTTCGCACCATGCGCACCACCTTTCGGATCTCTCATTAACCTCATTCTTATCATATCAGAACTAAATTTTCTACGTTTTACATCGCACGTCTGGCAAGTTCTACCAGCATGTCTGAGATCCCACAAGGTGAGTTTGATCAACCCCGAACAGAGCTAATGACAGATGTCACTTTGTTCCTCCGTGGCTATCCTGGGCAAAGGGATGACCCAAACCAATATGACAATTTGAAGTTCTATCGAGGAGTTGGGAAATGCGTTCCCGATGGATTGAAGTATGAGGAATGGATGGAACGGTATGAGAATGATTATAAGGAGTTGGAGATGAATCAGTCAGTCATTTAACAACTTCTCCAAACATAATTGTCTTTCCTCCTAGCTCCGCAACGCTTCTTCTTCTTTCACACACTCTGCATCATCTTAGGCTATCAATACATAAGGTGTGCTCCGCTAACACCCTCGTCATAATCTCATTCGGCATTCTGAAACTGTCCACAACACTTCGAAGGGATAGAGCTCTGTAAATTGATGTGATCATCGCTGACGACCAGTTCTTACATCCAATGTAAGCCACTATTATTGAGGGGACTCTGACTCGAAGGGTTTTTCCCTATCCCGGAACAAGGTGTGAATCCACATGCTAAGCCATTACTTCCACACGAGCAGAAGGCCATGAGTGAAGATGTAGAGGTGTTGAGACGAATATTGAGGTCATACAAGATGGTCAGTGCTCACCTCCCAACATCTGTCAAGCGATTTCGAATCTTAACAGACAGATGCTGGGTTTTTACGGGATCAAGATGAATAATGATGGTGGGCTAGGAATGGCAGACAATGCTGATGAACGACGTGAGTTGTTCTTCTCGTAACCAACCTGATGACATGTCAAACAATTCGACCCTGTCCGAGGTTCTCGCATAGATCACATTCCTGCGCTCGAGAAGACCAGTGGCCAGTGGACAGAGGACAGAGCTCCAAGGGACAAGGAGCTAATGTGATAGTGGCCAATCTCGCTGCTAGATCACATAACCTCCTTCGTATCACACGCATAATCAAATGCATATCCCTATTCCCTACCCTCCAACCATACGCGGCACCATTGGTCCTTTTCTTCGTGGTTCTTCATTCCCAGGAGAAGTTACCTATGATAGGTATGCGCGGGGACAGTCTCGAGAGATGGTGGGGAAATTGTTTCAGAGACGAGAGGGAAAGAGAAGAGGTTCAAAAGATAATCCTGGCTAGGGGGAGGCCAGGTGGAGGGAGATGGGGTTTTGATAATTATAGCCAATGGTTGGACGCTAGAGGACGACGTGGGATGATTTGAACGGGAGGTGAAACGTCTGCGACAGGAGACAAAGTCGGGAGAAGCTTTTGAATGTCAAATGTGAGGATGAAATACGACGCACAGGATGTGTAGGCATGTAGGAAGGGAGAAGTGGGACGATGAGATCGAGTACGCCCAGGAACCCGAGTTTTCGACAAATTCCGACTACTTGGTGGGAAAAGTCCGGGGCATAGGGCATGGCTCAGATCATGGCTACTTACTTTACGATCTACGAGTAGTACGAGTACGAGTACTTTATACTTTCACCGTGCCATGCCATAGTTCACAAGTCAACCTCGGAAGTTGTCGGCTGTCACCACTGACATTATTGACAGTTTGCAGTGTAACACCCACTTCCCTCTCATTTTTCATGTTTTCTTAGCGTTCATGTTACCCCGAGTTCCTGGCCATGCCATATGCCACACGGACCGAGAGGGTTCGGCCCCCGGTGTGAGTTGTGAGTGAGAGCCATCTTGGGTCTGTTATGAAGTGGCTTCCTGATTGAATCCATGAGCTGATGACATAAAGGCCAGTATGCTTGGATATGTATTCAGCTACCCACCCTACCTTCCTTATACATATGCTGAGAAGCAGAGAAGCAGGCGTAAAAAAAAAGAAAAGAAAACTCGAGCGACGTCATTGAACGCTCCTGGATTCCAGGGGGCCCGAGCAAGAGAAAGAAGGGGCACGAGGTCCGAGCGGGATATCCCGAAAGAGAAAGCGGCTAGTGGCGTCCCTGACCGGAGCAAAGTCTCAACACAACTTTGAGCGAAAACTGACAATTTGACCATCTCTCTCTGTCCATACATACCACCTATACACTCTTTATTTCTTATCATTGTCTGTGCTTGTCTCAAACGCAAGGTCACCTTCGACCGAATGCCTCAAAGTGATTGAATACCCCAGGTCCCTTTTGGGTGAGTTACTCTTTCATGTTTGACAATGGAGTATTTGTGCGGACGCGGGCAGTAACAAAGTCTTTAGCCGAGGTTTCGTCATCCTTTTTCCTACCTTTTTCCCTTTCCCTCGCTATCTTCTGTCTGTTCTCTCGCCCTTGACCTACATAGCTATCATCTAGCGGTGATCCATCCTCTGTGTCGTGTATGATACGGTCACTGGGAATGATTCGACCGGTTGTGGTATGACCCCAAGCTGTTGTCATCGAAGCGACTACTGGCTATAGAGTTTGTATCGATATCATTTCACGAATCACCGCTTTGACCTTGCACCGCTCGGTTCTCTTCTCTCTTTTCATCCACCCTTTCAATAATACTATCAAATAACGTGCTGACATTACCCCTTGACTTTTTTCTCTTCATCTCTATCATTCCCTAATACCTGTATCAACACCATTCTATCTCACAGTCAAACCATCATCACCACGTGCAACGAGCACTACAACATCGACTGCGGATATACACTGCATCACATACGCATTACCCCATTCCCGTCAGATCGTCAAAAGCCTTGGAACTTCCCGTCAAGCCGTCAAGCCGATCATCTTTCGCTCCACTTTCAATCCAACACGCATCCTGTAATCCCATCACTGTAGCCCTACGTTCTTCTAGCATCTTGTCACAAAATGTCATTCATCGCTTAATACATCCACATAGACGACACACCTTTGTCAAAAAATACAAACTGCGAATATCACCCTACGCCTCAGGGATCTACTTCACTTGCGACTCTTCTTCCACTGCCGTCTTCTTTCGCATCCTGGGCGTCGACCACGCCTCGCCTTCTACAACCCTGTACCTAATCTTGTCTCATTCACATTGGTCATAAAACACTCATCGATAAAAATCATTTCGACATGTCGTCGGCCGCTCCTACTTCGGCGACCCAAAATGCTGCTACGCCAGTGAGCAGTGCGGCGGCCTCATCTGCCGCCGTCGCACCATCCTCTGCGGCCCCTTCCTCTGTTGCTGCTGCCCCTTCGTCTGCCGCCGCTGCTCCTAGTTCAGCAGCAGCAGCAGCTTCGAGTGGTTTGACCTCGTCGGGCGCGGGCTCAGCACCTGCTTCGACGTCTGCGTCAACTTCGGCTGCTCCTTCTGTTTCGACAATCTCTTCGACAACTTCATCGTCCATGTCGTCCACGTCGTCAGCTGCATCTCTCTCTCAGTCTTCCTCAGCCTCCTCGATAGCGCCTACTACCGCCTCGGCCTTCCTTGGCAGCTCGTCCTCATCAAGCTCATCGAGTAAAGGTCTTGGTTCAGGAGCGATTGGTGGTATCGTGGGTGGAATCGTAGGTGGGATTGTGTTATTGGTCGTATTATGGACATGTTGGAGATCAAGAAGAGGGAGGGGAGAAAAAGTACCCCCGCCGTAAGTTGGCCATCAGAGGAATCGCCCCAAACTGACAAATCAGACCACCTCGCGACATGTCATATGCAGCTTCATCCTTACGGCCTCGTCAGATGTCCAATGCTGCCAATGCTCATCGTGCTAGTTCTTATTCCACTTGTCGGTTCTTCTTTGATCGCCCTTTAAAATCATGCTGACCATGTAGTACTCGCACCCGGCCGAGCGTCTTCTCAATATCCTTCCCATTCCCGACATGCATCAGGATACTACGCCACATATCCCATCGCCACTCCCTCCTCTATGTCCCACGATGCATCCCCTCCTATGCCACCGTCTTTAGCCTCTCCGGACGCATCTCCACCTCTCCCTTCGTCCGCAGGGACCATCCAGGCAGATATGAAACCGAATCTTTCACCTATCAACACTCGATTAGATCGGGGCACTTCAATAGGCTCTGGGGAACATCTGGCTCATCAACCTCGACATAAATCATCCGTGGATCGGTTACGAAATGACGCTCTTTTCGGACCAGGATCCGATCGAGCTCCTTCACCCGCTTCGGCACATTCACGAGGTGGTTCTGACCTTGGCGAACCATCGTCTAGAAACACATCACCTCATCCTTCCACTCACGCCTTCCCATCTCCTAGTGGTATGCCTCGACAATCCTTTGCCTCCAATCTCTCTCCCTCTCACAGACCGTTGTCAATGGCATCACTAGGTTCTTCAAGATATCTACACGTAGGACCAGCAGGTGGTGCGCCTCATCAAGGTCGACCTATACAGTTGGAAATGCCCAGACCACTGGGAGCGCGACCTGACGCCTCGGGCGATTTCTTCCATCAAATGCAGATGCCAAAAATCTTGGATGGGTTCAATTTATCGTTTGAGGAGAGACAGCGGCAGAATAGTAATCGGCGGAGGGGTTATGATCTTGGTGAGTGTACAGTTTCGCCTCTCGCCGGATCTCTCCTCATGTCGTTCCGGACTCGCGTGATTATGTTCAAAGAAATACGATCCATCCCGCTGACAGACTAGATTCTGGACCTCCATTCCCTGACAATCATTCCCGCGTCCCCTCCTCCCAATCATCATCTTCCAACGCAAATTCTCGGTCCGGCGATGAAGTCCCTCCTGTCCCTCCTGTGCCCCCACCTCCTCGAGCTGTAGTAAGAGAAAAACCAGCAGACCCGGCGACAGTCTTGGGTAGATAATGTTGTCCGATGGAGATGAAATTGAGGATGGAGATGTCATGAGATTTGTTGAGAAGGTCAGAAGTAAAGACACACGCAGTGAATGTAGACATCAAATACAAAAGGGACACTTTTGCATGAACGTGAACGATAGAAGTGACATGATGTTAATATGTTCCAATCCGATGATACTTTCCCCCTGTCATCTCCTTCCTTCAATGGCCCTTTCCCCAAATGTATCAGAAGGACACGGCGAATTCTTGGCATCATGAACCGTGACTGGAAAGTCAAGTTAGTTTGCTATGCTGTCAAAACGAACCTTCTGTCTGCATGGGTACACAGACTTAGGGTAACTTAGTCGCGGATTTGTCAAGGAGATGCTGCTACGACGATAGAGATTGATCATATATATTCATTTTCGTCCACACGTCTTCCATCCTGTTCTATCAATTCAATCTTCTCCACATCTTCTCCCTGTATAAGAACCATAGCCAACGATCTTCCTCCCCAACCTGTATCAGGTCCATCGAACGGTTCTGAATGAGGATATAGAGCTTCCCTCTTACGTCTTATTTCCCAGATATCTTGTATTTCTTCCCATTCTTCGTCCTCTTGCTCTTCCTTCTGTTTTTCATTCTCCATTTTCTTCTCACATCTCCCAGTCTCACCATCACCATCATCTCCCTCATGAGTGAAACCCTCTTTCCTCATCTCTATCATTCTCCCTCCAATCTGCTCATCCTTACCGCTCGATATCTCTCCAGATCCCTCCCCAACTTCCTTGGCGTCTAAGAATTCGCCGTTCTCTAATCTCTGTGGGATTTTAGACGGTCGCTCACCCCTGATCATCCTCGATGGATCGGGAAGGAATTCTTCAGCAGGCATCAATACCACATTACAACCTTTGTCCACACACAGTAATCGTCCCGTGAACACTCGTCCATCTCGGACTGTTATACGTAATGGTGAATCTAGTAAGTTTTGGAGATATGTCAAGGGGTTTGTTGGGGAAGTATTGGATGAAGGTTGAGGATTGGGTGTAAAGGACATGATGAGGTGGGTTCAGGTTTGATCTGAGTTGGCTAAAACATGAGCTTTGATTTCTTGTTGTGATATTATGCATGTTAACTTACCTTGCTTCGTTTGTAGATACCACGGAGAGCGATGAGTTGTTTCTCTATCATGAAATTCTTAACATGTCGAGGGATGTTTGGTACGATGGGAAGCTAATTTAGCTGAATACGAGTAGCTTAGTTGTGGCAGCTGGGTGAGGGAGACTTTCCGTCGGAACGTTGGAGCCCCGCACACCATATGGACTCTGTTTCACTCCTTTCACCATAACTCGCCGTCTTGCTCACATTCCTTCTCCTCTCCCATCGTCTTCTTTCACATCAACTGGCTATGCCTTACCTCGAACCGTAAACCCTATCAAGCTTCGAACATCAGAATAGACTTGAAGCCAAAACGAATCATCATGTCCCAATCCCCATCACCCACAATCCCAACTCAGCAAACCCCTCTCCTTCCCTCTTCCCGCAAACGTCGACGAACGCCACCCGTACATCTGTGTCCCCTCTTTCTCACTGTCGTATTACTCTCTCTCATGGTTTTAGTAGTCTGGGATGTGAGTCCTGTAGGTAATTGTGTGTTGAGACCCTTGTGCCGAGCTTTGGGAGAAGGTAGGGGGAAAGAAGAAGTTTGGTGGAGGAACGCAGGTGCTTATGCTCCTTATCGACCCCTTGGGGAAGGGAGAGAAAGATTACCGAGAGGATGCGAATTGGATCAGGTCACTATTGTGAGTACTTTCATTTCGTTCTCTTCTTCAATTTCCAATTTTCCTGTATCACTCTCCCTTCTACACAATGTTTCGTACTCATCCCCCTTACACTTGCTGACTATCAGTTCCATCGTCACACTGCTCGTTACCCAACTGTCAAAGGTGGTGATTGTCTTCACCGAGCATTGCATAAATTGGCGAACCGGTCGATCATCTCTCCCAGAAGACATCCAGAGTTAGCTTTTCTGGCAAAAGCAGACTTACATCTAACCGGATGGAAGATGACCGAGCTCACGGACCAAGGGAGGAAAGCGTAAGTCTCCTTCTAAAGCTCTCCACAACTTTCCAATTCGTTCAACCCCCAATCTCGCACTTGTCCAAAGTATGTTGGGAACCGGGGAAAGTGAAAGAGTCCGAAACTGAAATTCTAGTGCTTGGAAAGCTGGCAAACAAACTGCATCAGTCTACAAACGTTTTCTCTCTCGAACAGAGGGTATTTTCACACGGGCAGGAGGTATAAGTCGTGTGATTGAGACAGGATCGTATTGGCTGCAGGTCGGTCGTACGATAATCACGTCAGTTCTGTGAAATCTGATGAACAGGGCTTTCAAGGATCTCCTTTTAAACTAATTCCTGAAGACCAAAGACCCCGAGTGAATCTTACCATACCCGAGGACCCGGAGACGAATAGTACTCTATCAGTTCACAAGTGTACAGCGTTTGAAACAGTGTGAGTAATGCAATTCAACTGCTTCTGACTTCACTTTCAAGGCATTTTCTCTATAGATCAGGCGATCAAAATGAGAACAGAATGGACAATGAAAACGTAACTGCTACTAACATTCAGAGATCCCGCTCCTGGAGTTGAAGAACAAATCCAGCTAAACCCTCTTCGGCAACCCATCGCTGATAGACTCAACAACATCCTGCGACCTCAACCCCCACTGGATGGTATCGAAGTCTCCTGCCTCGCCGATATGTGTGCGTACGATTCTCAAATCTCCGGTGTAGATTGGAAAGGATGGAGTAAGTGGTGTGGTATGTTTACCCGAGAGGAATGGGAGATTCTGGGTTACCGACGAGATGTGGGGAGGTATTATGGAGTAGGACAGGGTAGCGTGAGTGATATTGAAGTCGCCCCTCGGTATGACTTCTTCACATACCTCATGGCTACTCTTGTGCAGTCGAAGACCAATCATTCCGCACTTCCTCTGACTTTTGGGCGTGTTGTGTTCAAGGACTTGAGCTCATGTATCAGAAATATGGTTCAACCATGGGGGTAAGCTGACTACTTCTTTGCGTCGCAATGATTATGGCTGAGCTTTCAGGCTGGCTATGTGAGAGAATTAGTGGCCCGTCTGACAGATTCTACACCTTTAGAATATCCCACGATAAACTCCACTTTAGCTTCCTCAAACTTGACTTTTCCTCGGGGTGGCAAGCGGCTGTTTGTCGTGCGTTCTTTCTTTCTTTCCTTCTGTCTTTCTTTCATTCTTGTACCCCGCGCTTTTGCTTGACTTGTTTCATTGGACTCAAGTCTTGGATTAAACCTCTCCAACACTCCACATATATATCGGATGATGAGCGGCTTTGAACACCACTGACCCCCAGGACTTTTCACACGACAATGAAATGGTCCAGATTCTCTCTGCCATGCATGTCCTTAATGTGAGCCATCCGATCTGTCTTGAGACCCAGCTGACATCGCAAGCAACATAACGATCTTCCAAAAACTACTATACAAGACAAACGGTCTTACGTCCTAGCTGAGATTATACCTTTTGGGGCTAAAGTGGTTTTCGAACGGATATCTTGTGATATGGCCGGTTGGGAGCCAGATCCTGGTGTTGTCAGTGACTTTGGGGATCGGGAGAAGGACGGAAGGAAAGATTATGTGAGAATATGGGTGAAGTGAGTCGTATCGTTTTTTTCTCAAATCTATCGTTTTCTCGTTTCCTCCCTATTGCACATGACGACTTTCTGTCTTACGAATACTTCCTCTTGACGGCCCATCGAACGCAAGATGCATGGGAAGAGGGAAGGAGGTGATCCAATCCTTCAATTTACTCTACAGCTAACATATAGTGACGCTTTACAAACTGTCGATGATGTAAATTGTAAACAATCTGGTTTGGCAGAACATGGAATGTGTGAACTTGATCTTTTCATCGATAGTCAATCATGGGCTTTGACACAAGCCGACTGGGGGATCTGTGCGACGTCATAGAGATAATGTTGTTCAACTGAACGCCTTACGAATTTGTACTTTTATGTATAATATGCATTGTCATAATTGCTCGTCAAGATTCGTCTTCAGATGATGTCTCCTCGTATGATTGTGGGAACTTTTGATTTATTTGAGATTATGCTGATTTAGACTCGAGTTGAGATAAGATATCTTTAGCCACTTTGAGGAACGCAGGTGGCATACCTGCTAATTGTGCCGCTCGCTATTTGTCAATATCTCCTTCATTGAAACACAAGTCAGACTTCATTATCCCAGTATCAGACGACAGACAATCTGCAGAGAACGTCCTACAAAGCATGGACCAGTATAACGAGGGGTAAGGACACAAATTGTGAGTGTATCAATGGGTAATGAGGAGGTAACATCTGAAAAAGAACCAAAAGAGAGAGGGAGAGAGAGAACATACGATAGCATGAGAATCATGATTAACTCCTGGACGTAATTTATAAGAATAAGAAAACGCTCCTTTTATCTCATCCACGTCGGTACACCAAAATTGAACACCTGAACGATTTCGTCCATTTTCTGTTAACATACGAGCCAGTTCATGATAGTGGGTAGCGAAAAGAGTACGGCAAGATATATTTTGTAAAATGTAATCTAACGTTGCGTAGGCTATTGAAATACCAGCATTAAGAGTTGTTCCTCTTCCAATTCTATCATCAGCATCATCACTTCATAAACTCCTTTTTGGATTCAGGTCATGCGTTATTGTCAAGTTTAGACTCCTGGTGGATATACTAGATTCACTCAGAAAAGATATTATCGGGTAAAGAAGGAGGGGGCAAGAGGTAAAAGAAAAGAAAAGTACTTACTCATCCATTATGACCAAAGATCTAGGTGTAGCTTGTCTCAAAATTGACGCAGTTTCAACCATCTCAAGCATAAAAGTACTTCTATCTCTAAACAAATCATCCCTTGCTCCAATCCTTGAAAACACTTTATCTACAACCCCTAACGTGGCTTTGTCAGCAGGAACGAAACAACCACTTTGAGCTAAGATAGCGATCACAGCTGTTTGACGAAGTAAAGTAGATTTTCCACCTTGATTAGGACCTGTGATTATGTGTAAATGATTGTCTTCGTTCATTATCGTACTATTCGGTGTGAACGTTCTTGCCGAAGATAATAATCCCGATTCGACGGAAGGATGACGACCATTGATTATTTCCATAGATGTGGATGTGTTCAAAGTGGGACGAACGTAATCTAGGTCAACGGCAGTTTGAGCGAATCCCATGGCAAGGTCAAGTTCGTCGATGAGACTGGCATTGTGTCGAATGGTCTCGGCGTTGTTGATGATCTGACAAAATCAGTCGAGCTCTGCAAGTATCTTATATGGAAATGCCGATGTTGTGAGGAAGAGACATATAATGCCTATCATGAGGAAAACGACTGACGGAGAGAGAGTGGATGTTATGGCGATAATTGATGAGAGGAAAGGTGGATATATGTGTGGAACAAGAGACACAAGTCAGAAAGGAAGACATACCATATTGCGCAACTCATCAGCAGCTTTTATCTGAGCTTTCGCCAATTTTTCCTGGGCTAGTTCCGTCTTTGCTCCCAAAGCGGACCACGGCTGTGAAATTAGCATATTTGACCCCAATGTACGATACAGAGACTCACACCATACGCATAAGCCTTCGTAGACCGACTTTCCGAGATGACTTCAAACATTTCTGATTTGTCCAAATGCACATATTCTGCTTTCTTTTGTAACAAGATATGATATCCATGGCGAAGGCCCTTGACCAGGAGCAACGATGGTGCACCTGAACATCATCAGCTCGGGCAAAGGATCTTGGATTAAGCTGACCTGTTTGAAGCCTAAGATCTTTCTGTAACTTCTCTTTCTGCTCTTGCAATGCAAGTAAACCATTGTGATGATCCTGCAGCTCTGTAGAGAACCTATTGATCAGTTTCTATAATCGTCAGACGTAGATAACACTGACGCAGGTCGGATCCACCAGTACTCATTCTCCCTCTCTACTCTTTCTCTCTCTTGTTGCTCCCTTCTTGTCTCACCTTGTCTCTTGCCATCCGAAAAGACGACAATTTGTCCACCTTCTACCTCTGATCCTCCCTCCGAATCACCGTCGTCCTCCTCCGCCAGATTATCTCTCAATAGACGTGTCTCATCTATGGACTCTTCAATCTTTTTCCCCAGATCAGATAAAGGTCTAAAGGCCGATACCATTTGTGCCAACCTGTCCGCTCCTTCAGCGGTCTCAATTTTATTTGAACTCTCAGGTGGATTACGCAGCCACGCTGGCAAGTCTTCTCTAATCCTTGACAATATACTCTCCACTGTCCGAATCCATCGACCCACTTCCCACACATCTCTCCCTTCGCCCCGACCACTACGAAATCGCTGTAGCACTCGTACTATGTCCGAGGTGGTTTTTATTAATCCCCTAATGTCCACTCTGAGATCTTCATCATCGACGAAAGCTTGTACGAGGGCCAATCGTGAGTTGATGCTTGGGATGTGGGTCATAGGAGCCGTCAAGGTACGTATCAGCAGGCGATGCCCTGCGTGGGTCATGGACCTGTCGATGACTGATAGTAGGGTACCTCTTGTCGACAACGGGGAAGCTAGCCTACTCAGAGTGGAATTCTCCTCTGAGGTGATCATACCTCCCGGACGGATGGCGTGTCGGACTTCTAAAGCGTGTAGAGTTGCGGCATCTATCTGCATCTGTAGCGTGTTTGACTGACGATTCGGTTCTGGAAGGGCCACCATGGAATCTCTCAGTGCGTAAAGGAGATGATGTCTGAGGAGCGAGATTGCGGCGGCTTCGAGGCTCATGGTGACCGGCAGTTGCGTCGATATACGCAGGTCTGTATGTGGGGTGTCGAGAATTGGTACTTCATTCGGGTCGGCAAAGGAGATATGAACTCCCGCCGCCTTGATAATAGTCACAAGGTCGTCTAAGGTGTTCATGTTGGCTGGGGAGTGAAAAACAGGTTTGAGAGTATAGTCCAAGACGATCTCACGCGGGGTTATTCTCGCAAGTTCATCTTCGAGAGCGTCGGAGGTGGTTTCTTTCGAGAAAAACTCGCCAGTTGAAACGTCCGTATACGCCAGATGAATAGGTAAAGATTCCTCGTCAGTCTTGAAAGTTGTGATCGTTTTGCCGAAGGCGATGGAGAGCAAGTATCGACTCTCCATGGTGTCCAGCCAACCTTCTTCTAGCATTGTACCGGGAGTCACTACCCTTCCCACTCTTCGATCTTTCAGTTCTTTTTCTCCCGAAGTGACTAAGTTGCCAGCAAAGTTTCGCTCTCCATACTCTTCGACGAGAACCACCGTTTGCCGGAGATCCTGAACGAGGATTCTGAGGTATTTGTCTCGTTGGCTGACGGGAAATCCAGAGAAAGGCCAAGTACCATCTTGATATCGTTTGTACGCTAGCTTCAGAGATAGTATCGAAGAAAGCTCGACAGCTGGAGCGAAGTACGACTGTTCATGTTAGCAATGCCTGCGTTTGAAGATCTCGCGAAGACGAATTACCTCATAAAACTTGCCTACTCGAGTGAGGACGATACATCCTGGAAACCTCTTATAATTGAAGAAAATCTCTCTGGTCAGAGGTGTATCGGGAATCTCCTTTCTGGCCACTGCAAGTTGATATTGCTCTTCGTCACCGAGAGACTCCTCAGACTTGTCGATGGCGGCAGTAGAAGAAGGTTCGGGCTGGGCTACAACTTAGCAGCTGAAACAAGAGACTCTGCTGCATTGAGAAAAGACGTACACTTAACTCCTTTCTTCTTACTCCTCCCTGACCGCAAAGAGTCCTTGTAAGCGGGAAGAGAGACCGCTGGTTGTCCACTACTGTCCAATGCTCGCAAAGGGAGATCATCAAAGTTGGTCACCGTTTTGGTCTTGACGGCCGGGGTCGCAAGGGATACTGAGCTCTGGACGAGCCATCGGATGGTTTTTGGGCATCGCTGAGCAATCCTAGGCCTACTGGTCGCTATTACGAGCGGGCCATAGGCTGCTCGCATCTCCTCTGACGCATTGAAAAAGTTGAAGAAAAAAGAGAGATCGATTCAAGATCCAGGCACGAAGAAAGTGAGTCAAGTTGAGATGCAAGTGCCCATTTTGGTCCATTTCACTCTTCAACATCAACACTTCATCATAGCATCCTCACCCATCTGCCAACGCTCAGGAGGAACCATGTCATCCCCAGGGTCAAGCTCTAGCCTCAAGAACATCGTCTACATCACCGACACCCCTGTACCCACCACCCCTCAGCCGACGTTCGACTACCATTCCCTTGACGGATCTGAACAGGCTATCTGTATAGACAATGGCGAGTCAAACCTCTCTACATGCCTCACTAGCTAAGTTACAGGCTCTCATTCATGGCGAGCGGGATTCTCTTCCATGAGTACCCCTCATGTGGACCGACTTAACGTCATTGCCCGGTATAAAGAGCGCAAACTAGGGAAGAATATCGTGCTGTTCGGCAAAGACGTCGAGGCAGATGCCAACTCGCGTTCTAATGTCAGACAAATGTTCGATGGTGATTTGTTAATTCACGGAGATCTGTTGGTGAGCTTCTCTTTCTTGCTCTCTCCTTACCAGTGTGCACAGAGCTCACAAAAAGGAATGTGCACTTGACTTCACTTTCAGTTCACTTGGCTTGGACACGGATAGGGTTCAACATCCAATAATCATGACGGAGAGACTGGCGAACCCTTTATTCACCCGAGGCAGTACGTATCAAGATATCCAATCTAAGACCCTTAATGCTCATACATAAGTGACTTCTGAACTGCTGTTTGAGATGTATGGAGCTCCCTCCGTCACTTTCGGTATCGACTCCTTATTCGCGTTTTCCCGACAACGACACCAAGATGGATTGTCGATAAGTCTCGGGCATAACGCAACCACCGTCATTCCCATAGTGGGAGGGAAGGGGATACTGAGCAATGCTAAAAGGTCAGTTTCACTATGCCACAGTCAAGTACGATGCTCATGTCATACAGATTACCATGGGGCGGGGCTCGGGCAGCCGAATTGATGCTGAAGCTAGCTCAACTAAAATATCCTGCATTTCCCGTCAAAGTGACACTCCCTCAAGCCACTGTAAGTTTTGATCTCAGGCTTATAAATCACATGCTAATGCGCAGTTCATGTATCGTGAGACTTGTTATTTCTCGTCGAGTTATGAGGAAGAACTTCGTTCCTTGGAGGACCCCGAGAAATTGGCTGCCATGACAACAATCGTCCAATTTCCATACAACCAGCCTGTCAGTCCCTCTTGTTTCTCTTTGATTCTGGTCGTCGCTCTGACGATGTACAGGACGTTGTAGAGAAGACGGAAGCAGAATTGGCCGCTGCAGCCGACCGACGGAGAGAGCAAGGCAAACGACTACAAGACATGCAGAGCAAGATGAGAGCCGAAAAGGTGAGCCATCATGCAGTAGATATTCGCACGAGCACCGCTGATGCTCCAGCTTACCGCGAAAATTAATGAACTGGAAGAATATAAATCGCTGCTGGCTCAACGACCCACTATGAAGAAATCGGACTTTCTTGATCAGATCGCTGAGACCACGCCATTCGACACGGAAGCAGAATTGGAAGTTTGGGTCAAGCGGACAGAGGCGGAAGTGAAGAAAAAGCAGAAAAAGGACATGGGTGAAGAAGTGGAGGAAGAGCAACCCGTCTTTCCCCTTGCCGATCGACCTGATGAAGAGCTCACCGAGGAGGAGATCAAGGAGAAAAGAAGACAACGGTTGATGAGGGCAGGGTATGAAGCCAGGGTCAAGATAAGGGAAGAGAAGCGACTTGAGAAGGAGAGGCAGGTGAGTCGTGTAGCTGAGATGACAATGGCACTGATCAAGGCTAGGATGAGGAAAGGAGAAAAGAAGAAGAAGAACGTTTGAGTGATCCCGCTGGCTGGGCAGCCCGTTTACGAGCAGAGCAAGATGTGAGTCACGCTTTCTCATTCTGGAGGCCAATTATGGTGACTGATTGAAGGCGGTGATTGTCCGAATGGAGGAGCGCAAGAAGCGTCGGTCTCAAATGAGCAATCGCAAATCTGCCGCCGCTCAAAACCGAATGAAGACACTTGCTAACCTAGCGGCCGACACGCCGCCCAGCAAGAAGAGAAAGAAAGGCGAAGGTGGGGTCTCAACAATCCTCGTCGCTGGTTACTGATAACCTAGTTGACGACGGGTTCGGTCGAGACGATTCCGACTGGGCAGTTTACCGTGAAATGGTGAGTGATGTCATGTATTCGTGTTTGAACACTCATTCTGTAGGACGGTGAGGACGAATCGGAAGCGGAAGAAGAAGATCAAACCCTGCTTGAGAGTTTGGAATCCCGTTTGCTACAACATGATCCTTCCTTCACTGAAGACGAGACTATGCAAGGTCGAGCGCATACCAAGAACGCTTTGATCAATGCTTTTGTCAGAGGAGCCACGAGCCATCGTTTTGATCCTTCAAATCCGGAACAGAGTCATCAGTTACATCTAAATGTGGAACGGATACGAGTGCCCGAGACGTGGTTCCAGCCAAGTATGTTTGGAATAGATTCTGCTGGTATTGGAGAGATTGCTGGTTGGGTGTTGAATGGTTTTGAGGAGGAGCAAAGGAGACGTATGATGCAAGTGAGTTTTCGTCGGCTCCGTACTGCTTGCTTTTCCTCTTCTCTGCCTCACTGATGTCGTTTTTACCTCCTGCAGTTGTAACACTGTAGCAACGCTGATGGTTTTGAAGAGGAGGCTAATGATAAGTGTATATTCCTCACTGGAGGATGTACGAACCTTCCCAATTTGTCAACCAGAATGCGTAACACTCTCACTCCACTGTTACCATTCCGCGCACCATTGAAAATCGTCACTTCTCTCGACGACGGCAACCCTCAATTGGAAGCTTACAGGGGAATGACAGAGTGGGCCTTATCGGAAGAAGCCAAGAAGTCTCGAGTGACAAAAGCGGAGTATGAAGAGCATGGTGGGGAATGGTTAAAGGAACATTCATGGGGAAACATACCGCCTTCTTGAGGATTCATATATATTTATGAGGTTTGGTCAGAAATATGTGTATGTTGTATCTGTTATATTCATCTCGTCATTTTTTCTTTAAGCGTTTCATTTCAATTGTCTCATGTCTGTGACTTGTCCTACAATTGTCTATCTCCGACTTTGCCAATAGCTTATCAAACCAGGAAGGCCAAATTGACTGTAAGGACGAGGTCAGATTGTCTCTCTCTCCCATCTCGCCTGTCTACCCCATTCATCATGTTCATTCCGACCTGCAAATGGAGAGGATCAAAGGATCGATAGTGTATCAGTTTTCCCCTTGTCTGCATCTATTACGACAACGAAGTAGTTGTTCCTTTCATGAATAAGCACCGACGGAGCTCGTGATGGCTACAAATAACTGCACATGCCCTCTCTCCCCCTCGTCTTCGCCAATACAACTCTCATCTCAATCTCTTCGCATTCATACTCTGCCTTCGATTTTTCCAACCTCACATATTGCCATATCACAACATCGCACTAACATGTCTTCAACTACAGGTCTTAACGCAGAGAATGACGAGCATGAAAGTAGGTTTCTTTCATTTCTTCCCATTGACAGATCACCCAACTCGGGTATTAGAAGAAGGGCTGATGGGTTCCTGACAAGCTTGATGAAATGTTGAAGGGTGAGACTTATATTAACAGGCGTAACGGACATCTTACCATCTGTAGAAACAGAAGATGATCTCACAGCATTGACGAATGAAGAACTCCTTGATCAAGGATGGGAAAAAGTCCAAACTATTACCAAACCACTACAAGATGAACTTGATAGTAAGATTTGGGCCATGAGGGAAGAATGGATTCAAGAACAACGAAAAAAACGTTTAGCAGAAAGTCCGGTTATAATGCCACAAGAACAACTTGATGCTTTACAGAGTGATCGTCCATCTACTTCAAATAACAATGACGGTTCAACTCAAGGACGTACTCGATCTGGAAGAAACTGGGGAGTCACGCGTCAACCTCTTCTACTGAATAGTAGAGTACGTGGTAGTCAAGGCGATGTAGTTTTGATTGGCTACATGGGAAATGGAAACGTACCTGTTGCAAGAGGTCGTTCGGAAGAATCTTTCGCTACTCATTCTAGTCGATCTGATTCTTCAGGTCAAACAACTCCAGTAGCTGGTACGATTGTTCCAGCTGAGGAAACTCAACAACAACAAGTCAGAGATGTTGTACCAGATACTAACCAAGCTTCTAATGTTGAAACAGTGTCAAGTTCTGATTCCGATTCTAATTCTTCAAATCATACTTCAAGCTCATCTAATAACAGTCATGGTTTTCAAGAACCTTCCTTATTATCACGACCGTTGATATTACAAGAAGCCAGAAGAACTTATTTACTTTTGAGTTCCCTGGTCAAGAGTAATGAATATGATAAACAATTATCAGTACTCGAAAAGGATCAAAAGTCCATATTGGATTTACCGGCCATGTTAATCGGTCAGAGACAGATGGATTGGAGTTACGATGTCGATTGGGTTATGGAGAGGAATAAAGAGGGTAAATTAGAGGAAATAGAGAAATGGACTGTGATACTTACGATGGATAGAGGTTTTGATAAGTATGAACCTATGGGACCAATGTTCTTATGGGAAGAAGAAACCAGAGCTCTGATCAAGGGTTTTAAAGAAGATTGGAAGAACGTAGATGGATATCCAAGGGATACTGGTATATCTGAGAATTTGATAAGAGCTTTTGGAAAGATCAGGAAGAATCGTACGACTTTAGGTGATGAGACACTGAACGATGATCCCTCAGAGTCCAAAGCCACATCCATACCAAGAGAAAAAATGACAGAAGGTGTAACGATGTTGTCAGAAGAAGAGGAATTCACACCAGAAGAGTGGAGATCGAAAAAGGCAAAAGAAGTAACAAAACTTCCAAATTCAGAAGCGTTCACCATTGAAAATAGCAAAACCAAGTATCCCGCTTTCTTTCAAATCAGGTTCGTGCCGGATTTTTCTTACACTCCCTTGAGTAACCAAGAGTTGGAGTTACCAGAAGAATGGAAGTTGCTCTGGGAAAGAGAAAAACATAAACTTGACAATCGGACATTTGAGCCGGTCATCACGGCTTCAGAAGAGAACGAAGGCAAAGATGTGAATGAAGACGAGGCATCCGAGGGTGAAAGGGGCGATGGGGAGAGATCAGCCAGGAAAAGTAGAGAACGTATGCCAGAAGGGCAAGAAGGGGAAGAAGAGGGAGGAGAGGAAGAAGAAGAAGGAGAAGGTGAGGATGTTGGGAGTCCTTACTTTACTGATGCCTCCAAGAGAACATATGATAGCGATAGTGATGAAGATAGCGAGAGGACGCGCAAACGGTCCCGAGACTTGAGATCTGTGAGCGTAAGTCCGGACTGGGACGGACTAGTGAATCTTCCGGATGATGACTTGTGAGTACCTGAGTGATGCATGTTATTATGAGTGGTCGATGTTTTGACGGAGGCGCCAACTCTGAGATTGCCAGTGGGTGACATGCCTCGGTGAGGCCATCATTGTAAAGGTCTATGTGGCTAAGTAGAGTATGAATAGGAGTATTCTACTCGTACTCAATCCACATCAGAGGTTTCACGACTCACCAGACAACTTCATGCTTCATGGAGCGTAGACATGATGTCATGACATGCACTTGTACGGTCAACATTTCTACCCCTAAAGCAAACCCGCGTCTTTGAGCTTGCCTACGAGCTCGTCGACATTCTCCACCTTCACGTCAGCCCATACCACTTGTTCTGTCCTTCTAGATAAAGAAAACGTACCTTACCTCCTCCTACGCGTTTCGGAGGTTCCGATACCGAGATGGTCTCCAACCGAGGCGTCTGAATGTCAGCTACTGTTTTTATCCCGTTGGGCAAGCTCACAAAGTCCAATCCGAGGTCTTCCGGTTTGAGAGTTTCGATCTTCTTTTTCTTCGCTTTCATGATGTTTGGCTCGTCCGTCAGCTTCCATCAACCCTCTATGACAGAATGCTTACCAGGGAGGCGTATCGTGGCTCTATGAAACCGTCAATACCTTATTGCAGCGGAAGGATTCAACAAAAAGCTTACCATTCAATCTGTAGTGTCAGCTGTACTCATAGCCTATAGAAGTATCTCTCACCTCAAATCTGTTGTCACCACGAATGGCAGGTTCCCCTCTATCTTCTCCAAACCCCCATCGATCTCTCTGGTCACTTGTATCTTACCCCCTTCCTCCACGTCCAGCTTACTAGCAAAACCGCCTTGATCCCAGCCCAACATACCCGCTAACATCCCTCCGGTACTTCCTGAATCATCGTCAATGGCCTGTTTACCACAGATGACGAGATCGATCTTGTCCTTTCCCTCTGAACGGTCGATGACTTTCTTGATGGCATGAGCTACGCTGATGGGCTCTACCACGATGCCTTCAGGAGTAGTGATATGTATACCTGTATCAGCTCCCATAGCGAGGGCTGTACGAATGGTATCTGCTGCTTTGGCTGGACCGATGGAGAGGGCGGTGATGGAAGTGACAAGTTTTCCTTTACGTTCACGTAGCCTTATAGCTTCTTCCACGGCTAGTGGGTGAGCTTATTTTGCAGTTCAGAAAGAAGCTTACCGATCTCATCGAAAGGGTTCTGAAAGCATCAGCAGCGAGCCCAATGAGGACGTATGCCAGGATTGAAGACCAACTCACCATTGAATGCTTGACATTGGTATCGACACCTTTACCGTCCGATGCCACTCGAATCTTCCTGAACATATAAGCTCTGGTAGCGTTATCAGCAACAAAAGGGAGCTTACACGGCATAGTCGATTGATCGTTTGACGGGGACGAGGATGTTGATTAGTCTAGGTAAGGTAGGGCGCATATCTTTGTGAAGGATTTCCACAACGCTCAATGATCAATGAACGACGAACAGCAAGGAGAGACGAGTTGCAAGTTGATACAGTGACCGGTAAAGCGGCCGAACTGGATAATCCCGGCCCACCTTTAATTAATCCCGTTGAAATTTTGCCACTTTCTCCCAAAACCCGTCACTCAACCCGAGGATCTTGTCACTGCCAACCCAAATCTATGCAGTATATAAAACTCCCCTTTTCTAGGTTTTCTTGGTATCAGCAGAATGCCTGGGAGCGTCTGAATCTATTCATGCTACTTTCGGAACGGTTTTCCAAGAATCAAAGTCGCAGAAGGCGATAATGTGCTCGGTCCGAAATTGCGACTTTCGGCTCCTCCCCCTTTCGGACGAATTCGGAAGTTTTCGGGTACTTGTACATGCTATATTCTACATTGTTTGTACTTTGTACCCTATATGTACTCACTACAGACCTCTCACTGCACATGTACTCTGTCATCCAATCATGCTCATCTATGCTTTGGAGGTACACTCACTGCTGAATTTCTTGCTATGTGTTGATGTTGTTTACGCGTCTGATGGTGATGAAGGGTTGATCAAAAATCTACTTTTGGACTGGCTGACGATATTTTTTGCTTCGTCTCCTTCTCTTCTCTGTCCTTCTCTTCTCTCTCCATCTCTTTTCATCTTTACATCTCTTTTCATCTTTACACCTCTTTACGTCTTTACGCCGCCAAAGTTCACCTTACACATCAGTTGAGCTCATTGCTATCATTAGCCTGTTCACTACTCCTGCTATCTAACACCAATTCTCTCTCACAATCTCTTCCTCACCATTCGAATCTTTCCTTTCCCTCTTTTCTCCTCGGTCTCAAAATCCCCTGACAAGATGGGCAACGAATACAACCCCAAGTCCGATAAATCAACCGTTACTCCTCCGAAGGGTGAGAAACTGCACCCGGATCAACTTCATTTCCAGAAATTTGTTCAGCCACAGCACCCGATATGGAAGAATGACAAGTCGCTGCAAGCATTCCAGGCTCAGCTTGGATTCTATCTTCAGCCCTGGTGGCACTCCCACCCCAGGCATCTCCCACAAAACGCAGGGAAGCTTGGACTTCGGGAAGCGACTCCCAAGGAGATGAAGGACAATGGCCTTCGGGCCATTGGTAGAGGATCCACGTGCTATTCGGCAGCCGAACCAAAGAAGCCACTATCTTGTCATAGCTCCTTCATTATTCCCGCTTTTACATATACGTGAGTTCTTGATCAGTCTTTATGGCCTCCGAATTCGGAGTATCTCAGAACCCTGGCGCTGATCTCAGAAATAAAATTCTCAAATGTGTCAATGTCCCCGAAGGCAATCTTGTCTTCCTCAATAGGTGGACAACCGAATTTCGTGTCTGTGCTCATTGTTACATCAACACAAAGACTCAACTACCGTGCTCCTTCAAGAAGAAACCGGTTGAAGAGCTGTTCCGCGATCCGTCCGAAACCGGAAAGAAACCAAAGAAGGTCTCTCAAGTTGAAGAGGATAGCCCGGATACGTCAAGTTCCGAATCGGGATCTCCTTCGGACCTTCGATCACGTTCTCCTTCCCCCGCTGGCCCATCAAGAACCCGCACCATCAGGACTCGCTCTGCAAAAGGGGTCACGAAAACGAAATCTCCTTCTCCCCCCCTTCCTACCAGCAAGAGCAAAGGGGCAGCCACGTCAAAAGCACGTGGGTTATCAGATGTTCCAGTGCAGGCACCTCTCACGCCGAAGGGCAAGGGGAAAGAGGTGGCGCCAAGCGATCCTCAACGTGGTGTTAAGCCCCCGAAGAACGGTCCGAAATGGGCTTTCAGAACATCGAATCCAAGGGTCAGTCCAGCTCCCACTCCTTCTGCAGCGCGTCCCCAGTCCGAAGTGAGTCTTTTGCCTTTTCACCCGAATCCACCGAATGAAGGCTGACTCTCAGGGCGAAACCGAACTCTCCACATCCGGCTTTCCTTCTCCGTTGCTCGAGGAACCTGAAGAAGCCTTAGGCCAGGATAGCTTAGGCCAGGATGGCCCTCCAACATCTCCGGAGCGACCCAATGCTCGACAGGAAAGACCAAAGTTCCCTCCTCGACCTCCGAAAACGCTGAGCAATGTTCCCGAAGTTTCTCACTCCGAAACTGCTCCTCCTCCTTCACATCCTGGAACTTCGGGCCTGCCCATTATTGTTGCAAGTAGTCCTGTACCTCGTCCTACAAAGCGTCCATTGGAAGAGGCTGAAGACTCTCCGCTCGAACCGAAACGCAGTCGGCAGTCACCGTCCGAAAAGAGTCCAAACCCACCCGAAACGGACGCCACCCTCCCCCCAGCGGTGCATCATGTACCTTTCCCTGCTACTGACCAGGGTATCGTCTCTTCACCAGCTCCATTCACTCCACAAGTAGCCGCAACAGTTGGAGCTCAATTTCATTCATCTCCAGTAGGCCCTCCACCCCGAAGAGACAAAAGTCTCACTCCTACTGTGCTACCAAGCCCCTCCCCGGCCCCGAAATCTTCTCAACTGCCAAATGCCGAAGCCGGGCCGTCCGCTCTCCTCGTCCCAGTGAATCGTGAAATTGGTCCCCATCCTCCCTCGCTCGGTGGCATAGCAGCAATGCAGCAGTGGTTAGCTCAGAAGGGCCGAAAGCCGTCAGGACTGCCGAATCGTGCTGCTCCCAACATCTCAACCGGCAGTGCAACATCGAAATTGTCTCCCAGGCAGGCGGCTCCCCCCCCTTTCGCTTCCCAGTCGGTACCGCCTCATACTCCTCCTGCAACTGCCGTCGTCCGTGCCCAGTCCGAAGTCGGGGTTCCTGGCCTTCTCTCCCAATTCGGTCCTCTCCCCTCTTACAACGCTCCTTCGGGTAGTGCTATCAGTCACACCCCACAAACCGAATCACAAGGTCCACGAAATCTTCAAGGTCAGCGTCAATTTCTCACCAAAACGCCTTCTGTTCCGTCCCTTGATGAGCCTGCTCCTGCGATGGTTGCTCCTTACGTTCCTGAGCCACCGACTACGTTGCCTGAAGTAGAACAATGCCTCAAACTCATGAATCAATTTCAGGTCACCCAGGCTGAGTTTGAAAAAACGTTCGCTTCCCGGATGGTATCTTATGTTTCGGACATGATGGACTTTTATAAGGATATCAATCGCGGACGTTCCGAAGCCTACTCCGAAAGTCTTCAAAACACCATTTCGGGTGTCAAGAGTGTCGATCAGATGTGGAGTCAGTATAAGGCTCAATTTGATTCTGTTGTTTCGGAGAGGGATACTGCTCAGGGTGAGGTGAAAACACTGGATCGGTTGTATAAACAACAGATTGATAAGAATGAGGAACGGGATGTGGCAGTCACTCGAGTAACTGCCGAAAAGAATGCCGAAATTGCGGTGATCCGAAGTCAACTTCTTGAGACACAAGAAGGGCTGAAGATCATGAACCAGAGGTTTGCTAGTGCTTTGGGGGAGACAGAGAAGCAAGCTCAGGCTTACAAAGCTGCGGAGAAACGGAGCACCGAGCTGGAGGCCAATATGAGGCAGGTGGAGGAGAAGGCCGCTGCCGAAGTGCACGCTCTCAAAGCTCGCATTTCGGAGCTCGAGACGGCAAACGATGCTGTTCAGAAGGAGTTGGCCCAGGCCACAAACTTTGTCGCGGACTGTGTGGACGTTCAGATGGGCTTGGAATCCCAAGTGAAAGACTTGCAGGAACAGGTTAGTCAACTGGAGGGCAACGCCGAAAGGGATGAATATGAGTTGGAGAGGGCCAACTTCAATATCAACGATCTTGAATCAGAGCTTGAAGAAGTCAAAGAGCAAAATTCTCAGCTACGAATGAGGCTCCAAAATGAAAGCCAACAATCCCAATCAAGTCAGTACTCTAACAGACGGGGAGAGCCCTTAGTCACAATGCATTCCCACCTGGCTTAAATGTCCTGCCCACCGCTCCAACCTCCGAGACTACACCTTCGACCATCCGTGTTAGTATTCCCACCATTCCTTCACATGAAGACCTCCACCCTTCTCAAGAATAGGGGCTGTAAACCCAATGTCACCTCTCTTTTGTATGTATTCTTACAGATTTCGGCTTTCGGTCTACGTTTCGGGACTTCATTTCGGGTTATGGTCAACTGTTTCTGTTTTTCCCTTCCATGTTTGGATGTCAAGATGTTTCAATTATGTGTGAACTAGTACATATCATGCATTTCATGTCTCTGCCTGCTTGCCTTGGCCCATCTTTCAAGACTTGACTGCTAGGACTATGTTGGTTCCAGGGCTCATATGAGTCAACCAACCGAAATGGGCATCTTTCGGGGGTCCCTTCTTCAATCTTATGAACTGCCGGTGTCTTTGCACGCACATTGAACAATCCTGCAGATTTTTCATCCTGTGTAACATCCAAATCATATTCATATGCATGTAAATGAGCAGAGTTCGGGAGGCTGAACCGTGCTATCAATCGATATTTGCAGGAAGGCAAGTACTAATCCGAAGTGAGAGACTTTTCGGACCGCTTTGCACGCGGTGCAACCACCTTTCTGATGCAAGTGTTATTCGTTTCGGAATGAAGTTGCATATCAAAGATGAGTGACAGAGGCGATTGTTTGACATCTCTACAGACGATCTATGTAATAAGTCATGGGAGGCACACACTTCTCCAGCTGTTTCTTCACTTTCGGAGTGAAGAAAATCTCATTTGCTGGATCCCTTGCAGCCATTGCCAACACCAATTGAAGCACGCTAGTTCGGAGCTTCCTGCTCTCGCCCCTAGCTAGATTGGATGATTTCAGACCAAGAGCGGAAGCGGTAGGTTTGATTCCCTGGAGAAGAAGACATGCAGCTGCACATGAGAGAGGTCCACAGCTATGAGAGTCGACTTGAGTAGCCCATTCAAGACTGTCCCTAGTAGCCTTCTGTGTCAGCCATGAGCCCCGAAACCTGCAATTACTCACCTGAGAGTTCACAGCAACCAACCAGCCCATTGCCTCGGCTTCGGTCGCTATTCCTTTCTTCACTTCCCAATCCAGCCGTCGCTCTAGCAGATGAGACCATTGCTATTGATCAGTCATGTCATACCTCAAAGTAGGATCTATGAATAACACACCTTCTTCTGCTCTGGTGAGTCATAGATTCCACCAGCACCATCATACATTAATACCAGCTTTTGAGGCCCGAAGATAACCAATGTTCCGAAATGTGATTTACCCATCAAAATTCCAACGGTGATTTCCCTTCTCCATTGCCCATCCTTGCCAAGTGAGAGCCAAGGAGTACCACCAGGTGTGTATGGATTCCAGTTGTCCCCAGCCGCTAGTGTTCGGTAAACAAATGAGCTTGGTATGGAATCAGACTTTCCAATCCCAAGGTTGACACAGCTCCGAATGAATGCTGACACTGACAGCAGAATATCATCGATCCCGAAGTTTGTGTACCACTTCATCCGTCCATGAAACTTGGCCAAAGTCTCTGCATCAAATGTAGACACTAGACCCTGTAGTCTCAACCCCTTTCGGGTCTCCTCTTGGGGTGAATCCCTCAAGCCAGCTTCAATCTGGCGGGATAGGTCCTCGACGAGTTCATCCGAAAGGCTATCAACATCTTCATAAGTGTTGACAGAAATGAGAGGATGATGGGTGTCGCCTGAACGCCACTGAACATGTGCCAGCCTTTCAGCAATCACTGACTGAGATTTCTCAAGTAGACAGTACTTAGGGACCAGAGGTTCGGGAGAGGGGTCTCGAACTTCAATAGGGAAGGCACTTGGTGGGTCGATGTCCATGGATGCAGACGAAGAGGCCGAGGACTTTGAATCGTTTTGACTGACCTTGACAGCTTCTGGGGGGCTTTCGGACACAACCTGGGATTCACCCTTCTGTAATACGTCATCTGATAAAGATGGCATGGTTTCGGGAGGTTTGTTGGCAGGTAGCTCAATATTTTGGGGATCTGTGGACATGGTGGGGTCGGGCTTGTGAAGGACAACGTCTGGCTGTCCTGCAATGGAGTCTGTAGGGGCACTGATGGTTGTCGAGGTCTTGGAGAGGACGACTGTGGCTGGGATAGGTTGGTTTTCGGTCAAAATCGGAAGGCGCTCACTTGGAGTGTTGAGTTTCGGAGGACGAACTTCAAGTAATTCCGAATTCGGAGCCTGACTACCTGGTCCCTTTAATTCCTGATTTTGAGCTTTCGGCCCTTCGGAAGGTGTTGAACCAACACCAGAACCTTTTGCTGCTTCGTTCACCTTGGAACTCGACTTGTTCAGTTTTCTCTTCTTGGCAAGGGGTTGACCGGCCCCCTGGTTGACGCCATCTTCAAGAGCATAGAACAGTAGGACTGGGAATCGTGTCCCAGTAAATGCGTCCCTGTTGAGAAACATGCGAGAAGTGGTCTCATCATCAATCTCCCACAACGCTACGTCATCCTTGATCAGAGCCACATAGTGGCCACTGGTCACCTGGACCGTATCTCCCTTTCGGCAGAGCATTCCCTTGAGTTTGTACATTGGCAGATTAGTGGGGAGTATGGTAGGAGGGACAGCCGAAATCTGAGCCGGGTTGATGATGTTTGGAATATCAAATGATTGAATTACTTGATGCAGAGAAGAACTTCGGAGGTCCCAAACAATGTTGAAGAGCAACATGGGCGGTAGGTTTTCCTTGTGAAGTGTCATTTTGGCTCGAGCTCGAGTGGGCGCTACTCTACCATCACAAGGCGAGGAAAAGCAGTGTTGGGGAGTGCATGAACGCCACAACGATAGATTGATGAGCTGAACAAAGTTGAGTGACGATCCATGTGGATAGATCTGCAGGACAGACATTTGTTTCTCCAGGTTGGGTATCTCTACCGCGACCGGGGCAGAGTGAGCACAGGGCTGGAAGACGTAATCCCAGGTTACCCCGAATTCGAAGGTTTTCCGAATCGGATTGTGTTCAATTATCTGATTGATTCGGCCACTCAGGTTGAGAAACAGTTCGCAGGGATCATGTTGAGCCTCTTGGTCTATCAAATTCTCACCTGAACATCAGCAATGAAGATCCGGAATAGTAGACGGGCTGAATGAAAGCAACATACTTCGGAGAAGGGGGACTATTTCTTTAAGATCGACTACACGCTTTGATACCGAAATTGCCTTGTAGAAGTCTTCGAGAAGGACAATTAACGAAGGAGCATGAGGCCGAAGAGCGTCTTTGATTTCATTGAAAGCCGTCACAAAGGCTGGGATTCGGAGAATCACATGAAACAAGGACAGGGCAAAACAAGATTGGAGATAATTCTTGGCCCCAACAGGTCGTTCTCGCGAAGGGAGGGCTTCCCGACGAATACCAGCTTTTGATGGGGCAGTCTTCTGGCGATAAGGATGTAACGCACGATGAGCCGCGGGTCGTCCTCCCTTATCAGCCTCCGGTTTCGGTTGGATCACCGAAGCAGTATTTGACGGTTTCGGTTGTATCACCGAAGCAGTATTTGAAAGCGGCTCAATGTTTGCGGCCTGGAATCGGTTTCGGCGGCCAATTGGGGAGTCAGGCTCCACAAAATCGAGGTTGGTACTGTCGATGCTAATGAGCTTGCCATGTCTGGGAGGTTGTTCGGAGGACCAATCATGCCACACAGGCTCTGAGGGGTCATGTCCCCAGTACGCCACAAGGTCCTCTTGATCCGCTGAATATGATAGGTCGGCTAATCGCCGTGAGAGCTGCGCAGCTCGGCTCTGCATACGTATTTCATTTGATGTGACGCCTCTTGTATAATCTTCGGAGGTACCGCAGTTCCGAAAGCAGTAGAGTGCCCACAGACCAGAGCACCTTTTCCCCGTTTCGGCAAAATACTTGCAGGAGCATCGCTCACGAGTTTCGTCCTTCACACCACAGTAATGTTTGTTGGCAGAAGGCTGGCCCGAAGTGTCTGCTGTCACACAAAATGTGTGCTCGAACTGGCCCCTTATCGAGATTGGGATCTCGTCTCCGAAACATTCATGTACCGCTTCTTGCTCCCACAGTTCAAGGCCCCGCAGTATGTGTCCAAGAACAGTAGGATCACAGCGGCCAGAAGTGGGTGGTGAATGGAGATACATGGGGAAGTAGACGTCAATGATGATGGCGAGGAGTTTGTCGGTACGTTTGTTTGCACGAGATTCAAGGAATACTCTGTCGAACGTCCGAAAAGCCGCTTCGACAAAATTATTCGTTGACAAGGTACCATCCCGGGTGTGATGAGCTGGCAGACCATAATCAAGAAGGTAGTTCCTCCATCTGTCACTGAACCACTCAGACAGGAGCCAAGTTCGGATCTTGTCCCAGTTTTCGCGGTTGTTATTGCTGATTGAGACAACCTCCGCTTCGAGCTGCGCAAAAGCCTCTGGCCAAGACTCTTCTTCACTACACCGTTGACATCTCCGAAGTGCGACCAGGAAGGCAAAAGCCTTTTCGGTCCCTTGTAGGTCGCTGCCAAATAAACGAAGGGCTCGAGATCGGGCGGAATGCATGAAATGGAACTGGCACAAGCGAATCGGAGCACCGGGGAATACGTGCTCAATGGCATTTCGTTCCGCGTCATCGCAATCGATCATGAAATGGAGAGGAAGAAAGTCGTCTTCGGTGATGTCTTCGGCATTAAGAAGGATTGTTTCTGAATCCTCGTATTCGGACACCACGGAGGATTTGCCCTTTACCAATGCTTTTGCTTCCTTCTTGATTGCCTTTCGGACGACGGTCAAAAACTCAATGTATGTATCAGTGTTCGCGTGGTTGGAGACCATGACAGCAACTGTCCCAATATCAGCTCCGAAATGGTCAGTTTTCGGAATGCTCACCCGGGACCATATGACCATACTCATTCACCGTTGCTAAAAACGTCACAGGACAGCGTATAGCATTCTTATTTCGCCACGATGAATCAAGGAAGAGACCCCGGTCTGAGGCATGGCGAATGGCTGATTGCAGAGCGTGCTTCGGACTGACAATTGCCACAAAATTGGTGTCTTCGGGAAATGGTTGCGCTCCACCAAGAACGAGCGCCCTGGGATATTCACAGCTATCAATTAGCTAATGATTCTTCGGAAAAGAGGTAACACACTGAAGAAAAGATTCCGGATTGGTAGAATGTAGGATACTAATTGCTGCAAGTGGGAGTTTATCTAATCTTTCTTGCCGGAGCGCTGTTCTGATTGCTGTTTGAAAATCGTTGGTAGTAGGCAGACGCTCGGGGTAATTTGATTTCACCCACAAAACGTAGGGGTGTATTTTGCAGAACGAAGTATACCACCGAATTCGGAGACGGGATTCGGTGGTTCCCACGAGTGTCGCAGCGTCATGGAGCAAGTTTCGGAGATGTGGAGAAATGCGAAGCAATGCCAGGGGGTTTGGCTGTCCGTGATAGACAGCTTTGGGGCGGATGAGGGTACATACGCCTCTTTGGATACTCCTGGGTGTCATTCGTATCTGAAATCAGCATGTGTATTTGGATAATGTGGGCAAACCCCACCTCAACGAAAAGATCACACTTCGGACGGGATTTTCCGAAAAGCTTCTTCTTCGGTTGCGAAGAAGCGTGAGGAACATCTTCTGCTGTTTGACCCACGATTTCGTACCCGGATTGTTGTTCCCTGGCCTCTGACTCTGGTTGAATCTGGTTGCAGTTGCCGCTGCACCGAAAGACAGAACGCCAAACCATCCGATCTGGAAACGTAGCCAATGCCCTTTCGTCGACAAAAAAGAGGCCGTGTCTCCCCCGAATGTCGGCGGGCAATAAGCCTGGCGGATCCAACCATTCAACTTCAACACATTTTGAGATATACTGGGCCTCAATGAGGTAGTCCTGGCGCTGAAGTATCAGCACAGTTTACTATCCTAACGAAATGCTGACCAAGGAGTCAAAGGCCTTCGGAATATGATGGAATGCAACTTCAAATTGTTCATACCGATCATCATTTACCAGATCGGGGTTTGGTACACGGCAGAAGCCATCAAGACGGCGTATGCTGTGTCCAAGACTGGCGTCGAGGCGGGGTGCCTTCACTTCTAAGACTCGAGGGGAAGGAATTGGCACGGAGTACGATTCGGAGGAGATGTTGACAATTCGGAGCCGCCCAGCAGCCTCTTGTCTCGCTGTCATAATCTGATCATCGATAGACATGGCTTCTCCGGGATGAGAGGGCGACCATTTTGGAACAGCTGGAGAAGGATCAGGCGCCGAAACGTGTCCTGATGATAAGGAAGATGCGGGGGTTCGCATCACAAGTTCAGTCCAGGACCCAGACTCTGGTGAGGCAACAGCGATGGCAGACACAGGAGGGATTTCGGAGTTGACTACTGTCAGTTCACACAAGGAACATAATCAAGAGAACCCACGGGACTGAGAGTTAGGTAAGGACATGATGTCAGGGGGGACAACAGTGAGATCTCTGTGTGTACTGAGCTGACCCTGGGGAGTAATTAAAGAGCGAGATTGATTATTATGACTTGGCTCAGTCTGACTGCTGGACGAAGTACCAATACCGAAAGATGGAGGAGGAGCTAGGATGTGAGCAACCTGAAGCATTTTCAAGAGGAGAGTCCCACGATTTAAAGGTGACTGAGACCGAGGAGAGTATACTTTGGGGGGTCGACCTGGAGTAGCCGATTTCCTCTTCAAGGCGTTCACAATGAGTTGATCCGCTTGATTATTCCTGGACATGAAGTAAAGTCAGGAGTTCGGAAGAGTGGACAGACAGTATTGACATATTGATGAAGTGAAGAGAGTGGAAGAAATGATGCCTCAACAACGCCCACTAGTGCCTGGGGTTGATCCAGATATCCTTTCGGGGCGCTGTCCGAATTCGGTGATCAAAACGCTGTCTCGTGTAAACCATTACGAATTTCGGATTTTTACCTACATGAATGAGTTCAGAGGACTGCTGGCAACGTTTTGATATGCGACAGAACATGCATGAGTAAGTATTCAGTGAATGGGTGGAATTTCGGTATACCAACGAGATTCGCGTTGGCAGTGACAAGATCCTCGGGTTGAGTGACGGGTTTTGGGAGAAAGTGGCAAAATTTCAACCGGATTAATTCGCGCCACGTCGGGATTATCCCTACGCGCGGTAAAGCGGGCCCGGCAGTAGGAAAGAAGGTTATCAATGTCCGACTAACCCGAAAATACCAAAAGCCAGGTGTAATTGTGGCCCCGCATCGCGTACCCCTCACCTCTTGGGATTCTCACAAACCCCTTGACCCTTGACGACTTGTTACATCGTTCTCACCGTTCACCCCCACCACACAGAACGCATAGTAGCATGACTAGGACTCAACATCATCATCACAACACCCCCCAGTTTCCTGTCTACTGTTTGGACTGGGTCGACGACACAACTCTTATTCTCGGCGGCGGTGGTGGAGCTTCTCGATCAGGTATTGAGAATAAACTCGTGAGCATGACCGTCAACAATCTAACGAGAGCTCATGTTCTCAGAAACTATGCAGAGTCTCGAAAGATGGAAGAAACGTAAAATACATCAACGAACTCAAGCTCAGTGGAGATGAAGATGCTCCAATGACATTAGCCATCGACCGGAATGTGCGTCATGGGTCGACGTGGAATGCACAGGCTGATAATGATATAGAACAAGCAGCTCATCACTGGTATCAACGCCAGTGCAGCTAGTGTACGGGAAGGTAAAAACGAACAGTGTAGGACGTTTTCTTTCGGGAATGATAAGTGGGTGTCCTATCGCCTGGTTTAGCTCGAAGAAAATGAGCTGATTGGACAGATTAGAATACGTCAAAGCTGCTGGGACAATTGATGCCATTTGGTCCGATGACTATCCCTATCAGGTAAGCTATATCCTCTTGAATCAAAGCTGATAGTCATAGAAACTTACTGCGTTCTCGACAAAGCTGAGTCTCGTAGCAGTGGGGACGACAGATAACCAAGTTTCGATATTGAGATCACCTTCTTTGGAAGTGGTCGCTCCTACGTTTGCTGTGGATGGCGAGTTGGTCGATCTGGATTGGGGCGGTGAAGGTGAAGAATGGGTGAGTATCGTTCCTATATCGTGTCCGCTGACCTTTGCAGTTGGCAGTGACTACAGATGCCTCACTCTGCATCTACCACGTGAACACAAATGACAAGGTCACTCTGGAATTGAAGCAAACTATTTATCCGCCCAGTCTTGATATATCCCCTGTCGCTTTCCGTGCTGCTCGGTAAGTCCTCAAACTCTCTGCATCTGGTACTTCAGACGAATTTGACTTTCAGATTCTCACCTGTGAAGGTCTCGCCGCCTACCATTCATGGGGTTTTGAATGTTTCCAAAACACCAGCCAAGAGAGGTGCGCCTCGGAAAGCTTTCGTGGTATCTTTCGGTATCGTAGCAGGCCCCAGCATCGCTCCACTCGTTCTTGACTCCTCTCAAGGTAGCACAGTCAAAGGCAAGGAGAAAGAAGGTAGTGACTTGGGCAAATGGGACGTCTTGGTGAAGCGTGAAGTAGCTGGAAAGCCAATCACAGTCTTCGATGTCAGGTGAGCAGGTTTCTTCTTGTTACGAACCACCACGCTAACTTGTCCAGCTCGGACGGACAGTTGCTAGCATACGGCTGTTCAGATCTCTCCATCGGAATACTTGACTCCAAGACTTTAGCGGTGAGCCCGTGTCAATCTGCTATTCTTAAAATGCTGAATGACTAGCCCCTTCTCAAGATCCTTCACGCACACTCGTTCCCTCCAACCGCGCTCAAATTCAACCCTTCAGCATCATTGATGGTATCCGCTAGTGCAGACAATACAATACGAGCAGTCGTGGTCCCTGCTTCATTTGGTGGGGGTGAGTTCACCCGTGTTCATGGACTGAAGCGCTTCTGTCTCAGCTGACGGTCAGTGTCCATGACACTCATTGCTCTCTTGGTGGCGATCCTGGCTATCCTAGTAGTACTGGTAATGAGGAGATAGTAATGACATTGTACCCGATAGGGTGTTATACAGATGAATGTGATACGTCTCATGAAATGCCTCCCATCAATGAGGCATTCAAGATGATTTGGTCTCATTGGTAGAAGGGCAACTTGTGCGGTCCGTGCCTGTCTCACCTCCCCCCCCCCCCACAAAGACAAACACCTTTCTCTCCCCATTCACCACTTGCTCTTTTACACACTTATCTTGTTCTGTCCACCAGTGCACCCGGCGTCACTCGTCTCCAGCAGTCTCCCTCACCATGGACCACGGTCATTCAGGTCATGACGGCCATTCTATGCCCATGCCTCACGATAAACCCATGTGTGCGGTCAGTGACGTTCTTGGCCCTTCTTGCCACCCACCCTCAATCAGATTCTAAAGCAAGCTGACCACCCAGATGAACATGTTATGGAATAACCAAATCGCAGATACATGTGTCGTCTTCAAATCATGGCATATTCATGGACCATGGACTATGGTGTTATCATGGTACGTCATCCTGGCTCACTTGCTCATCCTTCCTCTCCTATGCGCCCTAACCCCCTAAGCCGTCCCCACTCCATACATACCGACCCTACAATCCAAAAAATCAATCTTTCAGCCAATGTTCTCTCTGTCTCATAGATGAGTTATGCCTGACAACCAGTATCGCTGTCATCGCCGTCGCCATCTTCTACTCTTTCCTACTTCATCAGATGAAAAGACTGGACATCAAACTCGCTTATGGCCTGTCCAATTCCGCTGGGAGGAGAGAGGGATCGAGTACGAGGAGAGAAAGTTTGATTCCACCCATACCTACTGGATATAACGCTATAGAGACTGGTAATGTCAAAACGAGTCTGTGAGTACCTTTCCTTACAAAATACCTTCTTCCCCACACATACCCAGCTATGAGCTCTTAGAGGGACCATAACATGTTCGATAATATGAGACTTGTATTTGTACAGGGTCAGTATCGCTTTAGTACTGATGAACAGTACTCGATTACCTATGCAGGCTCGTCTGTTCCGAGCTTTCCTTTATGCCATGTCCGTTACCATATCATTCTGGGTAAGTCTCCGTATGAAGTTTATGACCCAGTTGACATGATAGTTGATGTTAGTCGCTATGACATACAACACTTTCCTCTTCTTTTCCATAGTTGTCGGAGCATTCATAGGTCATGTCATGTACGAAGGGGAAATTGATATTGGGTAAGTCTCTTCCTCTTCCTCGTCGATCCTCAGCGGCTGATGCATAGGTCTTTGCTGGGCGGTGCCGGGGCCAAAGGTCTGGCTTGTCATTAGACATCATCTAGATACATGTTGTGCATAAGTAAAGTCATAAACCACTCTCTGACATATCCTCACTCATCAGTCAAATCATTCGATATGGTAAATGAAGATCAAGAGCAAGTAGTGACGCGATTTACTGTCCTCCTTTGATGATCTCCTTGCTAATGCTCTGACTTGTCGCAGCGTCCCGAACACGGAGGAGGCGTTGCCGCTTTTCAACTCCGACCAAGAGCAAAGTCCGACAAAATTTCTCAACATACGAGTGCACGATGACTTCTCAGTATCCCTATCATCTTCTTAATCACAACATCTCCTACGACAACTCGTCATATTTGTATCTCCAGCTCGACGTCCCCGCTGTTATCCTCCAGGCTTCACCTCCCACACATATACTTCTCGCCCACCCTTATCTCATTCTGCTCTTCTGCTATCCAATTACCATTTGTCACACCTTCAATATCTTCACACTCCTCTTGGCTATCTCCGACACAGCCGTCACTCAATCGACATCATCAGGTCATTGCAGTCTTAGGATATCAACATCTTCCCATCGCTACCGCCGCCATCCCTGTTAGGATCTAGAACCAGACCCGATCGTCTTCTCACTATCTTGACAGATGCCTGACGCCGAGAAAAAGAAGAAGGAATGGCTGGGTCGAGAGACCTTTCCTACAATCTGGCTGTTTATCTGTCTCATTTTCAACTGGATCGGCATCCTCGCTCTGTTGATGCTGGCTATCGCAGAGCTTGTCATCATAGTGAATAATTGGAAGACGTATCACGATACCTACGGATACAAATATCGTGAGCAATACATGCACTACCTCTACCCGTCTCACTCCCCGTTTCTGTGTCGACCGTGAAAATCTTCTTTTCTCAACCTCCGTCCTTGGTGTGGCATGATTGAGCTTTTGCACTGACTGCCAGCTGCTTCTGGTTATATTGGTGGGTCAACATGTGGGTTTGTGGAATATACCAATGCACCCAAACATCTCGGATCTATTCTCTGGACTTTGGCGTATCAAGTGGGTACCTGTATTTCCATTCGTCCCTCATCGTCGCTAAGTACAGGTGTCTATTATAATATTCGCCTTAATGGCTATCGCTTCCGATTTCGCTTGGCGTAATGCGAGTTATAATAAATATGGACAGAAATTTGTTCAGTGTAAGTACATCCCATCTTTCCTAACCGCATACTCGAATCTTCGCACAGATCAAGAGCGATCGTGCTGACAAGTCTACAGCTTTCTATGCAGAGGGTATAATGACCGGTGAAAGGGACAAGAAAACACGTTTACCATTTTATGTCGTTGCCAACGCCTGGTTGAAATTCTTCATTACCATTTTATACATGCAACAGACCTTCTATGGCCTTCGAGGTGGATCACACAGGTGCGTGTCATTACCTATCATTCTACCCCATATCACATACACGACATATTTTTTTCCCTGCATTTGTTTTCCTAGACACTTACAGACGTGGATTCAACCAAAGCACAGTTAGAAACTGACTCATAGTCCGTCAGACTGCCTTGCGGCCTCTTCCGTAACATCGGGAAGTGTGACAGCCTCCACATCAACTTCAGCTTCAACAACAGTATGGTGGTCCCGCGATTGGTCAGATAACTCGAGGTCATGTAATGTAGGTACGGTCGTTGAACCTGGTAGATCACACGGAGTGGAACTTTGGGCGTTTTGGTGTGGATGGATTGTTTTTGGTTCTATCGTTCCTTGTATAATTGCTTTCATCGTGAGTTTACTGGCTTCACATTTATCCTTCCGCCTTCAAATCCACTTGAACCTCAACCCTCCGCCACGTTTCGGTTAAGGCTTGTCTATACATCCCACTTGTTGTCGCATTCTCTCTTTGGCTTATTGACTCCCCGCAATCCGACCGAATCACATCCAGTCAATTTCCTCTGCTTGCTTTCGAGAAGGAGCGTCGATCTTTCTGCTAGCCATTGGAGGATTTGAATAATCTTAACTGACTACAGTTTCTCGTCGAACACGCTGCCAACAAGAAGGAGGGCACTGCTGCTGCCACAACATCATAATCACAAAATATCCAATCAGCCTTTCCCGAAGTCAGGTGTTTAGCGGCTGGACCCGATTTGCCCCTCCCTCATGTCTGTGTGTATGGATGTATGTATAAGAACGGCGAAGTTGATTGGAGAACGTATCTTGAATTGTACAGTTATGTCATTTCTCCAAGAATTGCTCCCGACTTCCATACCCCATGCCCTAGCAACTTGATCGCTCACTCCTACATATAGAGTACATACCTGGTTCATGGCCGGATGACCTTTAGTGACTCACCCAATCCGGACTCTTCGGCCTCTTTGTTTTCTTTGATCTCACTCGTCATCTCTCCTTTCGCTTATCATACAGAAGATTAGATAACAGTGTGATAAATGGACGAGGTAATTATTGAATAATCTGCATATTCACTGACTAATCACACAAAGCGAACATCCTGTCAATCCTCTAAGCTCTAAGCGGAGATAAGTTTGACACGTTCTTCCAAAGGTTGAAAGTCTTTGGGGTGGGCGGGATTACCAGGGGGACCGATAGGGACACCGAAGGGCAACAAAGCGGTACACTACCAGTCAGCTTCGGACACCAGCTGTAGACGAGATAAGAAGGTGACTCACCCTCCAGGCGGCAGGAACTTTGCAGAGCTCGGTGATGGCGTCCTGAGTCTCTTGGCTATATTGAGCGTAATGCTGAAGACTGGCACCGAGACCTTCTTTCTCGAGAGCGGTCCAGACGATGTATTGGAGGATTCCGGTGGCTACGTCAGACCATTGGACAAAGGCCTGGAAGTTAGTTTAGCTCTTTGGTGAAAAGTGTGAAGCGGTCACTTCCGTAATGGATAAGGATTGGGGTAGAACGGAGTGAGTGACTATGACCAGAGTGGGAAAATTGATGTGATGAATGAGTAGTGAGGGTAAAAATGTGGCGCAATATCTCACCTCGGCGACGAAAGGCATCTTCTCTCCCCAAGCCTTGACAACGTCCATGTCTTCGAAAAAGGCGACGGTACCGTATCCAGTCTTGAAAGCTCCGTTGACACGACCGCGAGCTTGTTCTTCTTGGTCCTCTGTGAATGTCAGGGATATTTCTTTTCTCTTGAGACGGAAGTCATTCATGAGGGTTTACATGAGACAAAAGCGACGAATTGAGTAGAATAGCGAGGATTGAAGAATGAAAAGGCTTCAGAGAAGAACGAAAACTCACTGTCACCACCGAGACCTTTGAGATTAGTCTCGAGAACTTTCTCCCAAAGCTCTGCATGAGCTTTTCCAGTCAAAACGACCGCACGACTCTGTTGCATGTTGAAAGAGTTTGGTGCGTGTTTGACGGCACGACCGACGAGAGCGACGAGTTGTTCATCGGTCAAAGGGGATTCGGCTTTTATGCCATAGTATGAACGGCGGTTCTTCATGATCAGCCAACTGTTATCGGTTTCTTTTTCAATTGAGATCGATAGGAGGGGGGTGTGGAAAGGGAAGGGAGGGAAGAAGGAAATGAGAGGGCGCAAATTAACTCACCTCGACAGCATCGAAGAAAGCCGCTGAACCAGAAGGGTTCTTTGGCTCTTGAGTAGCCGCAGATACAGGAGTAGGGATAGGCAGCTTTGCGCTAGCCTCAGCTTTGTTTTCACCCATGTGGAGAGTTTTCTTCAATTGACTAGCGAGAGAGGGCATGTAAGTGTTAAGCTACTAGATTGGATAGAGATGTAGGTTGGATATGAATTAAGTGCGTGAACGAATATATATGAAGATGAGCTGCGGTGAGTCGGATTGTGATTGGATGAGGAAAGGCGAAGGAAGTTGTTGTTGAAGGAAGAAACGATACGACTTGGTGAGGTTTAAGTAGTTGAGAGACCGAGTTGGCGGGTTGGGTTTTAATGGGAATGCTTACTGAAGCACCGTGAATGATGGCGTACACGTCATTTCTAATCGGAGGGCGCAACTCGAGAGGATTTCAGGGTTCAGGGTCGGAGCTCGGACTTGCTTTTCAAGCTTTTTAAAGGAAAAACTTTAGTCAAGCCCCGGCCCTCGGGCGGAGCTAGCGGGATTGAACTTTTTTGTAAAACTTACTAGAATTTTCTCCCGTTCTCTACGGCGGTTATTTTCTCCTTATGGTCAATGTTGCATGTTGCATACTGTATGGCTTGAATAAAGAGTTTTGAAAAGTGTTGAGATTTATGAAGTGGGGAAACTGGGATTGATACATTTGGATATACCAAGTTGCAAGTGAGAGAGTGGTCAATCTCTGTCTGCTCATAAAAAGTACCGAAAGAATCCCAGGATACCGTCGTCCAGCTGTCAAATCACCTTTGACAGCTGAACTCCTGAAACTTCCATCTTTGATCGTCAGTCTAGGCGAAAGGTACTCACATGAAGCGCGAGCGGCTACCGGCTACCGGATCCGATGGTTTGACACCAAGACCGTCGGTCAACACGTCATAGGTCGTGAGAATACTGAGAAAGAGTTGATTTGATTGATGTGAAACCGTGCTTCTTCCTATCTGTCCAGTCGTCTCATGTAACAGATCGTTTATTCTCTGCTTGCTAACTTCCATCGTCTTGGTCCAGGATCCGCAAGACCCATCAGAAAACAACTGTCAATGAAGCCGTCTGATCGTCAAATTGCACCTTACGAACAAGTCAATCGTCTCTTCTAGCATCCAAGATTGATCCCTCTTGGAACGTTTAGACCTTTTGATCATCTCACCTCTCCAACCTTCGTATACTCGGTACACATAGAACACTGCGTAAGCATATACACGCCATCAGAAATCATGTGGAAATACATGCATGTTTCTAATGGTACAACCTAAATGTGTGTGGAGATGCGGCAATGATGTACGTGAAAGTCGTTCACCGATGACCCGAAATGATATCTATCTCCCGAACCTTTGACACTGACTATGCTTTCTTTCCCTTTTTCGTCTTCGGTCCTTCGGCAGATGCGGAAGCGCTAGTGGTTCGTTTGGCGGTAGGAACGGTGGTGGTTCGTTGTACAATCTTGGATCTGATTGTGACCTGAGGTTTGCAAAAATCTCCTTCTTCCACCGCTTTGCTTTCTTCATCGTCGGGAGATATTCCTTGGTCTTCTTCAAATGCGGGGACAGAATCGATTGCTCCTCCATCACAAAGAGCTCCCAGGGCTCTGTTTTATCAGTCAAGGGCCGATTTTCGTTCGTGTCAAGTGGAAGCAGACGGAGAGAAACGAAAAGGAACAAGTCGGGAGAACACCTAACGATGAGAGGATAGAGGAGAGAAGCAGATGAAAGAAGGCGGAGAGGGAACTCACTCTTTATACACCTTCCTTCGATCCACCCATTCTTTTCGCCATTTCACAAACTCATCATCAATCCTCTTTGCGTCGTCTTTCGTCAGAGGCGAGACAGCCGGTTGACCACTGTCTGTGGTTCGATACGGAGCTAAAGCTTTGGTAGTTAAGTCGTTCTATACTTTTCAGCTCTGGGGATAAACAATAATCTAAAAGGCACATACCTCCGCCCGCAGATTCTCTATATCTTTTCCTAGATCTTTCGTCTTTGGTAAAGCCATTTTAGATGAAAGCTCTGCAACTCAGCTTGTATCTCCGAAGGTCGTGGATAGGGACGGAGAAGGAGGAAGAGGGTACGGGAAAGAATATCGCGAGACCTCACGAGATTGTAAATCTTTCAACTCTTTCCTCTTCTCTTCTAGCTCCCCTTGAACTTTTTTGAGCTCCGTATCAATCGTGTTCATCTGTTTACCCGATAAAACAGGTAAATTATTCTTTGTATCATCAGCTGGCCGAAATTCTCGATGCCCAAGACCAACCTGATTGTACACGAAGACTTGTTGTTTGCCGTACTCTTTCTTCACTATCTCGCCTCGTTCTGTTCATCAGCACACTTAGAGTCACGAATAGAAGAAAGACGTGAGCACGTACCCGCTAGAGTTAACATGATCTTCTGTGCGGCAGGTTTAGGGACTTTGTTCTTCAAGTTGGCCGAGACGTCGGCTTTGAGATGAGTTCTTTTCTTTCCGAAAGAAGGACGGGCGCACTACTACTATATGGCCTATTGACCTGAAGTATCAGCTGAGATCATTACAGCCAGATCCCACATGTTATAGGAGAGAGATGGGTGAAAAGAATTTCGAAACGTTCCAACGAGGAGAAACCGACACTCACCGACTTGAGATATTGCAACACCATCTTCTCTTCAGCGACATTACACTGGACAGCTATCAACTCACTTCTTCTGCTGAGATGATGTCAGAGACGATCTTAGGATATTGAAAAGAGCTCACCCTCATCGCCTTTGACCGCCTTCTCTTTGGCTGCTTTGGGTGGCATATCAAATGTGATGCAGGATGGAGAAACGAGGTGGTCGCGTGGAGTGGGGGGGCACTCGATTTTGAGTGGGGGAAATGTCATTGAGTGTGGCGAAATTGACGCACTTCTCTTCGATCTTCTGTCTCCGTCTTTCTTTCTATCCTTTCTTCACTGCCACAGTAGTACTCTGGCCTCTGTGCGTTGATCGCTTACTCTCTATATCATATCAGTGCAACACGTCGAGATCTGGTAGCCCAAGATGGGTCCAAAAGCCCTCAAGGAGGATAAAGTCAGTTAACCGTCGCAAACCCTCGGACGAAGAGCTGATCAGTAGACGTTCGGGATGAAGAATAAGAACAAATCAGCAAAGGTCAAAATGCAAGTGGCGGAGATCAAGAAGCAGCAATCTATGGCGGGGAAGAATAAGGCTGATGTGGGTATCGCCTTTGCTCATCTTCAATCCCAATCTAAATTCCGTATTGGGTTCGAGCTTCGACTGTTCTACGCGTGCTACTTCAATTGGCATGCTAGGGAACTGATGGGATGGTCGTTCCCTTAGAAGCAGACGACTGACGATCAGCTGGCCAAGGAAAAAGAGAAGGAATTGAGGCTAAAGGCCAAAGAGGCAGAATTGCAAAAGAAGAAGATGGAAGCAGAATTGTTTCGTACTACAATTCAACCTCAGAAAGTGCCATTCGGTGTTGGTCAGTTCTTTTCTTTACCGTGTTGTCCTATGTGAGCTGACAATTAGACCCGAAGACTGTAAGTAACTACGATTATGTAACTGCAGTTTAAGAATAAGCTGAGATCCAAGGTTCTATGTCAGTACTTCAAAGCTGGCTATTGTGAAAAGGGTCAGTTTTCAGTCGGAGAGAATTTACGCAAGCTGATGAAGAAGGAAACAAGTGCAAATTTTCACATGACCTCAATGTCGGACGTAAAGTGGAAAAGGTCAACTTGTACCAGGACACTAGAGAGACCGAGAAGGAGAAGGGTGAGTCATGTCTAACATTTATCGCCGGCATAATGGGTGAATCAGGGAACTTGAAAAGTTGACGTAGCAGATTTAATGGAGACTTGGGACGATGAAAAGTTGAAATCGGTCGTGGCTCAAAACGCCAAGAAGCAATCCAACGCTACAGACGTGAGTTTCTTTGCACGGTTCTCAGGGCCTATATACTGAAAGATAGATCGTCTGCAAATATTTCATTCAAGCTATCGAGGACAAGAAGTATGGTTGGTTGTGAGTTATCCTCTGCTCCGTGAGAAGGTATGCTAACAAGGTAGCTGGGAATGTGTGAGTTATACTTTCTCCATTAAGGGAGCAGAGTACTGACCACAGCCCAACGGAGGTGATAAATGTCATTATCGACATGCTCTACCCCCAGGATTCGTCTTGAAAGCAGATAAGAAAGCCGCGGACGATGCTGCCAAAAAGAATGCTATATCACTAGAAGAGTTCTTAGAAGTGGAACGACATAAACTTAAACCTCCACTCACACCCGTTACCCCTGAGACCTTCGCAGCGTGGAAGAAAAATCGGATAGAAAAGAAACAAGCGGAACAAGAGGCGATGGACAAGGCCAAGGCTGTACAGAGAGCAGCAGGTAAGATGACAGGTATGACGGGTAAAGACATGTTTGAATTTGGCGGAGAGCTTTATGAGGATGGGGACAATGAGGATAATGCTGAAGATGATTGGGATATATCAAGAATGTTGGCGAGATACGTGAGCTCTATTCTTCTCTTCACTTATCAGTTTCATTCGCTGACTTTTCAGCGAGCAGAGGACACCCGACCTGAGGATGATGTGAGATTGGAAGACGAGACGGATACGGTGGAAGAGGTTGCAGGACGAGTGGCGGAGGTTCAGGTGAATGGGGATGGATAAGTGTGTTGTTGGATTTGAATGCTTGAGAAGGAGGGGGAAATTTGCACAAGGGAAAGTTTATTTGCATAGTCTTGAGCATTGTTCATATGATTTTGCATGCAGAGTGATAGTAGAGTACTCGTAGTCTATTCAGGAAGTACCATGCATGTAAGCATGGTCGTATGACGTATTCGAACCGTTTTCGAGTTTCGATATTCACTCCCGCCACTGACCTCACCATCCACTTCACTTCAGCTTTATCACTCTACATCTCGTCCCTTGTCCCCATCGTTGCCTGTGCTGGCTGCCTGTATCTTGCATTTCAGAGTCAGCGCTGGTATCATGGACATACAAAACATCACAATCACATCCACTCAAATCGTTCCCCAACCTAAACCACATACGACGTATACCATACAAAGTGAGTCCTTCTCGTCTTCTCTAGCCCCTTTCCATACCAACCTTTCCCTCATGTCTCCTATGAGGATCAGCCATCAGTCAAGACTGGTGATATTTCGGGATCAATAAGATATCTGTATATAGATCAGGATGACGTCAAAGAGCTGGTTAGACAGACAAAGCGGAGAGAGAGGTCATGGTAACCAGAAGGAAATGAGGAGGGAGATAATGGGACTTGGGGAAGAAGTACTAATTATATAGTCTCTACTCCTACGCGAACATGGACAGTCAACAGACGATATAACGATTTTTTGGCTTTTCACGATGAATTGAAATCTTCTACAGGAAAAGAACCTCCGGCTCAATTACCCGCGAAACATACTTGGTCTCTCACACGTAGTGTATACGATGACAAGGTGAGTTTTGATATTACCTCCTTTCGCCTCTATCTAGTCCTCCATCTTTTGGTCTGTCACTTTATCCACGTTTCTTTCAAAACATGACATTGGGTAACTTATCTTTACCCGACTCCTTCATTGAATCTCTCATTCATATGTCGGCCGTGTTTCCAATCGCACGGCACACGTATGTTCACAGTGTCACCAGTCGTATGTCCACTCCATCATATCCTTAGATCAGGTTCAGAAACCCAATATCATATGTTGTCATAAACGTCATTACTCGTTCACTGACATACAGATTGTTCGTGAACGTCGTATTTTACTAGAACAATACCTTCGTACTCTTCTCACTACCAAAGATCCACGTTGGCGACAATCTTATGGTTTTTCAGATTTTTTAGCAGTCCCAACACCTCGAGCATCTTCGTCCACCGAACCAACATCTTCTTCAAATCTATCCTCTAATTTACCTCCACCACCTGATATTTTCACAGCTACCAATTGGCTATCCGAACAATCTCAAGTCCAATCTCTCCTTCGACTCGTACGTGCCGCTCTTTTGAAAAGGGATGCATTGGCATTACAATTATCCGACGCTTCCGGTTCTCGTAGTGCTGGTGTTCAAGCCAAACGATTATTGAAAGAAGTTTCTGTCCGTCTTTCGAATCTAGAAAAAGGTTTGATAAGTTTATCAGGATTGGGGGAAGGAGAAAACAGAAGAAGAGAAGAATTAATTGAAGGTTTAAAAGCTGAAAGAGATAATTTGAATAGAATGTCAGAAACAGGTATAAGAACTTCTGGTTCAAATTTCTCATCAAGTGCAGGAATAAGTTCAGGAGGTAAAGATACTATGCCAGGTGGAATAGGATCGATTTGGAATACGAATCCTCAACCTGGTAGAGTATTTGGAATCAAGAATAAACCTCAGGAAACGGAAGAAACCAGACCTTTGGATGAAAGAGGTTTAGTTCAATTACAACAACATCGTATGGATGATCAAGATCAACAATTAGGTGAATTGAGTAAAGTTTTACAGAGACAAAGAAAAATGGGAGAAGAGATACATCAAGAGATTGAAGAACAAAATGAAATGTTGGATCATGTTGAAGGTGAAGTGACGAGGGTAGGAGGAAAGTTGGCAAGGGCGAAGAGACAGATGAACCAATTGAAGTGATTTCATACGACTCTCACTACCTCTTTCAATCTTTTTCCATTCACTATCCGATATTATACACCTCACATAAGCCTTATCACTGCTTCGCGCTTGGATTCGTATCCCGACAAAAGTGTGATTGGAGTAGGTACAAAGGGCATTGTGTTGGAAAAGAAGACAGATGGTGGCTTTGGTTACGAATAACGACGCACGATATGGGTAAGAATGTGGTGAGTGTCACTTTAGTCTTCTCGGGTGTAGCGATGCTATAGTAATTCACATCACACTATCATCTAGTCTACTCACAGTACATACGCCTCTCACTACATGATGACTTGATGTTATAGCTACACTTCACTCACTGATGTACTTCACCAACTACTTCACAAATATGTTATACCCCGTTACTGTCCCCTTTCGACGCCTTATGCCTGACTCGGATCTCTTGCGGCAAACGGAACGATCTCCGGCTGGCTCCCAACGGGGCTCGATACCAGACAGACATTCTCCACATTCCCTCATTACCCATCATTCTTGACTCCCACCGCATCCCCCGGGCATCCCATCCTCATCACTGACCAAACCTAACCTCTTGGCTCCCTCCCAAGCGGCGGCATTCCTAGCTGACTTCCTTCCGCTCCTCGTCCCATGCCCCATCATCTCTCCATCAACCTTGCACCCAACCTCCCAAATAGTCCCTAAATGACTCTCTCTCCTCTTTTCCTCCCACTCTACCAACTTCCCCTGTCTAGCCCCATAAGCCAACAACAAACCGGACATTCCTATTGCCGCATCGTCCGCTCTACGCAATTCATCCGCATTCATCTCAGCAGAAGACAAGATGACAGCTTGATGACGCTCATATTGTCCAAGCATATGACGAAGGAAGAAATCATATAACGGTTCGTACATTTCTTTCAGCCATGCGGAGATTTCTTCGAGAGCTTTTGATCTGGCCGTGGGCGAGGGTGGTGCGGAGAAGTACAAAGCGGCGATGTAGGCTTCTACCATTGCTGCTCTGACGTCGGTTTGAGCTCTGAGGACGGGGAGTTGATTTGGGTCACCGCGTAATTTGGATGGGAGGTTGTATAGACCTGAAATATGGGATAGGGTGGCATTGGAAACGAGATGAGCTTTGAGTTTCTGCTAGTCAACCTGGGTTCTTTTCTTTGCCCCGTTTACATCTTCCATCATGTGCCACCTCACATCTCTTACCATCTCACTGACCTCGTTCGTATCTACCAAGACTCCCCTTTGATCAACACTGTCACGGAGACTGAGAGGTTATGAAGATGGGATATCCGAATCATGATTGTTTTGCGGTCAAGTAGAAGGACAGTGCGAAATCGGAAAAGTGGTCGACAAGGACAAGATAATCGTATTTTGTACTCACCGTCGCAGTCCCACAAGTCAAACCAGGTTTCAAATCATGTAACCAAGTAGTCACCACCATCCCCAAAATCGAATCTCCAACATGTTCCAACTTTTCATAGTGTCCATTCGAATCTTCAAACTTTCCTTTAGCTTTATCGAACATACTACAATGAGTAAACACCGTTTCCTCCAGAATTGGATTGGTGATGATTGGTAATGGCGGTAAAGGATAAACGGGTAGTTGATCCACTGGTAATAAAAGAGCACGAGAACCGGTGGGATCTTTGTATCTTTTACTTGGGAGTGGTAGAGGTAATATGGGACCTAAATGAGAACGAGTGGAGATTGTAGATGATGATGAAGGGGAATTTGCTCGAAGTTTCTTATGAGGAGGGATGTCGGGATAAGAAGAGGGATCGTGTTGACCACCTGTTGATACCATTTCATTCTTTTCTTTATGTTGATCAGTCGTCATTTTCTGAGAATCAAGATCCTTGGCTTGTAAGTCATCCCAAAGTCGCTTTTCAGCTTGTGGCTGGTGAGATTTTCGATTGATCTGCACTTCGTAGTCCTTCCTTTTCTCTTCCACGGAATTTATCCCTTTTGGCTCTTTCGAAGTAGACATGGGGGACACTCTTCGAGACGAGTGGATCGGAGACTCGCTCATATTGATCGTAGATGGGCTGAAAGAGATGGGTTTAGGAGGAAGAGCATGGATCTGACGATGATTAGTCGATCGGTGGGGAAGTGGAGGTGGTCCCATGGATACTACTTTTGACTCGTTTTTGATCGACATGGTGCCCCATCTTTTTGGGTGGGAATTCGAAGAAATCTTGTCTGATTGCGAGTTCAGTTGTTCTATCGATTTGGCGGTGATTGCGCCAGGGTTTTCAGTCATATTTAAATACAATGATGAGAGAAAGAAGAGACGAAGAGAAGAGAAGTCAGGGCGTTATTTTTGTACCCGAGTAGTGATCGAGCACGGATCTCTGATGATCTTTGATCTTTGGTCAACACGTTGATCTTGATATTGCTACGAAGCCATTATCATTTTGCCATGACTATCCTGCTCCATGATAAGTATATAGCGACCTGAGTAACGTTGCATACGATATGAGTACCATTGGTAAGAAAGATCATGAAACTTAGTATATTAGCCAACCAACAAATCAGTTGATCAACCCATCACTCTACTCATCATGATTCCACCTCAACATTCTCTTAGCTTTTGAACAATCCCAAAAACCTTTTCTGGGATTATCCAACCACCAATCCTCATCAACTTCAACATCTTTCCAATGTATCTTCATCAAATCCAAACTTCCGATCGATTGTCCCCCTCCTTGTTCTCCTACCTCTTCTCTTTCTTCACTGTCTCCTGGCTGCGATACGAGTTGACACATCTGTGAAACAACTTCCATGTCTTCTGTTGATCCAGGAGTGAACGGAACTTCATGACATATTTCAGGAGAAACGATATTGAAAACTTCATGTCCTTCCCATTCACCTTCCGTTATAGCTGCAAGACACGCTCTTGCTATAGAGGAGTAACTCACCCAACCCCATAAACCCGTAGGAATGGAAAGTGATTTTGCGGTGTCGTATGAGGTACATGCCATGTGAAGACGAAGGGAGGAGATACGTGATCCAGGGAATAATCTGGTCAAGGCTGAAGCTTGTATTTCTGAGATTTGTTTCGAAAGGGAATATGGATCTTCCTAGTCAAGGTCAGCTATCATATCCACATACCACCCATACCCTACTTCATTCCCATTTAGCCATTCTACCATTCAACCGTAGGAGTGTATCACCAGGTGACATACCGCGGTACAGTACTGGCGAGTAAATGTATCATCCGGAGAGAGAGAGAAGTGAAATGAAACAACACGTGAAGAGATTTGACAAAGGATGACGAGGGGAAGTAGTACTCGAGTACCGAAGGGGAGGAAAGATAAGATGGGATACTCACAGGTGTACAAGGACTATCCTCTGTATAAGGTAATTTCGGAAATTTAAGTCTTTCCAAAGCTGTAAAAACTCCACCAGTAGCATTGACCGAACTTGCCTGAACTACCCTCTTTACACCTTTCGAGAGAACAGTATAAAGTACATTATAAGTTCCTACGACATTATTATTATGTACTTCGCGGGCATCATGATCATATGGACCAGGAATACCAGAAAGATGTACTACACCATCCAAAGTGTCAATCTCATCGAGTAAAGTTTGTAATGGTCTTACTTGTGTCAAATCAATTTGATAGAAATTGTAATTGGAACTTGTAGGTAGGTTAGAAACCACGGAATCGGTCATGGGAATTTTGTCAATGGCCGTCACGGTGTGTCCTTGAGATAAGAGGTGAGTAAGGACATGAGGTCCGATACGACCAGAAACGCCAGTGAGAAGAATGTGCATGATGATGGATTAAAAATGATATTGATCAAGTCAGAAAGTGAGGAACAGTTGACAGCGAGTCGAGTGACACGAATGTGTTTTGTTGACAGGTGACATATTGGAAAAAAAAAAACGATTTTCCTTTGTTAGATCCAACCGATGTTGATGGTGTCAAAGGAAAGGTTCCATTGAAATGTTGAGATTGGGGGAAAAGGAGGGTAGATTGAGATCGCTTGGTGATTGATGATTACTCTAGCTCGATGATGTTGGCTGGACACTACCAAGTAGTGTCACCAATAGCCAATACGAGTAGCCGTACAAAGTAGCTACGAGTAGTAGCTGCGAGATGCAATTGAATTCAATTGCGAATCAAGTGCGAACTGCGAAGTGGAGGTTCGGAAGTCACACTCCGGTTAACGAGTACAGACTCCGACCGGACCGAGGCTTTCAGGGCGTGCGGGGTGGGGTGAGAAATTTACAGGAACGAAAAGCACGTCATTTCCATCAGCGGGCGTTGTTAATTAGGGAAAAGCGGGGGACGGACTCAGCTTCGTCAGCATTACTCTAGCAGTCTAGCGGATGACTACAACTCATCCTCATCCTTTGTAAGGAACTCTGTAAATCTGAGGATCTGTGGAAGTTTGGTAAGGATTCGAAATGGTTAGATCACAAAGCAATAGTTCGGTCTGCTTGATGATCAGACTTACTATGTAGGCTATATATAACAGGGGCTCATTTCTTTTTCTACTCACATCTCATCGTCCACAACAACAACCATTGACCCCTGACCTTCTCAAGCAAACTTCAGCTTTACCAATCCTCCTACATCTTACAAGTCCACATACCTTCTTGTTTTATTCACTCAGATCACGACAAAGAAACCCATCGCAATGTCCGACAAAACTATCTTCTTGACCGGTGCCACAGGTTACATCGGAGCATCTGTCGTTCAAACTCTCCTCGCCCTTCCTAACCCTCCTAAACAAATCACCGCTCTAATCCGGTCCGAAACGAAAGCGCAACAGTTCGAATCATTTTCGACTCCCAAGACCGTACTCAAAGCTGTCATTGGAGATTTCAGTTCTCTCGATTTGATCAAGTCAACCGTCGCCGCTTCGGATGTAGTGATATCTTTGGCTAGTTCGGATGAACCCAATCATATCAAAGCGATCATAGAAGGTTCGAAAGAAAAGTTGGAAAAGACCGGAACACCAGTTTACTTTATACATACTTCTGGTTCTGCCATTACTATGGATAATGCTCGTGGGTTGAAGACTTCCGATGAGGTGAGTAAATCTTCTTTTCTCATTACTACATTTTCACTTCCCTTCTTAATGTCTTTGAAAGAACTGTGATATGTTTGGACAGATCGATGTTGTGTGCTTGAATCAAAAGTTGACTTCTTGATAGATCTTTACCGACCTTCCTGCTTCTCAAGTCTCACCCCCTTACAATGCAATCGATACCATCCCCGACACCGCATTCCATCGTGACGTCGATCTTATCGTTCTTGAAGCAGACAAGAAAGGTTACGTTATCGCTTATATCGCTATCCCGCCTACCATCTTCGGATTAGGTAAAGGTCCATTGTATGATACTGGTTTCGCCCACAATTCATCTATTCAAATCCCCTTTATGATCAGAGCAGCTTTGGCGAGGAAACAACCAGGTGTTGTGGGTAAAGGTGAGTAGTTTTACACCTCTTCTAATTTTTACTCTCAATCTCAATCACCACAACCTGTCTCCTTTACTACCCACGTCCATTCTCGCCGCTATATACACTCTGATATTTACTCTGCGGCTAGTCAAAAGATGGAAGACCCGGAGTTGACTTACAGGTGTCAACTCTTGGGCATACACTTACCTCGGTGATGTCGCTCGTCTATTCGCTATCCTGTACGAAAAAATCGGAACAATCGGTCATGGTCATGACGGATATTACTTCACTGACGGAGGCGAATACAATATGAACGAACTTGTCGAAGCCATCGGGGAAGTGCTCAGCTCCAAAGGTTTGGTAGCTTCCACCGAAACCACTTCTTTCACAGATGAAGAGATCAAAACATACTTTTTCGGTTCAGAATTTATGGGTACGAACAATCACATTATCGCTCAACACTCGGCTCAGATCGGTTGGAAGTCAACGGTCAAGGGTAAAGATGAGTTCCTCAAGTATGTTCGTGAAGAGACTGCGAGATTGGCTTCAAAGTGAGAAGATGTCACCGTGAGGTAGACCTAAAACAGAAGGATGATCAGTGAATAAATCTAGAATGAGGGAGGAAAAGGAAGGAAAGTGATCGGATCAAGTATAATCATGTCGGTTTATGCACTCGATGTCGTCAACTAGTTACAATACTAAATTTGCAGCTTAGCGACTTTTATGCATCAATGACCAAAGAAACAACACTACGTGGCCATAGTGCATGATTGCTGGTCACAACACTTCCTCAATGATACAAGCTGCATGCTGCACATGCTATACCGCTTCACAAGGACATTTAGTGAAGTAAGTAGGAGAACAGCCTAGAGCCTTGGACGATGACGTTTGCGCATCAACCACTCGCATCTCATTCTTTTCAACTTTCGACTTGTACTCTACTCCCTCATTCCTTACTCCCACATCATGTCAGGTCTAAGTATACACAAAGCAGCTCTCGAAGGTTAGTTCACTTACATGCTTGACCCTTTGCATCATTACTAACATCGTTAGGACAACTAGGACTGGCTCGATCGTTACTTGCTGAAAATCCAAAATTGGTCAATACCAAAGACGACGTCAGTCCTCGACCATTCCTCGACCTTCGATGAAGACCTGGCTCTGAGAACGTATCGAGTGGACTGACACATAGGATGGTAGAACACCTTTACATTGGGCTGGAACGACTGGAAATTTAGCTATGACACAGTTGTTGTTGCAAAATGGGGCGGATATAGAAGTCAGGGATGCTATGGGATGGACGCCTTTGATGGTCGCTAGTGAGCATTTCTCCTCCTCTTCTCTCCCCCATCTGACCTCTTCCCTCTGTATCCCTCATCGTGATCTCCCCTTCGTCCCACCTTCCCTTGTCACTTCATCAAGCAACCTGCTCAAACTTCCGGGCCTTTGTCAATTGACGATGTACCCAGTACTCATTGATAGCCGCTTCAAACCAATATGACATAGTCCATGAACTTCTCTCTTCCGGTGCACAAGTTGATGCAGCCAACGAGAAAGGTCAAACTCCATTGTAAGCGATCAAAAAATTCCGAAACATCTCAGCTGACGAAAGAGACATTATGCCGCTTCCAGAGGACACATTCCAGTCAGCATGTTGAAATAGACCGAACAAGAGTCAGAGTTAATGGTCTAGATTGGAAGACTACTCATTTCCAAAGGTGCCGACGTGAGTACCTTCGAGACATTACCATGCATCTTGAACCATCTGTTGAAAGATACTACCGATGAACGCTGATAATTAGATCAACGCGAAAGATAGAGCTTCACAACATCCTTTACATCGGGCAGCTACTACTGGTTCAGAAGCTTTTTTGAGATTGTTATTGAATCCTCCTGAAGGAAGACCGAAGACGAGGTTGAACGGTGCGGACCGAGCAGGTGAGATCGACTTCTTTCCCCCATTTCTATCATCCACACATAGAGCCATCTCTGCTACACATATACCTTACTTTCCTACTCCTCTTTGACTGCGTATTGCTATATATTGACTCACTCAAGTCCCACGTTTGTTCGTCCTCGGTCGGGATAAAAGGATTGATCGGACTTATAAACAGGAAACACTCCACTGCATCTCGCTATGGAGTCTGGACATGGAGCGGCAGCCGTCGCTCTCATTGAAGCGGGTGCAGATCGAGAACGAGTAAGTCTACTCTCTTACAGTGACAAGTCGCTGATATCAGACAAATGTGGATGGTCAAGTTCCAGAGGAGATCGAAGGTGTGGGAGAGACTGAGCAGAGACAAGTACGACAGTTTGTCGTTTCGAAAGTTGGGCCGAGAGAGTAGTCCTCAGACTGAATTTGGATTGCAGGCGAGTTGTCATGCATCTGGTATATCATCGATCTCAAGGTTCCCCAGGTAATTATTAGTGAGTGGAAATCAAATCAAGGAAATGGGAAAAAGGAAAGGCCATAGCCTGCACAGGTACGCTCTTCATTGTTTTTTCCGATACTCCTCTCGAACTCATGGGTCACAAAACAGCAGTGACTTGTATGACAGATGCGCCTTCTATGTTCTCCTTTGTTGATGGTTTCGAGCTCACTATCAGACTACCTGACCTGTATTTGCTCCTTTGAACCGCATATTTGCTTCAAAACAATCCTCTCTCCGTCACTACTCAAACACGTCTCGGCCACTGAAGCCTGTCTGACAAAGACTGACGTCACACACCCCATGGAACTCCTTTATGTCTACTGTCATAACACCTCAATTCCCCCGGCCTATAGCGTCCTTTCATTCGGCGGACTTGAGCTCGACAACATGTCCGACCATTGCCGACGTCTCGATGTCCACCGTCGCTGTCTCTCTCAGGTCTTTGCCCTCAAAACACTTTCCCTCTCTTTCCCTCTCTACGCTATCACATATATCTTTGATATCTCTTGATTGCTCTTTAAAATCATCAGTTTCTCATACTGAAGTAACAAAATGCCCCTCATGGCACTGATCAACTGCAAGTTCAAAAGAAGAAATACACCGTCCGCTGCTAAACCTATTCAAGAAACTGGGATAATTGAGCAGCAAGACGAGCAGGGCTTTCTCAATTTGTATAAACCTGGACCATCCCCCTTGACGTATAATGAATGTACCCCCGCTTATTTGTACGATATAAACTTTGTATTTCCATTTCATATACTCGAGACCGATCATGTGAGGTTAGAACCGCTCATTGTGAGTCCCCCTCTCCTTTTCCCTTCCACGAGCTTAGGCTCAAATCTCGTTGGACTCCAGTCTTGCGATCACTCCCCTGTCATTGAAGGAGAGGGTGGGGCGTCAACCAGTATGAGAGAAAATCGCACGTCGGAGAATGAGATGGGGGGAGAGAGTTGTGAATAATGTTTAAAATGTTTTCAGCTAATGACAGCCTTCCAAACATCTCAGAGGCTTCTTGTCCCTTCCCGACGATTCGTGGGATGTTCTAGGTGATTTGGGACCATATGACAAGCTTACCGCACTTGAGGATATCGAAGAATTCCGAGATGACGAAAATTCCCTTTTGATGGCGGTGATTGATAAACAGGTCGAAGCTGCTAATCCGGGTCACGAGGGTGCTGGCTTTGCTGGGATATCCGGTTTGACAGAGGTGGATCCTGAGACTATGGTGAGTCATTTAGTATTCTGCTTCCACTCCCTCAAACACTTCGTAACGATTAGCCCCACCTTTCGGCATGGGAACATCACTCCCTATTGAGTCCCATTCTCATCTTCATCCCCATCACCATCTTGAACGTCGCGTCTTGATCATGTAGATCTTGCAAGTCGAATGATCTTCATCATATGTCTAAGACACTTCGAGCTGAGAGACTGATCTACAGAGTGCCGTTTACGGACTTGTCAATATTCACCCCACCTATCAACGTACCCACATTAACACTCACGCAATGTATCTCTCCCTTACCTATCTATTCGATCACCTCGGTCTTCTTAGGGTTCAGTACGACGCCGTCACATTCGCCGAAGCTAGCATTCGTGCTGCTATCCGATTCGGTTTCAAGGAAGAAGGTATTTGTCGAAACCTTCATGGTATAGTACCGGTACATAAGAAACGTAAAGGTGAAGAATGTCGTCAGAGTCAAGATCTTTGGTTGAGTAGTATGACTATTGAAGATTGGGATAAAGGAGCGAAAGAGAATTTAGAAGAGATGATGAGACGTCCTGTTGTGGATACACGTAAGAGGAGTTGATCCATTCCGTGTCTTGGAGAGATGTCACTGAAATGGAGTACGAGTGACCCTACTCTACCAATACTCGTCGTCCTCTTACGTCCGCAGAGTATGTCTGCGAGGGCGAGTAGAGTAATCATGTATACATAAGGGATACGATTTGATGGATGATGATTAGTTGATTGATTGATGCACAACTCACCTTAAGGTTAGCTGAGATTTGAAAGACAGTCGCGTTTAGGGTTGAATTTTTTCTTCAAATTACAACTCTTTTCCCTTTTCCCTTCGCATCATGTTTGTCGTATCTTGACCACTGCCCTCACCATATCTCGAGTAGCATACCTTACATTCATTCAAACTGTCTATCTTGGAGTCATATTCGATGATCTTGTCCATTTCTTGACCCCTGAAAAACCACAGAAAATCGATATCGCAAGATGATTTTAGAACTGCTTATCGTCATCCTTGCGATTCTATGGTTTATTCAAGTTTCTCGTGCTCCTCCTCCTCGTTGTGACCATCCTCATCATCATCATCACTCTTCTTCAGGACTCTCTAATCCATATCCTCTCTCTCCATCTCTCACTCCGACTACTTCTCGGGAGGGCAGCACCGATTCTAATCTTTCAACAGACAAGAGGAAGGTTATTTCGACCATCTTTGACAACCCCGATAAGTCCTGGACTCAAAGTGTGAAAGTCAAAAAGGTGAGTCGGATACTCAGTAGTACTGTCAAAGTGTCGATACTGACGATAGACTTTTGCAGATGTTCTTAAACCCAATTTGACAGGTTCTGCAATACCTCGACAAAGACCTCCGCATTTCGATCATCTTCCTCCTAAGCCGACTTTCTCCGGAAAGGTTTGTTTCTCTCCTCATGACGAGGTTGGAAAGTTGCGTGTGAAGTAGCTAAGATTTCAGGCATCTGGGGCTCGAGGACGAAATGACCTTTCTTGCACACGTTGCAATCGATTCTTTGTCAATGATGTCGCTGTTAGACAGGTATGTCCTGCTCTTTCTTCTCTTCTTTCTTCCCCCTCTCCCCCCCCCTTCCCCAAATCCGGAAATTCGGGATTTGTGTACTGCACATAGAGTTTTTGCTAATGAGAGAAGCACTTCATTTCGGTACACAACTCCAATGCTCCTATATGTCCTACATGCTCTCGATTTTTCCCCGATGAGCTCGCTTTGGGTCAGGTTAGTGATTTCACCATGGGTTTGGAGAGGGGCTGACGCAATAGCATCAAGAAGCTGTTCACGCCGATCCTAGCAAAGGACAACAGTACGAATGTGAAAACTGTGATAAGAAGTTTGACAAGCTCGTTCGATTCCAACAACATCTTCAATCCTCCGGTCATTTGAGAACGCTCAGATATTCCACAAGTCCCACGGAAATACAGTATACAGGGAAACCCCCTCAACAGAGGGTATCTCGAGAAATATCTCCTGGCTTGAGTAAAAACACCGGATCCCGCACTCATTCTTCAGATTCCGCGAGGGATGTGTGTCATTGTGATGTCTGTCAGACTGGATTTGGCAGTGAAATCGAAATGAAAGAAGTGAGTTTATTCAATTTCGCTTATAATGCAAAAAAATGACGACAGCATATGACCAAGACACATCCATGGGTATCGATTTGTAAGACGTGCGATGTTGATCTGAACGATTTAGCTTCTGCCAAAAGGGTGAGCAACCAGTTCAATGGTGATGGGGAGAGACAGAGATAAAGCTCATGACGTCAGCATTATCTTCAAGTTCACAAACTATCAAACGTCGATCCATCTAGAATGGCCATTTTGGTCGAAAATCTCACTCGACCAGATCTCTCCGACAGACATTCTGTTCCTTCTCAACCCTCCACTACACCTCTTTCCGCGCTTGTTCCTCAAGTCTCTTTGCAGAAAGAGACAACTCCCCAACATGTATGTAGGAAATGCCGAGCTTCTTTCAATTCTTCACAACTATTGATCGACGTGAGTGATATCTATCTTTACGAGGTTTTGATAAGCTCACAAAAAAGCATCTCTCCAAACCACACATACATCAGAATACTCCTTCTCCCGAAATTGTGGATCAGGATGACGTTATGGGTGGTATTGACCTTGGTCAGAGTTTACCCAGTTTCGCTCATTCAGAGCCTATTCGGGGCGTTACACATCGAGGAGAAGTATCCCTCGCTGAGGGTCTACAAGACTTGTTTGCTTCCAACAGAGGACTAGCGGTCTCTGTCGATTTGCAACTCACCACTTCAAAGTCTGGGTTAGGTGACGAATGGGAGGTCTCAACACCCGACGATGAGGAAAGGGATAAAGATCTGGTCAACATGAATGATCATTCTACTTGGCCTTCTCTCAAGGCTGAGAAAGAGCAGGGTTCTTCTCCTTCTTCCTCCAATGGTATACCTTCCGACCAAGAACTCTCGATATCTTCAAAAGCACTTCAAGGTTCTTCGGACCGATCTCATCTCTTGAGCAGCTTGAGCCGTAGGTTTACATCCGAATCAAGTCAATCTCTTTCTCCCATTTCCCTATCGTCTTCGAACTCGCGATTCACTCCCAAGGAAAATCCAGACCCATACCAACAAGACGAACCGACCCTACACCACCCGATGCCTATCATGAGTCCCGGTAGAACTCTCAAGTCACTTGCAATATCACATGAGTACTTGACATCATCATCCATCGCTTCACTTCCTACTCCTTCTCCACCCAATCAACTCTCTCCAAACGTATCATACTCCGGTCAAATAGTTTTCCCTACGGATAATCCGCATTACGCCGTATTCCCTTCTCACCCAAGTATCCCCGCCCATCCTATCGAACAACCCATCTCACCGAATCCATATGGTTCAATTGGAGAATGGACCGGTCGTTGGTCTCAACCTGACAAATCTCTCAATCCCACTGCCAAGATCTTTTCACCTTCTCCTGTTAATATGATGGGTGTTCCACAATTATCACCCAGGACGGAATTACCTATCCCCCGAAGTATATCTACTTACAGTACCAGTTCTGAGAGTGAGTCGACAAGATCGACCACTTCTGGTGCGGCGAGGAGAAGGGCGAGAAAGACTTGGGCTGAGAGTTTGAGTGAAAAGGCAGAAAAGAAGGAGACAGAGGTTAGAAAATGGGATAGACCACTTGATAATTGGCAAACTGTGGTCCCTGAACAAAGTCAGAAATCTCGTGGGGGTAGAGTCATGGGTCTTGATGATGCTCGAAGGATGGAAGAAAGAGCTAAGAGGAACAAGATGGAAGAAGAGAGACAAAGCGTTCTCGCTGCAGGTGGAGAGGATCCTTTTGGTGGATGGTAGACTGAGCCTGTTGGATCGAGAGCGTCATCATAAGGAGGTCCAAGTAGATAATTAACGCATAGTAGAGTAGCATTCAGTAGTATGTTCATAAAATGTGGATCATCCGAAAGATGCATGTTTTTTTTCTGTCTATAAGTCGGGACAGACACGAATGGTGACATTGTTTCTACATCATCCTGAAAATCCTGTACTGTGTCCTATACTTTGTATTGTTTGGTCAACTTACTGATACCCATACCTCCTCTGCTCATTCTGTCCCAAACCCGCTCCAGCTTCTTGTCCTTGATCCCGACCAAGCACATTCATGATCATCGCCTTACTCTCCAATCCGTACATGCCCGAATCACTCGTTGAAGTTTGTGCCGAATATCGTCTCCCATCTTGTCCCGGACTCAAACTCTGAGCTTCTGCAGCTGCGATACTGAGTAAATCCAAATTTTGTGGTCTGGCCAACCATCCTGAACTCTGCGTTGTAAGACTTGGCATACCAAGACTAGATAAAGATGTACCTGGCGTAGCTGCTTCTCCCACCATTACGTGAGACGCAAATCTGACTTGAGCAATACGTTCAGGTCCAGCTGGAGTTGCGGCTTCTCCTACAGTCACATGAGGGGCGAAACGGACTTGACCGGGACTAAGAGAAGGATCGAAATGTTCCGTTGGTTGATGTTGTAATGGTAGATCTTGTAATTGATTTTGACCATATTGAGTGTCATGTGATATCATTGGTGATTGGAATGATTGTGTTGAACTCTGGATGGAACTTCGAATGGGAATGGGAAAAGGTGAGGGAGTGATTTGTGGAGGTGGTTGATGCCATGGTGGTGTATAAGATATCTGAGAGTTTCCTCTTTGAGGAGAATGAGTATATGGTGGAGGATTTAAACCATTTAAATTTTGAGAATGTGAATATTGAAGACCTGAAAGAGTTGGAGGAAGATAATTGTAATTGTCCATCGAGAAAGCATGAATTACCATTGAACGTCCTTGATTTTGAGCGATTGGACGGTTGTTATATTGCGTTCCAGGTATAGGGTTCGATATCGGTTCCGTTGCAGGAGAAGATTGCCATATGTTTTGAGAATCACTCGTTGGAGTGTTTTGTACCGTCGAGAGATGAGAGTTGTTAATTTGCGATGGAATTTGTGATGTTTGAGTAAGTGGTGAAAATGTTTGTTGATGATTTTGAGAAGATTGTAATTTCGTTATGACTGGGACTGTCAAGTGAGGAGATGAATTATCTGTGTCTTGCATGGGAGAGTCAAAAGGAAGTATAAAACCACCTGGGGAATTTGATGCTCTTTGTACCTCTTCCAAAGCAAGTTGAATGGCTTTAGGATCAAGCATTTCTCCGTTTTGTGAATACGATGGTCCATCCGGTATAGAAGGTAGGTTGATGTTACTGTGTAAACCACCTGGTAATGGTGGGAAAGGGAATCTTTTTTGAGGCATATTAGGATCGTCTTCCGATGTTTCAGATCCTGATCTTCTTCCAATATCCCCTTCATCGTCAGACCATCCTCCAACTGTATCACCATCAGAATCAACCTCTTTGACCGGTTTTTCCTCCTTCTCCACCACAGGTTCTTTTCCCCCAACTTTCAATATCAATCTGATTTTCTTGGTTTCCCCATTAATCGGCTCAGTCGATTTCTTGCCCGGTCCTCGGGTCCTCTTGTTCGTCTGTTGAACACCCTTCTTCCCCTTACCAGTCTTGATGGGAGATTCGATCGTTTCCGGAGGTAATTCAGGGGTAATTATATCTTCCAATTCGTCCACTAAACGAACACGATCGAATGGGGCCGCCGTCTTGTCCTGGGCTTCCTTTTCTAACCAAGCCTGCACTGTCAAAACTTCGTTACCGGATTTGAGAGCCGAGCTGCGTATGCCCGTACGTCCTGGACCAAGGAGATGAGCGAGGTTTCGCTTGCGGATGCAGTTGGAACAATTACAACAATCTTTGCAGAGTGGACAAACGAAGGAACGAGATTCAGGGTCAAAATCGAAGTAGCTATATCTGTATTTATCAGCAACATGACCCTCAAAACATCATCATTAGGATAACAGCCAGCTGAGGATAGGTAGTGACATACCGTTTACAACAGGTTTCACAAAAGATGGCTTTACACGGAGGATCTACGTTCCTGCATTTCATCTTCAGCTTCTCTGATCGTCTCCTGCATTGATGACATGTCTCCATCGGGAGTAACTTTTCGTCAGCTACCCTTCTGTTCGACAAAGATCTGGCTGCTTACTGAGTACGCAGAGGCTTCTTCAGACGGAGTGATCACAGTATCCCTTCTCGAATCCATCTCATTCAACAACCCCCTCTTACGCATCTCCGCTCTCAACTCTTTCTCCAATCCTCGCCATTTCCTCCATCGGAAATCTGGACCCACCCCACCCACATGAGTCGGTTCATCCTCTTGCAATTCACCTCCTCTACCCAAACCAAATCTCCACCTTCTCGTCTCCCCTTGAAGCCAATGAGAACAATCCTGATACTCGCCCTCTGCTATCCGTCGCTTCAACGCGCGGTCAGAAGGCATCTCAACGCATGCCATCTTGTGCGATTCTCCGGGTCCGGGCAAGGAGATGATATGACCGGACCGATCAAAGACTTGTTTACTGACTAACTCTCGTCTTGGACGTTTTCGTGAGGCTGAGGTTGACTCTTGAGGGGATTGAGGAGGTCGGGTTTGAGAAATGCCGAGTGAAGTGAGAAGTTCTTGATTCTCCATAATTCGTTTTTGTCTTCTTTGCTCATCTGAGAGGTCAGTTTCTCTATTGTTGATGAACCAGGCAAAGACCCACAGTCATCTGATTCATTTCCCTCATCGTCCGAGGCGAGCTGAAAGTTGTCATCTCGCTCAGCAGTGACAGCCTTTTCCTTGCCTTTGATACTGGCTTGTCGAAGGGCAAGGGGAACGACCGAATCTACTACCGGAACAGAAGGGCCAGCCATGTCTACGTCCATGACCGCTGCTTGGGACGGTGGCGGCTGAGTCGAGAGGCGGCGGGGGAAGACGAGACGATGGGCGTGTATGGTACGCGAATACAAGTAGGTAAGAGGGATGGGGGAAGAAGAAGGGATGGAAAGTTGAGTGGCCAAAGGAGTGCGCCACGTGGCAATTCTCCCCTCCATACCTTATCACCGAAACTGCTCGATCGTACTCTCTTTTCTCGTTTGACATGCCTTCTCGTCCAAGTAACTTATTACCGATTGGAGCAGTTTTATCGAGAGAAAGGTGGAGCTGAGGTCATACTCACACACTAGGCAAGATCTCCTCCTGACCTTGAATGATCCATTGACACACTCTCAATTCATCCCTTGTCCGCCGTCTGACCTAGTCTCGACTCGGGCTCACTCTCTCTTCGTACCCTATCCTCGACCGAATTCACATACTTGAGCCATGCGTGGTATATATATCGTAATGTCGGCCCTCGGATCATCTACCTAGCATATTGCTGCTTTTTATCTTGCACATCCAAGACATCCCGCGGAAATGGATCGCAACACTTCCTCAACTACCGATTTTGGCGGCTCCTCTAGCACTTTTCATCCTCTACTCCAAAAGCCTCCCGGAACGGACGCCTCTCGTTCAGTGAATTTGAATGCAATCCCTGATACTGCTGTTTCGACTCATCATCCGGCAAGTGTGCCAAACCGGACCAAAGAATCTTCGAACGGGAGGAGTAGACAGAAAGAAAAGCAGTCTCGCCCCAGAGCACTCGGTCCGTACGCCAGGACCACTGAAGCTCGTCATACATCTTCAGAGAGCAATCGCTTATCAAAGACGACAAGGAAGAAAGGACGTTCTGACTCGGGTTTAGTTCCTAAGGAGGGGCAGACTGTGTCACAGCCTGCCACCGTGGATCCCGTGGAGATATCAGATGAAGCTCGACGACAAGCCAGCGCGTTCCTGGCTCAATTCTTTGAGGACGTGGAGGGGACAAAGACACCAGATCCGAGTCCGTTGGATGAGGAGGCGGAGGAGGGTGAGATAGTCTCTACTCTCTAGTGAGGAAACGAGTGACAAACTCGAAATTTGATGTGTACGCAGGTTGTCCATAATCCCTCAGTAGCTTATTCTCTTCACCGTCGGATCAAATGATGAACCGCATACCAGTCTCTCCCACTCATCGATGAACGACCTGTGTCATGTACCAGATAACACCATTGTCAACCCAGGATGAGCATGTATCTCGTCATCGACGGTGCAATGAGACCATTGTTCATCGCTTGACTTATACAACTCCGACCGTGACACATGTAACGTCGCCGTCGTCTCATCTTCTCCTTCCTTTGAAAATTAGTTGAACGGACCTTGAATGACTGACATGCAGGTATGCCGTCAGATACTTCTACATATATCAGACCATCTTCTTCCTGTCTATCCCAGTATTCTTTATCATTGTCCAAAGATTATTATTATGAGTTATACCAACCCAATGTCTACTGCTCCTGCTGTCACCTTCGACTTCCCTGATGACGTCGCAATGTCCACCCGGAGAGACTGTCAATGATATTTTCCCAGAGACCAGCCGGGTTGAATGCTGATACCTTCGACCCCGCTCATGGAGACGCTACCAGTGTTCAACTTACGAATGGGGCAGACGGACTCTTTTGGACTCCCCGCTGGTTGAATGACAGGACCGATACGTATCTCGGTGGGTCAGAGAGGATTGAACGTACCACTCCTTATTGTCTTCGTGGTGAAGTTGATACTTTCGTTCCCGACAGTTCGGATTGAACGTACCACTCCTTATTGTCTTCGTGGTGAAGTTGATACTTTCGTTCCCGACAGTTCGGACGATAAACAACTTGGTCGACAGACTAGTGGACGTCGTCCCAACCGCGGTAATGCCTCGGGGGAAAAGTGGACACGAGAAGAGATGTATCCTCAACGATGGAGAGCGTCCGGTGCAAATGGGTACAGTGTGAGGTATCCAGACTTTTACGGTGATACAAGCCAAGGAGAGAATCCCACTTCGCGTAGGAACACCAAGACGACGTTGAATGGCGTAACAAACACAATGAGTCGGATTGAAGAACAAACTGTGGCTAACCAGTGCGCTGATGTTTTCTTGAAGGGTCTGGAGGAGGCGTGGGCTAAGGAGGAAGCGAACAAGACAATTGTTCATCGCGACCTCGAGGAGGGAGAGGTGCCGGAGGTATAGGCGATACCAGTAAATATGTGTAGCAAGATTGCCGTTCTCCTCAGCGTGTTTTCAATGATGCATCTCATCAAGAGTTCTTCCAGCCTTGATAACAAAATGAAGCACAAGCAGCCACTAGGAGCAACTGACAGGTGAGGAATGAAAGATGTGTACAAACATGCATGAGAGATCCCTCTACATCGCCCACACCTTCATCAACCCATCTTTACCGCCCGAGACGAGATACTTATCGATAAACCTCATCTTCTCCGCGGGTTTGATATGACCATTAACCACTAATCTGGTATGTGCATGAGTGGTCCGATTATAAACTTCCACACCGTTCTCTCCTGTGCAAGCGACAACTTTGCGACTGTCAAACTGGATTGCAGTGACGGGATATTCGTATCTGTGTACTTCGGAGACTGCTCCCATTCGGATATCCCATATCTTTACGTCAACTGACGGCGCTCAAACACCAATTTATTCTGTACTCTTGCACATATGACGTATCACAAGGTACCGATGGGGATTTCCAGGTGAAAGTGACACAATAGCGGTGAACAGACAGAAACGATCCGAAGGAAAACTCACCCGTATGGTCTTATCTAAACTGCCAGTGACTATATTCATCTCATCAAATTGTAAAGATGTAACGGGACCAGTATGTCCGGTCAATGTCCTATGAGCCTGCCCCGTCCGCACTATTCATCAGCTTTTCTTACCATTGCCATATACTATGTCTTCATACGTACTATCCCACATTCTGACTCCTCCATCACCACTCCCACTTGCCAAAGCATAACCCCAAAATTGCACACCACCCACGAAATCCTGATACATCTCCCATGACCCATCGCTGAATGGAGGTGTAGGAACGGCGAACTGAGCACTAGTCACGGCTGCTAGTAATGATGTACCGGACATGCCTATGAGAGGAGCACCGGGTGATGGTAAAATGTCATCGTAGTGTATACTTCCGAATGAAGTCGAAGATCTATGTTTTAGTCCTGGAGGTTTTGGATCTGCAGGAGGGGGTACTGGAGGGTTGGAGATGGCCCAAAGTATATCCATGGTTAAAACACATTGTCCAGTTGCAACATCCCATTGTCGGATGGTCTTATCTGATGATCCAGTTACCTTGTCGTCAGCTTATGTCGTCAATATGGTCAATGATTGAAGATATAGAGAAGACTTACAAGACATCCATCTTCGTAATATAAAGCCGTTACACTCTTACTGTGCCCCTCAAGAGTTCTTACACAAGGTCCTTGTTCCTCCAAATGTGAAGCGTCCGTATATCCACTGGGACCTTCTTCCCAGTTTTCATCCTCATGCTCATTCTGTTCCGCAATCATCTCGAGTGGATCTCGTCTTTCCAAACCTGTGTTATGACGCTGTAATCGATCTTCGTAATCTTCCACGAGACGTAGATCCCACAATTTGACTGAACCGTCACTTCCACCAGTAAGACAGAGAGTATCTTCCACTTGAAGAGCTTTCACGTGTCCTCGATGACCTCGTAATCTGCCTATCTCCTCTCCGTCGCATAGATCCCAAACTTTAACAGTGTCGTCTTGTCCCGCGATGACTAGAGTGCCGTATGGTTCACTAAAGTCTAGACAGGTTATGGGACCGCTGTGACCTTCAAGTGTCTGTTCGTCAACGAAGATCTTAGAAACTCCAGTTTCAACCTTGGCGTGGTGGCCGGAGTGGAGTATGCCAACCGTAGGAAATGGGACGAAATTATTGACAAATGACTCACCATGAAAGCTACGCCAGAGGGCAACTCGTCATGTTCCGAAGGCAGGAACGCAGGTCCCTTCCGTCTTCTGGAACTCCGACTAGGTCCAGCAGTATTACCAGTCGTAACCCCACCTTTACTGGTCACATTGGGAGAAGCCATGAGTTCTTGGACACCTTCCAATTCATCATCCAACTCCAGTTTTTCCTCTTGCAAGTGAAGTAAACTCTGCTCCAGCTGTCTTCGAATTTCCTCGAGCGCGTCGATCTTAGCTGACACCTCGTAGATTTCAGCATGTATCAATGACTGTTTCATGAGCAAATGAACACATTATCACTGCACTTATGGAGACATACAGTTCTGACTTGCAAATTCTCCTTGTCTGAGCAATCTCTTCCGCTTGTTGGACCAAATCCTCTAGATGTAATTTCCCTTCCAAATTTCTCCCCTCACTCAATCTTCTTGCTTCTCTAGCTCTTCGTCGTCTTCGCGTTTTTCGTCCCACTCCAAGTTCATTCTCATCCTCCTCAGCTTTCTCAGTCAATAAACCCCGCGCTCTATCACCAAGTCGTTTCAAACCTATCTTCTCATTACCGAGATTTTCATCTACTAACCCACCACGGATCCGCCGTCTACGTTGTTTGGCCATTTCCGAAGATGGTATGGTGGCTTTGAAGCCTCGTAAAAGGGATGGTGGCTCTTCACTGGGTCTCTCCGCCGGGGGATCAAGAGGGAGAGAAGCGAGTTTATCAACGGCTTCGAGTATGGCTAAAGAAGATGAAGTTTTTCGGTGAGGTAAGTTTGATATACCAGCAGGGAGAGCGGTCGGGAGACGGAGTAAAGGATAAGGAGAGGGAGGTCTGCCGGAAGATCGACCTAGACCTCGTTGTGAGTTGGAGGTTGAATTGATAAATCGTGGTTGCATAAGATTAGGAGCCACTGAATGTTTCAGCATCAGATCTGTTGGCAATTATACCGAGATTTGCTCAGGCCATCAGAGGATAGCAGGAAGCAAAGAAGGGGGATGGTAGAAGTATGGACATACGGTCAGACAGAATACGCATACTCTCTGATCTTCTATGTTCAGATTGAAAATTACCCATCAAGACTTCCCGGGCTATGGAGATGGTATCGGTGGCGGCATTGGAGATGGTCGACAGGTAAGGTTGAGAGATAGGTTCGAGAGCTTGTCGTAGTGGTCGAGATTGGTCGGTATCTGGCATGCTTGCGAAGACAACCTTTTCTACTGTTCACGCTTTGATAGAGACCGAGATCTACCAGCCTACGCGACCCAGCTTTGATTGTTATTGGAAGATGGAGGGAAAGGGTGGAAAGATGGATGAAGGAAAGACGAAACTCAATGACGACACACGACTTGCTTTTTGTCTTTCAAAATTGACTGAGTTATTTTCACTCTTTCTCATTCACACCTACATCACAGATCATCCGTCACTTTGTGATATACGACTACGGCTATCTCTCAAGTGGAAGCACAGTAGACAGTAGCTACTAGCTACAGCTATCAAGACTAAAAAATTCCCATGGCCCTCGTGACCCTCGTCGGCTACCCTTGCTCTGGCAAATCCACCCTGGCTTCGAAACTCAAGATCGAATTCGAAGCTCGATTGTCCGACTCGTCTTATTCTGGGCCAAAATTATCAGTGGTCATAATCTCAGATGAATCTTGTCATGTTCCAAGGACTGTTTACGATGGTGAGTGTTGGTTTCCCCAGCCAATATCCCCTCCTCCATCTCGCATCATTACTCCTAGACGTAGCCTCGTCGTGCTCCTTATGTCAGGATGTCGATTACGGCAGACGGGTAGTCAACCAGAACTTCGATGTATCGGAATCATGACATCAAATAGTCTCAAACAGTGGAAGGAGAAGTAGAGAGACTGGTCAATCACTTCAGAGAGAATTGAGAATTGAAATGGAGGGAATTGAGAATTGAGATGTAACATGTAGTGTGGACATTGTCTGATCAACAGATAGCAAATCAGAAAAATCAGGTCGTGCAACTCTTTTCGCATCCCTAACCAGAGCATTGGGACCAAATACGATAGTCATCTGTGACTCTTTGAACTATATCAAAGGGTTTCGATATCAAATGTATTGTTCTGCCCGCGAAGCTCACGCGAGGGTATGTACGGTTCACATTGCGACCCCAGCTGAACAATGTGTGAAATGGCATGAGAGGAGGGGAGAGTGTAGTTATGTTCCTTCCACGTGAGTATAACTTACTGACCATCGTATCATGTCTTTCTCTCTCTTCTTGACATGTCTCGACGTGTAACCCATTTCGCTCAATCAGTTCACCCTCGCCCGTCGTCATTGGATCCGAGAGTTGCCTTACAGAGAGATATGGTCAGAAGTAGGCCCACTAGACGATTTAGATTATAGCTCAAGAGTACGGGATCAGGAACATTTTGTCAAGGAATAAGGAATAAGGAGCAACGAGCGAAGAGTGATTCGGAAGGAGGCGAAGGAAACTCGACAGAAACCAATAGCTGACCTTCAGATTCGAAAACCTTATCATGCGATTCGAAGAACCATCCTCCATGGTCCGTTGGGATTCCCCCTTATATCTAATCTTACCTTCCGACCCTATCCCCTTTTCTTCCATATTCGAAACTATCACCAAAGGCTTCAAAGCACCACCAACAGCTGCTGTCAAACGAAACGCCGCTCCACCACCCAATACCATGCAAGTACTCTCCGGTACCACTTCACATATCATTTCAACCCTTTTGACACATCTCAACGCTATACCAACTTCCACTTCTTTCTCCATCCCCTCTCCGCCTTCGTCACCCGATACGAATCTAGTTTTGCATTTACCAATGAGGAGAGTTTTGTTACCTGAGTTACAGAGGTTGAAAAGACAATTTGAAGGAGTACAGACACGTGCCCAGGCTAGTAATGGGATGGCAGCTGGGAATTGGAGTGAGAATGAGGTGGCTAGTGCTTTTGTCAAATTTTTAGAAATTCAATGGGATACTGTGCAATAACATCTCACTTGCATGACGTGTGTAATGCTCTAACTTATCTTGATAACGAAAGAGAGGAAGATTACATGGCATGGTAGAGCGTTCATGTGCAGGATATGCAAGGTATTTTTGCATGAATGAGAGAGAAGAAAGATCATCAAGGTTCCTCTATTCTATGAAAAGTTGCGATATCTTGATCATCATTTCGTGACATGATTTACTTCTTTAAGAACGCTGTACTCTTGTCGTGCTTTTACTATCTTATCAGTGATGGGTCCATCAACCAAGTCATCTCATTCAAGATGTCAGGGGACGACGACTCACAAGTCCCCAATTGCTCCTGAGCTTCTCTGATAGCGTTAAAAGATACCTCTGAGAGTAGTCCCAGTCGATCAGGATGATCACTTTTGATACTCAATGCCAAGAATCTCTGCTTGACCAACTTATTGATCTCCGTCTCTTTTTGAGGGTCAAGATTATCAATCGTCAATGCCAATCCAAGAGTCCTATAATGACCTTTGACGTCCCTCAAGGCTGGGGATTGGGGAACAGGTCGGATCCTTATTCGTGTTGATCTGACCTTGGCCTGAGGTCTGGCTTGAGAATGAGGTTGAGTTCGAGCGTTTGGTTGATTGAGTGGAGAAGTGGATGTTGTTGATCGTGAAGCTCCTAATCTTGCGCTTGGTCTAAGTGGAGACGCTTGTGGGGGACGGGAAGATGGATGTGTAGGTTGTCTTTGGGTAGGGTACCAAGGAGAATCGAGTACGATACCTCTGGAACGAGAATCGGCGTATGAACTGTCATAGGGGTCAATATATTGTACAGATGTAGAGACTAAGATGAAGCTGGATCGATCATAACGGATACCTACATATTGGTACTGAACAGAATGATTCTTTTTATAGCAAACGGAGGGAAATAGTTGTAGTTGACAAATGGCGAGAGGAGCAACGAAGAGAAGAGAAGAGCTCACCTAATGGTATACATATCATGTTTATAATCCATCAAAGCAGACATTATCCTGCCGTTCTCCCACGAAGCAGTGGCCATAGGAGTCTTATTCCTCTGCATTGCAGCAAGGATAATATCAACCGCTTCCGCACTCCGACCTTCCGGATACCAAAAGCCGACGACTTGTCCGATAGTTGCCGGATCTTGATTATCATCTTCCTTTTGAAGACGTTTGTGAGCTAAGCGGGTCTTATAATATCAGTTATCTACATCGGACAGATCTCAAAGACCCAGGATGTAATAGACTCACGACTTCTTTCATGCAAGATAGAGAATCCGATGCAGCTCGTTCTGTTGAAGATTTGATGGAAAAGACTTCTCCCAACTGACTGTCCAGAAAGGATTTGCCAGTATGAGTGATCACCTCATATGCCAGACCTGTTCATCAGCTACAAGTCGTAGACAGACTCCACTTTTCATACCCAGAAAAAAATTGGACAGCGGACGACAAGACGTTGAAACAAAAATCGATTTCTTCGAGGAGCAGAATGGTCACAATTGGAGTTAACCGAGGATGAGAAAGCACACATACGATAAGTTGGAATAGCGTACATTTCCTATTTTATCAGAACAATCGACTACAGGAAGATGACAACTTACATAAGGGGATTCAACTTTATATCTCGTTATATACTCATCATCCCCGATACTTTGCAAATTGAGGAATCTCGACGCTTCTCCCTCGGTCAGGATTGGAGGGGCGTAAGCGAACATAGGAGCGGTTTCCGGGTCCCATATCGGGTCGAAAAGAGGTGGAGAAAGAGGTTGAGGAATGTAACATGCTGGGGAGTGGGACATGGAGGTAGCAGGTGCTCTTTGTTTGATGGAAAGGAAATCGACATCTTCTTGGAGGACTAAACCGCTGGTCTTCAGCTCTGCTACTATCCCTGATCTTCGCCATAACGTAATTGGAAGATATTATCGGAATTTTTTATGCGCTTGATGAGGTGGACAATTGGGTGTTGACTAGCTGAGTAAAAGCCCCATACAGAAAATCATCACTACTAGTAATTGTCACATAAGATCAAGTGGGGAGTCGTTTGGATGGCATGACATGATACTACTATCACTGAAAGTGTCTTTCGGAAGAAAGAGCAAATGACTCGAAATGATCACAAAAATAGACTCACCTACACCAATGATCCTTGTGCACAGCAGCGATAGCAAACCCCACATGACACCGATACATCCGTGTAGGATTACCGATGGGCGGATTACCAGTTTGACGATGTTGATACCATCGTGTGGTATGAAAGATGAATGTGAGGGTCCAAAAGGGTATCAGGTAAGGTGTAGCGGATATCATATCGGGCTTCATGTCAGCTCGCATAGTGGTTGAACAAAGTGGGATCCGGAGAGCTACAAACCCAACGGGTGAGGTTAGCACACCATTGCATTTTTCCCCTCAGGAAACCAAATGCAAGGTGTCGAATACGGAGCAGTGAAAAGGCAAAATGTAGAAATTTGTGGAGAAAGATAGCCCAGTAGCCAGAGGAGAGGGAAGAACCAATCAAGTACATTTGGATACTCACGAAAGTCTCTTCCAAAAGTCTTTCCGGACCCCCTTTCGCAAGTACCATCAAAGCTGGTTCAAACCCTATTCGTCTGTAAGGATCTTGGTTTGCCAGCTCGGTCACCAGCAGCGGCATCGACGTAGTTGAGGCAGAGGTCGCGAATCGTCTACGATGCTGAAGGCCATGCCGGGAAGGTCCTGCTCTTGCATTTCTTTCTAAAGAATGACGGGTAGCCTTTCTGAGGGTGTCGCTGGTGTGGCCGGAATGGAGGGAACGTACCGATGGTGATGTGGTGGAAAGAGTGGCAAGGTGAAAGGGTTGGGGGGAACATTTGGGACATCTCTTCCATAAAGTGAACATCATCTGCAGGGGGTGCCTCGTGAGTATGCAAAAAACAGAGACATGGAGGTTTTAAGACAGTGAGAGAGACTGGCAAGTTGGGGGAAGATGAGGAAATTTCGGACATTTTACAGTTCACGATTCACAAATCTGTAACAAGAGGGGTTTTTGTTTCGTCAGTCTTCACGATAGATACGAGACTCTCAGTTGACTGCATGATTTTCCTAACCTACATGACCCGGCCCCTTTCCTGCTTTGTGATACATGATGCTGCTGCTTTTCTTCGCTGACTGTTCCCTTTCATTCACCCTCTCATGTTTTTCATCTCACAGTCACTTCACACCTCGTCGGCCCAGCTGGGAACCCAATCCTCCCAGTTCTCCCAATCGTCCTCACCCGACACGTCATTCCCGTCGTCGTCATGATGCTTATGCGGCGGCACGAGTAACTTTCCAATCACATGCGTCGCACCGTTACGGGCAGGCACATCGATCACCTCCACAAGTTGATCGTTAACTTTGATAGTGGTTTTTACCACTCCTTCGATGGGGAGCAATTGTGTCTTGTCGACCTCGACTTTGAGAGTGGCATTGGGCAAAGCCGAGTTGACGATGAACTCCTTGTGGAAGCTCGGGTCGGAACCTGATCCACCCCAGAGCTCCTCCTTGGCTTTTTCCTTGTAGAGAAGCTCAGACAGCAGAAGCGTGTCGGGGACAGCGTGGTATGCGAGAACTTTGACTAAAGCGTGTCGACCGAAGGGAGAGAAGAGGTAGAGTTTCAATTTGAAGGGAAGAGCGAGGAAAGCCTTGTTATTAGGGGCAAAGACGGTGGTGAGAGCTGTACCGTAGAACTGAGGGTCGCCGTCTTTGGACGCTTCATGGTCATAATGCCAATCAATGTATTTGCGGCCGTGAACACCTTGGACAGCAGAGGTGAAAGTAGAGAACTCGTCAGGGAAGAGGAACAATTCTTCGAAGATGGAAGGTGGTGGAATGAGTGGATGGTTGAGGGTGTGGAAGTAACCGTTGCGTGCCTTCTTGTCCGACACGAGAACTCGGGAGTAGAAGTTGATCTTCAAGGCTGCTTGTCAGTATGGTGGTTCGGTACGCCTGTGGCGACACAGATTGGAATGGAAGGGAAGTGGGTAGACTCACAAGGCGGTAGCAGACTTTTCTCAATCCTGATTCGACGGTGCAAACCACCATAACTCCCATCGTCAGCTTTGAGGACAGTGGCGACGGTAGAGTTCTGTGCAAGTTCCTGTGCGGTATACGCTTTGGCCAGTCCGTGGTATTGCAGGACTTTTCCGGCGATCTTTTTGAATATCTCTTTGCACCGTTTCTTCTTCTCGTCATCATCATCGTCGTCGTCGTCGTCTTTCAACAACGACGCATCCGATTCGAGGGCAGCCGAGAGCAAGTCAAGCGATGGGTTCTTTGAAAGCTATGCCGTCAGCTGGCGTGACATATATACATCGAAGGTGGAAAAAGGAAGGTCAAGCTTACTTCCTCGATGAGCTCATCGTGATCGTGATGACCATGTTTGGGTGGGGTGAGAGCGTCATTGTTGGGTGCAAAGAAAGTGATTTGCAAGTCCTTGTCATCGAGGTACTTAGCAGATTCTCCTTCGAACTGTTTGTCAGCCTCATTCTGCATTGGCAACCACTTGGGTTCCCAATAGGCCAGAGCACAAACACGTAGGGGTTTGGGGACAGGCAACCTATCACGCGGAAGAGTGAGTGATGGTATTCACCTCAATGACCTTGACCAGTCGGGAGAAGGAGTTGGTATCCTCCTTCAACTGTTGCCAGATGGTCTTTTGAGTCTCGTCATCGTCCTGGTGCTTGATTCCTTCGATCTCAGCTACGAGTCCTTCGGCGGCACCCCATGACCATTGTGAGAGTGATCGCAAGCCATCACTGAATGAGGACTGGATCGAGTTCCACTGCTGAGTGGACAGCTCTGGGATGGGTTTGCCTGCTGGAGCGGCCAGAGCCAAGGGTAGAAGAGCGTTGAGTAGGAGAAGTCTCATGTTGCTTTTTGACAGAAAGTTGAAGAGGGAGGGGAGGGAAGGACGACGATGTTATATGGGGAGGGAGGGGAGTGTGCGGTCTCTGACGACAGCGTCTAAGCTAGCGAGATATGACGAGCTCTAAAAGGATACCCGATGGCCGAGGCGTACATCAATGCCCTCCAGCCCTCATGCCCTCGTACCGTTGCCCTGCATGCCATGGGTCTGTACAGTATGGCTGCATGCTATCGAACGTTCGTCTTTGAAGTATGAAACGCTTGCGCAGCTTGCCGAGAATTTGGGGATGAATTTCGAATTGGGCGTCACATCGAGACCAAGGGGAGGATCGGGGTGGCTTATACTACGTCATGCGGGGCTCCCGACGGAGTGACGGAATCTCTTTCCAGGGGGGATCAGATAAAGTGCCCAACCTGAAACCCTTCCCGCGGTGCCCCACAGCTCTACCAGCATCAACATACGAGTACCTCCCTGTCCTGTGAGCGGGTGACATCCATCCGCCTCTCTTGGCTAATATACACTTGCTTGGGGTAAATTGTGGGTTCATGGGTGGTATAGCATCAAAAAGGGAGCAAGACATCTACCAATCAAAAGGCAGAGCGTAGATCGTGTCAGAAAGGCATATTGATATCGACATCAACTCGCATTGGCCCTCTCGAAACACCCCTTGTATTGCTCTCGGCATCTTGTTTGGGGAACATCTCGTTCAAGACATTTCTGTACCGCACATACCAAGTAAGGCAAGATAGGTGAAGTGTGACGCAAGTGAGTCATATCCTCCCCACTACCTGTTTGAATCCTCCTCTCAAGCTTCATTTACAGTATATATTTGTGACTGGGTTGATCATCTAGTCTTCCATCAAATCTTTATATCTCACGCCATCTTCCCTTCAACACATCTAACAGCTATCTCGCACGCTTATCTGTATCTTTGGTTATTTGCCATGTCCCCACTGCCCTCCGTACCGCCTGTCTTGCCTCACTCCACCTCCTTCCCGTCACTAAGTGCACCTCACCAAAAGCCGATCTCACAAGATTATCATCCTTATGCCATCCGTTCTTCAGCTTCGGCCGCACTCACAAGATCCAACGCTTCCCCTACACAACCTTTGTCAGTTTATCGTCATCGACCATGTAGGAGCATGAGCGCTCTCTCTCAACCTATACTACCTGAGAGTCCTATTGGAAGTCCGGAAGCCGATGGGGCTTGGAGGAAGGACAAAGAGTGGAAGGAGAGACATAACAAGTTGAAAGATGTTGAAACACCTAGTAAAACCGGGGATATGAGAAGGAGTCAAAGATTTCAGAGTTTTGAGAGTTTGAAGTCTGAAGAGGTAGACAAGGGGAAAGATCCCGAATTACCAGTACGTCAAATCCACGTCAATCTGGAAATCAGCTGACGAGAAGATTGATCCACGGACTTGGACACGTGAGCCACACCTCATCTGTGGGTTGATACGTTGTAACTGACCCTACATAGCATCCCATCTGGCTGCTTATCTAGGATGGACGCTTCGCACGGGTGGTCCGAGCGGTAACGGACAAACACTCCCACTCCGACTTGTGGAAGATATCAAGAGCTGGGTTTTCAGAGGTCAAATTTCAGGACAGATGTTTCTCAAGGGAAATGCAGAGGAATGGTCGTGAGTCTGCTTCCCAGCTTTGTGATATGTAAGGGTACTCAATCTGTGCTCATGTAGCAGACATTCTGGACGACCTCCTCCTTTCATGCCTTTCTTACTCGCCGTCTCTCGAAGATTACGTCGTGCCTCTCTCCGGCCCCGTCCAATCAGTTCCAACTCTTTCTCCTTTCCCATGCAGAACGACCATCCATCTGGATCCGTCGTCTTGGAAGAAGATGAATTTCCAGACGCCGAGGATGAAGATGATGACGGCTTGACCGGTGTGCGACGCATGGCACATGCTTTCGATAACCTCAGTTCTGCGTCCGAGGCAAGTGGGGACGAAGATAATCTCGAGTCTCTCGGGATACAACTTACTGGCGAGAGTACCACTGGGTATGGTCGACGAAAAGAATTGAAACGACATCATACTGGGGGATCCAGTAATGCAGCGTATGACCACGCTCTGAGGAGATTCGAATCTCGTGATAGCACAGGTGGTATAGCCGACACTGAAGCTAGTCCTGTCATCTCTCGTAAACAGCTGTCTAAAGAACCGGAATTGTTAACGGTCGAAAGTGGAGATGAAGAAAAAGGAGGTACTGTTAAACGTGCTCCTGACATGTTGGCAAGCTCTTCCTCTAGTAGTCCACCACCTCCGTACGCTTCTCCCGAATTGGACACTTCGTCTCGGACCATGGCGGAAGCTCAAAGCGCTTTCGAATCGAATAATACTCCAGAGACACGTACCACACGTTTATCAGTGGACCCCACTCCTGAACGTCCACAAACCTCGACTCCCTCCGGATTGGGATTGGGAAATATGACTTCCCCTCTGATTACTGTGGAAGTGCATATGCCTTCTGACCAATCCCAATCGGAGGATCCAACAATGTCACATATGGGAAAGATGGAACAACATTTCTCTACTGGTATCGACCCTTATGCGGCTTTACGTCAACCATCATCATCATCGAGTTCGAAACGTTACCCGACCATTCGTCATGTTCCATCAACCCAACCTATCGAAGACTCTCAATCGTCATTCGAAATGGTCGACTCTCCAACTGATCATAAAGGATCATCACGAAGAGTGACCATCCGTGCATCTAAATTAAATGATCTATTCCGACCTACTGAAAGGGAAAAAGAATTGGAGACACGTATGTCAGAATTAGTAGAAAGGATCAAAGAACTCGAATCAAGGTTAGATACAGTTGAACATCAAGAAATCCATTCGGGTAGAACTAGTCCGGTCCAAAGACCTACAAGTCCTATTTTGGGTATGTTATCGGAAAGTATGTTGGAGAGATTAGGGTTTTTACCTGAGAGTGAAGATGGTATACCGAGAAAGGTCAGGGAATTACCCGGTTATTTGTTTTTGATAGGAGTTGGAGTGGGTGCGGTTATGGTCAGGGTTTTATTGGGTAGAGCTAGGTGAAAGTTAGTTCTCATCACTTGAGGATTCTACCATATTGTTGAAAGTTTGTAAAGGGTTTTGATATTTTACGATTTTACGACAATGTTGCATGATTGTTATATAAGGTTCTGAGGATTATTCGAATGGTCAGTTCTCGTATCTCGAATTCATCTCATCTCGGATTCCGCATTTCAACGTATGTATTCAATTCACCTAGGTTCATATGGGCTGATACCTCACAAGACATGAAACGTGGGAAAGGTAAAGGAACCTTGCAGTGAAGAACGCTTAACGCTCGAAGATATTACTCTTGTGATGATCAACGTATCTTCCCATCACATCCACTCCCTCTTCTTCTTCCACCTTCTCATCCACCAACACAGATTCATCTGGCCATTCAGACTTATCCGGAAGTACCTCTTGTTCCGGCTCTGGTTGCGCCTCCTGTTGGAGTTGGAGTTGTGTGAATACTTGTTCAGTGAGATCACGTTGTTCCATCTGTGACTTTGAGACTTTCGGTTCTATTTTTTCAGCTAGTTTCTCAATCCGAATTTCAGTCAAATCTCAACTACTATAACGGTTGACTTGATGACTCTCCAGAAGGGTGTGATGAAAATGAGGTATGAAGTTAACACATCAAGGAAACCGTTCATTTAGGAAGGTAGTTGAATTATGTTTTTCGGGGTTATCGTGTGATTGATAAGATTTACGATCAAAGTCGAAATTTACTCTTCTGATATGCAAAAGTGGAAGAAAACATGATGATATTTTGAGAGATTTCGTTACTTACTTGGTTGCATGGGCATTCTCGATACCCCACGTGGAGAATATGAGGGATTATTTATATCCCTAGTTCTCCAAAAACTATAATCATCTTCCGGATCTTCCGAGTTCTGTTTCTTTGAATTTTGGCTAAACAACCGAGTCAAGTATTCTTGTGGAGTCATAACTTCAGACATTCCCAACACTGGTTCATTCCCAATGGAAGTGGGAAAAGTAAATAATTGTTCTTCTTGGTTTGTTTGATCAAAAGTTTGATAAGGATCATTTGAAGAGATGGTCGTTTCGTTGGTTCGGTTTGAATGATCCACGAAAGAACGAGAATGTCTGGAATGACCGTGGTTGGTATGAGCATTGGTATGAGTGTTGTGGGTAGTTGGCATTATGATCTAGCTGTTGATAAATCTCCTGATCAGTATCAAGACGTTAGATGGGAAAAATTATCAAGTTAGTATGAAATGAGAGGATAGTTGAAGATGATGAGGACGACGACAGATGGGAACTTGAAACATGTGGGACTTTTAAATCGCGTGATATGACAGATTCGTCAGATGTCCGACGTCAGAACTAGTATATGTGTAGTGAGCGGTCCAGGCTTTCTGACGTTCGGCCTATGATCCTTTCACTTTTTCTCCAGGTCAAACATTTCGCTGGAGGATATGCAGGGGATGATCATGAAAGGCTTTGCAGTCAAGGGAAGAAGGGAATGAATTGATCGGCAATGTCGTCATTGAACATATCAGTGTGTCAAACAAATCACTTTATACCTATTCAATGATCCAAACATACCTGTACCTGTAACAAAATTCCATATCCCATGACCCAAAACCAAAACTTTTACCAAACTCACGACTCACAACTCTCCACCCACACCCCAACGTCTCATGACCCACCAACCAATCGCCGCTATTCCCAATCCGGTGGCGAGTGCCCGGAGTAAGATAGCAACTACCAGAGCTTGTCTGACTGCGGTATAAAATGTGGCAAGAGCCGCTCCGGACCAATTCATCCTGATCATCAACAAAATATTTGTGTTACATCATGTATCAACGACTTACCTTTTATCCGCTGGTCTGACCTGTCCACGAACAGAAGCTTCCCATCTTCTTACCACTTGACGATATCTTCTACCGAACACCCTGAACCTCAGCTCAATCATGGGAAGGAGGGAAGAAACTACTGACCAAATCCAAAAGTTTACATCGGGATATTCAAATCGCGGGAATACGGCACTACACGATGAGCAGATATCATACAGTGAATTTGAGACGACTTACGTTACTCCTGGTCCCACACCATATCGACGACGTCCTCTGAACCCTTTTACACCAACCTTGGTACCTAAAGACCCCACTCGGGACAGACCAGCCCCACTCATACCCTCGACATCGTGCATGAAAGTACGCGCTCTGAGTGGAGCCTTCTCAAATTCGACCATGCTTTCGTCTTTTGGCGTAGCAGCGGGTTTCTCATCCGCAAGCATCTTCGCCGCACCGCCCCAATGATCATCATAAGAGCTAGTCACTGTAACAGGGGTTCGGGGATCGTATTTTGGCAACGGGTTGGATCCAGATTGAGAAGAAGAACGTGATCGCCCTTTGCTGGCGGAGACTATCAGAGGTGACGGGCTGGCAGTGGGTAGATGTGCGACTAGATCGCTAGTTTCGTCAGCCATTTCAGCATATCGTCCAGTCAATATACTAACAGAGTCATCCCCAGTGTCAAACCCCATAATCGAAGCATCCTCTTGCCCTCTGCTTTATTGTACCAACTTCCGCTTCCCTCGGGCAAATTTTCGAGGTCTTTCACTTCGGCCACAGCGTCGAACCCTTCGGCCAGATCTGAGGGCTCATCAGGAAGTAGAAGGCAGCCAAATCTGGACGTCAGCGCGTGGCAAATGTAACCAGGAAACGGCTCACTGCATTTTCCCGACAAGCTGTCGTAGCGACCAACGAATAAATTTGTTCCGAGGACTGAGTCGAGTGCTAATATCGATATCGATATGAGACCATTGCTCGGGTGAGAAGGGAGGAGTGAGTGTCGGTAGAGGTATCCAATGCAAAGAAGATACTTCAGCCTAGATGGTGAGCTAGTGACGAATACATCTCTTATCAACTCACAGCGTTGAGATCGACGGTGGGAGTGAAAGGGGTGGTTTGGAGGAAGACTGCCTGTCAACTTTCCATCATGATACAACATAGCCAACCAAATCTCACCAAAAGGACTCAAGATCATCATTAACCTTTTTCCCAAGCTAGTGGTGACCTCACGTTCGTCCAATCGTCCCACTTGGATGAACTCCTTCTCTGCAAGATCAATTCCAATCTCTTCCCACGTTTCTCGCAGAGCAGTGTACGAAGCAGATTCATCTTCAGGTTCCTGTCGCCCACCCGGGAAGGCGATGTGACTTGACCACCTGTTGTGTTGACCATTCGGAACGGAAGACTTGGCTCGCCGGATGAAAAGTAATTCGGGGACGGTGAGTGGGTGATTGACCCAAGGTACACGAAGAAAGTCGTCGAGACCGAGACCGATCCCGAAATCGGCAGTCTCGATAACTTGACCAGTGTATCCTTCGGGTTCCCGGCCCTCAAATACCAATCCCTCGGCTGGGCGCATTCGGATGATGAGAGCAACCGATGCCCGGCGAGGTTGCGTGGGTGGAGATTGGATAAGACGTGGAGGGGTGGTTCGAAGGGATGCGAAGAGTTGTGAGAGGATCTCCGCCGGTGGCATGATTGGGGTAGCGGGGGCGATATCTGATAGTCAGAGGTTTCTGTGAGTTAGAGTGGGGTGGGGAGAGACTCACCAGACATCTCGGGTGGCGAAGGAAGTCTAAGTATCTAGTGGACGACGGGTGGAAACTAAAGTAGCGATACAATAGGAATGGATCAAGAATGGGAAAGGGTAGTTGAGTAGAGAGTGATAGGGCTGAATGCGGGGAATGAAAGGCGTGGTTATCCTTTGATGAGTGGATAGAGAACGCCCCAGACGTGTATCAGTAGTCTGCAGTAGTAGATAGTGGGCTAGTGACTATGACCCTCCTCCACCTATAGACTTACACACGAGTTGTACAGTATGGCGCTGGCTATGGCTAGGTTGTTGCTGACAGCAAGGCATCTCTCCGCTTTCCGGTTATATTACAGTTCTTTGGGGATATTTCAGGCACACACGGCCACGCGACCCGAAGTTTAGACATCAATGCCACGTCATGTCCGCTTCTCTTAGTCCGAATTCCTCGGCGTTGACCGTTCCCGACGCCGATCAACCATCAGAGATCAGCACTTTGGTACTTTGGGCCGATAAAGACGCGTCCTTGGTTGCGTCTCTCTCTCCCTTGAGCCCTTCCTTACTCCTCCCCCCCCTTCTTCATCGTCCCATCATATCTCACGCCACACTACTATTCCCTTGTACTCATATACAGTGTCTCGTATCACACTGATCTGTGTATACCTAGCCACCTGTCTCTCCCACCTACCTCATCACTCGTACTCGTATCGTACCGTCCGTTCCGCCCTCGATATCGGATAACCTCTCTCCGGACAACTCGGCGTTCTTCACAGCTCAGTCGTACAACAGCCCGATATCTCCAATCCCATCATCAATCCATCGCTCTGGTATCTACCCTTACACGTTGCAGATACCTTGTTCACTGACTCGCCCATCCTCAAAACCTATATAACCTCCACTCATTCCATCTTGAAGTTATTATCGACCCCAAACCCTACCTCCAACCCATTTATCTCCCATCAGAACCAACAACGGAACTCACAATATCATAATGACCTCGTCTATCGCCCCTCCCATCCGCCATCGTCCTCACACCCGACTCTCTCTTCAACCACCTGCCGGGCTACCCTCTCCCATACCTTCGCCCACACAAGCCAAGGGAGATTCATGTTTCGTTCCAAGTCTCGAGACTGTCTCTCCCACGAGCGCCATGTCTGCTCACAAACACATCATCGATCTTGGGGATGATGCCGACTGTGACGCACCGGAAAACAACACACTCATGTCATGCCTCACCAACATGTCACTTTCATCCTTACCCATGCCGCCTGCCTTGGGGAATGATGAAGATGACGACGATGGTCAGCGGGGGAGAGAGAGAGGCCCCATAGTGACCCGTTTTCCCAAGCCACCTTCCCCACGCCGATCGTCTGTCCTCGGTTCACGAGCGGAGCAACGTCGGATATACCTTGGTCCCAAATTGAGTGACCGGGCCACGGGTGGACCCGATGCAGGTCCCTTGATTGAACGTTTCAGCTGTTTGTTCAGAGATCGTAAGTTGTTTGATGTTGCATTATCGTCTCAAGCTCATAAGTAGAATATGATTGTAAGGCGAATCCGACTGGTATCGTCTCCCTGTGAGTGACTCACCTACATGTTCCGCTTCCGTCGGACACGGAATGTCGACTGACACCTTTTAGCGGAGTAGCCGAGAATTTCCTCATGGAGAAAGAATGTCTCCAGGTGAGGTTCAAAATTTCGTCTAAATAGATTGTTCTCATCCCGTAGATCTTCAAGTTGGGATTGTTGAACAACTTTCTGTCTTCTGACTTGTCTTATGGCGACTCCTTGTGGGGTAGTAGACGTATCAACAAAGCTCTCAGTTCTTTCTACAATGAGTCAGTATATCATATTTTCATTGTACCCCCTAACAGAATAGATGGTTTGACCCCGCGGAAGAGGTCATGCCCGAACACCTCATCACTGGTCAGTTCTCGATCACACCAGACATTCATTGCTGATATCACCAGGCGTTGGATGCTCTGCTGGTGAGCCGCACGACTAATTGCAATCATCGGAGAATCTGATCAATGTAGTCCTCGACCAACTATTCTACACTCTCATGGACGAGGGCGAGGCTATCCTACTAGCTGCGCCGTAGTGAGTCACCTCCACCCACCTGTTCAGTGACTCACATCCAGCTACACAGGGTTTGACCGTGATTTGATTGGTCGAGGTCGAGTCCAGCTCATCCCCGTATATGTCCCAGAGGGTGATGGAGGCTTCTCGCCTTCTTCTCTCGACGCATTCGAAGTCGCCCTCGCTCAATGTGAAAAGAAGGGTGTCATAGTTCGCGCCGTTGTGAGTCTTTTCCCGTCCTACCCTCTACGATTTGTCATGTATCTGATTTTCAGATCGTATGCAACCCTCAAAACCCACTTGGAAGGACATATTCCCGGGAAACGCTTCTGGCATACGCCAAATTCTGTGAAGAGAAGGATCTCCACTTGGTCTCTGACGAAATTTACGCTCTGAGCGTGTACGATAATCCTCATTTCCCTCATGCTGTACCATTTACCAGTATGTTGAGTCTGGATGTGGCCAATGAGTTGGGGTGTGAGTTTGATAGAGCTAGATTGCATGGTGAGTTTTCCTATACCTCTTGTTGGTGAGAAGCTAATGGACAGTCGTACATGGTATGAGCAAAGAGTCAGTCCTTGAATAACTTATCATGGTTGAGAATGAGCTGATGAGATAGCTTTTGCGCAAATGGTCTCAGAGTTGGAGCTTTGATCTCACAGAATAATCCATTATTGTTGAGGGCAATGGCCAATACATCGATGCTGATGAAAAGTGAGTGGTCTCCGTCTCCAATGTAGTTACTATTTTTAAAATACCCCTTCTCATATACCCCTCCTCGTATACACCTCCAATTTCCTAGCTACATCTACTCGCGACACATCACAGTTCACGCATAGTCTCGCTTGGAGTCGCCTTCAATTTCCATATTGATTACCGGGAAAATATCTGCCAATGATGCAGGCTGAGACGTACGTGTGAGATGATTCTTACTGACCACAGTCTCATCCCCAGCGGACGTCATCTATTCTTCCCTCTTGACGGATAAAGAACAACTTCATCAGTTTATCGAGCTCAATCGAGCTAAATTAGGCGAGGCACATGCATATATAAGGAATTGGTTTGAGGAGAGGGGAGTGAAAGTGGCCGATTCGAATGCGTAAGTTTCTATCTTCCTCTTCCTGTTTCCCTGTATCTTCTCTTCCCGTTTCTGTCTCCTCCTTTTCCCTTTTTCCATCTCGCACAGACATAGTCGCGTATCAAAACCTTTCACTTTCATATCCTTGATCTGACTCTGATACCCCCTCTTCAGCGAACAGCGACGACTCATGAGATGGCATACAGAAAGAGCTGATGACCAGTGGTCATTTCGTATGGGTCGACTTGGGTGGTAAACTAAAGTTTCGTGATACGCCAAGGGAAAAACGAGTCTTTCAAAGTCTATTAGATGGAGGGGTATACATTGTGAGTTTCTCCCTCTACTCGAATCCCATCAATCATATCTCCGAATACCTCCCTTCTTCCTGTTGTGAACATAGTTGCAATGCTCCCTCTCTGACTTAAGGGGAGGCAATCTTCCTTATACGTCTGGTCTACCCTATGCTGTTCCTGATTTTCGTGATATATCACATGTCACACACAGAGCTATAGAAGATGACGAGGAAAAGAGATTTCAGAGAAGAGAAAAATTGATTGATGTCAGGCCCCGGGTACAGCATATCACAACAAGACACCAGGATGGTATAGAGTTACATTTAGTGTATCTAGGGATAATCTTCAAGTACGTCTCCTTCTTCCCAACCCCCTCCTCTCTCATTTCGCTCGAAAGAGCCATCGAATCAGCGCTTGGGCACTATGTTTGACACTTGTAGTGACGATATTGGATGGGTGATGAGGAGTAAAAGACTGATGTTCAGGTCGGTTTAGCAAAAATGGAACGTATTTTAGGTTTGTATCCACACCCCAAGTGATTGTATTAGTTCTTGCTGGGCGAGAAATATTATTGTCGGGTCATCTCTACTTGGAAGTAGTCATCTTGTATGTTTTATCTTCATATCTTGAACCTTTTGTAACGATCATGTTGAGAATTGTATGGAAGTTACGAATGAACGATTGAACAATGATGTTGCATTGTGTATTCAGAAAGATCATTAAATTCATGTCATTATGTATCTCATATGTATGGTATCTAACATGACAAGTCGTGAATTATCCATTATCCTTTGAACTCGAATTATCTGGATCCATTTGCTCACAACTTTTTCATTCCCCTTTCATCCCACGATCTCACAAATTCTCCCCGTTTCCTCTTCTCTTCGACCCACGAGCACCAAGTCAAACGAGTGAAGACACCGAAGACGGAATACCAGATACCAAGTTGATTTGTCGTGTTCAAGTATGACGTGTTGAAGTGGATGCGAAGATATCGAGGATGAATTTGAATCTTTTGACTATCAAACAACACTCTGTCTTCGATGTCGACTCCACCAATGTTTCTTCCCTTCTTTCCCTTCCCTCCCATCCTTATTTTCCTTTCCATCCAACTGATCAACACCTAAAACCCTTTCAGCCTTCTCAGGTATCCCCGTCTGAGAACTAACCACACGACCTTGTACACCTCTCTGATTATCCAACATCTTTTCCTTTTCCATAATCTGCGGTTGATTCTTAGTTTTAGTCCTTGGTAATGGTGGTGGTGGAGGTGGAATGACATTTAAATGTATTTGTTGAGAATGAGTAGGTTTGATTAATTTCCCTTTTCTGATAGAAGAAGGTGTACGTCTACCTGATTTGATTTCTTCTTCTTCTTCTTTCATCTTTCTCATATCATCTCTACCTTTATCGATATTGATAGTATCGTGAATATCTTCTTGACCTGGAACAACATCATTTGAATTGGTCGAAATGGTGTTACCAAGGGGATTACGAAGTGTTCCGATTGTAGAATGGACGTCCAATGGGGTTATAGCTGAAGGAGAAAGTTGTAATTGTTCGTCTGTATAACCTACATGACCTGGTGAAGGATCTGGGGAAATAGGAGGAGGAGAAGGTGGATTAAATTTAATTTCTCCTCTTTCAACTCTATCATTTCTTTCTGATCTTTCAACCATTACCTTATTTTCTCCACCATTTCCTCCGATTATCCCTTCTCCTCTTTGGACTTCATTCACTCCTTGGGTTTGTCCGACTTGATTATCATTCCCAGCTCTCTCATCACCTTCTTCATACGTCTGCATGGGACCCATTACCGAACCAGGTCGAGGAACAGACCATCTATTTTGATTCGTACTCGCTCTTGACCCAGACCATCTGTTTGGTCTCACAGTTGAACCACTATCTTCATATGCTGTGAGATCGGGTACTGTCGAATCAGGTGAAAAGAATGACATTCCATGATGATTCTCATGTGTTCTTGAAATATATGGATGTGATTGTTGATGAATGGGAGAAGGGGGTATAGCACGTGATAAAATATGTTTTAATCCGTCCATAGCTCCTATCCATGCTTCTTCTGCACGACGTAAGGATGCCCAACCTTCTCTACCTAGTCGGTCTGCCTCTTCGAGCCATTCGAGAGGGATGGGTCTGGTTCCGTCCTGATGATGGTGATGATGAGAGGTTAGTGGATTCTCGATGGGTCTAGGCCCTTGACCAGTTTGGAGATGAGGCCATGAAGCGGGTAGAGACTCCCCTTTCCTTCTTCGTTCAGCACGGCGGAACGCGGCAGCATCCTGGGTTTGAGCAGGGTTAAAATGATCATGCCGAGAGTCAACCGCCTGATACGGAGGTTGAACCCTGGACATTTTGAGACGTGGAGGGATACGGGTATAAGGATCTTCCGTTTCCGATACAGAGACAGAAGGTGCCGATTGGAAGACAGGGATGGGAGGTCGAGAGGAGGTGGATATTCCAGCTGGACCTTGCATACCTGTTCGTCCTCCAGGAGGGATCGAGAACGGGTGATCCCCTGGGACACCGGGTGGCATGTTGAAAACTTGTGGATAAGGATAAGCAGAAGGTGCCGGTGGTCCAGAATAAGGATGCCAAGATAATCTACCAGGAAGACCTTCAGAAATATTTGCAGATCTTCCCTCATCCATTACTCCTGTTCTCTCCGCATTGTGCCGCTCTTGCTTACGTCCATCATCGCGAGGAAGGCCAAAGGGAGGTTGATAGTCTTCCATATTCGAAACGGGCGGCATGTTTCGGGGATCTATAGGCGGTGCAGGGACTTCTGAGGGGAAGGCGAAAGGAGCATCGATGGAAGATTGTGTCAAACCTACTAAAACTCCTCCCCATTGAAGACTCTCTTGAGCCATACGTGTCAAGTTCTCACTGGCTTGACGCATGTTGCTCGATTGTCTCATAAGAGCTGCGGCATGGGCGGAGAGAAGATGTGAAGCAACGTAAAGAGGGAGGTTGTTGGATGTAGGTTCTTCTCGTCCTGTTTCTTCATTGGGTCTGGGTGCAGCACCCTGTCCAGGGTCCATTCCATGTGGGAGATGAGCATTATCTGCATGAGAATGGTTCGAATGTGTAGAAGTGTGAGGAAGGTCATGCGAATGGTGCATTGAACGCGATGAGGTCTGGTCATAATCGTGAGAACGTGTGGACGCATGAGAATGAGAATGAGAATGACTTCCAGTGTGTGACTGATCGGATCGAGTTGGAACTTCCGGCTGTAAATGAAGATACGCATCTGGTCGATCCATACCTGATGAAGAAGGACTAATGGGACTGACGAGCGGAGAAAATCGAGGAGAGGGATGACCTTGAGCCATGTCTGTTGCTGAAGCAAAACTTGGAGGACGAGGGAGTGGTCTTGGGCTTGATACAGCTTGACCTTCATCGTAGGCAGCGGAGACGACAAGCTGTGGTGTAGGCGGTGATACGATGGCTAAAGGGGAGATTGGAGATGCGAGTACACTCTGCCATTTATCCACTGGCTCGAGAGTCGGCTTCCTCTCTGGTACGGCTGCTTGTTCCTCCACCTTTGGAACAGTAGAAGGAGTGTTTTTCGCTTCGCTTATCACTGTTTCATCCTGTTGTTTGGGATTGATAGGTTTTATGGGAGTGAAGAATGTTCGGTCTGGATCTTCTCCCTCTATTTCATCTTTGTACTTCTCATCCATTTGTCCTCTCAGCGATGAAGGTGCAGTCTCTTCTTCTTTTACAGGCATGTTCTCGACGTACAAATGTCTTTGAGGTACTGCAGACTTTGCTGAACCCAGATCAGAGATAGACTGACGGTGCAAGACCGGTCGGGGAGTCACCGGACTGGTGGTGGCTGATCGATGTGAAGGGTAAGTCTCAGACCCATCATCACGAATTCCGAATGTTCCAGAGGTCCTGATGGCGGTTCTGGGTGGAGTTTCCTCTAAGACTTCGTGTCCACGATCTTCTAATCTCTCCATGGATTTAATGGGCTTGATGACCGAAGCGGTCCCAGATCGTCGTTTGATAGAGCTTCTGGAAGAGGTGGGAGAAGAGGGTTCAGCTTGACGACGCTTGGAAAGTCGACGTACTGATCGGTCGTGAATGTGCTCTGATACCGGTGGCTTGTGAGAGAATATGGAGAGGAAGATACTGGGAACGAGTGATCGACGTTTGGAGTCTTTCCTTGATCGTTTGGGTAGACTAGATAGGTTTTGCTCCGAAGATTGGCGAGGAATGTGGGGATGCGGTTCTGAAAGATGCCGTTTACGAATAGACTTCGAAGCTTCTTGAGCCAGTGGATTGTCTTCTGAAGCCTGAAGTGTTAGCCAAGAATCAACAAAGACTCGTCACTTACTAGCACAGCCGGTGTTTTCGCAGGACTCTCGAGCTGTGGTGGAGAAGGGAAGTCCACGGCCTCCCCAGATCGCCGAGCCGAAGGCGAGCTATGTCCGGTGTAGGGGCTTCTGTGTATACTGTCGGATATGGTAAGAGCGGCTCGTAGTTCGCGCAGATCTTGCATACTTGCCGATCTGGAGTTCCCCGGCTTAGGTGATCCATTGGGAGGTGAAGGGAAGAGGGGTATATTATGCATCGAGGGATCTTCCAATCGGCGACCTAGAGTTGTGGTCCCCGCTGCTGGCTGAAATTGTCAGTTTCTTCCATCTCGTAGGTGGACAAGCTTACAGAGGGAGGGATAGTTGGAGGTTTGACATCTTTGTCTGGACTCGAAGCATGAAAGCTATTGGGTCTACTTCTCACGCTTGCGGGTCTACTCCTTCCGCCCGCACCGACCCCTGCCAACCCCGGATGCTCGACTTCTGCCTTCCTTTCCTTATTCTTCTCCTGTACCTCTATGGGGACATCTTCCACTTGCATACCATATCGATCGGCGTATCTTTGCCTAGCTTCCTCACTCGGAGTGCGCAAAATGGGAGTCTCTGAAGGTGTCGGCTGTTGCTGGCGGCTCGGGCTCTTTGTCAGGGACCTAGGGGGCGGGGGCAAACCTCCAGGGTTCACAGGCTGTGCAAGGGATGATTTGATCTGGGTGGAGGAGGTAATTTCGCCAAAGACGGCCTCCCTTGCTGGTGAACGAGGGGGTATGACGGGACTCTTGGGAAATGGAGTGTTGGATGAAACTGGCTTGAGACGAGGTACAACACCTTGGTCTTGATCTGTCCCTGGCGCACCTTCTGAGACACCCGGTACGGCGGTCACTGTCTCTACAGATCCACTCGAATATACGCTGACATCGTCATCGTCGATGTGGAAGGCGGTGGGAGGGTCGACATCAGGCAGAGTCGCACGAAGGGATCCAGGAGTGGTAAGTTCTGTGATGGGAGACAAGTTGCGGAGAGGCTGCGTTGTCGGGGGATAGGTCATGTCGAAGACATGAGAGTCTGCCAACAATATCGCCTGTGGGACATACAAGGGAAGACGATAAGAAGACAAAGCCGAATGACCTGAATAAGTTGAAGAAATGTAGGCCGCCATGGGGGTCTGTGAACCTTAGTTACGCACTGGGTTAGCGTATCGATGAGACTGCTCGGAAGCCCACCGGGTGCCGTACGTTTAGCCCCTTGTTCGGTCGTCAACGTGAGAGGGCGTTTCGAGATGAGATGGAAGGGGTGGGGGAAAATGGGTCTGGGTTCAAGACTGGAACTGTCACAGGAGGTCCTTTCGGGCATCCACGATGGTGATGATTTGGGAAGATGACGGTTGTCGGGGATTTATCTTTAGCAGGTCGACCGCTGGGAACTGAATCGAAGGAGGAACAATATATATAACAGTGAGAGAGAGTCGATGGGGACTCGTGGGTAAATCATATAAAGCCAAAGGTGACACCTCATCAAGACGTTCTCACGGATCATGTGGAGCGTGGAAGAAGGTGGCGGGGTAAGGGCAAGATAAGCGGAGATAGGAGGTGTGTGAGAGAGAAAGGGGAAAGAAGAAAAAGCAAGGGAGAGACAAGAGTGAGACGTCAGAAAGTAGTGATCATCACCAAAGTATATTGTATCAGCGGACCCATCAGATCCATCACCATCACGATCAGCACAACGGATGTCACAGCTCAGAGCGCTTGGCTCACCATACCTGGGCTCACGGCGTACAGTACATTGATCTTACCGTTTTGTCTCGTCAGACATCTCAGATGGACCATGTGGGGAAGTGTGATGGCTAAAGTGGCTGAGAGTGGGGTCATGAGTGTGCTGCTCCCGAATAGAAAGAGAAAGAGTGAGGGATAATAGGGGAACAGAGGCAGCGCGGGAGCGAGGGAGAACTGCCACACGCCACATTGTAATCGCCGCGGTGTTTCATTGCGTCGGACACATCGCACCCTTGTGCTTCTCGCCATTCGCCGCTAGCGCTTTCGCCCCCCAAGCGATTTTCAACCCGTCGCCAGTCGCCAACTCTACCTTGGTCCAAGTCGCGTTTCTGCCCTCCACTTGACCTGTCCACCAATTCAACTCACCATATATACGCGACCGACACAACCTTCTACTCGAAATGTCCGACCATCACCCCACTCCCACTCCCACTCCCGACCCTTCTCAACCCACCGCCACTCCTTTGAACATTGACTCTTCTCTCCGTCCTCCCCCGACTGCATCTAGCAATGGTAGCGGTAATGGTAGTGCTAGTGCCAGTACCGAATCTCGTCCATCCCCCGCATTGTCAAAGACCCATTCTCCCATGTCTGCAGAGGATCAGAAAAAGCTCAACTATATCGCAAACATGCCAGAAGAGCATATTCAACGGCTGAGAAAGGTGCGTCTTGCTTGTTTCATCTCTCACACTCGACGGAATACTCACCTCGTAGCGTTTGAACGAACTTCAAGCCTCTGGAATGACAAAGGAGAATTCGAGTGAAGTCAGCAAAATGTCAACCATTCTCGATATGTACGCCCGAGCCAAGTCCTTAGAGTTCGTCTCCCCTTCGTGTCGACTACAATGTGCTGATATCACAGGGCGAAAAGACGGCAGCAAACGTCGATGAGTCCCGCTGCACAACACCCGCCCAATGGTGCCTCTGCTTCTCCTGCAGCTCCCAGCGCTCGTATGTCTATCAACGGATGAACAGAGCTCAAGCTGATGACATAGCCTCCCCTGCCGCCCAACCTCCTCAGCCGACTGTCCACGTATCTATGACCCCGGCCCAAATCAATCAACTGCGCTCCCAAGCTGCATCCTACCAACTTCTTTCTCGCGGACAGCAGCCCCCTACGAACTTGCAACAAGCGGCTCAAGGTGTACATCCGCCAGGAGTCGGCACACAACCATCCCCTTTGGGTGACTCCGTCACCAACAAGCTTGTCGAGAAGACAGTCGAAGCTGTCATGAGTGATCATCTCCAACAGTCATCTGGAAAATTCAAAACACCCGATGCCTCCGGGGAAACAATGGAAGTGGATGGTGAAGGTAGCGGTAGTAGCAGTGAAGGGGAGAAAATCGTTACTCCTCCCTCTGAACCTCCTTACGCCATGGAGTTCGATCCATCGTCCATCATCTACCCTTATAACGCGTTTACACATCCGGATATCTACGCGCATCGCAAATTCGACGAAGAAATCACCAACCCACTGAGCAAGATGCAGCGCCAATTGGTACCGGCCATCATGCCTCGAGGTCTTGATCCGTATCTCCTGATAGAAGAGCGAAATCGGTATGTCGAGACTCGTATGTCGTGGCGGATGACGGAGCTTGAGGAGATGGCGTCAACTTTCGGTTTGGGTCAACAAGGAGCAAAGGATATTCCTGGCATCGTTGAAAGCAAAAAGCCTGCAAAGAATCTCGGGATGCAAGCACGGATCGAACTCTTGAGCCTACGGCTACTCGGAAAACAGCGTCTGCTACGTGAAGATATGGTACGAGCGATGCACGGAGCTGTACAAGTTCCAGCGGATCGATCACAGTTCAGGCGCTTCAGGACACATACTTTGAGGGATGCCAGAGCGACAGAGCAGTCTGAGCGAAGACAGAGAACGGAGAGGGAACGCAGAGGCAAAGAGAGACATCTGGAGTATATCAACTCTATCTGTGAACATGGTCAAGCGGTGATCAGCGCTGGATTTGGCACTTCACGAGGTCAAGGAGCTGACAAGATGCGTCGTCTGGGTCAAGCGATGATCAAAATGCACAAAGACACGGAAAGGGAAGAACAACGAAGAATCGAGCGATTGGCGAAAGAACGTCTCAAAGCACTCAAAAATGACGATGAAGATGCTTATCTGGCTTTGCTCGGCGAAGCAAAAGATTCTCGTATTGGACATTTGCTCAAGCAAACGGATCAGTATCTTGAAACTCTTGCCGCCGCCGTGGTCGACCAGCAGAACGACGCTGTCCATAGAGATCAGGTGATGATGGAATTGCCGTTTGAACAAGAAGATGGACCAGCCTCAGAAGCGACCTTTGGCGCTCGACGACAGGATGGCGAGGAAGAAGGGGCAGAGAGGAAAGCCGGCAAGGTTGATTATTACGCTGTGGCGCACAGAATACAGGAGAAGGTCACGAAGCAAGCCAATATCCTGACAGGAGGCACTTTGAAAGACTATCAGGTCAAGGGTTTGCAGTGGATGATCAGTTTGTATAACAATAGGCTGAACGGGATCTTGGCAGACGAAATGGTAGGTCATTCCTTTCCTGGTTCTCCCATCCACAACGATATCTCCCGAGATTGTGAGAATCGACGAAGCAGAAAAAATGAGCAGAGATGAAGTGCTCACGAGTAGGGCTTGGGTAAAACCATCCAGACAATCTCGCTCATCACCTATCTGATCGAAAGCAAACGACAACCAGGCCCTTTCATCGTCATCGTTCCTCTCTCCACTCTGACCAACTGGACTATGGAGTTCGATCGCTGGGCTCCCAGCGTCCGCACTGTCATCCTGAAAGGATCACCTTTGCAACGTCGAGAGCAATATGCCCGCCTTCGATCTGGCGATTTTCAGGTATGTCTGACAACATATGAGTATATCATCAAGGAACGTCCTCTGCTCTCCAAGATCAAATGGGTTCATATGATCATCGATGAAGGTCATCGAATGAAGAATGTTAAATCCAAATTGTCGCAGACGCTCAACGAACATTATTCCACTCGATATCGACTTATTTTGACTGGTACACCCCTTCAAAACAACTTGCCTGAACTGTGGGCTCTGCTCAACTTCGTCCTGCCGAAGATTTTCAATTCCGTCAAATCTTTCGACGAATGGTTCAACGCCCCGTTTGCCAACACTGGAGGGGAGAAGATGGAGATGAACGAAGAAGAGGCGTTGTTGGTAGTAAAACGTTTGCATAAGGTGTTGAGACCTTTCTTGCTCAGGAGACTGAAGAAAGATGTGGAGTCGGAATTGCCTGACAAGGTAGAGAAGATCATATATACCAAAATGAGTGCTTTACAGTGGAAGTTGTACGAAAGTGTAAAGAAGTACAAGACACTACCGACTGATATGAGCGCGGGGTGAGTTCTTGGGATCGACTGTCTGAGGTGGAGCTAATCAAGCAGAAAACCTCGTCGTCAGGCCAATTTGCAGAACGCCATCATGCAGCTGAGAAAAATCTGTAATCATCCTTTTGTGTTCCGTGAAGTCGACGAAGACTTTACCGTGGGAACCAATATCGACGAACAGATTGTACGAACTTCTGGAAAGTTTGAACTGCTTGATCGTCTCCTTCCCAAACTATTTCGAACCGGTCACAAGGTTCTCATCTTCTTCCAAATGACAGAAATCATGACTATCATCGCGGACTTTTTCGATTATCGAGGGTGGAAATACTGTCGGTTGGATGGTAGTACCAAAGCGGATGATCGACAACAGCTCTTGTCCACATTCAACGATCCAAGTTCTCCATATCAAGTCTTTATCCTTTCCACTCGTGCTGGTGGTTTGGGTCTCAATCTTCAATCCGCTGACACTGTCATCATCTACGACACGGACTGGAATCCATTTGCGGATTTACAAGCGCAGGATCGTGCACATCGTATTGGACAAAAGAAAGAAGTCCGAGTATTACGTTTGATCTCAAGTGGGACTGTGGAAGAACTCGTCTTACAAAGAGCACAACAGAAACTGGAGATCGATGGTAAAGTCATTCAAGCTGGTAAATTCGACGACGTCACCACTGGTGCGGAATACGAAGCATTACTTGCCAAAGCTTTCGAAGCTAATGCGGATGACGATAATGAAGAGACGAACGAGTTGGATGATGATGAGTTGAACGAGCTGTTGGCTCGGGGTGATCAAGAATTGGGCATCTTCACTGAGATGGATAAAGAGAGAGAGAGAGAAAAACTTGAACATTGGAGAGCCGAAGGAAATAAAGGTCCATTACCCCCTCCTCTAATGCAAGATTCTGAATTGCCTCCATTCTATCGTCGTGATATTGGGGATGAACTCGCCGCTCAAGTTGCGGCAGAGGAAGAAAGTGGAAGAGGCAGAAGAGCCAAGGCAGAAGTGAAATATACAGATGGTTTAACGGACGAACAATGGTTAAATGCTGTGGATGCGAGTGATGATGATGTTGACGAAGCTGTTGGACGTAAACGCGCTCGAATCGAAAAACGTGCTGAAAGAAAAAGGATCAACGAAATGTTAGCACAAGCTGAATTAGAAGGAAAACCTCTCAACAGTTCTTCTATCAAATCTACTTCTCCTCCAGTAACTAAAACGGGGATGAAGAAAAGAGGTAGACCAAGTCATTCCGCAACCCCTTCAGTTGTTGAAGATTTACCTCTTTCTTCTTCAAAACGACGTAAAGTTGATATTACTTCTGGAAACAATTCAACTTTGAACGGAGGAAGAATATCTACCGAAGAGAAGAATGTAATGCAGAAGATATATAAAGAAACGAATGCTCTCACTTCGGCAGAAAACGAACTTCTCAATACGTATTTCGTTGAACCTGTTAATAAAAACGATTTCCCAGATTACTTTGCGATTATCAAAAAACCAATCTGTATGAAACAAATCAAAAAGAAAATCGATAAAGATAATTCTTACGGTCTTGAACAATTCAAAATTGATATGCATCAATTATGGGATAACGCAAGGACGTATAACCAAGAAGAATCTTGGGTTTATAATTCCGCGGAAGATATGCAAGAGTTTTTCGATAAGATCTATGAAGAAGAGATCAATAAATTGAGGAAGAATATAGGAGAAGGAATTGGTGGAAGTGGTGAAAGTAATTCACAAAGTGGGACTAGTACACCTATGTTTAAAGCTGATTCGAGTAAGCTGGCTACTAAGATTAGGTTGAATATTGGGAAAAAATTAAAAGAGGAGAAAGAAAAGGAAAAGGAACAAGAACAGGAACAAACTTCAACACCTACTTTGACCGGAACGGGAGGATCTAGTGATGAGAGTGATGAAGATGATTATTAAGTGAAGGTATTGTTAAAGAAGATTACCATTCAGTATCATGGGTATCAATGATACTTGTGAAATGTGCAATGGGTGAATACTGTAAGTAGACACCATGGAGAGGTTACATTTTTGTATCATATATGGATTGGGTCATGAGTGAGATTGTGTATATACTTGGGTTTTTTTCCATCTTGATATCTAAATGACATGAAACCCATGCAAATCGACATGTACGAGATGTTCTACTTCCTAAGCAAACTGCACCATGCATCATGCATGCACCATAAGTGACACTACAAGCTAGTAGCTACAATAGTAGTAGTAGGGCGTTTCGGATTGTACTCCGTACTCGGGAGAGTCCACCCCACCTAGGGATCTAGGGAAGGGCAGATTTAGTGTAGGGAAATGTTTCATCCTATCGAATCATTCCCTAATTTTCCCATAAACTTTTTGTCTCCTACACTATACAAATCCCAAGTTGTCTAAGCTGCCCTAGCTGCCTACTGTAGCTGCCATTACATTGGTCATACCAATCTCCCATTTCTTCTCCAATCCATCCAATCCATCCATCTTATCTTTTTCCCAAGCCACATGCTCCATGCTGATCGCTTGTGCCCTCACAACCGACGATCTGTCGCCCCCTCAAAGCGTCAATTTTCAACAGTCACGAGACTGAAAAACGACGCGACTGCGGGAATCAGGGTTTGGACGAAATCAAGGATCAGCCGACAGTCCGGACCAGGCCGGTCTAGAAATTCATAATATTGGTCAGTGCGCGTGCCTAAAAGATATTTCGTACGACTTTGCTCTCTCGTCCTGTGCCTTGGTCATGGGTCAACAACCTAGGGTATAAGGTAAAAGGTAGAAAGTAGAAAGTAGAAAGTAAAAAGTGTCATGCATAAGTCCATCTCATCTTGTTTTCTTTCATTTTGTACATACTCTATTATCGATATTCGTCTACAACTACACGACGTACTTCTTGAATACTTGAATACTTGTCACTTGATAACTCTTCGACGATCGACGATTGACGATCTTCTAGTGGGGAGTTGGAGTGGGAATCTTGACAATCTTCGTTTCTCACGCGATCACGTCCTGGTACGCCTGGTACGCCTGGATATTTCGAATAACTTTGGGGAAATAAAGATTTAGTTCCAAAGGGATTTGATTTCTTGTTCAAGCATAACAAGGGAAAATACATTTTCATCCCATTCTCACTACCTTTTCACCATTAGTCACCAGATCACCGACCATCGGGACTCGGTCCGATAATAACGCACAGACCTTTAACGGTTAACATCTTTACCCGTGGAGACTACCAAGTTTGTGTGTTCAATCGCAACCGACCAGCCCTTTAACCCCCCCCCCCCCCCCCCCTCCCCCCCTTATTCTCAAGCATCCAAAGTATTCAATTTCCCCGTCGTGTACCCTGCACCTTGTGTCTCCCTTGAAGATTATCCCGGAATTCCGCAGTCATAAATAAACGCCCTCATTTGAAGATCTGACACCCTTGTCAACGCCCTCAGCGATCTTGTAAACTAGGTCAAATACCCACCCAAAAACTGAGCGATCCGCCTCTTGAACTCTTGTTTTTCTCTCTCATCTTCCTTTTCTTCTCAATGACCGTCCCTTCACTAAATACCAAATCACATCTTCGTCCCGATTTCGACAGAGCGTATTCTTTTCCTTCCACCACATCACACGACGAGGAAATGAATGAAAAGATCGAAGAAGGGAAAAAAGGTATGGTGAAGAGATTAGGGTTTAGTAAATCTATGCAGAGTTTGAGAGGGAAAGCTAAACTGGATAAACGTATGGAAGAAACCCGTAAGACGAGGGCGTTAGGAAGTAAAGAGAATATGTCGAATCCTCAGTGAGTGAAAACTTCGTTTGAGATGGTTTTTACTTGTTTGTATTGATGATGATTCATCTGAAACTTTTTCCACTCGTTCGAGACTCATGATAGGAGATAAAGTGAGACATTCAAGAATGGGAGAGGGAATTTGGATGTTTTGTATCGGGTATGTTCCAATTGGGTAACCGTCAATTTGGTTTTATGAAGCATCGGAGTAGAGCAGTCGGAAGTCGGTTATCGGTGAAGAGGAAAGTAAGAGGTGAATATACTAATATAATCAGTCTTCCGGTACTTTCAACAACGACACCTCCAGTACCTTCATTACCACAGAACACCCACATAGTGAATTCACCTCCTGTCCCCCCAATTAGACCGATGCCAGTCACTCAGAAATCGGGAGGATTATCATCCTTCATCAGAAAACTCACCGGTCGTTCATCTCCTTCCGTCGTCACTCCCTCTCAATCAAAATTCGCCACTAACACTCGAACAAATGCACCATCCCGGTCTGCCACCGCACCCGTAGCCTCTCGACCTTCGGCGCGGTCCACCATCAGTCCTCAATACCAACAACATGGATCGAAAGCACGAGACGAACTTCCAACAACTCCTACTCGAGTCAGATCGAATGAGGCTGTGAACCCGGCTGATATACCTCTACCTCCTTCGCCCACATTACCCGTTCTAGACTTCACTTCTGAACCGGAAGAAGATATGACGTCGTCTCTCTCAGCAGGCGCACAAGAATCTATATCTTCTCCAGTCAATGCGAAAGCTCCGGTGAAACGGACTCAAAACATCGGCATGCTTTCTCTCGAAGGAGTAGGGTATGATGCGGAAGAACAACTCACTTCGACTATAGAAGAAGGAGAAGTGGACGATCAGATCAATCCTCTTCCTTCGTATAAAAGTGGATTAGCCCCTATTCGAATTCCATCTAGAGGGACCAATGCGAGCCCCAGTCCGCCCACAGCAGTCAGTGAAAAATTGCTCACGCCAACTTCCGATACATCGTCTTTCGGCACAAGAAGTCCTCCGGGGCGAACCAAAGGTATGAATGACAGACGTCAGGATAGTGTCAGTCCAAAGGCCCAAGTGCCAGTATCGACCTCTTTACCAACGGGTCTGGGAAGGAAAGAGAGTAAATGGCGAAAGTCAATGATGGATCTTCAAGGGGTAAGTCTTTCTTCTCCCTCCCTCTTCTTTATCCCCAACAAGGTTTAGCACCTAGATGTTTCTGTATTCCGATCTCAGTTGGAATCAGGACGGGACGAAAGGCGGGAAAAAACTTTGTACTCACGTCCAGACCCTTGGAAGACGTACGAGCAAAGCTCCTCCGACGAGTTACGATGCCTATTTAGCACATCAACAACGTATGGCTCAAACACGTATGAGTTGTGCACCGACATTCCATTCCCGAGCCAGTGTCGCTGCGGAGGCTTTGGAGATCCAGGATAAAGAAGCGGCAGAAATGGCGGACACGTTCTTCTTGTCGTAGTGGGCGAGGAAACGGAGACATTGGGCGGACAAAATCAGCCAAAAGATCGAGGGCATAGCGGTCGAAAAGTCTTTACGAGGGGTTAAGATGATATCATTTGAGTTTCTTAAAGTCATGAGGAGAACATTTGTTGTTCCATAATTGTGTATTTGTATTTGTATCATTTCCATTGGAAGTTTTCGAGGGGTGTGACTGAAGGGGATACAGTATGTATATAAGGGGTCATGGGTCGTGGGGTTCCTATCTTGATATGCTTATGCACAATCGCACTCTTCTCGCTTGACTAGATTCACACCTATCTTTCCACTTTGCCGAGTGGTACGAACACTAGTATAGTAGTGCTCAAATGTTGCTAACACACTTTACAACAAAAAGCGTTTTATCTGACAACGTTTTATCAGACAACGCACAGTCCTTTTTCCCTTTCTGGAGCCCCACATTCATTTTAAGCGACCTTTCAAGGCTTCCTAATTCCTGGCCTTCTCGGTCTTGTCTAGTTACTTTATTGGAGACCGACTAGACCAACCTACTTCTGATTATACATCTCAATCCTTTCACTAAAATCACCATCATGTCAACAAACTTTCTCAAAAGAATGAATCAAATATCACGTACTGGTTTACTTTTATTCATCTCCATCACCCTTCTCTCAGCTTACTTCCTATTCCCTTCTTCTCACAAAACCCCTTCATTCCCTACTTTCCCAAAGGATGAATACGTTTATCCTCTCGCTCAACATGTCCAAGAACAACAAAGACCGAAAAGAGTGGGTATTGTTGGTGCTGGTGCCAGTGGGAGTGCGGCTGCTTTCTTTTTGAGAAGAGCGGGGAAGGTAGTGAAGGATAGAATTGGGAAGGAAGTTTTAGGTGAGATTGTGGTTTTTGAGAAAGAGGATTATGTTGGTGGACGTGAGTTCTTTTATTCGATTGTCGATTCTACGTCCTTTCTCTTCAAGTTCCCTCGTTTCCCCCTTCTCCTGATAACATGCTCTCACTTATCCTTCACCCCATCCTCATCTCCTTGCTTGTCTGAACAAGATCAACAGCGTAGGTCAAATGGTATCCCACAGACCCTTCTGAGGAGTCGATATTCTCTACTGGAGTCTAAACCTCAAATTGCGATTCTCACATTCTACTTTTGTCCTCTATCAGTACTTTTCCCCATCTGGGTATCGTACATTCCTACTCACCTCTGCTTGTCTCTCTATATCTGTGTAACGTCCCTTTTGATACTTCTCGAGCTTTGCTCTCTCTTCTAGGGGAACATCACTTGTCAAAAGTAGATTCAAATAGATTCTGCCCCACATGAACACTTATCACCCCTTATCTTCTTCCCCGCGAACAGTCACCTCGTACCCCAGGCTGACAAAAAGGAAGCACAACAGTTTTCCCACACTCTGACCCCCGTTACCGTCCCATAGAACTTGGCGCTTCCATATTCGTCGAAGCCAATCGTCATCTAGTCAAAGCTGCAAAGAAATTCAATCTCACAACTATCGATCCAGACTTTGGAGAAGCAGGTGTAGGTATATGGGACGGTACTCAATTCCTATACACCACCTCTACCAAACAATCTTATTTCTCCTCTTGGCTCGACACTATCTCCGCCATCAGACGATACGGTTTTTCGTCTCCTTATAGAACCGACAAATCCGTCAAAGTCTTGTTGAAGAAGTTTGCGAACCTTTATAATCCTCTTTGGCTCGCTGAGAAGGGTGCACCGAGTAGTATTGAGGATTTCGCTGAGAGGGCTGGACTGGGAAAGGAGTACACTACTAGATGGGGGGAGGAATATGCTTTGAAGGTTGTGGGTGTGGGAGAGAAATGGGAGTCGGAGATCTGGGAGGGGAGTACTAGAGTTAATGTGGGTGATTACTTTTCCATTTTCAGTTGCTCCTACCGACTGCGGTCTGTCTTCTTGATGGCTCAATCCATATTCTCTTTTCACCCCGTTATACCTTCCTGGTCAAATGGAGAGATATTTGATGTCTGTCAGAATGGACGCCTGACTGACTTTCAGTACGCATCAGACATGTCAGATATTCACGCCTTGGGAGCTTCAGTATCCATGGCCACCGGTGGTGCTATGGCTGTCCAAGGTGGTAATTGGCGTATCTTTCAATCCATGTCAGAAGACTCCAAAGCGACCGTTCATCTCGGTACTCAAGTGGTCGATATCATACCCCTCCAAGATGGTCGATTTGACATCGTGACCAATACAACCGATATTGTCAGCGCTTCGTCCGAATCATTTGACCAAATCTTTTTCGCTGCACCATGGCATTCCTCTCCCATCAACAAAGATCTTCAATCACAATTCCACGAACCGATTCCGACTCAGAAATACGTTCATCTTCACGTAACGTTGATCGGTACTACTCGTCGACATGCTTCCCCAGAATTCTTCGGTCTTCCCTCAACCACCACCATCCCTTCTACGATACTCACCACGGGTCATACTTCTCGAAATGACAATACCCCGCCTCCCTTATTCCAGAGTATCACGTGGCATGGAGAGACCGCACCGGGTTCAGGAGAGTATGTGGTGAAGATATTTTCGTTGACTTATCTCAAAGAAAGCATTTTGAGTGAGTTATTGGGAGAGGAACCTACTTGGGTGTTGAGGAAAGAATGGGATAGTTATCCAAAGTTGAAGGTGACGGCTACGTATGCGCCTGTGGAGCCAATGAGAGGTTTGCAGTATTTGGCTGCTTTGGAACCTTGGGTCTCTACGTGAGTGCAAGTGTCTCTCCCCTCCCCCTCTTTTCGAAATACTCTTCATGATTTTCACGCGATGATGCGAGATTCCTTCCTCGACTTTTTGACCCCATCACTGATCCGAGTCACTCAACGACCGGCTTGACTGGATGGAATTTGTATGTAAGCTGATGGACGTCAGGATGGAAACGCAGACTATATCAGCAAGAGATGCCGTGGCTAGGGTGGTGGAAGACTGGTGGGGATTAGGAATGGGAGAATGTCGGGGTGGGGTAGATTCTTGGGATTGGTCATGTGACCCTTAGTAAACCCCTTCGTTCCTCTGGTCGATAAAACGAAGAGCCAGAAAGATATGACGAGATCTATGATATGATGACATCTTGTATGATTTGTGAGCTAGAATGACAATGCATGTGTAATGATGAATGATGATTGAAGATGTCTGGAATTTGACCGAGGTAGTGTATCTTCACCAGAGAGGTATGAATGGATTTAACGATTCTTCGTTTGTCTACACGTCAGGATCAACCCTTCCACCCACAATGAAACATAGACAGATGGTGAGGAAAAGAAAGACGAAGGGGGGGAGGGTATAACGTACCTATATGAAAACTTCTTTCTGGTCACACTAAACTCTCCTAACTTATGTCCGACCATCTCCTCTGTCACTTGAACAGGAAGATAATGTTGACCATTATGAACCATAAATTTGATTCCTACGAAATTCGGTAAGATCGTACATGCTCGTGATTTTGTATAGATGGGTGTGGAAGTTTTGAGAGCGTTGGTTAGTGAAGGGAAGGCGGTGAAGTATGGACCTGACATTCAGCACTAATCTTCCTCCTTTCCATTCCGTCTTCCGCTCGAAGTGGATCATATACAATTCCGAATTATCGCGTTATCACCACTATTCTGGGTGTATCCACCCCGAGTTTGGACAAAGTCAGATATTGTACTGGACCGATATCATTCGAGGTCTGGGACTGGTCATCGTTGAATCGTCCACGTCGGATGGCGTTCGAGCGAGGTTGGACAAGGGGGGAGGGTGAGACAAGACAAATGAAGAGGGGGAAGGACGAGACGTACCTTTCCAAGTTGACCGTCTCAGTAAGAGAGCTGAGGGTTTCATTGCGTAGCTAGCAGCTAGCAGTTCACAACGTTAAACTCCAGTTGACCTGGAGACTTTTGCGGATCCGGAGAAGAGTGGAAGGAGAGATGACGTGGAGTTGAGCCGAAAAAGTGTGATAAGGACTTATATCTTCCCCTCACGTATCCCATGGCGATTTGGAAAGTCGCGAAATGTCCAAGCGTACCAGAACTACCATTCCTCTCCTATCATTACACAGAGTCTCTGATCTCTGTTCTTCCGCTCAAAAAAAGAAAGAAGAACGACGCTGTAGGGCAGACAGGATTCAAAGAAGAGACCGAGTGTGACAGTTCTGAGATTGTGATTCCATAACGAACACGAAAGCTACGTTCTCAAAATGGCCGGAATGCCTGTTATGGTGATGAGTGAATTTCCCTTCTTTTCCTCTCATAAGATCTAGCACTGGCGATTATGGACCCCCCGGAAAAAGCACACAGAGAACACATGATTGACTGACTCACAGACACCGGTCCAGAGAGACAACATGGACGTAAAGCTCAAACTGCCAATATCGTCGCCGCCAAAGTGAGTCTTTATATAGGGTTGGTAGATGAATGCTGATGTGGAGACTGTGGCAGATGTTATACGGACTTGTCTTGGACCTAAAGCTATGTTGAAGATGATTCTTGATCCTATGGGTGGTATCTTGTGAGTTTAGTGTGTCATATGATGTCTATAAACCGGAATAGTCTCCTCATTCGAGATGACGCGGGAATGTTAAGGAGTGGGGAGATCATGCTGACGCTGATATCCAGATTGACCAACGACGGACACGCCATTCTACGTGAAATAGACGTAGCTCATCCCGCTGCTAAATCCATGATTGAGCTCTCCCGAACTCAAGATGAAGAAGTAGGAGACGGTACCACATCAGTCATCATTCTCGCTGGTGAAATCCTAGCACATTCCATGCCTTTACTCGAACGTAACATTCATCCCGTAGTTATCATCCGCGCTTTCAAATCTGCTCTTAACGACGCTCTTGAAACCATCGCTAAAATATCCATCCCAGTGGATATCTCATCAGAATCCGAGATGCTCGCATTGATCAAAACTTCCATCGGGACAAAATTCTCCTCAAGATGGTCAGATCTCATGTGCTCACTTGCATTGCAAGCGGTCAGAACTGTGGCCGTCTCTGCCGAAGCGGAAAATGGTTTGGTAGGTGCCAGTGAAAAAGGTGTGGGGGGATTAAACATCAAGACGGTGGATATAAAGAGATATGCAAGGGTGGAAAAGGTACCAGGGGGTGAGATTGAAGATTGTAGAGTTCTCAGTGGGGTCATGATCAACAAAGATGTGACACATCCGAAAATGAGGAGAAGAATTGAAAATCCCAGGATCGTCTTACTTGATTGTCCGTTGGAATATAAGAAAGGAGAGAGTCAAACGAATATCGAAATCACCAAAGAAGCGGATTGGAATAGGGTTTTACAGATTGAGGAGGAACAGATCAAATTGATGTGCGAGAAGATTATCGAGTTCAAGCCTGATCTGGTGTTTACAGAAAAAGGAGTGTCGGGTAGGTTTTTCGGTAACCTTTTTCATCTTTGTCACATCCTAATCCTCGATACTAGGGTTTGGAATGACTGCATCAAGGGGACATGGAACGGCATGTAAGAATCGCTGACGATTAGATTTGGCTCAACATTACCTTCTCAAAGCGAACATTACTGCCCTCCGTCGTGTCCGTAAATCAGACAATAACCGTATTGCCCGAGCTGTAGGAGCGACCATTGTCAACCGTGTTGAAGATCTCCGAGAGTCAGATGTCGGTACACAGTGTGGCTTATTCCACATCGATAAACTCGGTGACGAGTATTTCGCATTCATCGACGAATGTCGGAATCCTAAAGCCTGCACCATCCTCCTTCGTGGACCGTCAAAGGACATTTTGAATGAAATCGACCGTAATCTGGCCGATGCGATGAGTGTGGCGAGGAATGTCGTGTTCAACCCTATTCTCGCACCGGGAGGTGGAGCAACTGAAATGGCCATCAGCGTCGCTCTGTCCGAGAAAGCCAAGTTGCTTCCTGGTGTCGCGGGTGCTCCGTACAAAGCTATCGCCGATGCTTTAGAGGTGATACCAAGGACATTGGTACAGAACTGCGGAGGCAATGTTATCAGAACTTTGACAGAACTTAGAGTAGGTTATTCATCTACCACTTCCATTTCCATTCGCGTACATCACTTCATGTCGTGATGCGCAATTTTGGCGAGTGACGCTGACAGAAAGGCAAAACATGCCGAGGGACTTCATCTCTTTGGTGTAGACGGCGATACTGGAAAGGTGACGGATATGAAGGTCTATGGTCTGTTGGAATCAGCAAGTGTAAAGATACAGACTTTGAAGACTGCCATTGAGGTGAGTTTTGGTCTTGCCACCATTACTTCTCATTCTTATGGCCTTTCTTTGTATGAGCGGGCCATGCAGCCGATCCGCCATGTTTGCAAGGAGATGAAACGCCTTGCTGATGCTCAGTCGGCCACTCTTTTGCTCAGAGTAGATGATATAGTTTCTGCTCGTCGACCGGAGGAGGGAGGTGGTGGTGGTGTGCAAACGATGGGTGGAGAGATGGGAGAAGATGGACCACCTGAAGGACCCGAGCAGTAAGTTAAAGGGATAGGGTGTGTTAGTATATGGTCAATCTATGCATTGCATCGTGGATTTATCATCGTAATCAAGCGTCTATACATGTGAAGTCTGCTTGTCTGCTTCTCGCTGGGACTATCACCTAATCACGACCTGATCATGCTCGATAGTGGTCCCAGGCGATCGGGCGAGCGTCATTTACGCTGGAGGGAAGAAAATACTTGACTCAGGCTAGACCGAGGAAAATGGACCGCCACTACAGTGTACGGGAAGTCCCAGGTCGGATCTTCCCCTCCGGCACCTCCCTTTCCCAACCTCCATTTCTCGAAAATTGCTGATTACACACCTCACAGGCTACTTAGAGCTCTGAAAACACCTGTTGCAAGTAGAGAAAGTCTGTAGGCGTCATGTGGGTGAATTTCATGCATGCAGCTGCCATGGCTGGTTCTCAAAACAACATTAGGTTGTTTTTTTCCGTGAATTGAAGAGAAATTCAAAATTTATGACTCAAACCTAGTCCCATCTATGCATTGGAAACCTGCATGATATACAGGAATCTCTCCTGCTTCATCCACAAAAGAGATCTCTTTCATATCTGAAGAAATGGTGGAGATAGGGGGAGAAGAAGAAAGGCCTCAGATGCGGCGGCTATGGCGGCTCAACTCGTGTAAGACGGTCCCGAAAACGTCTCCAATGTAGAGAATCAATTGAAGAGAAAGAGAATGCATACTGTCAATCTATCTACCTATTTATCATACTGACATCTATCCTGCTGAATCATCTACTTAACAATTAATGAATAAGCAGATGAGTCATCCATCTAAACGCTTACGAGTCGTGTACAGTAAGTATCACAAGTCGTGTAAGACGCGATCAGTACCGAAAACGTCTCCAATATTAATGTGGAAAGTCAATTGAAGAGAAAGAAAGAGATGCATTCTACCATTCTAGCTAGCTATTTATCTCTCTGATAATCTATCCTGCTGATTCTTCTGCTTAGCAAGGCACTGAGAAGCCATGAATCAGCTATCTACTAAGCTTACGAGTTGTCTCCTCTCCACCTCTCCACACATACGGACTATCTCGCGCAATTGGAATTGGAAAGACAAATGAGGGATAAGAGGATGCATAATGGAAGTAGAGCAGTCTATCCAACCTCGTTTCAGATCTAGGTAGACAGGAGAACTGAGAAGAGGTGAGTGGAAGGAATGCGACCAGCAACGACATACTTAGTGATCCCTTCCGTGATCCGTGAATGTAGATATACCCTTCTTAAGCAGCAAGCAGCACACTTTCAGAAGCGTGCCAGGAGCCTCTCTAGCACCTCTATGCAGCTTAGAACAGGTCTAGTTGAGATAGTGAGACACAAGAATGAATAAAGTGGATCCCACGGATGAAGAGGGAAGGGGTACTCCGGAAAGTTCAGCCTGGGACTTCCCGGACACCGTACGCCACGGCAATTTCGGATGCAGGTGAATTTCACCCGTCACTCGTTATGCGTCAAGTTGCACACTCAACATTCAACAAATCTGTCCTGGACTCAAAAAAGGTATAGGGAAGAATGGCGGGATTCGTACTTGGGACAGGATCAGGTGTATTGGCAGCTGCCATGGTGTATTACACCCTGACGAGTTCTTTATCACAATCCACGACTCGGATGAGAGGAGAGTGAGTTTGGTTGTTTTCTTCTTGACCCTTCCTCTCTCCCAACTTTAGTCCCCTGTGCATACTTCTCTCCTGCTCTCACATTTTGACTGTTCACTTTCATCTTTCTTGTATATACATCATTTCCATCTCACACATTCACTCTCTATGGTACATCATCGTGGCACTCGTCTTCATCCCTTTCCCGATCAACATCTGCTAACTACCTGCTGACTCTCCATCCGTCGCCTCGTTTAAAATCTCAATGCTCACATCTCACTTCCCTCCCATATGATCACTACTTCTCTATCATCTATTCTGATCAAAAACGTTGGATCAGGAGGATACATGTATACTAAATCGCTCAGACAAAAAAGGCTGATAACTAGTTTACACCAAACGACCCATCTTTTAAACTCTTCTTTTGACCCTTCTCTCCCCCTTGCTCCCGTCTCATCACTTGGTCCTTCTTCCCTCTCTCCACCTTTCTCTCAAACACTTCGACAAAGATGGAACATGGCTCTTTCCAACATGTTCGAAAAAGTTCATGATGCAGATTACCTCTCTGCTGGTAAGACGGTTTATTTTTCTGGTAAAGATTTAATCAAGAGTGTTTATCATGTGGACGATACAGGATTATCAGGTTTGAAAGATGTTGGGAAGAAAGGGAAAGAAATCATGTATGATTCAAATAAAATAGGAGAGGATATAGGGAACAATGTTGAGAAAGTAGGTAAAGGGATAGTTGATTATGTTAAAGAAGTAGGAAAGGAAGTAGGGATTGATAAAGTTAAAGAAGTTGGGAAAGAAGTTATTTCTGGTTTAGCTACTGAAGCGAGGACTTATGATGGGATAGGATTTGAAGAAAAAGAAAAAGAGAAGGGAATTACGAGAAAACATGAGGGTTTTGTGGAAGGTACAGAAGGAGTTGATCTACGTAAAGGTGTTGAAGGTGTCGTAGGTGGTAAGAAATCTATTCCGGATAAAAGGATCGTTTGAACGGTCAACTATGTACATGCTGAGATGCAAGTATGCATGAGGTTAGAAATATGGAACGAACATAAATGCATGGGTGTGATAGGGTATTGCTGTGACTGTCTTCTCCTAGTACGGTTCAAATCTCTGTCGCATCACATGTAGAACTGAATGGAAAAAGTACTATCGGTCCAATCATGTTCTCATGATTTTTTATTTCACTATCGTTTTCACAAATCACTTCGATTTGGATGTCATATTCGATTTTCGTTAATCTTCACATTAACATGATACATATAGAAAACAAAAACTTCGATTCATTCACTCACTTCCATGTCGGTTCCTACATCTGTCACCTTGATCACATCGTCCTTCCACCCAAAACTTGCATATCTTAGATCTATGTCTTCCCCCATTAGACGGTTCGTCCCTTGCATCTCTCGCCTCTCTCCTCTCTCTTGCGCTTCCTCTTCTACCACGATGATCATCCCTGGCACCATACTCGTGTGTTTGAGACTGGGGAGCGCTCCAAACAGAAGCAGAAGGGTAGGAAGGGGTTGCTTGGGGATAATGATTCTGAGATTGGGCAGTACGGATTGGAGGATAATCTTGAGGAGCGGGAGGATTGTAAAAACCACCGTAGATAGGTGCGACCAACGGCTGCTGGGGTTGAGATAGAGGTGGAGGTAGAGGTTGAGGTTGAAGTAAGTTCGGAGGTAAAATGATCTTCTTCAAAAGGTCGCTGACTGAAGATTGAGTAGTGGAAATGTCGGGGATCATCGTAGATGTTTGAGATGGTTGAGGTGCTTGAGATGGATAAAGAAGACGAGTGGACATAGCCTTTTCGGCAATCTTCACTCCAATCTCCGAAGGATCGGACGGAATTTGAGCGTCGGACATATAGGTGACGGCCAATATACCCCTTTCACGAGTTTCTTGAATTTCATTCTCGGACGAAGTAAATGGTGTCTCGCGGTGAATAGCGGGATCAAAGTATTCTATGTCAAATAAGTATTTCATACAGAGATGGAAAGAATGCACTAACGTTCTGGATCATACCAATCGATTTGCTCATCCACTCCATGAGCTCTCAATGCTAGACCTTCAGACATGTCCAATTGGTGGACGGACTTTCCGTGCGCTTCATTCTACCTGTCAGAATCTTTTCACACAAATGCTAGATAGTGATTTGCTCACTGTATTACCCCATGGAGCAGGCTCTAGCTCATGTGGTTCTTCTCTAAACACACGAATCGACTCCAAAGCCCCACCATCAGGGATGAGGTCTTTGAATCTGACCATGTGTCCTTTCTTATTCGGTTGTTTTTTCCCACTTCCTGCACCCAGATCACCGCTACCCGCGACTTCGACCGCAGAAGGAGGAGGCGACTGAGCTTTCTTCAGAAGCTGGTTCATGGTGGTCGACAATAACGACGTAGTAGGTGCACCAGTCGATGGGGCAGCAGACCTATCAATCTTCTTGATATCAGGTATCACCCGTTTTTTCACCGTGGATGACGCTGGAGTTGTGGCGCTGAAGAATGACATGTCCGATTTGGTAGCTTCTTTCTTAACAGCAGGTTTGATGATCGCAGTTGAGTTAGGTTTGGTAGTCGATGTAGTATTCGCGGTTGATTTGGTCGGTCCCGAAGATGAAGCTTGAGCTGTCCCATCATTCATCTTTTGCTTTTTGGTCCCACCTATATATCAACACGAGTGACAGATATGAAATACATATACATACCTTGATCCGACTCAGAGTCTTCGAGTGCTTTACGACCTCCAGGTAATAATTTCTCCTGACACCAGGAATGATATCGCTCGAAAGCTTTTCTGATCTCTCCTGCGGATTTCAAATCCTTCTTCGCCGCCCGTGTATTGACAATTTTACAACTCTTGCCAAAACCGTACTTCACCATCACGTCCACCGCCATGTCCGTCCTTGATAACATCTGTATATCAGCTAGGATCTATCCCTCATTGTTCCTTTCTCAACGTGACTACATACCACTTGGGAGTGCTACATGTGAAGGAGGAAGGCCGACGACGTTCGGTAGCACTTACAAGCAAAAGTGGTGCAATGGCGGACTCCCATTTTTCCACATCATCTATGAACATTTTCAACCAAATAGCTAAGGTCTTTGCATATCTTTCATTATCCGCCATATTTCTCAGGTATTGTTCAGGAGCATGATCCTTCAATGCCAACAAAATCTCCCTTAACTCTCTAGCATTCGGCTCAAATTCCGGTGGCAACACTTCCGGGCCTTTGATGCGCGGACGCAGGTACTTGAACAATACAGCCGGTTTACTCGACTTCAAACTCGTCGAGGAAATAAGAGGCCGTATGAGAGCCATACCCTGTGAGGTTGACGGAGGTGCCTTAGTCGGCACAGTGCCTCTCTGCTTTGTGGCACGGGAGCCGTCATCTTCCGCTGGTCGTTTGACCGGTAGCTTATCGATGGTCGACGAGTCTTTCCCTTGTGTATCCTGCCTGATCGGAGCTGATTGTGTGATGGCAGACGCTGCACGATGTAGCTCCGATCGAGGCTGAAGGGCGAAATTGGAAGTTGGTCCAGGAGAAGAGGAAGGAGGTCGGAAGGTGAAAGGAGATCCTTCCTTGACTTCCAAATCTCTAGAGGGGCCAGATTCGGCATTGATAGTGTTGTCTATACCGTTGACTTGGGCGGTGGGTACGGCATAACTAGCGAATGAGCTACTAGGCAGAAACGAGAGAGCAAAAACGTACGGCGGAATGGAGACATCAGGTTTGTTATCTGTATGTGGCAAAGGTGTGATACGAGGATCGGGGTTGAACACGGTGGGGAGACCAGGCAAAGAGCGAGACACATCCAGCGGTTGGATTTCATGCATTGATACGAATCCTCCACCGCCAGTCCCACCAGGACGATTTTCCATCATGAATATGTCGGCTACGTCGTCAGCACACATTCTTACAAGTCGCCACGTTCCCTCCATACCGCCACGCCGCCACACTGCCACACTGCTTCACAAACGCCACACGTCGACCGAACCGGCATTTCCTTTCGGAGAATATGCAAAAGACACGTCATGTGCCACTTGGCCACTGACCGTGAGGAGGAGACGGATTACCGCATTGGGAAATTGCATACGTAAACACCTCCTCAAGACAACAACAACAACCGTTTCCCCTCCAAAGTGTGGTGCGGTCTGTAACGGCGTGCAACGTGTAGTACGTATCTCATCAGAACCATTCTTCATGTGATGCGATGGCATATCATTCCATGCCCTGCACACCGTATCAGACATTCGATGACGGGAAAATCCTCCCTCCTTTTAACTAAACGAGACGAGGTGTGAACATCAGTGATATCGGTGTTTGAGACACGGAGTGTACGAGGGGTCGTGGGATGAAACTCACGTTTGTGATCCTCTATCCTTGAATAAACCGCAGCATTGTATCCCGCGTCCGCCTGAGCGGCCCATTGAGTGGTCGAAGGATATGCCCATTGTGATTGGGGAAGTGGTGTCGGAAGAGGAGCCGGGTGAGCCGGAGGTTGCTGAAATGCCGCCGCCTGTAAAGTCTCCTCATACATCGATGGGAAAGGGTCGAAAGTATCTTGTGGTGAGAAGAAGAATAGATCGGGTAGCTCGTGAGGAGGCGGTTGCGACATAGCAAGCATACCCAAACGACGAGCTCGGTCGACAAGGAAATACCCAATCAGATGGTTACTCGACGACCAGAAGGCTCGAGCCAGGAAACAAGGTGGGGGATGGGGTTATAGGGACTGACACCTGCAAGGCTGAAGATAAGTCACGCCAGCGATAATATACGTCGGAACGCTATAAGATCGTCCAGGTATAGCTACAATATAGTCTACGTCCGTCTACCCACCGTGAGGCAGTATGGAAGATGAGAACAGGATAGGTAATTCTAACCGGCAGACGCCTGACTGTTCTAACTCCGCTCTTTTCACCGCCCAAGTTCAGCAGAATGTCGACAGAGGTCACAAAGACCCGTTTAAATCACTCTGAAGGCTTCAGGTATAACGTAAACCTGGATGGACCAGTGCAGAATGAAAAGTTTGTTGAAGAAGAGAAGGCGGGAGAAGTGAAAAGGTCGAGCGTTCCAGGGATAAATTCATCAAAAATGCTTATTATTCTTTCGTTTGTCTCACGCATCGATCACGTGATTCTACACAACCGGATTCTACAGCATGCAGCTTCGGGTGGAATACGAGTGTAACAACGCCCCACCTTGCGATCTCGTTCGAGGCTTGGCTGTATAGCTGACAGATCTACTACGCACAGAAGTGAGGGCTTGTCACCCTTCGGCGGTAGTAGAGATAATGTCCTACCCCCCTGGGACCACCTTACGCCCCGAGGAGCTGGAAGATGACGATCAACCACTGATGGAGGGGAATGGTGCTCCCAGTCCGAAAGTTCAGGACGAGGAAGAAAGAGATCTGGTCAGGTAGGTCAGACCTCCCGTGTGAAAGCTTCTGACTTGTTTACAGACGATATGAAGATTTCTCCACCGTTGGCAAGTTTTTTATTCATCTTGAGAGCACCATCTAACGACCAAAGATTGGATCCACGACTCTCTTCATGAACGTGACCGCCGAGCTAAACCTATTCCGTCTCAAAACCCTCTCTTTGCACGATTGAACTCCTCCACAGGTCTACTTGGGCACTTCTGGCGTATGTTAAATCATGCGTTTGAGGAAGGCCAGAGCTGGGTTGTCATCTCCCTCGTCGGTCAGTCACCTCCCGCTCCATTTTAATCGCACTTGACGAAGTAGGTGTCGGCATCGGATTCTCCGCGGCACTGATCGCCATCATAACAGCCTGGCTGTCCGACATGAAGATGGGCTATTGTACCACTGGCTGGTGGCTAAGCCAGAAATTCTGCTGTCTTGAGATATCCGACGAAGGTGAAGGATGTGCGGAATGGCGTAATTGGGGTGGTGTTGAACCATTCCGTTGGATCGCTTACATTCTCTTTGCGGTGAGCTACATCAGACTGGTCAAGGTAGTCGCTCACTCTAAGTCATTGTTCTCATATTCTGCCGCTTACCTCGTCAAATCCTTTGCGCCGTATGCCGCTGGTTCTGGGATTTCAGAAATAAAGTGCATACTGGGAGGTTTCATCATCAAGGGGTTTCTGAGTGCAGAGACTTTTGCCATCAAAGCGCTCACCATGGTGAGCTATTCTCCTGGAATAACCAGGAATCTCCCCAGCTGATCAATAAGTGTCTTGCTATCGCCTCCGGATTGTCCGTCGGAAAAGAGGGCCCCTCAGTGCATGTTGCCTGTAGTTTGGGCAATGTCATTGCGAGACTCTTCCACAAATATGACCGGAGCCATTGTGAGTGGATACCGCAGGTTGAACAATACTCATAGTACAGTGAAGATGCGAGAGATCGTCACTGCCTCATCTGCAGCAGGTGTAGCGGTGGCTTTTGGGTCGCCCATCGGCGGCGTGCTCTTCTCTATCGAGGTTGGTGGATGACCTCTGCGATATGAGATATCTGACGATTGTAGGAGATGAATCAGACATTCTCCAATCGGACCATGTGGCAATCCTTCGTCTGTGCTCTGGTTGCGACCTTCACTCTCGCCGTACGTTTTACTCTCAGTCATTCAGAGTTGTGCTCACGGGCACAGTCAATGGATCCGTTTCGGACCGGCAAGCTGGTCTTGTTCCAGGTTTCATACGACCGTGATTGGCATTACTTCGAGATACCAGTTTACGTCCTAATTGGCATCTTTGGTGTCAGTTCTCCCTATCTTCAGTATCTACAGCTGACGATGAGGGACTGTATGGAGCTTTTGTCATCAAATTCAACCTTCAAGTGGCTGGCTTTCGCCGCAAGCATCTTGGGCAACATGCTATCGCCGAAGCGGTGACCTTGGCTACTATCACTGCTTTCATCGGTTACCTCAATCGCTTCCTTCGAATTGACATGACGGAGAGTTTGGAGGTGCTATTCAGAGAGTGCGAAGGGGGAGGGAATCGAGCCGGCCTTTGCCAGTGAGCTTCAACACCAAATACTGCTGCACATAGCTCACACTCAGATCGTCGTCCCAATGGAGAATGGTCAACTCACTATTGCTAGCCACGATCGTTAGGACCGTACTCATTGTGGCATCGTATGGATGCAAAGTACCAGCGGGTATATTTGTCCCTTCAATGGCGGTGGGCGCGACGTTCGGCAGGATGATGGGTATCCTCATGAAGGCTCTTCAACAGTGGGTATATCTGTCCGACATATCTTGGATTACTCTGATGACAGATCGTACCCAGAAGCGCCTTTGTTCGCCGCCTGTCAACCAGATGTCCCATGTATCACCCCCGGTACATATGCATTTCTCGGAGCCGCTGCTGCTATGGGGTGTGTATCCAGGCTAGCCTGGTGAGCAGATTGCTGATGAGACAGCGGAGTCACGCGGCTTACAGTCACCGTTGTCGTGATCATGTTCGAACTCACAGGAGCCTTGACCTATATTCTACCTACAATGGTGAGTCAGTGGCCGTAAAACAGACCTACGCTGATGTTCAGCTCACTTTGCTTGTGACCAAGGCAGTGAGCGATCAATTCGGAGGAGGAGGTATTTCAGATCGAATGATCCGCTTTAACGGTTATCCTTTTTTAGAAAAAGAGGATAAAGAAGATGGCGAGGCCTTTATCGAGCCAAGTGAGCTGCTCGAAGTGATCCTCACCGGAGCTAACGGCCCAGTCGCGAATGTCATGAGAAAAGATCTTGTGGTTATGTATGCTTCAGGCATGCCACTCAGTGCCATAGGTGATTCATCTCCAGTATCTGACAACTCGAGCTGATCGTCTAGGTGAAATAGTGCAGAGCACAAATTATCAAGGGTTTCCCGTGGTTAGATCAGAGGAGGACAGGACGATCATTGGGTTTGCTCGAAAAACCGAGCTACGTTTTGCGTTAGGTAAGTGTGAAATTTCTCAGCGCTTCTCTTCCTCTCGAGGGATTTGATTTATATCATCATTGTCTGCTACCTTTGAGTTGTTTGCAACCGATTCAGCTGACTTTTCTCAGAGAAAGCGACGAGAACCCGAAATTTGAGTGTCAATGCCACTTGCACTTTCCAGTGTATAAGTGACGATGTCAATAAGACAAATGCCTCATTAGCCCAACCTGACATCATCGTTTCGCCCAGTACCAACACCCGAACACGACAGATCAGTGCTTCCGGAAGAGAAGAGTTGCGCAGGACTAGTGGGCTGGAGGCGGATCAAGTGGATTTTGGTCAATATGTGGATGAAGTGAGTTGTGTGCAACCATCTCTTCAAAAGTATCTCAAATCCACTCGCTGATGTCTGTATCCGTTGTATAGAGATATGTCTAAGCCAACGGTGGGAATGACTGGGAGGAAACAAAAGACGTGGTCAAACTGATTACAGACCCCTCTGACAGTCTCACCGAAAATGCCTCTGGAAATAGTCATGCAACTTTTCCGACGTATGGGGTATGTCTTCTTCATCGTCCCTGCTACCCTTGTACTGATCATCCAGTCCTCGTGTGATCTTAGTAGCTGACAAAGGTTTACTCATGGGAGTAGTAACAGTCAAAGATGTTCTCAAACATGAAGTTCATCAACATCACGTCACTTCTCCCAGACTCCATCAACATTCTCCATCTTCCTCCCAACCACTCCAGACTAGAGATTCGTCAATGGATCACGGATGGCAAGATTGGGGTGTTGTGGAAGAAGGACGTGGAAGAGGATTGGAGATTGCGTTAGAGGAAGCTTTAACTTGGGTGAGGACGAAAGGTGTTGGTTTGATAAATGTTGGATATGGAATATTGAGGAGTAGAATGGGAAGAGCTTCGAGTGGAACGAACGGGAATGGTAACATTGGGACAAGTGGGGTAGAGAGAGATGAGTATGGTTTTGAATTGAGTGAGGCGAGGGATGTGGAAGGAGAAGCGGGTAGAGGGGAGGAAAGACGGTGATGAAGATTATGGTGTTATTTTAGTAATTCACATTAGGCATCTTTGGGCATCGCATTGCATCGTATATTCAATTGAATCTCTAGCTCACACCTAATCGTATGTTAGATCTCCACATGTACCTTCTCAGAAGGGTTTGCGTTCGTCATATACATTGACGTTGCGACGTTGCGCTACTGGCTACTCACCATCATTATTTAGACAAGTCAGGAGTTACTTGCAGTCCTTAGCAAATCAGTACCGTTCTTGCCATCTTTACTCATTAGCCAAATAGGCAAGTCAACGAGGTTAGTATACATGGCGGATATCCATTGCAAACGATACTTGTAGATCGAACCATATTCATGAATCATTTGAAAACTACAATCCATCGGTACCATACGTGTATGTACAAAATTGATTCCTCTCAACCATATATTTAAATAACCTCATATCCATCTTCCTCCACGTTCTTCTTTTCTTCCACGATCGATCCATCGTCCGTCATTCTCTCTTCTTCCGACTCGTCTTCAACCTCTTCAACTTGAACCGCGTGAAGAGTATGACCGACATTGGGCTCTTCTACCTTCTCTTTGGTAACTTCGACTTGAACGGTTTGGATGGGAACATGAGCTATAGGAGCTTTCTCGACAGGAGGTTTAGCGGCGACTTCGGCGAATGATTTATGTGGTTCTGAAATGTCTTGATTGAAAGTCTTAATGGTGGGTAGTTCTTGAGATTTCGCTTGAAGTTCATCATCATTGACCTTTTCATTTCCGACTTTTTCAACTTCCTCAACCTTCTCAACTTCTTGTACATTCTCAGCTTCTTCGACCGTTTGATCCTCCGAGATTACTTTGGCTAAAGTGTTGACTTGTACTTCGACGACTGGCCTTTCGACCTTTACATCATTGTTCAATTGTTCACCATCAGCCACGGTTGAAGTTTCCGTATCACTCCCCAAATCTAATTCGTCTCCCGCCTCACGCCTTTTCTGAACTTGAGCCCAGACTTCATCCCTCTGTCTCTCCAAATCCTCAAGTTCACGTTCCACCCTACCCACCACCTCTTTCCTTTTCTGTCTCACCGCACGGTCACCCCCAGAGGTAACCGAATCGGCCTGAAGAAGCAATTGAAGTAACTTGTTGCTTTGTTCATGGAAAGGTCTGTTGGTCTTATTGAACGGAAGAGCAGGAGTAGGATTGTCGGTGGTAGTGACATTCGAAAAGGAGAGAGTAGAAGGAAAGGTGAATGAATCTTTTACAAGCGCCAATTCTTCTGCGATATGTTCTAAAGCCGAAAGAGATTTTTGAGCTGTTTCTTTCTCATTCTCCTCTTCGGTCTTTTCGACAGTGACAGGAGTGGAAGGTTTCGATTTGGGAGGGGTGACGGTGACTGGTTTCTTTGCGCGTTCCCCATCGGCTACTCCTTTACCCTTTCCTTTCACTTCTTCTTTCTCTGATGGAACAGGGGTATGTGATTCCTTGAAAGCAGCTTCCACATTGTCGAGAATATCACGGACGAAGGGAGGGAGATCTGCACCTGTCGCACCGGTCAAAAAAGCCGAAAGGGGATCGATGTTCTTGTCTTCGGTTTTAGCGAAGGATCGCTGTTCTGCGGTGGCGGATGCTTCAGCGAACGTCGACGAAGAAGTTTTCGTACTGGTCTCCACTGATGCGTTGGTAGAAGAAGTAGAAGGAGTATCGGGGAAAAACTCGAGACCGAATTGAGATAGTACCTCGTTTAGACCTTGAGGAACTTCAGAAGTCTTGTTCGTCGACGACGCATCAGCGTCGGAAGCAGAAGTAGGTTCGACGCGAAGTCCTAAAAAGGTAGAGAGAAGGTCGTTGATTTGTTCTGGAAACACTGGCTTGTCGGCAGAGTCAGACTCCTCGTCCACAGGCCTGTTCTCTTCTTCCTTCTCCACAACACGTTTAGTCGAGCTGCGAGTCTTCTTGACAGACTTAGTCGTCTCGGTGAACTCTACTTTCTTCGACTGTTGGGTGGCGGGGGTATCCGTAGCGACGACAGTTGGCGATTTGTTGTTCTGTTCAACGTGGCTTTCGTCGACCGAGGTTTCTTCGGGAATCAAGTTGATACCGAACAGGGAACCGAGAATACCGTTCAGTTGCTCCAGTTCGTTCTGATGACTGGTCGTCTGATCCCTTGCGATCTGTCGAGACTGTTGTGCGCATCTATTCGAGTCAGTCCCATTCGATCGATATACATAAGAATGGACATACCTCCTTGCACATTTCCCAGCACGTCTAGCGGTTTCCTCAGCGGCGACGCGAGCGGCATGTTCAGCCTTGCGTCTAACCAATTCTCCCAACTGTCTCTTGCGTTCCTCCAAAACGGCAAGTTGTCTCTGACGTTGTTGCTGTTCCTGTTGACGTTGTAGAGCAATGGCGATGGCGCGTTCTTCAGCTTCACGTTCACGTTGAATGAGATAAGCTTGTCTGATAGCTTCGGCTTGACGAACTGCCTCTGCTTCCCTTGCTTGGCGTTCGAGACGTTCAGCTTCTTCTCTCCTACGACGAATAGCTTGGAGGTGATCGAGAGCGATACGTTCTTCTTGTTCGAGCGAAGGGTAATATTCAAAGTCAGACGATTCTACGGGGACGAAGTAATCATACGAGGCAGGAATGGGGGCAGGAGGTGGAACGAAAGTAGGATACTGATGATGAGAAGCGAGAATGGGATGTTGATGTTGACGATGATGAGGAGAGTAGTAAGAAGGGTGGTGATACCTTCCCATATGAGCAGGATGGAATGCGTAGGAAGGGAACATGGTGGCAAATTGTCTTTGTCTGAGTAAGTGTAAGCGGTAGTTGTGTAAAGAATATGATTGAACTGGAAGAATTGGTGAGCGAAACGTCAGAATAGGTGAGTTTATATCCATCTGCGAGTCACGACGATTTATCAGCGTTGTAGTGAGGAAAGACGCGCGGCCCTCGGTCATGAAGAATACTCTGGAGGGTGGAAGAACAAGATAGAAACGATGAGAAGGTGGTGGCAATTGCTAGAAGGTCCTCTGCTTCGGGGCGGTGAATGCCGCCTCTGGCATCTGTATCCCCGTCAAACGCCGTAAGTGTGGCGGAGAAACTCGACAGCTCTCCATCGTGTCCCTCTGTCTGTTCACACTCTCATCTCTTCCTTTGACCCTCACCTCTCGATGAGACGGTGGGATGCAACCGTAGCCCACGGGCAGACCGAAGTGTGGCTTTTAACACGATGAGAAGCCACTGTATCATGATAGGTGAGTGTTCGTAAGCAGCGCACCTGCCCTAGGAAGAAATCTTATTCACCCAATTTCACCCAGCCTGGACTTCGGTCAGATCATTCCACGAACGTCGGTCGGCCGTCTTGGTCAACCGACGTTTGTGGGTGGTCGTCGGGCAGAGAGGGATCATTTGTCATAGTTACACTGAGGGCTACTTGGTCACTTGAATCTATGATCCTCAAAGCTGACTGTGCAGATGTTCGTAGGTTTACGTCAATACTTCATATGCATCCGTCGATCTGTATCATTCACATCATGCTAATGTGTACACACACCTATTTGCACACACGACGCTAGCTTACAAGTTGTATATCATCACAAGATCTCTCCATCTCCATCATTTCCTCAGATCAACCGGCGCACTACTTGACTTTGTTCTTCGCAACCCGGTTCATCTCCCTAATTCTCACACCCGCGGCGTCTTTAACCCTTTTTTGTACCTCTGGACGATCTCGTCGTCAATACTTGATCAAGATGCGTAAGAGTTGAGACTTACAATTGAAGACGTAGAAGAGGAACTCCATATGGACGAAGAAAGGTGCAGTGACCAGTGCTTTTGGTCAGTTCTGCGTGCCTCTCTCGCCTCGTTTAAATTTCCCCATCAGACCTTTAGTTATCTCATCCGTCCCTCCAATCATACTCGCTCAGTAACAAGCATAGTGTATGACATGATTCTGTTTCACGATTGGGGTGAGAGATTTGATCACTCACCCTGCACCAAATTATCAGTCAATGCCGGAGCTCTATGCTCGAACACACCATGTCCTATAAACTGTGCTATCCACGCCACAACGAATACAGTCCATCCGAACGGTGCTGCAGTCGGGTGGGCATGAGAGCTGAAAGGTAACCAAGCGGGTGCTACCACTTTGAGCCAAGTGGCAGATAAGTAAAACAAGATCGCCACTGGTAGATAGGCGGTCTGAAAGTGAGCTAAATCATGCTTTGAACGCTCAACAAGTGTTTATGAAGAATGAATTTCAATGTTTCAATGAGAGAGGAACGTACCCCTGCCAGAGGATCTAAAACGATGTAGTAAGTCTGAAAAGCAGCGATGAGGGCTAGAGCGAGAGAAGGTTGAAATGCCGCTCCATCAAACCAAACTTTGGGGATGGTCCCTGGCCATGGAACGTGAGAAAGGATGATCAGACCAGACCTGAAGCTTTAGTATCTCCAAATTCATACATATTCTAATCCTGCAATACTCTTTGTGTGACCGTATTGGAAGAGGTGAAGGCTAAGAAATGTAAAGCGAAACGAGAGAGGACGTTGGAATGAGAAGATGTACTTACCATAATATTTGAGGGATGAAAATGAAATGAATGAGTTGGTTGATTTTATTTGAATGATAGGATTGATAGAACGCCAACTGTACATCAGCTAACTTACCAATCAACATTCCATCTGGCGAACTGGCGAGAGTTGACTTATGTCCACAAGCCACGCACCGAGTACTCATTTCCAGGCGCGGTGTCGGTGGTAAGAGCGGATGTCAGAGCAAATAAATATGGGTGAGAGGAAGGAAGGGAGAAGAGCAGGTACTGACTTCTGCCACTACATCTCTCGTACCAGATCGTGAAAGTTGACCATTGGGATGATCCAAATCCACACCATCTGCAGGACCTTGTGAACGGGTCTTTCTTGGAGATGCCATTTTGTTAGAGGTGTCCGATGGCGTCTATAGAAGGCTAGCCAGTTGGTGATCGGATTCAAGACAGGACAAAGGCCAGCCCGCTACCGCTGACGATGTGACCCTAGTCTTGCTACGTAGTGTTGGTATTGGAATCAGAGATTCTTGATGATGTGTGCAAGTTGGGTTGCAGAAGTTGCATGATGGAACCGGATACCCGAGACCTCGGTGGCAAATTCGAGATCCACGTGGTTCAACGTACAACATCGTCTGGGAGCATTTGGCTATTGTCTCTGGAGCAGAATATCGCCCAGATACTAAGAATATCTGCTGTTTAGAACCATGGACTGAGGAACAAGTCAGCCGTTGTTGAACGTTTCCAACAACATCACGCAAATAGATAATGCTCAAAATGATTGCATATTGCATGATAACTCAACCTGTCATATCCCGCTTTCTTCCCCGACGTCGGACTGATCATCAGCTTCGATCGATCGAGTTGCGATATAACTCACCATCTCTCAACTTGGTTTCTATCGGTATCCACTTCTTTGGACCAAGTTCTTGAGCATAGGCTCTCAAGACCTTATCATCAGCCCGATCCGCATTTCCGGAGCATATTTATTGATTCAAACGGGACTTCCAGGGCGGGCGGCCTGACAGACCTCGTAGAAGATATACGACGAAGCGAGTAAGCTGGCAAAGATACCAAGGTGGACACAGTGAGAAAGACTGATACCTTAATCGGAACGGAATGTGATGGTAAGAAGTGGACTTATCTGATAAGTGGAGATTGGTGAGGAATTGAAGGATGAAGGATCACTCACACCGGCATATAAACTCTCAGAGGAAGGATGTGTCGATAGAAACGCCCTTTCTAGCACGTAGAGATCTACTGCATAGTGTTCTGCGTATGTACCGCCGGATGAGAGACCAAAATCTATGAGAACCTATACGTTAGTGCACTAGCCAGGATCACTCAGGAATACGTGGGAACAGTTCAATGTGGGGCAATGATTCAAAATCAACCAGAGTAGGGTTGATAATACGAGGTATCAGATTCACAATGACGAAGAGAGTGTAAAAGTTGTGTCAAAAAATATGGAGATGAGATGAACATACCACCTCGTATTGTTCCCCTCTCCCAGGGGTGAGCCGAACCATCATATTGCTGGTGGTCAAATCTCCATGTACCGTGCCCAAAGCATGTAATCTTCCCAACTCTCTTCCTATACTCTCCATCAATCCCTCTGTTCATCAGTTATAGTCCCAACAGCAACAAGGAGCTCACCGATGGTGATACCAGCTTTTCGCAAAGCCTCAGCACCTTCATTTTCCCATTCCGCTCCGCTCTCTGTCATGGCTGTCACCCCAGTCGTTGACTCTGTAGATCTGCTTCCTGTCATTCTCGCATCTTCCCCTTCTCGTGATGTTCCTTCGGTGGAAGTCCTACTCGGAGATTCGGGAGCAACTCCAATTTGATCAGACACTGAAACTTCCTCTCCATTCCCTAATTCCTCCTCTTCGTCACCTTCCAACTCCCCTTCCGCTCCTCCACCCAATATCTCCCTTACTGACCACCCCTTGATCCTCTCCAATCCTAACACACCGGCCTTTTCATCTACCCAAAGTACCTGAGGCACATTCACACCAGCTTTAGCACACCTGGTCAAGGCGCGAGCTTCTGCGGCTAGACGTGATCGTGTGAGAGATGCATCAAGAATGGGGTGTCGATATGTTTTGGGGAATCGATATTTCAATATGACCTCCTGAGTTGCTTTTCCTTCATCATGTGATGTTTGCTTGTGTTTTGATCGCTCCGAAGAGTTTGTGGATGTGTTGGATGAAGGGAGCGCGGAGATTAGATGGTTCGTGTTGTATGCTACTTCGTCGACGAAGGGTGAAGGCCGGTCGGAATGTTTGGGTAGTGAGAGAGTTTGAGAAGAGGATGTTTGGTCTGATGCTTGGGAGTCTGAAGGCCAGTAGACTCGTGGAGAGGGGAGTAAGGAAGATAGCAAATATACTCGCTGATTGTCAGCTCTGGCTGCTCGTACGAACGTGGAAACGGGGCAAAATTCACAGCTTCAGCACCTTGTTTGATCAGACGTGATTGCGATATCAGATAGTTGGAGGGACCTGCAGGAGTCCAGGTCATGCTCGTCATAATGTTGGAGTTTGGATATGATGAGAACATCCTCTCGGAAAGTTAAGAACTTTGATCAATCGTAAACCAAACGTCAGTGGTCGGTGGTGGTGTGGCATGTGGCGGCTTTGTGAGAATGACAATATCCGTCTTGTCTTGCTAACGATTATTGAACGAGTTGGACTTGCCAAGCGCAAGCCTGACGAAAAGAGTCACGACATTAATAATGAATAGATGCATCCACACCTAATCTTCACACCCCGGCTTTTGGCCAGTCAGACCAGCTATATGACATTCCTCCTCGTTCCTCCTTGGCCCGCTTTCTTTGCAGCACTCGGCTTTCGCGGAGCAGCCTTTCCTCTATCAGTTCCACTAGATGCTCCTAGTAGCGTGTCTATGGTCCCTGAAGATCCTATAGAGCCATCCGAATCGTCATCCACCGGTTCAGGCTTCTTTGGTTTTGGCTTTTTAGTCGTCTTAGCTGGGGGAACAGTGTTAGGTTTTTCCACAGCTGGAGAAGGTGCTGGTGTGGGTTTGGCGGAGGAAGGAGCGAGACCATCATACGCTCCGGGTGAAGGTGTCGGGGAAGGTTTAGGGCTGTTTTTTTTCCTTTGTCCAGCATTGTGAGAAGTGGGAGGAGCCAATTGATTGGACCCATCTTTTTCACTTTCTTGTCCTTTGGACCGTTGCAGCGAACGTTGGGTCTCATGGCTTCTCGTCGCAGCGCTCTCGACTGTCTCTGAAGGAGCCGTATCTCTGTCTCTTGCTGATGAGTGGGTAGATGTATTCGCTGGAGTTGATTCCGTTGCCTTCAACTTCGGTCGGGTTGGTTTGGGAGGAGATTGTGCAACCGCTGGTAATTGGGTCTCCTCTGCCGTCTCCTCCCTATGCAAGTCTTCCGTAAATTCTTCATCCGGACGCTGTACAGTCGCATTCCCCTTCACACTTTGTCTCGACTTTGGTCCAAGCACACCTTCACTGTCTGCTGCAAAGGGAGGAGGGAGAGGTGGAGCACCCGCTAGCATATGACTTTGTCTCGTGCTCAGTCTTGATATCCTCGCCGCATCAGGTTCGTAGTAGCTAGGCAGCACGGATCTTCTAATGGTCACGTTTTCCGGCGGTGGGGCAAGGGGACGAACAGTGGACTTTCGGATGTCCAACGGTCGTGTGTTCCCGTCAATCTCTCTTCGGACACCCGCGGTCGGTCCAGGAGCTGAAGGTCGTCTTGGAGCGGAGGATGGGGGTGGTGCGTTGCTTGGTCGACGGCCATCATGCGGGAAACCTCGAGCTGGAGCACTATGTGCTTGTTGTAGGGATGGACGAGTCTGTGTTTGTGAATGCGACTCTCCAGTACGCAACGTATTGCGCTGAGGGTTGAAAGGTGGGATGTCGGGGATAGACCCTCTAGTCAGAGGCGGTTGTGCTCCTCTTTGTGATGCTACGCTCGGTCGATGAATCGGTCTGCCTTGGTGGAGTCGACGGGGATCTTCGAGATGTCGAGGTTGAGGTGATGGGTTAGAAGGATATAATTGACGTGTGGGTACGGGTTCGATTGGCGATCCCTCAGTCGCGTTCTCACGGACAAGTGGTGGACGTTGGAGAGGTGGGACCTGTGAAGGTCGAGAAGAACGGCTTGGAAGTGTTTTCTCTGGCGGCGGTTGGGGTGACCAAGCTTCTTCATCTGAATGATCCTCCTCAACCGTCACAGCTTTTTTCTTTATGTTCTCATTCGGCACGTCTTCCTCTTCCTCCGTCTCGTACTCCTCCTCCTCCTCTTCCTCAGCCTTGGAATTGGTACCCTTCTTCGTGTTCCCGTCACCTTGTGAGACTTTCTTTCCCACTTCTGTATCTCGGGTGGAACGCTTTCGATTTCTTTTCGAGATCCACACGATGCCGAAGATCAGAGCAAAAATTCCCAAAGTGACGCCGATGCCAGCACCGACGAGCACAGTGGTAGAGGTTTTTGACTTTTCACATGAGAGGTAATCACTGAACGTCAGTTCAATTTGATTTATGTTAAAAAGAAGAGCATACGTGATAGAACCTGAGTACTTACAGCTCCCAGAGGTAGCTGTTGATGACGTCGACGGACTGACGGTGGAGTTTTGAGCCGCGACCAGAGTCAGCAGCGGGACTGCCAGGATTAGGGCCATGTCGGGATATCAGAAACAAGACATCATACGTTAGAAGGTCCTGGAGTGGGCGACTAAGATAGTCGACGAGGACCATGGCTCACTGGCTTGGGGGGGAGTTGTCAAAGGAAGTACGGAGCTGTAACAATGAGGAAGAAAAAGGACTGATCAGGGAGGGTATCGGGATATGTTGAGGTTATCATGCTGAATAGTGGAAGTATGAGTCGTGAGTAACAGAGGACGTCGCCAATACACTTGCTGCTCGTGAGGCAGAGAGGAGGATGACGGAGTGACACGGAGTGCTGCGTAGGTAACACCCGGCCGGCATATTCGGAATTAAGAGAGTTCATATTTTCTTAAGTCCGAAGGATCGACAGAGGCAAATGTCAGGCTCATCCCACACTTCCCCTCAGCTTTTCGGTCTTCCACCCTTGACGCATAAAATCAGGCCTCTCCTGTCGACACCATCTACAAGCCGACATGTCTCATCGTAAGGTGAGCACCATATCTCAAGCAACGTGCACTTTATGTCGTTGGTCTGTGGAAAATGCTCAGACGCTGACCTTCCCAGTACGAAGAACCCCGTTCTGGATCTCTCGCTTTCTGTAGGTCTCATCAAGACGGTATGTATCTTGACTGAATGGACAGTGCCAAAGAAGAGAGCTGCTCGACACCGTGGCAGGGTGAAGTCGTTTCCCAAGGTGAGTCATTCTCTCACTCGTCGATTCCAAAGCCAAAATGGTCGTTTCCAAGCCAAAATGATCGTTTCCAGACTAGTTGCTCTAAACTTGGTATCTACCATGGGAGGACGTAGAACCCTGGGCAGATATCTGAATAGTTCTAACCCTGTAGGATGATCCCAAAAAGCCCGTTCACCTCACGGCCATGCTAGGCTACAAAGCTGGTATGACCCACGTCGTTCGTGATCTTGACCGTCCCGGTTCTAGTGAGTCAATAGGCACAAGTGCAGTCGAGGTCAGATTTGAACTGTAGAAATGCACAAGCGTGAGGTCGTCGAGGCCGTCACTGTTATCGAAACTCCCCCCATTGTCATTGTCGGTGTTGTCGGCTACATCGAGACTCCCCGAGGGCTTCGATCTCTCACGACTGTCTGGGCAGAGCATCTGTCAGACGAGCTCAAACGTCGATTCTACAGGAACTGGTACAAATCGAAGAAGAAGGCTTTCACTCGATATGCCAAGAAGCACTCGGAAAACAATGGACAGTCTGTCGCTCGGGAATTAGAAAGAATAAAGAAATACTGCACTGTCGTCCGTGTCCTTGCCCACACCCAGCTGTCCAAGACCGGTCTCGTACAGAAGAAGGTGAGCCTCCATCGAGACCCGCTGCTTGCTTCCTGGTCATCTGATGAGCACGTCCTGACTTGTGTAGAGCCATTTGGCCGAGATTCAAGTCAACGGCGGGTCAGTCGCGGACAAAGTCGAATTTGCTCGATCTCACTTCGAAAAGGAGGTTGCTGTGGAGTCGATCTTCGAGAAGGACGAGGTCATCGATGTCATTGCCGTCACCAAAGGTCACGGTGTGTCAGGTGTGATTGCCCGTTGGGGTGTCACCAAACTGCCACGCAAGACCCATCGTGGTGCCCGCAAAGTCGCTTGTATCGGAGCTTGGCATCCCAGCAAAGGTGCGTATCATTTGTGGGACGGACTCATCCTTGGATCCGTCAAGTGCTATGACATTCCGCTGACCCCGTCTAGTCATGTTCAGCGTGGCTCGTGCTGGTCAGAGAGGCTACCACAATCGTAGGGCTCAAAACCTCAAGATCTACCGTGTTGGAGCCGGAAACGACCCCAAAAACGGTTCGACTGACTTTGATATTACACCCAAAACGATCAACCCTCTCGGTGGCTGGACACGGTGAGTGATTAGATTGAAAGTTGTCGTGAGGCTGATTATCACAGCTACCCGGATATCAAGAACGATTTTGTCATGGTCAAGGGATGCACACCCGGGCCCAGAAAGAGAATCTGCACCCTGCGCAAATCCCTCCAGCTTCACACTTCCCGTACGCACCTCGAGCAAACCCAGCTCAAAGTAAGTCCTCGATCTCTTTGATACTTTCCGACATGATGCCTCACAAGAGCGACGATGGACCTCTCGTCCCGCCTGATATGAGTCGCTGCGAGACGTGGCTGACAGATAGTTTATCGATACTTCTTCCAACCGTGGTCACTCGGGTTATCAGACGCCAGCGGAGAAGGCGGCGTTCATGGGTCAGCTCAAGCTCAAGCAGGCCGCCTAGGTCATGGAATGAGGAAGGTTGTGGATGTAGAGGAGAGGAGAGCTTGTACGCGACGACGATGGATGCACCCGATTTCGGTCGACGTTTTCCAGAGTGGCCCTTCATTTCCCTCTTCACCGACATTACCAGCCTTATGCCTCTCACTGTCACGAACGGACGTACCCACCGCTGTTGTTCCTCCGCAATCTTTGACATATTCATTTCATCTCATCCTACATGGATCTTACTCCGTGGCTCTGACGGCAGCTCAGGATGATACGGCGCTATCCTCTTACGACCCCGGAACATCAAAGGAGGTGAGTGACCCTTTCTCATTGAACGGGGCTCAAACATTTCTCCCGGACATCGTCGTGTGACCCGCCGAACCGATTGGACTATACAGTCCCTGATGAGTTAAGCAACTTCACAAAGTCGTTCATACTGATATCGTCTCATCCGGGAGCAGGTCTCTCGGTTCAAATACGCGAACACCATGCCCGTTGATCAGGCGACTCAACGACATACTTCTTTCCCCACATCTCCGACAGTAGCCTCTACCGTCTTTCCGTACTCACTTCGAGCTGACACTACTTACTCCGCCGGATGGGGTCGAGTTCCAGCCAGTCAACTAGTGGATTCACCATCTGTATACGACCAAACAGCTCGTGAGAACATATCTTACTATTCCGGACAAGGTGTCGATCCATATTATACTCAGGGGAGGACTGATCTATCTTATTATTCTCAAAATGGGAACGCACACCCACATCATTCTCGAGGTCTCAACCAACATCAATCACCTACCCATCTGACTCGTAATTCGTATCATGGGACGAACCTGAACGACTCACATCAAGTAGATCCAGGAACAGCATGGAGTAGATCATCTTGGAATGGTCCTAGAACAGATGCTATACCTGAAGAACATGCAGAAGCTTATGGATACGGAACGGCAGGTTTGATACCTTCTTCAGCTTATCCTTCCAGTGAAAAAGGTATGGTCCCATTTCCGATCAAAGGTCAACATCAAAATGCTACATATATGAATACACCATTTATACAAGGTTCAGCAATACCGAGTAGTGCACCAGCAAGATCTACAAGATTTTCTCTACCTCGACCTGTAAGAAGGACGACTATCGCTTTTCCTCCATTAACGGAAATTCCATTAGACCAACAAGGACAATATCAACAATATCAACAATATCAACAAAATCAAACTTTTCAAGATGTTAGAAATTCTCAATTTACACAAGATCCATTTGCTGATCCTCTTCCTCCAAATAAGGAAAATGAAGTTCAATGGCGTAAATCTTATGTCGCTCAATTAACACCAGGAGCAAATATGATGACACCTCATCAACAACAACGATTAGGTAGAATGTCAGTAGCAGCTCCTAGATATTCTTTACCTCCTAATAGACCGAATTCAGGTTCTGTAGGAAACAAATCATTTGGAAAAGTATTAAAGAGGAATGCTACGGTGACAAGATGGAGGAAAAGTAAAATCGGAAGAATGTATTTAACTTGGAGGGAATTCATAATTGCTGGTTCAAGTCTAATTTGTGCTTTATTACTCACTATGGGTTTACAAGTGAGTAGTATGAGTGTAGGAAAAGTCGTCAGTGTTCCAGGAGGAGCTTTTGTGAAAGCTCAAGGTGATGGAACGGAGGTAGCTTTGGGCTTTTATGGTTGGTGTCAGGTTGGAGTCCCGAAGTGGGTTTTTCTTCAGACTTTCCTTCTCTGGCAACATCATGGTTTTCTTTGTCGAACTAAACCTCTGGATGTTTCTTCCTCGGTATCCATATAAGCCCGTTATGGGCGGAGTGAAACGCTCCATACTAGTCATATAGATTAAACTGATCTCAGCCCAATCTGCGAAGCCTATTCTCAAGGTGATTTCGTCAATGCTGATTCTTCTTTCCAAATTTGGGGCGAGTGAGTAATACCAAAGTTATCTCTTCGATTCCACCACGTCCTCATTAGTCTCAAATCTTGACAACCCCTTTTCCACATTGAAGCAAAGTACTATATACGAGCGGCCTAAAATAGTCCACTCACATGTCATAACTGAAATTTCGGAGTGTTAACACTGATATCAGTTCGACACTTGACAACCTCGCATCGATGACTACGGCACTAGCTTCCTTCACATGGCTTTTAGCAATCTATCACCTCGTCACTGCTTTCCTACATTTTTATCTCTTCTTCGCTTTGTCAATTCCATTCTCTCATTTAATAGATACAACCGATCCTATCCCCTCTTCCACTGATGAAAAACAAGGAGAAAAGTTTGATGATCCATTACCTGTTGATCCTATACAAGCGGAAGTGGACGTGAGGGCAAGATTCGAACGATTACCTTTTGAAGGTTATCTTTGGGTATGGTGGGCTTGGTTCGGTCATCGTAGAAGTCCTATAGGACATGTTTATTCTACTTTAGTAGGGATTCTATCATTGGCTTCTGTAAGTCTAAGCTTTCAATTTTTGATTACTTACGTTGACTTTGATATCAGTTGGGTTTCGCCGTGGAATTCAAGAAAGGTATCGTGTCAGCTACGTCGAATACAAATATCACTCTGGGGTAAGTATTTCATCATCGTTCTTGCAACTTTTGCTATGTGAAAATGAAGACATTTGATGTTGGATGAGAGGAGAGAGTTAAAAAGTTGACGGACAGACCCGGTGCTTATCTTCCTCTCATTACGCTTCTCTTCACACTTGATCCTTTGATATGTGCCATCCGATATTGGTCAACAGCAAGTTTATCAATACACAACTTTCTACATCCTCCCGAACCTGTACCTACCGCCTTATTCCCACCATGGGAGAAAATGCAACATGTTCGTACTTCATCAGCTTCCATGTTCTTACCACCCGAGACCGCCCCTCCTCTTCCTGTTCCTCTACCAGTGGTGGAAGAAGAACTCGATCCGGAAACAAAAAGATGGCTCGACGCTTATCCTTCTGATCCGGAATTGGTACCACTCATCGAAAGTCTACGAGAGGGTCAAGAGAATGATGATTTCATCCTTTCCGACGTTGGATTATTATATCTCCGTCCATCTGATCCTGACTCTGATGAACCGGCCTTGTTGGTACCTCCTGCTGGAGTGAGGACGGAATTGTTGGAAGACGTTCATCTGGCTCCGGACGAAGAAGGACAGAGCGCACATCATTTGGCAGATGAAATGTTGAAGATACTTTCGGAAACTTTCTGGTGGGTAGGGATGGAAGAGGATGTAAGGGCTTATATTGGGAAATGCGGTTATTGTGCGTTGAGAGAAGATAAAGAACAAGAGAAGGATTGGATGGAAGGAAGAAGTCCTCCGGCTTTGAAACCTGGTATGACTCCTGTGGAATTTACAGGAGTCGATTGGACTGCCAATGATACCGGTGTGGTGGCTGATAGATGGGGTGTTGGGGAGAGCGCTATGGCAGCTGATATGGCGGTGGCAATGCGTAAAGCGCAGGAAGACGGGTCATGAGGCATTGGAGCTCCAGTGATCAAACTCTATAGTACTTGCCGGGATCTGTAATGATGATAAGGTAGTGAGATGTCAGACTGAAATCCTGATTGACACAATCATGAGATTCATACTACCAAGTCTTGATTCATACAACAAAGTCTTGTGGTCACGTTATACCGAGCGCACATGAACCAAATCACTACATGTAGCTACGGTCTCAGCTCATACGAGGTAAACGTTACGAATTACTTACTCACATCTATTAAGCTTGTCGGTTCTGGCCCCATCTTTGACGTCTCACGACTTCCAATTCAGCCAATAATCTATTCGCCTCTTCATATCTTTTTCTAACCGCTTCTTCGCCCACTTCATCGACCTGCCCTCCACACCCATCCATTTCGTCATCATCGGTATATGTATCTGTTTCACTGGCAGGTACTCTGGTAGAAGGATATGGTGAGGAGGATAAAGAGACATGATTTCGGTATGGGGTAGTCAAATGATGGTGTGATTTTTGTGAACTCGACGTTTCAGGTTGATTGTTGGAGTTGCGGATAGGGACACCATTACGACTTCGGTGCTATTCATAAGTCATAAGAACTTCTCTACATGCCGAAATTACTAACCAAGTTATGCAATAGAGAATTCTGACTGGCATACTCTTCTCCCCACTCTTTCATCATATCTTCAATTTCTATCTCCATCCCTGACTCCGTATCGCTTGAGATGACTGTCTCGCTTGAAGGTCGAAAAGGCGACGAGGAGGGTGGTTGATGACGTATAGGCGATGATGATAATTCCGACATGTGTGTAAACTCGGGTTGAGAATGATACTTGATAGGTGAGGGATACCAATTGTCTGAAGATGGTCCGTGCTGAGGAGAAGGTTGTGAGGTGGTACCCAAAGGAGGATGAGATGGAAGGTGAGGAGAAGGAGCGTTGAGAAACTCCCATTGACGTGTACGACGTCTTTCAACACCTTGTAGTAGTTTGCGATGAGCAGTAGATGATTCGGGGGGATCTGGATAGGTAACGGGATAGCCAGTAGGGCAAGGTTGAAAGAGATGGGAGGTAAAATTGGTATCACGTCTTTGTTTCTTGAGAATATAGTTGAGAGGTGATTCTTGAAGATCTGGAAGGGGAGGAGAGGAAGAACGAGCCCTCTTCATGGGACGAGGAGGGACGAGAAGATCTGTCATGACCGGAGAAGTTTGAAGATGAGGAAGCGAAGGAGAGGCGATGAGGAAGGTAAGGAGACGAACTTCGGCCGTTCTCTCAACAAATAACAAGAAACTCAAGTCGAATCTTACCCTTTCATGTGACCTTGCGGGCTAGAGCGATGAGAGTGGGTTATGAGGGAAGAGATGACCGTTAATAAGGATGAAAGTATGTACGAGGAAAGTAGTGATGGGCTTCTCTTCTGTTACGTATGCGCCACCTAATCGATGGCACGGAATCAAATCTCATTGCCTTCCTTCGTCGTCAGGAAATTTCAATCTTGTCCATCACCAAATAATTCATTATGCCCGCTGGGGACAGAGGGACAATGGACAATGATTTCCAACAGGGGACAGATTTCATCAGCTTTGAACTCTCGCCACAAGCTGGACCTTCTCGTTTGCCCGACTCGCCTCCTTCTACCAGTCTCAAAGGCAAGCGTCGGGTTAACGAACTGGATGACGATGACGAGAAGCTTCTCTCTACCAAACGAGGGCGGAGAGAAGTCAAGAGTAAAGACGGGAAAGTCAATGGACAAGCAGAAACTTCAAAGAAAAAGACAAAAACCAAAGCCGAGAGGAAGGCAGAGAGAAAACAAGGGAAAGCTAAGAAAAGAAAAAATGATCAAGGAATCTCGTTACCTTCTGCTGGACTTGAGAGACAGATACCGTGGGCCACCAACATTGAATGGGATCAATGTTATGATCCTGCAGAAATGTCAGTTTTTCAGATGTGATGATAAAGATGTGTGACTGACATACAGGCTGAATAGAGAGATCACAGAATTTTATAGATACATGTCCCCAACAAGAGAAGAATACGAAGTACGATTGTTGATTATCGAGAGTATCACAAGAGCTGTAAAGTATAAATGGCCTGAAGCTACCGTGACGCCTTTTGGATCATGGCAAACTCAACTATACCTTCCTCAAGGGTTTGTCCTCCATACGTCTTCACAATGTTCTTCACCTCAGTCATTTGAAGGCTTGATATGGTTTCTTTCTTTGGCGATGAGATGAGATGACTGATGCTGATTCCAGTGACATAGACTTGGTAGTCACACATCCAACACTTACAGAACATAACAAGAAAAACCTTCTCAACGATCTCGCACGTACAATGCGCTACGCCATGATCACCGATAACGTTGTCGTCATTTCCAAAGCTAGAGTTCCTATCATCAAATTCGTCACTAAACATGGTCAGCTGCCCTCAAGATGGTGAAGCATGAGCTCATGAACAGGCAAGCTTAATGTGGATATCTCGCTTAATCAGGTCAACGGTATATCAGCCGGAAAGATCATAAACCAATACCTCGACGTGATTCCAGGGGCGAGACAACTCATCTTGGTCGTAAAGGCATTTTTGAGCCAGCGTTCGATGAATGAGGTGTATACAGGTGGATTGGGAAGTTATTCTGTTATTTGTCTGGTCATCAGTTTTCTTCAAGTGAGTTCGAACGTTTACTTCCTTCGTATCTCCCAACAAGTCATACACTAGCTTTTACTTTCTCACCTTTCTCAAAGCACCGATATTGTTTCTCAATCCTGAAAGTGAGCACGCTGACATGAAGATTCACCCCAAAATACGTCGGTCGGAACTTGATGCGGAGGAAAACCTAGGCACATTGCTCATCGAATTTTTCGAGCTGTACGGACGTAATTTCAATTATGAGACAGTGGGTATATCCATCCGTCGTGGAGGGTCATATTTCACCAAACGATCGAGAGGATGGTTCAAACATGAACGTCCTTTCCTTTTATGTATCGAAGATCCACAGGATCGAGGTAGGTCTTCATCTCAAATTATGATCACTCTTCCCGAGAATCATTCGTGCGCTTGACTGGTCCTGCCAGTCTCTCCACTCTCGGAACACGGAAGGTGTACCAAGTGAGTTATGCTGATATTCAGATAATGATATATCTGGAGGTTCCTACGACGTACGAAATGTGAAAGCCACTCTGGCAGGTGCCTATGAACTCCTACAGGCCAAATTGTTTGAAAGAGCCGAACAGATGGCTCGGAGGCTAGAACTCACCGATGGTGCCGAAGGACATAGCATATTGTCGGGCGTACTTGGGATCAGTAAAGAGGTCGGTTTAGCTTTCTCTTCTAACTACCCCCATCTCAAAAACGGCTGCCTTCGTTTCGTTCTCCTCTCCACCTCTCTTTTCCGCCGTCTTGTTTTCTGTAGATCTCGACGATCATACGACAGTCTGGTCCGTCGCGCATGGGTTCCAGAGGACACAGAGGAACTGATAGACTAGATCATCGAACATCGTCGTCGGATCTTCGACCTACACAAATCTGGCACAATTCAACGACTACTCAAAATACCCCCTGATGTCGATCCAGCCCTTCATCTAGGCTATCCCTCGCATCGTCCTGTTCATCAGTATATACCCCATTTATCTCATAGATCCACTCATCCGGACAATTCTCCGAAATCACGGACCCGAACGCGAAGAGGTAGTCCACCCATACAGGCCATCATGGTGGACGATGACGATTTGAGTTCGTTATCGGATGACAGTGATTTCCTCTCTGACATGGAGAGAAGTGCCGCCACAAATGTCACTAAGCACAATGCTGCCGGCCTTCAAAATTCGATGGAACCATTTACGAACGGAGTAAGAGAGATCGTTTCTGGTGGGATACTTTTGGACTCAGGTTCGGAAGAAGGGGAGCTTATCGAGATTCATCCTGAGATTGGGAATGGACGAGTCATGAGCGTATCGGATGATCTGGATCCGATCAATGATTTGAGAGATTTGGACGAGGAGGAGGAAGAGGAATCGAGATACGCTGTGAAAACATCCAAAGTCAATGACAAATTTGAAGAGCTTAGGAATAAAGGAGAGAATTCAATCTCGAGTGATGGATTATCATTTTCTCTCGATGATCAGGCGGAAGAGTTGATGAACACGATTCATGTGGTGGATGATGATGATGAGGATGATATCGTCGAGGATGGTCCGTCGCAGGAGGTGATAAAGGGTAAACGAGCGAGGTTGGAAGAAAGAAGAGCTTTTTGGGCTTCTAAAGCTCAAGCTCCTGGTGTGGAAGAAGATTTCATTTCATTCGATTGACCGGAGGAAGACTTCATTTGATACGATTGACCGAATCTCTTCAACTCATGTCAGTACTCCTACCTTTTCCACTGTCTTGATTGGTGCGCGATGCAGTCCATGTGGGTGGATTTAATAGGCGTAAGAGAAAATTCATATGTAGCATACGGATAGTCAATTGTGTATATTCTGTGCATGACATTGCATGTTCATATTTCTCTACTTTTGTACGAACTTGCACTACTCTCACTTGCATAAACTTGAGATGGAGGAACCATCGTGATATGTGTTCAGAAGTAAAGAGCATAAGCTGTTTTACCTCCCACATACGCTGAGACCAAGCCCAAGACTGGTTGTTAGGTCATTCATCTCCTCTAACTACCCCAAGCCAAGGTCTGTTCATTGACTACACAGGCTACAACGAACCGCTGGGAAGAAAAGGACAAACAATAAAGAGATATTGTATGACTGGGGAATGCAAATATGGAGTTGTCTTTGCCAAGAAAAGGGATGCAGTGGAAGCAAATTAAGCTTTGAGAACTGAGGCAAGAATGAAATGACAAGACTCACTAACATGCGCCACTACTCCCGCTTCTGAGATGATACCATTACGTCTCTTTGGAACTCCCGTAGAGTAACCCAACTGGGTATCATCAGTTACAAAAAGGAACGAAAGATGGGAGATGACGCACGGTATAAACAATCCTGGAGAGTACCCAGACGAACACTAAACTAGTAGTGAAAACGGGTTTGAATAGACCTAATTTAGTCAACATCGTTTTTGAACTGTGATATTCATTCAGCAAATTTGAGACATTCTTCCATGTGTCTCGTCTGAGTATTGAGTGAAAGACGGTGGTTTGTGGTTGTATACTTTTGGTGTGACATACGGAGGGGAAGGGGGAAGACGGAAGAGGGGCAAAGACTGACCGAGGAAAATCTGGACTGCCAAGACGAATGGAGCTTGTTCGAGGGTATTCTGATGACTTCGTTGAGCGCAGTTGAACACCTGATACATCAGCCTACTATTTCGTCTACCATTTCTCGTACGGGAAAGCATTGGTGCATTTCTACTCTAGGCACTGTTATTGTGAGGGGGGAGGATAGGAAAGAAAGAACATACCATCTTCTTGAAATCTTCTTTAGTCTCTGCCTCACTAGCGTACAACGTAGGGTACTGAACTCCTGCCTTGCCACGCTTGGTCATAACGTTTTGAGTTTGGTACAACTGCGAATCAACGTTCGTCTTTGCTGGGTTGATCCATGTTGTATTGAGGGTTGAGAGAGGAGGACGAAACAAAGAACGGATTTACATGTTATGAGCTGTAGTGGAGGAGAGACTTACGTTGAGGATCATCATTGAGAAAAGACCCAACCCGACGATGGGGAAGGAAGAGGAGATACCTGGAATGGACATGATTATTGAACGTTTCTGAATGACACAACGTGGGGTGAAGAGGTAAGTAAGTTATGCTACAAATCGAGAGACTAGGTTGGGAGGAAGGGGAGGAAGGGGAGGAGAGGAAGAAAAGGATAAAAAGGGTTAAATGGCTTTTGAAAGAGGTTACGCGTCGTCAAGGAGATTCATGGATGTTCGGATGGGATACCGATATTTACGGAGTATAACGGCTCTCACCTTAACTCGGCTTCGGCCATAGGCCATAGGCCATAGAAAAGCTGGAAAAACCAAATCAATTGATCTTGACCCTGCTCATTGTCAGTCTCATTCTTGGCAGTCACCCGTCAATTGTCAGGCTGATATCCGATCGACGGAGCCAATCGCAGGTTGACACAGTTGACGCAGTATATTCTATGCTTCTCCCTACCCCACCTTGCTCTGCCCGAGCAGTCAACCTATAGGGTGGAATGTCCCTAAAGCTCCAAGAGGCCATACCGGGTAGACCTAACGAGCTATCTTCACAATGTCTTGATGTTCTAGAGGTGGAGGGACATGGTTATGTCGTATGTCTTCCTACCTACCACGTTTCATCTCTCTCTCACTGATCGTCAGGTGTACCTTTCATCTAGCAATGTGGTGTTACTGGATGAACGACTGAATCTGAAAGAGACACTGGTATTCTGGGATGCCTTACCTCATAGGGCATCCTCGTCTACTTCTCAAACTCAGGTTCAAGGTGTTAAATGTGATCCTGCTGAATGTTTGGTCAGTGATGCGTTTTACATGCCAAGCTATGACTTATGAGTAGATACTTGCCTGGAGTGACACTCATGTGGTCATCTGGCAATATTCCAAAAGAAGATGGACGGTTCACTCCACTATTCTTTCATCGAATCCTATCACACGTTTGGACTTTCAGCATGGTACGCTCGTGCTTGGCACTTCAGCAGGAATGGAAGTATGGCGCATGGACCCTTCAGCTCAAGTCACCGTCTGGGATAGATTGTGGGAGAGGTCAGCTGATCGATTTTGGCTTGGGTTTGGTCATGTCAGCTGACACAAAGGGCTTATCCCGCACCAACCTCCATTCAACTTTCGCCTGTTCTTGGACACATTGCATGGATCGTCAAAGATCAAAAAGGAGTATATATCCTAGGAATGGACAGAGCTGGACAACCAATGGGTGTTCCTCAAGAGATGCGTCATCCAAGAGAAGTGGAATGTATCTCATGGCGAAAACCGAAGTCTGACAGGTGAGCAGCTAAGGTTGTTACAGGGCTAATGCTCAGTGGGGATGCTCATCTGTATACAATTACAACCAATTCTGTCTTGAGAATATACTCGCCTGTACTCGATGATCCCACTTGGTTCCAACTACTCTCTACCATCGGACCCGACGCTTTCACCCGTTCCTTGCATGTCACTTCCGCCAACTCAAGTGAAGCAAAAACCATCATACATCCTTTTGGCGTTATATGGCCTCTTGATGCCGATGTTCTGAGACAAAACCTCAAAGCAATGCAAGATACTTCAACGGCAGATCATGGATCTGACAATCAAGTGTCTAAAATGATCCATGCTCTGCGTAATGAAGAGAGTGACGTCGTTGCTTGGCTCTCACCCCAAGGCGAGCTCGTTTTACGGTCAATCATCAATATGGATCGCAAACCTCCCACACTACTACGATCACTCCCTCTGTCAAACATACGGCTCTCCCCCTCGTCATTGCCTTTCCTTACTTCACCAGTCGCCCGTCTTCTACACACTCCAAATACGGGTCTTACTGTCGTCTCCTTGTCTTCCGGTCGGATCACAGCCCATCGATTCTCCCTCACCAAAGTTCTTGCCAAAGATCCTTCAGGTATACAGCTCCTGGTTGGTTCATCAGATTCACAAGTAGAGCTCAGTCAGCGTGTAAGGCAATTTGTGCGTACCCCCAACGGACGTGGACTGTTGGTGGTCGGCGAGGAAGGCGAGATAGGGGCGTGGTACAAACGACGAAATGGCGAAACACTCACAGGCCAGAATTCAGCCGCTTTACAGGGGCGCGGACTGTTCAAAATCGACCCTCGTCCACATCGGATAGCCATATTTGCCAAAGGGAGAGGAATCGTCACTTTCTTTCGCGATAAAGCAGGAGGTCATGTGGCTCTCCAGCACCTCGACGACGGACAATTATCCCCGACAGAACCCGTGCTGCTCCCGGATTTCTCTCTGGCCGAAGATGACGACATCAAAATGCTATTAGCGGTATCTGATGTGGATGATGGCTATGAATCACGACGACGTAAAACTCAAAGGGCTATTGTCGTCGCTTGTTCTGCTTCGGGACGAGCTTGGGTCTGGCGTGTTATCTCTCCTCGCGATCCTACATCTGCATCAGAGCTGGCTTTTTCGGACTCCACATCGGTCCCACCTACACCCACATCCAGATTTCTCGAAAACCGAGAGCAGAAAGTGACCAGCGCAAAACCAGAAGTGCACTTGATCTCGACATATTCTCTGCCAATCGAGTCGTCAGCAATTCATCCTCACGATAAGCCGGCCTTGGTCCTCCCTGTCGACCCCATGGGCTGGCACCAGAATATCGTGGACTGGACCATGGACACGCCGCTGCAAGATATGGTACTTACCGTGACAGTAGATGGGTGTTTGGAGTTTTGGAGACCGCACATGGGTCAACACCATCAACTCAGCACCAACGCCCGGCCCACCCGGATCAATGGGACGAGGTTCGTGGGGAAGGGTGAAAGTCCGATCATGGATGGCCGTCTTGTCAATGGGATGAGGAATGTTGAGCATGGAGCTTGGGAAAGAAGTGGGATCGTACGTACGGGGAAGAATGGGGTGTTGATGGCTCGATGTAGTTCGAGGAAGAAGACTGTCCTGGGTACGTCATACGACCTCGATTGTATCCTCAGAATCGTCAGGCCAAGCCTATTAGTCGTTATATAACTGTCCCATCTCTGCACTCGCTCCTCACCGATGTCGTGCAGCCCCAACTTGCTGGGGTGGAACTGACTACCAGTTTGCCAAACACCTAGCGGAAAACAAGAGATGACCATCTGGGATTCCAACGTCTCCGAGTTCTCTACCGGTCTCGAGTCATCGGTGGAATACGAGTACGTCAGCTCTAACCTGACGTCGCCAGCAAGCTGATCATCAGTGAACCTATTCAAGATCTCGATTGGACAACCACCTCTGATCTCCAATCCGTCTTAGCTGTGGGCTACAAACATCGGGTCGTTCTCATTTGTGAACAACGCTTGTCATATGTCGACCCTACCCCCGGCTGGGCACCATTCCTCACGATCGATATGCTACAATACGACCCACGACCTATATGCGATTCCATCTGGCTTGCTGGAGGCTCGTTGGCCATTGGAGCAGGTAACCATATTTATCTCTTTAGTAGATTTCTCGATAGAGGTTCACCGGAACCCAGTCCAGCACCGTCGATCAAGAGTAGCGGGACCGTTGTGGGACCGGAAGAACCGGAAGATATCTTCCAGTTGATCGCTCATCAGAATGGACCGTTGTGGGATTGTCATCCGACCGTATTGGGGCAATGTCTCTTGTGGAGTGAGTGATACACATTTTCCCCGTATCCCATCATACTATCCATACGCGCACTCCATCATATCAATCTGAACGCCAGTCTGAAGAAGACAAGCTCGACACCCAATGTCTGCCATTCACGTATCGATGCGAATCACCCGAAAAGGCTGAAACTTGGGCGAGATCAGCTGACGTAGGCAGACAAGATAGATCTCGTCAAAACAATCCTCATCACTCTCGCTACAAGCCTTCGAGAAGCTCAAGAAGCAGGTAGAAGACGTCTTCGAATGAAACGTCTCGATCCTTCAGAATTCTATGCTGTGCAACGGGGGAAGACACAGGTCAAAGCAGCGACAGATAGTCGATACGATGGCCTCTTCTCCACCCAGATCGACCTTGAGACGAATGAGGATGATCCTTTCACCTCTGCTCTCGTTCGGAACCTCATTGAGCGGTTGGACGGGCCGGTGCGATTACCCCTGGATGATTTTGAGAAATCGATGTTGGCTACGGTCGCTCAGGGTACTCTGGAGGTCAGTCAAAATTATCCGCCCTTGCCCTTTTCCACTTTAAGTCACCTACACTCTCACCCGATATGTTTCAATCATACTTGACTGACATGCTCGTCAAAAGTCGTTTGACAATGGTTTGTCGGATTTGCTAATCATGTCAGGTTGAAGAACTCCGACGTTCCTTGGACCATTGCGGTCTTCGTTATCTTTTATCCCTCCGGTTCTTCGTCAACTACAATCGCCGTGCCTCTACTAGCGGAGCCAATACCCCGCTCTCTTCTGGAATGTCTGGTCAGCTTCGACCACAACAACGGTTGTCGTTCCGAAATATCGTATGGGCTATGCATAGCGAATCACAGGAGCTGCTCTTGAACGCCGCTACGAATACCTGTATGAACGGAAAGATGTTATGGGGTGAAGCAAAGAATTTAGGGGTTTTTCTGTGGTTGCGGTCTGCCGAGGTTGTCGTACGTGATACTTTTACCCCATGACTCCACATTTTCCCCCCGTCTCTCGCTCCGACATAATGTCACAACCTCTGGAACTCTACCTTATACAGGTCCAGATAGGGTCTCTTGGTTTGGTGTGATCAAAACGCATCCGCTCGTCCCTGCTGACAAAAAGCGCAACCAGATGGAACTCGTAGCGCGAAACCGATTCATGTTAGATGAAGATCGAGACCCTACCAGCTGCTCCCTCATTTTCTTCGCATTGGGAAAGAAAAAAGTGGTGCATGGTCTATGGAGGCAGGCTCCGGGACATAAAGAACAAACTGCGATGTTGAAGTTTCTGGCGAATGATTTTGATACGGAGAGGTGGAAGACGGCGGCTGTGAAGAATGCTTATGCGTTATTAAGCAAGCAGAGGTATGGTGAGTACCCGCTTGACCATCGAATTCCATACCCATCGACCTAAATAGACAATAGTCTCATTCTGGGGGATTTAAGGTGTGGATCTTTCGAAATTCAGGTGTCTTGGTAGTGAAGAACAGTGCTCTGAGTAGAAGAACACCCCGCTCACTCAACAGAGTACGCAGCGGCATTCTTCATGCTCGCTGGCAAGCCCCAAGACGCTATCAACATTTGTCTTCGACAATTAGCCGACTGGCAGCTTGCTTTCGCCCTTGCTCGTGTAGTCGAAGGTAGTACCGACGGTCCGCTCGTTCGATCCGTATTGTCTGACACCGTCGTCCCGCTGGCATTTGCCGGAGGCCATAGATGGCTAGCCACATGGGCATTCTGGCTTCTTGGAAGAAGAGATCTGGCCGTGCGGGTTTTGCTCGTAAGTTCTGACTCACTGATGGAAGCCAATCCGCTGATCTCATCAGTCTCCTATGGACGACGTGGCTTATGACTGGTCGCCAGAGAACGAATTGAGCGTAGGGAACCCAGAGAACGACGATCCGTCATTATTACTTCTCTTCCAACATTTAAAGTCGAAATCGCTGCAGACTGCTAAAGGAACGAATGAGATTCCGGAGAAAGTTGAATTTGATTTTGTTCTTCATAACGCCAGGGTATTCTTCCGCATGGGTGAGTGATCCCTTCCAACCTATCAGTTTCCAATCCTACAGATCTTACGACAACCTGGCGGTACCACACCACATGGGTAGTTCGTTAGAAAGAGATAGTCAGTCGAAATGACGCAGCTTGATACTCATACACAGGATGTCACGCCCTAGCTCTGGACTTACTCCGATCATGGAACTTTGACCGACCTTTTTTCCCTCACAAACCTATTCGATCCCGTCGACCTTCGTCCATGGGCACTCCCGCCAGTCCCTCGAGATCTTTATCCACCCCACATTCTGCTCGTCGACCAAGCTTCTTGCTCAGCTCTCATGGGAGACACGAAAGTATGTTCATGGATCTGGACGTGTTGGCCGAGGCGGATCCTTCTGAACCTGTCACTAGAGTTCCTTCACCCACCCCGATCTTTCAAAACACTGCAGATCCGTTCCGTCCAAATGGCGTCGAGTCAACTCCCGACCGGTCCATCCACATTCTGGACGAAAAGACGGACACGAGTCTTATATCCCCCATCAGAGAAACTCCGGATTTGATAGAGATCCGGGAAGAATTGGAGAAAGAGATGAAACCTAGGAAAATGGGAAACTTGATGAAAGAACTGAAACAGGATGTGAGACAAGGTGCTGCAGAATTCGATATGGATTCTTTCTTTTGATCTCTGTTGATTTGCATGTCATACATTGTAGCATGATAGCATGATAGCATATATTGCATGAAGAATCGTTGCACTTTCGAATAGTGAGTGTCCCATATAGTTATCCCGTGCCCGACCCCGAGTGAACAAGGAGGATTGAAGGGAATCCTTTTGCCGGTAATGACCGAATGAATTCATCATGTCTCGAATCGATCACTAATTCGCCCCTCACCTTTGATCATGACTTGAACACCCAATTCTTTCGAACAGCCGATAGAGCGTCAACGATAAAGGTAGAAGTAATCCTGACATTCCACTGAGAATCCATTGTCTGGAGATCTGGAAGTAGGAAGAGACGTGATGGACGTGGTAGAATTGGAAGCGAATCTCTTCTCACGTCCATCACCACAAGATATCAAGTATGTCCTTTGTCTTCCCTATCCCATTCACTTATCCTTCACTTACCTCACCCTCGACTTGTGTGACTACCACAGACAGCTGTCCATCTCAATCCCGCCTTCAATCCTGATCATTTAAGATGCGGTATTCGAGCTTCTGATAAATTCATGTAACTGATATCAGATCCTCCTGGCAAACTCTCTTCTCAGACCCGTTACTATCACTTTCAAAACTCAAATCCTCCGCCCTCTCTTCAACTGGAATAGGTCCCTCCATACCATCAACCCAAGAAACGAATCCATTCATACCAGAAGGAACCGTCTTACTCCGTTCTGTCCATTGGAGGATATATCATTCACTTCTTCCAACTCCAACATCATTAGACTTATTCCCTCCTTCTTTGGAAGTAAGCAGGGCCACATATACTTCTTTACGTAGGAAATTCTTATTAGCTCCAGATGGTAGATGGGCAAATGATTGTTCTCTTTTATTTGGAGATCTTCCAGGTCATCCCTCTCAATCGAGTCATCATGGGAAAGATCAATCTGGTTTTTCTGAAGAAGAGAAGATTGATCATAGGAAATTTAAGAATGATAGGAAGGAAGGTACACAGGGAGCTTGGGATCCATTAAGTTTAGATGGGAGTAGTCCTTGGAAAACATGGTTTGCCCATTTAGAATTACGCGGTACGATCAGACAAGATGTTGAGAGGACTTTTCCTGATATTCCTTATTTCAGAGGAGAAAGAGTGAGAAGGAGTTTGACTAGTGCTTTGTTCCTTTGGTCGGTCTTGAATCCTGACGTGGGGTACAGACAGGTGAGTGATAGAGTTTTCAACATATCTCACTACCCCTCACAATACCATATCTCGATTCGTACGTCTCGAGAATTGTAGTCACCACTTCCATATATGAAGGTGAGGGGCTGTAGTAAATTCAAGATTTCAACGTGTTATGGAGGGTTTGGTGTGAGAAGAGTGACTCGTTCTGACATATAGGGTATGCACGAACTTCTAGCCGTTTGTCTTCTAGCGGTAGATTTAGACTCTCTCGACTCGGACGATATCACAGAGAATGGTACTATGGCGGATGCCATGCGAGCTACTTTGGACAGAAGATATGTCGAACATGACGCATTTGCTATCTTTCAAAATCTCATGCGGAATGCTAAATCATTCTACGAGTGGAGATCTGAAGAAGGTCCTGTGAGTCTGTGTCTTGAACGAAATAGAAGAGAGCTGACCAGGGGTACCGAAGATAAGATCACCTACGGCAGCCCCAGCGCCTATAATCACTCGATGTAATTATATACAAAATTCTTTGTTACGACGTGTCGACCCCCAACTACGTGAGACTTTGGACAAGGAGGGTGTGGAAGGGCAACTGTATCTCATGTACGCTAAGTCCAACTCGTGATAGATGCTGATGATGACTGACTTGTAGACGCTGGATACGTCTGCTATTCACCCGAGAACTCCCTTTCGGTCTAGCTATGAGATTATGGGATGGAGTTTTTTCTGAGGATCCTTCTTTAGGTCTGTTGGATTATATTTGTATTACCATGCTTTTGCTCATACGTAACGAACGTGAGTTCTCCTCCCTTCTCTCTTTACCATCAGGCGTGGTTTGAAGAACAGTGTAAGGTTGATCTACAGTCATCGATGCTGAATACCCAACATTACTCACTCATCTCTTGCATTTCCCTTCACCATCCCCGACATATCCCTTCCAACCTCATCTCATCATTTCTCAAGCTTTATTCCTTCGCAATACCACATCTCCTGCTGGTGGTGTGGAGGTCGTGCTCCAAAACCGAGATTTGCTCGGGATCAAAGTCAAGCCTCCAGATCAATCTCCATGGACACCTCATACTGGTTCTGCCGGACCGCCAAGATTGCGTCCAACAGGATTAGCACAAGGTCTTTACGCTCGTGCTCAAGCGGCAGGATGGGATACTGCTATTCTCTCTGCCGTTGGAGATCTTCGGAAGAATTTACCCGATTCAGCTACAGCTTACTCTTACCTACCTGCTCTCCCATTTTCTCCTTTATCAGCTCCTATTCGAGATCCATACTCCACCATCCCGTCCACTTCTGCTCTCATCCGTCCCACTGGACAGATTTCAACCTCTCCTTTCAGTCCCACACCACGAATGACCTCACGTGGATCGGTGGACAGTTCAGTGTCAATAAAGTCGTTGAGAGATGCTGAGAGAGATCTGGCGGAACTGAGATTGGCCATGTTGGGAATGGGTAAGGCCATGTCAGGCTGGGTGGATCGTTTGAAGACGAAGCCGCAGGATGAGGAGGCTTGGAAAGGTTTGGAGAGGGTCAGAGATGGACTTTTGGATGCTGCTGGGAAAGAAGTTGAGGAAATCGTTGGGGAATGGGGTTGGAACGAAGGTTTGGAATCGAGGAGCACGACACCGATACCTTCCAGTTATAAACCGAATTCACGACCTACGCCTCTGCCTCTGGATGAGAATCATCACAGAGGGACAGTTCATTCAACTCCAGGAGTGGATGGCGAGAAAACCCCCACACAACCGAATTTACCTGTGATGTCACCTGCGACAACGAATATGCCTCAAGCAACGATGAATGGAAAGTCGGAGAAAGCTGGTAGAGTGGCAATTACCCAACCTACCTCAAGAAGCCCACCCAAAAATGTCGTATCCTCCCCTTCTACCATAATCAACGAAAGACTTGCCCCACCATCCTCGACATCATTTTCCCGTGCCGAACCGCCCCCTCAACCACGCCCAAATCCCATCATGGTCCGGGATGAGTGGCAGGAAGACCCAGTCGTCCGACCAAGCAATGAGCTTGTGGCGAAGCCTGATCCACTGGCTGGACTAGGAACGACCACATTGATTCCTACTCGACCAGCTCAGAAGATTCAGGATTCGAGTCGTGTGAAAAGTACAGTTGCGGATCCTCTTGGCGCAGGTGGGTGAGTTGTCATCAATATGCATCCTGTTGTTTTCTTGACTATGTGGCTTTGAGACTGATCTTCACTTGAATCGTTTTGGTATCTAATGAGCTCACCCGGCTGACATTATTCGGACAATTGTGATTCAAGAGTGACATACATAATGAAAGATTCATTCGTCTCATATCTTCGGAGGACACATAAACCCTATCAATTTGTCCAAACTTTTCTCCTTTTCCAATCTACTGACAATCTCCACAACTCCCTTGACCCTCTCCTCATCCAAAACGGTTCCCAAAAGTTCCTTCGCCTTATCGATCACCTGTTCTTCATTCATCGGATTTTCGTACCTTCCCAAAACGTTTCCTCCTTGTTCCATCTTCCATACCTTATCCCCTATCTTCACCTCTACTCTCGCCGTGAATCTATCCTGTTCTTCATCATCCAACAACTGAATGGTCTTTCCCACAGCTACTATCCTCGGTTCTTTCATCAAACTTTCGTCGTGACTAGCATCGAAGGTGAGTCTACCTTGTACCAAAGTCGCCGCTAAACAATGACGAAGGTTTAAATCGGGCATATGATTTGCGTCCCCAATGACTTTATACCAATCTGGATGATACCAAAGTTTCACCCATTCAACTTTTTTCCACATTTCTCCTTCACTTTTCTCTTCCTTTTCCACCCCTTCTTCAGCTTCACTTTTCCGTTTCTGTCCAATCTTAAGAGATCTATTCGAATTTGAATTGGAAGATTGTATATCATCGATTATACTTTCCAAAGCTGCTAATGGAGCAGCTATAGGAAATCCAACTGAATATTTCTTCAAATCCGCTTCTAAAACTTTCCAACTTTCCAAATCTCTCAGATCCAACCTAGCGTTTTTTCCAGGTAAAATAGCATCAAAGAAATTCCTATCTTCACCTAAAACATCACCCGTTCCTGTGAATCCCGAATTGACCATCATTACACATTTAACAGCATTGGAAGCTGGCATTCCCGCGAAAACGTAAGATTTAAGCGTATGAGCTTTATCTAATCTCCAAGTTGTTAATCCACTAGCTTCTTGTGCTAAATAATTTAACAAAATCAAATATTTTTCTTCTGTGAAACCTAATAAATAACCAGCTGCAAACCCCCCACCGAATAAAGGTCCTAGAGCATGACAAGAAAGTGAAGATCTTGAAAAAGATAATGAAGATGATAAAGATTCACCAAACCTGATACAAATCTCGTATCCTAATCCTACTGCTTTTATCAGATCTTCACCGGAAGCAGAAACGTATTCAGATATAGATAATGCCGCAGGAAGTATTCCACATCCAGGATGAGTTTGAGATGTTTCATGTGAATCATCAGATTCATCAGCATGAGCTGACATACCGTTGGCGAATGCGGAATCTACTATAGATGTACGAAGAAAAGTACCGATGACACTACATTTGTCAGAAGATGGAAGAGTTGAAAGATGAGTTTGAGAGGCTAATCCTGCTTCCAGAGCGGAACCGGAAACGATGGCGGAGAATGTGTCGAGTAGATGATGTTTGAGTTTGAGTAAGACGTTTGGTGGTAAAGGTCGAGTACGATGAGAGACCGCATAACGGGCGAGTTGAATGCCAGGCGTGGGAAGAGGGGTGGTGGTGATGGTGGACGACATGGTGGTCGTTGTAGAGATGAGCTGGGATGCTCATGGTCTTAACGAATATGTCGTCAGGTATAAGAAGAGGAGGAAGATCGGGCCGGATGACACCGGCGATCGTATGGCCAAATTTAGATCCGGAAGTTCCGAACGAGTGGTAGGTAGGTCTAAGTGAGTCTCTTGCGACTCTATGTTTCTTTGTCGGCATGCATCTTGCAAGGTCAACGAGTGTAGCGGATGGTCATTGACTCTCCTCAGTCCCTTCCTTCATGACCTATGCAATCCTGAATGAAAGACGACCACGATGATACTAAAAGTGACGATAAGTTCACCCCCCGAGTGCTGCTCCCACTTCATTCCTCCGTTGCATGTTCCTCCTGTCACACATCAGCTAAATGCATTCAATTCTCACTCTCAATTCCCCACAACGCTCCCAGTCCCCAACCTCGGTCTAACAACAAGCTCAGGCATGTTCAACCCGAGAAGCCAGAGTACATCATGAGAGCGAAGGGTGCCACATACGCTGCCACCGATACCTAGATCTCATGTTGCACTCGAAATTTGGTCACTTTCCGACTTACCAACTTGAAGTATTTTTCTACGACTTCCTTCGTGACTTGTGGACTAAGGAGCTGAAGAGCTGAAGACACGTATACGAGCTCACCATAATGACCTACGAGATACTACAAGATCTTCCCAGCACCTCGACTCCAGGAGATTATCTCAGGTTACATTTTGACCCTTCTTCCTTGCCCAAGAAAAGAATCGTGGGTTTTCTAGCATGTCAAAGTGGGTCGTCTACTTATCGTACTTCTTGACCCTCATACATTTGACTAGGAAGAGTGGAGGATTAGGGACTTACGCTGTAGGAGATCCCCTACTTCGTACTCTTCGTACGAAAGTGATCTCGTCTCAACTTGCCAAAGTCACCGCGGCACCTCCCCAGAAAGGGAGGGGAAAGAAGAAAGGTGGTGCATCCATTGAGGAAACACAGGAGAAGACGATCACTAGTGGCACGTTGTGGGAGGTACAAACTGAAGATACTGTCATCTTCCCGGAAGGTGTGTCTTTTTCTCTTCCTGTCCCTCTTCTCCCGTACTCTTTCCCTCCCTCGGCTGAATGGTGTGACAGAGAATACCAACTGCCATCATGAGTATGAGAGATGTATACTGATCCTTATCCTCAGGCGGCGGTCAGCCATGCGATTTAGGAACTCTTTACATCCCCTCATCTCAACAAACTCTACGAATAGAAGCTTGTCTCCGTGTCGGCCTCGATGCGGTCCATCTCGTTCGTGTTCCACCCGATGAAATCCCTCTCGATAATCTTGAAGGTTTAGAGGTAGACCTTGAAGTTGATTGGGTGAGACGTCAAGACCAAATGGCTATCCATACAGCTCAACACCTCCTCTCTGCCGTATTGGACACTATGGAGCTACCTACTTTGTCTTGGGGAATGCCGGCTCATCCTTCCATCGATACGCCGTATGTGGAGTTACCAAGGGCGTTGACATGGGCAGAAGTGGCAGAAGTGGAGCAGAAATGCAATGCTCTGATCAGGGAAGATCGGAAGGTGTGGATAGATGTTTATGCGCAACATGAAGGAGGAGGACAAGTAGGGAGGGAGTTTAGGGATATTCCAAAGGATTATCAGGGCGTGAGTAATCTTCAGTCTCTATCACATCACACTAACTCCTCAACCCCAAGATTTCTGTGCATCTGGTGAGGTGCCTAGACCGTATTCTCTGCTCGGAGGTCAATCTTGATTGAGCCCAATGTGTGACATGAAAGGACTGACAGCCAGGGCGTCATCCGTCATTGCAATATCGAAGGTACAGATCGTAACGCTTGTTGTGGTACTCAATGTCCTTCTCTCAAACACTGCGAAATGATTCATCTCATCCCACCTTCTACACCATCCACATCTTCCATCCCAGCCCTCACTCCCACTCGACTGTTCTTTACCGCTGGTCCTCGTGCACGACGATACCTATCAGACGCCAGTCGTACCCTCTCCCTCGCCAGCCAAGCCATCAGTGTGAATCGTACCGACCTTGTCGCGCGGGTGGAGAAGATTGACGAGCTACGTAGAGAAGGTCAAACTCAACTCACTGCCGTCCGATCAGAATTACAAACTCTTGTGGGTGAACAAGCCGCCTCACAGGGTAAGATCGCATGGGTCAAAAGAGGACAACAGGCAACACACCATTTTGATTTTCTTAGTGGAGTCACCGGGACGTATCTTGAAAAGGTACCGGATGGGGTCATCGTAGCTACTTCAGCTTTGCAGGGGGGTATGACGGGGTTGGTGGTTGTGCAATCGAGAGGTGAGTTGGCGAAGGAGGTTTTTGACAAGTTGAAAAAGGCTTTGGAGGGGGAGGAAAAGGGCAGAGTGAAAGGGGGAGGAGCGAAGGGTAGGTTCATGGCCAAGGTGGAGGGTAAGTGGGGGAAGAAAGGGGATGAGGTGGTGCAAAGGGTGATTGATGAGGTGAGTTCTGACTCGCTTATCGGCCATTTGTTACACTATATGATCCCTCGACAACATGTAAACGCTAGATACGTAGAAGATGAGTACTGACGACCAGTTACGCGAGGCTCAGGAGGCGGCCTCTTGACTGGTCTGATATCTGAATGAGTATATAGACGGTAGATCAGAGAGGCGTATACAATACGAGTCCTTACGAGTTCAATTACTCTATTGTACTCTACTGAGTAGAGAGGCATGGTATGCAGCATGCAGCATGGATATCGAAGAACATCCGGCTAATGATAACACCCGGTTGGCCAGTCCGATCACCAGAGATCACTCCCATGTTCTCACTCTACATCACTACATCTCCATAGTCTACAGTACTCTACAATGGTGAGAACACTGTTGACCAGCTTTGGTTCACCCCGATCCCTCATAAAATGTCGGATAATATCCAAATTATCACCACGAAGATTCTACACTTCTTACAATCCGGCTATATCAGGTCTGACAACGGAACAGGAGGAAGTATGTTGAATCTCATCGTCGTCACCCATAAGATATCATCTGAGACCATGACATATATCTAGCTCTAGCATAGCATATAGAGATGTGTGATGAGAATAACTAACGGACAGTTCAGAGAGACAGTAGCATCATTCGCCCAACGAGAAATCGCTCCCCGAGCAGAAGAAATAGACAAAACCAATCGAATGCCCGATGTGAGTTCCTTCCTTTGCCTACCATCATTGTAGAGTATTGGGAATGTAGGATGACCATGAGGATATCTTCCCAAAACTGGGAGCAATGGGATTGTTGGGGGTTACGGTACCTGAGAAACTAGGAGGATTAGGGTTAGGTTATCTTGAACATACCATAGCTATGGAAGGTATGTCTATCACGATCGAGGGTTTGTATGCTGATGAGGTAGAGTTGAGTAGAGCGTCAGCTTCGGTGGCTTTGTCGTATGGTGTGAGTTATATGTCCTAGGAGAGAAGACAGTACTGAGGAATGTAGGCACATTCAAATCTCATGGTAAATCAGTTAACTCGGTGGGGCAGTGAGTCTTCTTCCTATCATTATACCAACCTACTCACCTTCTTATGGGATTCGTTATGTTAATCGCCTGGTACTTGAAACTTGAAGGTGATACTATCATGATCATGATGATATCCCGATATGAGACAACATGGAGTGTGAATTGGTGCTGCATGCTGCTCAGTACTGACAGATAGACGAAGAGCAATTGAGGAAATACCTCCCTCCTCTACTCACCGGAGAACATATCGGCTCACTTGCAATGTCTGAACCTGAAGCAGGGAGTGACGTAGTTTCAATGAGAACCAAAGCGGAGAAGATAGGTGACAAGTGGGTGTTGAACGGGAGCAAGTGCTGGTAGGTTTATCTCTAATCCACCAGGCCGACTAGACTACCCAATGCCGGCTTCTCTGAAGTCCACTCGGACTGCTCTTCTCATCGGAAAGAAGAACACCTAATGCCTGATTCGAGTAACTAGATGTTATGTTGATCATTATGCGGAATCGATGTTGACCTCCAGGATCACCAATGCTCCGTTATCTTCGACATTCCTGATCTACGCCAAGAGCGACACTACCGGTCCACCGAGCAAAGGCATCACAGCTTTCTTGGTAGAGAGAGGATGGAAGGGGTTTCAAGTTGGGGAGCATCTGGATAAATTTGGCGTAAGCTCTTACGTCGTCATGGTATTGTGAGCTTATCGGGACAGATGAGAGGTTCCCCCACTGCCGAGCTTTTCTTCGATAACGTTGAGATACCCCAAGGTAGGTCATTGCGGACCATGTGGAATGTTTCTCACAATTAGAAAATGTCCTGGGGACTGTGGGAAAAGGAGCAAATGTCCTCATGTCGGGTTTGGATCTTGAACGTTTGGTACTATCTGGTGGACCTCTCGGGTAAGTCTACTTCAAAACATGTGACAATCTACTGAATGTAAGAATCATGCAAGCTGCTCTGGACTTTACATTAGAGTATACACATGATCGACAACAATTCGGAAAGCCAATAGCGACGTTTCAATTGATGCAGGGGAAGCTTGCGGGTAAGTTGTAATGTCCAGTCCCAGCCCGAGCTAAAACAAATCAGACATGTACACCAAATTGAGCGCTTCGAGAGCTTATGTATACGCCGTGGCTAGAGCTTGTGATGCTGGGCATGTTTCCCGACAGGTTAGTTTCCTCATCTCCCAGGATGCAGGGAGAGGTTGACAATGGTAGGATTGTGCCGGGGCAATTTTGTATTCTTCCGATAGGGCTGTCGAAGTTTCCATGGAAGCTCAACAATGTCTTGTGAGTTTCATTTGGTGCAGGTTGTTGAGATCTTCACTGATGGCATCAATAGGGTGGAAATGGGTATATAAATGGTCAGTTTCATCTGAATATTGAGAAGGTTGAAGGTTGAAGCTGATGAATAGATTATCCAGCTGGGAGATTATTGAGGGATTCTCGGTTGTACACCGTAGGAGCGGGTACGCAGGAGATTAGGAGGATGTTGATTGGTCGTGGATTCAACGAGATCTTCCACGAGGCAAGAGGGAACGCAGTAGCTCAATGATATTCATGAAATGTAATGATGGACATTTTCTTCGTAAATAGTCAAATTTTCACGCCATGATCAAAGTCTGTTGTATGAGTAGACCTGTGATCATGTTAGCTATGTGTCGTATTTCAGTAAGGTTGACAATTTATCCATCACATCAGAACTCAACGGTCATCCAGTAGGGACCACAAGCTCGACCATTCACCCTGCATGTCTTCATGTCGTCAGGTACTCTGACAACTTGATTGGTTGACTCGTATGAATTCTCTTCTCCAATGTTTCAGTAAATTCAGTTTATATACACTTCAACAAACCCCTTCGATTCAAATAGAGGTTTACATACATTCATAACAAAAATCTCATATAATTCCTTTCTCTTTCATACGTTTCTCCACAATATTATCAATCAACCTTTCCATCCTTCCCGTTCCTCCTAAAATATATTTACCCAAAATATCAACTTCAACATTCACACTCTCCCCGACTTTTTTCTTACTCAAAGTTAAAATCTCTTGACTATGACTGATGAGCATTATACCGAAAGTCAATGAAGAATCATCGACGAAGACTAGAGTAAGGGAAGCACCATCTATAGTTATATAACCTTTTTCTACTAGATAAGGCATGAGGTTGGTTTGAGGGGGGAATTCGAATTTGAAACGAAGAGAATTTCCATCGGGGATTATGGATATGATTTTGGCCGTTGAATCTATGTGACCCTGTGATATCAGCGCTGTTTGAGTCCTCTATATTCTTTCTGGCTTTTTCTGCTTCGATCTGTCCTCATTGCTCATATCCGCTTAATTTGTTCATCTTCGTTTCGATTGGTTCTGCTCCAGACTCTTCAGTTCTCTCTATTTTCATCCTTCTTTTCGTTCTCTCCGTGGACATTTGCACTATTCAATTTCGAGGTTCTGGAAAGATATGTGTTTTACGAGGATGGGCCTTTAGAGAATTATGAGATGTTGAGATCATAAGAGCATATGATGATAATAGGACCAGAGGGTCGGGGAGTGAGATAAATAAGGAGAAATGTGAAGATAGAGGATTGAAAAGCGGGGAAGCAATTACTCACTTGAACCATATGACCACCGAAACGTGTATGAGAAGACATGGCTCTTTCACAATTGACCCTATCGTCGATTTGAAGTTGACCTTATGGTCAGTATTTCACAAATCATCAATAACAGCAACAACTCTAGTACTTAGGTCCTAGACTAAATCGATGGGTCGAGAAAGGAAGAGACAGAATGAAACGGGAATTGGTAAACAGGATTGGAAAGACTCACCTAAATTAGTCCGTTGTAAAGTCTCATGCGCTAAACCAACTTTGAACCATCCTGCTCCCATATCAAATTCAGTGACTGTCAAACACGCCCCGTTGACGCATATCGAGTCCCCTACGTGACAATCGACTAGTATTTCATGGGCTTCATCAAGAGTGAGTGTGAAGCCTGATGAGGAGGAAGAAGGAGTGATGGATGATATACGAGCTGTGATTTCTATCTTATTGGATTAGCTATGGTACTCGAGGTTGTATTGTCAGTGCAGGAGAAGAAGGAGGAAGGAAGGAGGGTAGGGACTTACGATACCTGTGAACATGATCGTTTATGATACTGGGGTTTCAGTTCAAGATGATTCCAATAAGAGGAGCAATCTCGTAGAACAGGTAAGATGAGCACTCGATTGTGATGCTCGATTGATATGCTATAGCGATTGACACGAGTGTTATAGCTTTTGTAGTAGAGGTACAGTAGTCATACAGTACAGTCAGCCTGGTACTCAAGTCGGCGAGCTGGAATTTCCCACATAGACAAGAATTTGATTCCGCTTCTGCCCTGCTTGTGCTTCAACTTGCGGCAAAAGTGGATAATCCCGACGGAACTCGAATTAATCCCGACGAAATTTTGCCACTTTCTCCCAAAATACGACGTTCAACTCCCATATCCCGTCACTACTGACCCAAATACCTTCACTATTAAGAAATCATCTTTCCGTGGCTTTTCTGATATCATTGGAATGCCTGACGCCTTCTGAGTCTATTCATACCATTTTCGGCACAGCTTTCGGAGTATTGACCACAGGGGCATGGGCAATGTCCCCAGCCCGAAATCCTACTTCCTTTTCGGTCCCCTTTCGGCCGAATTCGGGAGCTTTCGGTGATAGTCACATACTCACTACTGACTACCAATCTACCCAAGTGAATAGCTTCTTTCATGTATGTAAGTATGTATGTATGTTCATGTTCATGGTAATACATCCTCTGAATGCACAAAACTCTCTTAAGGATCCATCATGTTGACGTGTCTGATGGTGATGTGTTGATTGAACTTCTACTAAGTACTAACACGGGCTGACGCGATTTTCCCCCTTTTTCATTCCTTCAATTCACTTCTTCTCTTCACTTCACTTCACTTCAGCATCTTCATATCTTTTTCCAGCATACATTAGCCAGCGTTTTTCATCTGCTCTCCACTGCTCACTCTCAACTGATCTCACTGCTCATTCTGCATCTGTGTGCTTCATCTCACCTTCCGCCTTGGCTCGTCCGAATTATCTTATCATCAAAATTAGAGTCTTCCCACTCCCCCTTCCTCCCAATCTCTCTGACCTCTTTGACCTCTTTCTCAAAATGCCGAACCCCTTCGACCCAAAAACAGATAAATCCAGTGTAAACCCTCCGAAGGGTTACAAATTACACCCCGACCATGTTCACTTCCAAAAGTATCTTCAGCCACAACACCCCATTTGGAAGAATGAGAAATCACTTCGTTCTTTTCAAGCTGAGATAGGGTTCTACCTCCAGCCCTGGTGGCATGCAGAGCCGAAGTATCTTCCTCAGCTTGCTGAAAAGCTAGGACTTCGGGAAGCTACCCCGAAACAAATGAAGGAAGAGGGTATTCGGGCGATTACTAGAGGGTCACGATGTTATTCGGCGGATGAGTCGGCCACAAAGCCAAACTGTCATGTCCAGTTTTGTGTTTCGGCTTTCAATTACACGTGAGTATTGGTTTATCAAATATGGCTCCCGAATTCGGGAGAAATTAACGAAACTCAATGCTGATCTCAGACATCCCGAAGTGAAATGTGTCAATGTACCTGATGGTCGACCAGTGTTTCTCAACCGTTGGGACGAAGGAAAGTTTCGTGTCTGTGTGCACTGTTATAACTCCACAAAGCCCCCTCTCACCTGCTCCCTCAAGGGCAAGCCGACCAATTTCCTTGTCGAAGAGTCCTCCGAAAGTGAAAAACGACCGAAAAAGTCATCACAAGGTCAGGACAAGCCTGAGGACAGCTCGGATTCTGATTCGGACTCATCGGACTCTGAACATTCACCACATCCCTCCCCTCCGAAACCTCGCCGGCCAGCCACCACAACACGCTCCACAAGAGCTTCGGCTCCCAAGAAATCGGTTTCTCCCCCCCCTCCCGAAAAAGGAAAAGGAAAGGGAAAAGAAAAAGCTCCCCCTGCAGCTTCCACGGCGATTGGGTTCTCAAATGCGCCACTGCAGCAACCGGTAGGACCGAAGGACAAGCGTAGGACTGCTAGGGGAGGCACTGTCGCAGCTGGGGATGCTGCAAAACCCGGTCCGAAATGGGTTGTCAGACCTTCTCCGAAACCTCTCACCGAAGCGCCTACGTCTGCTAGAGAGCAACCTCGTTCGGAGGTGAGTTTTCTAGGTTCCGAACTGAAAGCAAGTCTCAGCAGCTGACTTTTAGGGAGAAACAGAACTGTCTTCTCCAGCTGGTCCTATTCTTGTTCAAGATTCCAGCTTGGGTCAAGATGATGGGGAAGAAGGACCTCAACCGGAACCATCTACAGCCCGAAATGAGAGGCCACGATTCCCTCCCCGCCCTCCAAAATTTGCCGATGTTGTTCCCGAAAAGGAACCCTCCGAAACCGCCCCCCCCGTTTTCTCTGCAGGTTTGCCAGCTGGGGTTTCTCCGATACTTGTCCGAAGTAGTCCTGTTCATCCTCCTGTGAACAAGCGTGCCCTGGAGGATGTAGAAGAGTCCCAGGCCGAACCGAAACGGGCTCGTCCGTTCTCCATTGAACAAGGTCCTCCCCAGCCCGAAATGGATCTTACCTCCGAAAAGGTGCCCACAATGTCCCCTGTTGGTCCTGTTCCTTCTCCTGCCGTATCTGTTCGACAACAGGCCGTTCCCTCTGCTCTAGACCCATTTATAGCACAAACACAATCGGTTTTGGGTGTTACATTGCAAGAATCACCAACAATCCCTTCGCCTCACCAAGCTAAAAGTGTCACACCGGCCCCCTTCCCCAGCCCCTCCCCTGCTCCGAAAGCAGGCCCTCCTCCAAACCTTCAACCTGGGTCTTCTTCTCTCGTCTCTGGCCCTCCCCAAATCTCCCCACTACCTACCTCACTGCATACGTTTGCAGAGGTAAAGCAGTGGCTACAGCAGAAGCGCCTGGGTCGATCAGGTGTGCAGAGTCTTCCTGGTCCAAACCCATCAACCAATGTTCCGAAACCCACGATGGCTCCGAAGCCCATAGTTCCTCCACTCTTTGCTTCCCAATCGGCTCCCCCTCAGACTCCACCTCCCACTTCTCTCATTCGTTCTCATTCAGAATTCGTTGGCTCTGGTCCCACAGCTTTGCCAGGTCAGATACCCTCCATTCCTGTCACTTCGGTCAATGTGGTCAGTAAACTCCCTCAAATGAACCCACCACTCCAGCCCGAATTTCGGACCCAAAGGCCCACTGTCCCTTCCTTGGACCAGCCTGCACCCGAAAAGGTTGTCCCTTACATCCCGGCTCCACCGTCTACCATGCCCGAAGTTGAACAGTGTCTGCATCGTATGAGTGAGTTTCAAGAGACTCAGGCTCAGTTTGAGGAGCAATTCTCTTCCCGAATGGTTGCTCAAGTTTCCGAAATGATAGACTATTACCGAGAAATCAACCGAGGACGTCATCAAGCCTTCTCCGAAAGTGTCACACAATCACTTTCGGGTGTGAGAGCTATCAATGGGACATGGAGTGAATTCAAAGCGCGGTATGACTCGGTGGTTTCTGAAAGAGATGTGGCTCAAGGAGAGGTAAAGACACTGGACCGGCTGTACAAAGAGCAGATTGATAAGAATGAGGAGAGAGATCATGCTGTTGCCCGAGTCACCGCCGAAAAGGACGCCGAAATTGCTTCAATCCGAAAGCAGTTGGAGGAGACTCAGGAAGGGCTCAAGACTATGAGCCAGAGGTTCGCTAGTGCAATGGGGGATAAGGAAAAGGAGGCTCAGGCTCGTCAGTTTGCTGAACAGCGGTGTTCAGATCTGGCCAGACAGATGGCTGAGAAGGAAAACACCGAATTGGAAACTCTCCGAGCTCGTCTTTCGGAGGCTGAAGCAGCTAAGGGAGTAATGCAACAGCAAATCGACGAGGCATTGCAGTTTGTGCAAATTACCGCTGCCCTGCAAAATGAGACTGAGATGGAGAATGTAGGGTTGAAGGAACTCAAAGCGCAGTTGGAGGGAGCAAATGAGAAGTTACGGGCGGACCTTCAAGTGGATCAAGAGGAGTGGGAATCGGCCAACTACACCATCAGGCAACTTGAGTCAGAACTCCAAGAGGCCAAACAAGAAAAGGCTCGGCAACAATTCCGCTTTGACCTTAGGACCTCCCCTGCGAAGCCGAACGAGTACTCTGACCGAAGAAGAGCTCACAGTCTTGATCTCCCTTCCACCAAGATCACCGCTCGAAACTCCGAAAATACCGCACCGAATCCCGAAAATGACCCTTCCAACTCCGAAAATGTACTTTCTTCAGGACCAACACCTCATGATGCCATTCCCACAATCCCCACAAATGCAGATCTCCATTCTTCTCAAGATTAAATGTAGCCAATCAAATCCGTGTTACAGTTCCCTTGTATGTACTGTCACTTGTTCATTTTGCCGAGTTTCCGTTTCGGTGTTTTCATTTCATGTTTCGGTCTTTCTATGTTTGGGGTCCAAATGTCTCATCTGTGTGTGAACTAGCCTGTGTAATGCATTCCATGTCTGAACTCTTCCAGCCTGGCTCATGTTGCATACATCCCTGCAAGAGATACTTCACTGTTTCTTGTGTCAGTGAGCGAGAGATCCTTGTAGTAGGATTAATTGTCCCCAAAATTCGGACCGACTTCGGACAGCCTTGACCAATTTCGGACAGTCATGGCTGCATATATCACTGCAAGAGAGCTTATGACTATCCAAATAAGCACTGGGTAGACACAATGACTAGTGACCCTAAGCAGTACAATATTGGAATACATGAGATGGTCAGATGTGCTTTCGGAGGGGTTTTCGGTGTTTCGGGAGTGCCTTCGGACTCACTTGGGAAAGATAATCAAGCCCCAATCTGCATCAAACCAAGTGTATTTTTACATCCAGAGGTATATTAGTCATTATATTCATGCACAACCAGCTGTGATACCTCTCTACAGGCGATCTATGTAGTAAGTCATGGAAGGTACAGACTTGTCCATCAATTTTTTCACTTTCGGACTGAATATAGACTCATTTGCTGGATCCCGTGCAGCCATTGCAAGCACCAGTTGAAGCACACTTGTTCGTAGTTTTCTACTCTCACCTCTAGCCAGAGTTGATGATTTCACCCCAAGCACAGAAGCAGTCGGTCTGATTCCCTGGAGAAGAAGACATGCAGCGGCACATGCTAGAGGACCACAGCTGTGTGAGTCCACTTGTGTAACCCAGTCCAGGTTATCCCTGGTAGCCTGAACGTCATTATTGAGCTTGGGAGTAGTACTGTACTCACCTGAGAATTTGGAGCAATCAACCAACCCATAGCTTCAGCCTCTGTTGCTATGCCTTTTCTGACTTCCCAGGACAAACGGCGTTCTAGCAGGCGTGACCATTGCTATTGATCAGTGACGCTGCACCTCATTGAAGTAATTTTGAATGACCAACTTACCTTCTTCTGTTCTCCCGAATCATAAGTCCCCCCTGCCCCATCATACATCAACACCAGCTTCTGTGGCCCAAAGATTACCAGTGTCTCAAAATGGGAGCTCGACATCAGAACCCCAACTGTGTTCTCTTTCCTCCATTGCCCGTCCTTGCCCAGAGAAGGCCATGGCGTACCTCCAGGTATGTATGGGTTCCAGTTGTCACCAGCAGCTAGGGTTCGGTAAACAAACGAGTTTGGTATGGGGTCAGACATTCCAATCCCCAGATTCACACAATTTCGGATGAAAGCTGACACCGAAAGCAAGATATCATCGATTCCGAAATTGGTGTACCACTCATTCCTTCCGTAGAACTTACGCAACGTTTTTGACCCGAATGTGGAGTCTACACCCTGCAGCTTCAAGCCCTTATGCTCATCTTCGGCCATGTCATGAAACATAGCTTCCATCTGGTCGCACAGGTCCTCAAGGAGATCGTCCGAAAGGCTATCAACATCTTGAAATGTGCTGACGGAGATGAGAGGTTGAAAGGATTCCCCCGAACGCCACTGAACTTGTGCTAGTCTTTCGGCAATGACTGACTGAGCCTTTTCTAGTTGACAGTACTGCGGAACCTCGGGTGAGGGAGAGCGTTCAACAGTGGGAACGACACTTGGAGGATCAATGTCCATGGATGATGATGGGGAATCTGGTTCTGCTGTAATGTCTTGAGAAGCTACAGTGGGATTGAGACTGATAGCTTGATCGGGGGGAGCCGATTCACCCTGGGGTGTGTTGGTTTGGCACAGCATGTTGCTCGAGGAAGGCCCGCTTTCGGGAGGTTCATCACCAGGTGGAGAAATATGTGTAGGCTTCGGAGGGATGGTACCCTGAGAAACTGTGGGAAGAACATTGGGCTGAGAAGCGGTGGGGTCTGTAGGGGTACTGGTGGGCGCCAAGCTTGTGGACTGGACATCAACTGGGGCAGGTTCTTGTTCCGTTGGGTTTGGAGGAGGAACTTTCGGATCTCCCGAATTCGGAGGTTCAAGCGTTGGCGGGGCCGAAGTTGGCAGCTCCGAATTTGAAGAATTAGCTGGTATGGCGTCCGAAACGGGAGGTTGGGGGTTTGGTGCTTCCAGTGTTGGGCCTTCAGCTTTTGGTATTTCAGGATTCGAAGCCGATTTTGACATTGCTTTCCCACTTGGCTTATTCAGTCGTCTCTTTTTGGCAATGGGTTGACTTGCTGATGGCTTGACTTCATCTTCCAGTGTATAGAACAGCAAGACCGGGAATCGTGTACCACCGAAAGCGTCCCGGTTCAGAAACATACGAGAGGTTTTTTCGTCGTCAATCTCCCACAGCACATCATCATGCTTTATCAAAGCCACATAGTGTCCACTGGTCACCTGCACGGTGTCCCCCTTTCGGCAGAGCATTCCCTTCAATCTGTACATTGGAAGATTGCTGGGGAGTATAGGAGGAGGTACGGCCGAAACCTGCGCTGGGTTGATAGTTTCGGGAATGTCAAAAGGGTGGATCACTTGGTGTGCAGAGGGGTTTCGGAGATCCCAGACAATGTTGAGGAGTAACATGCGGGGCAGGTTGTTGGATTCCAAGGACATCTTGGCTCGTGCTCGAGTGACGGCCATTCGTCCATTACATGGTACCGAAAAGCAATGTTGGGGACTGCATGAACGCCACAATGAAAGGTTGATGAGCTGGATGAGGTTAAGTGATGAGCCATGTGGATAGATTTGGAGAACGGTCATTTGCTTCTCCAGTGAGGATGTCTCTTGCCTGACAGGGACTGCGTGGGAACAGGGCTGAAAGACATATTCCCAGGTTACTCCGAATTGGAATGTGTTCCGAATCGGGTTCTGTTCAATGATCTGATTGAATTTGCTTGTCATTCTGAGAAACAGTTCACACGGATCATGCTGAGATTCTTCATCTATCAAGTTCTCACCTGCATATCAGCAAATGAACATGCTGATTGGCAGCAATGATGGAGGAAGGGAACTCACTTCGGAGGATCGGTACAATGTCCTTCAGATCCACCAGCCGTCTAGTTACCGAAATGGCTTTAAGAAAGTCACCTAGTAAGACAATCAAAGAAGGTGCGTGAGGCCTGAGAGCGTCATTAGCTTCGTTGAATGCGGACACGAAGGCTGGAATTCGGAAGACAATATGGAACAACGACAGAGCAAAACAGGATTGAAGATAATTCTTTGCTCCAACAGGTCGATCTCGTGGTGGTAGTGCGTCCCGAGGAATGCCAGCTTTTGTGGGGGCTGTCTTTTGGCGATAAGGATGCAGAGGGCGGTGAGCTGCTGGACGGCCACCCTTATCAGCCTCTGGTCTTGAAACCGGTAACGTGGCAGTGGTTGAGGGATGGTCGTCAGCATGGTTGAGGAATCGGTTTCGGCGGGTAATGGGCGAATCGGGCTCGACAAAATCAAGGTTGGCACTATCAATGCTGATGAGCGTGCCCTGTTTCGGAGGCTGCTCGGAGGACCAATCATGCCACACAGGCTCCGAAGGGTCATGTCCCCAATAGGCAACAAGGTCTTCTTGATCCAATGGATAAGATATCTCTCCCAACCGTCTTTGTAGTTGTATAGCTCGAGTCTGCAGTCGCAGTTCGTTTGCCGTGACACCATTAGAATACGTTTCGGAGGAGCCACAAGTGTGAAAGCAGTACAATGCCCAGAGACCCGAGCACCTTTTGCCTGTTTCGGTAAAGTATCTGCAGGAGCATCGTTCACGAGTTTTGTCTTTGATCCCACAGTAATGTAAGTCCGGTGTTGTTTTGCTCGATTCGGAGGATGTCACACAATATGTATGATCTAGTTGACCTCTCAATGACATAGGCATCTCGTCTCCGAAACATTCCCTAACCGCCCCTTGCTCCCAAAGCTCCAGTCCTTGAAGTATGTGTGACAGAACCGTGGGGTCACAGCGGGCAGATGTTGGTGGTGAATGGAGATACATGGGAAAGTAAACGTCGATGATGATTGTGAGGAGTTTGTCTATACGTTTGTTGGCTCGAGATTCAAGGAATACTCTGTCAAAGGTCCGAAATGCCGCTTCGACAAAGTTGTTTGTTGAGAGAGTACCATCTCGGGTGTGATGAGGTGGCAGACCATAGTCGACAAGGTATCCCCTCCATCTGTCGCTGAACCATTCAGACAGGAGCCAGGTTCTGATTTTGTCCCAAATTTCGGGATCGTTATTGCTGATTGCCGCAACATCGGCTTCTAGTCGAGCAAAAACTTCTGACCAAGACTCCTCTTCGGAACATCGTTGGCACCTCCGAAGTGCCACAAGGAAGGCAAAGGCCTTTTCGGTACCCACCAGATCACTCCCAAATAGCCGAAGTGCTCGAGATCGGGCGGCGTGCATGAAATGGAATTGGCATAACCGAATTGGAGTTCCCGGGAAGACCTCCTCAATGGCCTTTCGTTCGGCGTCATCACAATCAATCATGAAATGTAGTGGAAGGAAATCCTCCTCGTGAATGTATTCGGCGTTGATGAGGATTTGCTCTTCATTCTCATATTCGGAGACCACTGATGATTTGCCCTTGAGTAATGCTTTCGCTTCTTTCTTGATAGCCTTTCGGATAACGCTCAAGAATTCGGTATAGGAATCGGTGTTGGCGTGATTCGAGACCATGACAGCTACTGGAGCATTGTCAGCTCCGAAACCCGAAACCCTTCAAACCACAGGACTCACCAGGGACCATATGACCATATTCATTTACTGTGGCTAGCAAGGTGACGGGACAGCGTATTGCATTCTTATTTCTCCAAGACGAATCAAGAAAGAGGCCCCGATCTGTGGCATGCCGAATTGCTGATTGCAATGCATGTTTCGGACTGATGATTGCAATGAACGAAGAGTCCGCTGGGAATGGCTGAGTGCCACCGAGTGCCAGGCCTTCAGGATATTCACAACTGACAGTCAGCTCATGAGGACAAGGAAACGCTGGCTACATACTGCAGGAAAGAGCTTGGATTGGCCTCATGTAAGATACTTATCGCCGCCAGTGGTAGCCGATCCAGCCTTTCCTGCCGCAGAGCCGTTCGGATGGCAGTTTGGAAGTCAGTGGTGGTAGGAAGACGCTCGGGATAATTTGCCTTGACCCATAGGACATAGGGGTGAATCTTGCAGAAGGAATTGTACCACCGAAGCCGAAGACGTGACTCAGTCGTTCCCACCAGAGTTGCAGCATCATGGAGTAGGTTTCGGAGATGTGGCGAAATCCGAAGTAATGTCAACGGGTTCGGTTGACCGTGATATGCAGCTTTCGGGCGGATCAGACAACAGACCCCTTTTCGGATATTGCTGGGGGTCATTCGTATCTAAGAAAATCAGCTTAGTGAAGATGAATCATCCTTATATGACCCACCTCAAGAAAAAGATCACACTTTAAACGTGCTCTTGAGGAATATCGTGCACTGGCAGCAGTTGGAGGGTGAGCTTCGGCTGTTGTTTGTGTTTCATCCTTTGCTTTCGGCTCAACATGGTGGTGGACACTGTTCAAAGTTGGCTGGATCTGGGTACAGTTGCCACTGCATCGGAAGATCGACCGAAACACTGTCCGATTCGGGTATGCGGCGACAGCACTGTCGGAGACAAAGAAGAGGCCATGTCTTCCCCTGATGTCGGCGGGTAATAAACCAGGGGGATCCAACCATTCCACTTGAACACATTTGGATATATGCTGGGTCTCAATGAGGTAGTCCTGACGCTGATATATCAACGGTTGTAACTCTCCAAAACAGAACACTGACCAAAGAGTCAAACGCTTTCGGGATATGATGAAAAGCCACCTCGAATTGTTCATAGCGATCATCATCCACCAGGTCAGGATTCGGTAAACGACAGAAGGTTTCCAAAGCACGTATGTTGACCCCAAGACTAGCGTCGGTGCGAGGAGCTTTGAGTGCCAAGAGTGGAGCCTCAGGACGTGGTACGGAGTATGATTCGGAAGAGATATTGACAATTCGGAAGCGCCCGGCCGCCTCTTGCCTAGCAGTGATGATCTCATCTTCTACCGAAATGGGATTCGGAGGTTGAGAGGGAGACCATTTCGGAACGGCAGCGGATAAGTTGGGTGCTGAAGCTTGCACGGCCGAAGACAATGAAGCGGAGGGGGAGGCCATGACCAGCTCTGTCCAGGGTACCGAATCTGGTGTCACAATACCAATACCGTTGGAGGATGCAGGAGTATCTCCTGATGCAACTCTCCTGTCAGTTGATACATAAAGGGGATCCAAAAGTACTCACTGGAATCAGCCGTGGACAGGGGTATCTTGTGACCAGGAGACGATTTGGGAAGCTGCTGTGAATGATTTACTGAGCATAAGCTTCAATGAACCCAGAGGAAAAGAAACTGCCTCACAGGCCACCGAATCCAAATGCGATTCCAGTCGCGTTTCGGAAGCAGGCAGGGAGGCAGAGGGGGTTGGAAGGAGATCGGGCTGAGCTACTTTATGACAAGGAGATGGAGAAGAAGCCCCTCTTGAGCTCAGCTGGGGTGGTTCAGGAAAGGGCGGCGGTTTGTTCACTGAGCATAAGCTTCAATGAACCAAGAGGAAAAGAGAATGTCTCACAGGGCACCGAAACCGAAACTGACTGGATCTCCGAAGCTGTCCTGTTGATAGAAGAAGGCTCAATAGGGTGAGAAGGACGGGCTACATAGTTAGTAAGGGGTGAGATAATCTTCAGAGGAGACACTGACATGTTGATGGTGATTGTGCACTAGGAGCATACACTTTCGGAGGTCGACCACGAAAAGGCGACTTTCTCTTTAAAGCGTTGAGAATGAGTTGATCAGCTTGATTATTCTGAGACATAAAGCTTGTGAGCTTAATTCAGTAAGTTACTATTATGCTTAAATCAATGGAAAGAAGATGATTGAAATAAGAAGAGGAGAAAAATGATTGCCCAATCACCGCCAAACAGTGCCTAGGGTTGAAGGACACATCCTTTCGGGGGCGTTTCCGAATTTGAACTCCAAATGGCTGTAGAGAACCAAGGACTCCGAATTCGGAGGTTCTGCCTGCATGAATGGCTTCAGAATACGTGTGGCAACCCATAGATATGCAAGAAGCCACGGTAGGATGCATATTCAATACAGGGGGGATTTGGGGACATTCCGTAGGTATTTGGGTCAGTAGTGGAGGGATCCTCGGGTTGAGTGACGTATTTTGGGAGAAAGTGGCAAAATTTCGTCGGGATTAATTCGAGTTCCGTCGGGATTATCCCTACGCGCGAACTTGCGCCACGTCAACACGCGACTGCTTTTTCAAACTCTTTCTTTCCTTCATCTCAGTACCAAAATGTCACTCATGGCTTCACCTGCTATACCAGACTTTCTACCGTCACCCGAGACGTCCTATACCCGGGGTAACAGGAGTATATCGCAGGATGTTTCGGATGAACAATGGCAACAACTTGCGTGAGTGACAATTGGTTCGCTTCTCGCCTTCCCCTCACCGTCAAGAATATATTCCTCGATACCATGAGGACACTGGTGAATCATTGCTATCACATGCTCCCTATCAACACATCCATCAGGCGATCAGTAGAAGTAGTGATTGAAGCTGAGGTGTTGTCGGATTTCTCGCCCTTTCACACTCTGAGACTCAACATTGTGATGGACGCTACCTGCTGGTTTGAAGATGTGGACTAGACATTGAGAAAGCTGGACAAGTCGATGCTCCCGGTGGAGAATCGAGATGACAAGTACCTTTACTCACCGCAGAAACGTGGTTAGAGACGTAGGCCCCATGTTGAATCCCGATGTGGAATTAGGGGATATAGCCGCCGCTGAGGCCGCCGTCCGTGTCAAGGATAACGAACAAGCACAGGTGGTCGATCAACTACGAACAGATCTAAAAGGTTGGTCATCCTTTTCCTACACATTCCTTGCTCGATCTCTAGACCGTATTCAATTTGATTGACCGAGTGATTGAGAGACACAGTCAAATAGTCACCAGCTCATTCACAGCTTTGAGCCGTCAATATAACGCTGCTCAGCAAGCAGCACAACGACCTAGCTCTGCACCTTCAGCAGCCGAACACGACGCCCAAGTCCGGACGTTGGAACAACAGCAATACGCCACTGTCAAACAGTTAAACGAGGAACAAGCCAGTGTAGCAAAGAAGGAGACGGAGTTGAGTAAATGGAAAGCAGAGAAGGAAACGGTGGGGAATATCAAAATTGGTGAGGATGATTGGGTAGATGGGAAGATGTGAGTCCTTCACTCTGGCTTGCTTCTGCATTGCACTTCGATTGCCAGCCCCTTAGTCATTGAAACATTTTGATGTCTCTCCCAGAATATGTCAATCTTGATGAAAAATTGCACATCAGAGTCGTGAGAGCCCAGATCCGACGGACTTTGATTGACCTCCAGTATCCGACTGAAGCTGTTCTCCGACGCCGGCTTCTCATTGCTTCCTTCCAAAGAGAACGGTGGAGCCAGCAAGGTGCTGATAAGTAAGTCTTATGCTTTCATGAGTGGACACGTCATGTCTAACACCCAGGAAACGATGTCAAGAGCGACGTGCACTCTGTCTCTATCGACAAGAACCGGTCAAGAGTGTTCAACGCCAACATGATTTGGAGCTTGGCGAGCGAGTAGAAGCTATTGTATGGTTGTGATTTTGGATCTACATGGGATTAGAGATGTATAACAGTGTATATCACGTCTGCTTGTCGTGCCTTCCACTTCCCCGGCCTCCACACAAACACCAAAGAGCGCATTGTCATGATACGTCTGACAGGATGATGTAGCATGTAGCAGAGCGAAAAAGTGCCACAAACCATCGAAGCCATCGAGAGAGCTCTCACTTTTTTTTCACTCCCAGTTGCGCGTCTCGTCTTCATCCTCTTACTCCCCTCCCCCCCCCCTCTTCCCCAACATCTACCATCCTCCCGAGTCCTATGCACGACCGATATGACAGTCTTAGCACCTCCCTCCGACTCTTCTCTCTTCAAAGAGATGCTGTCCAACCCACCCGTCTTCGGACCCCCCTTCTCCAAATCAAGCTTTGGCTCGATCAGAGGGACCACCGAAGTCGCTCTCGCTCCCATCTCTCCAACGCGTCCCTCCTCCCCTCCAACTGTCAATACCTCAAGGGAAGCGGGGCCATCTCGTCCGAACCATCAAAGCTCAAATTCTTCAGCTGTGCCAGAAAGAGAAGAAAGAGCCGCGGTCTCAGGACCCGACGCGTCTCCTTCGAGAAAAGGCAAAGAGAGAGGTGATGATTTGTTCAAGGGGACGATGGATCTCAGTTGGCCGGAAATTCTAAGAGGAACGAAAAAGCGAGCAGCGGGGCTTTATAACCCCTCTCAGGCATGTTATGCCAACGCTACCTTACAGGTGTTATTTCATACACCTCCTTTTCTCAGGATAGCGAGTGCTCATCAGTCCCAATCTTGTGAGTGTCTCTCAGATTATCATATTATGTCTTGTCCATGGGAAGCTGGTTTGCACGGTGATCATGCGGTCCCTGCTGCTCATACACTCGACGGTCTAGTTTGACGTGTTCCAACTTTGAGGCCGGTTGTGAGAGACGCGACTTAAAGAGGTCTACTCGTCGATGAGTAGGGTTGGTTCAGGGTGAAAGAGGCATCTCAGACAATGCGTGGTACAAATACTGACTATCAGGTTTGACGGCGAGAAACAAAGGTTGGTGTATGCTATGCGCGCTGAGGACAACGGGAGACGAACATTGGAGTAGACAGGGATCTTACATGCCTAAAGAGGTACATAACCATCTCAGTCGTACGTCCTTTTCCCTCTTTGCCCTTACAAAATTTTCTCATACTCCCTCCAAGCCCCTCGGACATGCGGAGCTCGATGTAATGAAATGACAACTGAACAATCAGAAATACATAAAGGTTTCAACAAACATAAACAAGAAGACGCTCATGAATTCTTTCGATTTGTGACGGATGCTCTTCAAGCTACCGCTCTTGCGGGGAGACCAAAGTGAGTCAAGTTTTTCGTACACGTTACCCCCTTCGACTGCTTTTAGTACCCAGATATCGACAAAATCATAATCATGTTGTAAATTTTGAATGAGAAATCCTTGGCAATTGAGCGTACATTTAGTTGATCATAGGGATTTACCTGCCAAAATAAAAAATTCCACCTGGGTCTATAAATTATGGGGAGGACAAGTCAGATCTCGCGTCATTTGCGACCGATGTTCCACCCCTTCCGACACCTTTGATACATTTCTCGATCTCTCTCTTGATGTCCCGCCCAATCGCAAGCCATCTGTCCTATCAATGTTACGAGAATTCTGCAAGGACGACAAATTAGAAGGCGAGAACAAGTATAATTGTGAAAAGTGTGTTTCCTCTCCTATCTCATGCTCATAGATACTGATGGGTAGTTGCAAGAGAAAGGCCGATGCCAAGAAGAGTTTTAGAATATCCCACGCTCCTCCTGTCTTGACTCTACATTTGAAACGGTTCAACGTTCGTTATAATTCTTTTGGCAATAAAGCAAATGCGGAGAAGTATAGCGGTTTTATCGAGTTTGGGGAATGGTTGGACATTGCGAACTTCATGGTTGATCCTACTGTGAGTCTTCCATTTCTATCAAGCCCTCATACTTCCCCTCAATGTCTCGTTGAAAAAGCAGACAGTGCACTCTGCCGGTGCTTTTGTAGGAGAGGTGCCGATAGGGATTGGTCGTGGCTGACGCATAGTCTGAAGGCACCAAATATCGACTTTTCGGAGTGACCTGTCATCGAGGTGCCGAATTGCGTTTTGGACATTATACCTCTTACGTCCGTGGTCCTAGTGGCCAATGGTATCATGCCGATGACGAGGATATGTCTGCCGTACGACAAGACGAAGTGTTGAGGGATAAACAAGCCTATCTTTTGAGTTATATCCGAGTGGAAGGGAATATCCCACCGACCCCGGCGTCGATCAAATTTCCAAATTCGACTTTTGTGAACGGCAAAATATCAGAATTCAACGGTTCATCTCAAAACGGATTCAAATTCCGTCAATCTAGCGGTCCAAATCCACTCAGTTCCCCCCTCAAACCTCTACCTCTGAAAGAGCCAAATGGACATGCCTTTACTTCTCCACTTAAACCTCTACAATCACCTCGGGAATCGCTCAGACCAGATCTCCCTCCAAATCACTTGGGCGCCTCACCTCCTGAGGCACCTTCATCTTCACCTCCACAGCCCGATAGTCCAAGTGAGGTGGACGAGCCAACGAAGTTCGGATGGGAACCAAAGTACAAACCTAAGACTCAGTTGGAGTTGGCAGGCTTACCGCCGTCTTTCGGTCCACAGCGATCGACGTTTGATAGACGTCGGGATAGAAGGGAGAAAAGGGGGAGAGGAGCACCCAGTCCGTATGCCGTCGGAGGATGGCAGGGTCGAGGTGGAAGACCACCTGGTGTGATCAATCGGATGAAGGGAAGGTGAGGTGGGGTAAGGAGGGTGATGGGGGTGCGCAAGTCTAATCAACCAGCAAGAGGGAGGATGGTGGGATGATAAGTATCGTAGAAGTCGTCAGTTGAAACTATCAATATTTATGCAATGAGCATGTGCATGGGAATGGTTCTAGTATGACTCTCACATTTTTTCGTCCGCTTTGTTTCAAATTCCTGTAGAATCATTTCCTTCGGATTGACAAGAATCATACTGTATATCTGTATATCGAATCTAAACCCCACGCTAGTGCATCCCAAGGACTATTTTTCAACAGACCTTTATCATCCCGATGTCATCTCCCAACTCCGACCAGTCACCGTGGAAAAGGAAAACATAAACCGATGATCAACGTCTTTTCAATTGAACATACCATCCTGATCTCCTCAAACAGTCCATGACGTATTCAGCTACCATCCCACTTACTTCTTTAGGTCCCAAAGTAGTAGTATCAATTTCATATTCTCCACTTAAACCTTTAGGTTTCCCACGTAAATTAATCAAATGACAAATCTCATCTTCCATCCTTAACTCCATTAAAGAATTCTCGTTCATTTCCCATCTTCCATGTTTACTTTGATTCCCACTTCCATTCCCATTTTGTGTGAGATCATGTGAAGAAGATTGTTTTCCATTTTGAGTGGGATCATGTGGTTTATGTGAAAGAGAAGTAGATAATCTAGAAAGGTTGGTTTGAGTTTCACATGATAAGACGAGATGTATGACTGGCCAAGATTTTTCTGAACATAATGAAGGGAAAAGATTGATGAGTTGACGATCGGAAGGTATGGATAGGAATGTAGAAGGGATCAAGTAGATCGTATTTGTGGGAGTGGAAGAGAGAAGTGATATGAGAAGAGTTTCGAGCTGTCCTTAGCATTTTTATGATCTCTATAACTTATCATCTTTCTGAGAGATATTATCATTGGGATTTTGAACGATGAATGTTATTTCTCGGTAGACCTAATGTTACACATAGACAGCTTATTAGATCTATATCGAAAAGTGTATGGGGAGGAACGGGCTGAGGGGAGCTTCTTAAGAAAATCGAGGGGAGAGTACAGTGGGGTCGTTTACAAGAGCAGGAAATGAGGTCATAAAGAGATAAAAAGGGGAGAAGAGGGGGAATGGGAAAAGTATTTTAAACAACTTACTAAAGATTTCTTCAATGTTTCTCTCGCAGGTCCCTCAAGAACACAAGCGATTTCTTCTAGTAAAGGGATATCGACAATCTTAGCATTTGGTAGGATTTTTCTATTCTAATCAGTTTCCGTCCTTTATAAATCCTTGAAACTCTTCGTCTTTCCTTCTACACCAAGATCCCTCCTCCTGTGTGGTAAACCTGCCCTACTGAATTTTCTGGTAATCTTCCAAGCTTGCAATCATCCATCTAGCTTTCTCGTCCGACTATGATACCACAGTTGACACTAAAATTCTTTCCTATGATATGATTTTCCCTGCAGTCTTCACAATGTGGATGGCTTCATGTACCTTTCACCGCCCAAAATAACTACACGAACTGGTCGGAGAGGTGAAACCCGGATCAACCTGACATGTGATATAGGAACAAGAGTAGACTTCAAATCAAAGGGGAAGGGGAAAGAGAAAAGAAAAACTCACGTCAATTCTTGTGCCACGGTACTTTTACCCACTGCTGGATATCCATTCAATATCACTATAGCTCCAGGCATCGTTCCTCCCTTCTTTTTATATTCTTCAGTACAACTTTCGTTCACTTCTTCTGCAAAATACGACTTTGATTCGTTTTCTATTATATTATGATGGTCTTTCTTTTGAGATATACCCTTTCTCTTGATTTGATCTTGTATTTTGATAATTTGCAATTCAAGTGGGAAAGAGACGTTAGATTGATCAAATTCGAGTGAAAAAAACGGTCCTGAGCACGATACTTTGGATAAAGGGTTCATGCTCGGAAAGGAGATTGATCATACTCAGGTCTAAAGCAGGGCGTCAAAAGATACCTTTCCTGTGATCCCGTTACATCGAAGCACGACGCTTGACGACTGGCTTTCTATATTGGAGATCGATCGAAAGGATTTACTTGGTCCTTCATCTATTGCTGTCTCAGTTGATGAGTGTCATCGATGCGGCATACTGCATAAGGTGGCAGAGATCAGAGAGGTGAAAGGATAGAGTAATGGTCGTTGAGAGTTGAAAGTTGAGGGGAGTGGAGGTGAAAGATGAAAGGTGATGGTGATGTCAGTTGGAATTTGATCGGAAACTTTGAATTCACCGCTGGATCCGGTCTTGACGACGGATGTCTAGCAAACCTCCAGGATACAGTGCGACACGGACATGCATCACATGAAGCAGACATTGGGTGGTAGATGACAAGGAAGTGTCTATTGAATGTCCTAGGTGCATAGGGCGTAGGCGCAGCACCCCCTTAGTGAACAGCGACAGGGGCTGGTTTGTGAGGTGCAGCGGGATGGACAGGATGAGCTGGGTGAACGGGAGGAATGTCTTTCTCTCCTGGTTTGAGAACACCTTCTTCCTCTGTCACATCAGCCGGTGTTCCTGAATCTCCCTCTCAACTTTCTCTATCAGAAATCTGAAAGCATCACCGCAATCTGTTAGAAATGCGAGTCAAGCGATGAAGCAGACGAACAAGGTCCGGAGTTGAGAGGAGGACGGTGCCAGATCAAGTCAGAAGGGGGGTAGTTCTATGGACGATAAACACCCACCGAGTATAGCCCGCCACGAATGATCTTCCCTCTGTCCAACTTCTTCTTCCTCTGCGGTAGAAGTTCCAGCGACGACGGCGGATCCTACTAAAACCGCGACGGTGAGACCTGTCCTGTCAACCTTCTTTCGTCACGTCGAAATGTATTTTTAGAAGGAAGATGACTCACCTTGAGCCCACATACGAGCCTGAACGAGCTGAGAGTTAGTTGCAAGTAGCAAAGGAGCCTGAAACAACTTACCTTTTGTGAAAAGGTCATAGGTGATCGAGCTACGATACCAAATGCCAATCCCATGGAAGCTGCCCAACTGATCATCAGCGTTATCCTTGTTGATGAGTTTCACATTATCTCGCACCACTTCATCGAGTTCATCAAACGAGACGAACGATGACCAATCAGATGACCTTCATCTTCAATTGAACCCGATGGGACATGGACTATTGTGAGATCAAAAGATATGTCTGAATTCTGAAATAGCAAGGATTTTTGAGGATAATGTTCTGATGATGTAGACAATTCGAACCGAGACTGGTGACCAAATTGAGTACGAGCCAATAAAATGAATATCCTTGAATCTTCGTGAAGGGTAAATTAGAAGGAAAATGAAATATTACTCACCCTCCAGCAATAACACCATATTTATGTCTCCCTGTCCAATCTTTAACTTTCTCTTGAATAGACATCCTCTCCCATCTTTCCTCTTCTCTCTGAGCTTTCGAATCTAATTCCCTTTTCCCAATTCCAGTCCATTGACTTCTCTCATAAGCTTCTCCAGCTTTCTCAGCAGTTATACTGATACATGGTAAAACCACCACCACAGCTCCGAAAGCTTTTAATGGTAAGGGAAGAGCACGATATTGGACAGATCGACGTAAAAGGGTGTAATGTAGTGGGACCCATAAAGAAACACCGAGTAGAGAACCTTTTATTCCACCGGATATTGTTGCTTGTGAATAAGCTTGAGCATCTTCTGGAGTGAGGATCTGTCATCAGTATGCATAATAGTTTGAAATCGATGCGACAGTCTGGCATAGGGGTTCGATAAGGATTTGTCGATCGGATTGTTTTTGAAAAGTTGATAAGGGATAGTAAGGAGAAAATTCAGGAAGGGGCATGGGAAGGATGAATAAGATGAGGATGATGAGATTGGTTGAGTATGGGTAATAAGGAACTGGTATAGATTGATAAGAGCACACACCTTCATGTTGCAGTCGCCGACTGAAAGGGAAGGAAGAAAGAAAGAAAGATTAGGTGTAAGTAAGAAAAGGTGAGCAGAGAATGTCGTCATACGCTCTCTCCCTCTCCCACTTCCGACTTTGTCCGGCTCGCCCCCTCTAAGCGAGCAGGCCTATCGACTTGTTCCCATCACGCCCAAACATAGCCATGTCGGTCACATCTGTCCAGAACGTAACCTACGTTCAACCCAGGAGTAACATTCTTTCATCAGTGCGGATGTAGCGAGACTACACAAGAAAACATGACATCACCCCTCAATATCACCCTTCTCCCATCGCCCACATTCCACCCTCACCTTCTCATCACACCCCCCAAACCACCTCACAGCTCATGTGATCTCCAACTTTCCCTCTTGTTCCCCGATGAGATCTTTGTTGATCCTTCGGAATTATCAGACCTATGGGGCTATCCATCCTCTTCTTCACCTTCCCCTCCTCAATCGACAAATTCCGTGGGATGGAGTCTGAATCCTCAAGTAGTGGATATTGAAAGACCGACTATATTCTCTCTTCCTATTCTTCCCACCCATCAAAATCATGTCGACATCAACCCCTCCATACCTCTGACGATGTTGGGATTGGAATTACGGATCTCAGGGGCTAGGAAACAACTTCTGGATATCCCACTTCATGCTAGGTATCTTGAACCAAGTGAGGAGGGGAAGAAAGTTGTGCAATTGTTTACAGATCCTAAACATGTTTCGGTAGAGTGGATTTGTCCCAAAGAATCGAGTGAGTGGATTTTGTTGCTCTCTACATGAATCTACTATTTTATGAAGAAACTCAAACTGATACACAGATATACTTGAACATCTGGAAATACACCTAGATCCGATCTTTGTTGTTTTACCCACGGGCAGACCACAAGACAGAGTAGCAATAACACTAATTACTACCTTGGTCATATGGTTGAGCTGGACATGGCTCGTGTACAAAATCATCATGACTCGCCGACGTCTTGTGTCGAAAGTCAAAGTGAATTAGGTTGACTTGTATTTATGTCACATGTCAATAACCTATCAAAGCCGACCGAGCAGTGTACATTGGAAACGACGTTGCTTGCGACAGCATGCATACCACCAGCTTGTACAGTTTGCCTCAGATAACCTCTCCCCCCCTCCTTAGAACGCACTACTAGTCCTCATCTGTTCCAATTTCTTCAACACATCCCCCACGCTCCTATCGAGTTCGTTGGCGATGGAAGACTGTTTGGTGTATGGTAATGAACTGTATGCGTCGCACAGATCTCCGTCTACCACTCCCATGACGGGGGCGTAATAACCTCGGTAGGCAAGATGATCTCTTCCGACCAGAGATATGTTCTGAGAACGCATGTGCTGTTCATCAGCTTCGGGTCGAAAGTGATGTTGGGGGGAAGACGTTTTGGTAGGCTGCGCCGTATCACGGACAGTGTGTTTTTGTGTGTCCCCGGAAGCTGGAGAAAAGAGGAAGAGAGTAAGAAGCAAACTTACCATTTCCAAAGTCGTCATAAACTCCACGTCGTCCATCGAGATGAAGGGGACGAGAGCGCCCACAGCTCCTGATATCGTGGTATACACCAACACGTCTCTTCCCCCAGGTACTAAAGAAACTTTTGTCAACCTGTCCGTCAGCTTCGTCTTTGTATCACTCAATACCAACTTCCACCATCTGACACAATCTGATAACCGTCGTGAAGATCAAGTGGACTATCGAAGTACCAGCTATACGAATGTACTATAACACAATAGTGAGAAGAGAACGATCTGCAGTGTAGGGGGGAAGACAAAACGACGAAGAGATTAAGGAATAGGACATCAAGCCGTGGCAACTCACGAAGTCACCACACTGCCCACTTGATAATGAGCTATCAAAGTCGTCTTATGAGCTGCTCCCATCAAAAACCCCTTCTCATGTAGAATTCCCGCTCCTGTAGGATCATCATCCACCTTCTCGCTGACAGCCTGATCCATCCGATTGACAAACACGTTTCCGAATTTGTCCCCACAGGCGACAGTGTCATAGTCGACGTTGGTGACGCAAGTCAGGAACCGAGGTTGGGTGTCGTCTCCGAATACCAGCAGTTGACGTGTGGGGATGGAACGGTAGACGCAGAAAAAAGTCGATTCTTGCATATCTCCGACGATGATACGAGCACCAATGACGTTGATGGTCGCTATCACAGTGGGAAAACTCTGAGGAGGATTAGCTCCACGGCCTGTTGGACTTTCTGCGAAGACGTCCCGCTGAAGAGACAGGTATGGGTTGACGACCGAAAGGGATCGACGAAAGGGCTAAGAATGGAGGGGGACATTAGCACTCACGTTATTTTCACACTTCCTCAGTAATGCTTTCTTACCAGCCTCGTAAAGTCTCAATGACTTCCCGGCTCCAACCAGAAGGTAGCCCTGGAATCCAGCTACACACAGTGGTATTTCGTCCAATTTTGTCTACTCCGTCAGCTCTACCCCTCGACGTGATCTGATACCCCATACCGAGATCGTTCCCAAGTGTATTCAGACCATGCTGAACAGTGGTGCAAGAGGACAAAGATTCAAATGCACGGGACATAAGAAAAGACAATTACTCACCTTGTGCATGAACTCCAACGTCCGACCATTCTCTTTGATAGCGTAAACCCTCAACCATCCTTCCTTACATCCCCGAGGTGTTAAGGTAGTCTTCACCGCCGTCCCCACCACGAGACTTGGCTCTCCCGCCATATTCTCAAAGTAAGCGATTGTCAGGGAAAAGGCAGCTTCATCCTCGTCCAACTCTATCGTCGATACTGTTTGGTTCTACACAGTCAGCGACAAGTCAAGAAGAGCCCTCATAAACTCACCGTCAAAGGGTCTAGAATCCGAATGAGCGATGCCCAATGCCCTGGACCTGCTCGAGGTCTACCAAATTCTGACGGCGGTAATTCGAGGATTGATCCATCCACGCGATCACCTGCTGCTTTTTTCTGCGAAACTATACGTTGTATAGCTTTTGGTCCGAGTACACGATGATCCGATTCTATCATATAGAATATCGTACTGAAAGGATGGCTGATGAACTTTCTAGGGGTGTAGGTGAGGGACATGGAGTCTTGTTTTAACTTTTCTCCTAATCTCGGAATTGTAAAGATTCTACAAAGTCAGACTTATTGCGATGATGTGAGAGGTGGAACTGACCTTAGAGTGTTGCCCGATATCCCTATGAGACCTTCGGGGCACATGGCGGCTGATAATGTTGAGGCATACTCCAATGCGTCATATATCAATGGCTGGGTTTGCAGCATGTCCTGATATGTGTATAATAACCATGCTCTGCTCGAGAACGCCATGACCGATGGCGAGCCGTGAATAGACGATCGAACGAGTTTTGGGGGTTTGGCACCGAGGAACCGAAGACGAGTATCTGATAGAGATCCTTCAACTGGATCGACTACAGTACGAAGAAGTACACCGTTCATCAAGCCTATGTTGAGGAACATCGTGGCTCGGTTTTTGTCGATAGAGGTGTCGAATATCTCAGCAAGGCAAATGGACGCTGGCGGAGCCGTCAAGGCCTGCATGTCAGCATTGACGATGACAAGGGCGAGGAAGGTAGACTGACTTGCAAACTGAGAGTGGTTAGAGTGCTCTCTGGCTCCAAGGAGATGACATGGACAGTCTGGTTGTCACAACCAACCGCCTGATCGTCAGTACTAGTGATATGACAGATTTTTGAAGGAACTCACAAGGAATGGTGTTCGTCTGCGCCCCTCCGGCACCTCGGCGATACTGACACACGTCGCGTTGCCGGGCAGACTCTTCTTATCTTGATACTCGCTCAGTGATCCCTCGGGGTCCAGTTCAAAATACACCAACTCGGCTGTCGACAACGCAATAACCACTTGTCGCTTGTTGGTGGTAGCGGCGGTTATGGCTGATCCCGGTGGACAAGCCCATTCGTCAACTCTATCGGCAGCCCGGATATGCCGCAGACCATATGGGTGGACCTGCAATAATCCTGCATCCCCCAGTTGTTGTACGGCTAACGTAGGCCCAGATGATAAGAAGCCTGTATCGTTGACTTCTTCGATAGTCTCACCGATTGATAGAACAAGGGTACCATTGGGGAATGAGAGCACGATATATGAATCGAATTCGTCTACATATGTCAGCAGCCAAGTATGTGTGGGACTGGTGGATCCTGCTCACCTTCCTCTGTCAATTTCAAGGTCCATACAGCATTTGGGACACCAGGTAGAGGTGAGGCGACAATTTGCTGTATCTCCAACCCATGCTTCAGCGTTCGGAAAGTGCTTCTTGGTCCTCGGCCACATGCGGCGTATATTTGGGGAGTATCTGAACTCTGGCCTAGAAGATTCACCACTTGGGCATCAAGAATGGGATCGAGGGAGGAAAGTGTGTCAACAAGTAGGAGATTTTGGAGAGGTCTGGGGTTGAAGAATGCGTATGGCAAAGCACCAGTGGTATTCCCGTTATCAGGATAATCGGTCGAGGACCATTCTTGCTCGTCGTCATCTTCGGCAAGATTTTGAAATTGGTACAGATTTCTGAATGTCAGCAGCATCGAAAATGGATCAGACCGAATTTACTGATCACCGAACTCGCTAGCAGCGAAGAGGTATCCGCTTTTCAGAATACACAAGCTATTCGACACCGGCACGGTATCGAAGTATTTGATCTTGACAGCAACGACGTCTTCCCCTTGGTGATCAATCCATAATTTGTACAAGTCCCCGTCTTCGTTCTGTAGAAGAAAAAAGAAGGCCCCCTAAGTTGTTAGTCGACAGCCGCTTGGTAAATGACAAACTCACTCGGATTTTGTGCATGACAGCAGAGACGATGATCATCCCTCGACTGATTTCTCCACGTTGGGCCAATGGATTTCTTCGTCGTGGTATGGGTACCCGATGTGCTTCCGCATCCATATGTTTCCAAATGACATGATCCTCACAGCAGACTAACACTCCTGAGGGTCCCTCGAATCGGTCAGACGTCGCGTTCTGCCCTCCTGGTACTGGCTGTCTCAGCTGAAAGTCACAGAATACGCTATGGCACCCACCTTGGACAAGGAGATTTGCTCTCCGATCAGTGGGTTCGCTCCATTTCCGGACGACATGATTCAATCCTAGATCCAACTCGTAAAATACCAAATGCTGTCTGATAAGACCTGCTCAGCGGTTCTAAATGAGATGACTCACCTTCTCCGCTGCCTCAAATGCAGCCCCTGTTGGATCTTCATCTGATTCAGAGTAATCCACCTCCAACGCGGCATACAGGGGGTTGTCATAGCCCTTGAAAGTCAGTTCATCCGCTCAGTGCTTTCTGTCGCGTGTGCTCACCTGGTCCACACCTATCACATGAGTGATAAGGGCATGGTTCTTATGTGCTTCCAGAGGTGATGACGGAAAGAGCTTGCCCTCGGAGTTTCTATTCAGCACATATACTAGTTTCGACCTAAGAGTAATCAGTGACCGCACGGCTGTCAAACATACACGCACTTCTCAATTCTACTTCATCAGCGGAATTCAAACACGGTGTATGGGGACTCACGCAGCGAACATACAGCTCCGACCCTTAGGGTCTACAGCAAGAAACTGTCCAGGTACCACTCGTCTTTCGGGTCAGCTACGCATACAGGGCCATGGGATGGACTCACCTGCTCCCAGACTTCCCGAACACCTCTTGGTATAATGACTCGAAGTGTGGTGTAGGCGTCACAACAAACTCTATGATTGACATTCTACCAGAGTCAGATGACAATAAGATATAGTCTGACCATTGTCAGCTCCGTTCATGCTTGAGCCGACATCTGCACTCACCCTTGGTCATTCCTGCTAATCTGAACCCAGCGACACTCCGGACAGTCCCAAACGCCTGCGAGTAAGTGTCTGTCAAAGTTCATAGAGCTGATCGAGGACTGACTTCGGCAGTACATATCGTATCCACTGCCCCTGTCAGCTAAGACACCATGGTGAAGAGAAAGCCACTTACGCTGCCCCGTACTTGTATTGAGCTTGAGGATCTCCAACCTCGTCCCTCCCCGAACTACTAATATCTCCTGACCCTTGGTCCCAGAGAAGGATCCAACGGCAGCCAGGGTGACATTGGTAGGGGGTTGTAGAGTGATGTTGAAGAGGTGCATCGTGCCGGCGCTTGGAAGAGTGCGATCCGACAGATGGTGTATCTTCTATGATCTTTGGCTATCACAGAGAGAGACACAGGAGATCCAGGTGAATTTCCAAAATCATTTTATCGCTTTTCTCCAGCAATTCCCGCGGCGATGGTGCATGGTGAACGAACGCACATCAAATAAAGCAGCATGCAGCATAACGTCCAGACGCCTGTGTACGCCTCTTTTAGGACAACATTGGCGGCTGGCGGGGTAGTGGCTTTGATCATGCAGCACATCATAGCCCTCTGTCAGGACTAGTCATGACAGTGGCCTGGAGGAGACGAGCCTGGCTGCTGGCTGGCTACTTGCGGCATGTCATTACTACTCTTGTACAGATAAATGCTCATTGGGTGGAAGTCATGATTCTACCCTCCGAGTATTGCCTGTACTCTATTGTATGCTCCTCGATACTCGAAACATCCGACTATGTATGTCATTAAAAGCTTCTCAAACTAAGTGACCACCTTGTTCTCGTGCTCACACGTCTCGTCGGCGATATCGGCGTTTCATACGGGCTGCGAGCACGAGGCGGCGATCTCTTCCTCGCCATGCGGCAACCTCGTGTCACGTCGATGCTTCATCCCCCACCCCCTTCCTCATCTTCTTCCTTTTCGCCCTCACTCGTTTTGTTCAACTTTGCAACTCCACCATCAGCTCGTAGCTTCAGAGCTTCCCCTGAGATATACCCCCACCGTGATTGCACAGACTCCCACCTTGTCGTTTTCATCTAGCTTCACAGGCACACACAGTGAGGCCCGTTTCCTCCAAACATCCCCCTATTTCTTACTGCCAGTCGTGTCGAAGTCCCAGCTCACTTTCAATAGGCTTCTTCACTCATCTCTTCGACCTCCGCATCTGAAAATCTCTAATCATCGAACTGACCTATCATCTATCCAACCTTTTAGTTCAGTCGCTCCTAGTCTTTTACCACTACGACATCGTCAACAACCGCAGCCATTTCGAAAATCATAGCGTTTCTACGGTGGCGGCTCCCGCGTCTCTCGCTCCCACTAGCGAGTCAATGAGCCCATAGACTCTTCTCAAGTGAGGATCTCTCTTGCCCGCCAGAAGCAGCTGACCCTTTCAGAAAGACATGCAAAGAAGTGAGCCTAGAAGGTTAATACTGGAGCCCCGCATTTCACATCACGAACCCCATCAACTACGACCATCTTTACACAACCACGTGGACGTCCCCATCGCCGACGACGACTCAGAAGCTCGCCACATATCATTTCATAAAGACCGAGAGCCTTGAAGTCAGGGCTCTATTTGTTGAATAATTTTTCTCTCAAAACCCTAGACAATACGAGCCCCTTGAAGTTTCCTCCAAGCTCTTCTCTCCAAACACTTGCGGGAAATCCTATCAATCAAACTCTCGTCCTCCAGCCAAGATGACGGACCCGAACGGACAACACGCACTCGCGTCACACGACCGTCTAGTCACGGATCCCGCCTTCTCGTCTGTGCGGTCGAGTGCAGACGACCAAGATGGTTCGGTCATGAAATTTGACGACTCTGCCTTGGAGACATTGAACGCAGCTGTTGAACAAGGAGCCGACCCTTTCAAGTATGTCACAGCTGGAGAGTCAAGCACCGGTCTCAAAGCTTCTGACGGCAAGCCTTCGGGTTCACAGCCTTTCGCTCGGACACCAGAGTTGCGAGTTAGTCATAAGATTGCGGAGCGCAAGAGACGAAAAGAAATGAAAGAGCTGTTTGACGAGTTGAGAGATCTACTTCCTTCCGAACGAGGGTCAAAATCCAGCAAGTGGGAGATTCTTTCCAAAGGTGAGTCAATTTCTATTCCAACCACGACGAGTACGGCTGAGTACGTAGCCATCGATCATGTCACAAATATGAAGAATCACAACGCGGAACTGATAAGAGAGATAGAGAGAACACGACGAGAACTGGATATGGCAAGAGGTGGAAACGGTCAATTCGCCCCTTATCATACAGCACCGTACGCCATACCACAAGCGCCCCTATATCCCGGTATCGCTGCCTATCCCACACCGGCGGCAGTCTCGTCCGCTCCAGCCACTGGAGCACCTCCCACCCCCGGCATACCCATCGGGACTCCCACGTCTGGCTCTATCCCTACAGGACGACAACAATCACCGCAAGTTTCGCAACATACTGCAGCGCAGCAACAACAGACTTTGAAATCTTCCCCTTCTCAACCCGGTTCGAGCTCCTCACAGCCTCGACTGAGCTTGTAAACGGTACTGTAATGAGTCTTTGATGATTGTAGAGTGTGAGTTTCTGTTTTAGTAGGTACATCAAGTGGGAGGAGATGTGTGTCGACGTAACGTGGAGTGAGGGGTACGACATGATTCATGCACGAGACTATTGTTATCTTGATTCAGGAAGTCACACGGAATATATTGGTGCAAGGTGTATTAGCTCATATACGGCATCGGACCCCCGAGCCCGTCGTGAGAACACGTGAGTTCTTCTTTCGTGAAACCCGGTTCGGAGAGACTTGTGATAGTGACAGGCAAGATACGCTCCCTTATATCGTGACATGCGACCTGAGAAAGGTGACGTCCTTTCTGTTGACAACTAAACGAGTTTTAGTCACAAAACTGTTTGATCTAAATCATCAATCCTTTATCAAACAGGGGTGACGTAACATAACACATGTCAAGTTAAGTACATATCAAAGCCCTCTTTACCATTTATAGACCCAACCGATCATCTGTTCCCCATTACATCTCTCAGCAATCACTACCGCAATCCCCGTTATTCCGTGCTAGTCAAATCACCAGTAACTTATCGACATTTAATCTTTCTCCCAAGGAATTACCAGTAAGTGACATCAAGACAAGACCAAACAACATGTCCCCAGTGCAGAGTCATAATTTCAAAAACGAGACTCTTTCATCTTCGTCATCCATTCCAACCAAAGGAGTACATTACCCAGGACAAACGGATGACTGTCTCACTGCTGACACCGTTCACGAAGACCCCTCTACCTTAACAAATAGGACATCCGTACCAGAGTCTACGGTCTTCGAATCTGTACGACCTCCAATGTCGGCAAACCCCAATGTCAATTCTTACACCTCCGAATTAGCGGGAAACGTGTCCAACGAGAAAATCTCAGATGCAGAGGAGGAAGAGACTAAAGAAGTTGATGTAGCTACTCAAGATTTATTGACTTTTTTTGACCAGCCTCGTGAGGAGAGAAGGATTCAAAGGGTACTCCGAGATTCTTTGGAGTATGAAAGAGTGGTATATAAGGGGGACGGTGATTTCACCCATGATTTCACCCGTGATTTCACTCATCAGGTCAGCGTCGTGTAAGTGATTTCTTTAGTCCCTCGGGACACAGTTATTCTGAATCCTTCATCTCCTCAGAAACCAAGATCACGTTCATCATGTCTCCCTCGCGCCCCCGGACCAGCTCTTATATGTACAGAGAATGATCAGAATTTCATTATTCTTGCCGAAGAAGGGTGATCGGTAATAGATCGTAGGAATGGAATGCTTGACAAACAGAGTATATGACTTGCGGAATAAGAGACTGGTCTGATAAAACAGTATAGATGAAAAAGGTCCCTATCTTACTACTACACAAAGGGGGGAACAAGCTGCTGAACGACGCGGACGGACAGTGACTAATTGGGAAGCACGATGGTCTCCGAAGTGAGTTTGTACTTCTCTTCCTACCATTCCAAACCGAACTCATAATCAATCCAAATTGGTTTTCGACCTCTACTTTTCTCTTGCAGACCTATCGTCAATCGAATCCTGATCGATTTGTTGAGCCTGTGTTGATCGTCAGTTCTGTCAACTTTACTCGTGTTGATGGAGAATCGATTTCCAGAGATCCAGTCACTCTTCCCTCAGATTGTTTTGACCAGGAATGGGATGGTAGCCTATGGTCCTTCAGGATATAATACTTACATACTTTTATTCTTAAACATACAACCAGTACTCGATTGTTTATCTCAACAAATGAATTTCTTCCCTTGTCTATAGTGAGTGACAATTCTTTGAGATGTGTCATTATTTTCAAGACTCCAGACTCAATATATCTGATGTGTAAATGAGCATAAATCAATGTATAGATGTACAGAGGAAGGGATGACGAGAAATCACGAATCTTATCACTCTTTTCTTCACCTACTTAATTGCTTCATGTCTCATTGTCTTTTGTTTTGTAAGGACGGACAAGTCCACCATTGATAGGAGAGGACTAGATCGTTTTAGATGTTCTACTCCGACGTTTCAACTCGGTACAAACGCTTACGTTCTCACATGCTCACTCTTGATTATAATCAGCAATCACTTACTCTTTCACCCAACCACCCAACCACCCAACCGCCCATCTTCACCTGACTAAGATCATCTCCTTACGGAAAATACAGATATTCAAAGTCGAGTTCGTCCCATACAAGGTCCTATCAACATTCATAATGAATCGTGAACTCTTGACCCAGAGTCCATCCACACCGTCAGGGTCAAAGACACAGGCATCAACTTTCACTCCAATTGACAGGGCCAATGGTATGTCAATATCTAGGGGTTTGCGAAGTACACCTTCTGGTGAAGATTACTTCATCAAGGAACAGGATGAATTGTCAAGACATACTGTAACAGACAATGGAACATGGGGAGAAAGCTCCAGTGTTGCTTCTTCCACCCCTATAGCCACTCCACCAGAGAGTGAAATCGACTTTCCATTTAATACTCAAGTAACCCATGGTCTTGAGCATGATCACTTGGCAATGAATATGAAAAGTCTCACAATCGGAAATGATCCATCCAGGAAGAAAAAGTCAGTTCCGGAATGGTACATGGAGGATTTCACATTTGTCATGTGCCGTCCCCAGGTACAACCGGATATAAGCAGGACGGTACTTGATAGTCTTGACAACCTTCAGGTACGAACTTTGGAGTATTGTTTGAGTGAGACGGAAGAAGAAATTGAAACCGAGTGGCCTAGCCTATCAATTGCTTTTGTGTGAGTTGTCTTTTTACCTGGAGATATCTTGGCAGAACCTAACTATTTTTGCACATCCCTCATATTATGAGTGTGGTACCAGGGTAAGACAGAGGAACAGGTTGAGGCTCATAAGACAGGAAAGGACCTGTGAGGGGGTTAATCACGACTAGAGACATGAGTCGGGATTTCCTCACTCGCCCAGGACTGAGGGTTTCAAATTGGAAAGTATCTTACAACGACAAGTGAGTCTTTCCAACAATTTCATCCGTCCTGTTGCTGATGACATCTCCCAGCGCCATTATGCAATTCGAAGCAGACCCGTGAGCCTCCTGCTCATTGCTGGCTCCTGTTGCTGTCAGACCCTCAGCAACTGTGACATGCGTTCAGTGATCAGTGAAGTAGTCATCAAGGTAGAAGAAGAAAACAATAGAGATGGATGATCAGATCCGGGTGATGAGACTGTATGATCATGATGATAACCATCCGCAATCCGCTGGCTGTTAGGATACATCCAATTGACCGAGCTGAATGAATCAGTGGATAGCAGCGGGCATCATGATAACATCAGATATACACACCTTCATCAACACACCTTCATCACCCACCCTCATCTATTTGAAGTTCTTACCATCCACCCAGGCTTTGCCGTCGATCTCCAAATCCCACGCCAAGGCAGCTTCGAAGAACGCCTTGTCCTCTGGGTTCTCCAAGTCAATCTTCTTGTACTCGTAAGACTCCCAGTCCGGTGCGACATCCATGACCGGTTTGTAGTCGGGTCCACGACAGATGACGGTGCCGGTGACGATGGAATCGTTGGTCTTGCCTAACACACCCATTGATCCAAAGAGGTATTTCCGTGAAGCTTCAAGACGGTTAAAGAACCCTCCGATCTGTACCGTTAGCTTCTGATTAGACATGTGCCACAGACTGACCAGATTGTTAGACATGAACGTTTGAGTGAGTTCATCGTTGTACTTGAAGTCGACACGCCAGATGGAGAAACCCTCCTTGTCGAATCTATTCGTCAGCCACACCACACGACAAGGAAGATAGAGATGTTCATAACGATGATCATGATGAAAGTGCGGATGAGACTCACTTCTCGTAGAACCAAGGAAGAGCTTCTTTGCGGGTGTCCAAGTTGGAATACTGTCTCTTCCACTCTTCGAGATTGAACGCAGACTTGGGCAAGTCATCCAGAGGGTTTTTGGCCTTGGGTTCGGCGGGCACAAGATCTTCTTCCTCTTCTTCCTCTTCTTCCTTCTTTTTAGGCGCTTTGGGTGCTTTGGGAGCAGCCTCAGCTTTTGGTGCCTTCTCAGCAGCGGCGGGCTTCTCTTTGGCAGGAGCTTGGTAAGGTGGGCAGACTTCGGTCCATTGAGGGTTTCCGTTATCAAAGATGAGTGCGAGTTTGGGGTGTCTAATGACGCTGCAACGTTAGGATATGATCAAAACGTCTTGATCGTACAACTCACGTTTCTACCAATCGAACAAGGTTGGGGACCTTGGCACGAGAGGAAGCATCAAAGATGGAGCTGGTGAAAAGGTTGGTCAGAGAAGTGACGATGGTGATGTCGGCCAATGTCAAACGTTCGCCCACGAGGAAAGTACGATGTAGCATGTAAGCCTCGATAGAATTGAGACGTTTCCACAAACGTTCCATCAAACCGTTGAATGTCTGCTTGTCAATCTCGATCTTCAGCTGAGGTGATCGAATAGACACTCACTGCTTTCGAGTAGGGGACTGTGTTGTTGAAAATATAACCAGTAAGGGCGGTAGGAATCATAATCTTTTGATAATCAGCGTTCTGGTTGGACTCATGATGATTGTATCTTACCTCCTGGTCGGCTGTGCACATCCACTGTTTGACCAAAGCTCTCTGTTTAGGGTCGGCGGGAAGGATAGTCTGGTTGGCACCTAAACTGGCGACTAAAATTTTAGTGTTCTACTTTTCATTTGGATGACATATTTAAGTGGGTGGATGAATGATCAGAGTTAAGACGATACCACTCGTCGGGTTATTCTCGACACGTGTCATTTAGACAGGGATAACTAAAAAAAGCTCATCAGGAAAGGAAGGGGATACAATTTGTTTTCACAACGAAAACGTACTGGGGAGGAAGAGATGAAGACAACATACCGTACTCTGCGATGGCGGCAGATTCTGAAAGCTTCAATTCGCCATCTTCAAGCACTGGCAGATAACCCATGGGGTGATCACGAAGGAAAGCTTCAGTGCGCCAGTCTGACTTGAAAGTGAAAGATTTGTCATGTTCAAGTTCTACATCTGCCATGGCCGCAGCAGCGAGCACACGACGGACGCGGGAGTTACCTGACTAGTCAGCATCGGTAGTGCATGATGATTTCATCAACCAGAGAGGATTGTGAAGAAAGGGAAGATGAGGTCCGAGCCAAAGGAAGTGAAAGTTGAAGATGCTGTCGGAATATCATTTTTAACCACAACATGACGAGCAGAGGTCAGGAGGACAATGACTCACCTGGGAATCCAGTGAGCGTAGGAGCCATGATTGTGATGGTGCAAAATGCAGATGAAGAAGAGAGAGCAAAAGATGAGGAGAGGTTGAGCAACTTTTTTCTCAACACCGAATCTTTCAACTCAAATGACCGGAAAATTCCATCCGGATGAGTGTGGCACTTTTGCCACCTGTCCAAGCGAACCCAGCACCAATACTTAGCAGGCTAGCAGCATGCAGCATGCAGCATGTACCAATAGATGCATGTTCAATCCTATTTTGCCCTCCTCTTCTTGAGCCCTCTGAACACCTGCGTAGTCAGTCATTATCCCAGGCCTTCATATCAAGAACTCGGGCTCACCAGCTCATCATCGTCATCATCGACGACCAACAACTTTCTCCGTCCCAATGTGGCAGTAGTAGGTCCAGAACTTCTCGTACTCCTACTTCTTGGTGCCGTCCACAACTGAGCATCCGCCTCATTCGTATCTGTCCCATTCATCCCGTTCCTACTTCTTGAATTGGATCGTAGGGTTGAAGGTCCATCATCATCCGAATCTTCCAACACTATCGGCTGTCGTTTGGCCAACCCTCTGGTCGGAGCAGCTCGAGCGGGGGGTTTACGTGTCTTTGCAGTGGCGGTGGATCTTGTATCTGTGGTAGAAGCCTCGGACAGGATACTTCCCGCTCTGGTCTTCCGAGATGACTGTGTGACTGTACCCTGCTGGGTGTCCGGGACGGTGGATTGGTCTTTCTTACGACCTCTCTGAGTGCGGGAAGGTGGAGGCATGTCATCGTCGTCATTATCGACAAGTACGGCCCGACGGGTCGATGGGAGTAAGGGCATATCTTCCTCTTCATCCGAATCGTGTACTTGAGTGGCTTTTCTTCCTTTGCCATTGGCACGCTGTGTGGGCCAATATGCTAGAGATCAGTCCAAACTTCAGGAATGTGAGGAACGGCGAAACTCACGGTCTCCCATTTCTGCATCTTCCAAAGTAGGTCCGGCCAAGATCAACGGCAGTGGGTCCCTTCTAACGATGTTTTTCTGCTCTCATCAGCTTAAGACATTTGGAGCTATCAACTGACCTTTTTGAACTTCTTGAAGTTTGGCCGTCCATCATCCACCACCTCAGGCACCCTCTTCTGATCTTTACGAAACAGATCCGTCTTGATGATCTGAATGAAATTGCCCCTCATATCGTCGTCGAAGTCATTGACGATATTCCAGTCCGGATGATCCGCATTCCATACATTAGTCTTGACAATCGTGCTCCCAGGTTCTCCACCTCTTTTGGGTATCCGCAACTGATTAAACTCCATGTCTAGCTCATCTACTGCCTTCTTGGTTTTGGTCGCATCTGAGATGGCTGATAAGAAAGCGGGATCCTTCGCGATTTGACTATCTTTAGGTTGATTTACCGGTAATCCAGCAGGCTTTTTGGGTTCGAGTGGTTCGGCAGACTCTGGTTCTTTGATACGTGAAGTATCTTTCCGTCCAGAAGTGATGGATTTAATCGAAGGTCCTGAAGCTTGCGAACGTCCAGACTTTTTGGCCTCTGCGGCCTTACGCAGAGTCCTTTGAATAAAGTCATCCTCGATCTCCTCAATTTCTTCAGACTCCGGTTCTTCAGCGATGGATGGAACGACTTTGTTGACGTGGGAAAGTTGTGGACGGATTGAAGGTTCAGCAGAGCTTTCCCTGCTGTTGGAGATGTGAGATTCGACAGAAGCAAGTCGAGCTCTCTTGACAGGCCTAGGTTGAACACTCTCAGCCTTGGTCTGTTCGTACAGCTCTCGGATTTCGGCGGCGGTTTCTTCATCTTCAATCTGTCTGGCTACGGATTCTACGGTCTCCGTAGGCAAGTCGAAAGACAGTGCTGGCCGAGTTCCGACCCGCCGTTTGAGGCGAGTTGTGCCGGAGCTGATACTTGCTTTCCCTTGTGTCTGTAACTGAGTCATGATATGCTTGTACCTTGATTGAAATTGACTCACTCTAGACTCTAGGACCGTCTCCGGGGCTAGAATGGAGGGTTGGCTTGAGGCTGGAGGATTGAAGGACTGCGAATCTCGTGAGATGTGAAGTTGACTTTGAGTGGGTTGAACCGATTCTTCTATGATCGGCGCAGGAAAGGGGTCAGCTACACGTCCGGCTCGGCGTTTCAGTGGCTGTTCCTCAGCACGGCAGAGTACGATAGTCAGCAAGGGAAAGAGAACACCCACCTTTTTGGCTGGTTGACTTAAAGCGCTCACAGACGTATCGACGTCCTCCAAGAGAGGCCTCCCGGCCTGAGCAGTCTTAAAAGCTACAGTCTCCAATTCTTCAGGGTATGTCGAAGGGATCACCTCCACATGTTTGTGACGAGCGGGAGGATAAGAACGGGACGGACTTGCTGTAGCAGGTTGAGCCAATGGTTCAGGAGAAGCTTCCCGAATAGCCGATATCGAAGCAGGTGAGGGCTCTCTGGTCGTGACAATTGGGTCGTTGCGGGGGAAATGTTCTGGGCGTGGACCACCAAAGGCCTCCAGATACTCTTCAACACCACCACATTTGACGGCGGCCCAACAGATTACTCCTGAAACTACAAATATGCCTAACCTGCACGTCAGTCCAATCATCCATGTACCTTCCCGTGGCGACTGACTTTTGACTTGCCTCCCCAATCATAGAACTGAATTTCACGCCTTTCTTCTCTAATTCCGCTTTGAGATTTCCGAACCAGACAATGAGCGCCTTTGAACGGCCTACGCTAGCATCTATTTCTTCTGACCATGATTTAAGACGGTCAATCACATCTTGGCCCGAAGAGACGGGGTGCGAAACGATGTCGATATCTGTATACTTTGCTCCCATAGCCGTGAGCCATCTCTTCTCAGTCGGAGGCTTACGATTAGTTCGTTCCGACAATGAATCATGATCTTACCCTCTCCGCTCGCAGTCCCATGATTGACCATCCCTCAAATAACGCGGATCTGCCAGGATCCGGTAGCCAACATTCTACACTTGCTCTAACATTCGGCAAATTGGGGTCTAGGGGTGGTTGAAATCGAGGATCCTCTTCTGGCGGTAGAGCGAAACTGTCCTGTGAATCGGCCACTTTCTTCCAGCAGGCGTTACACTTAGCTAACAGGGCTTCGAGGTAGATGGGAAGGAGGATACGGATTCCGTAGCATACGGCATAGTTGCAGTGAGGAGTAGCACAATATGTTTGTGAGAGGACGAATGTGGGTTTATTGGAAGGATCGAAGGCGAGGGTATGAGCTAGACAATGCCGACGCATCGCAGATTGAGTTTCTTCTGATTCGTCTTTAAATTTGGGGTGTTGTATATTGATATCAATCCAGACGGCGCTAAGACATTAGCTGATTGAAGGCATATGAGCCTGATCGAAACAGCTCTCAGAAGGTGTGTTTGACTGAATTGAAATCACAAAAACATATTTTTTGACATCAGGGGTAATATCGAACTCACCAGAACCAAGCATCATCAGACAACTCGATGCCCGTCCCCATGTGATCATGTAAATAACATCCCGGTTGATCACTTTCTTGACCTTCCCCGTAATCTTCCCTGTCTCTAGAACCTACGGACTCTTCATCCATCGGTAACAATATCTTGAACTTCCCGAACCCTCCACTTTTCTTTGGTGAGGAATACCATTTCAACTCTGGTGGTTTCTGAGCCTGTGGACCTCAGTGGTTCTTCATACATGTCACGACTACGACTCACATGTGCCAGATCCCAGGATTTGGCTTCGATTGTGCCTTCTATAGGTCTGACCTTTTTGCTCTCGAACCGAATATCACAGTCCTTGTCTCTGCCTACCTTGTAGGTCTTTTTCTGTTCGAGAGCGAAAGTGAAGTCTGAGGTCAGTGATGCAGGCTCATCAGCTGATCACAGTCGGGCGGAGAGATGCTCAGTGTAGATGCCGAATAGACTTACAGGACTGCCCATGTATGGCTCCTACGGCTTTGATAAGCCACATGTCCACATCGGCCTTGCAACCCAAGTGAAATGTATGTGAGAAGACAGTCTCGTCATTCGAATTCGTGACTGGGTCAATCGGTAGCGGAGTTTAGCGCGATGTCCGTTGGCGGTTGGCCACCCGCCTAGACTATTGCAATGATGCTACTTAAGTACCAGGCTTCTATCATACAAAGAGCGTGAACCTATAGCCTTTTCGAAAGGCAGACCCATGTCAGCAGCCTTCAACAAAAGGCGAAATACGTATTCCGGGTATTCAACCAGGTTCTTCTGAAATCGTCTCGAGATGAAGTCTATCAATCGGTTTTTGTATGGTCCCAGCCCCGAGGAGAAAGTGCGTGAATGGCAATCCAAGTTGAGAACGCAACAACGGCAGCTCGATAGAGAAATACAGAATGTACGTGTCGGACTGATCCTTCTACTATTCAATCTATCTTCCTGCTTCGTATTAACTGAATGCATCGTTCGTTTGTGTGCGGCCCTGAGCTGATTTGCCAGCTGGACAGACACGTCGGGAAGTCAAGACAAGAGCTCAAAGGATTGGCGAAGAAAAACGATGTCAAATCTGCCCGGATATTGGCCAAAGAGTTAGTTCGAGCCGGAAAACAACGGGATCGATTAGAGAGCTCCAAGGCTAGACTATCAAGTGTTCAGATGCAACTTCAACATCAATTATGTGAGTCATTTCTCTCGTCTGCCCTTCTGATTTACGGTCATCAACTCAGCTCTTGCTTCATGCCGCTCATTATATCATCTCTTTCAGAAGGACTGTAATTGACATTCAGCCATGGTGAAGGTGACTGGGGCGTTTCAGAAGAGTACGGAAATCATGAAGATGACGAATCAATTGGTCAAATTACCTCAACTTCATGCGACCATGCGTGAGATGTCAATGGAGATGATGAAAGTGAGCTCGATCCCATCCCTTTCTTCTCTCCCACTCAGATAGTGGATGAACGGCTCAGAGAGACCCACGTAGCTGATATCAAGTCTGGGATCATGGAAGAGATGATGGAAGAAACACTAGATAGCGTAGACGAGGAAGATTTGGAGGAAGAAGCAGATGCGGAGGTGGATAAAGTCTTGTTCGAATTGACTGATGGCAAATTGGGTCAAGCTGGGAAAGTGGGCACAGAGCTACCAGTGAGTATGCTGATTGACCTCGTATCACATCTCTCTCCTCAGATTGCATCTCATTCTCTTTCCGAAACGCAGCAGATGAGGGACGTATCTGACGTATCAGGCTCAAGCAGAGGACGACGAAAGCGAAGAGGAAATGCAAAGGATGCGGAGAGAGATGCAGGATTTATTATCCAGTTGAATGACGTCGGCGGTCCTGGTAGTGTAGATCTGAAATTTGACACGCAACATACCCAATGCACATTGTTTGTATCATACCACCAGCTTAGGCTTGACGTTGAGACGGATGAAAAGTAGCTAGCAGCGCGCAGCGTGGAGCAAAGAAAAGCAGAAGAAATATGTCATTCACCAGTCATCACAGTCGTAGATTCATGCGATTTCGTCATTTTAGTCCACATCAACACCCTGATCCCGTAACTCGTTCTTGGCTTGGGTTATCTATCATTCAGCATCTCTTCTAGATACAGATGAAATATATCAAGACGTACCTCCATGAGTAAACTTTCGTATGCTTCTGGACAGTCATGAAATCGAACTAATCCGAGACCGAGAGATGAGAGGGAATATGAACCGAATGTGACGAGAAGCCAAAATGGTAGCTATGTCGATGTCAGCGGAGGATAGCTTGTGACGATCATTCCGAGACGACTGAAAGTGCGTGATCAAGAAAACGAGGGATAGAGCTCACGACAGGTAAGATATCATCGACTTCCCCAACCGAAAGGAATGGGACCGGGAGGAAGTGGGAGAGGGCCAGTAGGTACGCTATGACTAGAGGTACGGTAAACGTCACAAACTGCTTGCCCTTTGACATGTTGGTATATGGTGAACTTAAGACGCAGTAGCGACCTTTTGAATAGGCAAGAGGACCAAAATTGCCCAAAGTGGTAACTCCCCCACTAGTCATCAACCTGAACCCATGGTCCCCCACCTTCCCTGGCCCATGGCCCGCGACTATCCGATGTTCATATCTCTTCTCTCTTGTCAATGAAACTCCCCTCCCATCCCCTGATCCCTCTGGCCTCTGAAGTAGTCCCGCAAACCCGCAGAAGCAAAGTATCCCGGACAATGTCCTTCTCTGCATACATCTGATGAACCTCACGTTTGACCCTTCATCCCTTCACCTCCTCGTCGCATTGACGAGGTCCGAGCTTATCCCTTCCATCCGGCCACGGCCGCCAACCATCATTCGTTGTCATTGCGAATCCCGCTCCTATCTCCCCTCCTCCTTCTAGCCTACAAGCTACCTAACTACATACAGGGTTTAGGAAATGATGCGAACAGGTCCCATCAATGGAATGTTCCCGAGAGCAACCGTGAACCGTCACCTGCTGATCACACTAAAAACTCACTCTCAGTTGGTCATCCCCCCCGTCCTTCTTCTTTTCTCTGTATACATATACTACTTCAGCGCTCTCTTCTTTAACACCCACTGTGTATAGACATCCACTATTTCTACATTATGAACACTGGTCTCCGAGCACTTTCGACTATGACATTCCGGACCACTTTTGCTCGTCGATCATGTTTACCAGTCAGACTCGCTCAACGTCAAGTGGCAACTCAACCGTTGTTCGAAACTCAGAAAGTCAAATATTGGAAACAACTCAAGGAAGAACAAGGTGGAGGTCAGCGTCTTCTTGCCAAGATTGTCCCATTCTGATCACGGTAGATTACAAAAATCGAACCGTTTCGACCAGCCAGCTTTTGACTGCTTTACGCGACTTGCAGTCGTATCGCTCCCTTACTCCCAACAAGTCTAGTGAGTCTCTCAACCCTCGGACGTATATTGAACAAACTGATAGAAAGCATTCCCGGACTATAGGGCTGGCTTAAGGGCGGTGTTCCTGCTAGCTGGCTCTGACCCCGCTGCTCGTCCTACTCTCACCGTTGGAGACCTTGAAAACGTACTGTCCACGGAGGTCAGTACGGCGATATTACCCAAGAGAATAGTCTAATGAACAGAATGGAGTCTCGTGGCGTGTCATTCACGATATCCTCAAATATGGCTTGGTGCCTCAGCTCGAAGAACTCACCGAGGAGATGCGTGCCACCGTCGCTTTCAATCGCGTCCACGCAATCGGGAACATATACGCCAAAACTTTGTGTGTTTGATACTCCCTCACGCTTCGAGATGAACGCTGATGATCAGTGCGAAGAATGGTGCTAGAACATTCGAAGATCTCATAAACTCCACTGGCGACGAGTATGGCAAGAAAGTGTCAAAAGCTCAGAAAGTGGGTTAATCTTTGCCTACGCGGGCTAATGTACAGCTGGCTCTGAAATATCATCACGAGATGGAGATTATGATTCCCCGTCAAGAGGTGGACAAATTCGACATGCTCATCAAAGATGCGCTGAACAAGGCCGATCCGACTAGTAAGCTGCGCGAAAAACTAAGTAACGATTGAACTCACATGGTACAGTTAAGTACGAAATCATGGGATCTTATCGTCGTGGCGAAGAAACGTCAAGTGATATAGATATGGTTGTATGGCATGAGTGAGCAATCTTCACCGCTTGACAAGACGGTCTTCAATGACCATACAGCTCGCTCAAACGTCGCGATCCGGATGCCAAAGTCAGAAAAGGAAACCCTGCTCCTGACAGTATCATGGGACGTGTACTCAATGCTATGTTCAGTGCTGGTCTCTTCAGCTCGGACAAAATGTTTGCAACCGGTGAGTCTATCCTTTCACCTATCTCACCCTCCTGTATGTGTATCCGATCGGAATGAACAACTGTACTGACCAACAGGCGAGAAAAAGGTATGGGGATTGAGCCGTCTTCCCGGAGATCCGAAAGCTCTGCACCGTCAAGTAGACGTTCGACTCTGTCCAACAGAAAGCTTGCCATACATGCTACTGGGCAATACCGGGGACAACGATCTCATGAGGTTCCTCAGATACAAAGCCGAAGAGAAAGATCTCTTACTCAACGAGTACGGAATGGGTCAGCGGGTTTCCATCTCAGTTGGTTTTCTGCCGTGATGATGGTCTCAATGCTGATCAATAGAACCAAGGTTTGCTCGTCCAGAAGTGGAGGGAAAGTCATAATGCTGATACGAAGTGCACTTCAAGCCCGGAACGGAAATCATCGTCCAAACCGAGAAGGAGATTTTCGACAAGGTGAGCGATGTTTGGCTTCTGTGACCGTGAGCTGACTTTGTCAGCTGGAATTGCCGTATCTTGAGGTGAGTTGGAGTTTCTACCACTGTGTTGATCAAGGGCTAATGATTAGCCACATCAACGTTCGTACAAGGTGTGGAAGAACATTCTTCCTAGATACTAGCGCTGTTGGTCTTAGCACGAGACCACGAACGTCTCAAATGTTTCTTTGCAGCAGGAAAAATGGAAAGCAATGAAAACTCTTATCTTCACCATCTGCCTGTGGTCCGCTCAGGACTGACCGATTACGCAGTACTCTAAAGTGTCCAAGCTACTATGGACATGGATATCACTACGGACGATGAGCCGTCAACAGGAAACTACATGCGTCAGATTTTGAGGCGTAATGATGTTTGATAGTCCTTCTGGACTAAAGCAGCTCTCATGAGATTCATCTCGCTCATCGTTACTGATTCCTAAGTATCCCCCTTCTATCCCGACAGGTCTTCTAGCCTGTTCTCCAAGGATCATACCAGCGTAGCGGTAGAGCTCATTGGGCTGGAGACGTATGGGATTCCACTCAAACGCTCAGTGCTGTCCGCCAGAGAAATGTGAGAATCCTTGACATGTCCTTGATCAACCAGGTCGTCATTGACCAGTGTAGTGGCTGTATCTTGCCTGTATCTTGCGTTGACGCCAGACTCAGATGAAGTGCCCTGTGTTGTGGTTTTGTCCCCGTTCTTCTTCTTCTTCTTCTTCTTCTTGTTTTTCTTCCCGATTTCGGTCCCGCTTCCACCCTCGGGGTTTTCCGGGGCTTCTGTAGGAGGTGTATCGTCATCAGCTCCTAGCTCAAGGGCATCTGTTGGGTCTTCTAGCAGTGACAAAAGATTGTCCAGCAGCTTGCTCAGCTCAGCTATCCCCGTGGGCTTGTCTGATGTACTCTTGAAGGGCTCTTCATTTGAGCCTGGCTTACCACTTGTGTCTTTTCAGCCATGCCCCACAATTGCACTTCCATAAGTATTAGCCGCAGTTTCGTGGTCGCGGCACTGCTGTTGGTGTTTTCGGAAACACTCCTCCAAGCCGGGTAAATCCAGTTGAGAAAGTTTGCTAGGCCTAGACTGGTCATCCATTGGGGTCTTCAGCTCACTTCCTATCCATTTCAGGACAGCGTTGAACATCTGTACAGTAGTGGCTAGAGATAGAAAGTCAGCACACACCCTCCTGGTCATCTGTTTCACCTTCTTAGTGTGACACAGGATAGTTATAGCCGGCCCAGAGTCACCAGCCTCAAAGCTTACATTCAATTCCCTTGTTGCGGTCTCTATGGTGCTCATGTAACATATAAGTTCCTTCTCGATTACACTGCACCGAGACTTGAATTGTGCTATCTGTTTTGTCAATGTTTGATGTGGTACTGACAAACTTGGATCAATGTCTTGAAAGCGTTTGACCCAGTCGCGTATTGTCATTGTAACATCATCCATCATCTTATGCCAAAGCTGCAACTCCTGGCAGGTCCGTTGACATTGAGTTCTGTCAGTTTTGGTGCCCAAGTCAGACATGATGAAGCAGGTGTTGTGATATTGTATACCAGTGAAGTGAAGTGCCAGTGGCAAGATGAAATGGTCTGGTCTATTGTGAGGAGAGTTTTATACCCAGACCCAGAGGCAGTGTAGAGCACCACAAGGGAAGGTGAGAAATTTTGGCTGGCGTCTCGCGTCTTGCGGACCACGGACCTTCGACCATCAATGGGTTTTTGACCACCCGCCGCAAGATTCGTGAAAAACTCTTCTTCCACGTCAGAAAAACTCGACCGAACTGGACCCACGATCATAAGTATGTAGACGCTTCTGTTAGCCGATAGAATCGGGCCAGGACGGCCGAACCGCCGTTAGATAATTACCCCTTCCGTCGAATATTTCTCCGTTCAACTTATCCTCTGAACTTTATTCGATCGTCTCTGGTTTTATGCGTGTGAGTGGAATGTGATAAGTATAGAGACATGTAGAATTGATGCACGCTCTTTTTCCCCTCTGTATTATCATCTAATATTAGCAAACAGATTAACAGTCGGAAGTCACATACCTTCTGTGTATAACAAAGGCAAGTTCCCATTTCTAACTCTCCTCATAATGACCTCCGTGTCGTCTAAGATCTCTCTTGAGAACCACCCAAAGTTATCCCACGATCCAGCATCGTATGCTCCGTGGAGGAAGTCGATCGAGGTGTATCTACAGATAGGTGACGTGTGGAATATCGTCACAGGTAATGATACCGAACCTGGTCGCATAGGGGTGAGATCGGCAGCTGAGAGGGCGGGATCAGTACCTCCTACCACGCCCGTCGAAGGGCAAGTGGTTGGTAGAAGGATTACTGGAGAAGAGTGGAAGGAATGGGAAAAGTGGCAAGCGAGGGAGAATAAAGCGCAGGGGATGATCAAGGGAACAGTGTCGGATGCTGTGATGCTTGATATATCTGAGAAGATGTCAGCTAAAGAAATGTGGGACTACTGCATAGCCCTGCATGTAACAGCGACGATCGAGAATCAAAGGAATGTCCGTCAAGCGTTGTTTAGCTATGACTTAAGGGACGATGCGACGGCCGAAGAAATGGCTAAGCATGTGGAGGATTTCTCGAAGACGATGTCCGAAGCGAAATTGGTGGGGTTGAAGTTTGACTCACAGGAACGAGCTGGGTTATTCCTCAATACCATTCTAGCACCATCCTACAGGATCATTCAGATCGAAGTAACATCCCTCATAGCAGAGGAAAGAACTTGGGAAAAGGTCTTATCGATCTTCAATAAAGAAACGGCGAGACGTAAAGCGCGCCCTGTTGGTAGAACCAATAGGAAGGGATTCGCGATGTTCGTCGAAGGAAATAAAGGAATGAGGGTGAACCGAGATAATATCTCTGATGGTCAGCCCAGGAAAGAAACTAGAAAGTGTTATAACTGTGACACTGTAGGACATCTAGCGAAGTACTGTCGTAAACCTAAAAGAGAGGATACGAACAGGAAAGAAAACGCAGATGTAAAGGATGGAGGTAAAAAGAAATGGAGGAATAATAAGAATAATAAGAAAGGACATACGGTCTCGAAGGATGAGAACCAGTCCAAGGATAACTCCAAAACCTCCTTGATGTATTCGTCATTGGATGGTGAACACGAGGCGTGGGCCGGGATGGCCATGTCGACAGAATCGTGGTTCGATGATGACGAAGGGTACACGAGTAACATCGTATGGCCCGAAGAAATTGAAAACCCGTGGGTTGAGGATAATGAGTGGGTGGGATTAGCTACAGAGTCTAATGACGTGAGCCACACTCGTGTAATCCCTACCTGGGTAGTGGACAGTGGTGCTACTCACCACATAACTCCTCACAGGTCGATAATGACGAATATTAAAAGACTAGTGGAGCCGAGAGTGTTCGGACTAGCATCTGGCAAGTCAATGACGGCTTGGGAAACAGGTGACATTAACCTCGAACTAGATTCAGGACAGAAAATGGTACTGAAAGATGTACATCACGTCCCCACAGCGAAGATAAGTCTTCTATCCCTCTCGAAGTTACTCTCATGGGGATGGAAGGCGAATCTAAGCAGCAGTGGTGGATGGATAGGTAAAGGTAAAGAGAAACTAGGTTTGAGGAAACATGACTCACTATGGTCGGTACGATTTGGCAGAGCGATGTCTGCCGCGATGATCGTGATATCGACACCGAAGGCGACTTCACCACTTGAATCTGAGCATCAGCGACTCGGACATATAGGTGTAGATAAACTAAAGAGTCTAGGTAGACAGGGACTATTGAAGAAGGACTGGGACACTTACAAGAATGATCCCTTTACAACCGATAAATGTCCCGCCTGTATGCAGGCCAAGATAACACGTCTACCGAAGAATAAAGAAGCACCAATGTTAAAAGGAGATGGTGAAGGAGTAGGAATGGATGTCGATATTGCTGGCCCGTTCGGTCCGGCGATAAAAGGTGAACGATATTTCTTCGTTGGTGTAGAAAGGGCGAGTCGAATTGTGTTCGCCGTACCGATAACGACGAAGAACGAATCGTCAGATATCGTTCGACAGTGTATCTCGAAATTAGAGAAACAGCTTGGTGAAAGGGTGAGGGTGATTAGGTCTGATGGGGGAGGTGAATTCGATAGCCTCGATATGAGGGAATTCTACCTATCAGCAGGGATCAACCACTACATCACACCAAGATACACACCAGAATTAAATGGAGTGGCGGAAAGAATGATACGTACCTTGAAGGGGATGGTATCAACGATGTTATTCGACTCAGGACTACCGAACGAATATTGGTCCTATGCTGTCAGATACGCCGCCATTATAATTATGAAAACCTCGATTGGTGTCAGTGGTAAATCAGGCTGGACATCACTCACAGGAAGAGACACGAACTTAGATAGCGTGTGGAGATTTGGTGAACGATGTTTCGTTCAGATACCAAGGGAGATAAGGCTGAAGTCGAACTTCACGATACCTAGGGGTTCATCAGCCATTATACTAGGTCAAGATGAGGGTGTGAGCGGTTGGATCGTTAGAATGGACGGATCGGGACGAATCGAACACTCACGAGACGTTCGTCGCTCGACAGGACGAATGGTGGCTACTAGAGAGTCGCCAGATGTCATCCAAACCCCTCTTGACGCCATCGAAGTGGACCTAGACCCCGTCGTCAACGAAGAAAGTTTCCCTGACGACCGCTCAGAAAGTGGCGAACAGGAAAATATCGATAATGAACAAGGAAATGATGTCGATAGAGACAACTCACCTAATACAGGCCCACAACCTACTGAAAGACGACGAGGACAGGGCATTTGGGGAGGAAATTGGATCTATGAGAACGATATCGTCGAAAATGAGAGAAATGATGAGGAAGGAAGAAATGATGGGGATGAGGGGATCCTGACGACACGTCACGGACGAATTATTCGACCCCCCCACCGTTTTGCAGGCCTAACAGACTCGTTCCTAGACTTTGGTCGCGAGCCTAATAAGTTAGCCTCACTCGCCTCTATCGCAGGTATCGAAAGTGATACTTCTCTCATTGATCCTATCTCTCCTGAAGAAGCAGTAAACGGCCCAGATGGTGAGAAGTGGCTGGAATCCATGGAGAAAGAGATATCTAACATCGAATCTAAAGAAACATGGGTGGAAACGGTGTTACCACCGGGCCGTAAAGCCATTGGATGTAAATGGGTATTCAAAGTGAAGACAGATTCAGAAGGAAACTTACTAAAGTATAAATCCAGACTAGTAGCTCAAGGATTCTCACAGGTACCAGGTGTCGATTACGAAGAGACATTCGCACCTGTCGGTAGATCGGGGTCGTTACGAATACTCTTGACTATAGCGGCCACCGAAGATCTCGAAATTCGTCAGGCCGATGTCGAAGGGGCGTATTTAAACGGTAAACTCGATGTAGAAATTTACATGAAGTATCCCAAGGGGATAAAACCGAAGCCTGGATGTAATACCTTGAAGTTAGTTAAGTCTCTTTACGGTTTAAAGCAATCTGGCAGGACATGGTGGATAGAACTCGGCGAAGGATTGTCTCACCTAGGGTTTTCAAGAATCGAATCAGATTGGGGTCTTTACTACAGACAAGAAGGGAAAATCGAAGGAAAGGGAGCAGCAATACTGCTAGCCTATGTCGATGATCTGGTATTAGCCACGAAGTCGAAGGAAGAAGCGAAGGAAATTTTCGATGGGCTAGGTAAAAGGTGGATAATAACCGACCTGGGGGAGATAAGTACTATCTTAGGTATGAAGGTAACAAGGAACAGAGAAGAAAAGACAATATGGTTAAACCAACCAGCATATATCGATAAGATAGTTCAGAAGTTTCCAGAAAACGACTTACATCGAGACCGAAAAACGCCATTACCCCTTACTGCGAAAAATCCATCGATGTCGGAGGCGGAGAGTGAAATTCGACCATTTCAAGAATTAATAGGATGTCTACAGTGGTTAGCCACATGTACTCGACCCGACATATCATATGCCGCCTCATACCTTGCTAGGTACCTCACTAAACCGACGAAGAAAGTATGGGAAGAAGGGATAATGGTAATTACCTACCTTCGGTCCACTCGTTTACATGGTATTCGTCTCGGTGGCGAGGCTAGCGATCTAGCAGGATGGGTTGATGCCGATTGGGCAGGTTGTAAAGACACACGACGATCAACTACAGGTTGGATATTCATGATGAACAACTCACCGATAACCTGGAGTTCAAAAAGACAAGCTACAGTATCGTTGTCGACAGTCGAAGCAGAATACATCGCGATGGCTGAAGCAGCGAAGGAAGCTCAGTGGTTGAGAGGATTATTGAGGGAGATAGGCTACGATCAGCTAAATCCTACTACATTAAACTGCGATAACCAAGGATCGATATCACTAGCGAGGAAACCTGGTACTCACCAGAGGACAAAGCATATTGATATTCGACATCATGCTCTTCGAGATCTAGTCAGTAACAAAGTTATTGAACTAGAATACGTTAGCACTGTCTCACAGAGAGCAGATGTACTCACGAAGGCTTTAGGTGGACCAGTACATTCGGTGAATATGTCAGCGATACGGGTAGAACCACCGAAGAAGAAAAACATTGGTTCAGTATACGTGACATTAGATGATGATGAAATCATCGATTACGATTATTCAGATTTCGAGGACCTAGGAGATCTATCACGTGGTACAGAGAACGAAGTGGTACCAGAGAGAGAAGTGTGGGTGGAAGGAACTTCAGAGAAACCCACCGAAGTACCACCGAAGGAAAAGTTCTCGAGAAACCCACCGAAGGTACCACCGAAGGAAAAGTTCTCGTGAGCCAAAATGTAAAATTTTCAGGTGTACCTAAGAATGTGAGTAATTCTAAGATAGGTCAGAAGCCACCGGTAGAACCTAGAGTCATTAGAGAGTTAAGAGAGAGAAATAAGGAAAAGAAGGAAAAGATAAGAGAGAGAAAAGATGGGAGGATACATGACACTAATTGTCATCGATCTGGTATCCCAACAAATTCTCCACATGCTGACAGGCCCTTTCGAGATCGTAAAGAATGTCGAAGAAAGGTGCAGATGCACCTTGACCAGCGTTCGAGAGAGAGACAAGCAACCTTCGGAGGAAACGGATCTGTCGACAGGTCGCCTCCAAGGTACGGACCGAGATATCCGACAGTTCAGCTGGTCAGAGATAATTTTCATGATAAAGTGACTAATGAGCGTACCATGAGCCTCACCAGGCCTCATGAGAGGAACCAAGGGATCGATACCACCGGGAAGTGGCGAAGACATAATGAAATTGTTAATGAAAATAAAAGTTTCTCGGTGGGTAGCGGTTCTACGAAATATCGTCAGCCAGGACCACGAAGGAAATTCATCGATTCTCGGGAGTCTACTAGCAAACCTGAAGTTTTAAGAAGTAGACAGGATAGAGGGAAGCTCAGACAGTCAGAAACGAGTGATAAAAGTGGAGAAAGACGAAAGGTGGACATACCGATAATTGGAGATAAAAGTGATGAAGTAAAAGGAATGATAGAGAAGAGTCAGTCGTCAGTAGTGAGTGGTAACCACGTGTCAGAGCGGAGCCCCGCAGGGGGCCCCACCGAAATTCATTTCACGATTTCACCTACCACTACTACCACACACATAACACTCAATATCTCGTCGTTATTACCTTCTACATCATCACAAACCTCGCCGTCGCCATCAATAAATCGTCCGGGACTACTGCAGAGTCGTGCATTGTCCCGTGGGGGAGTGTTAGCCGATAGAATCGGGCCAGGACGGCCGAACCGCCGTTAGATAATTACCCCTTCCGTCGAATATTTCTCCGTTCAACTTATCCTCTGAACTTTATTCGATCGTCTCTGGTTTTATGCGTGTGAGTGGAATGTGATAAGTATAGAGACATGTAGAATTGATGCACGCTCTTTTTCCCCTCTGTATTATCATCTAATATTAGCAAACAGCTTCGAATGTGACTAGTCAGCGACTATCCTCCCTAAGTCAGGCGCACGGAACAAGTGATAGTCTGTCATACATCAATGTAAAGTATGTACATGTTGTATCTATCTTCCTCTTCGAGTGACTCGTGCTATTTTTGCCTATCAAGTGTGAGGCAAGCAACATACGCTTGCTCTAGCACTGCATCTCACAGTCTTTGGGATTGCCTTATCATACTCACCACCTTTCTACATGGAATCTTGAGGCTCTGTTTCCAACCTGACTATAGTCAGCTCCTTATACTTCTAGTGCTTCTTCTTCTTCTTTTTCTTCTTCCCTTCTGCTGTGGGAACAGAGGGATCAGTGCCAGGCGAATTTACTTGCACTGTTTCATCTCCTCTGGCCTCTTGAATATGTGCAAAAGACGTCCCATCGTCCTGACATGTCTGTATGTCACGAACCACATCGTAACATCCCTGACAACCACCATCACCGACCCTCCTTTCACCATCACCAACTACCACCCGAACCACTGAGACCGACTACGGCGAAGTTACAAGAACCAAGAGGGTATTTGTCACAATAACCCCGCCTAGCGGAGAACTACGGCGAAGTTAGGGGAAGGGGACCGAGGGAGAGCAGAACAGGCGAAGTTAGGCGAGGTGAGCGGAGTAGGACATCGGGGATATGGCGAGGTACGGCGAAGTTGAACGAAGAGGACTGAGCGTGAGGCAGTGCGAGAGTTGAGGGACGTTCTATGAAAAGAGAGGAGCAGTATAGATAGTTTACAGATCGCTGAACTTCTTCAGCGATCCTTGATTGTTGTCAGTAGCGAGAGATATATTCAGTAGCTACAACCATCGAGTTAGGGAGAGCTACCACCAAGCAGTTCGACGCACCACGGCGAAGTTAGCCGCAGTTCATCAACAATCATCTTATCCTTTCACCACTCGACACATTACTACGGCAAAGTTAGCTGTAGTTCTCCGACGAGTACCCTGTCCTAGTGAGACATCAACGCCCCACTACGGCGTAGTTAGCCGAGGTTTGTCGACCATCGGTCAGTAGAGAAGAAGAAACGACGATTGTGACACTGTACCACTGACAGTAGGATACCTTTGACCTTGGGGTCGCCCGAATGCCCTGCCAAGGTGATCAATAATTGAACAGAGGTCCCCTCTCTTACCTCTTGGCTGGAATCTGATGGTTTCCACAAACCCATGTCCAGGCCTTTTTGAGCAATTTGGAGCAAAGATTCAAGAAATGGACCCATATTTGACGTCTTTGCTGCAAGTTTTTGAAACTTGTCAGAAATCTCTTGCACAACTAGTGGTAATCGAACAATATAGTAATGCATGAAGATGGAGACTAGATGATGAGAAAAGTTTTGACACGCGAGCTTATTTGATCCCTTCAACACTCCCACCAAGCGAGCAGTGTTACCGTGCGTACCTCTTATCCCATGAACTGATCTTCCTCACTTTCAGGTTCCTGTTCTGACAATTCTCCTTGTTCTGATCCCCCTTGTTCCGACAATTCCTCCTGTTCTGACAATTCCTCCTGTTCTGACGATTCCTCCTGTTCTGACGATTCCTCCTGTTCTGACGATACCTCCTGTTCTGACAATTCCTCCTGTTCTGACAATTCCTCCTGTTCTGACGATACCTCCTGTTCCGACGATTCCTCCTGTTCCAACTTCCCTTGTTCCAACATTCCCCTTTCTTCTGACGATTTCTCTAGGGTATCTATTTTGAATGCATCGCTCGAGTTACCAATCTTTCCATTACCGATCAACTTCAGTTGTTTGACTTGGGCTTCAAGATCGGCAATCACTTGGTCAAGATGGAGTATGGTTCGGAAGTTCATAGCGGGAGCTGTATTGAAGGAAAGTGTCACAATCGTCGTTTCTTCTCCTCTACTGACCGACGGTCGACAAACCTTGGCTAACTACGTCGTAGTGGGGCGTCGATGTCTCACTAGGACAGGGTACTTGTCGGGGGAACTACGGCTAACTTCGCCGTAGTAATACATCGAGTGGTAAACTGATAAGATGATCGTCGATGAACTGCGGCTAACTTCGCCGTAGTACGTTGAACTGCTCGGTGGTAGCTCTCCTTAACTCGAAGGTTGTAGCTACTGAATATATCTCTCGCTACTGACAACAATCAAGGATCGCTGAAGAAGTCAGCGATCTGTAAACTATCTATACTGCTCCTCTCTTTTCATAGAACCTCCCTCAACTCCTGTACCGCCTCGCCCTCAGTCCTCTTCGCTCAATTTTGCTGTACCTTGCCTAACTTCCCCTGCTCTGCTCTCCCTCGGTTCCCCTCCTCTAACTTCGCTATAGTTCTCCGCTAGTCGGGGTTATTGTGACAAATATCCTCTAGGATCTTGTAACTTCGCCGTAGTCGGTCTCAGTGGTTTGGGTGGTGGTTGGTGATGGTGAAAGGAGGGTCCGTGATGGTGGTTGTCAGGGATGTTACGACGTGGTTTGTGACAGAAAGAGGGGATGAACGGTCAGCAAGTTGGATTGATGAATGATCAAGAGACATGTCGTCGGAAGTGTCAACTTCATGAGGAATGTGAAGGATCTGTCAATCATATTCATGAGGATGTTGCTTGGCATCGATGGAACAACTGTGTTTGTTGAGTGTACATTGATAGCACTTCTTTACGGTTTTGGCTTGCGGATCTGAGAGAGGGAGAATGAGACAGGATCAGCCGAGATTTACACAAGCAATGCAACTGGGTGTTGCAAGATGACCGTGATCTTGAATGCAGTTGGCGCGGTCGATCTGTGCTTGAGCAATTTGGGAGGGCATGGTAGGCGCAGTGATGGAAAGCGGTTGGAGTTGAGGACACTTATGAGGGAGAAATGTGTGAACAGTAGTGAATGTGGGTGATGACGGATGAAAAGATTCTGACGGAGACGGATGTCACGCAGCACCGCGTGACATCATCTTTCCCCATCAACGAGGTTCCTTTGGGCATCAGTTCGCCATCAACCATCCAGTTCTCATGAACTTCATCACCCACGAGGGTATTAGGAGGCTAACTTCGTCGAGGGCGAAGTTAGTCATGTAGGAAGTTAGGGAGATACAAAGTTAGGAAGATACGAAGTTAGTCATGTAGGAAGTTAGGGAGGCACGAACTTCGTTGGGGACGAAGTTCGTAAGGTACGAAGCTCGGGACTTTGGGTTGAACAAAGTTCTGCGTTGAAGAAGTTAGGGAAGGACGAATGTCACAGTCGTCGTTTCTTCTTCTCTACTGACCGACGGTCGACAAACCTCAGCTAACTACGTCGTGGTGGGGCGTCGTTGTCTCACTAAGACAGGGTACCCGTCGAGGAACTACGGCTAACTTCGCCGTAGTGATACGTCGAGTGGTGAAATGATAAGATGATCGTCGATGGACTGCGGCTAACTTCGCCGTAGTACGTTGAACTGCTCGGTGGTAGCTCTCCTTAACTCGAAGGTTGTAGCTACTGAATATATCTCTCGCTACTGACAACAATCAAGGATCGCTGAAGAAGTTCAGCGATCTGTAAACTATCTATACTACTCCTCTCTTCTCATAGAACGTCCCTCAACTCCTGCACTGCCTCACGCTCAGTCCTCTTCGTTCAACTTCGCCGTACCTCGCCATATCCCCGATATCCTACTCCGCTCACTTTGACTAACTTCGCCTACTTCCCCTGTTCTGCTCTCCCTCGGTTCCCTTCCCCTAACTTCGCCGTAGTTCTCCGCTAGGCGGGGTTATCGTGACAAATCCCCCCTTGGTTCTCGTAACTTCGCCGTAGTTGGTCTCAGTGGTTCGAGTGGAGGTTGGTGATGGTGAAAGGAGGGTCGGTGATGGTGGTTGTCAGGGATGTTACGACGTAGTTCGTGACAGTCGCCCCCTCCTTAGGCGCGAACGTCCTCGTGAGCTTTGTATGCATGTACTGAAGAAAAAGACACTCAGCAGGTTCACAATTTGTCATATAACAGTTGTTGGTAGATGATACCATGGTTCGTTGTTAATCGGACAGTAAACTTCATCGAAGTTCATCGTGGATGCTTGTTGTTACCCTGTGGTAGTTACGTTGTAGGTGAGACAGAGGATTTGGGATACAACAAACCTCGTCGAAGTTCGTCAGCGTATCCCTAACTTATATGAATGTGAGAAACGTAGCGTGGGAATTTTGATCGTCGCCATGGTGTTTGTTGTCGCTGAGACACCTTGTTATGCGAAGTTACCAGCGCCCTGACGACGAGTAGTCGCGTTAGTTATACTAAATACTCAGTACTTCGGCCCACTTCTTCTTCTTCCCCAGTACTATTCCTAAATCGTACTATCATCGTCTATCGATTTCCAGCCTTTACCTTACCAAACATATCAATTTGAAAATTTTTTTTTAACAATATGACTTCTCGATCAGAACTCGACGCCTACCGAGTCTTCGTAGAGCGCTTCACCTCTGCCCGTAAGTCCACTCGTGCTAGTCATAAGTTAGATCTCCGCTGATTATCTCAGTCTCTCAGCAGGGGAATTCCCCTCGCCAAGTATCGTCTATGGGTCTTGGGGCCCTTACTATCACCGATGGCTCGCCCTTCGTCGCGGCCCCTCCTGACGCCGGAGCTTCCGCTGCGGCTCCTTCTTCCGCTGAGTCCCCCGTCGTGGCTTCGACCCCTCTCTCCTCCGGCCAACAGGAGGACAGACCCGCTCCTGTTGGCCCTTCACAAGCTTTGGGTCAGTCTGCTACTGTGGTGGAGATTGATGATGACGAGGAGATGGTTGTTGTCGATAGTGATGAAGATATGGATGATGTTGTTGATGGCGAGGAAACAGGTGGTGCAGGTGATGACGAGGAGATGGGCGATGTTGATGATGTGGCCGGACCGTCACGTCTTCCTGCTACTCCTTCGGCCGGTCCGTCCCGTTGCACTCCTCGTCGTGCTTCTTCAGCCGCTCTTCGGCCTTCTACTCCTGTGGCTGGCCCATCTCGTCTCCCGGCTACTCCTTCTGCCGGTCCGTCTCGTCCCGCCAGGAGCCGTCCTACTCCTGTCTCAACTCAAGAGGATTCCCCTCTAAGTCTCCCTCCTGCCCTTGGGACCCAAAGCCGTCAACCATCTGTCCCTCCTGCTTCTGGGCTCTCAACTCCTGCCCCTCCTGTGAAAACTCCTCCGAAATCTTCGAAAGGGAAAGGCAAGAATAAGAAGGCTGTCCAGTTCGAACCTGCAGTGGTAGAAAATGAAAATACTCAGCTACCAGAGGAAGTCCCTCCTCCCCTCGACCACCCCTACATTTCCGACGACCCTCGAATCCCAGAGGAGGAGAAACAACTGGCTACCTTCCGTTCTCTCATCATTGGTTTGACCACGCAATTACATGCCAATAGACGAGATACGGCGAAACTTCTCGAATATTGCATGAAGCTGGTCTCTGGTATGAACACTCTCTCCCGGACAATGGCAACTCTTGTAAACTCCTCCGATATAGGCCCATTAGCACGGACTGAGTTAGCTAGAGTCTCCCGAGAGCTCATGACGGACATGAACGATTTCTACCGCAATCTTTTCGATTCTCCCTTCCTCCTGAATCCCATTGAGTACGCCCTTCCCCCCACACTCGACTGGTTAAAGCCACCCAACCCGGCTCGACTCAGTTCTCAGGATGCTGCCTTTCTCGATATCCTGGCTCTTCCCCCGGACTGTCTTAGAACACTTCGACAGTTATGGAAGCTGCCTAGTCTGAACATCGCTCGTGACTCTGCTCTCCATTCCTCCCACATCCTGGCCTTCAATACAGCGTGGAGAGAGACTCGGTCCCTTCGACGGGTGGTGCCACCGAAGGTTACCGTGAGTAGTTCTGGGAGTGGTCCTGCACCGGGGAACGAGGAACAGGGAGGAAGTTCGCAGCAGTGAGTTGTACTTAGCTAATGTTGTACCAGTTGTATGAATTACTTCCTCGTTCGTGATCTTACCACTCGTCCTTTCGTCGGCTTATCCGGGTGAAGTTCGTGGAACTTCGCCAATATGTCATTAGCTCCGTCCACATTTTCTACTGGTTCCCATGATACTGCGTCATCCGAGCCTTCGTAACCTAACCATTCCACTAGATATTCTAACTTCCCTGACCTCTTATTTACTCTTGAGTCCACAATATCCTTTACTTCCCACGATTCTCCTACGTTATCTACCTCTACTGGGCCAGGTGGTTCAGCTTGCTGACCAGGAAATACCGGAGGGTGATAGGGACGGAGTAAAGAAACATGGAATACATCATGGATACCTGCCATCGTTCCTGGTAATTCCAGTTTACAACCATGAGAACCTACTTGCCGTACTACCTTGTACGGCCCACTTTGCTTAACGTCCAACTTCTTCATTGGTCTCTTAGTCTTGATATTCTCTAACGACAGTATAACTAGGTCACCTTCCACGAAGTTCGGCGTAGTTCGATGTTTCCTGTTGTATCCTTCGGCGTACTTCTCGTTAGCTCTCTCAATCCCCTCAATACATTCCTTATGTATTTCAGTTAGGTCCTTTACTGCTATTGTAGCAGCAGGTACCTCAACTTCACTAGCCTTAATCTCTTCAGCCCATCGAGGGTGGTACCCATAGTTCGCATAGAATGGGGTCTTGTTTATCGTGGAATGATGGGTATTGTTATAAGCAAAGCTAGCTCGAGCAAGCAGCTTTGACCAATCGTTCTGCTGGTAGGAAGTGAAGATTCGAAGGTACAATCCAAGGGACTGGTTCGTTCGTTCGGTCTGTCCATCAGTCTGTGGATGATACGCGGTAGAAAGATGTAGTCTTATCCCGAGACTATCGGTCAAGTTCTTCCAAAACTTCGAAGTAAACTTCGATCCTCTGTCCGATACTATACTCTCTGGTAACCCATGCTGGGCCACCACATAGTCCATTATCAGCTCAGATAGTCCAGCTGCGGTTAACTTCGTCGTGGTTGGGATAAAAATGGCCCATTTTGTCAGTCGATCCACGACCACTAAGATAGAGTTATATCCATGGGAATTTGGGAGCTCTTCGATGAAATCCATCGAGATACTTGACCAAGGTTTTGTCGCTACTTGTAGGGGTTTAAGTTCTCCATGAGGCTTCTGTCTGTTAGTCTTAGCTCTCTGACATACCGCACAACCAGCGACATAGTCTTCTACATCCTTCCTTACTCCAACCCAAACATAATCCCTCAGCATTAGTTCAAGGGTCTTCGCCGAACCTGGGTGACCAGCCAAAGCCGAGTCATGTCGCATCTTCATGATCTTTAGTCGAGCGTCGGCGTAGTTCGGCACATAAGTGCGATCGTCGAATACAAGGAAACCTCTCGGGGTCCACCCCCCACGAAGTATTAGAGGAGATCGCGAACTACGGCGTAGTTCGGTGATTGATCCTGGTTCCTGTACATCATCATGACACGTCGGATGAGAACACTCAGCGCAGATAACTCCTAATAACTCCTCTCTAACCTCCTCTATGTCTTCGTCCTCCTGAACTCCAAGTATCAGATCCATAGGGTCGACAAGATCATTTTCCTTCACCTCCCTTGTCCCTTGCAAGGCTCGAAGGAGGTGGCGCAACTCCGACGTGGTGGCGTCAACTTCGTCGAACTTCGGCAGACCCTGAATAAGGTTACTCTCTTGTATCATCGTACTTCCTTTTCCCGAGTGATAGTCAGCCCGTCTAGACAACCCGTCTGGAAGGCTTGCTTGAGTCCCTGGTCGATAAACCATTTTAAATCTGAAGTTAGCTAACTCTTCTACCCACCTACCTTGACGTGGGCTGAGTTGCTTCGGCTCCATCCAGTAAGTGAGATTTAAATGGTCGGTAAGGACCGTGGTTTCTACCTGCAGTAGTAAGTGTCTTCTTCTTCTGAAACCCTCAACTACGGCGAGGAACTCCTTTTCTCCTACCGTGTAATTTAGTTGGGCTGTATTGAACGCGCCTGACTCGATGGCGACTGGGTGCTCTTGACCAGCTGTATTAATCTGCGAAATTATGAAACCCCAGCCGAAGAACGAGGCATCTGTCTGTAATATGGTCTTCAATGTAGGGTCAAAGTGAGCTAACACCGGCGCAGTACACATCCTAGCCTTCAATTCCTTAAAGGCTGACTCCTGTTCTGCTCCCCACACAAACGGTACCTGCTTCCTTGTCAAATCATTGATAGGTCTAGTGTCACGAACTACATCGTAACATCCCTGACAACCACCATCACCGACCCTCCTTTCACCATCACCGACCTTCCTTTAACCACCACCAACCTCCATTCGAACCACTGAGACCAACTACGACGAAGTTACGAGAACCAAAGGGGGATTTGTCACGATAACCCCGCCTAGCGGAGAACTACGGCGAAGTTAGTGGAAGGCAGCCGAGGGAGAGCAGGACAGGGGAAGTTAGGCGAAGTTAGTCGAAGTGAGCGGAGTAGGATATCGGGGATATGGCGAGGTACGGCGAAGTTGAACGAAGGGGACTGAGCGTGAGGCAGTGCAGGAGTTGAGAGACGTTCTATGAGAGGAGAGGAGTAGTATAGATAGTTTACAGATCGCTGAACTTCTTCAGCGATCCTTGATTGTTGTCAGTAGCGAGAGATATATTCAGTAGCTACAACCTTCGAGTTAAGGAGAGCTACCACCGAGCAGTTCAACGTACTACGGCGAAGTTAGCCGCAGTTCATCGACGATCATCTTATCAGTTTACCACTCGACGTATCACTACGGCGAAGTTAGCCGTAGTTCCTCGACGAGTACCCTGTCTTAGTTAGACAACGACGCCCCACTACGACGTAGTTAGCCGAGGTTTGTCGACCGTCGGTCAGTAGAGAAGAAGAAACGACGATTGTGACATCTAGCAATCTTCGAGAAGTTGGGGACAAAACGCCTGTAATAGCTCACGACTCCAATGAAACCCCTCGACTCTCGTAGATTCTTTGGACGTGGGAAGGATGTGATGGCGTCAATGTACTCTGGATTAACCGAAACACCTCGAGAGGAGACCACAAAACCCAGGAATACCACCGAATCTCTTTCGAACTCGCACTTACTAGCTTTCACGTACAAGCTCGCCTTCCGCAGCACTTCAAAGACCTTTGTCGTAGTTCCTCGTAATTCCTCCAATGTATTCCCATAAATGAGGATATCATCAATGTAGACCACGACTCCATTCCCTAGCAGTTCTCTAAACACCTCGTTCAGGAAGTGCTGGAAGACAGCAGGGGCGTTTCGCAGCCCATCACGAACGACAAGAGATTCGAACATACCATACTGTGTCCTGAACGCCGTCAGGTGTTCATGTCCTTCTGTCACCCTTAACAATTGGTACGCTCCAATTAGATCTAGTTTGCTGAAGTACCTTGCTTTTCCAAGTTCTTCGGTAATCTGGCCTATTAATGGGAGAGGGTAGGCATCTGGTATGGTCGCTTCGTTCAGTTTTCGATAGTCGATGACCATTCGCCATTGTCCTTCGGCTTTCTTCGGTATCATAAACATCGGTGAGCCGTATGGCGAGTTACTTGCTCGTATTCGGCCAGCGGCGATTTCGCGATCTAGTATGTCTCTCAGCGCGCGTCTCTGATCTTCTCCTTGACCATAGAGGGAGGCGACCTTCAGGTTCCCCCCCTCCTTAAGCTCAAACTTCAAATCGTAGGACCTCAAAGGGGGAAGGGTCTCTCCTCCCTTCTTCGGATTAAACACGTCAATGTACTGGTGGTATTGCTCAGGAACTACCTGGAACAACTCGTCTTGTTCCTCCGGGCTCAGCTCTTCAAGCTCTTCTTCGCCGCGGAGGTCTGTCTCGTCGGTTCGGGTCCTGAGCCCTATGGCTGCCAGGACCGCAACATCTTTTGTCTGTGGAAAGGGAGAGGATAACTCTTCCCTTTTACTCGGCAAGGGTAGGGGAAAAGACACTGCGCTTTCCTCATTGTTCGTCAGGGGAATAGGGAAGGATATCATATTCACTCCCCCCTTCAGGATTACCCCTTCTTCTTTCATCCATTCCCATCCTATCACAACATCCGCGTCGCAAAGGGTGGTAACATCCAGCTTAATTGGGCGAACCTCACCTAACTTCTCGACACCCAGACTCACTTCGACAAACTCCGTAATGGGTCCAGCCACACTAACCGAGCCATCGAACATGTGAACTGGTACACTCACGGGGTATTTCCTCTTCTCCTTCCTAATCTTCCTGGCCGCCTTGGGACTTATATACGAACAGGTCGCTCCAGTGTCCCACAAGGCCGTTAGTTCAACTCCGTCGACATACACATTAGATTTGGGTTGGTTGTTACAGGTGGAAGGGATTAGGGTATGACAGTCGTTTATACATTTCGGAGTGGTGTTTACGGATTTATATACACATTTACCTGGTCTCATCAGCTCTTTCCTTTTACTGGGGGTAGGGATAGTGGCCGAGAGAATATGAGTGCGGACCCGCCGAGTCCCGCCTATCGCGACGGGTCCCCATCTTTTTCCTCCTCGTCCATCCCCCGCTCTCCAACACATGCTTCCTCCCTTCCGACTGCATTGATCTTCTTCCTGTCCCCAAGAGGGACGGCGTTTCCCCCCGTGCTAAATCTCCCTTCTCCTCTGTCACGGCCGTCGAGCAACTTCTTCCTAATAGACCGACGGTCGACGAACCTCGGCTAACTTCACGCTTCTGAGTCGATGTCTCACCCAACCAGGAGGGCGCAGACGTCGAAAGGAGTGTAACTACGGCGTACTTTGGCGTAGTTACTCTAACTAAGGCTTTGTTCTATTGATGGCGATGTATCCCGATGTATAGCTATCTCTATTTGTCTTTTACTACTGACAACAATCAAGGATCGCTGAAGAACTTCAGCGATCTTCTCAGCTAATATTATCTACTCCTCCTAGACGTTCATCCAACCCTCTCGCGCTTTGACGTACTTCAACGCACTTCGTCCAACTTCCCCGAGCCCTCGGCCATCCTCTTCCTCCTTCGACTAACTCCGCCTAACATCGCCGCACTTCTGCTCCCATTGTCCCTACTTAGCCTAACTCCGCCTAACATCGCCGCACTTCTGCTCCCATTGTCCCTACTTAGCCTAACTCCGCCTAACATCGCCGCACTTCTGCTCCCATTGTCCCTACTTAGCCTAACTCCGTCTAACTTCGCCGTACTTCTGCTCCCATTGTCCCTACTTAGCCTAACTCCGTCTAACTTCGCCGTACTTGGTGTCAGAAGTCCTGAGTTACGTGTAGAGTAAAGAGGTTAAGGCGTGATGGGGTTTTGATGGCCAAAGGAGGGTCATTGTTGGTGGAGTAATCGAGGTGTCACGACGTAGTTCGTGACATCCTCCAGCATTTTGTCCAAAAGATCGCAAGGGGATGATCCCAGCTTTTACCTTCGCCACTATTACAGGACAATCCCGGTTGTAATGCCCTCTCTCTCCACACCCAGTACACTTCCCTTCCTCTCGACGCTTTAAAACCTCATCAGCACTGGGTCTCGGCCAACGACGATTTAGTTCGTCTACATCCATTGGTATCGTCCTTCCCCCGTTCATGCCCTTGGGCTGCGCGCCCTCGACCTTCGCCGTAGATTGCCATGTCTCCTGGCTCCCCCGTTCCCCTCCCCGAATTACTTCCTCTCTCCTCTCCCCCTGCTCCTTCACCTCCTTCCTCTTCTTCTCATTCTCCTTCTCCACCTTTCGTTGATGCAAACGATTGTCCATGGGGACCACGAACTCAATTAATTCTCGGACGGTCTGGACAACTTTTCCATGGCGGGCAATTTCATCCAGTAAGTGACTTTTCAGTCCGTTCTTTGCCCGGTCCACGAGGTTTCCATCATCACCCCATCCTAGCACCGCTACATATCGTTGAAAGGCGGCGAAGTACGCCGAAGCTGACCCATTCTGTCGGAGCTCGTTTATTCCCCTTGCGGTGGTTCCTTCTTCGTCAGGGTCTCCGATATTGGTTTTGAGATATTGGATGAACTTCTTATAGTCTAGAAGGTGTTCGGGGGGGTCGTCCTTAGGTAAGTCCGGTTGGACGGCAAGAAGAGGAGTTTCACGTAGATGGGAGATCATGAAAAAGATTTTTGCTCGGTCGGTGGGGAACTTGCGGGTGTTGATTTCGAAATGGACTTCACATTCTGAGATGAATGCTGTGAGCTTTGACCTCTCGCCCCTCCACAGGTCTGGGAGGGGAAGCTTTATCCCTCCACTCATCTCAGCCACTCCTGGGGTCGCCGAAGCTTGCCTTCCAATGGCGAGCCGTACCCCCTCCGAGATCCCCTCGACTATTCCCCCAACCGTCTCCTGTTCCTTCTTCTTCTCCTGCTCCTCTCGACGCTTCCTCTCTGCTATCATATCCTTATTCATCTCCATCATCATGTTCATTATTGCCAGCATCATCTTCTGTGTTGTGGCCTCCTCCTCAGTTCCTCCTACTACTTCGCTCCCGGCCGAACTTAGCCTACCTCCTGTGTTCCCTTCCCTTGGTCGTGGGGTCTGTCCCGAATCTTCGGAACCTGTCCTCACCACTGGTGGTTCTGGTAGTCCGGTCTGCTGGGGAGGTGGTTCAAAAGGTAGGGGTGGATAGAAATCATCACCTTGAGTTGATCCTTCGGGGGCATCAATTGCACCAGGCAATGGTCCCAAGCTTTGTCTTAATTCCTCCAACATCCTCCTCTCCGTCTCCTCTACTGTTTCTCCCGGTCTACTCATACTTCTTGTAACTCTCCTCTCTGGCTGCATACAATCTCGAACTTCTCCGAGGTTTGCACGGGTCGTCGGTAAGAGCGATCCTTGATACTGTCACAATCGTCGTTTCTTCTTCTCTACTGACCGACGGTCGACAAACCTCGGCTAACTACGTCGTAGTGGGGCGTCGTTGTCTCACTAAGACAGGGTACTCGTCGAGGTACTGCGGCTAACTTCGCCGTAGTGATACGTCGAGTGGTAAACTGATAAGATGATCGTCGATGAACTGCGGCTAACTTTGCCGTGGTGCGTCGAACTGCTCGGTGGTAGCTCTCCCTAACTCGATGGTTGTAGCTACTGAATATATCTCTCGCTACTGACAACAATCAAGGATCGCTGAAGAAGTTCAGCGATCTGTAAACTATCTATACTACTCCTCTCTTCTCATAGAACGTCCCTCAACTCCTGCACTGCCTCACGCTCAGTCCTCTTCGTTCAACTTCGCCGTACCTCGCCATATCCCCGATATCCTACTCCGCTTACTTTGACTAACTTCGCCTAACTTCCCCTGTTCTGCTCTCCCTCAGTTCCCTTCCCCTAACTTCGCCGTAGTTCTCCGCTAGGCGGGGTTATCGTGACAAATCCCCCCTTGGTTCTCGTAACTTCGCCGTAGTTGGTCTCAGTGGTTCGAGTGGAGGTCGGTGATGGTGAAAGGAGGGTCGGTGATCAGGGATGTTACGACGTAGTTCGTGACAAGATCTGAGGCTTCAAGCGCAAGCAAACCTTGCGTGAATGAGCTCACATCATCAACTTGTAAAAGGCACTTGTTTGTTGTTGAAATTTCAATGAGAGTATCGGTAAGCGTTACAGCATCACAATTGTGCTATATCCCACTCTCACGTGGTCAGGCGAGTCGTCAACGGCATGCATTAGGAGTCAGGAAGGGTTTGATATGGGCAATACATCTTTTGTAGCCCAATTTGTGTTGCGTAATGTGCCGGATTGAGACGTCATGTTCTCTAAAAAGACCAAGCAACTGGTGAACTGTTGCTCTTTGATTTCAAATGAGAATGTGACAGATTTGTGCTAGGACTCAACCAGTGAATCTAGAGGGACGACCTGGGCGAGGGTGTCATTACCCTCGAATATCTGTAAATACCACGTGCATATCATTCACTCAAGTCCAGTCAACTTTACTCAAATCGTCTCAACTTCTTCCATCGTACAACATGTGGATCACCATTCAACCTTAATCACCCTCCCATCACTGAGTCAACCTGACTCGACATTGTATACATCAATCACGTTGTCACGGCTGTCGAACAACTACTTTCTAGCACCACCAACGGTTGACGAACCTCGGCTAACTTGACGCTTTTAACTCAATGTCTCACCCAACCAGGAGGGCGCAGACGTTGAAAGGAGTGTAACTACGGCGTACTTCGACGTAGTTACTCTAACTAGGGTTTTGATTTACTGATGGCGATGTATCTCAATTTAAGTGTAGCTATCTCTATCTATCTTTCACTACTGACAACAATCAAGGATTGCTGAAGAACTTTGGCGATCTTCTCAGCTAATATTATCTATCCTTCCTAGACGTTCACCCAACCCTCTCGCGCTTTGACGTA